CCTTCCATGATGTTGCGCACACATTTCTAGATCTCTAGTGTGGATATGCATTGCATACAAACCTTCTGCACATCAACCTAGCAGAATGTGACAGTTGGTTTGTGCTGAAAGACAATCCACTGAGGATAATCCGGACCCAAATTCTCCGGATAAAATCAGAACCTGCAGGACAGAAGGGTGGTCTTTCCACACCATTTGGGCACAGTCGGAGAACCGGTAAATGGATGCTTCAACAGGGAGCGGAAACCAGAGCCAATAAGAGCCAATGATTTACTAGTTGCATATGTAAGTTGAGCTTGGTGTTCAACCTTGGAAAAATGTTTGGCTTTCGCGTTGCCATGAGATATGGGAATGATGAGGGGAAACGCAACTGGCGGGGATAGTTTTGCCCAGAACGGCCTAGGGAACGCATGTTGGTGGGTCCCTTGTCGGTGCATGGTAGGCCGAAGACATGGGGCAAGGCTAGGATAAATGATTTTTGGGATCACGATAACGAAAAAAAAAAAGTTTGTAAAGCATCACGAGGTTGAAACGCGTTTTCGAGTTGGCAACGACGAAATTTTCGCAATCCGGTCGTGAAATGCTACATCATTTTCGCCTGATCAAGGCGATTACATCGCGCATATTCGGGGATTTGTAGTCAAAAATATAATTAGCAAATCCAAAACGATTATAGTCTCATTGAAGAGTAAAACACTATCCAAAACCGCTTGAGCTCGCATACTCAATGCAATCACCCGAAGGGCTCGAGCTCCACGGACGGACTCCGGTGTCCTTCCGATAGGACAGCAGCAGGTTGAACTGGTTGATTGACTAACCAGTATTCAACAGACTAATGCCGGTTCTTTAGGTTGAATCTCATGTTCTCGTCAGACGATAATTCGTTCTTCCAAATGTTGTCTCGCAGCGCATGGGGTATCGACGTTGTTGCTGCGAGTGCTACGGATATCCTGATGGAAAAGGTCATTCGCTCCGGGCCTTATTTCTGAGCGTTCGGAGGGATCAAGTGCGCAGCTGGGACAAGGAAGACAAGGACGCAACCAAGTATCGCTGCCCGATAGTCATCGTGGCTTGATCAAAGACCTATGACCGAATTGGTGGTGTTGGAATTCATACTCCAACACAACTGACCACAAATAATGGAAGCATCCAGCGAAGGATTGTAAATACGGAGATTCAGGGGCTGTTGTAAAACCTTTGGTTATGATGCAAGCAGCTCTCCACTTCCAATCTTAGTTTAATTGTTGTGAACGAGCGCATAAGCCTCCGCGATTCCGATCATACGACGTTCCTTCAGCGAGGCCGGGGATATGGCAACGAGACCTCGGGCAATTCTAAACCTCAACCTTGAAACCGTATGCTGGGCTTTGATCGATACCAGACAAACCATATTGATCAGGCACATACAGTTTCCAAGGTATCTGCGCGGTCGATCTCTTAGTTGGTGTGAGCTTGTCAAAGAGAGAAATACAAATATGTCGATCTACCGGTGCTGTGATGTGTGCATGAATCAACGCCATCAAAACGGTTGTGTATTAAGTTTTTTGAACGTCTCTGCAGATCTAAAAGATCTTTGTGATCTCATGGCAAGACTGTATCATTCTGCGATTGGGTGCGATGGTGCGCTTTTCGACGATATTAACATTTCTGAAGTTCTGCCTTTGAGCAATCGATCGATCGAAGCCGTCTCATCCGTTTTGATATCATGACATTGATATCTCCGAGCGCTCGAGAATTTTCGAATGAATGAATGAAAAGAAAGCGAAATATCGTATATACGAATGCGACAAAAGAACATTGATTTTGGCGGAAAAGTTCGAGATTGGAGAAGAAATTACAATAAGGAAGAGAGAGATAGAGAACAAATTGAAATTGATTCTTGGGTGATCAGCGAGTATTGATTGCTAGAGACTCTGGCTTGATGATCGAATATGAAAATTTTGAGAAATTTACGGATTGAGACAATTCATTGCACCCTGCACGCGTGTCGATTTCCGTCGGATCTTGGTCTTCAAATTTGTGGTAGGACTAGCACCATAGATGGGGATCGCCCTGGTCCGGCCGAGTCGACAGGTCATGGGGTAATGAAAGTTGGGGTTCGGAGTTTCGAGGTGGTACCACTGCATATTGGTGAGCGCCTCACAGACCACATGGATAACCCCACCGGAGTAATTCCGGATTCCAGAGATGGGATTCTTGGAAGCATATGTAACTAAAATTGCAACCAATAGGGTTGGGTAAACACTAGCGCCGTGCGAGAGCGAAGTCAGACAGCAAAATTTAGCGAAGGGGAGATTTTTCGTTATTATCGTTATCAAATAAGATTCAGGATTCTGCGGCGTTCATCTTGTATACATGTACGGAGTACATACACCTAGGTACATACATGGTCCATAAATTTGCGGGGCGAACGACTAGATATGCACGATCCCTGTTCAACTACAGGATGCATTCCAGTCCACAGAAAATTCTTCCAACCAAAAGATTCTTGCCACGATGGCTAACGTGAGGGTTTTGGGAATGGAAAAGCTTGGATGAATTCTCGCAGCATCCTTCTCCACATTAAAAGGCGAATACGGCATAGTGAAAACGTAAAACTCTGGGATTGGGACGCTTGACATACACTGATTTTTCCTACGATCACAAGTGTGGATGAGCTCACGTGTGGCGTCTAAAGGAGCCAGAAAATCGACGGCGGATTTGAGGACCGATATCGCGTCGGTTGTGAGTTACTGGTTTTTAAGCATGCTTATGTACCAGTTTCATGGCCTTTTCGGTGGCGTTGGTGGTAAATAATCTCAGGTAGATTAATTGCTAGCCACTCCTGCTACATGTTCGTCTGTGTTAGGGACATGGAGTGTGCGGTAGCAGTACCACAATTGGACTATTAAGTTAGGTTAATAAGCAAAAGGGAATACTAAAAGCTTGGTAACGACGGAAAGCTGGCCAGCCATTGAGATTCAAAGGGGCACGGGCCATCCGTTCTCAGTTTAGTAGATGTTCGTTATGTCGAGACGCTGGTTTATGCGGCTGGAATGCATGCATCAATGAGATGAGCTAGGGTGTAGTGGGACCAAAAATAAAGCTAATGTTCGCCAAGACGGTTACTCTGGGGGTGCAGCTGCAAAATACCTTGAGGATCATGGTCTCATACAGGGTAGAAAGAGCGGAGAAGTACTCTTCTCTTTGAGAATGTTCACGGGTTCTCGATAAGAAATCTTGACCATGTGACAAAATGCGATTTGGAAAACACTTTGAAAACCGCCAATCAGGTCTAAAATCCCCAAAAGTATAGTGGATCGGTATCCCAATTCGCATCCTTGACGTGCATCTCTTATACATCGGGTCGTCAACGAGAATGAAATACTAAGGTCCGAAGAAAGACAGGCTACACTAATCGTTTGGGTCAGTACGAGGAAAAGCACGCCGAGGGTCACGGAAAGGTATACACGAAAGAATGCAAGACCTTGCTAGCGATACGAACATTTGGTTTAGCCAAGTAGGATAATAAACTGGAACATATGGCTTCAGAAATACCAAGCTCGTAACACGACTCGCTGCGCTGCAGGATATGAGAGAATAACTCAAAACGCCGTGGCTTGCCGTATACGTATGAATTGCTTCAAACCAGAATACTTGATATTAACCACTTTTTTTTGATAAATCTTGAGGGTTAATCGGCCATAGTGTCCTGCTAGTAAACATCCTATAGCACTCATAGTAGGAGAAAACTCACTGTGCACTGAAACCAATTCGCTATAGCTTGAAGGTGACTGGATTTCGGTTAAAAGGCTCGTTTCCAATTTTGCATATGGCTTGTCACCCTGACTTCAGGACCAAGCGCAAGTCTCATACATCTCATTGTATCTGTACGGTTCATGAACTCCATCGATAGAATTTTTCTGGAAGCCGTCACGCAGCAAACCGAGCTAGGAACATGCCTGTAAGGTTAAAATGGGGCCCTTCGCAAGGATTGGGTCCGTATACGAGGTTCAGTCGACAACTGTGCGTGAATTATCTGGGCAAAAGAAGGGACCCAGGCCAATCATATGGGGTCACTGTCGCCCAACCCCTCTTCTGACACAGACCACACCGTATCTGTGAATCTCCACTGGGGTAAGGACTGCAGAGCCAGTGGGGCCAAGCTGGGACAATTCTCCATGGGGGCTAAATTGCGGCACTCTTTGCTTGACCACCCTCTCGTGCTTTGTGCTGTTGACGTGATCAAAAAAGTGTTCTGCTTTGCTTCCAGAAGGAATAAAGTCGGAAATACGGCCCGTTTAGCACAGACAGCAGCACTTTCTTTTTCCAACAACCACACCAACGCAGAATTGGAACAGACTGGACATCCAAATCCCTGCCATCTGACCCAATTTCTCTCCACTTTTGCTGCCACCACTTTGAATCTCCGGTGCTAAAAGTCTTAGCTGAGGAAAAGAACATGGAGACGGAAAAATTTGATTGGCTGTAAGAAGCATGGACCCGCAAAAACCCACACGTTACCACACTCTTCAACACCACCGCTACGACTATCAGTATGCATGTCTGGACGTCCGATTCCGAAGTGACCAGGGTCTTGTCCTTCGAAGACACCAAGAGGGCCTCTACTATGTAGTGATTCCGGAAAAAAAGTAAGTCCTGCGATATGCATGGAAGGCCAATTAATCGAAGGAGTGGCAAGACACAAGACCACCCATGTCCAAAGTGCGAGACTCGACTTTTGCCAATGGGTCTCGCGCCTTTTCCTGTGTCCTGGGTTGTATTCATTATATTGCATCTTTTGCAAGGGTGGCATGGGGACTCCAGCCGTTGAAAGGTGGAGAGACTCGAAAGATTGGGGTATATCGTGGATCGCGCGAGAGCCTCCGTCGAATACATAAAGAGGGCCCTTCCCATCCTTCGGAATCAGTCTCCTTAGAAAGACATCGCGATCATCTTCTATCAATCAGCACTTGCAAGCTAGAAGGAAGCCAGGAACTTTCAAATTAGCTATCGCAACAATGGCCGAAACACGCTCCTCCAGCGACGGCGCCAACAAAGAGTTTGGCGGCGTCGTCAAGCACGAACAGATTCACGGAAGGGAAGTCAATGTCGAGAACGTCGCTCTCGCCGACGCTCAGGCTCGTTCCAAGCAGAACCCATGGTCTGCTCGCTCGATGCAATTGTACTGCTTCTGCTTGGTTGCTACCCTCAACTCTTGCATTAACGGTTACGACGGTATGGTTTTGGGTAACATCAGTACGTTCAATCATCAAACTCTTCTATCCTTTTTAAAAATCTTATTAACAATTTGTTAGACTCTATGCAACCTTTCTTGGACTACTTCGGTCTTCCAAAGGGTGGTGGTTCCCAAACTGGTATCTTCTTCTCTATCTACAATATCGGTGGTATCGTTGCTACTCCATTCGTCGGCCCCATGGTTGACATGTGGGGACGTCGTTGGGGTATGGTTATCGGTGCTGCTCTTATCGTCCTTGGTTCGCTCGTTCAGGGAGCTTCCCAGGGCAGGGCTCAATTCATTGTCGCTCGTTTCATCCTCGGTTTCGGTGTCAACATCTCTGCCTCCGCTGGTCCAGCCTACGTCGTCGAAATCGCTCCACCATCGTGGCGTGGTGCCGTTACTGGTGTCTACAATACTTTCTGGTTCATGGGTGCCATCCCAGCTTCCTGGGTCACCTACGGAACTGGTCTCCACCTCCCCAACTCTGATCAGTGCTGGAGAATCCCACTTTACCTCCAGTGTGTTTTCTCTGGTTTCGTCTTGATCTTCTCTCTCCTCCTCCCAGAATCCCCACGTTGGTTGTTCGCCAATGACCGTCATGATGAGGCTCTCGCCGTTCTCGCCAAGTACCATGGTGAGGGTGACCCGAACGATCCTATCGTCCAGCTCCAGATCCGCGAATTCCAGGAAGGTATTTCCAACGATGCTTCTGACAAGAAATGGTGGGATTACCGTGAGCTCTTCAACAGCAGGGGCAATCTCTGGCGTATTCTCATGGTCTTCCTCATGGCTTTCATTGGTCAATGGTCCGGTAACGCTGTTATCTCCTACTTCATGCCTTTCGCTCTCGAGGGTGCCGGTGTCAAGGATCCAGATACCCAGCGTCTTCTCTCTGCTTTGATGACTGTCGTCCAGTTCATCTTCGCTCTCGTCGGTGCCTCCATTGTCGATCGATTCGGTCGTCGTACCCTCATGTTCTACGGTGAATGCATGTTCACTATCTACTTCGCCATCATTACTGCTCTCTCCTCCCAAACTGACCCAGTCACCAATACCTTCCCCAACAAGAACATGTCCAACGCTGTTATCACCTTCATCTACCTCTTCGGTGTCACTTACTCCATCACCATCACCCCTATGCAGGCTTTGTACCCTGTCGAATGTCTTAAGTACGAAACTCGTGCTAAGGGTATGGCTCTTAACGGTCTCTTCATCGGTGTTGCCGGTTTCTACAACTTGTTCGTTACCTCCATCGCTCAAGTCAACATCGGATGGAAGTACTACTACTGGTAAGTTTTTTCTCATATCAAGTTTTGTTTCACATAAGAATTTACGCTAACGGTTCGACAGGTTTATCGCTGAGAACGCACTCGCTGCCTTCCTCATCTTCTTCATCTTCGTTGAAACCAAGGGTCGTACTTTGGAACAGTTGGACGAGGTCTTCAATGCACCAAACCCCAACAAGGCTTCCCGTTCCAAGCAACACGCCGAAATCGAGAAGGGTGTCGGCGCCGTCGCTGCTTAAAGCCTTCATCGTTCTACAATCGACGTCTGATTCGCAGAGTCTTTTATGTATATCTTTTTATTTGTATTTAGGGTCTTGGGGAAGCAACAGCGGACCCTACTATAGGCTGTTTTAGTATATACTTTCGTTTCTATGCCCGAACTATCCGACGCGACGTCCTAATTGAATTCTTCTATATTACCTATATTTGAGTTTCGTTGTTTTGTGAGATTTTAATGACCGACCCTTTTCCAGCTTTGTTTAGGGCCCCTGGCTTTCTCCTTAAATATTTGCTGCATAGATATACCTATTAGCCGGGTGTCATTTACGTTCAGCCGACGGGACCCAACTCCGGTCGCATATTTAAAAACTATTTATTAATTGTATCACACTTATTATTGATCAGAAATTACGAGATTACCTCTACTTTATTGAACCTAAACTGAAACCCCTGATCATCACGTATCCCATGATCATATCGATGCATGTTAGAATGCAATAGGCCATATATTCGAAATAATTGTCCTACATGGTCAACCTTGGTTTTGCATGGGGGAGAACGGCTCTATGACAAATCTCGTACCCAGGCCTAGTCTCGTAAACCAGACAACCCTAGAATTCGTGATCATAGTATAAACAAACTTGTTATATAAGTACTCGATATATCGATAATGACAATAATGGCAGCATTATCTTGTATTTAAAGTCTTATTGGCTGCAATCATTCATTCACTCCCAAAAGCCCTCAGGGGTACCAAAGCTTCATCCGTTCATAAAACAACTCTCCGACCCTATATAGACAACTGCAATCCATCAAACTCAGGTACAGCGCCATGTGTTGCGCGTGGCATTTCTCAGCATTCTCTTTTGGGATGTCCAACACACTGATTTCCCCAAGCCGGTAGCCTTGGCATGGTGGTTCGTAACACAGACACGTAATTGTTGCATTTTTTGGTCCTACAACACCAGAGCAGCAAAAGAATCCGAACCAACCAGCTCGAATCCAGAACCAACCTGGTAGTGAAGTCAAAGAAGCAGATGTTCCCATGTAAAAGAGTCATGAAAACTTTCATTCTTAATTTTTTTATCTAGTTAGCTAAGACGCTTGAGAGCTATTTATCATACTCTCAAAGAACAAAAGCTTGCTTGTGTTACCTCCCACAATCATAAGAATGGTGTCCAACCCTCCGACAGGCCAGCTCTGACCTACTAGCTACTCGATTATATTTCCTACTAGCCTAGGACTCAATCTAAAATTCTAAATGTAATAGCTACCATGACCCTACTATGAGAGCCATCACCTTAGCTTTGAGTTTGGTGGTGGAAAAATACAACTTCACATTGCATGAATCTGCGCTACCAGCACTCGTATTAATCAAAACCTAGTCTTGAGCCTAGTCAAAACTAGCTTAGCATTAGTCTAGTTGTTTAGACGGGTGCTGAACACACCAAAACGAATGCTTAGCATGATAGTATTAAAATCTGGTAGGTAGTATTGAACAACATGCGAAAGAGCGGAATTCCCGTGAAGAAGCTAGGTGTGGGGCTGGATACGAGACAGTATAATTGAAGGGGAGATTTGATGAATCCCTCCCACGAAAGTAGGCCAAGCTTATAAGGTGGATCTTCGAAAATGTATCGGTCGCGCCGGTTCTTTTACGGTACTAAACGACATTTCTGCCCAACGAACAAATTGGGGGTATTTTTCTAGCCTCCAAGTCAAAGACTGGGTTGCAGGTTATACCCGGGATCCCGGGATGCTTCCTGCCATACAATATCTACACTTACCGGCTGGTGTCTTATGCTCAGCTATGCATATATGCGTCAGTTCATTAATTTAGTTTTATTAATTAACTAGTCTCTCATACATCTTTCGTAGACTAAGGGCTTACGAAGCTCCCAAGCTTACCGGTCCGAAGGAATCGTAAGACCTTCGCCAACCAATATTCAAGCCCGTAGCAACTAAAACCATGCATATAGTCTAGCATGTAGTGGCAAATTAAATTGTGGCTTGACATCACCAGCCCTTCAAAATAGCTAACCTCATCATTGCGCAAAAGAAAGTCGTCATTGAGTGGCTCGGAAACTCGGGTGATATCTCCTCTTTTAATCGGTCCAGGCCCTTGGCCGAAGCCTATCGATACGGCGGCCTCTATCCATTCGCAGGCGGCTGGCTAGATGAGGAAAGAGTAAGTAGTACAGGCTAGTACTGATCAAGCGGACGGTATGTGTATCCCCAAGTTCGTGAGTATCCGGGGCCTAGCTTTAAATGCATCGGTGGGCTCGCCCCGGCGTGGATCAACGAATACACTGCACCAAACCCAATTAGGCTATCGATTCTTGATTGTATTGGCCGTGACGAGACTTCACAGCCCAGCCAGAACCGCGGGGGAGGGGTTAGAAGACCTCAGCAGAACACGGAAGACTTCAGCTAGATTTTGGGCTAGCTCCCCGCGATTCAAAAATTTGAGAAATATTAAATGGCTATGCACATCCTGTATCTGTACTCCTGGTGTGCTCCCGGAATCATGGTGGTATAAATTTTTTCCGTGCCCCAAGTCCGGAATACTTCCCAGGTCTCTGTTATTGGGACTTGATAATTTCCAACCGCCAGCCATGCCCTTAGTAATTCAGCCACCCAGTTCACCCAGCGCTTCGGTGCAGACCCAGGCCGTTCCTTTCAGTACCTTATTGACGGTCAACTATCTTATCTCTGCAGTACCCCTTCCTCATCTCATCGGACTACTTTTAGTAACTTCGCAATGTAGTAGCGGCAGCGGCAATAGCTGTGGTGATAGTGGATGCAGAAGAGGCGGCGGATGGGGCAACCATGGCGGCACCATGCTCCCCACCTGCTACCACATTTCAGAGGATATCACGCTGCAGAACCTCATACCTCGGGAAAAGGCACGGCCGAGCTCACAACATGAACATGAATCCTTTATGCAGTATCAAGGTTATCAATTCTAACTCATGAGAATTAGCAAATATTTTAACCATAGCCCTCCTAAAAAACAAAGATGGCTGCGTTAAAATGACCTAAGCTATAACAGGCGATTCCTGCATAGTTGCTTACAACGCCTCCTTCGCTAAGACCCTATAATGCTACACCTGATCAAGTACATATCGCTAAACTTTCCCTTTCTTTGTGCATGTTTTACGGTTATAATTTCTAATACTGGCCGTCGTATCACTCAACTAAGTTAGGAGCTATAATACTAATAGCACTTGGGCAAGTGATTATCAACTATTAACTGCCCTTAGTTAACCTTAGTTGCCCTTAATCGCCAAAAGAATGGCTAGGGTTTGCCTGCTGTAGTGGTCTGATGCATCCTTTATTCAGCTCAAAAGGAAACCTGACTCGAATTTTCGATGTCTTTCTTCGTCTCCACTCTTCTGGCCAACCTCACATGCACATTGCCGCATTTCATTGTTTGAGACTGGCAATACGGCATTTCCCGATGTCGTCTGGATGTGTTCCTCCCTATCAATTCCTATCATCTTCCCACCCCCCTCTCCCCTGCGCGAGTCACAGGCAGGCTGCACTAGTCCTATAGTATAGACAATGCATGTCTAGATCCTTTAAGTTGCCTCCGTTCATTTCTCAGATTACTACATGTGCGCCAGATCCACACCACGAGGGATGTACATGTGTGTACACACTTATGTTGCTGGATGCCGTCTTCCGAATTGAACTTTCTCAGTTTAAGATTTAAGATTAGGAGATTTAGGAGATTTATTGGAAATAAAATCTCCGATCACTAGAGGGGGTACCATCAATTATGAGGAGAGCCAAGAAAGACGATGGTGACAATGATGTGGAAAATATCTGCCTACTTTGCCCGTCATTTCTGTGCCGTCTGCACACCATATTATTTGGAAATATCAATATCTCATCATCAAATAATTCATTTAGTTGTTGGTGTATAGTACGCCTTTAGTGCGTAATAATGCGTCGGCTGGTAAATTACCTGTTGAGCAACGATAAGCTAAAAATACTTTAGGGTGACTGCTAAGACTCCGGTAAAATTACTCGAACAAGCAATTTTTTCTTGTTTGGAACTCGTGGTCCCCAGTCTCAAGTTCCGTGGACACGACGAAGTTACGCCCAGGTCGTTTTGTGGGGGTCCGAAAAAGTCTATTCCAAACTAGACCTAAAATTAACCATCGTGGCGAGGAGGTTTTTACACGAAAAAGACCGTTAGCGAAATAGGCTGGGCTTGAAAACCAGCCTGCCTTAGCTCTTTAGCTCCAACACCACAGAAAACTCAGACTTGCATAGATGCCATGCGATGCATGTATAGTTCACATGTTTAAATCATGTTTCATGCCCTTGAAGCCCTCAACTAGTTTGGATTTTGCTAATGCAGATGGGCATCGAAGGCATCACACCCGCGAATTCGCCAACAGGCTAGAAGCGAGAGCTAATCGGGCCAAAGTTAAGTAAACGATAAACTAAAAGGTGCAATCTGTGGGTTCGAGGCCCAGTAGTAATTGCTTTGGATAAGACGAGGGGCAAAAAGTGAAAAGGGTCTCTCGGAAACTGAGGTACCGGTTAGAACGAAAAAAAAAAAAAAAAAGGAACTGAGATATGTAATTGATATTACAGATGCTACATTACACATACGATCGTTTCTTCTTTCTTCCACCAGCATTGCAGATGTTATTTCGTGATCAGAAGTCCGCTGGTGCATCGATACTATTCCATAGCTAGTAGCTCGTCCGTGAAGTTTTTTTTCCCTCCTGCTGCCCTTCGGCACATATTATTGCAGTGTAATATCCGTGCCGTCTTTTACTGTACGCCAACGACGTAGACCAGGCTTATCAAAAGATCTAGACTGTACCCTAATGAAGGCAAAAATTATTGAGTTGCAGCGCCGAATGCGAATAATCATGCCGAGTGCGAAGTGATTCCGACAACGCCTCCGTAATTGATTAACGGCCCGCACAATAATACTGCGTATCGATAACATATCAATAGCTAATAAAGTTTTGCGTATATCTTTTAAGATGGCGAATAGCATAAGCTGGCTTAACATAAATTCCTCGGATTTAAGTCTTTGAAACAGGGGGAATAATGTGATTTTTGGTATAGCTTAGATACTAACACTCGGGCCGTGGATTATGACCAGGCGAATTTGAAGGTACTAATGTATTTGGCTAATATGCCGCGTGGTCTCTGCTTTAGTCTCGGGACACTTCAAACCCACGAGGTAAAATATGTGGATTTAGCTATTCCAGAGCCCGCATACGGGCAACTAACCCAAAGCACAAACGAATTATATTACCAAAATGAAAGACCACCACCGTATCTACTAACTAGTTCCTCATAATGCTAGCCTGAATAAAGGCAGAGGTCAAAAACTACTTCTTTTGGTCACCGCTCAAGCCAAAGATAAAGCAAAAAAAAAAAGACATACTGACTTGCAGCAGGCCTGAAGGCGAAGAATATACATAGTATTATCAGACAGAAATACTACGTATGTACACATGTATCTACTTTTGAGGAATACTCCACAAAAGGGATCGGGCCAATCGCAGGTTTTGCGTGGCGAGGGCTACATACAGATCGTGCTCAGGTATTGATGCGAAGCTGCAATAGGTATAATTGTCAAAAAGGAGGTGACTATTATCATAATGGGAAGTCGTTAATGCCTCGGGTATCAAGAAAGGAAAGAATTTTACCTCGCTCGCTAGTTAGACTACCCTAGCTCCCGTTCGATTACTCTTCGCCGGATCGGAGAGGTGTGGTGCGATCGAAATAAAGGGGTGGGAGGATGCAGGTGCTGTGGTTGGGTGTGTGTTGCTTCTTCTAAAATACAACGTCCTCCGTAGATTCCCGAGGTATTCATCGGTTTTCAGGAGCCCGTACAGGTCTGTTTTGGGTAATTTTGGCTGGCCGAGGGACTGGGGAGCCGCCGAGCTAACAAAGAAGCAATATTTTGCATTTCATCTCGAGGCGAATCTCCCCAGGATGGGTCACGGAAGCTTGGAACGAAAATATGGACCGGAGTGGGAAAAAGCAGTTTGATGTCTGGGTGCTCAGGGAGGTAAAAGCAAAAGTATATTCCGGGGAATTCAGGTTGATTTCCCTCGGAAATCCGAACGCATCGAAAGAAAAGAAATAAATTTGTGACTAACAGAAAACGGTCGTTCACAGACTGCAAGAGTACAAGATGGTGAAAGTTGCCAAAAAGAGGCGCCGCCATGATATCTTGTTCCCTTTCCTGTTTTGTGCTAAGCGCAGATGTGATCCCGCCCAATCGCCAACTTTCCTTGCATAAAACCGCTAAAAGATGCATGACACAGAAAAACTTAAGAACCAAAAACGCCATCTCTAAGCACATGCCCCATTAAACCAATTATCATGCCATAATGTCGTGAAAAGTGTAAAAGGTACTTAGAAGAAAAGGAAAGAAAAGTCTCCATGAACATGTTCCCGATCTAGCTTAGAAGACAAGAAAGAAACATGAGGAAAGAATCTAAAAACGCCAAGCAATTTCAAACGTCCGTTGACCGATTTGAAACAAGAATGCCCCTAAAATAGTTGTGTCAACAGCACGACCTGCAGGTCGTTGTCGGGTTCCGCCACAATCTCTCAGCCTAGGTGAACTCCCAAACGCCACTCATTCGGTTCAATGAGCCAACAAAATTCATTGACGCTATACGTTGAGATTTTTGCAGGAGCTCCCATACAATCGTACGAAAGTAGATGTCCCGCTCATCTAACAATTTTTCAAGGACTTGCTCATGGGTCATTTCGTGATAGGTACCGTCGCCGGCAATGACCTGGAGGCGTTGGTCCGGGAAAATGGTTTTTTTGATGAAGTCCACTTTCTTTTCGGAATCCGGGATTTGCGTGAGAGGTTGGATATCAGTTGTCAACCCAATAACTGTCTTTCGATTGGCGGCATCCTCACTATCGGGATCGATGTTTTCCTTACGTCCGGTATCATGACGAGCAGTTATCGGGGCCGTTTTGACCATTTCGCTTAGTTCATGGAACAAAGATTCGCTCGTTGGGGTGATTCTATTCAAATTAAAGGTGAGCCGCCAGCGCTCTGCGGTCTCTGCCCATCCTCCGACCGGAAGTTCCACATTGTAAATCTGCTGGATCTTTCCAGCTTGTATTGGGTCAAGAATGAATTGGTCGGGCGTGTACCCAACCTCATTGTTTAAAACGATCGGTTTGTATACTTGATTGAATGAGAAGTCAACGGTGTCTTGGTTGTGGGTTTTTGGCATGAATTGTTCTATCTTAGGTTGGGGTATATACGGAGGGATCGGCGAAAAAATTGGCTGGAGAACGGGTTGAGTCGTCTTCGTTCTTCGAACTCGCTTTCGTTGACCATGCTCGTTCGTTCGAGGCCGACCGCGTTTTGGAGGAACATAGTCTGGCTGAGCCATAGCCTGGATTCGTCGTTGGCGTTTTGAACCCGGGACAATGGGCCTCCCACGTCCTCGTTTGATAGGTATAGAATGCGTTAAAGAAGTACCATCTACTGATTCTCCACCCGTAGGTTGCAGAAAGCTAGATTCACCACTTGCGATACCTGGTGGCGTTTCGGCGGAGAGTTCTCGCTCGAATTCTGGGGTGAAATCTGCTCGCGAAAGGTATTGGACAGAGGGATCTATAGCGTTGCAAGCTGCAGCGTACTCTTCGAGGTCAATAGTTTCGTCAGAGTCGAAGTTATTATCTTCAATACATGGCTGCAGGCCATATTCCTGTCTGAACCCGACCGATTGCGCGAAGGTCTGGGGCATCGAAAGGGACCTCTTTCCGGACCCAGCTATATTTTCGAGATCGATACCGTCATCGAGATCAGACCCAGCTGAGTTTCCAGATGTTTCTGCAAGTGGGGCGCGATTCATAGGGCGATATTTGCTTCGGCCGCCAGTTATGGGCGCCTTCCCCTTTGCTTTTGACATCATGCCTTCGGAATTGAAATCGTCGATACCATTATTATTGTTGGGTTTCAAGGCGCGCTTGCCGTTTGCGTTTGGGCCAATAGTCGATAAAGGCAATGCCAAATCTGCCTCTGGGGTTAATTGGTTCATGGGAGCAATTGGAGCCACCGAAGACATCCCAATAAGACCATATTCTCCACCAACGCCTGGGAGGATAAATGTGCCTGCCTCAGCTGTGCCGACCAGATCTTGGAAGTTGTCATATTCGGAGCTCCCAGAGTTATCAAGTTGAGGATCAATCGCCAAATTCCTTTCAATCGACATCGGATTGGGACTCGGCGAATCCTGTCCTAAGAATGGCTCAGAATAAATCTGCCCTTGCTCATAGAATTGATAACCAGGGCCGGCCGGGAGGAATAGCGAGGTTGGGTCCTGCGCAAAGAGCATAGAAGAAGGCAAGAACCCAGCTTCACAATCTATATCGTGAGGTGCATCTGGTTCACCATCATAGCCGACTTGCGACCCCGAGACGCCTGGAAGAAGAATGGCAGGATTCATGCTGAACTGAGAGAGTCCTGCGTTCCACTGCTCAAAAAAATCTGTCTCGCAGTCATCACCAATTTCTGGTTGGTCCATGGCACCGAAATTGAAATCGATAAGGGGATCGAGAGATCCGTCATCGTCCAAAATCTCCTTGAACTCGTCATTGAGATCCGCCATGACGGTAGCTCTAAAATGATGAGTGTCATTAGTAGGAGCGTATAAACTAGCTGGGAGATGTAGAGTTCTACACCCCTTTGAGAGCTTAGACTCGAGGGTAGAAGTCCACATGGATATCCAGGAAGCCAGTATGCAGGGGTAACCTCAAGCCGAATGTAGGTATTCTTACCAGCTGCCAACCCGGTTAATTAATATGATAGAATAGTATATATATATATATATCTATATATAATTTCACTTCTGCTAGATGTTATCGGGACAAATATATGAAGGCTAGCCGAAGATTGGGGAGTGCGATGAGCAAGTTTGCTTGATGCGATGGAAGCGATAGAGCATCTGCAAGGATGTGTGTTGATGGAGGAGGGAGGACAAAGAAGGAAGAGCGTGCAGGTTGCTCTTCTCTAGATGAAATTGTAACCGCCATTATTGCAGTGGTTACTGAGGGTTGACTAGAAGCCCGCCCGACGCTGCTGTTGGCGCCGTTGACCCCGGTTGAGGGGTTCAAGAGTGCAGAGGTATGCGGTGAGCTGTCACGTCACCTCAGCAGAACGTGTGGTAACTAAGGAGAAGAGCAGTTAGCTACAGTTATATAGGCACGTAGACACGTAGGCAATAGTCATGGCAGCTGAGCTATGGGCGGATAGAATAAAAATTAAACGATACTTACATTTTCTTCCACTTTGGCCAGTCGGCTTCTCTCTCCCTTCTCTCTTCAATCCAGCTTTCGTCTAGCAATCCAATGCATCCTGTGACAAGATCGACTTCGTGGATCTTTAGTATCTTCGTTTTGAAGAATAGCTTGTATGCAAAGTATTCCACCAACAACATGGGCACTGTTAGGTACTTCATCATGAAGTTCTTGATATCAGGCTTCCAGCTCTCCGTTGTGAAAAGGGCCGTCCAGAGAACTGCTAGAAACACCACGATATTTAAGGACAGTCCAAGGTAGGACCCAATTATCCCTCCTTGAGATCGATAAGCTAGCTGATCCAGAGAGTTTCCTTGTGCTTTCCAAGCAGCTCGAAACCGGATGTGACAAAGGCATATTGAACCCCATGTGAAAAAGGACCCTAATCCGCATATCGACAGTAGCCAATTGAAAACTTCGCCTTCCGTCTCATATCCAAGGGCTGACACATATGCTATGAAGCCGAAAAGCAAGGTTAGCAGCGTGGCTCTCATCGGTCGTCCCTCTCTATCGATGAATCTCAGCGCTGATGGGCCCTGACCCTGTTCTGCTATCGCCGCAATCACTCGAGAAGATGCGTAAACACAAGTGTTTGCTACGGATAGCACGGATAGTAGAACAACTCCGTTGAATATGTCCGGTAAGTACATTATTCCAGCACTTTTTATGGCGATAACAAATGGGGATGTTGATTTCCCTTCTGCGAGGAGCCGTGGGTCGTCGAATGGGACAAGGAATGTTACGATGAGAAGGGATATGAGATAAAAGCTAGTTAAGCTTGCATACGTCTTCTTTGTAGCCGTTGGGATCGATCTTCTGGGATTTCTTGTCTCAGCCGCAGCGAGTCCGAGAAGCTCAAACCCTCCAAATGAGAAAGCTGCATTTACGAAAACCGATACTACTCCCGTTATGCCGTTGAGAAAGGGGCCTGGTGGTTTCGTCCAAGTCTTCGCTCCAAGGTAGCTCCCTTCTGGACCTCCTGCAACGTCGATGGTGATCCCTAGGATGATGAAGCCAATTATTGCAAACACCTTGATAGTAGTGAAGATATTTTCGATCTCGGCGTATACTCTGATTCCAAATAAGTTGAAGGATACTATCGTTACGAAGAAAACCGTCACCCAAACCGCTCGGGGTGCCACTGCATCCATATTCCAATAGTCCAACACTGTCACGGCAACAACCAGCTCGAGCGGGAGCGTAATGGCCCATGATAACGCGTAGGTATAGTTTTGCGCAAATCCCCATGCCGGGTCGATAAATCGGATCGAATATGCTGCGAAAGAGCCGGCTATAGGATAAACGACAGCCAGTTCTGTAAGTGCTTGCATAGTACACCACATCAATACTGCAACAAAGGTATAACAGAGCATAACCGAACCGGGGCCGCCAGTCGCCAGTGCCGTCCCGGAACCTGAGAAAAGACCACTACCTAACGAAGACTATTCAGCACTAATATGTTAAACGGGTTACCATCGTATATACCTATACAACATCCAAGCACGATGACTTGCAAGTGCCGGCTACCCAGCTTTTTGCTCAATGGCGCGTTGGCAGTATTAAACGCTGCTTTGAGCGGATCTGGTAGATTATACCAGTTTTCCGCCAACAGTGATCCGTCGCTACCAGACTCGCCAGATGCGTAGCTTGAATGACGTCGGAACCCATCTCGCCAGTCCGAAAGCCTCTCCTTTATGCGGGCAGACAGTGGGGTATCGTGTTCGCTAATAAGCGACGGCGGGTATGCTATACTATCGTGTCGGTGATCATAGTATTCGAGAGCACGGCCCCATGGCACAGCTCCTGATGGAAGTGGTGTCCCTGAACCATGTTGCGATTGTTGGTCCCGGTCGGCTGTTGGTGTCGGGGGAACGAGCGCCATGCCTGACTTTATCGGATCGTAGGGAGCAATAAGTGGGTATACACAACGCTAGCGCGATAGCGTCACAGCTCATTGCGACCGTTGAAGACGTTGAGAATCCAAAGTAATATGAAATATTTTCGAAATTTTGGAGATTGAGAGACATAATTAATCAAGTGGGTCGAGTGTGAGTATTTTTAGGAGAAATCTCTTTTCTTAGTGGAAGTGCGCAGCCCCAATTTACGTGAGTTCCCTTTCGTTGATTCGATAGGCATCCAGATAACCGGCTTTCCAAGCAAAGAGATCTTGGGGCTGAGATGAGCGGGCGAATGCTAAATTGCCATTTCGGCTTATCATCCTAAGATATTCTTGGTTATCATGGCATTAACGAATGTGGTATACGAGGTTCCTCTTTTGGAAAGAGGTCAGACTAAGAACTATTCCAATTTCGGGAATCAGGTGGCCAAAACATTCTCCTTTTGGACATATTAACATAAGCCTAGCCACAAGAAAAGTCGACATGGCAGGAGAATACGTAAACCATTAATGCTACAGTTAAAATATGGATACGTGAAGAATACTACCTAGATATGATTAGCCCAGCTCTTTTGCACCTTCGGATTGGTATCCGATACTATCTAGGAATTCGCATAGTGATCAGTTAGGTCAGGTGCTAGCGCTAGCTTCGAATTCGCGAAGTTGCTAGCTTCTACGCTATAAATATATACCGGCACCTAGGTAGCTATAGTAAGAAAGGGATAGGCTACCTATAAAATTAAACGATGTGCTAAAGGATTCCTAATTCTTAAATTCAAATGTATATTAATGTTATTATCGCGGCAGCATAGATCTTGATAACGTATGCAATATAGGCGCTATAGGCAGACAACTATTGTAATATCATCCTTGCTCCATGACAAGTCAGATGAACATCTATATCCAGCTACCCCACGCATATAAGAAAATTAGAAATCCCTTCAGCAAAGGTACCTTTTCCATTGTAGCATATCGATATCATTTAATGGCGGGGTTTAGGTGAACGATTACCGTGTATGCTATGACAGCCTGGCGTGGACATAATTTCGACAATCATAATCTGTCGATCGGTTTCTTGGCCACCCATTTTGTTTCGTACTACATGCGCTGCGAACTTGCCGCGAAGTACCTAAAACTACCGACCTCAAATCTCTATCGTGCTCCGAAGCGTATACGCGCATCAATATAAGAATATTCGAATCGGCAGTAGGATATATACGCGTATACGTATCCAATTATTTTATAGAACTGTGGGGGCTCGGTATAAAATTTTAATTGCGTAGATTCCTTACGTATCTCCTCAGCGTCATGACGTTAGTGACTCGAGTACTCACGGTGTTTCCTACTACCTTGCAGGTGTATGGAGATTGTGATCGCAAAATTCCGAAGGCGCTTCGGAGAGATCAAGAGTTTCGTTCCGGCAAGTTACTATTCAAGATGCCCGCCCAGTCTGCAGATCTATGGCCTGATCAATCTTTGATTTGACATCATATCGGCCTAGAATCTTGTTCTTTCATTCTCCTTTGCTACTATTCATATAGGGGCCCAAATGAGGCTATGGCTCGCCTTTTTCAACTGGCTGTATCTACACAATATATACTTAAAGCCCGGAGTCCCAGCAACCAACGTTCATTCGATGCTAATACACCCAGAGCTAATGGCTTGGATATAAGGCTACCCTGATCAGTTTCAGATGAGATTGAATCCAAATCCGGCTTAAGCCTGCATAAGGTGACCAAATCCTCGAGGCCTCCTGAGCTTTATCCAACCATGTAGTTGAATAGGAGCGGACGTCTCCGGACTATGAAGTACTGGCATTGAGACATATCAAAAGCCAATCTGGTATGATAGAGGTGCCGACAAATCACGGAAATCTTCCCTCATATATATATGTGTACTTGCTACTCCGCCACTACCGGCTCGGTAACAATCTTTTAGCTTTAAGGTCGTGTTATGGCGGGACTTTGTGTATATTTTTCAAATTCCTAGCATTAGCACATGTCCATGCATAGCGATCACGGTCCAACTATATGGGTTTTAAGGTTGAAAAAAGTTCCTAAAAGCAAATAAAACCTTCTGTATAAGTTTTCACGAGATTTATTAGTCAAAATATCCCAGCTTAAAGGCCTCAGTACATATAGGTCGACCCGTTGGCTTTTGTCGGGCAGCGTATACTGCCACAAGATTGGATTGCAGTCCGATGCAGATGTGAATTCAGATATATTAATAATCCCTTAGTTATAACTTAATAAGGAAACTGTAAGCAAAACCCGCAAGCATCTTTGGGTAGAATTTGGGCCATATTTCAAATTTAGCAAGGGCGCGTATCATACTTTAGATTCATAATGAGCAGTCTCTGACGAGGCCAGTGTTGCATAATGTCGATATTTCGTTTAGGTATTGGAATGTATTAATACGAATACGAGGGTAAAACTAACCTATAGTAATTGCCGACAGATTTTAGACAACCTGATCCCATGCTCAATTCAGCATATAAATAGGTACTCTATTTTTTCATTAATTATTTGGCTAAGAGACTCTATAAAAAAGTATAAGACGCTGGGCCGGCTGGGTTTATGTTTACGTACATGCAGACTCGATCGCGATCGATTAACGGATTAAAAGTTCTAGCCTCGCTCGAGATTTAAAAGTTTAGATGAACGGTGTTGTGTTGATTTTGTTGTGAAATTGCAGGCAATCCACCATAACAGTCTCATACCGCATAGCAGCATGCACACTGTGCTATCGTATTTGTAATAGTGTATTTGCAATATTCAATACGTATACGCGACCAATCTCATCTGATAGTCTATTTGTAGCAATCTATAGCATACCTTTATGATAGATTTTACGTGGTGTCGGGCTATATTTTTCTATTTTTCAGAATTAGTGAATTCTGCGTTGTTAGCTATAGGATGAAACCGAGGATGTCTAATTCCGGGTCCTTGATAGCTCGTTCTCCGTACATTCAGTAGGATATCGTCATTTTCGGGTTCCAGTCCAGCTGGTAGTACTCTATGTACAATCTTACATGCATGCGACTTGGCCGTCTGAGTGATCGCCAACTTGTACTGAGCTGTACCCAGAATCGAGGGCTCGGAATAAGTTAACAAGGGTAGCCCGGTCTCATGACAGTTTTCAGGGACGTCTATCCCGAGCCTTGATAGTCGTCCCGATAGCCCGACAAAACTTCTCGCTCCCACGTCGCCTTGCTAGGCTGAGAGTTCCGGGTTACAGATAATACGAGCGCGAACTTCGAACCCGGCGAGAATTCGGTGTTCGTATTCTGATGTCATGCATGAATATATTTCTTTTCGACCCCGAGTCCGATTTAGAGAATCCTTCTAGATGCCTGAGGTCGCAGTCGGTCTGCAATTAGGCGAGACCGCATCTCTGGAGTCGATCTTTAACCCGCGTTGATATGCATGGCCGTTCCGAACCCTGTTGCGAGAGACGGGAGGGTTGGAGATGAAAGTTGAGAAGGATATATCGAAATTTGATAACAGGTCCGCCCGACATCCGTGTGCTGGGCCGTCCTTTGTCATGGGGTCGAGTAGTTCAGGAGTCAAGGGTGGAGCCCAAAATTTCCAGATATGGTAATTTTCTGGACCTTGGGGCTGCATTTTGGCAGCGACAGGTGTCAAGTGCCACGGGATGCAAGCCAACATCGGCAATCCCGCCGCCACCATTGCATAGGCCTTGGGGCATGGGCTCCCAACAATACTATTGGTGTGTTAGTCGAATCGGTTTTCTTGAAAGGGCACAATACGGATTACAAAGGAAGCAGGAAAGTACTAACGAGACGGCTTTGGCGTGCACGATGCATGTCGAACGGTGCACCTTACAACCCGTTAGATGTCAAAGCTCTCGCCAAAGACGCCTCAAAATCAAGAAATTAGACAATTTGTGAATAATCCAGGATTGCCGCACAATAAATTCCAGCTAGTGTCTGCATGGAATCGCACTCGGATATCCATTTCCATACATAGCATAGAATGCAGCTGAAAACACCTCAATCCGAATTGCCTACGAATCGGGATCGCCGGTCCTTCACTCACACGAAACGCCCAAGTTTGATGATGAAGCCTTATCGCTTAACCTACATGCGGGGCCACATCAAAAGCAGAGGTGACCCGACGCACGCCAGATGTTCCGTGGGATGCTCTTAACCTCTGCGTCATATATTTGCTCAAAGATATAATCGCTTTCGGAAATCCAGGCCACCGTAACCAACAGGGGAATGGTGAGCATCCACCAAATTTGCTCTTGTTGGTTCGGATACAGTGATCTTTTCGTACTTCAATTGCTGGCGAAAATTCGTTAGTTTAGGCGAAGCCCACGCTAAAGCCTTCAAGAATGACACATCGCCATGAGGTCGTATCGGATTTCATGATGGGGAATCGGAAAACAAGGTTAAGGTAGATATTATGCCACAATTGTACAACTGAGCCACATTGAAGCCATGCGTCAGATGTCAACAATGGCCTAGGACTCAGCGAGGCTGCGTATAAGGCCAGTCGACATGAATGAGCAAGCCAAGCTTAATTAAAGGGCAGGCTGGTGATGAGACACTCAACATTTGCTAACATGATAGCATGACCCTTCCATATCAGGACGTGCTCCGTATAGTTGGTTGTACGCTGTGGAACCAACTTTTTTTGGTGACCGCCTCGGTGCGTCTCTAGGAACCAGCCCCGCGTTCGGAAAGTAGGACAACGCTCAGTTAAAGACTCAACGCTGACAGAGCTGATTTCCCCACCACACCAGCCCGCATGCCAGAACATCATCAAGGGTACGAAATCTCCACAATGCCTCATTAGAACCTTTTCAGGCGAAAATGCCATCGTGTTGTTTCTTCTCTTTCAGGTGTCATATAGGTACTTTTAGACAATGTACCTCTTCATCGGGACCCTCCAGGTTTGTTGTTCGACCGTGGGTCTTCCCCTGGGTCAGGAAATTTCTTTTTCTGAATTATCTCTCGAACCTTTTCGAGTTGGTCAATTGTGATGTGAATTACGGTGGCAGTGTAGGCGACTGGGGCCACGAGAAATACGAGTATACTAGTGAGAACGGCTCTGTGGACCCGGAGACTAGCTCGGGGTCCTGGTGTAATTATTCGACGTATTGCGACAACGTCAAAATGTAGGATTAAAGGAGATTCAGGGAAGTTAATTGTACGGCGACCGTGTAGGGATCCCTAAAAGATCTCCCATAACTGAGGTATCAAGGATCCTAGAATTGTGGCTGGCTGAGAATATGTATTGAAATCTGTTTGTGGAGTTGGTCATTAGGCGACTATTAGCTTGATCTGCCCTATCTTTTATACCAGCTGGCAATTTTCGTTGTTTTGGGTTATTGATTCGAGATTTGTTTGTTAGCAAGCTTACGTTATTATGCCGAGAATAGGTCATAGGTTGGCAAGCTCATGCTTCACCCCTGCTCCTTGTATGCACATCGCGAGTTTGGAACGTTTTCTCCCCCTCAAGATGCATATCATGTCTTCTAGGGAATGCTTTCTGATTTGATGAGATCGTGGATTCGACAGGATCACCCCAGGAGACGAAATATGCGAACGGCTAGGTGCAGGCCGGACAGTTGTTTCAAAGCGCTTTTCGGGGTTTCAAGGACAGGCCAGGCAGGCTTTGGGATGATAGTCACGAGTATAGGCAGTAGCAGTGGTGAACTGGGTCCTATTTACAGAATGTCTTAGAATCTAGGGAAATGTCTCACCCATCTGGCACACACATTTGGCTGGGAACCCAGTCAACTTTATCAGATCCTACGAATGCCTGTACCCTGGCTTCTATAAAGGTTGCGATCCTAGGAATCCAGTGTTTAACATTTTTCCGGGGATGCGTACGTACGGGGTGCATATCGGACTACTCAAGCTGATATTTCTTTCTATCCAAAGAATTAATTCAGGACTCGGTGGGGTCAGTACTGTTGAAGGAATCCCGGTAGCGCTGGCAACAAATCCCGTGGTACTTGTTACTTTTTGCAGGGGCAGCAGACAGCCGAAGGGTGACAATATATAACCAGGCTGTATAATAATTGCTACAGCGATCAATTTATAATTCATTATGAGAGTGGCCATGCCTTGGCAGCCTTCTTATACAATCGTTGAATCCATGGTAAAACTAACAAAACAGTTCTAAGTTCGAAAATAGATAAATAAAATCTTAGAGCCCATAATTCCTAGGATCCTAGCCGAGTGGATAGGTGCATGTTAGCCCGGTATTAAAAAGTTCGTAACACTGAGTATTCGGTGTAACGTTCTGAGATATAGTAAAGCTTCGTAGTTAATTAATCGAATAGTCGAGTCGGCATCTGCTCTGCAGAGTTGCACTGTGGAACTTCATGATGGTATTTCAGGTATACAAAATCGGCCGGTACGCTCATGATCAGAGTATATCGTATCCTTAATTAGTAAGGATATATACCATGTCTAGACCTGAGACTAGCGGATATCTTTGTAGTCGCCATGCATGCTATGATCATAATTGTGACTTTAGTTCTTCTCTTTGAGACATCTAAGATCAAATATTATAAATTTATTCATGATATATATTTTGATATATCTGACATACCATCGAATCATATGCAACTATAACACAGGAACGTTGAACTTTTCAATCTGAAACTCCGCCATTTTTTGAAAAGAAAATTTCTCAAGATTGCGGTTTCGAGATTTTACGCTGTATTAACGATGCCTTCCTCTAATGGTTTCCTCAGAGCTTTCCCAAATGGAGCGCTGCTGGTCTGGCTTTGCCTAGACTTGGTTACGAGACTGGGACCCCATACTGCGTTTCTTTTGAAAATACAACGCAAGGCCTTCATATTTGTGTTGCTCGTGGTTGCGAGCCCTTAGGCTGTCCCTAACTTCACTTCCAACACTTGGTAACAACTGTGGCGATAGTAAAGATATTAGTTCTATTGGGTCGCAATAGTCCAAATTTAATATTGTTTACATGCTTAATTTGTTAACGCCTTCGAGAAAGCTAGATGTACACTTATAATCTTATAGGTCCATGCAGCCCATAGACATCGAGAGCCACCCCCAAAACATAACTTACTCGAGCCTTTTTTCCTGTACAAACAATCCTATTAAAAATGCGGATGCAGCGCTTAGTAAAGTTACGCCTGGAGAGATAATACGTTAGCATTTCACGTCTACTTTCGATTTTTTCCTTATTTTACATCAGTTTTTCGAGCGATTTCGCTTCTCTCGGGGATTTCCGGTCTAGGCGCGAGGTGCTTACCGTAAGAATATTTCAGGCTTGTAACATAACTGGACACTACGATCTCTCTAGTGTCTCCCTTCAACTTGCCAATATACTGGACATCCTTGATCGCTTTTTCGATAATCTTGTAGAGAGATACCCAGTTAACATGGCATAATGCTTAAGAAGAGAGAGGAATGGCCATACCTTTTCGCTTCCAGGTCCCGTCAACCTTTGGCCTAAAATTCGTCTTACCACGTTTTCTAAAACCACATTGACAGCACTGACACCAGCAACTGCCCCCAAGCTAGACGACAAATATAAACCCATGGTCGCAACTGCATAGTGTTCCTTCTCTAATCCTGCTGTCATCGCTACGAAACTAGCTGCTTGCGATAGTCCCATACCGAACCCTCCTGGGAAGATATACAGGGACTCCAGGAATCCAGTATGACCATTCCAGCGTAGAATTAGAAGGGTTGAGGCAACAGTCGATATTATTCCGGCAAGTACCAAGATGAGCTTATACCTCCCAGTCCTTTTCACGGAGATACCAGTTATTAGGCCACCTATCACGTTTCCGACAACCGCAGGGACAAGTTGGGCTCCAGCTTCAGTGACGGAGCTGTTGCGTGTGATTTGGAAGTACCGGGGTACTGTATACATTATCCCGATTTGAGAAACAGTAGAAAATGCTAGCGATCCATAGCTTGTTGCGATATTATTTTTGGTGAGGAGGTGTAATGGAAATATGGGTTCGGAGGCGACATATATTTCGACGAAAGCGAAAGATACGAGAAAAATAAGAGAGGCGATAGATAAACCAATAATATAGGGGGAACCCCATGCCAATCTTTGACCACCAAGGTCAAGAACTAGTAAAAATCCGACAATAGTTACCGCGAGGAGGAAAGAACCAAGAAAATCTATCCGGGCAAGCTTTGATTTTTGAGTCTCTGGTACCGCAGGCTCCGCAGTATTAGTCGGGGTAGGGGTAGTGTTGCTCAATCGAAGAGCAACAAGTATTCCAGCTAAACCTACGAGTGGTGCTTGTCCACCGAAAGACCTATTCTCTATTAGTTCTCGAGTTCACCAAGTAACTAGATCTGCCAGGATAGACACAAAAAATTGGTATATTTACCATCGCCATCCAACGGTGTCCGTTAAATAACCACCCACAGGGCCTCCTAAACTCCTACCCGTCGTAGCGGCAATATTGACATACGCCCGCCAGGCAGCCACGTCACGCTGGGGTACGAGATCTGTGATCAAAATACTGACTAAAACCATCATTCCGGCCCCACCAATTCCGCTGATTGCTCTTCCAACAATCACACCTGTGAGAGAATGCGCAACCCCACTATGTATGATAAAGTTAGATTCATGACCGCCTAGCCATTAATATTTCATTTAGACGCTTGTGCAGATAAATATATTGGCTCCTACCTGTACAGACAACCAACGCCGAAGAATGCGTATGCAATCAAAACCATAGCTTTTCGGCCATATATGTCACTGAGCTTCCCATACTATTTCCACAAGCGCTCGGTATTAGTGGAGCGCGTTTAGAACCAAACATCATAAAAATATCTTACCAGAGGCTGAAGTGCACACATGGTAAGCATATACGACGTCACTAGCCAGCTAGCATCGTCTAATCGGCCAAACTCCGAAGATATGACACCGTTCGTAGCCAGGACAAAAGAACCATCTCCACTGGCAATAAAGACCCCTACGGGATGTCAAATCCCCGTGTTAGTTTAGATCGGGATATATGACACTTAAAAGCAGCAGGTTTTCACGTATATACCAAGTAGTAAAACGGTGATAATCTGGGCTGGCGTTTTATTTTCCGCCTTTTTCGTGATATCGTCGTCTTTTGCATTATTTAGTAACCGCGCTTCTTCGTCCGCATCGAGGAGTGAAGAATTTGAGAGTTGATAGGAGTTGTCTGTCGAGATTGAAATGGTGTCTACTTCAGACTCTGCAATTGAGGAGACCCGTTTCGAAGAGCCCGGGTCATTGACTGTTCCGTAGTCATTGGATTTTTTATCGGGATCAGTTCGCGCCATGATAGCGATTTAACTCTATTGCGCAATTGCGACTGGTCAATTGGTATTGGGGTGGCTCGATAGGTACCGGTGCTGAAAAGCTAATACAGGAAACACCTACTTACCCTAGAAGTATTATAGATCAAAGAGCGCAAACTTCTGGCCTGAAGACTTTTTCAAAAGGAAGGGTTTTAAGAGTCATAAAAACCCGGCAACGGCGGAAAAGAAGGGGTACTACTGCGACGCCTGTAGGTATGTAGCATTGGTAAGCTAACCGGCTAATAGCTTGAAACTGCGTATACACGTGGGGGAGCAGTGTATTAGCTATCTTGTTGCCGACAATTTGGTACTCGGAACTCGGAGACTGCTATCGAACGACTGGATCCAGGTTGGTGGGTCGGCCGAACGATTGCGTGACGCAGGGAATGGTGCACGCCATATAAATATTCTTCAGGCTGAGTATTTCGCCGATACGGCGGCAAACTTGAGGAAGAAATTTTTTAGATTATAGAAGTGGAGGTATAGTTTTAACAGGTGGCGATAAATCGCTATCGTGCTATAAGTCGAAACATCTTCGATATCTCGCAGATATGGTATCGTAGGCGAAGAGCGGGCAGCGGGGCAGCCGAGAGCTCTTGTTCATCGTGAATTACATCAATTGGCCAATAGGAATAAAATGAACTTGCATAAGGGGCGAGGATTGCCTGCCTAGGAGCTGGCCAAGTTTTCTTGTACATGATAAATTATTTTAGAAGGAAATTTCGAAACAACTGATTAACTACTTTTGTAACCCTCTACTTGCAGTCTTCGTGCAGCGGGGCCTGCAAGTCGTTTAGCCTCTCAGAAGACTTGCAGTACTATATTACACCCAATGACTCCAATGTATTCCATTTCGAGTATAGCTCAGGGCATCTTGTGGCCCCTCAGCGTCGATAATATACCCAGCCTCGCACCTATCAAATCTAACTGATTCCTGGTGCTTATAAAAAGTATCATATTGCTCTTGCAAAGCGTCGGGAAGAACATCTACATCTCCTTCTGGGTGGAGTTTCTGCCATGGTTTGACGCATACTGTTCCTTTGCAAGATTTTAATACTAGTAGTAGAGAATCCAACCTGTCAATGACGCGGATCAATGGAGCACCGAGAATTGTGAGAGACGAATCATGATCGGCGTAACCCGGATATATATTGCGTAGTTGAAATGGATCAGACTGCAGTTCCCCAATATCAATATTAGCAATTGCGCAATCGACAGAATTTAAAATAAATAAGAGAATTCATGCGTACCGTGAGATCGTAGAGTTGATGCTCGTTGTTACACCAAACGGAATAGTATAAATTGTAGTTTTCACCAATGATTCTCAATGCCTTGTAGGTATTATTCCAGAAGAGAGTGCCGCCGTAGCTACCCTCCTCGACGGCAAATCCCCAGTACTCAACATTGACATGCTCATGACGTCTCTTTTCTTGCTTGACCCTTTCAAGAGGAATTGCCAATCCGTCAAAATCCTCCCTCAATGGGATTCCTGCGATTTCAAAGAGAGTCGGGGCGACATCAATGTGAGTCGTAACTGCATTTGACACGGCGCCTTCCGCAATCCCGGGTCCGCGAACGATAAACGGAACGCGGATGTCATCTTCGAAACCACATTCTTTACCGGGATTCAAACGATGTTGACTAACGTGGAATCCATTATCTGCAGTGTAGAAAATATAGGTATTATCTAATTGTCCGTTTTCTTCGAGACGCTTAAAGATACCGTCTACGAGCTCATCAACTCCCTGTAGAGCGCGGAGACGCTGACGGTAGTAATAATCGTTGTGATCAACCCAAGTCTTGTTTAATTGTGGGCGTTCAGCGATCCAATTGACGCCCGACGGTTTGTCTGGATTAAAATGTGGAGTTCTTGGAACCTTAGCATCTGGGAATAGGTGTTCATGTCGCTTCAAAGGAATAGGCTCGCTGAAGGTAACTTTTTCGATATCACTTATATCGCTGATATCGCCTTCGACATTGCTGTGAGGTGCTACTGGCGCCAAGGCAAGGAAAAATGGTTTCTCGGACGCAATTGCATCGTCTAGGAGCGCATTTGACTTATCAATCAAAATATCAATGGTGTGCTGTCCGTGATATATGATTGGGGGTTCGTGGTTGCGCTGATAGGCGGGATTCAAGTAGTTATAAGTCCAGGGATCAAGCAAGAAATCTGATGTGGTGAACCCTTTAACGTGAGGATTGTTGTAGTTTTTAGTAGTATGTGCGTTGAATAGTTTCCCCGTGTAGTAGGTATTGTAACCGGCTTCTTGAAGCCATACGGGTAGAAAGTTCTCATTGAAGCCCTGAGCTACAAATTTAGGGTATCCACCTGTGGCCATAAAAAGAACATCGTCAATAAACAAGGACTTTAACAGGGTTGGTTATGGCTGGACCGGCTTACCATAAGGGGGGTTGACATCTGTCACATTCGTATTATGCGAATGTCTACCGGTCCAAAGGCTGACTCTAGACGGGCAGCAGAGGGCGGTTGTGACAAAGTGGTTTCGGAATAGAGTGCCCTTGTCTAGCAAATGTTTCTGAACAAAGGGCATGTAGTCCAGAGAGTTCATTTCAATATCCTGGTCATCTGTCAGGATAAAAATGATGTTGGGTTTCTGCGTAGAAGAACCAGTCTTCAATGGGCCCTTCTGACCAGCGGCCGGGTCAAGGGGCTTCTGGTCATTAGGAGACCCTGCCCAAGGGACAGCGGATGCCACTCCGGCGTAAAGCAGAATGTTCTTTAATGCGAGTCCCATCATAAAAGTTTCGACTTCGAAGCTCGAGTACAGTTATAAAAATGTCCCAAACACCATAAAGGATCAATTATGTTCTGCTTCAGGCGCCCATTTATACCCATTCCTTATCGACAACCCCACGCCGGTCAAATCAGCTAACCCCCCGTCATCGGCACGTCAATAGCTCCGTGCGTCCTTAGCCATGTAGTCGGAATCGCCCATCCTATTGGACAATTGAGTAGCAGCCGGGATTTCATGAAGCTGCACGGCAACCGTTATCCGGGTTTCTGCCGTAGATATCGGATTTAAATCCATTTTGGAGGGAGAAAGATGGCACCCTGTTGCATTTTGGAGGCGGCGGCGTTGCGTTGGATATGATCGAATATGTGGAGAATATGGCGACATCACTTTCTATAGCCCGGCGAAATGTTCAAGTCGAGGAATTCGGAATCAAAGAGTTTATAGGGGGATTTATACCTAGTTTAAAGTTTAGCTAGCTTGTAGTCTAGATCTATAGATAAGGTACTTTTGAAGTTTAGTTACTTTTGTAATTCGCCGACATACTGTACATGCGTGCATCAGCTTGAGCTCAGGTATACCGGTACATATCCGGGTTTTAATTCTGAATTCTTCCAGCTGCCGGGCCCACGCTACAAAGGTTTCACGAGTCATATGCACATAGCCACTGAACTCAGAATACAGAGTAACTGCACTCTATCCATCGAGGTTGCCATGTCTAAAACTGTTAACCTTTTGGGTTCAGAGAATTAATTAGTATTATTAGCATCGTCTCAGTGTTGCCTTGTTTTGCAGATCTGGTTCACAATCGATATCGGTAGCTCTGGTATCCGGGAATTACACGTTTATATATACAATTGCACGTTGATATATAGTGCAGCCATTTTCTCTTGCCTAACTTGCTGGATTCCCAGGAACTGCCAGGCCAGGGTGGGTTCTTTCTCAAAGATATATTACTAGTGCTGCATTCGCCTAATGTGGGTTATCTATTCTATTTTATTTAACCAGTAGACCACCGGATTTCATACGGCTCTTATTTTCGCCCGATTCCATATACCACTTTAACGGCTTTTGAATGCTTTGCTGAACGTTCTGAATCCTTCAAATGTGTATTTGGGCAATGGAATAAAATCGAGTTGGGCATGGGTCGTATTGCCCAAAACTTAACCAGGCGCAGTGCTCAGTAGTTATTAAGTAAGTACTGGGCAAGACGGTACGAGTTCAGGTTAGGTTCGTGTTGGCCATTGGATCCTCGTTAGTTCTGTATTGGTTCCTTACGCGTTCCTTAATGCTAACTAGTACTAGTATAGTGTTGGTTCCTGGTCGTTTAACTACTAGCTCCTCGCTGGTTTCCCATCGCTATTAGACATGGGCACATTAATTTTTGCTGGTTCGTAACTCTTGGACCTAGGCATCGTCGTAAACTAGTAAAATTTATATTATTTTTGCTTCAAGTCGGCCACGATCAGCTAATTACATTATATTAACAACCAGTTCCAAACTTAGTTATTGATGTATGTAATCCTCTAATTTATTAGCTAGAAATTCCTTGTCGACCATCTTTTGACTGGCTCGCATATCTAACCACCCCGCCGCTCGTCTCAAAGAGCTAACAACTCGGCTGCAAGTACTGTCCTCATAGCCATACTGCGCTGCAAACCTCCACAAGATACCTATCGATCTGACAACGCTTTTTTTCTTTAATTTTGTAATTTTTCAATGTTCCAATTTTTCAAAAGAGTTTTGAATATGGTTTCCACTAGCTATGCCCCACTAGCTATCCAGCTGACCAGTCGTAGACGGGAAAATATATAGTTGACTGATTTATCTAAGGTCGGAACGTTCGAACTTCTCGTAGTATTTGAATGGAAAAGTTCTAGAGAAATATAAAAACTGCCCAAACAAGAAAAAGATATTCGGGATGACTCGGGTTACACAGGTATACCCGTTCTGAGTAATATATCAATACCGTACCTCAGCTTCGCAGAAAATTTCGAAAACACTTTGCTCCTATTATGGAGGCTCGGATATCCTCATCCGTCCTTCCCAAAGTCGGCAAACTTGAAGCGAAGATTTTGTGCATTTATGCAGGAACACACCTAATCTAAACCATCTTGAGGGATTCGCTCCACCTTGATGTTTGCTCTCAACAAACAATCCTAACTAAGAGCGGCCACATTCCTACCGTGTTCACAGGGTTTCTGCATTCGTTAGCCAGCACGGCCTGAGCAGACTGGCGAGCTGGATGCATCTATAGGTCAGACACTGGTCCCTGTCCTCAGTTGAACTTCCCATAGTCCACGGCCCTCTCACATTTCCGATTGCCGTAGTTCGACAGCTATACCTAATTATTAGGTTTTGAAACCTCGGGCCGGGACCTTGAAACTAACCAAAATGCAACCTATCATAATTCTAGAAACCAAAACGCTTCTTTGTCGAAGGTTTTCAACATTTTATGATACCTACTCCACTTTTTAGAGCTATTGTGGGTATGCGCATAGACAACAATCAATATACCCCAGCTATTCGGCTTGTGACGCCCATGTCAAGCTTTTGAAATCCTCGAAATATTTCCCCGGATGGTGATGATCTTCATACTTAGAGCAAGCTTGTCAAGGTTGCAATGGACCGAGATCCGTCGCGATATGGTTATCGAGACGATCCATAGACCTTTGATAGCAATTTTATGAAGATATAGAGAGTAATATTTGGTGTATATATACTGGGCTTGATTTCCACTTTATCCTCAATAAAACATTCTTCACAAGCATCAAATCAACAGAGAACCAACTGGCTCCAAACTATTTATACTTATAACTGTCAAATACCTTCTTTTTCCTATAAACCTCACAATCACACACTGCATTTAAAATTTAAAAACATACCGTTTCAAAATGAAGTTCACAGTATTCGCCACAATATCTCTTCTTATTACGTCCAGCGTTGCTAGAAGATGTGCGAATGTTGAAGTACCAGAAGAATTAAGGCAGGAAGCTGCCCGTTTCAGAGCTCTAAGCGCGAGCAGCCTCCGTGCTTCAATCACCGGTGCTGATGCCCTTCGCAAATCCGGCGGATACAATGATCCCACAACTCGGACTCAGAAAATCAAGCTCTACATCCACAATGTCTACATCAATCGGACTGCTGAAGGTGGATACATCCCGAACTCCGACATGGAAAAACAGGTTCGTACTATCCAACCAAATACCCTTACCTTCTCTATGTATTAACAGCTTTTACTAACTTAAAATTTAAAACCAGGCCAAAGCTTTGAACGAGCATTATGCTCAGACCGGTATCTACTTCGATCTTCGCAGGGTCACCCATACCAAAAACGCCACTTGGGCGACCTGCGAAAGAGACACTCCTATTGAACAAGATATGAAGCGTACTATCCGAAAGGGTGACTATGGTGATATGAACTTGTACCTTCGCCCACTTCAAGGGTGGCTCGGTAAGTACATGAATCGTTGAAATGCTGTCTAATACATAGAATGATATATATTAACAAAGGTTTAGGATGGTGTACATTCCCAAAGGATGTTGTCCGCGGCTCGGATGATTACTGGAAGGACGGATGCGACGTCCTCCAGTCCACAGTTCCTGGTGGGACTTTCTTCCCTTACAACGAAGGAAAGACATCCACCCACGAAATTGGCCATTGGCTGGGACTTCTTCATACTTTCCAGGGCGGTTGCGACGAAGGTGATTTGATTGATGACACTCCAGCTGAGGCAATCTACACTGACGGCTGCCCAATTGGAAAGGACACTTGCGTCGGACCAGCATACCCAGGTGTTGACCCTATCCACAACTTCATGGATTATTCTGATGAGTAAGTTACAAACGTAACGCATGAAACTTTGGGCTTTAAAGCTTTGTCTCCGTCAGAGTTGGTAGCTAATATCTTCCTTTTAGTGCCTGCTTGAACCAGTTTACTCCTGGCCAGACCGTCAGAATCTACCAGACTTGGGATAGATACCGTGCTCCATGGAAGTCTAACTCCAGCTATACCGGATACTAATTTTGCTCGATGGCTGGAATTCTGTTCTATATAGCATCTATATTGTTAGTGTATTGATCTGTTAGCTATTTTCTGCATGATAGCGTCTCGGATAGCATTTTTGTGGAGTAGAAGTATTGGGTTTTTTGAAAGTCCGACGAGAGTTTGTATCTAGATTTGCTCTTAAAATGATTCTTTTAATAGAATAATATATATCCTCTAAGTGAAATATTCATGATGCGAGCCTTTTTATTGTGATATTAATTGAAGTCATGTCAACCAAGCGAAAATGGCACCTTGCAGAGCACTTACCTTCCTCCCGACTGCAAGGCAATCCTCTGAACAAATAGGTATAGTATAGTAAATGTACGTAGAACTGAAAAGAGGAATGACATATATATGTCCACCATGGTAAAGAACCAAGTACTAGAAGAGTATTGATACGTTACGTGAAGCTCGATAGTATACATAGCCATTCTTTGGTCTCAGACCAAACCTAGGGTGCAAAATAGCCTCGATGCTTTGCATTGGTGCGTGGTGTTAGCAGCTTAGCTAGTACTCTACGTAGCCCATAAATGCGCAACGTTACACAAATTCAGAAATTGTTGATCCGTTCGTGCAGCGATGATCCCGATTTGAAGCGGGTATAACTGGGTGTGTATTCGGTTGGATTTTAATTTTGAGTACATAAAAATAATTATAGATGCCAAAGTGTCTGCAATCCAAGATCAAAGAATATCTAGTAGTAACACATCTGCGGAAGATTACTCGAGTTCTAGCGGAACATGGATCCGCAGCGTAGCCACTGTATTATGCATCAAAAAATTTTCGTGCTAATATTAATAGATGTATGTTCGAAGGATTTAAGGTCGTTGTCACAGACGGTATGTAAATATATTTCGCAGTGCACCCCTGTAGCGGTTCCACTACAGCATCTCAAAAACCGTTACACAGAAAGCTCCGAGGATCGCAAGAAGTACTAAAGGTATTTCGGACTATTAAAACGAATAGCAAGTTAATCGTCGAATTGATTTCTCTTCCAAATAAATTTTGAAAGCAGATGCGGGGCAAACAAAATATCTCATATGTGGCTACGGGTAATAGTACCTTATGCGCAGCGTCTGGCTTATCATCATAGTTCGAATCTGAAGAACTGGTGGGGCCTGTATTAGGTCTTCTAGTTGAGGTGGGTATTGACCTAGTGGGCTGGGGGGACTATTTGAGTTAATTAGCGATCTGGAGTATCTTGAACGATCGGGTAAGACGTCATCTTTGCATCAAGGTCTAGGAGAGCCATTCCTGGCTGCGTATAAGACGGCGACACGTATATGTATGCATCGAGATATGAAATTCAGGGGGATACGAACTGGAACACCATTATCTCCGCCGCCGCCGCCGCCACCCGAAGAACCATCAGGATACAAAGCCCTCACATCGCCATTGCGGGAACAGAGAAACTGAAGGCTTGATACTGAATAGACCATTTCAGGCCAAAATTCGGTAGCATATGAATAACATTGTTGTGCACTCCTGTCTCTTGAGGCACCAATGAACCTTGTATTCGAATCGTAGCAAAAATAGCTCGCTTTTTCCACGTTGTCGCCAGTAATAAATTGATTCCATCGGGAACAAGATTGGACGACGCTCCATGCTGCGGAGCATATGGCATTCCCTTCTGTCATTTCCTGCCTTACGTCCCCTTGGCTCGAGCAGTACCCCACCATTGACCATATTGCGGTTGCTAATGAGGTATCAGCCGTTTGCGCATAGCTGAAACAACTTGTAAATAGCCCGTCAAATATATCTGGCCGATAATTGTTGGAGCTATAGCACGCACAAAGCGCCAATTGCGAGGGTCCCCCGCCTTTGTTGTAGCCCTGTACCGAGCAGTATGATTGAACGGAACTAGCATAACTACAAGCAGTATAACCAGCGCTGAGCGTCGCGCGGATGTCGCCTGCAGATCTACACATCCCCAAGAAAGTTGCGAACCCGGTTCGAAATGCGGGATCCGTTCCGGCGTAGTTGTAACATTGCGAAATGTACCCGTCTACTTCACCAGGGCTGTATTGCGTTTGTGGGTAACACGCGCAGTAAGGAAGCCCAGAAATCCCTCCGACCTTAAAGAATCCATTATCCGAGCATTGTTTAAAAACGGTTGACACCCACTGACACGCGTACTGACCGGGCTGCTGGCGTGGAAGGAGCCCTCGAGCAAACTTTATGTCGGGCGCTGCGGTGATTGTCGCAGGCAAGGAGTTGAGGGGCTGTTCGACACAATTTGTTGCGCCAGCGTAAAGGAATTGCGAGAGGAGAAGCCAAGCAGTAAAAATGCGGTCCATTTCTCCCAATATACCCGCATATGCACACTGCGTGTGGAACTATTGCAGGAAGGCTGGAAGAACAACATAAGGTGCTGTCGTACATCGCTTTTAAGGGCGCGCTCATACATAACGCTCATGTGCCCACAATCAAGGTCAGCCCACGTTGGCAGCCTAAATCGTAGTTTCCTTGAAGATCCTTACAGGGGCTGCCACATTTTGTCAATAAACTCTAGCTTTGCAAGGCCAATGCTCATCCGCGCGCGGGCAAATCTGGAGAATCATAACGTTATCGTGGTCGGGATTACAGGCTTGGTACCATGGTGTTGCATGTGGAGCTTAACTCGAAACCTGGGTTAAGGCTTATATATATGCGAATATCGAATGAAGTAGTTACTGAACAAACAGAGGCTTTAAATTGTAGATAAATTCGTCTATAGAGAAGTAACTGGTTCGTATGGCGGTTTTTAGTTAGTGGATGTGTAAATACTTAGCTTCGCTTTCAACATTAATATATTAAGGGTCGGTACTGGCAGCGTAGTACAGGTGGCGTGCAGAGTCAATGCAGCCCTCATATGATGTGCATCCAGCGCTTGACTTTTGGACCAAAGTTAACTCGTCATAAATGTGATTTAAAAAGGTTTTTTATACGAAACATATTAAAAAGTCTTCATCGGATGTTTAACATACGCAATCGTCGTCACGATCACATTTAATCAATTGCATGAGCAATCAAAGCTAGTTAAGACGAGAACAAATTGTCGCTTATCTGAGCGGCGGAAGCTTCGATCTGATTGGGTTCTGTATTCCGATTCGTAGAACTCCAAAGTACCAGTACCCAGTTGTGGTACTTCATTTCTGATCAACGACACGATATCGACCGAGTTTTCGTCATCATTGCAGGTCAATGGATTTGTGAACCCGCTGAGCTTTGAAGAGATTGGCCAGCATCACCATTTAAAATCCCACGGATTCTCAACTAATGCTGTGCCGCCTGGTATACCGGTAGCTAACTTTACATTCCGACTAACTTATATTATACGGCTACAATAGCTATAGCTATAGCGATACGTACTGTGTAAATGTATTGTATATAATTATAATTGGTCTCAGGCTAGTACACTAGCAATTGAGCCTCAAGCTGGGAGTCTTGAAAGTGAAGCATGAGGAAATATACTTGATTAACGCCAGGTCAAAACCTGGCTCGCCAGAGACTCAGAGTACGGAGTACATGTACCCGAAATAAAAATCCGAAATTTTGCCAAGATGTAAAGAAAACTGCAACATTCTGCGCTGACTGTCGACTGGCTTAACTGGCACCCCTGTTCATTTTAAAGGGTCATCCCACACTACATGATGAAGCATAATTTTGAAATCGCATACCGACGAGGCGGGATTTGTAGCGAGAGGTATATGTACACGTTTTTGTCTCCATCTAAAAAAGCGAAAATCGGACCAAATTGTTGATATAATTGGGTAACTAGCGAACGGGTTGGCTACGTTAGGACTAAGGAGGAAAGTCAGCTAGCTTAGCTCCCGTCCGAGGGACGTCCAGACCTGGAGATTAAAATTTGCTTAGGCAATCTGTTCCGGATCTCGCACATTATTAATATTAAGTTTGTCCGATTCCCACCGGCCGGTAGCCTAGCACCAGAACTAGTATATAACTTCCAAGTCATAATCTATAGATGGAGGCCATCCAATATACAACCCATCAAATCTTCTTAAGCGATTATACCCCCTCACGTGCACCATGATACAACCACAAAGATCGCTTGACCCCGAACTCTCTGAGCACCAGCCTCTTATTCGTGGAGATGGGTTTAATCCAGACGAAATTGTCTATCATTCCACGCCCGAACCGCAATCAATTGTGACTAAGAATCAGCAAGATGAACTGCCACGGGTAGTAGAGGATGATGAAGATGACGAAGGTCCCGTTCGGGAAGTACCATCAGGCTTTTGGGGAGTAGTCGCATGTCTTCTAATCGGTAACTCTTGACTACACATGATTAATGTTACAACCTATAGAGCATGCAATTGACAGTTCCTAGGAGTCATTGTCGCCAATATTGACACTTCGCTTGTCATGGCAACCTTCGGACAAATAGGAAGCGAATTTGGCAGACTTGATGATGCCGTACGCAATATCTAATCCAATCTTTATTTAAAAGGCTTCACCTAATATATTTTCATAGAATTGGATGATAGTTGGATATCAGCTCGGAGTGTTGACAACCCAGCCAATGGTTAGTACTGCAGTCTACATTGGTGCTGTGCCGCAAGCGGGCCCGCCTCACTACAGGCAGATAGCTAACAAATTGCGAGACCAGTACGGAAAACTGAGCGATATCTTTGGCCGGAAGGCTCTCTTGCTTATTTCCTACGGGTTATTCGCTGTAGGTTGTCTCTGGATGTAAGTGCCCAATGGCCTTCACTTTTTACCCGGCTATATTGCCGAATCTATAGGACCGAGTATGGTAACATTATATATGTAGTGGTACATCAACAGAGTTCTGGCATCTCGTCGTCGGTAGGGTTATTTCGGGCATAGGAGGCGGTGGGATGACGTAAGGATTAATATGAGCCCATGATTCGAACTATACTTTGCTAACTCGCAAACCATCTTCTCTAAGTTCTGTTGTTTCGATTCTGCTCAATGGTAAGATAAAAAGGATATCCGATCCTCCTTTTGTGGCGTCTGGGGGTGAGACTAGGGGTGACCAAAACCAACTGAGGCTAACCTGTGGCCTGTCTTGCCATCTGTAGATCTCGTCCCCCTCCGCGACCTAGCAGCTTGGAGAAGTTATGTCTACATTGCAGCAACCCTTGGAAGATCCTGTGGAGCGCCACTCGGTGGTTTCATGGTTGACACTATCGGATGGAGATGGTATAACCCCTTAAACAGGCTTAAAGGCGTCAAGGGGACTAAATTGATTATTAGGTCATTCCTGGGCCAAGTCCCTCTAGCAGTCCTTGCTATCGCCATGGTATCTATCAAGTTGAATATTCCCCATAAAGGGAAACAGCGCAAGACCGAAAACTTTTTCCAGTGTTTTCGGAGAATAGACTTTACAGGCGCACTAAGTCTTGCAGCTTCACTGAGTTTGTTTCTCGTGTTCTTGGATGAAGCTGGCAAACGGATGTTTTTGGCCAATAAGCTACTTATTGGATCTGGTATCGGGTCGCTCATTTTTGGTGCCATCTTCTTTTATGTGGAAGCATATGTCGCCAAGGAGCCTATCTTATCACTACGAATACTTACGCAACGTGATGTTCTCTCCGTATATTCAACACTCGGGCTTACAACTGGCAGTCAGATTTCGGTAATCTTTCCACTTAACATACATTCAGTACCGCATTATTTTTTTTCAGTCTTGCTGACAATCTTCTTAGTTTGTATCTACGGTAGCCATATACTTCGTGATAACCCTTGGAGTGTCAAACGCAGATGCGGCAGCACGAATTGTCTTCGGAAATGTAGCCCATGCAATGGGAGGTCTAATGGCTGGAATTTTAATTCGACGGTAAGTTTTGGTTGGGTTTCGACGTATCCATCTATTTATCTGTTTTTTATAAACTGACGTGGCAACTACTAGAACTGGTCGTTATAAGAGATATCTTGTTATAGCTATGTCTATTTCCACTATTGCGTTACTTCTCGTAACTATTCGCTGGCGAGGAAACACAAACATCTTTGAAACTGCGTATATCGCTCCTGCAGGCTTCGGCATCGGGATGATCAATACTGCGGCATTTATCGCTTTATCAGCCAGTGTCGAACACAAAGACCAAGCAATGGCAACATCTGGATTTTATCTTAGCGATAACCTCGGTTTTGTTGCCATCAGTAGCCTTGGGAATGCGGTACTTCAAACAGCACTAGCAAAAAGACTAGACGTTAGGCTGGACGGGGTAACCAACAAGAAAGAGGCGAGTAGCTCCGGTTACCTAGAGCTTTGTGTAAGATATATATTTTATGTAGAAGATATACTAACCAATTCAAACTTACAGGTTATTCGAGACGTAATGGCAAGCATTAGAAACATTAAGGGCTTAGATCAGCCCATTCGCGAGAAGGCCATAAAAGCGTTTGTAGAGGCGCTACAATGGGACCATGGTTAGCTTATCCATATTTTGATATTCACACACCGTAGTTATCTGGAATATGCTGATAATAGTACAAAACTTTAGGTTTATCCACAATAATATACGCAGTCTCTCTATTCATTGTAACCGTCTTTCTCCGAGAGTATAGCCTTGAGGGTCGATAATGTCGTGTACTGGCGGTTCATGGAATACCGTGTTTCAAGATATTTTAATTTTTAAGTTTTACAAGAGGACATCATCAATCATAGATCATAGAATAGATCCAATTGAACTTAGACATAGCTCCAAGCTTCACGGATAAATCAACTGCGAACAAAGAATAAAAAAGATAATTAATATTCTAAGAACAAATTCGGAGAAAAATGAGGAAGAATCATGTGTTGTAAATGTGTCTTTTTTAATATCTTGGCGCGGAGACCCTTTAACAAAGGCCTAGAACGAGGAGACCACAATCTTGGCCTGGCCCAGCCTATTCTTGAGTACGTATTACCGACAGCTGTCAAGTTTGGCCGGCTCTTCGTGGGATTTTTCGCCGGATTTTTAACTGAGACGTTTACTTCGGTATTTGAACAAGGCATGTCACAAATGATGACTTCCACGATGAATTAAGCTCATGTTTGAGGCATGAAGTCGATCTATCAATTATCATTTGCATTCAGGACCACACAACTGAACTCGTGCTCTTGAGTGTAACGCATGCATTATTATTACTAAGCTAAGTTAAGCTAACGTTCAAACACTTTGCACTATAGTACCTCACCTCAATCAAATAGAATACATCCTTCTCTCTCTAGTTTGTGAAGCAGTAAACAATGAAGTCCTTCTTATTAGTAACTTTTCTCGCGAGTGCTTGCGCCGCCCAATATGGCCAATCTCTCGACGACCTCCCCAAGATAGTTGACAACTCGACCGCCACGTCTTCGCCGGAAAAATATATCCTCCCTCCACTTCCTTATGAATACAATGCTTTAGAGCCCCATATCTCGGCCCAAATCATGAAATTGCATCATCAAGCTCACCACCAAGCTTACGTTGACAATCTCAATAAGGCGCTTGCTGAACTGAAGGAGGTACAAGCAAAGGAAGATATGGCGGCCAAAGACAGAATTGAGGCCTTGGAAGAAACCATTCATTTCAACCGTGGAGGGCATATTAACCATTCTTTATTCTGGAAAAGCCTAGCTCCGGTGTGTAATCCATATCTTGTCTCTATACCAAAGTGAAACGGTAAAGCAGGAGGTTTCCTTGACGTAGAGGCACAGTTGCTGATTATTCTTCGAAACAATAGGCTGGATCGCCAGAAACACGCCTTCAAGGGGGCTTGGAGAAAGCCATTGTGGCGAAATGGGGAAGTGTAGATGGATTAAGCGCTGCATTGTTCAGGATAATTCTTGGGAGAGTAAGAGGAAGCGGCTGGGGTATGTCGCCGACATCAATATTGTTGAAACCCAGGACTAACGTGCCTTATTCCGCTGTGGCGTGAACAGGTTGGATTGTTTGCAATGTCGATACGCGGGAACTTTCATTTGCGACAACGAGAGTATGTACACTCGGTTCCAGCCGGTGTTTGTGACATTTTGATGAGTGGATGACTGGTAGGCTAAAGCTGCTTTGGATTTGCAGGATCAAGATCCAATTTCTCTCCCCCAGCTGGTGATCCTCGGAATCGACATGTGGGAACACGCATACTATTTGCAGGTATGTCCTACCCCGCTCTATGAAACCCGTTCAATCACGGTAGGGTGATAACGATTGTCGTATGTAGTACTATAATAAAAAGCAGAGCTATCTGAAGGCGATATGGGCTGTTTTGAACTGGAAGGAAGCTGATGAAAGGTATGCTTCTTGTTTGAAGCACGCCACTACTTCTTCCTAAAGAAGCTCGAAAGCCCAAGCTTCGATGTGCGTTTTGGGGAGCTTGAGATCTTTTGGGCATTGAGATTCTTCCTTCGCATGGTCATTTCATAATCTCTCTGAGCTTGTTGGAATCGTTCTATAACTCTTGGGTCAACGCCGCTGAGATCGACGTCGGAGTTGTCACTGCATATGCTTAAGGGCCTCTCAGAATAGATTATTGAGCTCGAGCTTTTGATGTCCTTGTTTTCAAATCGGTCGTTCATGTTGGAGTGTGTGTTCGAGAATGCTCTGGGACTGTTCTAGGGTCGTGAAGATAGGTTGGACAAATAATCAAATTGTATTTTCGAGAATATATATAATGAAGGATGTATTCGAGGTTAACTTCTGACTTGTCGTATATCCATCTTCTATCTTGATAGACTGATTCTTTCGTTGTCTATTATATAAGTTTTCAAATGCATATCCTTGAAAGCATATGTTTAACGACACTGACTCGTTGAATGACGGTTTTTGGTCAAACCCCGCCCTCACAGAAGAATCATGTGAATTTAACTAGCTCTCCGCGATGCCGGTCCACATATCTACAAGCAATAAATCGATGTTTTCCCACCTGCCGGGAGGATTTTCGGAGAAACACCGGCATAAAGGAGAGACTGCGGAACTGCTGATTAATGTGTTGAGGGGGCCGGCACAAGATCGTAGGCCCCAGTTTTGCTGTATATTTCAGGCCTAGATATGTTGCCGCTATCAACCATGGCCATAATGCCAAAATTAAACGGGCCTCCGGACAGTGTCCTTAAAAAGCAGGCAAAGATGTCCTGGAAAGACTCGGTGAGTTTCCTATCTGAGCATCGACCGTTTCTCATGCGACCAGGACCGAAGTTCGCGTTCGATCAAGAGCGAGATAGCGAGAGTCATGTCCACGGATTTTGGAACGGCACAAAATTTCACAAGGCCTCACAGGGAAGCCGGCACCGCTGATATACACTGCCTGTTAGGGATCATCAAAACCTGATTGGCTTAAAAATTCGTTGTGAAGATTATCTCTTGGTTTGTGGGATATGAATGTGCATATGCACATCTCGATGTCGAAGTCAATTAATGGAGGATCCGGATCGGTTATAATGAAATTCTAAAATGGTAACAGTTGTGAGACTCAAAATTGAGGAACGCCAACACATTTTTTGTTAAAAATACCACAATGAGAACTTCAAGGCGCAACTGGATTTTATAGGACAAGTGAAGGCCACTGAGCTTATTTTCTTTGCAATTAGTTAGAAAAGGCTGTGAATTCATCGAAGTAACTAAAATAGGGACGACTATGATCTTTGCAAAAGTCATAGCTTACATTATATGTGCGGAATCTCCCATAACCGACACTATCGAGGTTTAGATATGCTAACAGACTTTGTCAGCATGCTCTTCAAATCGGCTAGCTAGACGTCGAGCTAACGGGAGCCTCTATATACTACTTACGGACGCAGCTCCAAATTTAATGCGGTTACGGCCGTACAAGAAACATTGCAATAAATAACGGCGGGTATATACATTCCAGCCACATTAGCCTCTCGTGGCTACTCATGATCGATCAGATATGATACAATCGCTCTAATATAATCCCAAAATCTCAGACCCGTCATCTTTTATCCTTGTGGGAATAATACCGCCGTCCCGGAACTTCTAGGACCAGGAATCATAAAATGGCAGCCCAGATCCAAGGGCTAGGCTATACTGCATTTGATATAGAGATACATATCGATATGTGCTGACTCAGTCAGTTTATGTCGATCACCGCCCCGTCTGCAATGGCTCGGGATTCGGCTCTCGGATACCACGTTTCGGTCAAGGCTAAGTAAGCGCATGAATTTGAAGGAGCTGAAATTCATGGACAGAACAGGATCTCTGGATTCACAGATCTTTCTTTCCAACTTCCACCAATGGATACGACTATTTTACGCCATAGATAATAAGGAGAGTTTCAGTTGGAACTTTAAAGACAAGATGCTTAGAAGATCCAGATGCTCTCCACATTGGAGTGATGGTAAAAATAGGATTATATAGTTAATCCGTACATAATCTTTACATCCAAGAAACAATTTGACAAACCTCAAAGTCATTTGCATTACTAGTATACACATAGCTAGCCTTTTACCCATTCAGCCAGAATCAGTCCCCGCAGAACATAATCCCCACAAACCATGGTAATAGTTTTTTTGAACAATGGGGTGAATTAGTCCGGAACTTTCCATATCCTTAGGGCTGCTATGTGATTGACGGAAAAACTTTTCAGTGTCCGATGACGCGCAATAAGAGTACAATCTGCAAGGAACAAGCAATCTTGGTTGTGTTCGCTTGAGCTAAACTGACTTGGCAGGGTATACCTTGGCTAGTGCTTGTTGCCAGCCAAAACTCTCAGCAGAGGCTTTGCCCTTTTACCCTTTTCAGCCATCCGAATTTGCGGGTTCCACGGCCCAACTTCCAACGTGCCTGAGCGTGATGGTTATGTCTGGAACTGTGGGGTCGACTAGGTTCGCTTTCGCTGACCGAAGGGACAACCGCGACATGTTTCGCCGTAAACTGTGTTGATCGTGATTTTCCCCGGATAAATCTCGAAGACCTGGAGAATTAACACATGTATCTGGAAGACTACCAGATCCCGGTCCGGGGTAAGGAGGCTCGAGGGCCTACGTAGATATTCGCTTCGAGGTATTGTCGCAAAAACATGACGTTTTTTGTTATAAATAACGGTGTTTCCGACGATCCTTGAATCCAAGTTCACCGTCAACCCAGCGTACTTGGATTTGAACTAAAGGTCGCAGAATAACGATTCAAAATGAGATTACTCGGACTCTTCGTAGCCGCCCTTGCGGCCCTCCCCGAGGTTGTTGAATGCGCCGGTGGCCGTGTTCACCACGCCAAAGACGGTTCCGTTATCGGAACCACCGCTCCGCGTCCAACTATCAAGCCCAAGCCATATACGACTGGCAAGCAATTCATTAAGTCTGAAAGACGAAAGCGCACCTGCTTCGTCGATGCACTTGGGAATGGCCGAGATGATGCACCTCAGATTCTCGCTGCTTTGCATGAATGCAATGGGAATGGCACAGTCGCTCTACTTTCGCCCTTATATACGATTGCTACACCGCTCGATCTGACATTCCTGAACGGAATTGATATCGATATCCAGGGAACTTTGAAATTCACACCAGATACCGACTTCTGGCAGGCAAACAGCTTCAAATACACCTTCCAAAACTCCTCGTCGTTCTGGCAAATCGGTGGCAATGATGTCCACATTTTCGGCTCCGGAAAGGGTACAATCGACGGATCCGGTCAAGCTTGGTAAGAGGCGCTGATTCATGTTTTGCATGGATTAAACATGTGGTTTGTAAATTGCTAACGTGTATGACTTGATTCTAACTTAGGTATGATCTTTATGCGAAAGATCCACTCATTCTTCGACCAATTCTTATCGCCTACAAGGACTTGCACCAGGCCACTGTTAGCGGTTTGAATCTCAGATACAGCCCCCAATGGTACCAAATTGTTATCGATAGCAGTGATATCATCTTCGACAACATTGATATCTTTGGCGGATCTGTCAGCAAAAATCCTGCGAAAAACACCGACGGATGGGATACCTGTAAGTTCCCCGGAATTATTTAAAGAAAGTTATCAAAGCCTCATTTAAACTAACGCCACATCAGACCGTTCCGACAACATTGTTATCCAGAATTCCCACATCGACAATGGTGACGATTGCGTTTCCTTCAAGCCAAACTCCACCAATATGGTTGTTCAAGGTCTCTTCTGCAATGGTTCTCACGGAATCTCTGTCGGATCTCTCGGTCAATACTACAAGGTTTATGACTTGGTTGAGGATATTTATGTTTACAACACCACCATGATCAACGCCTCCGACATGGCTAGAATTAAGGTCTGGCCTGGTATCCAGAGCGCCTTGAGCGTTGATCTCCAAGGTGGTGGCGGTATCGGATTGGTCAACAATATCGTAAGTTCTATATTGGGTTCTAGAAACCCAATAGCTGGATTCTATATCATGCCACGTTACTAACTAAATCCAAGACATACGATTTGATGCAAATTTCCAATGTCGATTACGGCATTGAGCTCACTCAGTGCTACGGTCAAAAGAACTTGACTCTCTGCAACCAATACCCATCCACCCTTGAAATCAAGAACGTTGTTTTCAAGAATATGTGGGGTACTGCCAGCAAGAAATACGACCCAACTGTCGGCACTCTTGTGTGCAGCAGCCCATCTGTAAGTCAACATACTCTGGCATTTGAAGTAGGAGATACTATTGAGCTTTACTTACCACTTTTTTTAATTATAGGTTTGCCACAACATCGTTGCCAAAAACATTAATGTCGTTCCTCCAAGCGGCAAAGCACCAAAGTACACCTGCACCAACATGGACAGGACTCTTCTCGAACTTCCTTGCGCTTAAGTGTTGGACCAAAGATTTTGGATACGAGTAACCTAGAATATAGAAACTCGCCTATATATATTTGATGATACTCATATGTATAAAGATAATGAAATAATTTCTTGATGACATTAATAATGATATCCGAACGCTATATAAAAGGCCATCTGTAGTGATTTATGGGTATATTCTACGAGTACATGGGTATCTTATGCTCTCAATACAAATTCTTGGGTATCTTTCCTCAATTCATGGCGACAGGCCATTTTATAATGCATGAACAAGATCCTGGAAACCGTCAAAGGCCTCCTCACCGCTTGGAATGATCTGGTTCGCAGGAAGGACGAAGCCATATCGGCCAGTATCTCTGAGCTCAACGGAGTAGGAGTGGATGATGTTCAAGGCTCCGTAAGTGTAATCAGTTGAATCACCAGTGGTAGGGTAGATCGTAGTGCAAGACGGTCCGTATGTGAACGATGTCTTGTATCGTCTGCGCATACCCGCTTCCCAGACTATAATGATAAGTTAGTTATCAATCCATTTCAAGGCTTTGTCAAATTGGGACTTTTGTGCTTACTCTTCATAACGCGGAGATGCTCAGCTTCATCTGGCGCAGGGGTATTGCATGTATAACCCCATGGCGACAAAATCAACTGAGAGTACGAGTGGTAATCAATGAACAACTTCACGCCCACTGTGTTAACCAAGTCTTTAAGGAATCCCGAGAGGCCCTTGTATTCGGCTGTGTCACCGGCACCAAGACCCTTGAAATCTTGGGCACATGGGTTGGTCGATGCACCACCAGAAGAGCTCCACTTGTAATCCCAGTTTCTGTTAACGTCAGTTCCAATGCAAGAATTGGAACTAAGTCTCAAGCGGTTCTTTCGCCACATTCTGTCTGTAGTTTGGCTGTAGACGAATCCGTCTGGGTTGACGACTGGGAAAATGAAGTAGTCGTAACTGTCAAGCATCGAAGAAATCGCAGCAGTTGCATTGCTAACGGTACCAGCTTGGAGAAGCTTAGTGGCAAAATACTCGGTAACTTTCGAGGTAATCCATTCTCGCGCATGGACATTGCTGTGAAGCACAATAGCGGTCTTGCCCTTCTGCTTGCCCCAGATGTGAATGCCAACGATTTCTCTACCTTCCGTAGATTGACCCGCAACCACGATTTCTGCGTTGTTTGGGTACGAGGTGGCCAGGTTGTAAAGGTAAGTTTGGTGGTAACCGTATGCATGATACGCCGTGAACCAGTTTGGATCAGGAGCTTAAAACCACGCAAGATTTATTAGTCTGCGATACGAGAAAATTGTAGTGCAAGGGAGGATCGATTTAAACTTACCATTGGCAGCCTGGAGGGCCAATCTGCTCGAAGAAGCCTGCGAAACAGTGACTGGGGACTCCGCTTCAATCGAAGCTCCAAGATCCTCGTGCATAACCTCAATGTTCAACCCGGCTTTTTTCGAAATTCTATCGAACTCCGATTGAGCACTCGGTGGAATAGCCACGTCTACATGGCTATTGACATTATAACCATGGGTCCAGGTATCGAGATACAGATTGTCAACAAGCGACTTGATGACAGCAATATCTTCTTCGGTGTGTGTTTGTAACCGAACAACACGAGTACCGCTGTGGTTAACCTTCTTGACGGATGCAACAGGCGAGGCCGCAACGGCGCCTGTGAATGCAAGGATAGCTAAGATCTGTGTCTTGGAAAAGTACATTTTGAAATTTGAAAAAAATTTATTCTGGCGGGGAACCAAATTATCGAAAAGATATCTCTGGTGAGGGGCTGGTCTGCAACAGTCACGGTTTCAAAAAGTTGGGCGAGATAACTCAAGTTATATAGATACCAAGAGCTTCAGTCTATAATGAACTCTTAGGCGGTCAACTACGGTGGCTTTGGGCGCCAATTGAAGAGATTAAAGTCAATCTATCTACTAAGACTTGTGAAACAATTCTGACGATCAGCTGTCTCGCCGAAAGAGGGAAGCTGCATTGTGCCGCCGACGTATCACTTGATAGCGGACTGCATATGTACCTTCGCCGTAGGACCGAAAGAGGCAAGTTAGAACGTCGAAGCCCGCACCAGTGCACTGGCCCTTGTGGTCTTAGTTCAGGGCGTTATTACGTGAATAGTTAGTCAACAAGGGCGGGCGGACAGAACAAGGGAAATCATAAGAAATCCCAAGAGACACAACTCTGCCACTGACTGAGAATAGCGGTCAGTGCGGTTGCATAAACACGATTCGTCGTAAAAAAAGTAGGTGAAACGCCGCTTTAATATATTTCAGACTTCATTCGACTTCCCAATTATTCATTATTGATTATTTTACCCGTAATATATACAGGGTGCTGACTTGTTGGAGCCGTTATAACAGCAATGATATGCGGGATTCTATTCCTTGAGGGAAGATCGTTGTAAAATCGGGAGCCAATCCGATTTACCTGCCGAAATGATCCTAGGATTCCGTGCCTCGGATATACGTCTTCCAAGTCGATGAGAGTGACAATACAAGGCAACCACTAATTGCGGAATCTACGTATACCCAGCTCAGGATCCGTCTACATGTATACAGAGGACCGGATCGAGTTCAATAGCTTTGTATTTCTTAGCCTCGAATCTTTTTCTTTCGGGAAAATACCGACCGCTAAGCCGTCGACCCAAACTTTAGTCCTTGGCCGAGCTAACCCCAGTCCTATGGTGCTAGGACTGTCCAGGATTGTGTTGGGCTGGCAATTAATATAGGATGTAACGCTTGTCCCGGTCAAAGCTCGGTCATAATCAGGATTCTAGGACCTGCAGGACCGATATGATATTATATCATGACACCGCTGATATTAGTAATTAACATATATATAAGAAATATTACAGGCTCAACTTGGTACTGGTAATCAGCGCGTGCAAAGCTGCAGGAGGCTTAATTACTTTTCGCTTTGCATATGGCACAGCTCTCAGGATTAATAATAATACTTAAGTACTAAGTATGTTATAGTTGTAGGAATCCAATTCATAGTACCAATCGACTGACGACCCAGGTTTTGGCCCGTATCCTTCCAGTACCTCACTTGAAATATGCAACAGCTCAACACACCCCGAGGATAAACCTGGTCAGGAAGTTGATACCTAGGTAACCAACAGATGGGAAAAAAGCTTGTCTGTTTGCCCAAGGCCTCCAACATTCGTATCACACCGTTTCTATCCTATAACTACACGATATCCAAGGATTGATTTTAAGTCCTTCCAGAAACAGGTATCGATGACATACTTATCAGTACCTTGCCCCCGTTATCTAGCCATGGAATGACGTTTTGAATCTATGGGTTGCGACGTTGTGCTTCTAATTTTACTTTGGATATCAATAGCTGTTCCCGAGTATATCTTGAAGTGGATTGCTCCGCATATACCATAAAAGTTCGCGACATCCACTAGTCTCATACCCAAAGGCCACAATAAAAATTAAAAAAGTTAAAAAATAAAAATACGAGGCTAGCCTTCTGCAAATTGTTTTGAGTTTGAATAATTGTCTTCTAATTGAATAAATGGAGTGCTGCTTTCTTGACAAGCTTTCGTAGATTTAGTTTTCTATCACCGATCTCAACACACGTAAATACAGCTCTGGGGCAAGTGAATTTAAGCGCAGAAGTAAACCAAGAAATCCTCCAGTCTCGTCCCGATCATACGCTTCATAATATCATCAAGCTTAGCCACATCATTCTCACCACCGACCTGGCTCCTCCTTAACTCATTCATCATAAAGCCATTAAGTGCTTCTACAAACTCCATAAGACCATCGTCCTGTCCCCATTTATGAGCGTAGTACACAGGATTAGTATAAAGCCATACCCCCATATTTCTAACACATCGAGACATGTCTTCCGTACGTTTGCAACAAAACCCGTAAGTACCGTGAATGTTAAATCCTTTCCATGTCTCCAAAGCAAGTTTGTTTTGTCTGCCTAAGACGTTATTCACATTATAAATTTCTCCGACCACCCGGTCTCGCATTCTGTCAGCGATGTCCGAAGAGAGAACCGTAAGTAGCGACAAAATGCCAGCATCGCATTTATCGCAGCAAGGGGCATCTAGTACACCAGCATCCAGTAGAAATATAAAAAAGCCGGACTCGATCATTCTGCAATAAGAATATTGTACAAGATCTCCACTACCATTGCACATTGCGTGGCAAATGCTTTCTTCGCCAAATCGCTCGTGAAAACGAGCCGAAGGCGTACGAGGGATTGCATCTTCCATCTCAATAGACCCGTTGTAGCCCTTATCCAATGCGATGCTGTAGTTCTTATACATCCAGTAATGAGTGTGGTTCGGCTGACCTTTAATAGTAACAGGAGTATTATGAGTCCTAGACACTACCGTACACCCAATTTGTTGTTCGTACATTGCACCAGTCTGATATCCGAGGCTGTCGTCGTGAACAAAGACGTGTGCAAACAAACGGGGGAGAATGTTTGGGTCGGATTTGTGTTGTAGGACTGAAGCTGCTCTGTGTGGGCAGTTTCTGGGGCAGAATTCGGCTTTTCCAAATATGAGACGAGATGAGCTCTGGGATCTTGGGCCACGAAGGAAGATTCAATCATTTCCGAACATATGCATGGAGGCTGTGCCAAATTTTTTGGTACGGCTTCTACCACAACATTGCGGATTGTCGGGAGGAGACTAGTTTCATAGTGTACGGGTTCTGGTTGGGATTCTGGGTAGGCGATTTCCGGAATATCCTTTTTCAAAGCCGTAAATCTTTTTATGATATTTGCCAAACACCGTAAACAGTGAATGTGGACCTCTGGATCCCCGCATACACAAAGATACTTGTCATCCACATCTAGAGCATGCGGACCTTCGACAAGATTATCATAAAATTCTTTGTGAATGGTGTTAGGTCTGACGCCGATGGGTAGAGTGTATGATGCCATTTTGCCTTTTAGAATTTCAAGCTCGTCGCCGCACGTAAAGCACGGAGCCATGCCCATCTTGCTTACGACAGGAACAGGTCGAAGTTGACTAAATGAAGGCATATCGAAATTTGCAAGTTGATATTTTATATGCGTATCTAGAGGCTTTGATAGTCTATTGATTATTATATTAGTCCTTGTACAACGTAATTAAATCGACAAGTTCTAAGCAAAGTAGGATTAAATATAAAGAAAGATATATACTAGAGACTTGAACTGACTGATTCTGTTAAGTGAGGATGCTGGTAATTTCGTTTGTTTTTGAACTTGTATTCGGTTTCCAACCTTTGGTTTTTGAGTTATTGGAATTGTGAATATCAACCCAAAGATGCCCATCGATATCATGATATTTATAAACTGAGCTTGAAATTGATCTGAGGAATCATTCTAAAATAAAAGATCAGTCCGAACAGGACTGATACAAGCTCTGATGAAGCTGATATAGTCTTGATCTCACTAGTACTAACCTATATGTCGTTATAACTTATAATAAATCTAGCAAGATAAGTTTAAGTGGACGCAAGCTAGAATTCTTTCCTCAAGATGTAATGTACGATAGCTAGTCTCCACATTCTTGATAACAATTGATTAGAAGGTTCCCGATGCCGGGCTCCTTGAGGACTTGAATTTAGATACGAGCAAAATATATTAGTCAGGTTGAGATTGAATTTATTAACATAACCTGAATAGATATGCAGTAGGTTCCAGCATGTACCTCGCTAAAGCTAATCTGTACTCCAACTTAAGGTTGGAATTTCGTATGGACCCTGTGATCGAATGTGCATTGTGCATCCATATGCACGTTCCTCACGATTGCGTACGGCGTCCCAAATGCGCCAGATGTTTTTATGCCTAACCACGTTTGGGAACCCCTCTACCTACTTTAGACCACACCAAGCGCCCACGCGTCTTACTGGCTGGCCCACCGGCTGGGTTATGGGCCGGTTCGCAGGCGGGCAGGCTGCCCATAAGCCGCCCTAACCAGCCTGTGAACCAGCCTGCAAACCAGCTTTGTGAGCGAGCCTGTGAACTGGACTGTGAACCAGCCTATGAGCAAGCCTATGAGCCAGCTTGTGAACCACCAGCCATGTGTATATAAGCACCATGTTCGGCCGGGCCTGCCCTAGCCCGGATCGGAATTTTGTGTTTCGTGGGACCTGTGTTTCGCTACGCTTTCACGCTTTTGCGACGTATTCTTCATCGTACTATTTGATTACAAATATGAATCGCCTTTGACTTTGATGACGTCATCGATTGTTTTGAATGATAATTTATAAAATGAATGAGGACCGGTACCAGTGATGAGATACCCAGGCCGGAATGTTTCGTAAAATTCCTCGAGCAGTATTGGTTAATTTGATTGGTTGTGGTTACTAATTAATTCCTCGCATCTCGGTACCTTATACTCCCCTAGATCTGCGAGCTAAATTTAAAGCAGTCGGCATATTGCCACAAACCCCGATTGAACTCTCTTCTAGGCGGTATCAAAACGCCAGTAATTAGTTAGACTTGAATCCTAGTCTCGTATTGCAGACGCGGTCCACACAATACGAGACTACTTGAATCCATGGTCGATTCAAGTGCCCCACTATTGCTACTGAATTAAAACGCATCAAGCTTATGGCGAATTTTAGATCAATTATGGATGATAGAAAAGCCTCAAAATTATATTGTATACAAAAATTCTTGAAGATAGCATCGATATCCTGGAAACACCAACAGGAGTCCAACTTCCGCCATGCATGCCGCGGCTGCAGAGTTACTGTTCATTATCCCTTCGTAATCCCCTTCATGAATATTTAAACCCGAAATCACAATACCCTCACAATGTCAACCATAGTACAAGAAGGATCAAAAGGCTTAGCTCTAACCAACAACTCAAGCGCAGTATACTTCTCCCCGCTAATCTTATTCCTCCCATTCGTGCAAATGTACCACAAATTTCTCTTCCCTCCATAAGTAAGATACCCTTCGCTATCAAACCCCATCGCGGTGTCAACAATCGCGACCCCGGATGCATCGTGTTTTAGTTGGAAGGTCATCGGCTTGAGATGTTGACCGGGAAGAATCGTCTTAGAGAATGTAGCAGCCAAAGAGAGCTCGAGATCTCCGCCAAAAGATGAACCAAACATGGGGATATTGTGATAGAGGATTCCGCCGCCGGGGCGTTGTTCGAAGTAAAAGTTCTTATCGGCTTCTGAGGAGACAGTCGCGGCGGTGTATGCTTCGCCTTGGATGGCGCCGGAAATGAAAGCACCGTTATATTCGGCTAAGGTTGAGACGATAGAGAGGGAGAATGGGTCAGAGTTCGCTTTAAAGGGAATGACAACGGCGGAAACCGCGCTGGCAAGAGTGACGAGGCTGATGATTGACTTCATTTTCGAGAATATTGATTGAGTATTTCCAAAGTTCGAAGTCCCTTAGAGATTTAAACGTGAAAAATTAAAACTCAAAGATTTATAGGTCAAAAAAACTTCAGCACAAACTTCGCTTTGAGGGATGAGTGATTCTGGTTTCTAAGACGATCGATGGTTCACTTACAACCATCCTTTTATATAGCTTCAATGTGCAAAACTCAGTCTGAGAAGAGCTTCTCTGCATTTATGAAAATATCAGCTCACTCTCTACGTCTATGCAAAAAGTACGGCCTTGGCTACAAAACTTCTTTCCCCAGTTCAAGGATTCAAGATACCTAAATAGACACTAACGAAGTTCCCGTCTACAATACCAAAAAACAACACCAAAATGGGGGGTTTGTGTGTTGTTGCTGCTGCAATATCAACCCGAGCCCTCTCAGATCCAAAATCCGAGTCTGGAGTAGCTGGACATATTGGCCCTAAGGAAGAACTCAAGAATGTTCCGAACCTTCCTAGAAATATAGGGAGCCGCGCCTGATCCGTCCTGCCTGGACCAAACTGGTGACACAAATGAGATGACAGGGGTGTCGACCAGTAGCGGAATAAAAATTGGTAGATACATTAACCTTGAAATCTACGATTCCCCATGTAAACAGCTCAATGTGCCCAGTCTTGGCCCAAGCGGCATATAAAAAAAAGGGCCGTGCAGGCCTAGATTCAGATTAAAAGCTTAAAAAAATACATGCATGAACTGATCAATATAACTTTTATGCAAATACATCCGTAGCAAACCGCTCCTTGCCCAATCCCTCAAACCACTCTTCGACATCCTCGTCGCTGATTGCTTGTCCCTCCTTTTCCTTTCCATCTTTGTAGATCTTCTTGCACATATCCTTAACCCCACTTCCGACTTCCCGGCTGCCGCAAACAAAAATTTTTCCTTTGTCTGCAAAAAGCTTGATCGCATCTTCTCGGTCGTGCCATAATCGGTCCTGAACATGTTTACAACCCTCACTAAGCTCGCGGGCTTGGCTATAAGCAAATCGGACATCAACCGCACCCATTTCGGACCATTCCATTAGTTCATCGGGGTACAAGCTATCCTTTTCTGGATGCTTGCATCCAAAGAATAGCATGGCAGGTGCTAAATCCCGTCCAGCGGCCTTCTGAGCGGCACGCTCCATGGTGAAGCCACGGAATGGTGCAAGTCCTGAGCCTGCAGCAATCATAATAATCGGGACAGAAGCAACATCCAATGGTAAATTAAAGCCGCCGTGGGAGTTGCGGATAGCAACTTGGACTTTATCACCTTTCTCCAATGACGAAAGATAATTAGAGGCCACACCGAGATGCTTGCGGTCAGAGTCCGCCAATGAGGGCTCATTGAGCACACTGTAGGTCAGCGTGCAACTTCCTGGGCTAGAAAGCGGGGAAGAAGAAATTGAGTATTGGCGTATCCTCATTGGCGGAAGCATGGCAAGATAGTCTCCGATTGGTATTTGGATCGTAGGGTATCTTTCGAGAAAGTCAAGAGTCGATATTCTAGGTTGTGAGATTTCTTTCCCGAATCTTTCCGTGTCGTTTGCAAGCTCTAGGATCTCTTTTTTGATTTCATCCTCATTGCAGCATTGAGCTATGGTGATGAGATCACGCTTTGTGGCCGGTTGCGACAATTCCACATATGAAGAAAGTAACTCCCCGGCAGAGATATTTGTATCGGTTGGGAGGGTAGTCGGCATCTCGGACGTAATTTTTAGCGCTGCATCCCATGGAAGAGCGAACCTCCTCATTGCTCGCTTTACAGCCGACTCGTGATTCGTTGGAAGAACTGCAAGGTAATCGCCAACCTTATACGAATATTCGGTCGGTAATTTGACCTCAAGATGCCGTTTCTCTGGCACATCCTCGGCCGTTAACTTCCTATTTTCAACCACTACACCAGTTTTCAGGTTCTGTCCAAGAACGCTCGGTCGGTTCTCAACAAAGACAGAAACCTTGAGACCTGATTTTGTTGTAGATTTAGCATTATTCGCTACGCTCCCGAGAGAAGGCCAAAACTTTTCGTCAACCCAGTTGCCGAAGTCTTGAAACATATCCCCAGCACCAGCATCCGCCGCTCCTCTTTCGCAGAGTCGTTCGCCCCCTAAACTTCCCAATAACTCATCACACTGTGTCGGAATACGCTGATAAGTCGAAGCCCAGTCATGGTGGCCACATCCAAAGACAGCAAACTTGATACCCTTTGCCTCTTCACCTTTGCACGATTTAATCCACTCGTAGAAGTGGGTGGCGTTATCTGGGGGCTGTCCCTCAAAGCTAGCTGTGATGAGTACTAAAGGACCATCTTTCGGTAGGTTTTTAGACGCTGCGTCTAAAACTTCAACCTTGGCCTTATAGCCGCGAGCAGAAGCGTCGAGCGCAAGACGGTTGGCAAAGGCTTCGCAAGTTCCTGTATTACTGCCGTAGAATATGTGCATAGGCTGCTTCGCCGAATCGTCTTCGTTAGCAGTACCGTTGTTTAGCCCAGCATTTGTGACGTCTGTCTGAGCAGCATGTCCGCCGCCTCCAAGGAAATGCTGAAGAGTAATTGGAGTCAACCCATGACGCAACTTCGATTTCAAACGGAAGTCCTTAGGTTTTATAGTAAGATTTTGCTTGATAGAAAGCTGGTACCCTGAGTCTGCCATGTAGAAATCAAAATTTTGGAAGAGAACTGCCATTACAATGAGCATCTCTTGCCATGCGAATGGTCGTCCAATGCAGGCCCTCATTCCATTTCCGAATGGTTTCCAGGCATCCGGTGGTAGTTTGTTGAATGGCTCATCGAGCATGCGCTCCGGTTTGAACTCTTCCGCGTCAGACCCATAGACCGCAGGATCTTTGTGCATTTTCTTGACCAGCAAAAGTATCGATTGATCATGTCCAACTTGGTATTGGCCGTTGATAAGAATTGGGTCTTCGTGGTTATCGAAAGGATGCGGGCGAACTCCAATAGCGGTGATCGGAGAGCTTAATCGTAGCGTTTCGCGGAGGACGGCGTTGGTGTACGGTAGCTTCGCAAGATGTTCAAGATTAACCGGCTCTCGTCCAACAACTCGGTCGATTTCTTCTTGTAGCTTCTTGTATGTTTGTGGATTCCTGAGCAGGTTATACATTGTGAACGCAAGAGTTCCAGAAGTGGTTTCATGGCCTAAATTATTGATTTTTATATGAGTCGGGGCGTATCAGTATGACGGGCGACAGACGAAAGCTTACCCGCAATTAGGAAAGTAATCATGTTGTTGACAATAAGTTCGTCCGTGAGTCCTCTCCCAGTCTGTGGGTCCTTGCCATTGATCATAGCATTCAGTAAGTCCTTCTTATCAGACGGAGTGTCCCTCCTCTCTTTAAGAAGGTCATAAGAAACTCGTTTCAACAGATCGATATCCTTAAAATAAGCTTCGCTCGCACGAGTGGGGATCATATTCATAGCAGGTAACCGTCGGCCACGGTTTCCAGACTCGATTAGGAAGTCGACCATGGCGTCAACAAATGGATGTTGGTTTTCGGTATAAAATGAATTGAAGCGGGCGCCCATGGCGCAAAGGGCGATAGTATCAAGTGTCAGACGAGTAAAATCCTCTGAGGCATCAACAGAAGCACCAGACGGAAGACGTGCCCATTTTAACGCCAGTTGATTCGCCAAGTCCGTCATTTCTACAAGTTTGAGAATTTAGTTTCCAGATTCCGAATATATTTGATTTTGGAGATCGAAGGGTATATAGATAGAAGCGGACGGAAACTCACCATCGAACATGCCTCGAATAGTCAGAGGCCCGAAGGCCGGTATCAAAATCCTATGCGCAATTCCCCAGTTCTCCTCTCCAGTATACGCTGTAAATAAACCATCTCCAACCCCATTTCGGACTTGTTCTAGACCTCCCGCGACTTGTTTCGCAAACCGTTTCTCATCACAACACTCATGAATTAGTTCCCAAGAGCTGAGAACCAGAAGCTCTTTACCCCCTAAGCTAAGTTTATAGATTGGTCCTAGATTTTGAATATCTTAGCATTGGTATAGACAAGCAACCAAATTAAATAATGCTTGGAAACATACCATATTGGTCTGCAAACCCTTCAAGTGTTTTCAACGGCGTTACAAGATCTATATCAAAAATATTCCCAACAAGTGGTAGGCCTGGAGGGCCTGGAATTGGTTTGATAGCCTTCATCTTTTTAGAGATGGGACACTCAGCGCCTTCTGGTGCATCTTTTGCGAAAGGGCAGGTTGCAGATTGGCCGAATGAAGGTAGCCAGGAGGCATATCCACCGGCCTGTTGTGAATGGACTGGACACTTTTCTGAAGACATTGCCGGTGCCTCTTGTATTTTTATAATTAATTAGTGAGGAACACCGAATCTGTTATACCGCAAGTCGAGAAAGTGATATATGATACTCGAGCTAGCTCCGCACAAGCTTTCGAAGCTTTCTCCAATCGACCGGTCGAGTTAGCTTAAATTGTGTTGGCCGTAGTTGGTCAAGGCTCAAGAGTGACGAAATGCTTGGCCTAGCTTGTGAAGCTTTAACCAATCCGGAGGAACAAAAGTAAAAGAAATAGAGATGCTGTCAAGATGAACGCTGGATACTCAAGGAGTTTTTCGAGAAAAAAAAAAAAAAAAAAAAAAGGAGCGGTACGATTATAATTTTATCTATCAAGCTAGTATTTTATTAAAGATTTTTAATGGTAGCGAATACGAGCCTCTGCAATTCTAGAAGGTGTAAATTTATAAATATCGCAACTTCGGATTCAAGTTAGGCTCAGGACATGTCAACACGTAGAATTTATAAAATTCAAAGGTTGATCAAGGGGGTAAAACGTCACCCTCAAACAATGTGAACGTCAAGGCCTGCGTAACGCAGGGATATCTCGTTCGGTGGTATTCTTCAAATGTTGCTCCAAAGCCGACGCTTTCGGGGTGTATTGAAGCTCCGGAATTCCAACCGGAACAAGGAAACTCCTAATGTGGTATAGGAATCCACACACGCCGATTGTGCCTCGGCTTCGTACGAATTTTGACCGTGCCGTGTGTAACATTATTAGGAAGTACCCCCGTAGTTTATTCAAAAAAAAAATTTTGAAAGGAAAGGAAAGGAAACCCCGACCAAGGCGAATTCAGCTTATGGAGTTTAGGATTTTCATGCTGTATACGACGACCACTAGGAGGTTAGCGTAAGCCCATGTTAACATGTGCATATCTGGGGTAACGAGAATTGAAGCTAGCCAACGTACTTAACGATATTTGCTTTGTTCAGCTGAAATTCACGAAAGGAAATCGCAAGCGAGCAACATTCTCGATATGCAGACCACATATAGACCCTTAAGTAAGTCCTTAGTAAGAACCGAAGCAGAATCCAGCAGCTAGTCGAGTCCTATCTACCCACGTGGTCCCTAGCCTACAGAGGCGTCGACGAAAAGCGGTCAAAGTCATAGTCGGCGTTGTATCTCATCTGCAACACGATGCATCCGGCAGGAGGAGTTCTATATACTTGAGTACTTTAAGAAGTACACTTGTATTCAGCTGAAAAGGTTACGGTTATAAATACTCTTCCTGTTACCCCGCACCGTTACACTAAAGTAATACTTTTCTTCTCCTTCTTCTCTTTCTCTTCCTTCCACCAAGACCATCAGTCATTCTAACGATTACGATTCCTGACCTCAAGAAATACTTCTTTAACCAGTAAAATAACGTTTACGTCCGAAGTGTAAGCCGTTGCACCAAGCTACCCACCCTTCTACTAGACCGGGTTTAAGCTTTGAGGTCATTGCTCAGCCTTAAATCATTAACTAACACGAGACATACATATATTAGACCCCAAACACAAAATGCCTCCTTGTGGAAGTACTACTTGCAACTGCGGCGATAACTGCGCATGCGCAGCTGGAGCTTGCAAATGCTGAGCTTTTGATAAAATACCTCCGATTCAATCCTACTCCTCGTTCGATATTTTATCCCCCGCATCATGTGGATTTTTGATTTATTGTTCATCTCCTCCCGATCGAGCTCCTCCGACATGATTTCAAACTGAGTGGTTGAAAACTGGATCATTACATCATTATAGTTGTCATTAGTCTATAAAACAAAAAAAATATGTACTATTTTGGCACCAAATAAATGTATCTTAGCATGAAAATGTACCGAAACATTAAACCCCTCGACAATCCACAAGATTACAGTATCCCCTTATCTTACAAAACAGATACATTATTGAATTTCTCGATTGCCCTTTTCAACATCAATAGAAGTAAAAAAACTATACACGATTACGAGTTCCAGGTTTACTAGTTCCCCAACTTATAGACAAATATTTATCATTCACATGATATCGCAAGATATACAGTCTCTCCAAGAATGCAATCCTCAAATTCCAGCATGTAAAATCAAGAACTGAAAATTAGTAACAGATTTTCCAATCAATTATGCCCAACATTACGGCCATACAGCGGAATCAAGTTGTAAATTTCGTAGTCGCGCGGTAACATAACGCAGTACATAACGTTCTGTGTAGGCCGGGATGTGTTGCTTGCGTGTTATTGTCATCAGCGACGATGTCGACAGCCTCATGTGTGAACGTTCCTAGGATCCTGCAATCAAAATTTAAAACCATGGAATCTTAATTAACTAACGTTATGATTACAAAGTACATTTATAGTGATTACATGTACACAAATACCCACAATTGCCTATGAGTACGTAATTAAGTAAGAAGCCCAACATTACCCAAACTCTTTATCTCGTAAGTACTATACTCGCGATTAAAAAAAAAGATCTCATCATATATGCGCACCAATAATCCGGATCCGAGATGTCCTTTGGAATATTTCGCAATAGAACCCTTGCCTTGACTAGACTACACTCAACTCCACTCAATCACAGCCAGGGAAATCCCAAGCGGCGTCAGCATGTTTCGATCCATAGGCTTGTATGAAACCGCTCGACCCACATACGTAACCATTAATGTTAATACTCTAGACTCGGATCGATCGATCTCCGAAGTCGACTACCCGCGTATATATATGTACATAAACCCCGACGGACCGAGCCCCACCTCTATATGTCGCACAGTATGCTAGGCACCTGTTAATCTAGACTAGTGTAGTGAAAAGCTTGAGTCCCATCCTATAGTTTATCAAGGTTCTTCTTCGTCCTATAATTTCCCAAATACACTCTACATGAAATATGTAGTGTGGGGTGCTGTTCCTAAGGACCCAATGCACTTTTACCTGACTCTGAAGTTATTGTTGAATTCTTTCGTTTACCAATACGGACAAAGAGCTACCCGAGGACATCGTCTTTCGTATAATCGAACCAAAATCTGCAAAATGATACGAAGACGGCAGCTGGCTAGCGCTGGCTACAAAGCAACCCCCCAATTAATTGACGTCATACACAATAATAAAAAAAAGAGATAACCTTAATGGGTTTTTTTTTTTTGAGAAAGAGCAAGGGGTCAGTTTAGTCGCCAAGTATGTAGTTAGCTTATTGTGTGACGGCGACGCCGCTCGTCCCGAAAAGCCCTTCCCGGGCTAAATGCCGAGGCACCCTTGACTCTCGCCCAAAATTACAATAGTTAATATAATCCCAACATTTTCTGCTTCAATGAACCAAAATCAGAAAATGAAAATAAAATAAGGGTTTGCGGAGAGCTCCTAAGTATCTATGTATCTCCTGACTGGCACAATGTGATCATCCAATATTCATAAAATACGTTATATAGTCAATTAATGCATGGTGAGAATATTATCCCGACGGCGGAACCGTGGTAAGCTAAGCCGATTGGGGAGGTCATGAAGTTCGAAGGTGCGTTTCCGCCGGACGTTTCTACCACATCGGTCCACAGAAGTTCGAGACGCATTCTAATTCGACGAGGGATCTTTCCATCACATAAATGACAAACTTTCGACTATGGTCACCATATCACAAAGAAGCCTTGGCGGCTCCTACATTGTCCTTCAGATAACTGAGAGCTCCCCTGAGTTAAATTTGTTTCGTTCTGAAGTTTTAAAGAGCACTTTGAATTCTATCGATATTAGATTAGTGACACCATCCGCCCTCCTTGAACATCCGAATCATCACAACCTGCACCCTTCTTTTTTTTTTTTTTTTTTAAAAAAAAAAGCTGTAATCAAAAATATTTTCCAAAAGCTACCGAATATTCCCAAATTCTGTGTTCATCGCTCACCTCTAGCGACACAAAGTCTGAGTAACCTAGGTAGAACGATTTTTTCCCCCTCCTCCAGCACAATGAGGATCCCCATGTTAGGTATTCCTTGTGCATCCACCCTATATTCGACAGAGTAAACCTAGAAGGTGAAACATATACCATTAAAAAAAAAACTACTGACCGATAATATCCATAATCTATCAAAAGAAGCGGATAGGTAACCCGTAGTTCAAATTGGAAAGTGGGATGGTGGAATGAATCAATGCAATGCACTCGAACGGTTTCCGAAGGCTATCCAGATATTTATCTAGACTGGTTAGATCGATTACAGAAGTATTCTCAACGGGGGAGCTCGTGTCTCAACTAAAACCACACTATAGGAACTTAAATCGAATAGTACTTCCTCTGAAAGATACTGTATGGTATTTGAAGGTTTAAGTTAACGTGGGAGTGCATAGATCCAGGCTAGATGCTCTTTCAAAATTGGGATATATCAATCTTGCAGTATCATATCATGATATTAATTTAGTTGTACATGCATGTTAGTCCTACTTTTAAATTCCGGGTCGTCTCATTTACAAAAGAGAATCGATCAATCAGATATCGCTACTTCCTTAAATCGAACCTCTATAACAAATCTACGAACCCAAAAGAAGAGTATATGTAATCAAATTCTGATTAATCTATATATAAGTATTTAATATGCAGCCACTGTATATGTGTAGCTTATAGCGTCTCTGTCGCCGTAAATTCTATATCAGTATGAAGACTCGACGAAAAAAAGTAAAAAGAATTCAAATAGATCGTGATATATAGCAAGACTACCATATCGATCCCAACTATTCTACTTCTTACACCTGTAATTATAATATAGAAATCTGTCCTACAATTCCCCCCAAAAATCCCACAAACCCAACGCATCCCCAATTCACACGCCCCTAGGAGGCCACCCAAAATCCGGATCCGGCGCTCTCCCATTCCCCCAAAACAACCTCGTCGTCTCCTCTCCCACACTCGGAAACTCATTTTCTTGTCCCGTCGGCACACTCTGCAGTGGAATATCCGTCGTATCCGGGAACCCCTCCAAATTACCCCCCGCACCATTCTCACCATCACCATAATCACCAATATCAATCCCAATATTCCCATACCCACTAGCCAATTCATCCATCACCGCCCTCCTCATCTCATCAATAGTCTCCTGGTCAATAACTGAATACTGCGAATCATCCAGATTTATAGGATTAGGTTCTTCAGGTCTTGAATGTGCTCGTTGGAGGGGTGATGGCGATGTATCTTCCTTCTCCTCTTCCTCTTCATCTTGTCGTCGATTGGCAGCGGCGTATTCTTCAAGCGCTAGATATATGTAAATATACCAATCTTGTTAGCAATCCGTATAAGAACCTGTGATATATACCTACTTCTTGTATATAAGGGAACATACCATCATGAACAACATCACCAAACCTTCCCGCCAAAAGCCTTGCTCTCCCTCCTCCCCCTCTTCCATACCTACCATTAATCCCACCGCCCACACCACGGCGAACCTCAACAATCCCTCTTTCGAAATCTAAAGCATCAGGTTCTAATCCCGTCCCAAATTCATCCATTCTCAAATCAAAATCATGGTCCTCTTCTATCCCATCACCATCACCATCACCATCACCATCACCGCCATTATCATTATTACCATCATTAACAGCTACCCCCTGCCCAATACTCCTTTCCACAGACGGCTCAGCTACTAAATTCTCTATATTACTTATATGAGAATCCCTTCTATCCCCAACACCACCAGTACCAGCACCACCAGCATCAGGGCGGTTAACATTCTCAAACTGGCTATAATGAATCCCAATCGGTGCATTTATATTCCCACCACCACCAGCACCACCTGTCGTCGGTCGAAGCATTTGATCCAAACTAGGCGGATCTTCATAGTAATCTAAATATTGCTGTTGAGTACGTGGCAGGCAATTACCACGTTTTGATAGTTTGTGGGTTTGTTCTTTGGGGAATTGTGGGTTTATATTGTCGTTATTATTATTATTATTAGCGGCGGTGGTACTGTCGATATCAATATCATGGGATTCGTAAGTGGTGGTTGTACCGGATTCCGGGTCCGTACAGGTCACGGTATCGATGATGTCGTGGATTACTTGTTCCTGTGGGTTTTGTTGGGTGGTACTTGTGGTGAGGAACGGGGTTGGAGATGTATATGGTGCCGTTGTAGTTGAAGTTGGTGGACGGGTCTGTGGGAGAGCGGTGGAGAGGGTGGTAAAGCCCAGGAAGAGGAGGACTGGTCGGTACATCGTTTTTTATTTGGATATATTGATGAGATATTCAATATATGGATTACTCGATGGAGTAAAGCAGACCTCGTGGTTTCTGCTGTATTGATCACGGAATGATAATATCAACCATGCGTATACATGCATGCACGCCATGGACAAAGCATTTCTACCACCCCGGACAGTCCATAACGCCCACATGGGCGAAATAGCTGAGGCCATTGGAGTCGAATAGCGGTTCTTTTTATACTCCCACATGTACACCCCCATAAGACAGGACGTCTGCTCAATCTCCCTCAGCCTCATGCCTACTATATATATTTACATCCCGTAAAGTAATCTCGAAAACTTGATAATATCTAAGTACTTATATACCGGATATTTAAATATTACAGAGGAACAGTAATAATTGATGATGGGTTATACATCCCAAGTTCTTCTTTATTTATTTATTTATTGTCACTAGCTAATACTATAACTATACTATACTATACTATACTATACTATGATACTATCCTAAAAAAAAGTAGCAAAACAGTCCGCCGAAATCTTTTATTCAATCCAAAGCACTCCCATACCAGCTTTTTTTTCTTCAAAGGGAAAAAAAAAAAGTACAAGAACTGGATGAAAAGATAAAAATATATGAAAATGAAAAAGCACAAACACCGGTTGGGAAATTCAGGATCCGAAAGCAAACCCTTTTTGTTTTCGCGCAACGGGATATCACTTGAAGGCTTGAATAAAAAATAGAATAAAAATCCACAAGAAATTGGAAGGAGAAAAATAATATCACACGCTCAAAAAACATAGCAGATTACAAGAAGAAATCGAGAACGAGTAACGAGAGGGAAGAGAAATGACAAGCAGTAACAAGCTAATAGACAAAAAGCCAAATGCTAACAAATCCCATATCCAAACCGAAGCCCAGAGATATAAAGAAAGAAAAGAAAAGAAAAAAAGATAGGACATATTCGGGGAAAAAATAAATCCGAAAAGTCCATAACTTACCCATAAGAAGTCAACGCGCGCTTTTTGCTTTGCTTTGCTTCGCTTCGCTGTGCTCTATGACTCTTTTTTTTTTTGTTTCATGATCTATATGCTTTTACGACCGTCGCATATACAATCGGGTCATATGCATCATAAATGTTTCTTTTCGTGTCGTGAAGTCATTGTTTCATGGCCACACCCCCTTTAATACTATCCAACCCATCCATCCATTACCGCATATATTCTTCGTAATTTGCAGAAAACGAATAAAGAAGAACGGCAGTTGTTCTAAGAAGATGTTCGCTTAGAGATCGTCGCTAAAAAGCTCGTCCTCAGCTAGCGATCGAGACTGAGAGTCGATAGTGTCGTCAAAATCACAGTTCTCGATGCATATCGTGGGAACATTCACTGTAGGCTTGACTGTCTCGGTCTTTTTGGGTGAAGCCTCCTCGCGAAGATTCTCTTCGTCTTCTTCGTCATCCTCTGGCAACGGGACGGCGGCGGCAGTGAGGACATCAATGTCATCCTTCTGCTGCTTCAAGTAGTCCTCGACGATGTTTCCAATGACGGCGAATTTAGATGATGCCAGGCAGCTTCTCTTTTCTTCCTGCTTCATCTTCTTTAGCTTCTCAGCTTCTTCCCTTTCCTTCTTAAGAGTAGGGTAGAAGATCTCAACATCGGCTTCACCGAGGGGGCTTCTGATCCGCTCCTCATCCATAATCTCAAACTCTTCTCGTCTAGGAAGGGCTGGAGGTGGCATAGCGATCTGATCCTCAGTTGGTGGAGGTGGGATGTTCTCCTTTCCAATTCGGTCAAGCTCGCTACACTTCTTCAAATCCTCTTCGTCGGAGATGTCAAGAGTACCAGCACCGTGGTACATCAAGTTTGTCAAGGTCTCCTCGAGTGTATCCTCATGGATCTCAAACATCCAACCCTTGGGGAACGACTGGCCAGGGCGCCATGCATTTCCAGTGGTATTACCCGACTTGGCAACAGGGGTGGCGATAAGTCTACCATTGATAGAAGATTCAATATCTTTACCGGATTTGGATAGTTGGGAAGGTGGGTCGACACGTCTGACAGCCTTCTGGATCTTACGCTTGATACCCTTAGATGGTGACGAAAGGGTAGCAAGGCTATCCTTGCGAGAAAGGGCTGGACGACCTGAGGAAGCAGTAGAAGATGTAGAAGAGGTTGTGGATGGGACTAGAGACCTTCGCTTTAGGGAAGAAGAGGAGGAGGAGGAGGAAGTGGAGGAGGATGCATTGACAGTCTTCTTCTTCGAGACGACAGGGGCAGCAGAGTGGGAGGGGACAGCAGGCTTCGTGACGAGAGCATATTTGGGAACAGAGTTCTCGTCGCATGAAGCGGGTGACAGTAGAGACTTCATGCGCTTTGTCTGAGTGGATGCATTGACAGGGGCGTTTTCGTCGTAGATGGTGTAGAAGGGCCGCTTTCCGGAAGAAGCGGAAAGACCCAGTGGTTTCTTTCCTACAGAAAAGCCTATGGAGGGAAGAAGGAAGAGTAGGTCAGCATCATAAGTACTAATACTTCTTCACGATCATTGTTATAATTCTCATGGTCAAAAACAACATCGCACATTTACATATCCAGATCCAGATCCAAATCCTTATCCATAACCATAACCATAGAAGCGCATTCACAAAAGTGGAGTCAGGGATTTATATTTGGGAGTGACATCACATCGGAGCGAACCGGGCGACTGGTGAAAATGGATATGAAAATGGATATGAAATGTGTTGCGCAACGTGGGGAAACATGAAACAGAGGCTGGCTGGGTAGACGGGACACTTTGATTGGCAGGCCAAATATAGGCGGGCGCTCCATCGATTCCTGTTCTTAACTCCATGAACATGGAATGAACATGGTCATGGCCATCCATGTCGGCCACGACTATGACCATCGCAGTGGCAGTCCATCTGACACCCAGCTGATACCGATACTGTCTGGTACCAGTCCTAGTACCATAGAAGAAGATGGATGGATGGATACGTTGCATCGGGGGTTTTCGCCAAATAAATGAAGGAAAATGAAGGCGAAAAGCGAGAAAATTAGAAATAGAAAGAGAGAGCAAAAAGCTTACCTTTGCCATCGAAAGTAGCGTTTATTCCACGAACAATGTTGGTGACGTTACCTAACACGGTCCTCTTCCTGGGCGAAAGAGGGGTAAGAACATGGCGAGGTTGGGTCGAGATCATGGTCGCCATTTTTTTGGGTCTTTCTTGTCGCTTCCTCCAATCAGATCTGATCGGATCAGATTCAGAGATTCAGAGATATCAAAAGTCGGAGATGTTTTGCCTTCTGTCGGTTGGTTGGTTGGTTGTAAAATAAAATACTTTATCCGAAGTATAATAAATAGTAAGGCCGGTATCAAGCAATTACTTTCAATCAAGAAGAATCGCGAAAAAGAAAGTGTCGGATATGTCTTTCTTTCTTTCTCTTTTAGTTAAATCAAGTGGCGATGGCGATGGCGGTGGTGGAGGAAGAAGAAGAAAAGGAAGAAGAAGAAGAAGAAGAAGAAAGAGGAAAGAAGAAAGAAGTAAAGGTGGTCCAGGCGAAATGCGACGGGAAAAGTACTTGGAAAGGGCGGAAACAGCAGAAGATAAGAGAAAACGGCAGTGGGAGGAACAAGGTCGGTACTCAGTACGACTACACACTGACAAGTAGTATATTAAACCCCCCTGGTACAGTAGAAGATAAATGAATGACCCTCGACGGCTGCAGGCGAGACGAGGGGGGGGGGGGGGGGGGGGGAGGGGAAGAGAGAGGAGGGGTGTGTCTGAATTCGAATGTGATGTATGTTATGCAGCTGAGGGATAAAATAGAAGCGAAAAGGCTGCAGCTGATCGAGAGAGAATATGTATACGATATAATAGTAACCAGAATATTATAGTCTGGAAGGAAGGAAAAAAAGACGAAACAGACGGTGTGTGAGGGGCCTTGTCGGGTTTTTAGGACAAGTTAAGTTACGTTTGAAGAGAATGCAAGTTTCCGGATTTTCAGACCGGACTGCTGCTTTCTATCGATCTTCGGCGCGTCGTTGGATGGGTCAACCCCGTTCGGTGTTCGGTGTCTCCACAAGGCACAGTCAGAACTGGCAGGCACACAAGGTTTACAGTCTGATTCGATTCGATTCAATTCAATTCAACCATGCAGTTAATTTGGTGGTTAATTTCAAGTTGGATGATGTTGAAGATTCGAAGAGGAGGAGGAGATCGATTCAGGAGAGGAAGAAGGAAGAGGAAGAGAACAGGAAGAAGGAAGAGTCAAAGGAGCGGACCGTGCTGAAACCACACGAAAGAAGCTACCAATATGCAAGAGTATTCTATTCAACCCGAGTTAAGAGAATTGACAGTTCAGACGTCGAAGTGTATAAAGAAAGAGTGATAGTGATAGTGATAGTGACGGTGATGGTGATCAAGCTGAGCAAAAAAAGATTTAAAGAAAAAAAAGGACAGTCAGTGACTTCACCAGCCTTCTTTTCCCTTCCTTCCCTCAGAAAGGGATGAGGAAATTATCAATTACACTTCCCAATCCAGCACTCAAATTGAATTGTGCCCCAAAAAATCGGGTGGCAGAAAACCTCAGAAAAGAGGAAAAAAGGGAAAGAAGCAATTATCCAATTAATATGCCAGGAATGGACTTGCCAAGGTCCACTCCGAGTGCGATGTGAAGACATTAACATGGTTTACCCCTGCTTAGCCTCTTTTTCTCCCTCCTCCTCCTTCGCCATCACCGATTCTCTTTTGTCTTTGCTTTTTTCTTCTTTTTCTAAGCTGCTACTTTGCTACGCGTGCGCGTGACATTCTTGCGTCTGTCTTGCGAGAAACTCGAAAGAGAGCAAGGCGAAACAGATTTCTTTCATAAGTAGAAGTAGGGTCCCCACTTTCTTGCATCGGGCCTCATGTCCAGCTTGGAATTTTAGTCCAATTCCAATCAGCTTATACTTACATACATTTCACAGCCCCATGGCCAGTATAATTATAATTGTAACGTAAACGCCTTCTGGTACCTGCTGGTTATGCCCGTTTATAAGCCTCTTTCTCTCTCTCTTCAGGTGAAGGCCTGAATTCAATTAGTTCAATATTAGGATTAGTTACTTTGGTTAATTCTAAAACGTCATTTCTTTAAGTTTTGACAGCTTAACTTTTAATTTTATAAACCTTTATAATTCCTCAATCACATTTACACCTAATGTACAATAGTATTTATCTTATATAACCTTAAAGTAACCAAGCTCTTTTTTCTTTTCTTTTCTTTTCCCATCCTTTTTTTTTTTTGTTCGCGATTAAAGAAGGAGTCTAAGGATTCGAAAAATGCAGAAACCCGGTAAATTTTTCACGTCGCGTTCGAATTCTTTCGAGCCTACCATAACGGGAATTAAATCCTCTTCTAACTCGGTCACTTTTCAAACGAGTTCCGACAATCAAGCTTGCTAGTATGAAAATTTTTTATACATGTGAACAAGGGCCCGGGATGCCCTATACACCGACGTCACGACATATAGGTAAAGGGTTTCTAGAATAGAAAGGTATATCGATACCGATAAGTCCTCCATACTGACTGCTATCAAAGGTGGGATGAGATACTAGTATATGTATATAGTATACTCGGAGCGACTACAGATACAGCCGTCCTTTCATATGATTTTTTTCTCTTCTGCATGGCCAACCAGTAGATGGACCTAGGTAGCGCCCGAAACGGATATATGCAAAGTTCCACGCAAGTGCAAGCAAGTCTAGCCCCCCAGTGCGTGCGGAGTGCAGCTTGCACCGCAGGATGATTTACGATTCGACAGATTCAGTCCTACAGATTCCAAGCGTATGAATAGATATATGATATGAACAAGTATATTGGTCGACAGCTATATGTATACTGATATCCCGATCTTAATACAATGTCAGTATATATATATTATATAGGCAAGAAGGATTAGATCCCGTTCCCGATATTAGTGGGAAAAAAAGTATCGATAAGAGCAATTAAAAAAAACGATGAAAGCCTCTTTGATAAGCATATGCATGTGAATACCTATATATATATTCTTCTTTCCAAAGACGAACATTCGAGCTCTTCCCATATATATATTCCGGCGTCTACATCCTATCCAGAGTACAGATTTCCCCTCCGTCTTTCTAAGGAAGGAAGGGTGGGCTCGTAACCCCACCTTCTGATTGGCCCCTCACCAACCATAGGCCCCCTGTCCGCAAAAAAAATTCCGTGCGGTTACAGAAACGCCCTAATAAAAGCCAATTTATCCTAGAAAGAGCCCATTAAACACGTCTGGACATTTTGCAACACCAAAACGCGAAAAGTACGCCTCACGTCTAGTCTCACACCTAAAGAATATAATATGCGTGTAAGCAGTTAGAATAGGGCTTCACTCCTAATTCTTCTCAGCTAGGAAAGAAAATCCCGAAAAAGAAGAAAAGGGTAATGCGGAGATTCTGTTGGACGTAAAACGGCGGGAAGCTGAGGGAGGGTTTAATTTGAAACTCTTGCGTTTTAAAAATGTTGGAATGGCGAAGGAAAGTCGGCTGTTTCATGTGGATAGCTAGGGTTCTTATTCACATACCACAAAGTACATGTAGCGCAGTGCAGTGCTCAATACTGCAGACTTTTGAGTATGGGAATTTACAAAATTGCTGTATGAGGTGACGCGGAAATTTGGGTGGTTTATATTGCCATAGGAATTTCAATTCCATGTAGTTATATTTAGAATTCAATCAAGGGTAGACAGACGGACTAGACAGATAGACAGTTGTACATGTATACATCTTGAATAGTAAATGTAAATGTGAGCTCAAAGGGAAAACGCTAATCGAAACAGCAAGGTAAACTAGAGTAAACCACTGAAGCATGAAGTCCCGCCTCGGATCCTCCTCCTCCTCTTCCTTCAACATATATCCCACCTCCATGGATCCGTCCCAAGCTCTATGACTTGAAGAACGTCTCCCAGCCAAAAGTATTTGTATGATTAACCTACACACCCCAAAACACTCCATTCAAACAAAAGAAAAAGAAAGAAAGAAAAAAAAGACAAGGAAAGGAAAGAAAGAACAAGAGAACCAATGAATCCACCTCCCCTGCCGTTTCATGAAACTTTAGCTATGTTCGCATGAAGACAGGTAAAGATCCCGATAGAAGTTTCCCATATTCGTCGAGGGTTCAGCTGATGTATGTGCTGGCAAAATGCACCCTATCCAGCCGTTCTTGTCCACTAATTCCCTTCGTATCGAGAGGCTTCCCAACCCCCCCTCTATCTGACAGGACTGGGTCTCAGGTATCACCCAATCCTACCCGTTGCCTCCGTCATGCAAAGGCAGTTCATGCCGAGTACAATGACGGCATAAAGTTCTATGCATGCAGAGAGGGAAGGATAGTCGGTGGGACTCGATAGGAACTACTCAAGGATCCTTTACCACCTCATGCCGAACCAGTCGAAGTCTCCATCAATGTTCACCCAATGACCTTTCTCGATCGCTGATTCCCACCTATTATCCATGTAAGTTAGTAAATTAGGTCTTCTTACTATTCCCTTCGAAGCTGGGAAGCCTAGAAAGAAACGAGAGAAAAAAGAAAAAGGAAAAGAAAAAGGACTCACCCCATGCCTACAGCGAGCATTCGGCACATATCTCCATAATACCCACAGACGGCCCATCCATCTTTAGCGACCCTCAAGGCCTCAACTTGGATACCAAAATCGATTAGGTAAGACACCGCAGCAGCCTCTCTCTCCTCTCTTTCCATCTTATTCAGATCCTCGGCCCAAAAGCCACCAGGCTGTCCCACAGCCACACTCCTATCCTGTGCTCTCACACAAACGCCATTAGAGCCACCGGTACCGCAGTCCCTAACCTCTCTCTGGTTAAACACATCGGAATCATCCGAAGAAATGATTCTCATCGGTGGTTCAACCGACGAACGAGGGTAATCTGGGAGAAAATAGTCCTTTGGCCATTTATCACCCTCGTTTTCACTAACCGCAGAAATACCCTTGATAACATCACCGGGCATGTTCAAGCTGACCTTCATAAACCTCTCCAATGGTAGGTATCCCTTGTGCCATGTCCATTCTCTGGCACCTCGGTCTCCATGTCTGATCTGGACGGCGACAACGTTTTTACTGGCTTCAACACCGATGTCATGGACTCTGTCCATGATGGTGGCCTGAAGATCTCCCTTGAGAGGAATAGCTTCATACCCTGTTCTCAGGAAGTCAAAGATCTTATGCTGTCGCTGTACACCGACTTTACGAGCATCTTCGAATTCGTTCTCGAATGCATGACCGAAAGCGTCTTTAAATGTTGCAGGGGTGACGAGCCTGTGCGGTGTATTCCTCGGGCAAGGAAGACTTCTTGACATGGCTGGTGGAGAACACTTCTTCGTCGGTGGTGGGATGTCAAAGTATCTGTTGATATCACCATATGCCCTATAAAAATATCCAGATACCGTTAACTTCAAAACTTCACAGAATAGCAGATATCCCCACTGGATGATGTCACTTATGGAGAGAACTCACCATCGTCCTTTCTTCCCAACCACAAAAAACTCTCTCTGCTCATGAATAGCAAGCGCATAAGCCATCCACAATCCCATAACCATCTCTCCAATCCCTCCAACTCTCCCCTCCCAATCATCAACCACAAAAGTCATCGTCCTCTCACACTCCCCATCCCCACCTTCCTCATCATCTCCTGCCGCCAACTCCAACCCTTCATACCCTTTATCCTCATCATAATATCCCAAATGCGCAGCCATGGGTTTCCCATTCCTATTCTCCGAAGCAGCCATACTCTTCATCTCAACCGAGTCGCAAAGCGCTCTATACCACTCCCCAGGCAACGGATAAGCCTCCTCATTCAACGGCATAGAAATAGCATATCCAGTACCATTGCTAACCATCATCACCTCAGGTGCGCGAGTATAACCCCTTCCGTTCCCCCCAGTAGCCATCAACCCAGGGAACAACATTTCAAAGACTCCAGAGTCAGTATACTTTGTCGAAAAAGTTGCAGTAGCAACTCCAAAGGCAATGATGACACAGAACCCCACAACCCAGTAGAATAGTACCCCCCATTTCTGTCTTAACCGTCGGAAATGTTCTTCTCGTTCTTTTCGGATGAACCTGTGCAATGTGTATTCATCTGCTGGGAGGTAGTTGGCGTAGATACAAGGTTTTGCGGGTGAGGTGGGAGTGTAGAAAGTTGTGGAGTCGAAGATTATTGTTCCGGCGCAGGATCCTGGTGTTAATGTGCGCGCGGAGATGGGGATTGGGGTTGGATATTTTTCGGACGCATAGGCGGATACGGGAGTTGGTGTGTGTAATGTGGAGAAATATGTAGGGGACCTGGCGATTTGGTAGTCGCTTCGGTAAGGTGGGGGTAGGAGGAGGGTAAGGTTTTTCGGCGGACTGCGAGGCATGGTTGCTGTATATTTATTTGATTTTTTTTTTCTTTCAAAAAAGAAGAAGGGCCCCGTCGAGGTGCCTGTATTCAAGAGACTTGCTCTGAATACTAAGTAGGTAGATATATATCTTTTGTTCTTGTTTTTAGTAATGAATGGGTAATTGATATCGATATCTATCCCGAGATATTGAGTCCAGCGAATATGTCAAATACTCGATAAGCGTATCGTCAACTGGAGCCAGTCCCAATAGTTTTCCCTCAAGATAGATAGAAAGAAACAAGAAGAAAAAAGAAAGGAATTGAAAAGAATATTGGAATCGCCAAAAGATCGTAAGTAAAATAGGAACCGGTCCGTTGAATAAATATAAAAAATAAAAGTCGTAGCAGACAGCCAGTCGTGATGTTATTTTCCTTGTTTTGTATGATATTGCATATCCTGAGAGGCTCTCGAATCACTCTAATCGTCCGGAATGAGGTCCAACAGTAGATAGAATTCCTAAACCAGCCCAGCCAGGTCACAAGAGAAATAGGAGGGAAGTAAAACAATCACAAGCTCAAAAGCTGTCAAAGCTCTCCTTTTTTTTTGGTCGTAGAGAATGTAAAAATGAAGGTGGGCGATAAGGAATGTCGAAACCAGAAAGAACCAGCTCTGGAATGTCGAGTTTAAAGGATCGGACGGGAGTAAATAAAAGCTTCAAAGAGAAAGAAAGAAGAAAAGGGAAGAAGAATTGAAGGTCGAGAATTGTAGACTTGGGGATAAAAATGTATTGACATTTTCGTAAACATCAAAACATCATGCTGCAGGGGCTCCTTCTGCCACCCACCCTCCAGCCCTCCTTTTGCTGGGCCCTTTTGCTGCCTGAGATGAGCGAAGGGCGTTTCAATCTGTTTTGGTTGGTACGCCAGACGCTGGAAATCCTTGCTAACGAGCCACGATTTTCCACCCACCGGACGACTGGGAGGCGATGGTTTGCAAATGGCCTGCAATGGGTCCTGGCTAACTATTTCCGGGACGTGCAGGGCCTGAAACGAACCGAACCGAACTGGTCGGCCGACACAGCCTGGATTCTGTGTCACTATTTTTCTTGGTTTTTGATAGCTAGTGACGACGACTAGTCGACTAGACTCTAATCGAAGTAAAAGGGACCGTTTGCAGACGGTTTTTCTTTCTGGACCGTTCATGCTGGGGAACTTTTTTTCCTAATTCAAGGAAGGATTAGACGGTTCTTCTCAAATTCGGACAGTACAGCTTGACGGCTGTAACTGAACTGGACAGATAGTGAGCTGCGGTTTGACATTTCTCCAAATTGAACTAATTTACAGCTACGAGCTCCTGGTTGATTATCAGCCAGTCGATGCTCCAGAAGGACATTTTACTCAATTTAATATCAGTTCTTCGGTTACTGTATCAGTTACTAACTTCATGTAGCTCGGTCATATGCAATGCCCGCGGACGGGTCCATTGTTTCGAAACTAGCGAGTCTATCCTCTCCGCTTCAAATTCCCCATTCAATATCAAACATACCATGCGACTGGCCAAATGCATTCATTCACATACAGGAACGCGCAGATCCCAATTTTAGATAACTATCATATCATACGAGCCCAAGGGCCGTTGATATCAATTGGATTCGTAAACATGCATCTCATGGAATAACATGCTTCAAGTGATCATTTTTAAAACAACAAGAACTCAGCTCACATGTGCAAACGCCGAAGGATGATGCTAAACAAAAAAAAGGACATCTAATTGGAAAACCAAGCCAGTCACCCTTACCTGAAAGGTTCAATGGTAGAGACATTAGAAATATATACACAGTTGACACTTAATCGTCCGCATATTCAAAGTTAGTCGGTAGGCTCCAGCCTCGATGCACTCAAATAGGCGGCAACGTATTCCTGTTGAGGGTAATTGTCAGCGAACGCATAAAAGAAAGGCTTGACGCGGTATTGCAAAAAAAAAAAAAAAAAAAAAAAAAAGGATGAATAAATCTTACCTGCAGATGGGACATTGTAACCTAACTCTCATCCATCCTTCCAAACACCCAGAGTGGAAAACATGCCGACATGGAGTAACCATATAGCTTCTTCGTCCGACATATACTCCCTGCCCAAGTAATCCACCTACGACTCCACCTGCACCATCGCCACCATCACTACCAACTTCATGGCCGTGCTGTGCATTCGAGGGAACCACCGGTACCTCTACACTCTGCATACAGATGGCACAATCAAATACCCTTGTCCCCTTTCTCCCGCTTCCAGTTCCTCCATAGCCTCCACTACCACCTTCTTTAGTGGCAGTCGGGCTGACTGGGCTTCCGCCCTCGCCCAAAAGTGCTCTTTCAAGGTCATCGGCTGGCAGTATAGGATAATAATCATATGCCGGTGGGAACCAGCCCTCTGGAACCAGAAATCTAGGCCCCAATAATTCTTGAACTCCGAGCATCCATATCTGACACCACACCCACCCGATACTGGCCCAGCAAATCCATTTGACGGGCCGTGAAAATGCAATATTGTCGGAGTAACCGTAGAAGTACAAGACAGCAACCAACCTGCAAGTAGAAATTCCGAAGACAAACTCCCATTTGAGGCCCTTGCGGCAGTTACGGTACGTATTGCGATAAATTTGTGGCACCCAGAATGAAAGCGAAAGAAAAAGCGCTATCCGTTGAATCAGATTGCGAAGGAACAAAGGAAGAGAGATGGAGTAGATCAAAAGAAACCCTGTGATCACGAGGAACATATAGAATCGGGTGATTATAGAGGAGAAATCTTGGCGAATGGTGGTTGCGGGGGGAGGCGTAGTATTGATTGGAGTCGGGTTCGTTCGCGCAGTAGCCGGTAACGGAAGAGTACCCGTAGCTGATGCTCGCGCAGCTGCAGCCTGTGCAGCCGCGGCTGCTGGCGAGGGCTGTGGAGGAGACACCTGTGCTGCCCGTCGCTCTGGGAGTTGAACTCGATATATCATCAACATATACCTAATTCCGAAAAACCCGGCTAGGACTGTACAAAAGAAGGCAGCAGCGATGAGAGCAAGGGAACTGCGTTCCACTAGAGTGGCGGTCACTATGAATATTATGACAACATAGCCGTCAAGAAGCGAGATAATTCCGATTGTCCAAAAGGAAACACGTGACAGGGTTGACGGAGTCGATGATTCTTTCATTTGGCGAACCATAAAGTATATTTCGAAGGCGACGATAAGACAAGCATTTAGAGCGAAATTGGAAATCCGATCAAAGTATGATTCTAGCTTAAGGCCGGTAGCAGCTTCCGTAGATAGCACGAAAGAGCAGTCCGGAGAGTAGATTATGGCCGACCCCACAAGTGACGGTGGAGCTATGGGAATATACTCCCCAGTTCTGTGGCGGAGTTCACGTTCGATGGTATCAACGATATTCTGCTGAGAGAGCTCTGTGAACCAAGAAGCATCTGGATGCATCTTAATCGGATGTACCTGGAGATAGACGATGAATTCACATTGGAGAGGGGGCGTTCCAATATACTGTTCGTCGACAGGAATCCATGGCGGGTACTCGTCTCCAGATTCGAGGTGTTCGCCAATTTGCTGGGATAAAGAATCGTTCAGAGGCTTCTTAATTAGATTATAAGTTGTATTAGATGGTGTTAGATGCGGTAACCCAAAGACACCAGCGAATCTACAGCCAGAATTAGATACTTTGTAGTGTGCGGAATTCAAAACAGGGTTCTTACTTGTTGCTATTAGTGGCGCCTATGAGGAGGCCAGACTCTACGAAGTGGACGCCCTGCATCCTAACATCAACTGCCTGGCCTCCTACACGACCACCCCAGTCATTATAAAGTTCCATAGTCATTGAGACGGTCTGGACAACCCCTTGCAAGTCCTCAAAATGCGGCTTTGGCTGTCGTTCCTTCACAATCATCCAAAACCGGCCTTTGTCAATTGTGACATTCCGTTGATAGGTTTCATTGATGATAGGACGATGGAGACCCGGTACATCAAGACGGGTCCAGTCACCGTTCAGCATGCCCGTGATGTTCCGATACATCGGCAATTCAGATCCTTCGAGAGGATTGGGCTCCGCCCGTTCGTATTCTGGAGGGGATGGAGTATCATCGCCGTCTGTGTCCATGTCCGCGGCTCCAAGGTCCCTCTTGACTGCAGTATCGTCTAGTATGTTCCGTGCCGGCGGGGGAGCATCGTCTGCTTTTGCTCGATTGAAGACATCATCTATCATGTGGCTGACTCTCGTCCGTACCATTCCCATGCCCTCTGGACTCCACCACCCTCCTGCAAAACCAGTCAGGTTTCCGACATTTCCGTAGGTCGAGTTCTGGAGCTCTCCTAACCATCTTTGTTCCTCGGCGACGATATCTTTAATGTTGTAGTCTCGGTTGGATACATTTGCAGCATTGTCGGGAGAGAGGATGAGGATTAGGATGATAACCCCGAGAAATATACGAGAGGCTTCCATGATTGTAGTCTATTTGTATGCGGTTCTTGCACCTTATATCCGGTCGAGCTCAGTGTCCCAAAAAAACTACCGCATGACGAGTTCGGGTTATGCACTGCTTCCCCTTAAGATCGATGCTGCAAATTCGAATTATGATTTAATGACTGCACCGGCACCTTCAAGATGTTCTTTGCGACTACGGTTTCCCTATCACCTGCAGACTCTTTAGTCTAGTTCCATGGTGCTTCCAGAGATGTGTCGTTAAATAGCCCGTAGTTTGTGGTGGTTGTTTCAGTCGTCACATGGAGGAGCTGACGTTCTCGAATTTCCGCAGTTTTGGAGGAGCTGCCTGTTCCTTTCAACAGGGTGTTTAGCGGGCACTCGGTTGTCATGTAAACAAAAGGCCGACCTGTTTTGCTGCAACAACGCGCTGCGCACCCAAAACTTCTTTCACAACTTCGACCTCAACTTCGACGACCTCGACATCAACCTCTTCTCCCTTCCAACCACCAACCTCTCATCATCACCAAGCCCTGTTAGCATCACCACCATACTAAGTCGCGTCGCATCAACCACCCCTACTAGTTCGTGCTCATCTAGGCCTGTCCTTCACAACAAACACCTCCCAAATCAACCGCGCTCTACATCCTATTCTTGCGGCCTAACAGCCTGAATATTCGATCAAAATGGCTATTCGAGGGACGGCTCCCGAGAATACCAGGTACCACAGGATGGTTCGCCGACAAACTTTCGGCGAACGCATCGCCAGCTTCTTGAACCCGATGGACAACTGGCTTGCCATCAGTCTCCTCTTCGAGGAGTTCGATTGGGATGGGTTCGGAGAGTCGGTTGCTCTACCAGTGAGCATCGCTCTCAACGTCGCCCTGATTGTTTTCAGGGCATCGTCAGACACTTCGGGAGGGTGGAGGAGATCGTCTCCTCTTGAGGACGTCCTCCGGGACCCCTCACTCCCATACACCCCCAGGTCCGCTTCGTGGTGGGGATACCTAGTATGTTTTTTTCACCTAGTCAAATATTCACTTTTATGATGTCATAAGCTGACTTTTTCTTCTTCTATAGTTCAATATCCTGGCCTATGGCCTCTTCATGTTCTCGGTCTTCAACACTGTCTACACTCTGAACCGCACCCGCCCGTACAGGAACTTCGAACACTCCGTCCACGGACAGGCACCAACGCCGTCCGCCCGTCGCGTCCGGGTGTACTCACCCACCAACCAGTATACGCCGGTCCGCATGTTCAAGTCGGTGTTCCCAGATTTGGGATATAACCAGAACCCTCCAATCCGTGATAGTATCACGGAGGACGAGATCTGGGAAATCCCAAAATGGGATTACACCAACTTCAACCTGTCGCTGTCCGCGTATTTCTCGCCCCTCCACTGTGTCGTCATCTTCTGCCTCCTCCCGTACACGCCACCAAAGACTGGTGGTCTGTTCAGCGAGGCCCCCTCAACTACCTACTCTGCTTCCTGGATGGCGGTGATCTGGCATATCGCCTTGATTAACGTTTTTATCTCGGTTTACCTCCACCTTTTCTTCACGGCCTTTAAGACCCAAAGTGCCGATGACAAATATATCCACGGACAGGTGCTCCACGAATACAGCAGGAAGTTTGTTCAACCTAGAGTCAACCCCCAGATGCGTGATGCTGGGACCAGTACAGAAAACGGCGGATACGCGGTCTCCACCCCGGCAGAACATAAACATGGTTTCAAGACCCGTCCACATCCGGCCTATGAAGGATATGGGCCACAGGAGACAGAAACGGAGAAGAAAGCCCGAGAAGAGAGGGAAAGAACAGAACGACGACAAACTAGCGGGTTGTTTAGTCAATTCATGACTTCAACCCCGAGCAAGGCTACCACTACGAATGCTTCTACGACCACTGGCATGTCTACCGCCAGAAGAGCGAGCGGTATGGGAAATGTATTCGCGCAGGAGAAGAGGATTCCGGCCTGGACCCCTCAACGACTTAACGCTGCTGGAGTACCAGTAACCGAATCGCGACAGAGCTTCGGTCTTCCAGGGGCTGGAGCCCCCCGAGCTGTCAACGCTGGAACAAGCACGAACGGAAGAAAGAGTTTTGCTGGAGGAGACTTGATGACACCAGCCCGCAAAGTTTCTGGAGCTAACCCTGGGTTGGCCACAGGTCCTCGCAGTGTATCGAAACCAGGGCGGAACGGGAATGTTTGGGGCGGGGGAGTTGATTATGGTGTCCCAAGCCCCATGAAGAGGGTTAGCCGTCGCGGCCTCTGAAGATGACGTTTGTTCAAAATATTTTCGTGAACATATTATCCTCGCTCTGTTTTCCTTCAGTCTCCAAACCTATTGCCTTATTTTGCGCTCTACCAGGCTATTTATGGTTTTTTCTCTACACCACCTCACGACCTACCTCCCCATTACGACCAACTCTACCATCACACCCTCTCGTTGTTGACACTACCGCGAATCCCTATCTGAGAAACCTTCCCGTCATAACGCATCTCATACCGGACTATCACCCCCCACTATTCGACTTTTTCTCATCAATACGGCCTGATTATTTGTGAGATGGAGCAACTGAGCTTACCCTTCAATGTTTATACTTGTTCACTCTGTTCTTTTCTAGCGATGTATCATACTAGACTGCGGTTCGGCGTTCTTTCTTGCTCTCTGTTTACTGTATGGCACGGCGTTCATTATTACTAATGTGGATTTAATGTGTATTATACAACCACTGGATTATGAGAGCTCGAGGCTATTAGGAAGAATATATCTCTTATTACCTACGAGCTATAGTGCTCCTGAAAAGAATTTTGCCACGAAAACTTAAGATTAATTAGATTGCGAATGATACCAATGTGATAAGAACAACCAATATCACCAAAAAAAAGACATCAATAATAAAACCAGAAACTCGTAACCGCTAACAGATAACAAAATTATCTAGAACCAATCCTTCTGCAACCCTTTCTATATATACTTGAAACAGATATGGAAAATCGAAAGATAGATAGTTTGAAGATCTAAGCATTATCCCTCCTCAACCTCTCCAATATATCCCCAGCATCCTCACCTGCACCCGGCGGTACAGTTGCCCACAGCGTTGTTTCTGGACTAGGGAAATGTGTCCCATAGCTCGTAAAAGAAAAGTCTTGAAAATCCTCCGGCCTGATGCTAGCTGCTGCTGCAACCGCTAAATCGATTTCGGACGGGTCTAGAAAACTAGCGTCGATATTGATACCAGGGGCAGTGGTAGTCGCTGGTGGACTTGTGGTTCGTGACCTTGACCTCGATCTCGCCACTGTAGCGGCCAAACCTGAGATAGCAGGCGAGGCGGATGGCATTACAAATTCCGGAGAGTTTCCTGAAGTTGAACCGGGGTTCGATGGCTGAACTGACGAGATAGACGGTGAGGGAAGTTGATGTTGTGGTATCGCCGTAGCGGTTCTCCAAGCTGAGAAGCTAATGTTATTCGAAAAATCGAAGTTTGCGGCGTTGGTGTAATCACCTGCAAGGTTATATGCTGCGGCGGGTGATGTTCCAACTCCGAAGCCTTCGAAGACAGTGTTATCTTGCTGTGTGCTTCCCACGGCTTGAGGTGGAGAGGCAGGGTTGTCGAGTACTCTCCACTCTTCTAGTCGTCCGATAACTTTCTTAACCTGTCTTTTCACTTCCTTCAGTCTCCTTGCACTATTCAATTTGTCGTATTTGGCTGCTTTTAATAATGCCTTTGCAACTTCTCGTAGTCGTGCTCTATGTGCCAATACAACTTGGCTCTCCTGCCAACTCCCCTTATCCACACATCCGATAAAATACTCTAAAGCTCGTCCGCAGGCATCAATACCCAATAGCATCATATTCGCCATAGCGATATCCGCGGTCTCAGGTGGGAGCATAGCCCTCGAGAAGACCCATCTATCATCTCCTGGGGCGTCTTTGTTCTCCGACTCGAATCTATCGAGTGCTCCGAGCAAAAACTCTGATGTTTCCAAGAATTTCACCATGGTATCCAATGTAACGCTCCAGTCATCCTCTTCTGCCACGTTTGGAAAGAGTAGGTGAATCATTATGACATAGTATAATACCACGGGCACTGAATGTGCAGTGTTATTTAAATCGTCCGATTCCTTCTTTGCTTCGAGAGAGCGTACTGCTTCCTCAAGAACCTTTCGGATTCGAAGGCAGAGTAGTGGGATGTTTTGGTTATTGATGCCTCTCAGTCTATGCACCGAGACCCAGAACATGTCGTCCTTTTTTGATTCTTCAAGAGCAGTGGAGATATTGCGCGGGTAGAGAGCGTAGATGTGCGAACAAGTCGAAGTCATATTTCTTAATGCCCACCAGGATTTAATCATATAGTCTTGACGACGGCGGGCGGATAGATTACCGCTTCGTTCATCAAGTTCTGCGACTTTTGAAAACCGTCTGTCTGAAGGAAGAGATTCGCTGGCGAGTGGTACGGCGGGTAGGAAATCAGCGAAAGGTGTATCAAATTGCATGAATCCCCAAAGCGTTAGAAGGGATAAAACGCAATTGATATTTTTTAATAGCTCGGTTTCGACTTCTCCGATATCGACACCATTGATCATTCCTTGTCCGGTGATAGGTTTCTCGTTTAACTGAATGAGCGTTTTGTTAGTGCCCGCACAGGCGAGACTGGCGAATGCGGTTCCACGACGACCCTTGCCGATACAGAAGTTGTGCCATGCAAGAAGAAGACATGATTGCATCACTGATAAAGAGAGTTTATCTTCCTTCCGGGCGCCCATAAGAGCGCAAGCGTACTCGAAGAACGGTTCGCCAGCATTGGAACCAATGCGACCGTCACCAATGTAGAGTGCATCGCCGACCATAAGATTAAGCAGGATTTCGTCATGTTTCCCATCGCGGAATTGGCGAAGAAAGAGGGTTTTAGACGCAATACTACTGAGTGGGTGAAGACTAAACCAGCTTTCGATCATTTGAACAATTTGATGCTGTTCAAATCTGGCGAGGGGGCTAGGTTTCTGAGCAGCCATCCCGTTAAGTACAGAGGATGAGAACATCCTAGGACTCGTATCCGCTAAGCAGCTCTTGACGTAAAATTTGCCGGCAGAGTCCTCGAGATGCTGACAACCCAGCCTTCCATACATAATAGCTACCATCTCTACGACTTCTTGTGCCATAAATGTCAAAACCCCGTCGTAAGACATAACGGGGGCTCTATATTGAACCTCCATTTGATCAGCTGGCGGACTTGACATATCCGACGCCGGCGAGTTTGAACTCTTATCGGATAAATCGCGACGTTGAAACGTTGCAGGAGTCTTTGATTCGTCAATATCTTTCATCTTTTGCCCAAAGGTAGATATTGCGCGAAGGTAAGGGTTGTCTGGGATCGGGGCACTACCTTCTCCGCCAAACTCTTGGCGGAAGAAGAGGTCGATATCCTGGGCGATAGTGTTGTTTGGATTCCATGACATGAATGGCCGAAGACGGGTCCAGCTCTCAACGGTCTTGGAAGAAAGCAGTGAAGTCTCTCTTTGGAAATCCGAAGTGGAATATGTGGAACTGTCGCACTTGAAGCTTCCATCATTTTGTGTTGAGGACGTTGTAGTTTGGAGTGCCTCATTTTCCTGCGGATGTCCACGTTGTTAGCAAACAGTGTGCCGAGCCAAATCTCACCGAACCGAATTCGAACTCAGCGAAGAGCATGTTAAAACGAACATCATCGTGCCGCTAAAAATAAAACAGAAGAGGAATTATATGTATATATAAAGAATAAGAATATACCTTGATCGTTGCTTGCATCAATGCAGCCGCCCGTGCAGCCGCAGACGCGGATATCCTGCGAGGCCTTCCCTTCGCTGACTCCGGAGCATAAACGCAATCTAGGTTTCGCTCCGTGCAGGCCTCACATCTCGCCGTCCCGGAGCATTTTATCTTCCTTGTACGACAGAACTGGCAGCTTTTGCGGATAGTTACTGGCCTCCCGTGCGATGACATAGCCGGTCGGGGCTTAGTGGGGCCTGGAATAAAAAAACCGGAGTAGGTATACGTAAATCTGCAGGACCAGTCGACTAGTTGTCGTCACCTGGGCCAGCCCTTACTGGGGGATTTTCGATTTGGCCCACAGAGACAGCGCCTTGGTGGGATGAACAGAAGAGCCTCAACAGAGGGGATGGAATGTCAACCGTATCGCGAACGGCGGGGAATATTGATTGGTATTTTGATCTTCCGGATGTTTGAGGACGGTAATTAGTCCAATGATAGTAAGATCGATATCGATGATGCTGAGTAAACGGTTCCAACAGGGTCGTAAACCAAAGATCTGATATCGCCGGGTCGTTCCGCACCAAGAACTGCCCAGTTGATGCAAGGGAGTTGGATATCGAGGTACCAAGATGTCCTTCGGTCTCGTTAATTTGGGTAAGTCCGAAACACCCAAAACCTTGGAACTGGAAGCGAATAACTTTCCGTTTAAGATTCTTTGTAATCGAAGAGTAAGTTAAAAACGATATCTGTTTAAAATTTTAAAGTATTATGTTGAGCGAACGTGAGAAAAATGTCCGTTGAGGTGGTGCGCGGTGGATTACTTAAGGCACAAGTAGTATGAAGTTTCGTCTGGCCCAAACAGGAACAGTCAAAAGATACGAAAATAATTATAATTAAGCGGCGTCTGCAGCTTGATGACAAACAGACGAAATTCGCTCGGGCTCGGGATATGTCGATGACGAGTATATTTGACCGGAGGGTTTAACTTTCCTTCTGTCTGTCTCGGGGCAAGTTGTGACCGTTATATACCTACTCGTTAGTCTATGTCAGATTCTGTGGGCCCAACCTAAACTAAGAGGAATATTTGGGCATCCCCACAAGCAAGCGATAGTAGAGCTCGATATCAGTTGTCATGAAGGAGCCTTGCTCCCTGCATCTGTCAGCAAACAAGCCTTGAACTTCGTAGGCCTTCGTCACGGATTTCCCGACAGGCAATTATATGAGGCTTGGGTCTCTTTTTTTTATGGATTCGTCTACTAGTTGGGATAGTAGATGGACATGCAGAGTCGGGTTCTTCGTGTCACAGCTTACTCGCACTTCGCATTCCAGGCAAACGGTACGGGTGGTGATCACTTGCAACTTTCGGCACCTCGTCCTGAACCAGCAGCCAAGTCCGCAAACCGGGCAATGCATATCTGACACAGGAACAACGAGATACAGTTGTATTGCAGGGAACAGCTTGCGACCAGCATTTTCCTGTCCTTGAAGCTAAGTTTCAAGGTGTGCCCACCGTTCAATTGGGTTGTCGCCAGGCCGGGTAAGATTTTTGTGAGTGGTGGAGTTAAAAATTATGTACGTCCCCTTGCAATCGGAGCGTTTGTTCCTCCATTGTTGGTGCGGCTAGCCTTAGATGACATAACTGCAACGACTTCAAAACAGTGGTGATTATGAAATATCTACCGGCTTCGACTTCATGGTTCGATAACATCTCGAGCGCTTGGCGGCTCGGGGGCTGCGACGGGACGCCTTGCAGATGGAGCCTTCTAGGATGACAAGACCTTGCAATAGAAAGCTTATTCGATTTTCTGTTCCTGAGGCTGTAAAAAAATGCAACACGTTGTGGAGGGGAAAAGCACCACACTGTCACCCATCTGCATATGTGCCCACGCAATAAATCATATTTTGAGATAAGGCTGAACTGGGACTGGAACTGGTGATTAGGATCAATTACGACGATTACGTCCGGGACATTAAGATTTCGTTTATACGTTACGCCACCGGGAAGAAAACCTGGAGATATCTTCGGCGCATACGTGATCGCAACAGTGCCTCTGTCTTTCATACTTAAAAATTTGGATATCAGCCTGGTTCCATAGTACTATAGTATTGACCGTCAGACTTGCTATTAGCAAATTAATTCGCCAATTAGGTATTTTAGGAGCTGTCTGTGCCGCAGATCAATCGCCGGGCTCAGGCAGCTCCTAGAAACATGCGCAAGTGATATACGCACGGCCAGCATTGCATTAGTTAGTTCATGGGACATATTGCATGAGTATTCTAGATCTAGTTGACGAATAAGCAATGAGATACTGAGAGTGAACCTTGAGGATCGCTCGAGAACTACATTCATGATTGGCTAAGCATCAAACAATATTGACATGTTTGCATTTGCCCCGAGATTAGGGATAGCTTCCTGAATGATATAAAGTGTTTGTAAGCATCTTGCATACTCTTGTGTCTAAGAAGACGGGAGGGTGAGACTATGATGTCCGAATGGAAATGTCCCCCGTCCTTCCGATCAAGTTAATTACGAACTTACATATCCTTTTCTGTCATTAATGACATATATACATATACAAATTTCGAATCAGCTCATGGGTATCCCTTGAACTATATATGCATAATGCAGGAGTCGCCTAGCGGGTATGATTCTTGGGTGGATTTCGGTACGATAATATAGTTTGCATGGAGCATCCACAAGTGTAAATGATCATAAGTCCCGACTCCGGAATTCTGAGCCTCCCTGCCACCTTCCAATCGTTCGTGTGCATGTCTAGCCCAATTTTGAGTTCTGACATGGCACCTTCCTGACCAATATACTCGCAAGATATCATCTAAGCACCCAAAACCTGAATCCGAGTAGAGCGGCTCAACCGAATGTGGAAGCCCTTGCAGAATACGTACGTATACATGCCTGCTCCCAAGTGGGTGAGACGGAAAGATAGATTGAGTGCATACCGTCACAGGATACACTGCTGACGTTGATGCTTTGAGCCGAGATTGTATCAGGAGATAAATTTGCATACATGGCTAACCAATCGAAACTGTTCTTCTTCCTTATCTTGTTAAAGACTCGACCCCTCCCACAGGTTTATGCTTATTCTAGCATATGTGGCGATTTTGACACGGGATGGAATTATAACTCAGAAGACAATCGCCTCCACAATGGAATTAGCCGTCCTAGTCTCTTTCCTAGATATCTACAATTCACGCAGGTGTGGAACGAAGCCGGCTGCCCCGACAGGAAGCTTCGAAGACTCACTGGCTCGGAACGAAACTTGAATACCCGTCACTGGTGTCATTCGGCACTTCTGTCTTTCAATAGATGCAATGTGCGAAAGCGCCCTGCAAGTTTCTAACCCACTTCTGTATGGTTCCGACGAAGCTAACTCATACGTGGTTGTACTTAAGTACTTGCTTATGGGGTGACTGTCGTGTTAATGCATAACGGGCGTATACGTCCCCACCTGTACTGTAGATTGTTGGGAATATTGATATGCTTTAACTTCGAATTGCTCAGAGGTCCCTCGGTAGACCTCAACGGAGCATCTGCAACCGGCATACTGCAGTAATGAGCTCCTATGTTTGAAGTCATAATTAATCACATATCCCAGCAGGATCGACCGGCATCTTTACGTAATTGTAGACGATTGTACTTTATAATCTTTTGATAAATCTTGGAAAAAAATTCAATCCTAGTTTTTCTCACTGTACCGAATTACTTGTAGTCGAATAGCCTGGGATAAATCTAAACCACAAGCTTATAGGACCTTTTGTTTCTAAATATCCGTTAGTAGGCAAGTTTTGGGATTAGGTCATGCATCATCAAGATATCTCGATTTCCCTATATCAATGTCTGACTCTGGTTTCTAGTGGGATATATCACGTTTGTAATTGGTCGAGGGCTTGCTTCAAAGATAACGAGTAGTGAAACTACACATTTGTGCACTTTTCATAAAATCGTGAGGATACGTATATACATGTAGGTATTGTGCAAATTCGCTTCTGGTGTCCTTGTGTCTTGTCCCAAAAAATACCATTCTCCAAATATTGGACGAGAGTGAACATGTGATTTAAAGATTGATACCATTGCTCATAGAGGAAATCAAACCCGGCATGGTAGCTTAACATCACTATTCACAATTTCACGGTTGTAGGCTTGGCTCTGCTCGTTTAACATCATGCCTGGTTACTTGATATCATGAAAAATTAGCCGATTGATTCAATACTAGGACGGACTACGTATATCTTAATTATTTCAGTATCAATTCTATCCGTCCGATGAATTATTCTCAAGAAAAACTATAAACCTCCGTGAGACATATACGCGTACGGATGGTATGTTGGACACGGAGACATGTGGACTGCTGACTTTTGAGTTGACCTGACGTTTTAATTGAGACTGGTCTTTAAGCTGGATGGTATTTAGCCCAGAAGGCTCCCCTCTTATAATTAGCTTAGATCCTTTATATCGATTTCGCCTTAGGTATTTGTTCGCTTGTATACATCTACTACATGTCCTTTAATACGATATTATAGCTCTATAGCAATAGCTATTGCATATTGGAAGCGAAGCATGCCTTATCGACTGACGACTCGACTGCTTCAAGGTGTTCGAAGCTAGCTTTGTGGATCTGCAAGCAAACCTCACAACGCAAACCAATTGGGAATCCAACATGTATTCAGCCTCGCGAACAACGGCTGCGCCACCATGACGAGGAGATCCGAATTAAGAGTCTGAGTAATCAGGCCTCCACTGAATTTCGAGGAAAAAGAAGGGTCGAGGTGTAATCGGGTTGCATATTCTTTTGGGCTGGTCGGACTTTTTTCTTTCTCGAAACGGCTTTTCGATTCGACTTTCCAACAATTCTAGATTCCTGATGTATGGGTATTACGTATCGTTGATGGGCTGTTGGGAAGATAGTCGGTCTCTGCGCCTTCGAGGTGAACTCGGCCTTCGGAAATAAAAATTGCGACTGGTCAGGGTTGTGAGATGTTGGATTGTCGGAGCGGATGCAAGAGAGGAGCCGATACTAATTCGCAGAAAAGGTACGGGTCTGGGCCATGGGCAGCCCACAAGCAGCTCCGCATTGAATCTGCTCAAGAATTGATTTGTGTGGTGCTTCAAGGGCGAGGTGAAAGTATAGGCTATGGTATATCCTAGTTAGAGCTACAGAGAGGGACGCAGGCTACATACCTGTCACGAGATTCAGGGTAAGTACGCAATATCAATCCTTTTGTACAGCACGACGTCGACGACAACAATGTAGGACTGTGATTCACTTTAACGTTAAGGACAACGCGCGTTTTTAAGAAGAGCTAGAGAGGCGAAGCTCTACAGAAACTTTAGAATTGATATTCTTGACAGTAACTGGTGTAATTAGCACGTGTGCGTTATTTTATATACTGTCAACTAGTTTTGCGTCCCAAGCTATCATTTAAAGCTTATGATCAGGATATATCTCGACATTCAGCAACGAAGGGCTTGCGTTACCACCTACATATCCGCGCGGACGGCAAGTTCCACATGTCGGATAATTCAATCCATGTATACTGTTGATTAACGGAGTCCGACTCTCAAGTTTTTGTCGATAACATGACCTGTCCCGGCTAGACTGCTTCGACTGGGGTTAAGATTGATCAGTGAGCTGATGCGTCCAACGACAGGAATCGAAGAATTAATTGACCACCATGCGCATTCTATGCGATCGATCCTAGCTGAATCGCTATCGGGCGAATCAAATAATCTGGTTCCGAATCGATTCGTATTTCTGGACCCTGGAAAACCCCACAATTGTGCTTCGCCAAGCGTCTACCCGCACATGGGTTTCCCCCAAGTTTACATCTAAAAAGCTTCGGGCCTTTTTCAACATTATTATTATTAGAAATTAACGAGGATAGAATTTACTTTTCTCTTCGAATTTTTGTGGGCTATTTCCTTTGTACAATTTGTGATGATGCTTTCACTGGGGATTTTACATAGGGCGAATACGACCAAAAAAGGAAAGGTTTTCCACGGCGAATTCGAAATGGAGACTTTTGAGCCAATCAAGAGAGAGGATCTAATCAGATTACCACAAAAACAACACCCTTGGCGTCGATTTCAACGCGATAGTAACGTTGGGATTTATTAAACTGGGATGCGGTTGCTGAGGACCGACAGATATACTTGTTTTAGCCTTTAAGGTCATAAAGCAATCCCTTTCGAATACGTGGACAGTCTGAACTTAGGATGAACGGTAATTGGGGGGTGTTTATCCCCTTTCAAGTGAAGGAGACTGAGGAGAAGGATTTTATAACTATATAAAACGTCAGGCCGCAGCGGCGAGCGGTTCTTTAATTCAAATCAATGGTCGAGATCCTAAGCACTTCGGCTTCGAAACTAGATGCAAGCCTCTAACTGGTATAGTTCTTCCTCTTCTATCGTCAGGCTTATAGAACTCAGCGTAAAAAAATTATATTAACTAATTAGACATTCCGAATTATATAACATTTACAGGAGCGGATACATCTATACCCCCGTATACAGACGCCATGTCGGAAAGACCTAGAGTCTCAATCTTAAAATGCAATTGGGACCTCTGTCCTGTCTCCGTCAGTTGGTTCGGGTACCGCCCTTCTCTCCCAATGAACATCACATTCCTCGCAATCTTTACGATCGCTTTTACAGCCCACGTCTACCTCGCCGTTCGTTACAAAACCCATGGCTTCGGGATTTGCATGTCCATCGCCTGCTTTCTTGAGATATCCGGCTACGCCGGGCGGATCCTCGCGTACACAAATCCGTGGTCACTTCCCGCATTCTTCATCCAAATCAACGGTGTCGGGTTGGCTCCAACCTTCTTTGCGGCGGGTATATACCTATGCTTGACTAGAATCGTTATCGCATATGGTGCCAGAATTTCTAGAGTACAGCCGAAGGTTTATACGTACTTTTTTGTTGTTTGCGACATCATTTCGTTGGTAATCCAGGCGCCTGGAGGAGCTCTATCTTCTATCTCGGCTAGTCAAGGAAAGCCACCGAAACTTGGGGCGTATGTTGGACTATCTGGTATTTGTTTTCAGGTATTGGCGTTATCGATTTGGCTCGGTCTAGGCGCAGAATTCGCGTTACGGTGTAGGAGAGTCGGGATGGAGGCCTGGGATCCGAAGTATGAGAAGATGAGGAATAGTTGGAGATTCAAGGCCTTTCTGGCAGCGCTGGGGGTTGCAACTGCGGCATTGTATGTCAGAAGCGTCTATCGAATCGCGGAGTTGAGTGGGGGGTATACGGGGCATTTGGCAAAAGATGAGCTGGCCTTTTGCATTTTGGAAGCAGTGTGAGTACCACTCTACATATATATATGCGATTGAAACTGTGCACGTGGGTAACAATTTATGGGATCTGTGCTGATTTTATTTGCACTTTACGCAGTATGATTGCAATTTTGTCACTTGTCACCGCGGCTTTCCATCCAGGTTATGGATTCGGAGAGGATTATGTTCTTATCACGGAGCAGAAGGCGTCGTATCCAAGGCCATGGAAGAAGAATGCGTTCTTTATGAAGGATTTGAGGACTGAAGAGGTTATCATAGAGCTAAATGAGCCGCGCAAATCTTTTGTACGAACGGATGGGGTCTGATCGTTGATCTTAACTTTGGTGCCGAATACGGGTCAAATGCATGTCCGACGGCATACTACCTGGTTAGCTTACAAGACTACAAATTTATAGAACAATAGCGGATAGATTTTTTTCTGCATTGGTTATTATTAATTAACATCTTTTAATTAATTTTTGATGAAATTAGTTTACAATATTTGGAGAGTTAATTCTAGATACGTCAGTCATTTCAAATTCAAGTGTGAGATTCATATAATATAGCAAAAATGATGCCTTATATCCAAGACAAAGATGGCAGCTCCTTTTATATAAGACTCTCAGACACCCACTGTCCTCCCAAAGGGTATAGTAGTGCGCCCACAGGAAGTCATGATTACATAACCCTAGGTGGTGCCAATTTGACGAGAGATGGCATACCACCCTTTGGCTTTGCGCTACCTGCCAGGACTTGATAAACAAACTCCCCGCGGACCTCGTTAACGCCGTTGGGTGGAGGTGGTTGTCTTTGTGCTTCAATATTAAACTTCCTCAGTGTCAATGCCATAATGACCTTCGTTTCAATCATAGCTAATTCTTGCCCGATGCAATTTCTAGGGCCGCGTTCGAATGGCCTCCAGGCTTCCTTGGGGATTTCTTCCTCAAGCCATCGCTCGGGACGGAATTCGTAAGGATCTTTCCAGTATTTGTCGTTAACATGTACGGGGAGGGAAGCAAGCCAGACCATTAGTCCATCAGTATCATAGAGGCTGCCCTGATCATCTTTGACGAAAAATCTGTACATTTGAAATCCGTATTAGTAGTTGTTATTGGCTCATAGGAAAGCATGGCTATTAACATACCCTTTTACTCCAGCCCTAACTGAACTCGCCGGTGGATACATTCGGAGAACTTCGCGGATAATAGCTGTGCAATATTCCATCTTGTTCATCAAATGCGGGTTCTCAGCCAACATTTTTGGGGCGTCGTCTAAATTAGTTCCGAAGATTTCGTCAAGTTCCTGTCTTGCTCTGACCATCTTCTCTGGGAAGTAAGATAGCTTGTGGAAGATATAGCAAATTGTGGAGCTAGTTGTATCATGGCCAGCGAACACGAAGATCATCATTTGTGCTGTTTGGAGTCTAACATTAGGAACAAAAAAATCAAACCTTTGAGAAATTTATATATGTATGGACTTACTAATGGCATGCTTTCTAAATTCCTCATCCATCGCGGTAACATTGCCTTCTTTCTGTTTAAAATATGTTTCGAGTGCAAGATCAACAACAGGCTTGCCCCTCTTTCCAGACTGAAGCATCGGATCTCTTGTTTTGAAACGCTTATCGAGGAAGCTACCGAGGATTCCTCGCATGGTACGCTGATTCCACCAATACACAATTGGGCGCATTGGATGCCATCGGTACCACGGGTTGTATTCAACGGCAGCGGGTAGCCAGCTGATCTGGGACTTAAAGGCTTCGACGAGGGGGTGGGTCCGGGTCTGGCTTTCAAGTTCTTCGTCTCTATAATTCAATACATTAGGAATATATCCAATACTACGATTTGGAATGAATATTTTGTATAGGATGCTTACACAACCACGCGACCGATAATGTCGATGGTAAGACAGGTTGTTAATTTTTCAAGGTTAACAACCTTGCCACTGGCAGCGGCTTGCTCCATAACTTTACAGAAAACTTCACAGTCTTTGACGATTCCGGGTACCAATGTCATCAAGTGCTGTGCTGCAAAGCCGGGGTTGAAAACTGATCTCCAGAACTTCCAGAAGTTGCCATCTGATGCAACTAAGTTTCCAGGTCCGGAGAGGGGTGTCAGAATCGGATCAAGTTCCTTGATAGCCTTAGGAAGAGAATATTGTTGAGCGCATTGGTAGGCCATGTTTGGGTCGCAAACAACAACCATAGGGGAACCCATCGGCCAGATATCAAGATACATGATACCCTTCTCTTTGAGACCGTATTTTTCTAGGAGAGCTGGTAGTTGAACGTGCGGATGGGCATCCATCGGGATTTCCTGGGTAATTTTCGCCATTACGAGAAGGTGACCCAATAGCCAGTGGTGGGGTGGTTGAGGCTGAGAATTTCATGATATTGTTAGGCCATGATGCATGATACATCGTTTTAAAGCCACCTGGGCTAACATTTGGGATCTTACGAAGTCGGGGCTGTTTCTGAATCTTCGTCGCCAGTAGACACCTTCCGCAATAAATCTTATAGTACCTTGGAGTAGATAGACACCGAGTAGGCCGGCGACGGCATACTTAACTTGTGTCGCCGACACAGCGGAGAAATCGAATTGAACCATGGTTGTCGTACTAGAGTGACAGCTATCGATATCAAGATCTAGAGGAGACGTATTCGAGGTTAAGTGGGGAAGCCTTTTATTTTAAAAAGAAGGAATCAAAGAAGGAATCAAAGAAGGGATCAAGTTGATCACGTTGAGGCTAATTGTGCCAGGGGAAGGAAAGGAAGTTGGAATCGATGGACTACAACTGCAAGTCAACCGAATAGCGAAGTCGGGTGGTGCCTGGAGACCAGGGAAGAACCTCGAAACCTTGCCGAAGGTAACACAAAGGAATTATCTCGGGCCAACCTGCCCTAACACTTTAAGGCGTAGTGTACCGCGTTGGATCTACAGGAGCACGTTATCAATATCGATTGTGCGACTGTTCCAGAGTCTGATTTTCGTTTACGGTCTCGAGTATTAGTACAGAAGGGTTCCATTCCAGATATATTCTGGTTTAGAAATGGGGGGATGCCCTGAACATCCTTTTTAATTTTTGTCTTCTTGCTGACATGCCACTGTATGTTAAATTCACAGTTTGTCCAAAAGCGCTCTAATTGAGGGCTCAAGCAGGGTTTCTGAAGTGCAGGTCTCCCGTGTGCTCCTTGCAATCCACGCTGGCATTTTGCGCTTCAGATTGTGAAATATCATCTTCAAAACCGCCCTATTCCGATCCGGATATGAATAATCAACATGGGTGAACTGCTTTCGTTGTTCCTCTTCTTCGCGGCTTACATCTCCTAAATTTTAGCCTATTGTTTAAGGATCTTAAAATGTTTGAAGCTGACAAGCAAATTTCCGACACGTAAACTAGCGTGTACGGGGGGTATTGTGGAGGCTTTTTGGAAGCACAATACTCCAACATCACAACCAATAAGGTGTTAGTTATTCGTCAACCCAAGCTCTAATCTGGCAGTTGTTGCGCTAGCGCTAGATCTAAACGGGGGGGTATCTCACTTGAAAGTTGATCCCAGCCAGACGGCACATTTCGAACAGGGTAAGAATTTAGAACCAATTTGGTGGGTCCGCTTACCCAGCCCTAAGATATCATGATATCAGTGATAACTCAGCCGTTACGCTATTGCCGATATATGTTTTAGTGCTCTGCAGCTCTGCGGCTCTAGTTGGCAATCTAATCCCGACATGCCGACTGCAAATTAACAACATAGCTAGTATCTCAACGAAGTCATTTATTATTTCTTTGGAATCAAAAGCTACACGTGCTTTTAAACGATATTAAATCTATGGTATATGGACATTTCATACGTATCCGGGCCAAAGGTTTCGGGATTTCAAAGACGAATTTTACAAACGGGTACGTATCGGGTTGGCTACTCTTGTATGAGTTGACAATTAATATTCGGGCTAGGCCGCGGCCGGTGGGAGCGATAGAAGGGGTAGTAGTTACAATGAACTCCAACTCTTTGTCTGGGTAATACATGTATACAATTGATATATTTCTGGAATCTCACTTCAATAATTCCCTGCTAAGTACTTGATGAGTCGCTACCATACAACAGCAGTCCATTTAGCGACACGAGATAGGTGCATACGTACGTGTGGGCCTTGAGGCTGACTTCACCGGTAGATACGTGGTCAACCTATTCCTGTCTGAATGGCTGTCTTGTACTAAACCGGGTATCAGGTTGCTCAGTTGGTCAGGTGGATATTGGCTCGTATAGCTATAATTTTTCGTGTCATATTTGATATTGAACTTATATTTCGGTCTACATGTCTATATCTAGGTACAAATAGGTAATATTCTTTGGCTGGTCCGTTCATGGTTTACACATGAAGCCTAGTTTGGAATGGCTTTGAAGGATACAGATCTGACTACGGCCTGCAGATAGTTTAGATGCCATACCCTATTCCTTTATTTTTCAAGGTCTCTAGAAATCTCCATTACTCCATATACCCTCCCCAGTTGATAAAAACACCTTCATAGCCATGACTGCAGTTCGAACACTGCATCTTATGAGCATATAATCGAGTCTGAGGGCCACCTGCCATAACCTCGAGGATAAAATCCCGACTATGAACCCTAGCTGTCACAGCATTATGAACCAAATCGTCCAAACCAGAGAGCTTTCCACATCCACCGCACTGCATACGTTCCCGACACATGACATTTCCCTTTACATGGCTGATGGTGTCCTCTAAGAGACCGCTCGTTAGCATTTGGTATTCCATGGTAGAAGAATAGTGCAGCTTCTGTATATGTATATATACCTTCGATTTCGAGGATTTTGGCAATATTTGAACGCTCCTCGCTTGTGAGGACCCAGCGAAAGCCAGTGGTTTCCTTTGAGGGGTTCGTGGATGTTTCGTTGTGGAATTCCATATTGAAATCGACAATTTTTCTCTCTTGGAAAACTAGAAATTTGATGATTGATCGAAGTTCAAGTATATAGCTGAGTGAATGAATGATGAGAAGAAAATGTCTAAGTGCTTGAAGAGATTCGGGGCCCCTTTTATAGATGGAGATATGTGACATAGATTGATCTTAAGTCTTTGAATCTGCTTTTTTGTGATATCTTGATAAGAATGGATCCTATTGACTTACACTTTGTCTACCTCTTGCGAGAACGGAAAAAATAATAGCTATCGAATATTCATGCAGCGTATGGCTGTTTGACACGGGAGAGGTTCACATTCCAGATGCATGCAAGATCAAATCTAGCTAACCCTGCATCGATTCTGAGCACTTGAGTGGCTACACAGATCGATCTCCCCCAGCTATTGCTCTTTTAGTCATCGATGCGAGCGACGAAGTAAGGTCGATATCGGTGTGATACTACATGCTTCACCTGCAGACGCGATCGATGATCTCAAGGCGTGTGAACGTGTACGATATCTCATCCAAACAATCGATCAATTGCCCTGATGAAGGAAGGAAATCAGGCCCTTTTTGACGTCCGAACTCGCAAAAGGAATCCAGATCTTTTGTAGGTCCCAGAACATAGGCTTTACTATTCCATGCGGATTTTTTCGCCCTGCGCCTGCTAATAGCTAAGTATATAGCTCTAGCTGTCGGTAATTCTGCAGACAGAAGATCTGGCATTGGCGGACGTCATTCCTCGTCTAAACGTTAAGCAGGCCTGTTGCCTTTGTAAATCCCAACGTCAATAGAGACTTTGGCTTTGAATAAAGAGTTAAGATATTTCATCATCGGATGACAAGGCTGATTTTCTTGAAACTTAACTATGATATTTGAATACGAGACCATCTCAGCTATATAAGTAATTAAGTACTTAGTATATAAGTTGTTTGAGCTGCCTATTTGCCATGTTTACAACTTGTCGGGCTTCAATACCACCGACGACAACACATTTCTAAACGAAAATATACAACAGGTCAACACATTTTACCCATATCCGCGAGACCGAGATAGCTTCGCACTCTGCGACAACGGGTTACCTGACTGCCGATTTCTTGCATAAACTTACTTTGCGTCTACAATGTACTCTTTACGAGCGACTGTATTGCTCGCAATCTTCGGTCTAACCGTCTCTCAACCGCCAGTCGAGGACCGGGTTTATCCCTTAAACGCCACAGGCGCACGAAGATTCCCGGCACCTGACTATTTAACCCATCTCAATCCCGCAGAATGGACGGCCCGTGTCGCCCTCACTAGAGATGATTACTTCGAAGGAGACAACTATCGTACCGCTACTTGGCTAGATACTCCAACTAATGTCCCCGTGAACGGATCCTTTGTGATTCGAGACGTCTGCCTTTTCATGCCAATGCCAAAAATAAAGCGAACCGAAGATATCGACTACTCGAAGGGTGAGAACGGGTGTAATGATGTTCTTGGAGGGGAATGTGTGGCAAAACTTAAGAGTTTCCTGTCGACACAGTATGAAGCACGCACGGCTCAAAACGGTACTATGAATTGTAACTCTACTCGGAACGTGGGATCTTGGCGTCAGTATATTTATAATATTTGTCCAATTTACGAAGAGGCTGGGGGTAGTGGATTTTCATTTAAACGTGAGTATAGCGGTATCGATGATCCTGAAAAGGTAGATCGTATGCTAACCGGTCTTTAGAGTTAATACCTTCGAATCATGAAGCTGGAAATCCACTACATGGTGACGGAGAGACGCGTTGGATCGCTATGGCCACACCCAGAAATACAACTGACGTATCGCCGGAGGAGCAATACGACGAAGTCAGCCAATATGTCTTCACATATACCCTCATTTCTGGACCGGAATACGAGAATCCAGGCGAGAAGCCCACCGTAGAAGTGGTATGTGTAAAGGCTGAAAATGTGGTTGAGGGATCCCGAGAGCTTCCAAGTTCAGCCAGTTTTCTAGGCGTTGAGCGGCAGGTGTTCATGGTGACCTTTGGATTTATGGTTATTAGTGTTTTGTTCCTTTAAGCAGATATTTTTGTTCATCCCCTTTTTCGGTTACTACATTAATGCTATAATATGCATATGGCTTCTCTTAAAGTTGTACATTGTTCGACTACCCTAGATTTTATAATAGGATAAAGGAAGATATCTCATGATCAGTCAAAGAGATGATATAAAGCAGATCTTGAGATTATCAAAGTTAGCTACTACAAGGTTATTGGCTTTCACTAGCTAAATTTAAATTCATAATTCAATTGATCAAGAGAATTAAAACGACAGCTGGTCCAAAAAAAAGAAAGCAATATCGCAATACATATGTGTTAAACTATAGAACATGTGATTTCATGAATTCATAATTTCGTTAATGAGATCAACTCTGCAACTGTGTAGACAACCGCCTGGCTATTAACAACATACTATAAACAAACATGTTGAGGTATTTAACAAAAATTATTAAAAGAAAATTGGCTGAAACCTTGAACAGAAGTTGAAAATATATTTTTGGCGACATAACAGTTCAAACAATTTAGAATTTAAAAGTAAATAGTGACGAGTAAAAAAATTCTAGTCCATATTTAGTGTTTATTGTATCTCTAGAGGTCGCACCCAGGTGTCATAAGTCAGATCAAACTTCCTCAAATAATGCCAAAAGCTTAACCAGACTAAGCATGGGTAACGCTGCTGGGATATACCACTGGAATTTCCCTTCCATCTCTCGTGCTATAAGCATCTCGGCCACCGTAGGTTGGAATGGGCCCTGAACTCGGATACGCTGGGTATCCAGAGACGTTCGCTCTTGATCCTGGTGGGGGGCCCATATACCCTGGCTGGCTATAATATCTGCTAGAATCAACTCCGGGTGGTGAACGGGTTCTTTCTTCTGCAATCGCCTCTTTTATCAATTTTTGGCGGCGATGTTGTTCAATTCTTGGTCTTTTTTCGCAGAACTCATTGTAACTGTGACGACTCTCCTGTGCTTTCTTGAAAGCTTTGACGGCTTCAGCAGCGGCAAGAATAGCGAGGCCGACAGCAGTTGCATCCTTGAGGAGAGCTTTGTTTCTTAATTTGTCGGATTCATCTTCGTTGATTCTTCCGGATTCAACCTTTTCCTTTCGAAGGGCTCGCTTCTCACGGGCTTCATAACTAACATGGCCAAGATTAATGGTTGCAAGCAGGGCAAGGGCTACGCTGATAATTTCTTTGCGGCGAAGCCTCTTAAGGCGGTCTTTCTCCGTTGATTCGTCGATCGACAGGTCAGAATCGGAAAGGCTACTGTCGGAGGAAGAATCATCTCGGTCGCCATTTGACCTTCGAGACGATTTGGACCCGCGGCTATCCCGACGGCTGCGTCCGAATCGCTCTGCTGCAAGACCGCCGAGACCGAGGGCTGCAAGCGCTTCGCCCATACTTCGGCTCCGGCGACGATCCAATCCAGGTCGTTCTGGTGATTCGCTATCAGATCTTCCTCGCGGTCTGGATTGCGACCTCGATCTCTGATAGTCTAGGAACTTCTTACCAGCCGCTGCGATAAGTCCACTAGTTGCTAAATCCTTGACCCGGCTTGCTTTATCGTCTCCATCACCTCTCTGCCTCTGCCTTCTCCCGTTAAGGCCTCTTTGGGCTGCCAGTCCGGCTAACACTGCTTCTGCAATTCTCCTGTTCCCTTTCCCGTTTTCCTCACCACCCTTCCGATCCAAGATCTTCTCGACTACGCCACTAGCAACAGCGGCTTCGACTATTCTCTTTAAACTCTTTGATCCTGTTACACCCCCTGGTTCCTTCCTGGCCCTGAACGCTTCAACTACTGCAGCAATAACCGCAGCTTGTGCTGTAGTCCCATTTCCCTTTGACCGTGATCTAGACCTCCGATCAACCTCACTGTTGGAATCGTATCCCTCATCCGAATCGGCAGGTGACCTTCTCCCTCGACTCTTTGATCTAGCCCTCCTATAGGTCTCTCCAAGACCCAAGGCGGTGATGGCAGATTCTCCTGCACTCTTTGCTCTATCGCGAGTTCTCATTCTCCCGTGGGAGGATGTAGTAGACCCCTTATGGCTTCTATCGTCATCAGTCTCACTCTCCGGTTCAGCGACAATGCTGCTTGCGTCGTCTGGAACCCTTTCTCGATGTCTATGTCTATGCTTTTTTCTTCTTCTTCTTTTACCGTCGTCGATACTATCGACATCGATATCAGTATCGGTATCTGATCTTTCCCGATCATAAGTAGTTGGTGGAGCTTCACGATGTCGGTGGTGTCGACGACTTGGTTTTTTGTATTCTCTTTCGTCAGGGTATGTTTCTCCAGGAGAAACAGGCTCGGCTTCTGAATCTGGTGGAGTATATGTACGAGGTTTACTATGTTTATGGCGGCGATGGTGATGATGATGCTTTGGACGGGTCTCCGGCGCATCGGAATTGATGGCGTCGCCAAAATAGTCTTCCTGTGTCGTAGACATTTTGTGATCTTCTAGTAGATTTGGTGTTGACTTTGTGTTATTTTTCTTAACGTTTATAGTTCGGCTTGGCTGATGTCGACGAATTTATAGCTTTGGCTTTGATGAAGTTATATTTCATTACTAAGTAGGTAGAAAAATAATATTGGGGGGAAAAGAATTGAAAAGAGGCAAAAGCTACGAGCTTATGGAAAGCAGGTCGAATTTATTTCTGCTATTCTATTCCTGTGCAAAGCCCCCCGTACGTAAGGGAAGTCATGATCAGGGCGGAATATCGAAAATCACCATCCACTAACGTAACACGGATTTCGGATTCGGCTGACACAAACAAATATCCAATCTGGTTTCTGTTCATCTTTGACGCAAACTCGACGTTGTACACAGAACACCCTGGAATTCCGAGTTCCATAGACTCGACTGTAGGCTAGTTTTACCAAGCTTTTCGTTGTACCTGGGAGTTATAAAAATCGATGCCCGAAATTCCTAAAGAACTACGCTAATGCAGGGTGACAACATCGACAGGGATATCTGCGATCACCGTGACGTCACGGTATCATCAGCGGTCCTAATAAGCAGGATTTCAATTGACGTGACAGGCAGTGATAGAGGGTACTGAGCAAATGAGTCAACGGAGTCTCGGAAGTGGTATCGGAACCCTGCATGCTGTTTGCATATAGCCCGATCTTTGTTAAAATAAAATAAAATAAAATAAACTTTCTACGCCATAAGGTTTGGGCGGTAATGCTCGAATAAAAGGAATGTTCTGCTGCGCTGCTAAGGGGAAAAAGTGCCATGTCGAGACTACCAGACTTGCTGACCTGAACTTGAATCCATTTGATCTATTGAACGCCCTTCCTATAAATCTTACTTAGATATATAAACTGGTTAATTTTGCAAAAGAAATAGGTGCCATAACTAGAAAAATGGTGCCGAGTCTAAAGGAAGGATTCCTCGTCTGAATCGTCGTCATCATCTTCATAATCTCCGCCAATAGGCCAGCCAAAACCATCAGCCAGAGCCATTTGTGCCGCTTGCTCACCAGTTGTATTGTTACCAGTACTGCCTTCGCTCTCTACCGATGGAGAAAAACTGTCACCAACCTCCCTTGCAATTTTTCCAAATTGATTGAACGGCTCCTGTATTAATTTCAACATATCTTTTCTCGCCTTGATAGTTGCATCATACTGTCTCTTCGTCTTTCTATACCTTTCTTCCGCAAGTTTTATAATCGTAAAATTTGCCGGTGAGAGGGCATACCCGTCATGGTACCTCACATTAATCTCTGATCTGTATTCGTAAAGGCGAGTAGCTTGAGGGTTAGGGTAGTTCGATAGTTCAAAGTCAAGTCTTCTATAGTGATCGGATTCTTCCTCTGAAACCTGAACGTGGTAATGATGTTCTGTATTTGACTGCAGAAATTGGTTGATCGGCCCGCAGATTTCGCATCCTCCCGTTGGACACCTTGGAGAAGTCCACGAAGGAAGGAAGTAGCTGGCCGGCTCGGGCTTATCACAAGGGAAATATTTGATGATGGCCTCAACCATATTCTCCCGGATTATCGCAGAACAGGGCAACACAGTTAAGCTAGGTTTCCGTAAAAACTTCTCCACAACTTGGACGTTGATGCTGAGATAACGTCTCCATCTTTGCATCTCGTCGTCTGATACGGATACCATCTTTTCAAGCGGAATCAAAATGGCATCCGTAAAGAGCGTAATAAGGCGTGACCGATGGGGTTCGGCCTGTTCATCGAGGAAACGTAAATAATTTGTGATCCGGTTTATTGAAGGATCAATCCCTTGCCAGATAGAACTTGAAGTAGCTTCTGTATTCGACACACTATACCCCATTGGGTGATAATCGTTACTGAAACCACTTTGATCCAGTCGAAAACGGAAGTCTTCCGTTTCCGCATAGTACAATGCAAACCGCTGCCTCAGCCCGGCGATGATAAATTCATGGAAGGTATGGTGGGGGATACTGTTTAGTAACGCGTGGACCGGCGAACCATTTGGGTACCCATTCTCTACTTTTTTATATAGATCTTCAAGCAAGTTTACATTCGGATGCCCGGTAAATGTAGACTCAAAACTAAACCGCAAGTGGCGTATTGTTAGCAAGCGAAATGGCATGTCCTTTTAAATCAATATAGGTGTTACTAACAGCTCAATTACTTCTTCTTGTGGTGTGTCTTGATATGTTTCCAATAACTTGCAAAGAACACTGGGACTAAGCACGACATAGCGTAGCCCAAGAATCTTCTTCACAGTAGGGTCAAATGAAATCGGTAGATTTTTTGGGAACAAAGCCTTCAGTTTTAGGAGACGCAATAAGCCTTCCTTCGAGGGATTGGGGACTGGTTCAACCCCTCTTCCTACTGGCCTCCACGGCGCCACCAGATTCGCGTACTCGAAGAGACTTTTAAGAGGATTCTTATTATCAGTGCGAGAGTCATCAATAATAGCAATGAATGGGGCCTTACCTGGACTTCTCGATCATCTCAATATCATCTTTCCCCACACTTTGAAACATGCTATAGAGGAGCTCGCCCGCACGCTGGATCTTGTCATCTGGTGGTGGAAAACAAATACATCTCTCAAGAAATGCCAATAGCTTTATGACTAAGAGAGGGTCCCCTTCTCCCGCTGTTGTAAGGGGAGGCGACTTCGGTGATACGATATTTAGGACGGTATCCCATTGCAAAAGTGGTTCTTTGATCTGTTGGACAATCGATTCGGCTTCCGACGTTGGCCATAGAATAATGCAAGATGTTTTGTACCCTAAACAGGGTAGCGGACTCGTAGGGTCAGTCTGCAAGTATACCAAAGTCGCAAGTATTTTAGGTCTTACAAGATAAACGTTGGCTTGTTGAGGGCGAGGTCAATGAATGTAGGTGACTTACATGTATGGATCAAGGTTCCCTCATTTCCGGTATACTCCTCTTCTTGGTTGATGCTCTCAATCTCGTCTAGAGAAGGCCCCAAGGAGTATAACTTAGTCAACCAAGGGATTTGGCCGGAACCAAAATGTCGGTAAGTACCAGCGATGTGTTCGATACCCGTCAGAATAATTTCAACGTGTGCATTCACGCCACGAGTCCTATTAAAGTTAGGCGCCTCGTCTTCATCCTCATTCTCATAATTTTCATCCATTTCTTCTTCATCCTCTGATAGTTTGATTTGCACATCCCCACAGCACATCGAAATACCCCCAACTTTGTTCATTCCCGCTATTAAATTGGAGATAACATAGCGATCTTTACCTTTGAACCCGAGTCTCCTCTGAGCTAACGAATACTTATTTTCAAGTGAGTAAGCTACCGGGTCTTCTCTTTCCTTTAGCTCCTCTAAAAGCTCCAGGAGCCCTGATCTGACAGCTGTTCCAGATGCCGACAAAGAGCCCCCTTCAACTGTAAGGTTGTAAACTAAAGCAACTCTATACCCCCCAGTAACCTCTTCCACCGCATGCTCAACATCCGAATACCATGCTGCAACTCCAAAACTATAGTTGCAATCCCGAGCGAAATCAAACGACATTTCTTGGCCAGCGTGGGAAAGCTTGACAATTCCTCCTTCAAACACACTGGGAAGGATGACAACGACAGTTCCAATCATGCCATCTTCCTTCGGGGTGTCTCTATGAGTTTTGAAATGGTCTCCTTTCTCATAAACCAAAAGTTTGTACAAATTAAGCTTTGATCTCATTTCGGTACCGATACCAAGGGCAGTACCAATCTCACTCAGCACAGGGCCCTGAAGCCAATCTGTGAATCGAGGATTTTCGAACTCGAGCTCTGAGGGGTCGAGTTGGCGACTACTTCGGACTGTCGGGTCAATTATGGTTTGTTCCCCTTTCCCAAATGGGGAAAGCTTTCCTAATTCTGACAATTTCACTGCATCTTCGGTAGAAACTGGTAGTCTCAGGCAAGATCCATCAAGGCCTTTTACTTTGAGGCCGGGATTCGGAACCGCTGAATATGTAGATGAGAAAGCGAAGGTGCCTTGGTAATTCTCGAAGTCCTCCAATGCCCTATAGAGCCTGAGTTCAAACTGTTCACTTATGTTAGCATAACAAGAATATTTAATTCACTATATCAAGGAAATCAGGAAACAGACCGAAGGAGGAGGGGCCTCAGTACGCTCATCGTTGCTTTGCTCATCGTCATCGACAAGATCTTCATTTATTAACATATTTTCGTCGTCACCGTCGGACATCGTGGCCATGGCAGCTTCACCCTCGAGCAGATCCATGTGCATCGAATGGATAAAGGCAGGAATTTCATCCATTTTTACCAGCTGCAATAAATGTATACCCTGCAATTAGCTTCAGATCGAACAGAAAAAATTAAATTATCGGAACACGGTTTATGTGGTGATGTAGCTGGTTGCCGACTAGCTTACCTGTGTCAGGGTTCGGAGCTATCAATCGATGTTCGCGTGGATATTAAGGGCTGTTTATGCAAATAAGAACACGCGTCCGGGATCCCAACCAAGGCCAGATGACCGCTTAGTGCACTTGGTATGGTGTAGTACGAGGTGTTAGGGAGATGGAATGATAAGGAATAGCGGGCGGTGATCCTGCAGGCCGAATGCCGGGGTGTCACGACAAGCTAGAAGAGAGTCGAGTCCACGTCCAAAATCGAGAGCTTGCATTAGTGACGGTCACACAACATGCCGCTCAATGCAACACCAAAAATCCAACAGCTCTGAAAGGTCAAGAAAAGGTTCGAAGGTCGGTCTTTAGCTGGATTAACCGCCTCTTTTCACCTATCAGATCTAACCGATAAAAAAGTTTTTGCAAATGAAATATTGGTCTATTTTAATCGCTGGCTCTTTGATATCGGTATCCGTAAGTAGTTGAAAGTTCTTCGCGATCCCTACGGATGGCTCTGTCCGTCCACATACGTATACGAGGCTAAGATCTCAGCTTGTTTACGATAGATCAATTTACAAAATTGAAAATGAGGTCTAATAATGAAGCCTATGTTTATTTCTTCTTAATTTCTTATATTAATCGAAAACACAGTTGTTCTGATATCACCTAGCTGTGTTCTGGTCCTTCTATTTCAATTGATATATTTAGGCGCTAGGGCACACGGGAATCTGCATTATGTAATCAAAATTAGAGGCTACATTAAAAACTAAAACTATTGGCATGATAATATCAATTGATTGCACAAATTAGAATACTAGAAATGACGAATCGATAGATAGTCATTTTGTAGCGTCATTAGGTTCTAATACACATCCTGAGAGCCACCTACATGTTATTTAGCAAGCCGCCAAGTGCGCGGCGTAATTTTATATCAAAAACCCCGAGTAAACTTGCCCGAAAGTTATGGTATAATGAAGCAAATTTTAAAATCAACCTTATAATATCAAATACGAGCCTGAAGTATAGAAACCCAAGCAGTGAGGAACAATGCAGCCATCTATACAAACCATGACTGAAAGCTGGGATTATCCAACGCATTTTAATTAAGACTCGAGCTTGATCGCCAAAGGGCCAGAGATTCCAGTTTGTCACAACGGCGCTGTAGTACAACCTGCATGCCTAATTCGCCCAATTAAAAACTTCAGGCATCATTTCCTGCATCGCAGGGCCGTCCACCCAATAGCTACTGAATAATCGCAAATTACGAATGCGAACCCCTCTTTTGAAGCATATTGTTAAGGCTCGATCTCGATCTTTCCTAGGACCGATTTATGGTTATAAAATCAGCGAGCCAGTATATATTAATTAATCGTCAACTAGCTCCTTACGTATACTCCTACCAACTAATTCAAAGTTTATTTAATTTATTCTGAATCTATCAGGTTCGTTCGAGTTAGACTGCATCTCGATTGTTCGGAGTAGAACGTACGATAAGCATTCGCTCTCAACGTTGTACATCTATAGTTCCATATATCACTTTAGTAGATCTAATCCGCTCAAGCGTCAAAATAGAACCAGAACTACCCTATATATATATCCACGATATTATCCACGAATCGATTCACGACTTCAACATCAACATCAACAAGAGTCTCGTAAAGGCAGAAATGTCGGCTCCTCAAAAACCTATCAAAGGGTCAAAAGCCTACGAGAAGTTCCGTCAAGCGCTCGAGAAGATGGATAGATCAGAACTAGGCAACCTCGAATTTCGTCGCTACTCCAGAGACATGAAACGTCTAATTATCCAGGAAAAAAAGTTACGGAAATCGAGTAACAAAGGGATATCTAAAAAGGAAACTACAGATATTCTCATAAAGATGGTCGAAGTCCTCCGACCGGAACAGGCTGCCACGTTTAAAAATCGCTACCAAAACCCACCTAAGAAGCCCACACTTGAACGTTCCGGGGAAGCTAAAAAGCAGGCGCTGTTGAAAAGCAAAAAAAACGATCCAAATTATACACACGCATATTGTACATTTAAAATGTACCACGAAGACGTCAGCAAGAAAGTGGGAGGTATTTCTTTCAATTCAAAGTTCTGGACGCTCGGCCTCAAAGCCCAGAAATACATAGCAGGATCTTCCACATGCTCCAATCCATCCTGCAGTAAAGAATGGGAACATAAAAAAATCGGAATGGTCATTCGGGGATCTCGGGAGCCAGAAGTACTAGATTACCACGTATTTGTGCGTAATCAAAGGTGCAAATCATGTGGCTCTCTAGCACTCATGCAACTGAAGAAGACAACATATGTTAAAATAGTGGCACGTCAATTGAACGAATGGAAGGAGGAAGATCAACCTTCGCGCCACGATCTCGGGTACTGTGAGGAATGCAAAACTCGCAAGTGTCCCAACCTGAAGCCGGATGGCGTTGAAGGTCATGTAACCTCTGCTCTAGGAAAACTTCATCTATAGCACTTCAACTATAGCACTTCAACTATAGCACTTAAGTATAACGTTTTCAGATAACTCTAAGTCTCCTAATTACTTTCCGCGAATTTTTATTAATCCCATTTCTTCCGCCGAAACTTTCAAGTCCTGAGCCGAAGTTGTATATGTATATAAGTCCATATGTCATATTTTCTTAAAATATCAGTGTCAAAGCCTGGGAAACTATATCAGCAGGGGACAGGAAAGCCTGCTGTGTCTCCTTGACCAATTGAGTACTCTGAATGAACGAGCTCATGTCTGTTCGCCTTACAAAATCTTTGTTTCTTACATTACAGCGATACACCAATATAATAAGTGCGTCCAAAGGCGCTGTAGGTATATATATATATATATATTGTGTACCAACTATGACATTCAAATCAAACCACAGACCACAAAATGCGATCAATCACTCGTCAAATCAATAACCTTTCTCTTAACCCCCCCAGACGTTGTCCCAAACCCCAAGTTCGGCGCAACCGCCGACGAATTCCCCGTATAAGCTTGATTAGCTGTTCCAATTATTCGCCCTTCATCATCAACCTCTACACCAATTGCAGCTAGAAGATTCCTCCTAACCGCAAGAGCCGTACGAAACTCCTCGACATCTTCATTATGCCTTCGCTGAAAATCCCTTTTTTTTTCGATATAGTAACAACCGTGTCTGCTTTTTTCACGCCCCACCCCGTTGAGCGAATATCTAAATAACCTTTTATTTCCCAGCCTATGGACTCGATGGTTTGTTTATAGTGCAATTTTTCTCCTTTCCTACTAGTCGCAGTGAAGTTTTCACTAGTTGGAGATGAAAGAAAAGAGTTTAGAGGGTCGCAAAGACTACAACTGGCCGGCCAAGCGCACATGGTAATTTTCGGAAGTGCTAAACTCGCTGTAAGGGGTGGCGATTTCAATTTAGGATGAAGATTGAAAACTGCATTCTGGTAGTTTGCAAGAAAAGTTTTGATAACATCAGGTTGTGATTGCAGAAGCATCGAGGAACTTGGAAGTTCTTTTACTTCATGCGCGACTCCCTTGAGGGTCTCCAGAACCCATTGTTTATGACCCTTTGTCTTGACAACACTCAGAAATTGGACGATTAACCTGACTGAATCCGGATCCCCTAGTTCTTGGAGGATTTTAAAGTAACTTGTGAGTTGCCATTCAAGTTGCTGTACCCTTCCAAGGGCGGCCGAACCACCCGGGACGTCGAACCCAGCGATTTGGTGATCCATATATGCGAAACATAATTCCGAATTTGATTCAAAGCGTTTGCGAATCCCTTCGACAATGTACTCATGGATCTTGAAGGCTAAGGATCCCCAGATTTCCAAGATTGTAGGCGTCGATCGCGCTTTTATTTCTGCATCCAACATTCGTCGGAAGTTCTCATTCGGGTGCTGTACGAATATTTTTCGGAGGCTGTCGAAAAGATTCAATTAGGTTAGTAAGTTTTTTTTGGCTTATTTAGAACGCCGTTTATATGACTTACATAGAAGTAAACCGTCCCTCATTTTCTTGAGACATGAGCTCAAATAGCAAGCGTATCGCTAAGACCACATTATAATCCACGACCAAGAACTTCGATCCCAATACCCTAGCAAATCTAGGCATGAAAATCTCAGAAATTTGGAATGGGAAAAGCCTCAGCATCCGCGTGAAGTTTTGGGCAACAATAGTATATGTCCTCGGAGGAGGTGGTCGAGGTCGAGAAGAATAGTAATAGTCATAACTATAACTAGTCTTTTGTTCCACCTTGTTTACAGAATCTCCCTCTTTTTCGATATTAGAGACCATGGAACGTGCTAATCTATATATCATAGTTAGCTTCTAAACCAGTATACTGACATATACATATTGCAGTATGGTATTTGATATTGGCCAGCAGAAGAGCAAAAGTCCAAGGCGGGGGAAATAACTTACGTATCGCATACCCCCTGTAAATCCGCAGCAGAAATCCCCCGTAGGCTGTCCTTGAGGAAGTTTCCTGCATCTTCTATATCCGCATCCGTAAAAGGTTTCGACATCAAGCAAGCCTCGACGACAATGTCCCAGATTGCTTCTACATATTTCGGATTATTCATTGGCGGCGCTGGAATCGAGTTAATCGCCACCTTAAGATCATGCCACGAAGACTGGCTATTTAGGAGCGCCCTCGTGCGCAAGTTAAGCGACCTGACGGCCGAAGTTGGAAATATAAATATACAGCATGATATATGCTCTATTATCAATCTGTCAGTTAGCTCATGTCACTTTAGACGGAGGGGCGCTTGCGGACACTACAAGGGGATGTCTAGACTACTACTTACTTTTCTCAAACTCCTCGTCCGGATCCTCCTCTTCAAGCGGATCATCAGGTTCCATACCCCCATCAACCTCCACCTCAATCTCACTCAACCTCGGACCCAAAGTCAAAATCGGTCCCGCCCAATAAGTCTCATCTTCCGTCCCAAACGTCCTCTCAAACCCAGCAAGATGTACCATAGCCTCCAACTCAAAATTCATATTCATACGATCAATATCCAAATCTACATGATCATACCCATCTAGTTTTGAATATTCAATACTATCCGGAACATCTCTTCCGCCTGATTCATAAGTAGTCACGATATATCCACAGTAAAGCGATAGACCGCCTACTGTTTTCACCGCCTGGATGAGATGGTGGACCAAGGTACTATCAAGACCAACGAATTTTTTCTCCTCCAGGTCTGTTGGAGTATACTCTTGATACTCCATAGCGTATGCCACGGGTTCGTCGGCCGTTGCAATATCTTGGACGGCGGTAATTATCCCCCCGGAAGGAAATAATCTCGATGCCAAAGGCTTCGGACTAATACGAGCAGAAAGCTTGTACACCATCGTCACCTTATACCCATTAGACACCGGTGCGCTGTGACACGTCACATCAGAGTACCTACCCTCGTATGAATGATTAGACAACAAAACTTTCATTATAAGATACTCGATCGGGAATATTCACTTACCAAGCAGTAGCAACAGTATCAAACCCCGACCTCCCCCCACTCTCAACCTTCTGCGTCCCATGAAGACTACTCATTACCACCCCCCCTCCAAGAAACTCACTCGGAAGCATAACCTCCAAAGTTCCAATATTATCTTGACCATTCCCAAAGCTTTGCATCTGACCCGCCGTAGCTCCACCAGAATAAACTCTCACCCCCTGAAAAGCGGGTATTATATTAGACTTCCCTTCAAGTCCCAAACTCTTCACTACCTCCGGTAGCAATTCCTTCTCTACCCATTTAATCCAATCCGGATTCCTAATCTCAATAAGATCCGGAAGAACCTCCAACACCCCGTCAACGGGTAACGATAACTTTGTAAGTCCAACAGCTGCCTCAACATCACGCCTCGAAAGTGGTAGACGCAATATTCCATAAGGCACCGCCGCAAGTCCTGGGTTTGGAGCGCTGGTATAAGACTTCGAATAAGCTATATTACCACCAAGGTAATCGCCATCAGTGACGCCGCTTAACATTATTTTACACAGGCGTCTCTTTTTTTATTATCAAGAATTAAATAAAGTTTAATTAGTTAACATTAGTTAACTATATACTCGAAGCTTAGAGAAGTAAGTAGCAGGGGAGATTGAACTTACAGCGACTCCATAATTGTCAAATTCACTATCAAAGTCATTCTCCGAGTCGTCGTCGTCGTCGTTGTCTTCATTGATAGTGACTTCCACGGGAGCTCTGGGACGAATTAGATGGTTGACGACTTTTCTATCGTTCTCTTCATCAACAGAGTCTTCCTCGGAATCATTTGGATCGCTATTGGCCTCTTCCTCTTCCTCCTCTTCCTCCTCCTCCTCCTCCTCCTCCTCCTCCTCCTCTTCTTCAGATCCAATTGGATCACTATAATAAAGCTTTACCCGCTTCGGATCAGACATGATCGATTGATGCCGCTATTCTCAAAACCCCGAATATAATACGTCTAATTAAACGTAGCTATAGCCAGAGTTATAAGGGGTTAACCAAGTGCAACAAACATAATATAACTACTAATTATCTCGCCCCCTAAAGCTAGAATATAAGGGAATTCGAAACCAGGCCGCTGAATTAACGGGATAAAAAATAAAAAATAAAAAACTTACAAAAGGCAATTGGTCGCCTAGCATATATCTTATCGAAAAGAAAAAGTTGTAAAAGTCGACACAAAACGCAAGGAAGGGGTCATTAACGCGCGCACACAGAAGGACCACAGGATTTTTTTACTCCCCTCAACGCGTCTTTAATTAAAAACCCCCCCAATGAAAAAGCACCAAATCAGCTGGTGTTTGTAGCTATCCCGTTCTCCAATCTCATTAGTTAGAAGATCTCTAAGCTTCCCCCCTGCAAGTTTCATTTCGGGACACACATGCCGCGAAGGCTAGTTCCGTCCAATAAATTAATCCAACAAACAAAATTTGCGTTGTCGAATTTAACGGTGTTCGATATAAAATATCTTCCAGGTCTGAGTACGAGACAAATAAAATATCCAGAAAACGAAATTTCCAAAAATTATAAAGATATAACTCCTAATTTAAAGTAGATAAGTAGCCAAGGAAGTATATAACCCAGAAACCACACTACCCACAGACGCCTAGATGTATACCCGTTCCTTGATAATGATCTGTGAACTTAAAAACTAGACTAGGTGTATTTAAACTTACTTATAAGTTTATAAACTAGTTTTTCATGAGCAAGGTTAAAAGTTTATGGTGCACAGGGGTGTTATAAACTAATGCTATTATATTGTAAAATATATATGCTATGCTAGAAATAGTGGAATTATTGAAATGGTAATATAATGTAATCGATTACGATGATGACAGCGGGTGTGATTTGTAGTTCATGTAACTTAGGTAAACGTGTGGCGATTAATTAATTCGGGTTTAAAATGTGCTTGCTAAATGCTACTAAGGGACACGTAACGAGTATTATATACTTAGTACTTAAAGGTCTATATTGAATTCTACTACTTATGCTAGAGATCCAGATCGACCACCAGCACTAGGTACTTAAGTAGTTACATAGACCCACACTAAACAGGGCCGATAACCTAACCAGACTAGTATTATATATAATTCCTTAGACATACATAAATTATACAGCATCCAGCCCGATACAGCTCTTAAACCGTAACCCAACTAAATTCAATATAATCCATATCATATTATATCAGTATTCGGTCATAATCTTTGCTTCAGTATTTTCTTCACGGGAAAAACATTCCGAGAAAAAAAAAACAATTCACCATATTAATTTCAATACAATATATTAATATAATACCAATTTGTGAATGTCTTCGAAGTTAGTAGTGATGTGATCGAAGATCACGTACGTATTATAGATACCTAGGCCTGGAGTGTTTAGATTATACCTGTTTAAGTATAGTACTTGTATGCTTAAGTAGCAATCCGGCTAAACCATATATATCTATAGATTTTACATATGAATATGTATCAACATCAATATCGATATCGGGGATAAATATATTCTCTCTCTATATATAAGTAGTTTTCTCTCCCTCCAACAACTATATATAACTTTGATCAAGTGAAATCGATACCGATGATGCATATTTATATTTATACTCTATCCAAAGGGCTTGTATAAAAAAAGAGTACCAAAAAGTGAAAAAAAAGGGAGAGTACGCAAATACACAAAAAAGGAAAAATAAACTTCAAAGACTCCCAGCAATCAAAAGAAGATACCCATGCCCAGGACCTGAAAGGACCGAAAGAAAAAAAAAGAAACATATAGACAACCTCCATATACATAGATAAGTAGTATAAACCCCCGAGGATCCCCTTCAAGAGCACCACCATAGTTAAGTACTTTGCATATCTACCTACCTACCTACCTCCTCCCATACTTCCCCCCCTCCATCTCCACCCCTCCATCCTCAACCACCAAAAGCTCCTCAGCATCTTCATCCTCCATCAACTCATCCCCATCCAACAACCTCCCTTCTTCCTCCTCCCCTTCACTCTCCAAAAACCTCGTATCCGCCGCCACCCCCCCAAAAATCCCATTAAAAACCCCCATAGCCCTCCCCGCAATCCCATCCCTCCTCTTCCCCCCCTTCCCACCTTCCTCATCCACATACCTCCCTCCACTCCCTCCTCCTCCTCTTCCCCCGCTCAAAGTCCTCTCCAACTCCTCCTCAACCGGATCATCCGAATACCCATCCCTACCATTCCCACCACCATCTCTACCAGCAACATTCCCAGAAGAAGGCCTCATATCAACCTCCTCCCCTTCCCCACTCCCAGTACTCCCCCCCGCAGCACTCCCCACAACCCTCCTCCTCTCCTCCGCCTCCAACTGTCTAGCCCTCCTAACCGTCCTCTTATAAATAAACCACCCAGTCCCCATCCCAAACAACGCTCCAAATATCATACTCCCATAATTCAACGCCTTAGTCCCCGCATCCATCTTCTCCCCGGTCTCCCCAAGAACCTTCATCTGATGACCAATAAAAACATGAATAAACAACTTCGGACTAGCAACCGCTCCCGCAACCGCAAATTTCCACGCACTAACCGTAGGAAAGGTACTCATAGCTCCGTTGGAGATACTATACGGCAATGGACAAAGACGGATCATGCACAGGAGTTTTAAACCGTCGTGTTTGAGGGTTAGTGATAATGCTGCGAACCTTTTATCGGTTGATACCATTCGTTGCGCAAAATCTCGGAAGTAGAGACGACAGGCTATGAAGGCGGCTGTGGACCCGATTACGGTTCCTGAGGAGGCGATGTACCAGCCGTTTGGGACGCCGTAGATGAAACCGGCGAGGGTGATGGAGGTGGAGTAGCCTATCATTGGGGGGAAGGCGGAGACGAATGTCCAGGCGAATAGGATTAGGAATCCATATGGCATTTCACTATACACATATAAATATAAAAAATTAGCTTTTAAGTGTTCATAACGGGTAAAGAATAAGAATAAGAAGAAACACATACCGCCATTTATCAGCAATAGGCGAAAACCAATGAAAAATAGCTTCATGATAAATAACCCCCAACAAGATTCCAATATTTAGTATAGCGAGCGCGGTACACCCGATGATCTTCTGCGCAAGACTCAATTTGTTCCAATACTGATGCGCTTTACGTTTTAACTTCCACACGTTGGTGATCAGATTCGATGACGCGGATGTGACGGATGTTGTGGATGATGACCGTGACCGTCGTCCGTTGCGTGTCCATGTCGGTGCTGTGGTGGTGGTGTTTGAAGAGGAATTCATGGGTGGTGTGTAGAGTGCACCGCGGGGGTGGTCGGTGGACATATTCGTTTGTTTTTTTTGTTAGTCGTATGGGTGGTGGTGGAAGCTGAGCTGGGCTGAGGTTGTGTTAAAGTACTCTCTCTCTCTCTCTCTATGTATATAGCCGACGGAGCGAGCGCTGGAGATAACAGCTCGGAAGCTAACTACCTAACTCCCTCCTAACAAACAAAAAAAGAAGTATCTCCTCTCAAAAAAAACGAAAGAGAGAAAGAGAAAAAAAAAAACTACACACTCAGAATCATCAGAAGAATATCAACTAGAACCGGTGTATATATCACTATCGTATCCCAGTCGATTGGAATTTCCAAGTAAAAAGGTAAAAAGAAAAAGTCCAGTAAAGTTTTCCGTGGAGTATTGTAATCCCGCCAGCCCAGAGGTGACGTCTGTCAGGGCTTAGCTTAATATAATGCTGACGAAAAAACTCCGGCCACCTAATCTTCCTTCCTTCCTTCCTTCCTCTCTTTCTTCCCTTCTTTCTAATCACTCGGCTTATCGGTTGCTTTTCGGTCGCAAAATGTGCCCGCGGGTGCCGTCCGTTGGTAAAAAGATCGGTCGATATCCCCTTCTTCAAATGTTCCAGATAAAACAAAATTAACCCATCAACCAGCAACAGGAATAAAATTAAATTTTTAAAAAAAAAGAAGCGAGAGAAGGGAAAGAAATAAAGAAAGAACGAACGAGATGTAACGGTGGTCTAAAAGGGATGATGGATGGATGGATGATGGATGATGGGGATGCATGCAATGAGGCTGTTTGCGGAACATACAATTGGACACACTTGGACCTTCCCTTTCCCCCTCCCCCCAAACAATAATCCCACCGTTTGACAGTTATGAAGAACCCCTGCAGGAAACTGTTGTTTAGAATGCGCCCAAAAATAGTCGGACAGAAAAGAAAGAAAGAAAGAAGAAACACCATCACGAAAGATATAAAATCACTTCCAATTGAAGAAAAGAAATCCACACATGCATATATTCATATCATATCAGTTCATATCAAAGAGGTATAATATTGCAGTCATCCAAAATGTACATCGAAGAAGAAGAAAGTAAGAAAAATAAAAAATAAAAATAAAAATAAAAAATTATCAGTTCAGCCCATCATATGGTAGTAGCAGTAGCAGTAGCAGTAGCAGTGTACCAATATAAGTAGCAAAAGTAAAAAAAAAGTCCACATATATAAAACTTTTCTGCATGCCAATGTGAACGATAAAAGAGTAAGAAGTAATATAAAAAAAGGAGTAATGCTCTCACGAAAACGGACAGCAGAATGAAGTGTAAAAAAGAAGAAGAAGAATGCAATGCCGCATATGAATCAGTACCATGCCACATGCATTTTGTATCCGCCATAAAATATAAAAATAATAAAAAATCAAAGAACGAAGAGTCAAACCAAAGGTATATGTAGGAGCAGTAGTAGTTTGCACCGAAAGAACAACCGCAGAGGAACATATGAAAGTCAGTACCCGTGAGAAAAGCAATAAACACAGAAAGCCAACGACATTAAAGAAACAAAAAGAAAAAAGGTCCATATTATGTAGACACTCATCATGAAGTAACTAGTGACCCTCTATGCTAGATAACTAGCATCTGAGAGGAATTGTACAAATGAAAGGTATACCTCGATAGCATCAATAATATGAGGAAATTCAATAAAGTCTCTTCCATATAAAACCCAGGGACGTTAGAGGAGAGGAGGAAAGGAAAAAGGAAGAAAAGAAAAAAAAGGAAATAGAATCGAACGCCTGTCCACATATCATTACATCCTCATCGCCTCAAAAAAGAATAAAATAAATATTATCCGAGTCGAAGAGGGAAAAGAAAAAGTCGCTGTTGAAAATAAAATAAAAGTGGAATATAAGAAACCGTACGACCGAGTCATTGAATTATTTAGTATCCAAACCCGCCACGTCGGCCTCGTCCACCACCACCACCACCAACACCACCACCGACCCGCGGCAGTTCAAAGTCGGGATTGTTCGCTAGTATCTGATCCTGCTGTCGTGGTGGCCGTCTGGGATCTCTATTCGGCAGATTGGGGGCACCTTCACCTTGCCATCGAGGGTTAACACCCCTCTGGCTGATGCTCGTGAAGTGACTGCTAGTCGACATCGCGGGGCTACGCTGGCCGGGTTGAAGTTCTTCATAAGAGCCGCTGGGGTCCTGGTAAGCTACATTATTGCTCCTAGGTTCGCGTTGGGGTGGTGGAGCGCCACGCTCTCCGCGTGCATCCGGTGGGTATTCAGCAAGTGCCATGGTTGGTGGCGGGGTATATCCTGGGGTGAGAATCGCGGGAATAGCAGTTGGGTTTGGTGGGTTGTCAAATCGTGGATCAACATCCTCGTAGTAATCCTGCGATCTTCGCGGTCTTGGAGGGGAAGATGGGTGGACGGGTTGTGGAGGGGAAGTTGTAGTAGGTAATTCGACGGGAAGCTCTGCTAGAGGGCCCTCTGGACGTGGTGACTCCCTGCCGCTAGCAGCCCAAGCAGTCCTAGGCGGTACATATCTAATAAAAAAGAACAATATATGTTAGAATGAACTTGAAATTTTTGACACAAAAAGGGAATTTGATATAAGGAAAAGAAAAAAAAATACATACTCTTCTTGCGAATACTTGCTAGCAGGGCTTTGAAGAGCCGGACTAGGAGTTCTGAGCTGTCCCGGGTGTCCACTTGCTGCCAATCCGACGGGCTCTGCAGTCATGATCGGAGCCGCATCCATTTCGTATGCATCATATCTGTTGTTGTTATTATTATTTACATTTTGCTGAATTTCGGTAGGAAGCGGTGGTGGAGAGGCGTATCGCGGGTTTTCAGCCTGGATATATCCAATATTATCGGGAGGCGGAATTTCATTCGTAGGTCTTCTTGGAGGCGGTCCGTACGGTCCACCCTGATCAATCGGCGGTGTTTCAATGGTCGGCCTCCTTGGGGGTGGTCCGTAGGGTCCACCTTGGTCAAAATTCATATCGTTTCCTCTCGGTGGTGGTCCGTACATATTATCACTTTCAAATCCGGGACTCGGGCCTCTGAAATCCGGCCCTTGATCTCCAGGTCTCATGAAAAGTGGTGGTGGGCCAGGTCCAATATACGGTCTGTCCTCGACCGAATTCAACGAACCGTTGGGTCCTCCGACATAAAATCCGTTCGGTCCACCGCGTCCTCTGAACGACGGGCCGCCTCTGGTACCCATACCAGGTCCACCTCTGGGACCCATTCCACCTCTTGGTGGGCCAAACCCACCACCCCGGGGACCCATACCGCCCGGTCCGCCTCTACCTCTCATCATCGGACCACCTCTCGGTGGGTATCCACCCCTTCCACCGGCGCCACCCATCATCATCGGCACCGGTGGTGTTCCATGTCTATCAAAGGACGAAGCAGGTCCAAAACCATCGGAGTTCATAGTATGATTCGATCTCTGTCTGCTCAGCGCCGGATTAAACTCCGAATCCCCGGAATCTCCAGGGGTCGGATGTCGAGGAATGTTCGGGTTGAATCCACCAGGACGTTCCGGGTTGGGGAAAGCGGGTAGGTCGTTCGGTTGAGGTGTCTGTCCGCGAGGGTTCAAGGGCGTCCTATCGTTATCGGTGCTCGTCTTGTGGCTGGTAACATCAAAGGTCGCAAATTCTGGGATTTTAGGTTCACGCATCATCGGTGCCGGTGAGCTTCCGACGGCGGTCGTAGAGTTGTTTCCATATTCGGATGGATTATCCCGTTGGTTGATGGCGGCTGCTCGTTGTTCGCGGAAGGCATCGCCGTTCATTTCAGCATTGACGGCGATTCTAGCCTTCTGGGCGGCTCTGGAAACGACAGTGCGCCTCATGGCACAGGTCATGATCCCCGCGGTCAAGATACAAATAGTAGCGGCGAGGACGAGCCAGCCGCCCCATGACAAATGTGGAATGAAGAGGAGGATGTCGACGAGGAAGGCGAGAAGAGTGACCAGGAAAGTCGGGAGGGCGAATAGCAATGTACCGAGAAGGTATTTGGGATTGTTGGAAGGACCGTGGAGATGGGAACAAGCGGCCAAGATCATAAGAACAAGGGTGAAAGCAGCAGCGATCGGGTGAATGATGAGAAGGCTAGAGAGGGAATGACGGGCATTGGATGGTAAAGAAAAGTCGGTCCTAGTCGGGTCCTTCAAAGCGGTATCTATAGAATAATATCGGTATTATCATGTCAGTTTTTTTTATCAAATATCAATTGAATTATACCAGAATAGGATCCTTCTACCGAGAAGTCCATGTGGGAGTGAGATGTCGGATTGGATCGCCAATGCATGAACGAAAAACAAAAAACAAAAAACAAAAAAACGGCTGCGACAATGCGATATGCGATATGCGACAATGCGATGGAGTAGGGAAACAGAAGAAAAGAAACAGAATAAGAAGAGAAAAAAGAAGAAGAGAAAGCATACCAGGATTGTAACCAATTTCGATAGGACTACATTGATTTCCGACACAATAACCAAAGACACCGTAGGAGACATCGCCGTAGGTAGCAAGGGTGATCGGTTTGATGATAGGGACGGAGATGACGCTGATAAGTAAAAGGGCGAAGGCGGCGAAGAGGAGGATTGTGAGAGGGGTTGCAGCTCGAATCATGGCGGGCAAAGAAAAAAATAGCGGACGCGATCAGCGAACCACGTTTTTATTTGTGTATCTAAAAACTTCCTCCTCTATAAATATATTTCGATATTGATGATATTAACTGTCGATGTCTTTTTTTTCGTAGGTATGTAATATTTTTTTTGCGAAAAAAGAAGTTTTGATCGGTCGGGTTGGAACAGGGAGGAGGACGGCTGAGAGAGCGAGAGTGAGAGCGAGAGTGAGAGACAAAGGTATTGGATTTCCTCACAGAGGAAAAGGAATACCCAGACTACCCCCCCTCGAAATTATCCTTTCCGATCCTACTTCCAGAGTACGATAGCGACGATGATTATGATGAACGAGTGGCAGGTGAGGGAGGATGAGGAGGAAGAGGGAGGGAGGGAGGAGGTGAGGTGAGGATGATGTTTGATGATGATGATGGTGATGATGGTGATGATGTTGATGATGGGAGGTTGATTCGGTGGAGGTGAGTGAATGTGGGCCCCTAATCGAGTCGGGTTGAGTTGAGTTGAGTTGAGTTAGTTAACAGCCACCATTTCTTTTTTTTTTCTCTCTTCCAACGTGAACCAAATGACCAAAACAAAAAAAAAGGAAAAGACCTCGTGGATAGCTAAGTAGTTAACTTGTATAATGAATGATTGGAAGTAAAGAAGAAGAAGAAGAAGAGTAAAAGAAAGAATAAAAGAAAGAAAGAAAGAAAGAAAGAAAGAAGGAAGGAAAGACAGGAACCAGAAATGTAAAATGTAAAACCGTAAAAACGTGAGAAATGAATTCTAGTTCAGATCCGACTGGGGGGGCTTGGACTGCACTGGACTGGCTGGACTGGCTGGACTGGACCCGGCGGCGGCTGCTTTCCTGGCGCAGTCTGCATGTAAGTCCCGTCGAGATCTGACTGTACCGCCTCACTCCATACATATGATACGTACTTTTAAGTAGGAAGTACGATCTTTGATTATATTTTTGGCATCTCTCAATAAAATATTCTTCTTCGGTGAATGAATGAATTGAATTAAATTCTACAAGTTTCCCTTCAAATCAAATCCATTCTTTGCTTCATGTTCGCTCATTCCTTCCTTCCTTCCTTCCTTCCTTCTTCTCTTCGAATGTGTCAAATCTCCCCACATACAAACTAACATTACTGCCTATTCTGCCCGGGAAAATTAATTCCCACCGACAAAACTTCATGGATCAAGACAGAAACTATAATACGGAACTAACTAATGCTATGCTATGCTATGCCATGTTATGCTATGTATGCTATGTAAGTAAGTAAGTACTTAAGTAAAGTCCGGGAGAAACAAAGGGAATACCTTCTGGAAGGAAAGGAAAGAAAAGGGAAATTATCCTCGTATCGAAGATCACACCATCATGATATCGGCCCTTTCCCACGCCATGGTAACTATCTACTTAAGTACCTACCTAACTTCAATTTACTATTGATAATGGGAATACATCCATGATATCGATATCTAAGATTTTATCATGATCATGTTAGTACAATACCTGATTATCTACTCCGCAAGTATCTCCAATCCATAATATTCCTTTCAAAAAAAAGAAAAGAAAATGACTGAAAGAAAAGAAAGAAAAACCTTCCCGTTTATGCCAGCCAGTCCGATGATATCGCATGGGGTAGGCAGGCAGGTTATATTGTCAGTGTAATATAACATGTTCTTCTCTCGTTTCACGAAGACAGGAAAAAGGAACCAGACTTGCCCGGAATGGGTTCTCCCGTGCCATCTATCTGCATACATCCGGTCTCTCATCATCGCGATATCAGTAGACTATATATATATATATATATATATCTATATCTATACTTTTATCTATATATATTCAAGTTGATCGCATCCGAGAGATAATTATAATACATGTATGTATGTGTATGTATGTATAACATATCACATCTATTTTAAACCCAAACAGATATAGATAGTAAGTACCTAAGACTGTAAGATATCCAACCAACATCCACCTCGACGTCATATCTCCACCACCAACCGTTTCACTCCAAAACAACAAGAATCAATACTTTGACTGAGGCTGCTAACTACTTAAGTACTTGAGAAAAGAAGAAAGACTGGGCGAGTACTTGTCTCTCTTTTTCACGTTTTAAAAGCTTAATTGGCCCGTTTCCATCTCAAACTAAAAAAAAGAAAAAGGGAAAAGAGATGACGAATACCTCGAATCAAGGCGTTTTTCTAGTTCGGCTTTCCCTTGGCTTTTTCTTTCTTCCTTTCTTTCTTTCTTCGATCTTTCTTTCTTTGATCTTTTCTTATGTAACTTCTTAGTAATTCATCTATGAAGTATCTCAGAATCAAAGAAAATATCTTCACCACCCTTTTATTTCTTTTATTTCTTTTATTTCTCAATCCCCAACAATCACCCATCGGCTAATATCCCCAAACCACGGTCCAAATAATCCCATATCATCCGTATCTCATGGAAGTAGGTACCTAGTCGTATAGTATAGTATAAAAATCCATGAGCAAATTATCCCCATGTCTCCCATCCCCTCCCTTGCAAAAAAAAAAAAAAAAAACAGACGGTAAATACCAGCGTTAGATTACACAGAAAAGAAAAGAAGAAAAGAAAAGCTTAAAGAAGAATAGAAGGGGAGGGGTTTAGATTTTACGAAGTATCAAACAAATACCCATGTATGTTTTCTTCATCCATCCCGGACCTACTCTACATACTCTACATACTATATTGTACTGTACACAATACACCGAGTCTTTAAATTGATGGAAAAAATGACCTTCCAGAATTGTGTTCTCTTGTTAAACTGGTGGGCGGGTAGTTAATATAATACATACTTGCTCATAATTACTATACTATGCATAAAGTCTGGATGTTAATTAAACCGACTTCAGATGAAAAATATATATATATATAAATGCATCTATGCGTCTATGCAAGATCTATAGACGATCCGATCTAATCTATACCAAACACCTACTATACTAATCGATCGATAACTCTCTAAAACTTATATCCACAATTCAAGGTAAAAATCATATCATTCGACTATATATATATCATCATATAAATATATTCAATTATTCTTTCGTTTAAATAAGTAACTTCTTCATCTTTTTCATCATACGTATCTCATACCACTTTAAAAAAAATAAAAAAAATATATACAAACCCTCCAAATAAATAAGAGAGAGAGAGAGAGAAAAGAATCAAATATACAGGTAGAATATGCGGGGTATATGGCGTAACAAAACTAACTAGGTACTTAGGTATATAAAAAAAAGGATATGGGAATGAATGGGGGTATACATGATAACAACTACCTAGGTAGATATAAACAAGAATAAAAAACTCCAACTACTTATGTATACTACTACTACTACTAATACTAATACTACTTGAGGGAAAGGAAAAAAAAGAACTTCCAGGTAAAAAATCCAGTATCATAGGCGGCGTGAGTCAAAAAAAGAAGTTCCAGGAGAATGAGTCGAGATGGTCCAGTCCAAGTCCGAAAGAAGTCCAGGTTTTTTTTTTTTTTTTTTTTTTTTTTGAGAGTCGCGAGAGTCACACACACACACCCACGGGCAGGAACCTAGATATTTTAGTCAGTAAAAGACAGACGAGTTTGGGAGGGTCCTGGTCCGTGGGGGGGGGTGGACTCTCGACAAACTCCCGCCAGGTCCATAGATAAAAAAAAAAAAGGTTGTCCAGATAGATGATATGATCCAGGAAGAGTAGCCGTCCAAAGGTACTATCCCATACCGGTCCACGCAGGTCGTTCTTCTTCTTCTTCTTTTCTTCTCACTCACCCTCAACCCCTCTCTCTCACCCCATCACCAACAATACAAGACTTGAAATATTTTCACTATACAGGTCCAAAAAGTAAACATTATACTTTTAAAATAAAAAACCCCCCCCCTGTCAAAAAGAAAAAAATATTCTAACAAGTACAACCAAACAAATTTCTTTCCCAACTCCTCCCAAAGCAAACGTAAAAAGATAATCGTTCGAACGATATGTTGATGTCTTTGTCTAAGAAAAAAAAACGCCAGATAGATATCCAAAAAAAAAAAAAACGAAAGCCCGCCGGTAGCATAAAAGGGTCCAAGATCCAAGAAGTGCGGAAAGTGAGAATAATAAAAGGGAGCGTCGAGGTATGTCGATAAATAAATAGAAAGAAAAAAAGAGGTCCAGGTTGAACGAGTAAAATCCACGGGAAAATCCAGGTCAAGAAAAATGTCTGTCGTCGTATAAAAGTTGGTAGATTGGGAATGATAAAAAAAAAAAGAGAATCCAGAGCGGAAAAAGAGGTACGAAAAAAGATATTGAATCGGTGCGATTGTATGGGATAAAAAAATGAGAAGAGAAAAATCTGAAGTAGATCCAGAGGTTCAATCCGTAGTCCAGGGGAAGTTAAGCCAAGCATCGAACCTAGCTTCGTCCAAGATCATACTGTTCATCGATCCGATATCCAGTCCATGAGCCTGTGCCTGAGCCACAGCCGCAGCAGAGTAGAAGTTGAATCCAGTAACTTGTTCCTTTGGCGTACTATACTCCGAAGTAACGGACTCAGGCTGCGAGTGCCCAAGAGACTGAACCAGCGATTCAGTTTCGATTGAAGTTCCAGGGTCCTGGCTTGAGAAGGCGCTTTGGGCGTTCATAGTCCACGGTTGTTGCATGAATGATGTGGTAGCAGGTGCAGGTTGCGGACCGATCATCCTGGAGTGTTGAGCATAGGCTAGTGGCGATTGGGTCCTGGGAACATACCGGGGGTGGGGGCCATAGAATGGCAGTCCTGTAGCGCTATGTGGTGAATTAGCCAGTATTGGCGAGGTAGATGCGTCGACAAAGTTCTGATTGGTGAGTCCTAGTCCAGTAGTGGGTCCATAAGCGGGGAGTGGTCCGGGGAATCCAGTGGTAAAGCCATACATTGATTGCGCAGCTGCTGTTGCGGATCCAGAAAACCCAGCGGGTATGAGAGGGAGGGGTCCATATTGCTGAGAAGATCCAGAGCCAGAGAGGGGTGTTGTAGTAGAAATAGAGGGTGAAGCACGAACCTTCTGATCCTTGTGGAAAGTCCTTGAAGTATTTGGAGATGTCATTGGCGATTGTGGCTGTGGTCCGGTTTTGTCATCCAATCCAGAGAGAGCAGGCGAGGCTGGTTCGTTTGGCGACTTGAGCTCTTCCTGGTTACCAAAGGTAGCAGAAACCACAGGTGACGCCGGCTGAGCGGCAGCTTCGTCGAGTCCGGTCCTTTCCCGCGAAGCTAGAGTGTCTGCTGTCTCAATCTCGATGATTTTGGCGAGGGACTCATTGGCGACAAGATTGTTGACAAGCCTCAAGAAGCAGCCAGAGATACTTGGTTCCTGGTTCCTGTCCTCCGGGGTGGCAGCACCATGTTTCAAGATAAGGTCCAGAACAAGTTCCAAAGGATTCACTAACGGAAAACAAACCCACCCGTTGCAAAAAACGGGCAGAAACGCAATCAGTATTTATACATACCCATGAAGGTAGATATTAAAAAAAAAAAAAAAAAAATAGTTCGCAACCGATCCTACCCGAGGGTGGAATGCAATCCTTATTCTTTGGATACAAGTGTTGGTTCAACGACATCCATGTTCCAGTCTTCTTTTGTTGCATCTCCTGGTACTCCTTCGCTGGTTGTTTCCAGCCCTCATCATCGAGCAGTTTGTTCCTATAAATTAAAATAAAAGTAAGGAATACCATCCCGACCAAGACGATGGGATGTTAACACATCTTTTCAATAAGTATGGTCGAACTCACGTAATCTTCGAAATGTATTTGTATCTGTGGTCACGCAGATTGAGGTATTTGCGGGGTTCATTCATCCACCGGGGGTCCGGGTAGGACTCCCTGGTGGGTCCCTCCTGTTCCTCCCCAGATTTTTCCGGGGACTGTGCGGGTTTGGAGTCTTTGATAGTCCGTCTCCTCTTTGTGGGGACTTCTGTGGCGCTACCAATAGATTCTAAAGCGGGGTAACTGTTAGTTTTTTTTCTCTCCATACAACTTCGAAAAGTATAACATCAAACAAAACATAGAAAAAAGAAAGAAAAGACTCTCAAGACTATCTTTTCCGGATGTCCGGGAAAAGATAGCAGTGATACATGAGTATATATAAAAAAGAAGTATAAAAAAAAAAAAAAAAAAAAGAAATCTCACCAGACACCGATTTTCTCCTCCTCTTAGGAGTCATCGGTAAAGCATGAGAAGCAGCGGTCTTGCTGACAACTTCAGCACTGCTAGTCTTCGCTTCAATGGGTCTCTTCATAGTAGTGGCTGGGGGGATTGCCAGCTTTGGTTTTGGTTGCTGGAGCTTGGGGAAGTTTCGAGTGTGCGGCATGGGCATGAAGGCGGCTGAATGAATATCTCGGGGCAAAGAAGGCATTTGCAATGCTGCAGCTGCCATTTTATGATGGGGATGGGTATAATAGTATAATGGAATAGGGAAGGTTTATAAAAGAAACAAGAAAAGTATACAAGAACGAGGTGGGTATCAAAGTATTCTGAGGTTTCGATATATCGAGGTTGGGATATATCAAAGCGATGAAGTTTTTGTTGTAAAATGTGTGTTGGTGGCTGATGTGAGTCTTATTTTTTTCTGTCTTTCTCGTCTTGTAAGGCCAGGCCAGACAAGTAAGCTTCTAGAAGCGAGGAAAAAAATTGTGAAGGAACAGCGAGGAAAACCAATAGAAGTGAGTATTCCGGTAAGAGATGAGATCTCCTGAAGCCACGCTGGAGGGTTTATGGATTTCAAGTGGTTAGAATTTAGACCGCCAGATGTCGAGAGCAGAGGAATGACATAGTTGTGTGAGAGGTGAGTTGTCAGTACCCCGCTCAGCCCGGTTGGTTTGCGTGCAGCTTCTCAAAATCGCTACCCGAAAAAAACGCCTGTCTGTTCTCCCAAACTTCTCCTGAATCCGGAAAATTCAAATCCAGAACAGCCTGACGAAGGGATAGAGAGAAAGAGTATAGTAGGTACAGCTGTTCTCAGAGTAAGACGACGACAACGATGTCAGGCAGGCAGAATATCAGTTCGCGAACCTCAGCAAGTACGGGTGACAACAGAGTTGAGTTTAGCGGCGGCTTCCCTCAAAGATAAAAATAAATACAGAGCAAAGCAAAGATGAGTGTCTGAGACGAGTATTCAAGCCAGGGTATGTGTGTGGAAGGATTAAGGAAAAGATCGAAAAGAGATCGAAAAGCGATCGAAAGAAGAGTCTTCGTTGGCAAAAGGAAGACAACCAGAATCGTATATCCGAACTGTACAGTGCGGTGTAATGTGCCTATTTGATGTGGGCGGCGGCGTGCAGGCGTCAGGTATATAATTCTCTTCTATTCCTTCCCTTCAAAAAGAAATAAAATAAAAAAATAAAAAAATAAAATATAAAATAAAATATAAAAAACAAGATTCGTGACTCCGGTATAGTATAGTATAGTATATTGTGTAGTACTATGGCTATGGCTGGCTATGGGAAACTTGGGACTGTTTGGAACTGCAGGAATGGTTTCTACCGGCGGCATCCAGTCCTTTTTATTAGCTTTCGAAAGTCAATCCACCAAGCACAGCCAGACCGAGTATCCACCGTCCCAAAGTAGTGTGCGTGGCCTATTGTCATTGCACTCCCTGTGGGAAGCATGGGTGACCCCTCCCGGGACAAGACCTGAGAGGCTTTAAGAACTTGGGGCTATCAGCACGGTTCGCTAAAGGCAGACCTTGGCTTTTTCCCATTTGCTGTTGCTAAATACACTTATTCGGGTGGGAATAAAGAGGACCCATGGCATGGCATGGCGATATGTACTGTGGATGAAGTATTTCGTGAATTCAAATTCTCGACCTCGCAAAAGACGTCAGCATGATGTGCGTGACCACTGAATTCGATCCCCAAATAGATCTCAGACATCGCTTCTTCTTCTTCTTCTTCTTCTTTTTGTTCTCCTCCTCCTCTTCTTCTTCTCCCTTACTCGAGCCCTCCTTTCCTTCTTTCCATATCCGGGAGGCCCACAGCTTTCCTTTTATTGATTCGAATTCGAAAGCTCCTCCCAAGATAACCCTTAGCATGATAGACCGGTACAAACCAATGGATTGACGAGCTCGGGCTGAACCGAGCTAAAACTAATACCCCATCCGATCAACTGATCTCAAATCCATAGCAGAAAGTCCATTAAAGCACTCATTGCATCGAATCGACGGTACTTAAGCATGTACATGTACCTCGTACCTGCCCTATCAAGGGCTCTCCATTGGGCTGCACGAGAATAAAATCAAGTTTTGGTGTCACAAGAGCTTAAAGAGGGTCCCGGCGCTAAACCCGAGATCTTTATTTGAGGCTCTGCTTGGAGGCTTGAGACAGCCACAGGTACAATTGCACAACAGAAATATCGAATCCCCAATGGCATTTAAAGCATTTCAGACATTCAGGAAGTCAATAAAGTAAAATAAGATTTTTTTTATTCTTTTTTTTTCCCTCTAGTTCTCGGCTAAGCTAAGGGTGGTGATGAGTGAGGCCACGAAGAGCACCGGGTCCCAAACCTTGAATTTTAACTAGTCATAGTTAAACCAACTGATTCAATTCGATAACTATTAATTAGCCTTTCGAAATGGAACTCGAACGGAACGAAACGAACGAACCGCAGCCCGCGAAATGCGCAGACGCAGACTGCACAGCTGTTTACATACTTCGTCCGACATCCGCCGTGTGCAAGTACCGTACGTATGTAAGTATGTATGAATCTTTATGTCAGTCCTATGTAATTCGTGTATTCATTCCAATCATGCACGTCCCGCATGAACACTAAAACCGGGGAAGTAAGACTTTAGACCCCGTGAGCAAGGAGGTATTAAACTCGTCGATCACTTTGCTCCTGAACGACTTCTCGGTTTCTCCAGTTGCGATTTGCAATTGGCAAAGAGGCTAGTGGTCTGATCTCCAGAAGCTGAATTTGGCTTCCAAGTGCGCTAAAACCGTCCGAACGGATCGATTATCACGATACCTCGAGTCCCCCCTTCGACTTCACCACCAACTTGACCAACTGAAACTTGAGAAATCTTAGGAGAAAAAAGAAAGAAATACTTACAATTCAATTTTGATTCAGGGGAGAGTTATCCAAGTCCGATCTAGCCGGCCAGACCAAGAGACCCTCCAGATCGAAGAGTAAAACCAACCAGTTGGCTTCCTTGATCAAGACCTCGAGTCTACTAGCTAGTTAGCTCTTGCTTTCTTGAAGCCCGAATCAAAATTCATAAAAATAAAAATAAAAATAAAAATAAAAAATTTTCGTCCTGGATTCAAAAGAATGAGAGAGAAAAGGTCTCCACATAGCTTCCCGCTCTTCTCCCTGCAATAAACCTGCAAGCCCCACCAATTAGATCATCATGAAATCCCGCAACTTGTGAATGTTGCAACCTCCTAATGCAACACAACCTTCTTATTCCTTGAACAAAAAAAAATAATTGAGAAAAAAGTGCCCTTCGAAACGAGCCAGCCCACATGCCGGTATATCCAAGATTTAGGTCAGGAACGTACAGTAATGCTTACGTTTCGGCACAACCACACTGAATTCAAGGATGGGATGGACATTGTTTTTTTTCGTTTTTTGTTTTTTGTTTTTGTACCGTCGAAGTGCTTAAGTGTGCGTGCGTGTGTGTGTGTGTCGTCGATAGCGAAAAGGGATCACTAAAACGTGGGAAAGGAAACGAAATTGCATACCCGCGTTTCGACAGCTCGTGAGAGCTCGTCTCGTCTCGTCTCTTCAAGGGAAGATTTTCGATTAGTCGGACGCTTATTTTCGATATGGAAGGCTGTCTGGCCAGACCGGTCTATCTGCCCGGGTGGACTGATACTCGGGATGGATAGGAAGCCGATATACATAAGTACCGAGCTGCCCCTCTCCAATGTTCCCGGGTCGGTCCGACTCCGTCCTTTTCTTCCCCTCCAAGTCATGATATCAACCCGGTATAACATCTCGGCCTTCGTTAGATTCACATAATATATTCTATGGCTTTTTCAAATTCGACCAAAAAAATTTGATAAAATTAATCGACGAGCTCGGCAGAACGACCCTGACTCATGTATTACATACTTCGATGCCGCGATGCCGCGAGTCGACATTAAATCAGAAACGGGCTGGCAAAAAAGTGGAGATTTCTGGAAAGAAAATTTTTTGACAGCCTCCCGTTCGATTTCAATTGATCAATTTTCTGTTGAAGGAGGAGACGTCCTAACTAATCTCACCGTCTTAATATCGCAGCTTCAGGCCTAATATCTGAATAAACGCAATGCATGCAGTGCTACGCTTCTCTCCCCTCACCTCTTTTTTTTCTTTATTTCCTTTTTTTTTTTTTTAAACAGACCCCGCAGACATCCTGTTTGAATCAGGATATTCGATGCGGTTTGCTGGTCTGGCGGAATTGCGATCATGATATGTATCCGCCAAAGCAGCTTGCTTGCTTTCTTGCTTGCTTGCTTGCATACTAGCTATGAGAACGCACGGTGCTTAGGCAGGCGCGCGAAATACCTCTACAAGGCTGGATCTTCTACCGACATAAGTATGTATGTACACCAGCATACCCGGTCAGGTTCCACAAGAAAGCCCTAATACAAACATGCACTTTTGCTAGAAACCTTGTAAGTGTGGAAGCTCATGAGCTGTCAGGTTTTCCTTTTCGAGGTTTTTTTGCTTCAAACTTGAAATGTGGTCTTTCTGTTCGGTTTATTTTTCAGTTTTTCATTCACCGAATTAATCGTTCAAGATGTTATCTATCCCACCAGGGATATATCACCATGACTCAACTAAATGCAAGGCCTAAGTTTGCTTTTCAACATTCTTGAGGAAGTATTTTGACATAATCAGAATCATGAATAAGGAAAGAAAGAAGAAAGGAAGAAGAAAGGAACACGGAGAGAAACTCGGCAAGTCTGAAGCACTATGCGCTGTCTATACGAGTGAATGCAAGAAGCCGTAAGAGGCCCGATGCATAGATGTATACGTACCCTACCCCTACCTTCACCCCTACAATCACAACCGACTAAGCTCCATGACACCTTCCCTGCGCCGTCTCATCCCACTCTTCTCCCAAACCCTCACCCCGAACTTCCATACCTCTTCTACCCCCACGCTGCCATCCCCATTGACCTCCAGGACGCACAAGTCCGCATCTGCGCCTGGTTCCAAACACCCTTTCACCCCTTCCAACCCCAACATTCTCGCCGGAGTCTTTGTCACCGTTTTAATTGCCTCTGCAATTCCAGTATTCGTGAACCTCATAAAGTTGTTTAAACATTCGAGTAAAGTCACACAACTGCCCGCGATCTTAGTAGTACCCTTTAATGTCAAAACTCCACCTGTTTTTTGAATACTTTCCCCGTTACCCCATACATACTCTCCATCCGGTAGTCCCAATAGTGACATCGCATCGGTTACGAGACAGAGACCGGATGGATTCGAATGATACGCCCATTTGATATTCGCGGGGTGAACGTGAACTCCATCCGCTATTATGCCGAAGAATCGGGGTTTTGAAACCGAGACTTCAGCTAACACGGCGCCGGGAATACCCGGTTCTCGCTGATGCGGTTGATGCATCGCATTGAACAAATGCGTGACCATTGAGATATTTGAATTCACCAGTTGGGAGAATGTGGCGGTCGAGTGGCCTGCTGATAGGATAATATTTTTGGATGCTAATACCGCTGGAAGGGAGGGGAGGGAACTTGGGGGTAGCAGTTCCGGAGCTAGAGTTATAACCTTTACGTTTGAGTAGAGGTTTTCTTGACCGTAGACGGTTTCAAGTGATTTGAGACCTTCTGAGGGTTTTTGGAGGATATGTGGGGGGTGAATGCCATTGCGCTCGGGGTTCAAAAAGGGGCCTTCGACGTGGGCGCCTAGAGAGCTTGAACCAAGTGTCGGACTACGGAGCGAGGGTCCTAAATGGGGGAGAACCTGGAGAAGATGTTAATCGTAAATTCGGAACGCTCGATGAAATTGGGGGGGGGGGTGTAGAGGCGGTGCATGTATGCAGGTCTGTAAATGTGCATCTACAATACCACTCACTTTATGATAGACTTCATCTTTCTGGCTGGTTATCGTTGGACAGTAACTGGTTACTCCAGTACTGACGAATTGCCGGTTTACCTCCTTTAGACCACTTGCATATTCATCATCCGACTTTGATGCATTGCTGAAATCGAATCCATATGCGCCATTAATCTGAACGTCTATAAACCCCGGAACGACAACCTTCCCACGCAGGTCAATTGTTGAGCTAGGCTGGAGCTTAGAATCGTAGAATACATCTTGAGGCGAGATTATTAACCCCGTAGTCGAGTTGATCAACAATGTACCAGACACAAGACAGTTATCAACCGGTACCAGACAATTCGTCAGGCGGAGAATCGTATCCGTGGGAATGGAGTGGGTGCGAGATGGTCGTGTGGTTGCCATGATCCTTGAAATAAATCGTGATTTATACTATGGTACTAGTCCAAAGAGTATAGTATGGGGAGAGACAAGACTGGGGGGTGGTTCTCGGCTATACCCTTGAATCAGGCGGTTGGTCCCTTGTACCGAGATCTGGTCGAGTCCAAATGAGGGATCGATCCCAATCTTGCGGTTTAGGCTGGAGCTTGGAGGCTTGAAGATGTTTGATTGTAGCTGCATCGCGATAGACAGAAGAACATAAAAAAAAGGGAAAGAAAATGTAATAAAGGAATAGAAACGGGTTTACAGGTTGGAAAGGGTGTTAATATATGACTTCCACTAGCTACTACGCACTATTGAAGACCCTCGACCCTTAGGTTTGAGACAGTCTTGAGTCGAGTCTCCCTCCGAGGCGCTGAATCATAGACAGCTAGGTTATTAGCTTAGCTTCCTGTGTCAGGCCTCCGAGAATCTACCGTTCATGGCGTCACAACGGATACGCGTGCAACATGACCATGAGCCAAGACAGGGTTGATCGTTGATTGATTGATTCATTGATCGAGCGTAGGAATGTATGAATGCATGCATTGATAAAACCGGATGGAGACGTCAACGTCGACGTCGTAGGCGGCCGTCCGGGAGCACGATGGTATCAGTTGTGGGACCCTCTTCAGGCCAAAGATGTCACAGTCGTAAAGAACGAACATTTAGCTTTTCCACGAGTCGGATAAAGAAGACCTGATTCGTCGGTCGCCCGTTGTCAAAAGGCTTGTAGACCGATAAGATCCGGTCGCATACTCGTTTTGGCCATAGAGTTTAGTTTGCCAGTCGGAATTGCCGCGGCCATACTCCGGCTTCTTTGTCAACGTTGGAATTCTAACGGTCTTCAGTATGTAATTACTTAAGTAGGTACTAAGTATGATAAGTAACTCGCTAGCAATGATAATAAGGTTAACGTTCCATTCTAAGTTTTTCGAGAGCGGTGTTTACTAACATGTCCCGGGAGAAGTCAATTGTACAGTAGCATGTTATGACATGATGCAGTGCCGCGGTGACCATGGACCGCCATGTGGACCCGTCCCAGGAAAATGCAACGGGCCAATGCAACCTCTCTAACCGGTGCTGGTCAGTAGCCATCGCTAACCACCACATCCTTAGTTCTATCATGATTGGAACAGACTAAAGAAGCGAGAAACAAAAAAACGGAATTCTCGAATCAATAAGCCTCACGGAACCTTGTTTGCTGCCTAACCAGCTGAACAATACGTCAATTGGTCTATTCCAAACTTCAATCGCTCGTGTGACAACAAGAGAGTTTAAAATCCCGAACGTCAATTCGTACATCTCCGATTTGGCCGCATCAATATCGTGATACGTCCTATGGAATTGCAATTGCGGTATATAATACATCGCAATATTAACATCCACGAGATACTCTGTATAATATTTACGTAGGTAAGTCCGTCCGAAGGCATCATAGGATATTCTATGAACTACCTAGGTACCTATTCGCGTGTCGCTATCGACCAATTTACTTACGCATTCGACTGCTTAGCTAGTACCTGGCGCCGGCGGCTGCCTTATGCATACATGTTCATACTCGATTTGTAGCTCCTAATTAATACGATAGTTATGCATCCCGAAGTATATGGATGTCAGATGTCGACGCCACTTTCAGTCAATGCATTTCAAACTCCTGAATCCAAACATGATCGATCGGATCCTTTGTTCCGAGAATTACAATGCAGTGGGTTTTTCACAAATTCATCACTAAAGCATCCTAGTCCGCAAAGCCTGCTTAAGCAGCGGGAGCTAGGATAGCTTGGAGGTTCGCAAATACGGTACCTCCCGTTGTTCCTTGTTCCTACCGTGCCTGCTTGCCATCTCACCAAGTGTGTCTGGCCTGACGCGGTTGTGGTTGGCTGGGTTAAACTGCTGCATATACCCCTTCCTTCCCTTTCGCTGTTTCGAAACTTTCAACGACGTGAACGATTAAAACGATGCTCGACGCCAGCGAACTCGAGCCAGAGAAAAAAATTTTCTCTTCCCCCCGAAAAGAAAAGAAAAAAGGACAACAGCAAGGCGTTCAAAAGGCTTTTCCCAATCGAAATTTCAACATGGGCCTGAAGGCGCGGTCCCGAGTTTAGGGATAGAGGGGCAGTGGAGTGTAGGGTTGTACGCCAGCCAAGACAGTCCTTTATCAAGCTCAGGATAGATGCGCTGCAAGAACTGTCCTAAACCCACCACTTTGATCTCGAGGAAACGCAGGAAACGCAAATAGCTGCAGATTGAAGCCTCCGCGAGGTGCTTCACCTCAGAATCATAAACATGGAGGGAATTATCATCTCAAGGATGCTGAGTCCTCAGCGCGTAGCTATAAGCCAGAGGCTCGGACGTCCGAGACTAGAGACCAAACCTGCAAAAAAGAATATCAAGCCGCCGCCTTCCTATTATTCATATCTAGCATCCGTTCCTTCAGCGGAAGCACTCGGGCCTGTGCCTTTTTTTCTTCTTATCCTCGTCGCCCCTCCAAAGGTTATCCGCGAAGGAGGTGGACTTGATGAGAAACAGAGGAAAAGAAAGTCTAGGAATTCCGAACCTTCTTATATCCTTCCGTCCTACGCCAAAGAGACAACTTGAGAGGCAAAAATAACGAGGCAAGATCTATTCCGCGATTTTAACGGCTAAGGTATAGTCTGCGGGATCTATCACATCCTCGAGGAGAGCAGCTGCACTTCGTGCTCCTTTATAGCTCCGTCGTTTGGCCGCTATCCCGCTAGACATCTGCCTATCTCTAGCCCCCTTCCCACTTTGTCATCATCACAGTCGGAGAATTGTACGGTTTACACGGCTATACCTTCCAATTCCTTCCTTGTACTGTCCTACACGATCCTCCAATCCATCTTCCTCCACCGGCTAGTGTAGGATATACTCATTTCTAACTAGTTCGAACTATACTATATTGTCGGAATGCATTCTAACAACTGGGGGTAAGTTGTCCAAATTGATGTTCATTGCGGCTCCGGTCAAAACCACGGCTGGATTCTGTGAATCTTGCTAATCCAAACTCTATAGGAATCCGGGGACAGGTCCAAATCGTGGTCGACCACCACCACCAAGACCAAATATTCCGCAACCACATCAGAACGTTCCATATGCGTATGCCCAAAATCGTGGCCCAGTAGCAGTTAATAGATTGTACCAATCGAGTATCCGTCAACCTGCGGTTTCTTTAGTAGCTCGAGGTCCTGCTTTGCAACGCTGGGAACATCAGGACCCTTCAGTAGAGCCGGCCAATGCGCAGCTGATAGGGTATGCCCAACGAGGGCCCTCGCAAACAGATCCCACTCAGCTATCCGATACGCATAGCAACTACGATCCTAATATCGGACTTCCCTTTGATATCACAGCAGTATCACCTGTGCAAAATACCGGTACCTATTCATCAAACCAACCCTCGCAGCCTTTTTCGACGTGGTCGATGAGTGAATTCTCACCCGCGCCCACGGGGGGCCAGGCCCAGCCTGACATGGTAAATGCACCAAATACGGTAGTCATCCCAAGGCTGGTCACAAACAACGACGACTCTAGGAGGAAACGATCTAGAGCCCCATCAATCGCTTTGAGGGATATTCACCCTGATCATGAGTACTACACTCTCTTCAATTACCCAGAGTACAGACCACCTACATCTGTTAAAGGAACCGCTATGGGAACAAGGTCATTAGACCACCATTCGGACCTCGAGTTGAACGGCTCCTTTGCTTCCTACTTATTCCAAAGTGATCCTATTGAGTACTGGATTCTGCGAGATGTTGCAGAAAAGGTTCCTACCAAGATAAGGTATGTCATACGCTGTATTTTTCTTTGTGTTTCTTGTTGGACATTAGTTAACATATTTGTTCCTATAGAGAAAAAGAGATGGCGTATTACAAGCAACTAGGTATCGAAGTCCCAGACGACGGCACCACCGAACCCGATTCCAAGAGAAAAAAGATCGACGCCGTAGGCGATGCTTCAAATTCCAATGATGAGGACTATAAAGATTCTCCGAAGCCAAAGGAGAAGCGTCAAAAAACGGAAAAGCCTTCGATTCCAAAGGGGCGCCGGAATTGGAACGACAGGTTTAACAAAAAGTTCCCCAACAACCCTCTTCCATCCTCAAGTGAGTTGGATTTCCAATCATCTTTTATTTTTTTGTACCTGCCTTGCTAACGATTTGTATTGCAGAGCCCAACTGGAGGCCCACAGTTCACGTATTGCTTCATGCGGGAAAATCTAACCAAGGCCCCCAAGACTTCAACTCTCGCATCCTCAATGCGCTAAAGAGATGTGACGACGACCCACAATTCCTCAGCCTCTTGATCCAAAAGGTAGAGTCCTGTCGAGATTCTCAACATCACTTGGCGTACGAATCCGAGTCTACCGAGCATTCGGATGTATTCCAAACAGGCTCCTTCGATTCTCACTCCCAACGTGGAGCTATGAGCGAGGGTATGCCAACTGATACTTCTGCCCACCCTCGCCGTGTCTCTCGCAACCCTAGTGTCCGAAGTAGCCAGAGCTATAGACAAAGTCACTCAAGGAATCCATCAGGCGCCAATTCTGCCTCCCAGAGAATTACCGACTTCATGCCAGCTCAGCTTCAACCGAACCTCCAGGCCTTTAGCTTTCCCAGCAGCCCTGCTAGGGCCTCTGCCTCTGGGAATGGCCACTACCTTCCTCCAAGCCAAGCACAAAATGGTGGTTTACATGGTGGCGACAGCCGTTCCGATGATATTGCAAGCTTTCTTAGTAGTCAAGATCATGAAGCTTCCTACTCTCACCCAGGAACGACGGTTCCGGAGACGCCGAACCTGATGCCTCCTCATATTTTTAGGGGAGGTGTTGATGACGGGGTTTCCGTGTCTTTTCCTTACGCGGGTAGTATAGACGCAGAGGATATTAAGCCCTCTCAATGATGTATTCTTGAAGGGTCGACAACGTTACTAAATTTAACAGGAACGACTATGATGATGATGATGATGATGTGATGCATATTGACGGAGTCTCTCCGATCCTTTTCTACTTCTTCTAACGATGATATCAATCTAGCAGGTCTATTGTGAGGTTCCATCGTGTTTCCGCTGTCATATTTATTCCCTTGATATTTCTATGCGTTTTTGCTTACTATTGATATTTTTTGCTCGCTTTATTTGCATACTATGGCATATTAATTTCCTTGACTGGCTTTTCCACGGATTATGTTTGGAGGATTTCCTATTATCTACCTATATTATTTTTATTTTATTTTGTTTATTATTACGATTGCGTCTCTATCCTTCTTCGTTTACTATAACCTTCTCCTTATTTTTCTTATCCCTTTGACTCCAACATGTTCCAGTCATGCATGGCATTCTGCTTCTTTGTATACCATCCTCATATCTTCCTTTCACATAGTTATAGAATATCTTCGCGATGTGTTTCTTTATCCCTTCTCGCGAGGATGCTTGCAAGGTGACCTACTTCTCTTTCTTTCGTCAGAGGGCAGTTCCCTTCTTGTGTATCACGCTTTGGAACCCTTCATATCTTATTTGGCTTTTTTGGCATGTGCTTTTTTCTAGTGCTAGCCACCATGATCTCTCTTTCCTTGTACTGCATATATTTTTTGTTGGGGGGGGGATTCCACACAGGTGATATTTTCTGAATTTTATGAGAGGCGCAAGTTCGGGAAGGGGGAATAACTTTATATGGACATACTTTACTACTGGAAAAAAAAAAAAAAAAAAAAAAAAAAAAAATTTGAAAGATAGTAAAGGATGAGGTCTGGATTTAACTGGGACTGGGAACGGGAGGTGAACGGGAGGGCGTTATTTGTACGAGGATGTACGGTTTTAAATTTTGTGTATAACTTGGTGCGGGATAGGATGGGTAAGACGGAACCATACAACCAGCTGCATTTTTACTAATAACTTTAAAAAATGGAAAGGGGGGGATTTAACTAGTAGCTTAGAGAATTTCAAACGAATCGATTCGTGTATTTTACACACATTATATCTACTTCAGTATTCTATTATTGAGAATTGTTTTTAATATACCGGGGTGATGATGTATCATACGATGTCAAAGGTCTGGATGCATGATAGAGCTCATCTGCCCTGACCGTTAGCTAAGCTTAGCTGCTGAAGCACATGCCTCGGCTTCCCTGACCCCAACCAAAAAAGGCAAGCGTGCGCCCAGCTGTTGCGCCAGAATTTACCCCACCAAAGGAAGCTACTACATAAGGGTAAGCTACCCCCCATCTCATCTCCAACTTCCGGTCTACAAACCGCCCCTCATCCTCTCAACAAAAATAATCCAACTTTCTATCTTTCGAATAATCACCGAAGGATTCCTAAAATAATATCGGTAGTCTTTAATACGGTTACGAAGTAATTTCTAAAAAAAATTACAAAATGCCATCCCCCGAATTCGACGCCGCTGCTGCCGCTGCCAACGCGTTTACTAAGAAGCCAAGTGATGATGAGCTGTTGAAGGTATGGATTCTAACCCTCTTTTCCCCAGGACTATCGACGAAAAGATAAACAAGAGTCGAAGAAGAGTATATGGGATATAAATAGCTAACTCCCGCTTTTTTGTTCTGTTTCTAGCTCTACGGCCTCTTCAAGCAAGCCACCGTCGGCGATGTCAACACCGATCGCCCGGGAATGATGGACTTCAAGGGAAAATACAAGTGGGACGCATGGAAGAGCGAAGAAGGAAAATCGCAGGCCGATGCTGAAGCTGAATATATTGCCTACGTTGAAGGATTGAAGGCCGGTTTTGCTTAAATACCGAACCTCAAGTTTGCTTTGGGAAGGCAAAGTAGATCAGAAATCCGGGGTTTATGATGGGGATTCTTCTTCTTTTTTTTTTTTTGGAAATAGAAAGATTCAGATCAAAGCTTCGGAGGAAAGGAGGCCAGATTATTTTTCTTCGTTTGGCTTCTCTTTTTTTTGTATATTTCATCCTTTAGGGGGTAGATAACTTAATCTTTTCTTGGAATTGATTGAATGAAGGGTTTAATTATGCCCGTCATATTACAATTATCTTGGTCTAGTAAGAGCGAATATCGTGGTTGTGTAACTGCCGTACCTGCTAAGTAAGTAGCTACTGTCAGCGCTTTGATCTGGCTAATACTTCCGGGCTTGCGCTAGCACTTTTCCGGAGCATAGGCGGGGATGCTGCTTATATAATGCTCATTATCTTATAGCTTATCATACAATACATGGCTAAGATCAATGGGAGCCTTAGGAGCAAAACAAAAAAACCAACCCGTCTTGCAGAGAGAGTGCAGGCGTTATAATCAAAACTACTACAGTAGATAAAGTACTGGGACTGTTAAATCAAGCTAGCGTAGACAGCCAACTTTGACAGGTGTAGCTTGCACCCTACCATTCGACCCGAGAATGTGTAGTATGGGACGATAGACTATAGAGATTTCATTGGGATTACGCTTTATTGGTCCAGCTGGGGATTCAACCTGCTCCTCCAGGGCTTCGAGTGTCCCATCGTCATGAACGGCTCTGGCCTTGTTCGGGGCTTTGCAATTGAGTGATGAAGATCTATGACCAGGGGCGGAACCTGGTGGGTATTTGACAATGAATTTGAGGTGATGCTGTCTTAGTTGTCGTGATACCCTGATAGCCTTTGATATCATCTGGTCGAATTCTGCTTTGGCGGCTATATGGTCGGTGGTATCTCGGATACCAATTACTTGGGCATACCGCCCGAATAGCCTCTCGGCGAAGATTCCTCCGCGCGATTGTGGGTCGAGGGCGGCTCCGTTATCCTCCAGTATGGGGTTTAAGAGGGATACTGTGTGGGATCTCCAGAGTTCGATTTTTGCAAGGGTATGTGGGCGTCCTGTGAAACTTGCGATTAGTTTCAATTGATCAAAATGTTACATAACCTGTTGGCAGTATTTTTACAGTGAGTTTAATTAGAATTGACTTACCAGCATTCACTGTATGAATCTCCGCTTCTAGGCCGGCCAAGTATCTTGCAATATGCTCTTCCGCCCAGAGGTCCTTTGGTTCGAAATTTGGATCGTTACTTAACGGGAGGGACGGATCTGATTCTGGGTCTGGAAAGATGCCTTCCACGATTTTGCTACAGAGGTATGCTCTGCCCAGTTCGCCAATGGTGTAGATCTTGAGCTGATTGAACTCCAACGGGGTTTTCGAGTTTGAAACAAGAACACCTGGTAACTCTGAGACACCGTCTGTGGTATTATTGTTCCACCATTCTAGCGAGGGCGGGGAGTGTAGGGAATGTTCCCTGCACCAGTCGTGTGCTCTAGAGAATATATCTTTAAAATCTTGGAAGACTTGAGGGAGGTTCATATCTTCGACCCGTGAAAGAACCGAGATTTCGCTATTTCCTGAGAAATTTCTAGAATTTAGATTCTGATACCCCACTTCTCCTTGGAGTATACTATGCATTGTTCTAATCTGCCGTTCTGTAATATTAATTAGAATTGAAGCATTTTTTATATAAGACCTTGTGATATTGAATTAATTTGCCACAGAAGACACTACAACCAAGCATGAAACGATGAAAAATGAGATAGGACGTAGGGGGAATTACCAGTATCATAGCTCGGAGATGTGACTCTCTGTATACTTGAAGGGTTTTGGGTCGTATTTGGGACGCTAATACTGCCCACGCCGTTGTGCATTTGGCTTCTAATATTATTTCGAACCCTCTGCTGTTCACTTCCCCCGTTGTCCGAAGGCGTTTCTGTATTCGAGCGTGACCTTCGGCCCCTCGATTTGTTGGCACCATGTGCATCTTCTTGGGGAAAAGGAGTTCCGACCGGGTGAGCAGATGCACTTGAAGACTGAGGGGACTTGTGTTTATGGTTTTTTTTTCGACTACGGCTACTGCGGCTCCGATAGCCGAGGGCATTTATATCCGAGTAAACACCCTCAATCAATTGTTTCACCCTTACAGCGGCTGCCAGCGGCCAAAGTGCCGTTGATGGAACATTTCTCATATATCCAGATTTGGTTGTATGTGCATGTGCTGGTGCTGATATATTTTTTTGGCTAGCCATAATTAAGCCTTTGCATAGGGGACCCGAGGAAATTCAACGGAAGGAGGGGAAGAGGGGTTGGTAGGATATTTAAAGATATCGTATCACTGCACGTATAGCAAGATCTAAACCACCTAGGCCTGATAATTAATATATTGGGAAAGAAGAATTAGAAAGAGCGAGGAACACCGGTTAGGGACTGGGACCAGAGATCGGAAAGCTAGTATACCTGCAGAGGTGCGGAGATACTAATAATATATAAGAGCTACATAATCGTACTTTCCCAGGCCGATTTTAACAGCCTTTTCGATCCAGCCGCCCAGAAAATAACTGCATATCTAGTGCGTATGTACCCAGACTATTGGCTAATTGTCCTCAACTGTGAGGCTGAATTTACGTGATCCGGTTTCTTCATGTTCTGTGGGTGTGCAGACGCAGGATCACAAAAGGTATCAGCCTCAATCGTGAACACACCTGCATGCCGCCAAGACTGGTGGCAATGAGCTTGCATTTGACGCCATGGCTCCAATCAAGAAATCCGGGATCTAGCCCTTTATATGATTAGGGATTCTTTTACCGAGCTCGTAGGTACTGATAATGGTCTCCAGGTATACAGCCAACATGCATGCCGCACTAGATGTGGTTACAGCTTGAGCCTATGAAGCTCGAGTACGTCTGGCGATAAGACAAGGCTGCCGACTGGGTTAGATGTAGTTAGTATAAATTTGACAGCCCTCCCTTTGACCATACTTTGGTTGAATCTAGCTAGCACAATTGTACAATCCTGGCTGCTTAATAAATTTTAAATTCGAATTTATCATTGACGGGCTGTTTCATATATACGATCTCGAACGACAATTCTGTTAAAGTTGTCTCTCCGTATACTTATACGATTTCTGCATCGCTGATTGATCACACACCCCGGCCAATTTTTCGACCGCTAGCATCGTGGATTTTTTTTAAATTTAAGATTTGATTTACAAGCCTGCTTGTAAAAATGAAAATCCCCTTCTTTAAGAAGCTAAAGAATTCGAACGTTAAAGGTACCTGCAGCTGCGCCCCCATAAGATTCGGATGAAGTTTTATCGTGCCTTTTTGTGTTGTACCACGTTGCGCTTTCAATATAAACTTCCTGGATATATCCCTGTTATATACTTAGTATCTAACTAAGTAGGTATTAGTACCTATCGCGACACTATACTAAAACTGGTTTATCTATAGCGACAGCGAACCTTAACGCAAATGATAGTGATAGCGACTCTACAAGTGCTGGCGGATCTATCTCTGAGAATATACCAATACCATTTATTTCGTACCCAGACCCGGAAGCAATACCATCTGGTTAGTTATATATTCCCATCCAAAACATTCGCTCCCAGGCTCGCTCTAGAATCTTTTTTGCAATTTTTTGAGAGAGAATCCTGGACTGATAAATAATGCATAAGCTAACACCACTTGTGATAAAAGCGATACCCATAGGCCATAGGAGAAGTAGCTCTAGATTTGGCCATCATCGTTTAGTTATAGCGGCAGCGAACCTTAACGCAAACGATAGTAATAGCGGCTCTACAAGTGCTGGCAGACCTATTTCTGAGAATATACCAATACCATCTGGTTGGTTATATGTTCACATCCGAAGCATTCGCTCCCAGGCTCTCTCTAGAATTTTTTTTACAATCTTTTGAGAGAGAATCCTGGATTGATAACTAATGCATAAGCTAACACCACTTGTGATAAAAGCGATATCCATAGGCCATAGGAGAAGTAGTTCTAGACTTGGCCCTCGTCGTTTAGTTGTTGGCATTGATTTTGGTACTACGTAAGTTTTGAACCACTCATACTTAAATCTATGAAATGGGATTATGGCCATTACACTTACACCGCGACTTTCTTTTCTTTGAAAGACATTCCGGTGTCTCTTATGCACTCATATATCCCGGAAACAATCCCGAAAATGTTAAAGTCAAGCAAGTTAACTGGCTCTCCATGATCGGTGACGCTACTCCCAATCTCGGTGGGAAAATACCCTCAATAATAGGCATGGAAAAGACCAACGACACAAGCAACGTATACTGGGGTTTCCAAAAGATCCCTAGCGGCTGCGATGTATTCCAATGGATGAAGATACTCTTGGAACCATTTGATATATCTGGTTACCAAGACTCATCTCATGTCCAGACGACTAAGAATTTCCTCGATAAACATGGCCTTACCGCAGTGGAACTAGTATCCAAATACCTCAGATTGATATGGAATGCGGCTAAAGTGGAGATCGATGCCTATGAGCCTCAAATCTTTGAGACAGCTGGGATCGAGAAGACTGTAGTATTATCAGTTCCTGCGGGTTGGAGCGAGAAGGCGACTCAGAACACTTATGCTGCTGCGGCTGCGGCTTTCAGAGGCCAGGGGATAGACTATAAAAAGAATCTAAAGCTTATCAATGAGCCTGCGGCGGCGGCTATTCATGTTCTTACTCAGGAGAAAAAGGATAATCCTGATTTTGTTAAGGTATGCTTTATTAATACAGTAACACTGAAGTAGCAATTTGGTTGAGGCGAAGCTAAGAAGTTTTATATCACAATATTCTAGGAAGAGGACTGTGTCATTGTATGCGATGCAGGTGGTGGTACAGTGGTAGGCCTACGCTACAATTTGAAATAGATGGTCGTTTTAGTATACAAAAAACGGAGAAGGCTAAGATATATGACTAGGATGTGGTGACTTTTCAAGTAGCGAATATAAGTCCTCACTTGGTTCTTGAAGAAAAAGTGGCCCCTAAGGGTATTTACCCCCGTTTTCCTCCAGCTACTTCATTACTTAGGGGGTATCGATGTAAAGGCGGCATGCAAATACGCGTTCAGAATTTGAGCTAATCGATATTTACGATAATTACAGGGGGGCTATGCGGGTCTATTTATCTGGACAAAGCGTTCGAACCCGTACTATCGTCTATGATAGGCCAGAGGAAGCCTAGGAATGGCAACAAGTTAGTTGACAACCTCGAGAACGCTCGCGATGTAGTCACAAATCAGTTTAATCGCGAAGTCAAAACCCAATTTGGGGGGGAACATTCGAAGTCAAGAGTATTCACAACGTCGTTTTACCCTGCAATTAAAGACCCTCAAAACCCAGAGACTGAAATTTCAGAACTCAGGTTTAGCTTGTGAGTCTCCCCACTATTTCTTTTTTCTCATTGTTTTGCTTGTCCAAGTTCCCCGCGAGGGATGAGAGATTCTCTTAAATTTAACTAAGACTCTTGTGATTGGAATTAGTGAGACGCTTCGAGCAATCTTTGAACCGATCTGCCATAAAATTTGGTTTTTAATAAACAGTCAGATTGAAAAGCTGGAAGAATTGAATCTTCTGCACAAACTAAAGGTATCTATGTCCTACTTAAGCCTTTGTAGGAGAGTTATCCACTAAACTAACCCCGATTGTAGGTAGTTGTCCTTGTAGGGGGCTTTGGCAATAGCCAGTACCTTCGGCAGTTCCTGAAGGAGCAGTTAGCAAGAAGGGGCAGCTCTGTGCAGCTCAAAATGCTAGCCAATGGGGAGGGGTACGTACTTGCATTTGCTCCAACCAACTCCATATTATGATTTATAACAAATTTCAAGTATTGCATCGGTAGCAAAGGGAGCGGTACTCGCAGAAGCAATAGGGATCACCCGAATCTTCAACGTGTTTGTTGCGAGGCATAATATTGGTGTGGAAGCATGTCGGACCTACGATCCTAGGATTCATAGTACAAGGTATCGGTTCGTGCATGGCATCACAGGAGAAGACTCAGTTAATACGGTTGTATGGTTTGTGGAAATGGTATTTGTCCTCAAGCCCTTCGTTTTTAAGAGTACTTAAACTCACAGACCTGGTGTTACCTTCGGATTAGGGATCTCCAATTCGCAATAGCATAACAAAAGAGATAGCGTTTATTTTCTGGGTGAGAGACTCTGTTCTAAACTCTGAGGCTACACGAATACCCGTCACTCCTCGGTTGGTTCTTAGTGACGAAGGCAGGCCGAGATACCCTGATTCAGGTAATAGTTATCCAAATGGAATTGATCCCAAGATAGGGCCACCCGCTAAGATTTGTGATATGGGATAGCTGTGAGACAGTTTGTCACAGTAGAATTCGATGTCGACAAAGAACATATTCTCCGCAGTCCATCGCGAAGGAAATTAACAAAGAAAAATAGTACAAAGACTTACCATCGATTCGACTATTTCCTAGTTATCACGTGGGGGGTTGCAAATCTCGAGTTTTCTTGCAAAATAGATGGCAAAGTCGTCGTCGCTCGACCTTCAACTGTGTCTTATTATGAATAACAAAATACCGGCTATGTTCTTTTATTGCATTCGTTTTAAGTATTGCGATATCGAGAGCACCGTGAAAGTGCGTTAGAAATTTCCTTATGTATCTACTGCTACATTATGTATATATCCAAATACAGCCAATTAACCTGTCATAGCACCAGCGATGTTCAGCCCTATTCCAGCGATCACTACAATTACTTGTAGTACAGTCGCTGCCCTTTTAGCCCCCTTGGACCGTATCATCGCCATGAATCGATTGTCTGTTTCCTTCACAACATCTACTTTTAGCTTTTCCTCATCGTCTTCACCTGTTTTAATCGCCTTTTCGATAACTTCGGGTGCACCTGGTGCTTCCCCTCTCAGAACTTTTCTCAGCGTTTCTGGTCTCAAAGAGCGTCTGTGTAGAGCAAATAAGCCGGCTCTCGTGCTCTCAAGCAACAATCCGTCCTCCAGGATTTCTTTTTGGAGATCGAAAACAACTGGCTCCTTCCATGCGCATTGGGCGACTATGACCGCCGCGGATTCATAGCTATTCCTGAAACGTGTAAAAGTTGCACCCTCGTTGATGAAACTGCGCCAGTACTTAGAATGAAGACTTTGCTCTCTTAGAATGCAGGTATCTTCATCTCCAGAGTCCCAGTTAGATGCTACAAGGAACACGTTTCCGATACCTTTGTCGCCACATATCTTTTGTAACATTTCCATATGCGCTTTGCAGGTTCCAGAAAATCGTGGGAGTGCTAGGTTGTGGAGATAAATGATCCCTCTTAGCTCACCACCGGCTCGGGAGAGTGCGACAAGGCATTTTGAGATATCTAAAAGGATATCGGCGTCTGATCTTTCTATGTCGTTGAATCCGGGCGTATCCACGAGATTGACTGACAGGAATCCGACTTTGACTGGGACGACTGTTGATGTTGATGTACCTGATGAATTTTGGTTAAATGTCAGCTATGTGGCAAGGTACGAGCTTGAGGATTGCCATCGGCGAAAGCTAAGGAGGGGGGAACTATGTACCTGGATCTAAGCCGCGCTCTATTTTGACATCGGAATCGGGCGCTAGGGTCTTGATGAAAGTGCTTTTGCCAGCACCGGTTTCGCCCATAACCAGGATGAACGGGAAGAGTTTTCCCGCATCAGGGTAATCTGCAAGCATCACCTTCAAATATTCGGCATTGGTATCTGCCATAACGTTGGAGGGACCCCGCGAGCCCCGATACTGTACAGGATTCATAGCGGCTTGGATCTTCGGACGTTGTCTGATGGACTGAAAGCTGTAAAGTTAGCGCGATGTCCTTGATAACCTACCTCTGATGATATCTTACTTTCGTGAACATGCACTGAGGGGCGGGGTTATTCAGTGCTAGAAATTCTTTGAACCTAAACCTATATCGTTCCATTTATCGTCATCCTTGTTAATATGTATCTAGCTGGCATGAATATGCATGCACATATCACTGACTACTCCCAAAAGGTCATGTATCAATCCATCAAGGCAGAGTACAAGGCCAATTTAGCGCATCATAATAAAATCGATATTTTGTCAGCCTCGTCGTGTTGAGAATAGTTGAAGCCTGGCCATGGCGTTATGCAACCACGGCCCAGGTGGCTTTTGAATATGCATGGCCAGCACACCCGATGCCCGATAACCCAAAAAAAAAACCAATCCAAGATATATGCAAGTTTCATCCTCAAAGGCACTGAAATCAGGAAATTCGGCAGATACCGCCCTGCAAAGTTTGACCATTATTCGAAAACCCTGAGCCTTGATTGGAAAAAGCCAGGGGTGAATTTAATAACTGTGCGCTGCAATTTAATCAATTTAAACCTGGAATTCGATAGAGAGATGGATATTTTCTATACATTTAGGATGCAGGTATTGGAATCCGTGTCGCCAGATCGATATCTTGGACCCTTCGACATTGCATTGCATTGAGTGCATATGCGCATGAAACTCATGGATTTCGCGGAAGTCTAGAATTCTAGAATCCTTGTTGCCGGCATTAATTGGCGACTGTGGTTTTTTGTGTGTTGTCTATCAAGTTTTAATAGCAACTGTTAGCTGTGTGCCACGTACCGAAAGATCTTAAGAGAATCTCCGGTTTTCTTGTAAATTGTTATCGTCATCGGGGTTCATTAAGTTTTAAGCTTAAGATCAGTAGATAGAGCAGCTCAAGAGACTACCTAGTAACCGCGGGGTAGATACTAGTTTCTGAGAGTGCCTACCTGGCGTGAAGACTCGGGACTCAAATCCGACCCAACTTTGAATCGAACCTAAACCAAACTACATTCTGAAATATTCTGTTACCATTAACCCCCGTATAATTTGAGTATTCATATCAAACAGATATCAAAAACTGTGATACCTCGAAATGGCTTCTGAAGGTACATAAGTCTTATACGTATGTCCTCCCGACGTAAGGAATATCATATCTAACCAGGGACTTAGAAACATGGACCGTCGAATCCGCTCTCGCGGGGCTTGATTCCCTCCACCCACTAACCCTCCCAACCCCCACCTCCACTGTCCCACTAGCATTCCTTCATATCATCGACCGTCTAAAGCACATCCCACGTACCGGATGGGTGGTCGAAGGTGTTGAGAAACCTGGTATATTTCCTCATCTTAGCTCTACAAAGAAAACCAATGTTAAGAAATGCTAACAATCATTTTTTTTTTTTAAAAAAAATAGAAACAATAGCATCCCACATGTACCGCATGTCAATCCTAGCAATGCTCTGTCCTGATACCTCACTCGATAGGAGTAAATGCATGAAAATGGCGTTAGTGCATGATATTGCCGAAAGCGTGGTGGGGGATTTTACTCCCATGGATCCGATTTCTAAAGGTATTTCTTAGTTATCCATCCCGTCTTCTCTGGCTCTCAAAAATGGATTCCGTTGACATATGAATAAATATACATAAAGAGGAGAAGTACCGTAGGGAAAGTACCACGATAGAATACTTTTCGACAAAACTGCTTGGGAAAATCAACCCAGTTGTGGCGAAGGAGTTGGTAGAGCTATTTGAGGAATATGAAGCTGGGACTACGAAGGAGGCGGTGTTTGTGAAGGATATTGATGTTTATGATGTATGACAGTTCTTTTTTGACCCCCCCTTTGCCCCTTTTTATTGTCAGATGCAAGGTACTAATAAGATTAAATGGTAGATGCTGCTTCAAGCCTTCGAATATGAAAAGGAATCGAAGGGCAAAAAGAGCCTTGAAAGGTTCTTTGAAAGCGAAAGGAGGTTAACGACTGATTATGTAAAGCAATGGAATAGAGAGCTCAGGGAAGAAAGAGACAAGTTTTGGGAGAGTATTAAGAAATCATAGGCTAGACAGATTATTCTAGATCATTATTTCAATCAGGTGGTGTAGTGAGAGATAATATAAATTTTATTAGGAAATAGGTACATGAAAAAGAAAAAATACATTATCACAGACAATGTTGTAGAACTTGGGCTTCGGCAGCAATTTACCTTTATAACCGTTTCTTTCTACCCTTGTTTAATGTGTTCTACCCGCATTCTAGTTTAAGGAACACGACTTAACCCTTATCACTATTGCTTTTCCTTTTGTTGACGGCATTTCGGACCCTAATCTGACATCTAAGCCGCCTACAAGACGTATGGGATAATAACGCTCCTCTTCTTCTTGTACTTATCCCCAAACTCCTTTCGGTACCTTCTTTCCTTTTGCCCGGCCCACTTAGTCTGGATAAACAACCCGCTACCCCAGAAAACCAAAGCTGGAATCTTCCAGCCCGAGATCAGAGCAACAGCAAACCACCCGAGTACTTCAAACATATAGTTTGGGCAAGTAACAAGGTTAAATCCATATCCCGTCGGAATACCTCTATCCGTGCTACCCGGTCGTCTAAGATCACGAAGTGTCAAATGAGTTTTGAAATTCGATAGTTCGGCGAATACCCAGATTGCTAGACCGGCGTAGAGAGCTAAGGGCGAGGCTTCGGTGGTTGACGGAGCGTAGAGGAAGTATCCTAGGTAAAGACCGCCCATTGTCCAGTAATAGGACGTGTTGCGGATAAGGCTGCTGAGCGGCATAGTGGCAGAGGAGAAACGGTGAACAAAGATGGTTTCTAGTTCGCGTTTGATATAGTGTAGGACTACCATCATACATAAGATCGACTGGGTGGACGTGACAGGAGTGGAAGTGGGTGTGCCGGCCCAGGAGAGGAATGGAGGGGTGAAGCCATAGATTTGATTACGGAATAGCATGAATAGAGGGTGGATCAGAAGGGGTCCGAGGTATTCAATTATGAACACGGTTTGCCAGTCGATTTGGAGACCGAGATCTTTGACGAAGAGGGAGGATTGATCATAAAGGTTGGAGTCGGTGAGTGTGACTGAAGCTGCGGGTTTCAAGTGGCTGCTGTCGGATTTGGTGATCCGAAGACGGTGACGGGAGTAACCCGTCAGTTTAGCTACAGCATCATACAAAGCATCCACGGAAGCATCCGAGCTGATTGGAAGTTCAGCAGGAAGTCTTGGGAGAGGTGCGCCTATATATCATATTCCTGTCAGCAACGGTAATTCATATCTGCTGGTAGTTGCCCTCAGTTGGTTTTTTTTTCTTTCCCTTAAATAAATGCGACAGGGCAGACATACCTCGTGGGGTGAGGCGCAATGTGATATCTTCGGCACCCATTTTGGAGTAGGATTGATCAGTTGAGGTCAATGATCAGGCGGATGAAGGAAGAGATGATGATGATGATGAGGACAGGAGGTTGGACGAGACGTGGAAGGTTTTAAGCTCCTGTGTCGTCGTCTACTCAATCTCGTGTCGTCCGTTGGCGTGTTAACGGATTCGGCTGTACCGAGGCTTCCTTCCGCGCCAAGAAATGGAGCTCAAAACTCCAACAGAATCCCAACAAAAATCCGAAGAAGCGACATCTGCGGCTTCATAGCCTTGACCGGCTGGGCCATGGGGGCTTAATTGGTTCATGTGATTACTGCAGCTGAGAATAACAACGAATCTCTCTGTTTCCTTAAATCAACTCGTTAAAGAAAATACAAATGTATTTATAAGCGTGAGGTCCATGAGTTTGACCTATTGTTTAAGAGTATATTGCAAATTTTTGCAAATTATTGCTATGAAGGGAGCTTGAGAGCTTGTTTGGATTTATAAAGCGTTTGACTGCATAACTTAGATAAGTACTTAAGTAGCTATATAATTCGACGTACTTTCATAGTGTAGGAGTAGTAAGGGTTTCTAGATTCTCTAAAAAAATCTAGCTTAAACAGAAGTTATAATGTTCGCGATAGTATCCACCAACAGGCTCTGTCCATTACTAACCGCATCCGCTTGATCCGAACTCCATTGAACCCATAAATTCTGTGACCTACTTTGCGCCCCAATAGTCGCAGAAACACCTCCACCAGATACCTCGAAATATTTATATGTCAATATATTTGGCTTGGCTTCCTCATACCTAATCAAGAAGTGAAAGAATTCCGCACTCCTCCTATAAGCACTCGTATAGAATTCAAAGGAGAGTACTCTGCTCCCCGGTGTAGTTCCGTCAATTTGGTAGAATACACCTTGCTGCGTTCTAGCATAGATATATAGATCATCCCAAAGTGCAACGGCAGCGGTATTTGGTAACCTATTTGCACCGGATACATCATCTGCGACGGGTAATTGGCTGTTTATGAACGATGTTCCTGGTTCTTCGTCAAGAGAGATGAAACCATTGACTGAAACGTAGATCCTGGAGGATGAAACATTATAAATTTCGATAGGGAAGGGGACAGTGACTAATGACCAGATATCGTCATAATTTCTGGGGCTACCCTCAACAGGGTCTCCGAATATTGCGGTTGGAGAGGAAAGTTGGACGGCAGGTGCGGTAACAGCTACAAGGTCATTAGTAAGCCTTTTAATATGGGAGGACTGATGGAAAATAACGCTTACTAGATTGAACAGTCACAGTTGTGGAACCAACAGTTGAGATATCACTGCCAGTGAGTACTTCGGTCGTCAAGAACGTGACAGTTGCGTCTAGTAAGTTATTTATGATTAGTACATTACCAAGTAATTTAGAACAAGAAAAACAGAGTTCTTACTTCCAACAGCCGTTGTCGTACTTGTAGTCGCAACTATCGTAGTTGAGACCGTGGAGTTAAAAGTGATAGTTTTGTATTCAGTGGTCGTAGTGGTCGTATACGTAGTCTCGACGACAGTGACTCCTGGGTCTGGGGTAACAGTGACCGTGCATGTACTCGTCAAGAAGCAAGCTATGTTTTTTAGCGAGGCCTGAAACCCCCCATAGTAATTTATTCCGCGGGGTATTAGAGGAACTTACAGCAGTCCGGATCTAGAAGAGGGTAACCACGGGCCTGGAACCTCTTTCTATTTCTTCTCTCTGATGCGGTAACTGTTATCGGAGCCCCAGTACTAGTGTGATTTATAAGGTATTAGCATAAAAGTCTTCCGTATAGCATATCAGTATTGGCTAGGGATACTGCTCCATACACTGTGATAGTTGGAATTGTAGTGGTAAAAGAAGTGATTTCAAACGAAAATGACGTATCGGTTTCCGTAGGAGCTTCGTTAACAGTTGAAATAGATGTATTGCTAAAAGTTCGAGTTGCCAAGATAGTAACCGTAGGAGTTATAAATGTAGTTATAACAGCGGTCTCAGTAACGAAGATAGTGCTTGCTCCGAGAGTGCTAGTCTTAGTACAGTGCCCACGTGGGATTCCAACTGAATCTATTAGAAGGGATGTCATTAGTTATTGGGTCAACTTTGATGCATGAGTGATTAGGTGATTGTGTATGTTACCAATGCCTTCGACACAGCTGGCTGATTTCGTTGGGTTAACGGTGGCGCATGTTGAGCAGCGTTCCTGGCAGGTGTATCCTGCGAGGGCAGTGCCTAGCCCCAGAAGTATACAAAGAAGGTACTTCATCGTGATAACCTTATAACTATAGACTCAGAGGCTATGTAGAGTAAGGAAAAATAAAAGCACTAAGATACAGTGAACGTCGCCTTATTCAATCGGAGAACCTATACTTCGCACGGCTGATCTGAGTTTTAGATACGGTACCTTCGGCGTGCGAACGTTGCCCTTATATACTGCAGATATACATTGCGCATTTTGGGTCCTCGCTTCAACATAGGTATTGATTTAGCTGGCATGTAGATATATATGGCATGTTAAAAACGTGCTAGCCCAAGTGGCTAGGAGAAGCTATGCATGGACAGCAACTTCTCGGACATGTGCATAGTTGGTGTTATGACAAGTTACAAAACCCTTTTCCAGGAGCTCACGTCGCATGTTCAAGGCCACAGACCCCTTGTTAACTTAGTTTTAAATTCATGACGTAGATCATAAGGGGAAAGAGTACCCCTAAACTGATATATAGATAAGTTCTTGACTCGCTTTTGGTATTCGTCCGTGCCGTCCTTCGACTGAAACCGGGAAACGGATGAAGACATGTATACTCTAAATGCGTATCAACGGTTGCACTACCGCATCTGTATTCGATTTCATGCATAAAATCCTGATCTAACGGGGTTAATATAACGGTTTAAACGGTTAACTGATGTATACTCCAGAATCTGACTATGTCCTGATGTTTCGGAAAACTATTTCTGGGTAGCTCCTACTTTCCAAATGCGTATATACTCATTGAAAATCCGAGGAACCTGCATATGAACCTGCCTAATCTTATTCATGTTTAACTAGCCTGTGTGACATCGGGAACGCAGTCCGCGTGTGACGTTTCTCAAAGTAGCCGTGGACGCCGTGATTTAAAGCGTGTCGTGCTACTTCAGAACGGAGATGTTGCATTTTTAGAGCTAAATTGAGACATAAAACCAACCTTCGATCTTCATTCTCGAATACTAATGATAAAAAGTGTATTATCAATACGGATAGTGCATGTAACCGTATGTTTTAAAATGACTCTTAGCATGCAGTTACATGTGATATATAGACAAGAGGGACTCTAATATCAGAATTTCCGATGATGTCGCCAGAAGAATAATATTAAGAGGATAAGACTCGATCGAACACGAGGTGAGTTAAAGCGGTTTGGAATTTCTTTAAGCCAATATCATAGTATAGAAAAGGGGAGGCAATCGGACTGTCTGTATATAAATACTAGCTCTGCCTTGATCTCCTCTGATATCAGCTTGCTGCATGCTGAACATAGCAGGTCTCTCCAAAACACCAGAGTGATCCATTTGTTGAACTCCAATCATAGTTCTACAATACCTATCGCTAAAGAAAGCGACATTTCGTGCCCAAGAATGCCCGCGTTCATCAAAAGTGGAAGGATTGTTGTCAAACGAAAATTTTGTAGCCCACATGAGACGGTTGCTTCCAGTGTCGAAAAGAATATCTTTCTCAGTTGCAGAATTTCGAGCTTTGGCTACCCACTGAACACATCTGCCAATATCCTCGACTTTGAAGTGAATTGATATACTAGCTTTCCGGTACTCATCACTGAAAAACTCGATAAGCGCGCTTATGATGGGTGCTGATGATTTCCGGTCGGACATCATGTTCGGGTAGACCGTATCGTCCGCTGCACTCGGAGGCCTTGCTGTGACAGGAACTATATCTTGGATCTGGTAGCTCGGGGCTGGGGGTGCCGCAGGCGGGGCGGGGGCTGCTGGGGCTGCTGCTGCTGGGGCCGGGGCTACTGGAGCAGCTTTTGGTTTGTCACTACCAAACCAGTCCCAAAAACCCGCTATTGGTGCCGCATCTGCATCTGCAGACGGTACAGCTAGTGAGCCAAGGGGGAACCAGGCTCCCGCGAGGAGAAGAAACCATATTTTCGGGAGGCTGCTTAAAATCATGATGCCGATTCTTCCTTCTTATTGTAACTCCACCGCAAGATCTCAAGAGCAACGGTAAAGATATATTGGAACTATCGAAAAAAGGGCTAGACAAAATAGCCTTCTTCCTTTGAGGTTTATATTAGTCTCATAGGTACAATTCGTGGGATTCCCCACGAGTATAACCACCTGGCGGGCCTTATGTATAAAGGAAGCATGGCAACTAAGACTCGCATTTAAACGCAACTCTTTCTCAGTTTGAGGTAGCTTGGGAAATACATTAGAGTTAAATAAGTGCTTTGCGAGTAGACTCGAATAAATGTTTGTGTGAAGGAGATAAAAATAGCGCGAAATGCCGTTGACCCGACCGAGTTGATATGAGACTTTTCCCCTGACAGTGATCAACTGTACTTCATCATTCTGTCTTCGAACCATCCACATAAGATATTGAAAATTAATCCTGCGGTAAAGAAACCCTCGTCCTTGAGATTGTACCTCCAGGTTTATAGTAGAGGTGGTGGGGTACAGTGCGCTGGGTCCTGGCAATCCGGTATATCGGAGTCCACCTCATGATGACCGTTGTCAATTGATTCTGATTTTTTCTTCCTTGAGCCTCGCCACCAACCTTGGTGCGGCATTTTAGCATCTAGGAGGTAGACCGCGATCTTAGTGATATTTCTTTGATTCCTCCATGCCGTGTCGAGGGTAAATTGTACGGGCCCACTATCGCTATCGAACAGCGGCGTCTCGCAGTCCTCATCTTGGAAGAATTTATATGTATAGTCGTAGTGGGCTGACCATTTATCCGCACCAGCTTCCCTGTAATGCCATCCGTTAAACTCTTCAGGGATGTGAAGCCAAATGTAATTGGGCGTTTCGTTTAGTAGCACCTCATCCCAGACGGGGTGGCCTACGCATAACTTCGCGTTATAGGGCGTACAGACTTCGTCGTAATTAAGATCGTCTTTGAGTTCCGAATGGCATGTGTGTTCTTTTGCCCCTCCGAATTTACGATCTAGAGGGGCGGTAGAAGGAATGTATGGAATATTTGTGTCGAGCTCTGTTGCAGAAATTATAGTATCGTTGTGCCATCCCCATACCATGTGCAATACCATAGCTGCCTGACATTGCAATACGCAGGAGACGATGGTATACGAAAAGAGAACTTGTCGCATATTTGGGCTTGGTGAAACTGTCCAATGAGGCTGGGGCAAGTCTCGAGGTTATCTCGGGAAACTGGTGGAGATATGTATGAATGGATACCAATATATCGATATAGATAGCTATATATGGATGAAGCTATAAATAGGTTAAGTAAAAAGTATCGAATCTTGGGTCTTGCGGTTCCTTTTATACACAGATAAAAATGACTCGGTCAACTAATAACAACATATTTGTTTAATTACCGGGCATTTCAGTAGATCTACGGAGCGTAATTCATGAACTCGGGCTACCGTGGAGAGATTATATATGACGTTGAAATGTGATCGGCTTGTTGCGCTAATCATGGCATTCATGACTACGCCCATGCAGCATACCACGTGGCTACCACTTCTGCCCAACTTCCATAACTGCCGCAATGATACTAATATTTCTAAATTCAAACTGTAGGGAAATTCTAAAGCTGTATAGACGAATATATATTATTGACTCCATCGAGTGCCACAAAAGAAATAACCGCGGTATACTGAACTTTTCTGATGTGAAGTTATGCAGCTTCGGCTGAAGTAGGAGCGTCTGCTTTAAGTTTTGGGAGATAAGTACCGTCGGCCAATGGCTCAAGTCCAAATAGCTGACCTTCCGTAAGCCCCATAAGCTTGTAATAAACAGGATAACGGTCCCCATCCGCAACCACCGGATTAGCTGCTGGTCTGTCATTCTCTGGTGGCCACACATCCCCGATATCAATCCTTGACTCGCAGGCAGGATCCCTGAAGGCGAGAGCGTCAGTTCCAAGACGTTCAGTTTTCCCCATGGAAAGAGTGACAGTTTCTCGTGGTATCTCATCGACCCATGCCATTGTACCAGCTTGGCAAACATTCAGATTATCTAGCCTTCCATTTGTTTGCGGTAGTTTACCAATATTAGATTCCAGCTTGCCTCGAGGACCTGTGAATGTTATCGTCATCTCGAAAATGTCAGTTGATTTGGCAACGGCATCGTCGGCTTCAGCAACAGTATTTGCCAATTGTCCGAGATTATTCAGGGCGTTTGCTCCCTCAGCTGCAGCTTTTGAAGTGTCCTCTGCATCTGCTCCCGGGGTTTGTGCTTGAACTATAGCACTTTGCCCATCGTCACCTAGGTTCATTGTAATCCCGGGGATCTCAGGGAGGGGACTAATTTCGTTTTCGGTTTTATTCTGGGCTTGGTCGCCCGAGGGCTCGGCTTCTGGAGCCGGAGGCGCTTCGGCATTCTCGGGAGGTGGTGCTGGTTCGCCGCCCTCAGGTTGGCCATCCTGAGGAGGTTCTTCTGGGGGGTTTTCGTCTTGAGGAGGAGCATCCTCTGGAGTCGATTCTGTTACATCAACGACTTCGCCATCAGAACCGTCGACTGTAACCTCTGTATCCTGAGGGTATGGGTTTGCAAGAGCAACGCCCAGTACTGGTGAAGCGTATAGGAATGCCAAAGTGGCAGCGGCAAAGAATCGGATTTTCATTTTCTGATTGCTTCGGCCAAATATCTATGTCTGCTTCTTTAATTTTATCCTAGACGGAAAAGAATTTTGCAGAATGGAAAGTGAACTTGACCTAAAAGATTTTAAGCTCGTGAGTTTATTTTCCCACACGTGGTGATCTATATATACAATCCTCGTGGAAAACGTGGGAGTCAGGAAGGTGGGAGAAGGCACTGTCAGTATGTCGCTCAATCTTGAGCTGCTTAGGATTATGCTCACAACAGCTGAGAGAAATCAAGGGCGTTGCCAGTAATCGATAGTTCTCATCATATTAATACCCGCGAATTCTCGTCATATTAACTCATAGTGATTATTTCGAAGGATAGAACGTTCTCGCTAGGCGCGCTACGTACAATATCGAATATGGGTGCTTTGTACCATAGGGCTGAGAATCCTATGTTTTAGCGCGCGGGCGCGGGCCGGTCGCAAACCCCCTTTCAAGATCTTCTAGAATCTCTATTTCGCAGTAAACTGTGCTCAGCGTTGGCTTTCAAAAGGCGATAAGTTAACAATGGACCATTCTAGATTTAAATCATGTGCTAGCTAACACGGATGGGGAACTTGACGAGAGTTACATAAAAAAAGCTTCTTATACAGAAAAATTCGGTGCTCCAGCTGCAGATATATATCACTCGTAAACTCGTAACTTATCTTCCTCGTTAATAACTTAAATATATCATACATGTACCAGTAATCCATGCAATCAATACCTCACAAAATCAATACCCTTAGAGCGAGGGCGCAGCACACTGCGGCCAAGGTCTTGAGATAGAAACTTGAGACACAAATATCCGTTGTAAGAGTTCAGATGGCGAAGTTCCCAATCAGAGCGACAGGGGGGTTGGTGGGGGGGGATGTCGAACAAAAGGCGTAAGGTCCTAGGGGACTGAGGGGAAATGCTGGGTATCTTGTGTGTAAGCCATTGAAATTGATTTGAATAGATATCGTAGTTGTACAGCGAGCTATTTGGCTCTGCTGTGGTGCTTGTATAGCCTTCTAATCTGTCTCTCGTCGCCTAGGATTCGTAGTTTATGATCACTATTTCCACATTTCCCGCAAATATCGTAGAATATAAGAGCTAGGACCGATCGTATTTTCCCGCAATCTTCTTTCAACGAACAACTACAATAAAAGAGTTTTTTCTTAGTTACTTCCAAAAAAATATTTTGCACTTTCAATCAATGTTGAACAAACCGCTGAAGTGTGAAATGTATCGCCCTACGGCGTTGGGACAATGTGTTTCGACGAAGTGAATCTCGTCCGTGGTTGGGAGGGTCTTTAATTGCCATGATTACGGTCAATTTGACAAAAAAAAAGGGTAATCTTTCAGCCTTACAAGGGAGAAAAAAGAGCGTCTACAAAGCCTTTCGTAGATGACTACGCTACTTCAGCCTTACTTATATGCTCTGACGTTATTTCCGAAGTTTCTTTATTTCGCTGCAACCCTCAGTTCCGCATGACTAATTTTTTTGCGTCTAAACGACAAAAATGGATATCTCCTCAGCATATTGCGGTATTCGGAAACTTACGATTGGCTATAGCCCTTGAGTTTTTGTGATCAATATATCTCAAAATACGGATTGCAAGCCAATAGTTTAGTTTTGTTGAATATGCAGAGTTTCTAGGATTACAAACAGGGATGTAAGAGTTTTTGGGTGAGGCAGATTGATGCAGATTATTAGGTTAGCGAGAAATCCCGTGCATAGTCGCCATGTGCGAATTCCTTATCATACACATGGATTATTCCGTATGATTACCTCTTTTAAATAAGATCACCGCAGACTCGCTCCTAATACGGTTTGGAACTGCATGCGAGGTCGAAAACTACAATCATGGCAAGCATAATGAGGCTCGGTATTTTTATTCTTACCCTCGCCGGCATTACATGGGCGCGTAAAGGAAAAAATGATTTCTTTACTGTCAGTTTCGATCTGTATCCAAAAGATCATGGACACGTTCCTGGAAAGAACCTCAGGATTGATCCAGGTTTACTCGGAAAGTGTGTCGAATTCTCAGCGATCTATAATTTAACAGCACCGTCACGGCCAGAGACCATCTACCTCCCTCCGGAACCAGTCCCCCCAGAATACGACCTGCGGCTTTTCCAAGACTACGATTGCTCAAAACCTATTGATGAAGACGATTGGCCATGGGAACCAAGCCTAGAAGGCGAGAAATGGGACTATGTTACTGGACTTTATAGACTTACTATGGCAGAGCCAGTCGAAATCATTGCTGAACCACAGCTCTTGAAGCCTGTAGCACCGCCGGGTAGATAGTGGTCCATAGTAGCATATACACGTAAGGCCAGGGTTCTTGGGAAACACTCCAAATTAGAACTAGAATGTTGTAAATAACTAGTAAGGCGTATTCACATCAAGCTACAAAGAATGACTGTGAATCAAATAAGGGTATGCACATCTCTAGTAACTATCCCTTACACCTATAGTCATGAAATTAGGATGTTGGACCTTTCTTTTTACCTACTACCATACTCTCTGATTAGCTGAATTCCTTAGAACTCCAGATCATGGCGCATAAAATTTCCAACAAGAGATTTTGCGTTGTGCTCCCATGGATCAAATCCAAATAATGATTTTCATGAGCAGGTTTGCTCAGACTCGAGGTATATAAATTTTCACGAGGCCCGACTGTCCCGAAATCGCTTCTTAAACCAGCTCTTATTCTCTGACTATCTCCCACGCCATTGATCCAACAATCTACAACAATCATTTCGCCATGGCGCGCAAGCAAAGGGCCAAAACTTCATTCAATGGTTGCGGTGGGAGCGTCAGTACTAGTGCGGCATACGTAAGCTGGTACGGGTAAAAACTCAGAGTAATTCGATTGAGTTCACCAATTTAAATAGTTTTCGCCATCATTTCGAAACTTGAGTCCGATTAAGTTGGCGTACTTTTGTTTTTCGTTTTCAAATGCTCGAATGATGGTTTTCGGTGCCGACATGTTAACGGTTACATTGTTGGCTACTCTTGCTTTCGTCTGCGTACATGCGAGAGGTCCTCTACAGAATCAAGTATCTGGTTTAAGCAGTGCAGCTGGAAGCAGTAATGCTCCACCCCCCGGGTTCTCTGAAACACTATCTATTTACGGTCCACCTGAACCGAAACAAACGCCACAAAAACCGCTAGCTACCTACTTTGAGCTCCTTCTCCAACTCTCTACAACAGATGAATGGGAGAAATTCAATGTCTCTACGACTGACTATACTACCTGTCATACGCTTCACCCAGATGTTAAAGCTAAGAAATCAATCTTTCGGGCGGCGTTTAGTTCTACGGGTTCTCGAGATGCACAAGCAGGAATAAAAAACATGGCGTTCCACTTTCCTGATAATACGGTACCCCCCGATATCAGTATAAAAGTCTTCCGTAATGCGCCACCGGTGGCTAAAAGTGGAAGAGTTGCGTCTGCAAGCGTAAATCCACAGGGTGCATGCTATCGAGCGGCTGAGTCTAGAGAGCCACGTGTAATAAATATCAAAGAGTGGGTTGATATGAATGAGGATGAAAGGCTGGAATGGTTGAAGCCGAGTTGGTTGGTTCGGTCTTACTACCGACTACGAGCAACGGACCCCTTTCTTGTGATGCCGCCGCCTTCGATCAAGGAGAGGGCGAGCTTAGGTAGCCAGCAAGGAAATCCCCAGACAGGAAGAACTACAAGGGATCAACCACAAAAAGAAATCGATAGGCGCAGGCGGAGGGATGAATCCTTCGAAGTCGCGAGAGAATTAGGATTTGAATTCAGATAAGAAAGTTTGAAATAGTCTACTCGATACTTCACAAGAATAAATTTTCGTGCAAATGCGAATAAATTTCGCAAAAGATATTAGGTAAACTCATCAGTCTTGACTACTAGGGTGTAAAAATGAAACTTAAAAACTGAAAACTAGAAAGCTAAGCGTGCGTGTGAAGCACTGGGGTAACTACGCCCTAAATCCAAAAACCAATCCCATGAAGCAGTTCTGTACTGTAGTACTGAGACTATAAACCTCACTTGGAGCAGGACCAACCGCCATATAACTGTATTGTGGGGCAGGACTCGGATTCGGGGAATTGTAGAAACATTGACCAATACCAGTCGGAGGCGTCTCACCAGAATTAATTATCTGATCGTTATCAGGGTCGAGTATTAGCTTATTGTTATTTCCGGAGTCCCAGAACCACTTTACGTAACCAAAGCTATTGGCGATTTTGAACTGTGGGGTGACAAATGTCAAGGCGTGGCCTTCCGTAGGATTTCCCTTCGGTAGGGCAGCATAGAGTTTTATATTTGTAGCCGGATGAGTGTATGTCAGCCGACCATACTCATCTAGAGTGAAAAGTGGGATATCAATCATAAGCTCTCTAGAGGTATCGCTAAACCAAATTCTCAAAGGATCAGTGCTTGAATTGGTGGTTTGCGTATATTTTAGCTCCCAGCAGATGTTAGACCCAGTTCCAATTCTACACAAAGACATTGGTGTCGGCTGGGGGACAGCTGTGGCCACTATTGTCGCTGTAACTGGGACTGTAGTTCCGGTTTGGGTTTCTGTGATTGTGGAACTAGCAGGGCCGTAGATAGTACTTGTTTCGCCAACATCTGTAGTGCTTGTCTCCGTTCCTTGGGACACATAGAAAAGAGATGTGGAGATTAGACCAGTATAGGTGATCCTGGCTTTGCATGCCGAGCTGATTACGTCTGAGGCATAGGGTTGTAGAGCCTCTGGTGTCGCAAGCACGGTGCTTGAGGATGTAATAGAAGCTGTTGAATTCGTGGATGCTGTAGACTCTGTAGAGTTAGTAGAAGCCGTCGAACTTGTCGAAGTCGAGGCCTGTCTCTTTTTGCGGCGCTCTCCTACTGGTGTAGACCAAGTTTCAAAGGTACCAACTGTAGACACAGTTGTTTCTGGTGTTTTAGTCTGAGTACTCTCCAGAGGTCCCGGACTAGAAACTGTAGTATTACTGAAATTAGTCGAAATGAGGATAGTCGAAGGCACCGTTGTTGTAGAACCCTGCGTTGTCGTAGGGGCTAAACTGAGATAAGCCTGGCAAAAGCTCGAATAGGAAGTGATTATTGCATCAATCCCAGTCGTAGCAGCGCTTGCTGCAGTACTTATTCCCTTAGTGGCCGAGACCGAGGTAGATACGACACTCCCCTTGACTGTCCCAGATGTAAGGCTGCTAGCAGGTGTCTGTCCAGAAGGAACACCGAAAAATCCTCTGCGGCCATTAATCGCACCATCAAAGTAAAGTCCTACATTTGTACCGTCGTGCTTCAGTACAATATTAGATACCGATGCCGAGAAATTCCCTGGGGTATCCGAAGTTGTTAATTGGGATTCTGGCTTCGTTGCAGCCTTCCCGTTTGTACCCTGACGCTTGAAGAGTTTGGGGAAGGTCAGGTCAGGGAAGTATAAAACATCATCCTGAGAATTGAGTAACCGGATGAAGCCTAAGTCGTCAATATAGACAGGGGTAGCGTCACCCGTGGCCGTCGAGGCATCAACGAGATCGACAACACCGTTTGAATCTACAACTGCTGCGAGAGAGATATCACCCGGCCCGAAAATGTTAAGGGCGAAGGGGACTCCTGCTGATATCGCTACGTCAGTGGCAGCACCTTGGGCGGTGGTCGTAACACTGTCTGTAATCGTAATAGTTGAGGGTATAGTCTGAGTTTGAGTTCGAGTGCCTTCAGAAACCGTTTCAATAACAGTCTCGGTAGCCACGCCTGGTGGCCCTGTACTTGTATCGCTGTTTGAGACTAAAGAAGTCCCTATAGGTGCGCCATTACAGTCCACCGTCACTGTACCGAAAATAGTTTCCGTCGTTAAAATAATTTCAGTGGTGAAAGATGTAAATAGAGCTGTCGATTGGCCATAGACCCGGTAGACAGGTAAGAGCTGTAACAGCAACAACCGTAAAGGCGAGACTTTTAGATGCATGATTTATAATTTCGAACACAAAGCCAAAAAATATGCTTTGATTAATTGAACGGTCGAGGGTAAGACAATAAAGGTAAATCTAGTTTAATAACAGGTCCAGAGCACGGTGTCGTATTTATCATTCTTGATCGTGAGGTAACGGATTATCATGCATAACTAAGGTGAGCGTTTACTGCCCTTCTTGGCCATCGTATGAATTCGAGGTATTAATTCATTGTTTCATATGTGATCTTGTTGAACTACATTGAGACAGTAAAGTCGATCCTTCCCACAGTATCCTAATATCTAAAAGCTACGTAGGTAAGTAAATAGCGAGGTTCAAACATGACCGAGGTAAAGCAAGATATCAAGATCAGACCGCCATCGCGTTGTCTGGTGTTATATATTCGCTCAGGTTATGACCGAATTGGGAAGCACAACACTCAACTCAAACCCTGGGTGAGAGAGTTAACTTCTATGATAACTCGTGGTCGGCCCGTAATTGTATAGTGAATAACATGGTGAGGACTGGTTGATATGCAGGATTCGAAGACGAATGGTTTTCACTGGCATAGTTTTGTTTGTACTTCTGATAAAAAACTATACATGCATCAGTATAAGAGCGTTTTACATATCGGTTTACTTTCTGAATTTCTAGTGTAGATCTGATAAGGAGTTACTAAATAACTATTTAAGTACGTATTAGCCTGTATCAGAATAGAACACTTAGCGTTGGCGAAGTTAAAATGTATTTGCCAGAAGAATTAGTTTGGTGTATCCGATCAATGTAAAACGGTCAGCGCTGGAAGCTTCGCAGGTACAGTTGCACGTTATTTGATGATCTTAAAGAAGTCCAAGCGGATTTTAGATCATTAAAATCAAGTCAGGAGGCATATTTGGATTTCAGGGAAATGTGGTAGCGCTTAAGCAAGCCACCGAGAAACTTTCAAGAATAAACTAAACTTGAATAGTAAGGGTTCTCCGTAATCCACCAAATCTTGAAGCATAGTAATATTTGCTGGTTCCTTTGCAACAGTCCAAGACTGCATATTGTCACCAACAACAAATAAAACCAACTTCGTGATGTGTCCTGTTGCATTTTGGGGACTATGACATCGATAACCAAAACGGCAAAAGAAAAACGATTACGAAAAGAAAGATGCAAAAAGAAATATCCTGCTCGACACCTGTGAGATTCGAACTCACGCACCCGAAGGTACCAGCTTAGCAGGCTGGCGCGTTAACCACTCCGCCAAAGTGCCGTATTTGATTGGAAGATCGAGAATGAGTACGGTCTATTTTCCAGGTTTGGGTGATGGCATCATGGTTCTGTCGAATTTTAGCGTCAGAGTAAAGTGGGTTCTGGGCTGGCGATTTGGCAGCCCCATTTCAGGATGCGGTGTACCGAAGAACCAATCAGTGAATCGGTAAACCGATAGAACTCTATTTGAGTAATTGTAAATAGACTTAGGTCGGTTTACGTGGTCCGTGAATCTTAAGAAAATGATAGACGGAAAACTGCCTAGGTCGCGCATGCAGCAGGAATATCAAAGAATGACAAGATAGAGCTTCGCATTGCGAAAGACGGCCACGCATCTTAAATGAACCTTATGGAGTAAAATAACTTAACGTACCTGAATCCCGTGAGGGAAAAATGTTTTTCAATTGTAAGAAAAAATTTTAAAATGCGAAATAAGGAAAGTCAGCTCCAAGACATGTCGCCTTTGAGCTTTAAGCTTTTGCCTGTCCTCAATTTCTTTATTCTTGGCGTATTTCTGTAAAAACTCGCGAAGTGGAGCTCGGAACGGCTTGGGCGCATTGTTGACCCGGAACAGTTGCCGGACTGCATTTGTGGCAGGTGTGGGTGAAATAGCATCTCTTTCTAACAGCGTTCGTCAATCTAGAGATCTATTTTTCTCGATACACATACACAAGTATTTCCTCGGATGATAGCCATATATATAGGAATGATAAATATATATTATTCGAGACTTGGTGAGGCGTAAGAACCCGGTGTCTTGAATTCTATCGCGAAGTCTTGGCACCCATAAGGCAGAATTTCATAATAAAATATGATATACCTATATGGTTATTAGCTGGACATCAGACGAGACAGGAGGGGTTTTCGCAGAAGCTCATTTAAAAGATTTTCATTCTTTCTTGGTATTAACGTTAGTGCCGAACCGGGCGGGTAAAGTCAGGCAGTCAGCGACCCAAGACGGCGGAAGAACTGGGCCGTGGCGTGGGACTTTGGCCTGGTTCCGTGGATCTAATTTGCAGATTTGCAATTGGGGGGTCCAGGAAAAGGCATGTTTCATGAGGATGTCGATGAACCTCCTATTTTTTTTTTAAAAAAAAAGTACTCCATAGTCTCAGGGTCTATGGGCAGGTATGTGAGTACTCATCGAAAGACTTTGCGATACCGTATATACTGTGCCATACACGTGCCACATATGTTCGATAGTCGTATTCCTGTAAGGCTGAGCTGAACCGTTCCAGTTTCAGCCCCAACATACAATAATAATAACTGCTTGCCCTGCTGTGTGGATTATTTCTAAAATGTATAGCTTCGATATATATTCGCCCGTTCGCTGTGGCTGCTGAGGTAAGAACGGGATCTGAAGCGCCATAAAACAAGCAAGGTACGTTCCGAAAGGGCCCCTCGCCCCCCCCCCCCTGTCCAGATCGTATCATATCGTAAGGATCTCTCGTCTTGGTGGTGGTGTATGTAGTCTAGTTTGTGGAAATCTCCTTTTGTTGATAGTGCAATGTTGATTGATGGATTGATTGATTATAGTCGAAACGCCAACGACATTTGCAGCTATCTTTCCGTCCAAGGACGCGGCCCTCCTTACTCTTCTCTCCTCTGTTCTATCCTCAACCTCAACCTCACCTCGCTCTTTCTTCTCCACCATCATCAACCATCACCATTGTCCTAATCGGCTTCAACAAATATACATACAGCAGGGGTTGTTTTATTGCTAGGCCCACGACCGTACTACCGTCCATTCCAGCCTTTGATAGCACTCCGGCCATTTAATACACTCCTTTAGCTAGCCAGGTGAACATCCATTCCATCTCCTTTAATCATCATCGTGAATGACAGCTGTACCAACATGATCAAACAAGAACTGCAGGCACGGACGGTCCCATCCAACTTCCCTGTCTACACCATTCCTTCCTGTGGGTGAATACCATACCGTGAGGATCACTGCAGCCAATTGTCTGGCCTGGTAGAAAGCTGCCGTACGGATCTCATTTCCACGCCGTGAATCGAATTGTAGGAGCAGCACACGTCCACCTGCCTCCTGTCGCCTGTGCCACTGTGCCACCGACTTTCTAACCTACCTACCCGAATCGTGTATTACCGACCTCACAAAAACGAGCGAAGAAGATACCATAGCCGATGCCTAGAAAGGACTAACCTCAGGGGGATCCTTTCGAGCTGCCTTGCTACACACAAAACCGCCGCCAACCTAAAAGGTCCCGTCGTCGTCGTCATATAATGCCGGTAGCTGAAATCAACGAATCCAAAACGAGCATCACCAACAACACATATCACACCAGCTAGCCCATCCCAATATCCTTTATCCCTCGCTATTTGTTCCGATCTGTCGTTCGTTTTCAACAATAACTACCGGATATTGGGGTTATTTTCACCCATTGGCTTGTTCCTTCCATCGGATAGGGTTATCTCGAAACAGAGTGGTCCCAAAGGTCATCAGGAGGGGATTGATCCGAATCCCTCTTTCCTTAGAAGCCAACGGATTCGCGGATGTCGAAGGTCGGCAGTCCCATATCCTTAAATACCCTCAAAATGATACCTCGGCGGCTCCCTCGCCGCGAGCGACTGATAGTACTCGTCGCAGTCGCCCTTATAATCACCTACTTTTCTTTTTCACCCCAAACAATCACAGTTATTAGCGAATACACTTCGAACGCCAATCTCGATCCTTGGAAGCCGCCGAAACATAGCGGTCCTGGTCTTAAAATCGCATTGGTGAATACCCCAAGGTATCATTTCGAAGTAGTAACGCCGTTATTGTATGCGTTTGCCAACCAGGGAGATGCAGTCGAGCATTTGGAGTTATTTGCGACGGATTATGGAAGCACACGGTTGGGAGTACGGCCGATTCTAGACAATCAGCTCCCTCAGGAGACCTCTTGGCTGTCGTGGGGTAGCAAGGGAGGGACGAAGAAGCAGATTAAAGTGTCTGATCCGAGATTGTTGAGCCAGATGAATTTTGTAGCGGACGTGATGATTCTAACGAGTTGTTCGCGAGATTTGGAATGGACCTCAATCAAGGATAAGAGAGTTTACAACCCGGAGTGGTATCGAGCGCCTAAGGAGATCGTGTGCCTGCTGCACGAAGCCGAGGAGTGGGAAGCGATTGATACTAATTGGAGAAAGTTTTTGATGCCGTGGGTTGAGAAGGGTAGAGTTACCTTTATGACGTTGAGCCCCCACGTGGCTGAGTATGTAAGGCAGAATATCGAGACCAAATGGAAGATGGCACCTATTCTCAGGGATGCCCAGGGCATCGGTATTAAAGGAATTTTCATGATGGATCCATTTATTCCCATTTTCGAGGACACCAAGCTTTTCCGAGAGGAAATGTTTAACAACATCACAGGCCCATTCGCTGCTATCCCGGTAAGTAGCGTCCCACCATTACAGAAAGTTTCCTGCTTACTAACGATCAAAAATGTAGGGCAAATACGAACCATTCCGCCGTAACTACACGGCCATCTTCGAACATATGTCCAAGCACCTTGAGTTAATCCAGTCCACCGATGCCACCCTCCGGCTTCCCGGCTATGGTGACTGGCCTCCAAATATTCCTGAACAACTCAAGAACCGCGTTTTCTTACATTCTCACTACGATTTCCCAGAATATTTCTCTCTCTTAGCCCGCAGTATGGCTATACTCCCCGCCTTTGCGACACATAAGTATTTCGAAGATCGAGCTTCGTCTACCATTGCCACTAGCGTCATTGCCGGAGTTCCACTCGTTGCTACCAAGGAACTTGTGGAGAAGTACGCGTATATCGAAGCTGACGGCGCATGGCTACAGGAGGACGGAGAGGAGGAAATTGAAACTTGGCTACGAGTTTTGAAACTAGGGAAGGAAGAATGGGAGACTAGAAAGAGGAAGGTTAGGGCTCTCCGAACACGATTAATAAGGCAAAATTTGAGGAACGTAGGGCAGTTGCTAGATCAGATTCGATGGAGAAACAAAGCTCGTGGGTTCTAGGCGAATCCACAATGGCCGTTGAATTCTTCCGATGGGTCTGAAAGTTAAACTGTGGCGCTTTTCTTCTGTTTGTATGGCGGATAGACAAGGTGACAAGGTGAGCCATGAGCCATTTTCTGGGGCCCTCTTACGGGATAGCGATGAGCCCTTTTTTCTTTTCTGCTACCGTCAACTGTGATTATTATGCGACCTATCGTACCGTCGTGTGAAGTCTTCTAGCGGCTTTCTATTCTTCGTTTTTCGCTTTTCATATGATTCATTCATTGTAAACTGGTCAGGATCTAATGGCTTCTTTCTCTTTCCTTTTATTCTTACTTTCTTGCTGTTTTTGCGGTACATAATTTTTCCTTCTATATTTGATGTTGTAACTTGGAAATTCATGATAATTATGAGCTCTATTATTCCGCCTCCTCTTCTTCTCTTCCTTGTCTTCCCCTTTGACTTACTGGTATCCTTACACCCACAGCCAATGGAGAGCTTTTACAAGGTTCCCGATACGCGGCACACTATCATTTTTATTCTATTCACTTTGTTCATGAGTCCTGTACATGTATACATGTATCTATCTTATTTGTGTCTCACTCAGTCCTTCAGGCAAACGCATTGGCTGGCATTCTTTCTTTTCTTCGGTTCTGTGAGCTGCATTTTCGTATACATTATACTAGCAAAAGTTTAGGTAGACGCAAAAAATAGAGGGAATTTCCCTATCTACACCTTTCTAGAATTCTGCCCGTTTCGCTTTATGAGGCCTACGGTTCGGGCCTCATATATTCAATTTCAGGAATTTCGTGATGCAAGTAAAAATTATAAACTCTATTACTACGATACTAAACTCGGATCTCTGGTCTTCTCCAATTTTCTTAAATCGATAAGAAAAAACAAAAGGAAATGACAGCTTTTCCCAAAATATCGACAAAAAGACGAATCCAACTCAAGATACTTAATTTACCTGTCGTTTCGCCTCTCCCGTGACAATACCTTCCTGGCCCTCCGCGGCGATATCTCCACAAGCCGCAGGACTAGTAGCCACATACTTATACACACACTTCTCGGTCTCGGCGACACTTAAGATCTTTTCCTCGGCGCTGCATCTCAGATAAACGTATGCACTCCTCTCCGGTCCATTCCAGCATCTCAATCCTTTTTCGTACTTAATAACCGTAACTTCCTGTTCGATCTCATCATCGTATCTTCGATCAAATCCTGTCCAATCTCCCAGATGGGTTGAACCACCCTCTCTGTTCTTTTGGGTGGCACGACCTAAATGGCAGAAGGAGTATGTATATTCACCGCTTGCTGCTTCAGTACAGACATCCTTGAGGGATCTAAAAACGGATTGTGGGCCGTAATCTTTTGTAAGATCGTTTTGGAGATTTGTGAGTTCAGATTTCTTCTGAGAGAGGTTCGATTCAGTTGAGGTGAGGTCGTCGGTTAGCTTCTGGATGTGGGGTGGAACGGTGCCGGTGGATTTGGCGGATTGTTTTGGTTTTCGGGGGGCGAGGAGGCCGTATTCTACTAGTGAGGTGCGGAGGGAGGAGAGCTGTTCGTGAACCATGGTGCGGAGGAAAGGTGGTAGGAAAGCCTCAATTGCGTACACTATATGGAGTGGTTAATACTTAATTCTTCTGCCAAAAAAATGTAGAAAGGATATCAGAATAGGACTTACTGTCTTGGGCAATATCATCATCTTCGGGTTCATATTCCTCCCATCGGTGACTTTCATACATCAGACCTGTAACCTCTGCTAGGTAATCTCCAGTAAGAGTGTCTTCCGTAGCCTTTGCCGCTAGGTAATCTTCCCATGAATTGACGGCCCTTTTAACACCCTCGTCGTTGAAATTAGGATTGTATTCCTCTTTGAATGTTTTGAGGATCTTCTCGGTCTTGTCGAGCTCTTCCTTCAGCCTTTGGGCCTCATCGAAGAGTTTCGAAAGTTTTTCTTGGTGGTCCGAAAGCTTATCCTTTGAGTAGTCAAGGAGCTTTTGGTGTCTGCTCTTCCCTTCATCGCCAGTAGCAGCCAATTTATCAACCTTGAGTTTCTCCTCATCCTCAGCCTTCTTCAATCCTGCCTTTTTCTCCTCCACAAGGCCTTCATATCTCTTGATTTCGCCAGTTACAGCAACAATCTTATCCTCCACCTCTTTCTTAACAAAAACCGCCTTCTCTACAAGTTTTTTATAGCTCCTAATGCCACTTTCATAAAGCTTTCGTCTTTCTTCTGCTGCCTTCCTAGCTTCCTTTCCGATTTCTTCACACCTATTCGGACATTTTATACCACCAACACCCATCCACTCATCACTGCCATCACAGCAAGTTTCATAATCGCATATTCCATCGTTTATACGGTTAAAAGGGATATATGCAGGAACATGGCCCTGATTTTGGCAGAAAAACCCTGGTAGAGGGTTCACAGAGCTGCTTATGTGAGCACAGGCCGAGGTACCGGGTTCGTCGCTGCCATCGGGACAATCACAGAAGTCGTCATTTAGAAGAGAGATTGGCAGGGATATTTGGGGTTGTGTAAGGCAGTTGAAGGTTTGGGAGGAGGACGGGCGGTATTTATCGGATACTAGAATAGAATAGTTATTAGTTGGACCGTTAGGTTTGTAAATGTCGAGTGCGTGTGAGTGTGACGTACAAGCTGGGTTTAAGCCGCGTGGGAGAGCCCACGCGTCCCCTATGGGCTTTTGAGAGCCATCGGCCAGAGCGAGGGGTAAAGAGAGGAGAAGGATTGACTTCATTGTTATTCACAACTTTTTTTTTGGTTTAATCAATTGAGCTCGTGTGTAAGCTTGGATGCTAAACTCGGGGAGTAGGTTTTTGTAGGTGCGAAACCGGCCGCACGATATGTTGAAGATATCGAGAATACAAGAGAGAGCAAATTGAGGTTTTCTATGCCATTGACCAGGTTCCAATTGATGGAAAGTGGGAAAGAGCAATTGTGGCCCGTTCGAGGTCTCCGTGGTGCCGTACGGAGTATTGTGGTGGTGTTTTGGAGCTTGGCCGTCGGAGGACGGATCGGATAGCTGGCTAGTTCGAGGCGCGTGGGAGTGCCAAGGACAACACATTTGGGACTGGAAAATGCAACAGGGGCTATTTTGCGGACTCGATTTTGAGGCTGTTGGTTTAGGAAGTACTCTAGTTTACTCGATGGGATATTGGATTAGTATGTCTATTCGTCTTGAATAGTGCTGAATTTAACTTAATACTCGTATTCATACCAGTAACAACAGTTTGTGGCGAATCTATCGAATTCCCTTCCATATATTATTAAGAGTAGAATCATGATATCATGTCAAAGGATTCCAAGACCTGTAGGCATACACACAATTCGTTGTGTCCAGAGTTTAGAATATCACAGTAATTATAACGTTGCTGGGGTGCACAACTTGATGATTAGTAAAGTAAACTGTAGGCCTCTTTTTCTTGCAAATGAAGAAAAAATCTGTGCCCAATAGGACGAGTGGATAGTCTTGTTTCCAATTTTACGATGCCAGATTTAGCCTTGGATACGTATTAGCTTTACGGGCCATGCCTGTTATCTATATGTCATCAAAGAGGCCTAGCTACAAAATTTGTTTGGATAACGTTAGATCACTGATACTATTTGGTGGTTTTTGACATGATTGATTGATGATGACCTGAGGAACGTGGTACACTAATACTATCGGGTTGGATTCCAACATGCAGAAATCCAATTTGTGACCGATCTAGTTAGTAAAAGACTTTGCGGTGTAACAACCTCATTGGGGTGCTCTAGGAATACTATGCTATGACTGATTGTGGTGAAATAAATTCCTTTTAAAGTTGCAGCTTAAACTGACGCATTAGCTATCCCTACTGCCGGCCTGCCTAGACTTCAGCAACCATAGATTTTTCACAAAGTTTCGATTTGATGAGAAAGCTAAGAAACGCCAGCCACCGTCGTCAGTGCACACAGGAATGACCTGTTGGCACGGGATCGAACATAATCTTTTCATCCAGCTCGCTAAAGAGCTCCCTTTTCTCAAATTCATCTTGGATCATTTCGCGAGCTGTTTTTAATTTTCCTGTAGGCAGGCGAACGCCCATCCAATGATTTAAAAGATATAAAACCGACAGTTTGGTACCGTCCCCTTTAACCGTCTGTAATCTCAGCCAATGGATACAAAAAAAATCTTACGTGGTGCATGCTCCCCCCAACGAAAATAAAAACTATGTTTTCAGGTACATCTTATATTTACATGTCTGGAAGGAATGCCAAAGCGTGAGCCTTATGGTCGCACAAGGCGGCTCTAGATTTTGGTTCGCTCAGGTCATGCATTCATGCAAATGCCGTGTGCCGTTTCTCGACCTATGTGCCTTGGTTAACTAGCCCCGTCAACCGAGTTTTCCAGGCCATTTTATTCGTGCCGCCCTGTTGCATTTTTTCAGGGTTTGGAGGTGTGTGTTGGAAGTGAGCTGAACGACTGTGACTTGAGCCTGGGAGGTAATATCACGAGAATGCGAATTTGGCGAAGAAGCGAATACGAAGTTTGGAGTAATCCGTATCATGATCATTTTTGTATATTTCGTATTTGGAAATTAAGTTTCAACTGTTGGAGGTGGGGAAATAACTATGATTGATTCAACACTGACTTGTAATTGTTTTCCAAGTGATAGCGACGTGCAACCAAGATTATTTACGCTAGTAGCTGCAGCTATCTCGCATATGTTGGTACCAAATCAAGTTTATTCTATAACCGCTTCCTTAGAAAGGGAAATTTTCAGCAAGGAAAGCTTTGGGGGCCGAAGTCTAATTATAATAGCTAGCTTGAGAATTGTGTAAGTTTTGATTCTCGCTGGACAGGTACAATATCAGATATCAGCAAACTTGCATGATCGATACATGCGCATGCATATGAACGATTATTTTCACGTTTCGCTGTCTTTCAATCCATTGTTCTGCAAGAGTTATATCATGCATATATAACGGAATTATATACTAGCAATCCTAGGTAGAAACACTAGCTGGCAGCCTCTGACATGGACATGTAACGTTATAACCAGAACTCGATGTACCACAGCATGAGATTCGTTTATATGCAGTGCGGCATACGGGAGCTCAGGGTGCGTACATACATGATGCAAAACCTCACGTGTGTTCTACGAAAACGAATTATAATTAGCGAGTAAAAGCGCTCGATTCCGAGATCGTCTTAAGGATTTAGCTTTAGAGTGTCGTTGATAGCTCATTGAAATGTACATGATCCCACTGGCACCTTTCATTTACTCTCGTTCTCATTTAGTCTTAGTTCAGCTCGAAAACAAGTTATAACTGGTCCCAACTCTCCGGGCACGGGATAGAACCAGCTACCTGCCGTTCTCAAATGAGAAGTGGTTACTTAGTACTGAGTGTACATATGACAGCTATCAGCTAGAACATCAGGCCTCGGGCCTCATTTGTAGAATCAAATTATTTGAGTGGTATACAAGGGGGCGCTGTATATGCAGTTGGATACGAATCTAGGGATTTACCGATAGGAGGATTTGAGAAATTGGTTGGCTTAAGCTTGATCAGGTTCTATATGGGTTCCGCACTTCTGGGATTTTCGGGCCATCTCCATCGCGATGTACTGGAAAGAAAACTGGTCAGTTGCCGTGGGCTCTACGGCACATAGCACGGTCGAAAGAGGATGAACGACGCATTCGAGCACTGCAAATCAAATATGGCCAGAGACAGCGAGACCCAAACTTATAAATAAAGTCGAGGTATCCTACGACAGAAAATCTCCCTTATCATCACACTCCAAACTTCAGACTAAACCTTCCCTCAAGATATCTATATACTTTATAATCCTCTCTCAAGGTTCACAAATTTCTACACATTGTTTGCCTTCGTTAACAAGAGCCTCACATTCATTCCCAAAATGCGCTTCCTCAAAACCGTCATAACTGCTCTCATCCCGCTCGTATCTGCAACATGCACTCCATGGTCTACTCCAGGGACTTGCACTGCTACTTCTGCCTCTTGCGATTTCTACACCTGTCTCGAAAATAAATCAAGCTGTGGTCCCACGGGCTATGCATTTGGTTACGCCCTACCATTCTGCAACGCTATAACAGCCGTCTCATCTACCCTATCCGTAAACGGGCAGTCATGGTACTCTACAACGAAAGTATGTCTCCAAAATGCTCTCGCTACCGAGGCTTCTTGCGAAACCTCATGCACCGATATATTCCTCAACGCATTTGCTAGTCATGTACCCTGTTACATTGACTCCGGCTTCTGTACGCTCAGCCTAGCCGATTTAAAGATATTTTTCCAAATTGTGGGGGTTTCTGGTGTCACGAGCAATGATGGACTGGCACTTTTTGGAGCAGTTTTGCAACAATGCGTGGCTAAATATCTAAATAATGAGATTAACAGTGGGTGGACAAAGCAATTGGTTAGGACGTTGAATGGAGAGATTTAATGATCAAGTTGTTATGTACCTAAGACTCCGAACTTTAGTTTAAACCTTATCGAAAGTTAGGTATGGCTTACGATAATGAGGTCCTTAGTCGCCATTATGGAGTTCTGCTTTTTGGATGGGTTTCATGTATTTATTCATAGGTCTGCCGACTGAGCGAGACATCAGATCCACCCTTTTTGTGAAAATCAATATAATTTCTTTGTCTCAAGTTCTTCTTATCTCCCACGTCAAACGCTGGATGCTAACTTCTTCCCCCGCCTTTTCGTCGTAATCAAACCATTCCCCTTCCGATAGTTCGACAGCTGTGAATTTGGTTCCGCTTTCAAGACCTTCGCACAGCCACTCTCCATCTGGCTTGAACTCTACAAACTCTAAACCACGACATTCGAGTTCGATAATATTCTGTCGCTTTGCTGGTTCAGATTGTTCGTATGGTGTAGCTTTTGTTTTGATATCTATTCCCTTGTTAGTCTTGGCAGATTCTTTTGGTCAACATCAGTACCGTTCACATACTGGCAGAGTGCTCTCTTTTACAATTCTTGCATTTCCATACAAAGTTTGCTTCGCCTCTAGAGCCAGAGATCTCGTTTGTATCCTATGATATTAGTCCAAGGCATTTCATACCGTTAGCCTCCATATATAGTTTCCATCGTCTTTCAAAATATCTACGTACATATTTGCTAACTCCAACCCAATTCGGATGAGTCTCCCGACATGATGTACATTGTACTTTGAAAGTATAATAATATGGCGAATCCTCGCTATCGTTTGGGCGCAAGTTCGTGACACTATCGTGTACGGGTGTTAGCTCAAGTTCAACCCGTATTTTCCGGGGAAAGGAGCATACCTACCCCGCCAATTCGGCTGTAAGGGCGAGAAACATCTTGATTTGAAGGTATTGGAAATATTGAGTATGGGTGGTGGGGTGAAGTCGAGTTTGTTATTGCCGCGCCGTGGTGGGGAAACTTCTCGTGTGGCACAGGCTCATCGCCCAGTTAAGGATTACGTAATAATCTGTGGCGCTGCCAGCTTTGTCATTTTTGTGTTGTACGCGGCCAAGTCTGTTGGATATTTCCTGTTGACTCTCGTCAGTGACGCCACAAGTCATCGGCGGCTTGTGATTTGTGGCGGTGCTACGGTATGTTAACGAATGTTCGCTTCGCTCCATCTACCCGAAGCCAACCCAATCCATCATGTAGCTCTCCGAACCCCATACACCACATCGACGCTATAACAAGCCTCATGTATAGGTCTGAGGTTGTCCCATAAGCCACTACTATACCCCACACTTTTACACTTACTTGGACAGAATGGCACCTTCACGATCCTCCAGAAACTCGCTCCAATCGGTTGACCTCCGAGCCCTAGACTACCTTACCTCTCCGTCCGCAAACCTGTTATGTCCGATTTGCCATGCACCATTGATAACGCCGGTGCAAACGCGATGTCTACATACGTTTTGTTCAGCGTGCATATCACTTTCGCTAGAACGCTCGTTAACATGTCCCGTCGACCGGAAACCATTGAACCACGATGATGTCACTCCAGCCCCCATCATGATTGCGAATCTTGTGAATGATCTGGTGGTACTGTGTCCAAACCGGGAAAAGGGTTGCACTACTTCATGTGCAAGGTGGCTTGTTGAGTCTCATGTTAGAGAAGATTGCGAGTATGCAACAGTAAAATGTGCCAAAGAAGGGTGTGATGGTATGGTAGAAAGAAGAGAGGCCGAAGGAGATTGTGTACATGAGGAAGTAGAATGCGCATTTTGCCAAGGGCCAATTAGGAAACTGGATATTGAGGTAAGGAGCTTCAAAGCTAAAATACATTTTGTCGAGCATATTAGATGATTATTAACAACCTTAATAGGTGCATTACAAAGAGTGTCCCAAGCTATCTTCGGACTGTCGTCATTGCTCACAGTCCTTTCCTAATCCTGAGTTAGCAGACCATAAATTAATCTGTCCCGAGGAGGTTATAGACTGTGCAGCGTCACATTTTGGGTGCTCATATTCGTCTCGTCGATCTGAACTAGATGATCATTTATCGCACTGTCACTTTGTAGCCCTAACACCAATTCTACAGCTACACACTGAAAGAATAGAGACGCTGGAACTAGAGAATAAGGCAGTCCGCCAGAAACTCGACCTGCTAGTACCACCTCGGCCATTACCAACTCAGATGTCTGGTACAAATTCATCCACTACCAACGACTATAACTCTGCAGGACGCGATATGACATCAGAAATGCAGGATTATACATACCACCTTTACTCCGAGTATGAACAACTTCGATCAGACGTCGAAAGACTCAATGCGCAAATTAGAGAATTGGATGTTAAACAAGATATGGCACGGTTCAACGAGGGCCTTAGATACAACGATGAAATGGCAGGTGTAAGAGCAGCGATTAATGGGCTTAGGATGCAACTGCATTGGCTAGTAGCAAGCCGCAGAGAGACTGGAACGGGTGGGGCTGGATCTGCGGCTGGGCCCAGGAGCATTGGGGGCAGTAGCGTCGGCGGGGATGGTAGAAGAATGAGTGGTATGTTGTACATTCGACGCCGCTTTCGTACACGGTCTCACGGTGCTAACATTTTGAGAAGTAGACTCCGCTAGACAAGTTGTGAAATTATGAGTAGAGATCGGATATTTGGCGTTTTGGTGTACTTGGCTTTGAGAGATGTATATTGGCCTGTACAAATAGTTATAGACCCGGCACTAAAATTGTTCGCCGTTTAGCTTCGTTGCGAAGACTTATATCCCTCACTCTCGCTTGGCCATCGTGTAACCCGATACCCTTGAAGTGGGACATTTGAAATAATTCCTGATTGCGAATCATGACACCGCAATGACCATACCTCTATGTGGGAGTGGGATAATCCGAAATAAGATCAAGCTCGAAACCTGTCCGATGAGTTTTTAGCTTATCTAATCCAGTTACAAAAGACCGACTGACGGCTCCTTTATAGCATCGCTAACTTGTAATTACATATATCTCGATATATCTGAGTTCTATATCCCCACGCTGTGGTCAATGATTTACCTTGTTTAAGGTACAGAGTTGAGTGTCCTGGCATATCCCCCTTTCACGCTCAGGTCTTTTTTAAATTAGGCGCCGAAATACCTAGCATAAGCTCATTCGAAGCTAAATGCGGAAAATACACGTTGGATCCAGCTGCACACCATAGAAAACGGCATACCAACATGTTAACACCAACATGAATTTCATACATGCAACAAATATCGCAGCAACGAGACGGCATCTATGAGCTTGAATACCGGAAGCAGTCGTGCCATGCAGTCCCAAGCGGCGGGACGATCTTTTCGCAGGAAACCGAAATCGCGATAGTCCGCAAACGGCCAGTCAAACATCTTCAGTAAAGCAATTGATATCAATTGGTATCTCAGCTATCAAACGTCCAAGCTTCTATCTCAATGCAAACATGCTAGCCGACTACCAAGGTGCTGTGTAAGAAATACTATCTCAAGTTGAATAAAATGGCGAAGTCGAGGAGACCCGAATTTTTGTATTTATATCGCGGTATATCCTGCTTCTTAGACCCATTTATCTCTTGAGCAGACATCAAAAGCGCAGCCATAAATGCACCGCTAAGCTTTACAATATCTACTCTGTAAACTTAAGATCACTATTCATATTACCAAATATTACGACACATATTCTGCAACATGAAAGCCGTTCTCCTATTTGTTTTTGGTTCTCTTTTCAGGAGAGGCCATGCCGTTGGTATCGATGGTTGTGCTGCAGACAATTGTCTCAGAGGTATGTCAATAAACCTCTCCATTCAACAGACCTCTGCCATATGAATTAACCTGTCTGGATTTATCATATAGCGATCCGAGCAACCTCGAGACTTTCGTCTGCATCAGCTGCGTGTTCCGCATATATCGAGCAGACTATTACGCTTCCGACGGTGTAGGTATATCCACATAATATCAAGCACGCATAGACTGCTTGCTATATATAGGCACTTTCATGATTCAACGAGATATGCTAAGCTTTCTGAAAAAAAATCATAGAACTGTGACAGAGTACTACGAGATCTCTGAAATAGCCCAAGAAACGGTCTACACCACCCAGATCGACACTCTATTCGATACGTACACTTCAGTGATCGAAGATACAGCCACCACTACCCTCCCGGGGAGCACTTCTATAGTCACTGTGTATAACCGTGCCCTTAAGAAGAGACAAGCCGCGCCTACAATCCCTGCTTTTGCTTCTCCATGCTCCGGCGAAGTTCGGTTTACCAGCGCTTGTTCTTGCATTGGTGTATTGACCCCTAACATCGTTACGATACCGGCTCCTACGGAAACTTTGAGTATCACAACCACAACGACGTATACCACTGAGACTTATACTATAACTGAAGAGACTATTTCTACTACAATCACCGATGCTACTATTAGTGTGACCGATATAGTGGCTACGGAGACCTTACCGGGTCCCCAAGCTACGAATACGGTTACTGTTCCCTACCCCGAGCTTTGTAAAAACCCCACCCTTTACATCCTCGCGGCACCCCGCAACCTTTCGGTTCTGAATTCGGTGAACGTTGGAAGGCTCAACACTGCAGATTGCTGTTTGAGGTGTTTCACAACCCCAGATTGCGTAGTATAGTAAGTATCTATCGTTATTAATATTCAGCAATTGGCTACACAATTGTCAAGATACCCTACGTACACCTAGCCTTAAGATATTATTCTAAATTCTAACATTTTTATCTTCAAAACAGTGTTAGGAATTTAGCTGGGGTCGGGGTCTGTAGTCTGCTTACTACGAGGCCTGGGACAGCTCCAAACCCGGCATCGCCAAGGTGTCCCAATGGTGTCGGTGACACGATTTTTACTGGCACTCCTGGGTTTTTTGGAAAGGGGCCCTGCCAAGGTATTTGGCAATGGAACTAGTTGATACGATAAGCTATTATTTTTTGTTCTGCCGCATTCTTTAGTCCCACTACGGAGGGAGTGACTTTGCTTGGATCCGGTTGACTTGTAATGTACTTCAAAGAAACCAATTAAATGCGCCTATTGTTGGAAATGCGGTAAAATATACTCAACTGAGTGTACTATATAGAGATATATCTCACAATAATTTATTCTCGACTTCTAAACTATAAGTGGAAACATATATTATGTTGCGTCATTTTCAGGGGCTATCTTAGCAGGTACATCCTTTGCAGCGCCTTTAGATCCACCCCAGGTCAATCTCGATGGAATTGGCTTGGCTTGAAAAGCAGGTTTCTCCGCTGGTGGTGGTGGAGCCGCATCGGTGCTCCGGCAAACGAAGATTCTCTTAGTACCAACGACACCGCTCGGTGCTGCGACTACCCTTGTTCTCGCAGCTCGGTTCTAAGTTAAGATAATCCAAATCATTAGAGCCCCGCGTCATAGAAAATTTATATTATATGTGGAAACAGAGACTAAAAGGCCTCAACAGGACGCTCGACTCACCGAATATTCACCTTTACCCTTGATGTAAAGTGTCTGCTGAACAACCGAGTTACAGCCGTGGCAGTCGACAGTCATAGACTGGGTTTTCCATTCCGAGTACGTTTTGACCACAGCGGTTAGGCCGAGACTCCATTTGAAAGTCACCGTGTGGGTACAGTCTGGCTTTGGTGTTGGGGCCGGTGCATCGGGGGCGGCAAATACGATGCTATATATCGACAATATAGGATAGAAATATTAGACGAAGGTTACGTAAGAAGCGGCCTAGTAGTCTATCAAAGAAGCATTGCATACCCCGCGAACCCAACTGCACCAATGAGAATAGATGACAAGTGCATGATGGATTTTAAGATTCAAAAAATCGATAGACCGAGCTTTAAATTTAAATTTGCGGATTACGTTGCGATATATCGATAAGAAGTATAAAGAGAGACGACGGTTAGATAAAAAAAATGAATGACAAAAGACCTGTAATCCGCTCTCAAGCCCCAATTCCTTCTAAAGTGACTAATTCCAAGACTTCCCAGGGAATCCGGATCTTGGGTCGTGGGGATAGCTGTTATATACAGAAGCCTGACATGCTGTGTTGAGCCTGTTGCAGCGTCTACCAAAAAAATACACATTGATGCGAGCCGTCCATTTTAGGTCAGCCCAGCCCGGGATCTCAGGAAACCACGCCGCACCTAAACTAGTGGCCGTTGCTTAAAGCTCAATGCCGGGTGCGATGGAAAAAAAGTCAATTTTAAGCTTAAACGAGCGCGCCGGTGGCATTGTCGAGTCGGAACGAATGTGCTGGATCAGGTTATTTCGTGAAGCCACAACCGGTTCGTAGTGCGATGAACAAACCAAATCCAGGGGTTTAGAAACGTTATCATAAAGCTCGTATAGCAAAAATGTCTTGGGTTACAGCGGTTTCTGTTACTAATTGAGGACACCTCGATTGTGAATATCGAATTCGGAGACGTGGTCTGGGGACGCGCGTAACACTGCTTAGGAGTCTTGGGATTGCTTGTCTTGACGTTTACTTAATAGGCCGCTCATATAGTTAACAGTTGTTAATTGTTATTCAGGAAGGAGTCAGAAACTGGATTTCAAAAGGCATAATTCGCAATTGCTACTAAAATCACAGGTACAATGTACCAGAGAATTAAAAGGCACTTCCAAGATAATTATACAAATGTATGTACCGCCTATAATATAGTAACTAATAGTTCCTCTTTCTGAAATGAAAAAGGCTCTGGAAATCTGCCTTCCTTGAGGTTCAAAAGCGATCAATTCCGTTCTAAAGCTCCCATATTCTCGTCCCAAATTGCTACATATACACGGAGGCTCGAGGATTTGGCAGTGGCACATATCTAGATATCTTGAATTTGACCCGAAACAATTTGTTGTAGATGTATGTGTATCGACTGCGCTTTGATCTAATCCGCGCTTACTTTCGCTACGCCGAAACTCGGGTTCCTTAGAACTTAGGCATTAGTAAAATGAGAACTCGCAAGGAAGGTTATTGGCCTTCTGGCCCGACTAAGTAGATTCGAGGTACAAATTTGGTGACAATTTCTATTTCTATTGCTAGTGCGGAACGTTCGAACGCGCGACACATACCTTCGCGATCGCGTGCACGTGCGCAATCGAAATTTCGAGTCGACCGGCATGCATGTCGGCACATATCTAACGATACAACTTTGCGCAGCTGCAATGTTTGACAATTCTGTTCCAGCTCTTGGGATCAAGGCTATGGCCGGAAGTCGAGCGGGGTATATCATGGGGCAGTAACAGAGCTTTTGAACACAGTTCGAGGTCCTAATACGGACGAGTACCTAGATCCTTTACCATTGGCTGACTGCCACTGCATTGAGGGGTGTTATGCATCCATATTAGGCCCGGCGAAAGCTGGATTCGCAACCAATCAAAACATCGCAGTCCAAACATACTATGCATTCTCCAAGTGCGTAGTACTCAGCGAGAAAGCTCGAAGGAGGTACAAGCACCTGACCATAAGTGCTCTTGTAAACTATATAAAGGCTTGTATCAATATCTTGCTTTCAAAATTTCAGAATTGAACTCTCCTAGAATCCCGCCTGTTATCATAATAGCTTCGAAAACGACCAGCCAGTATTTTCCTACTAATATATTGCGTATATTACCATTAATTAAAATTCTCTCTTCCGATCCTTTCAGTCAGCTCCGACTAAGAATTCCAAACCTCATCCTCTTGACTATTTGCAACTCCTAACGAAACCTCAGCCTTGTGGATTTGTGATAATTATATCCAAGCCCGCACGCACGCCAACATCTCGAACACTGCTTCAATATCTATTACCTCTACCCTCTATACAACCTACACGCCATAATTCTGCAACATGCCAAGGTGTGTACAGTGTACAGTCTCGAAGAAAAAGGTAGGAAGGGCTACACCCTCACAAACAACTTAATCGAGGATGCTAAAGTGTTCTTTTACCCATAGTGTAACCCCGAGAATCGCCAATGGCCAGAATTATGCAATCTTTGTATAAAATCCGGGCTTCCTTGCTCCCCCGATCTTGATTGTCTGTTTTACCTTCGAGCCGGCATTTTGGAATGGAGGCCATTAAGCTCAGGGATTGGTCCTATTTGCAACGACGGATTACGTACTTGGAACACTTTAAGGGAAATACTACTAGGTCGATTGGAATCTGTAATTACAGAGGTCCAGTCTGAGGCTTCGAATGTTATCCACCAGTGCATAGCTAGGGGAAGGGGAAGAGAGGCTTACTTCCTTGCTGATCTTCTCGATAGAAAAGATTGCTATGCCAAAACAGCCATTATTTCCGATTATCACGATCAAGTGTTTGCTTCGAGGGCCTCCACGACCGGTACATATAAAAAAGTTAATAAGGCTCTATTAGACCGATCGGCGGGACTTCTATTTCGCTGGTTTAGGGGAACTACGGTAAATTGTTTCACGAGGACTGAGGTAGAACGTATCGTCGTTTCTTCGCCGATAACACGGGAAGAAGCCACTCAGCTTTACGCAACATTGAAAACCGTATCTAACAGGTGTAAAGATGGAAATTTCCAAGACATATATAATTCAGGAGTCACTTTTGGACAGTGCCAGGGTTCTCGCCTGGCCTTCGGCGATATTTTTGTGCGTATCGACCCTCCGCTGTTAAGGTATCTCGGGATATGGGATGGTACGAAAGAATCGACTCTCCAAAGTAACTGGATGGAAGGACTTTCCAATTTGATTAGTGGTGGAAATGCCGTCGGAATCTTGGATTCAATGACTCTACGACAGGAGTCACTCATGCAACTGGTATTACAAGGGCCGCGCAGTGAATACATGTTGCATAGTGTGGAGAAAGCCGTAGCTTGTGGGTTAAACCCCGCTGCCTTCCATTTGCCTTACTGCCTTGGTGAAATACCACCCCTAACAGAAAATAATGTCAGGATAATGGCACTCTCCGAAATCATTTTAGCTCCGATAGCAGGGTTACATGTGAATGTGACCCGACAGGAGATTCTAAAAAAAAGGCTGATTCCATACGAAGGGATTAATCTTAAATTTTTTGACGATGTACAGATGTCGCCATTGATGCATGCGCTTTATACGCGCCGTTATTCTGTCGTATACGCCATTCTCGTCAGTAAAAACCCCGCCTGGGTTGTTCAAACATCAAAGACCGCTCTTTCCGATATGCTGGAGCTACCCCACCGCGGAGGGAAACTATTTGGACCTATTCATGTGGCTGCGTGGACCTATGTGGCCTGTGAATCCCGCTCGAATTGCGATACTTATGCGACTGAAATATTTTCAAAACTTTGTCAAAATCCGATCCAGCTCGCGTCAGCTATCGAAATCGCCATAAATATGGAAAACAAGAAATTGGTCGTCCTTCTCTGTGAATTAGCGTTTACCATGATCCGCTCTCAATCTCATTATGGTGTGGCATACGGCTTATTGGGTTCCGTTTTACTAAATAAGCCGTGGAATGGGTGGGGATGGGGATGGAGAGGGGATTGGCAGGATGAAAAGTGGTTTATCTTGCTAGTTTCCCTCAGAAAGGAATTAAAAAAGATTGTGATCAGGGATCTGGCACCGCTTACACAATCACCTAGGGCAGCGGAAACCATCAGGCGTAGCGGAGATGCTGATAAGGAGCCTGATATAAGCGACAGGGAACATAACGACAAGAGAATTGGCTACGAAAGTCAGGCTGAGTTGGCTAGCACCGAAGACAATGGGAATCGCAATAGTGCCAATACTAAAGCAAGTCAGCAAAAACGAAACGAAACGCAGAATGAAAAAGACGGTTATGGTAGTGCTCAAGGTGGCAAGTCATTCGTGAATCAACAACATAAGCCTATGGTGGATTTCGATACTCTCAATGAATCGAAACCGGAAAATGACCGCCAAACCAGATCATCAATTGGAAGCAATCCCGCGCACCCAAAAAACCATATTCCGTCGTGGGGCGCCCAGCAACGGCAGTGGAAAGTCTCGGGAGGAAAACTGAGCAATGGTTCGGGTATAATGTCACTTGCATCTAAGGCCTCTGCATCTACGGCGTCCTCCGGCCTGAGCGTGATATCCTTCGGGGGGATGCCTTTTACACAACCACGAGGTAGGGGCCTCAACTTTGAAAAACCCGCGCTCGAGGAAGAGCCTGAATTTATGGATATCGATGGTATCCCAACATCGCCACCCTAGCTTCAATGGTTTTATGGCTAGCTGAAACAGAGAGATAAGGTTCTTACGTTTAACATGCTTGGTTTCTAAAATTGCTCTTGGGTTTCATTCAGATATACATTCCTTTTCATTTTGCCCCTCGGCGAAATCATTGTTAAGATCGAAAATGTTAGTACTTTAACGACCTGAAGCTGGAAAATCTCGAGTAAGCCGCGGCGATAGCTCTTCTAGGGCACCTAGCTCATGTTTAGGGGAAAAAAAATAGTATAGTTGATTTCTAAAACAAGACCGATTTTTAGTATAAAGGTTGAAAGGATGCTTGACTCCACGCAGTTGTTTCGCGCTCGCGCCGTCGCACAGCTAGAAGATGTGTTTCTGCTGTTGTACTTTTTGTCCTCATATACCTTACTATAATAGGAAATAATCCTAATTAAGTAAATTTTCCTATTATAGTAGCCCGTGCGCAACACCAACAGCCGATTGAGTTGCCGCCTGCAGGATCAATCGCGCTGCCGGTTAGCTCTCAGTTTCAGGGAGCTGAAATTGCAATTGGGGTCTCCTTAACCATCTATAACTCTGGATTGGCTCGATTGGAGATTCGATTTTCCTTTTCCTTTCACATAACGACATCTCCTGCATGAGCCGCAAAATGAGGCTCCAGTAGCTTCTCTATCATTACCTTATCGCATATATACTGCCCCAAACCTTGGTGCCTCTCAAGAGGGCCCCTTAGTGCACCTCCACATTCCTAGGCATCAACCGGCGCGCGACCGCTCAGTAACCGAAAAATAATGCGATTCCACCAACGTCAGTCGCGCACATTTCTCCTCTTTGTATTTCTTTCGACGGTCGCCCAGATATATACAACAGCGCAAGGAACTGGTCGGTTTTTTATACAACCCGAGGGTCTAGACGAAAGCGCCACTGGCGCCGATCGCTTCGATTCCTCGATTCAATGGTATATAGGCGATCAAGTGACAGTGCGGTGGGAGGCCGAGTTTGACACTGTCACTTTGCGACTCTGGCAAGGTGTTTTTGAGGGGAAATATTGGTATAATGATTTATTGAGTATGTAAGGTTTAACTATAACGCTTTATATAGTCATTGTTGTAGCGCGCACTATATAAACTTCAGGATGTCTAAGACATGCCATGACGCTAGTTACCATACTATCAATCACAATCATAGAAGTTACTAACTAGCTTGGATAATTTTAACGTAATTCTATAGGAGACGACCCAAACACCCTTTCCTACACATGGACTGTCGGACCCGTCCTTACACAAGCACAAACCATAAACCTTCATTTCCAACTCCTGGATTCCTCGAATACGGAACGAAACTTCAATTCCAAAGATTTTAAAATTTACAATCGGACCGATACATTAACGGAAACGCTTAGGACAACAACAAAGGAAAGGACGGTTACTAAAGAGGTGACAGTGACTCCCGGCGTGGATATCGGCAGCAGCAGTAGTCCGAGGAGTACACCTACCGATGTTGAAACTCAGACAACACCTGAAACTGGGAGTGATGAAGCAAGTACGACAAGTAGTAGCGATAGTAGCACTAGTAGTGAGACAGAGGCAGTGACGAATATGGGTGCAAGTACTAGTGCCGCCGCGGCGACAACATCGAATAGTTCTGCCCTTCCCAATTCGACGGGCACAAGTAGCGATAACACAGCTATGAAAGTTGGACTCGGGGTTGGACTCGGAGTCGGGCTTCCATTGTTAGGTCTGATCGGTGGGGGTTTATACTTCTTGGGCAAAAGACGTGGAGCTGGGGGAGCGGGCAATACGTTACCAGATATGCCGTCTGTACCACCAGTAACTTCGAGAGGGGCGGAAACTGGGTGGTACCCTGGAAATACAGTAGGCGGTATTGAAAATACAGGCAGCCAAGTTGGTGGGGCTATGGGCTTGCCGGGTGGAGGAAGATGATATCGATAAAAGATCTTTGGTAATTCTTTTTTTTTTGTTCCCTTGTCTTTGACAGCCTAGCCAGCGCAGCAGTTTTTTATCTATTTTTTTTGTGAAAGACAGATATATAATGAAGAACATTCAGTGTAATATATTTCTTTGGCTTATGTAGTATATATACAGGAAGAAGCAGGTTTTGGAACCTGCTATTTAGCTTTGATATTTATGTATGATATAATGATCGCGTGCGCATGATAGTCGTAATTATACGGGATATCCGGTGTCCAATCATTCGATTTAAAAATTTACTCTACTATCACAACATCTTGGAAAAATATATCAAAGGAGGGGAATTGGTTTTTATTGTTATATAGAGAAAGAGTGACAATGATATCGATAGCGAATGAATAAGGTATCAAAAGAAGCTGGAAATCAAAAAAGACTTTACTCGGAAAGTCTGTTAAAAGAGAAATCAGAAGAAACAACGTGCCCACATGATATCGACGCCAAATAAAAGGTATTTTGATGATAAAAAAGAAGTTATCCCTCCCCCATGAAAAATCATATTACAAATTTCCGTTAGATCAAAAAAGTTGAAAGGGAAAGAATAATCAAAGAAACCGCTAAATCGCTCACAAGGTATATCAGACGTAATCAACGTGAGGAGAGAAGTTGAAAGAAGAAGAAAAAGTAAAGAAAAACACGTCAAATGAAATAATGAATGGTGGTCATAGGCATATCGCCATGTAATGTAAATGGTCAAAAAAGCAGAGTTAAAAAAAAAAAAACAGAACCGCGATGCCATGTGCATATCTACAAAAAACATTGGCGCGCTGTCTTTCATGCAACGGGAAGCACAAAACCGACAAAGGAGATTTATTCGGACTTTTGGGATATATCAAATGCCAAAAAGAGCAAATATAAGATGCAAATGTTTACGACAAAGGAAATTTGTTATTATGTTCAGTGATGAGTAGAAAGATCTCGAGAAGCACGGTCTTTGACGTATGCTGCGGATGGTGGACGAGGGAGGTTGACCTCGACGGTTGGGTAGCTGTTGTTGCGGGAGTGGATGCTGGCGGTACGAGGACTCTGGCGTTGAAAGGGGAATTCGAATTCCTCCAAGTCATTGCGTGGAGATGCGAAATGAGCTGGTGGCGGGGAGTTTCGCTCGTTCACGACGGATGGCTTTCGCGACTTCTTTTGCTTCTTGCCGGAGAGTGACTTGAGGAATCGGACAAGGGCCCTGATGAAATCGTCGAGTGTTTTACCGACACCGGAATTTTTCTTCCCTCCACCAGTGCGCTTCCTAGTTGGGAACTCTTCACTCTTGCGTCCAACGGCGGCGGCAAAGGAGTAGTCGAAGGTGGGCTTGAAGGCTGCTTGTGGGCTGAGTTGATTCATATCAGGGCTAGTGGCAAGCTCGTATGCAAGAATTTGATCAAGATCCTCCTGGATGGCTCGAAGTCGGCGACCCTCAACAGTAGCAACAGTCATAACAGCTGCAGCTGCGACGTCAACAATGTAAAAAGAGTTGATAGTGCTGCAGGCAGCAGTATTAACGGACAACTGTGCTGTGCCGAAGTCAAGAGTGACGAGCGGTTCATCGTGAGTTGAAGAGCAAATAGAGATGCTTCCATCGGCTCCGATAACATCAAAACCAACACGACCATTAACAACGACGTTGAGCCATCCACCTTCCTCGTCCTTGGCTGGGTGGAAAAGAGCAAATCCCTTACCAGGCTCGTAGACTAGTCTGCAGCATTCGGCTTCGTCACCAACATCAAACTTTGGGTTCTTTTTGATGTCATATTTCCTATCCTCTACCATGCCGGCAACCTGAGGATAAATCAAGGCAACGACACCAGAGGCCTCAAGAGTTGGGGCCTCGAGTTGGAGATGGATGACTGGAATTTCAAATTGGGTAGCTGGGTTCGATCGGTGAATCTTAAGATCGGAGAACAAAGCATCTTGTTGGTGAGAAGGATGAGCAGAAAGACGGTAGAAGGCAGCGCTAGCGTCGGCACCAAATGTGAAGTGTTCGGCACCAGTGAAAGTGAAAGAATCTTCACGGAACATGCCCATGGAGAAAGTCTGGTTCGCGATCATTTGGCCGTTGGCGACATTCCACAAGCTTTGGAACTGGTTTAGAACGACTGGGGACATAAGACCAGAAACGAAACCCTGCTGGCTTTCTTGAGCTCGCTCAACTAGCATGTTGACTGCAGTTGGAGTCCGCAATTTTTCACGGTCAACGTCCTCGTGAATTGGGCTGAAGGCGATGCTTCTGGGGGAGAAAGTTGCAGACTTTGGGGAGGCAAAGCTAGCTTTGGCTGGTGACTGAGCAACTGGTACATTCTGGTGAGGAATGTAGGGTCCGAATACTTGAGTTCTTGTAGGAGAGAACATGGCTGCGCTTCTCGGGGTGGGGAGAGCGGCAGATGGAGGAGCTGGAAGGACTGCGAATGTTGCGCTGCGAGGGGTGGAGACCTCTGGCTTTGGAATATTGTTGAAGTTGGCAGTTCTGGGAGTAGCAGTGCGAGGAGTAGCCAAACGGCCAGCCTCGACATGGGCTGCACTCCTGGAGGTCAATGGTGGAGGGCTAGTAGGTAGTCTTTCACCATCTTCGTTTGTAACTGGTGATGCCAGAGGGGCGGGGACCTTGGCGCCCGACTTCGCAAGGGCTCTTCGCTCGGCGAGGGATAGACCGGATGATCTGATAGCCTTGGCCAAAGGTAGAGATGGTGAAATTGGGGTCTTTGGGGTAATTGGAGTCATTGGAATAGTTGCGTTAGTTATGGCACCCTCGCTCTGCATTGTCATTCTGCGACCGTCGTTTAAAACGATCAAGCTGGTAGTTGCCGGTGGCCTTGGGACAACAACTGTCTCGGGATTGAATTCTTTCATCAGATCAGCTGCAGAAGTCTGGATGCTGAGTCTGGAGGACTTTCGCTTCGATCCATTCTTCGACATATTGGTCACGGTTGGGCTGAGAGGAGGGACTGGGGGAGCATCTGCAGCGGCAGTGTATCCCGAGTCTCTACCAGACCGGCTGTAATTATCCCCAAATTCAGAGGCCCCAGAGTAGTTGGTAGAACTGGGAGAAAAGCACTCCGTTTGGTCTTCTACGTCCTCAACAGTAAGAAGATATGGAAGAACTTGGGACTTTCTCCTAGCCTTTGCAACTTGTGTCGAATATCCAGAAGGGGCTTGACCTGGCGTTGGTGGCATAAGAGTCAACTGCAGTTTGTATCCTTCCATGAGCCCGGCGGAATCTGGAGGTGTTGGAAGTGGCATCTGAGCATATTTTAGAGTCGTATTCGAGAATCTTGGCTTTGGCGGCTCCGAAAGCTTGACATTTGGCCTCCTCTCCGTAAGACTTTCCGACGAAGAAGAAGGGGAATTGGCCCTTTCCATTTCAAACCTCGCAGAGGTCTGAGGAAGAGCGAGAGTGGGTCTGGCTGCCATTGCAATATTAGATAGCAAAGCTTAGAGATTTTTGATATCTCTTCAACTGCTGAACAAATAACAAATAATAACAAATGCAAATATATATATGCGGATATCCCAAAAAGTACAAGTTGCCGAAGCCGATAAATTTATTGTAGATAAAACAAATAGGCGAGCGATGCAAGAACAAGTCGAAAACGAGAGAGTGATTCGGTCTGATATAAATAAATATATTACTTGTGAGAGGATCGGAGATTTCAGAAAGATATATCTGTTCGCTCGCGCGAATACGTTGTTAGACGTCTCTAATATCTGTTAGAAACGAGTGTCTGTAGGTGTGTTTGTGTTGGGTGTTGGAAAGTCGGGATTGTGTTGTGGCACTAGCGACGGCTCGGATGCATCGATACAGCACAGTCGTACAAGTACAGGTACAGCTAGCTGCAGGCCGGGACTGGTGAGGATTGGTATCAGGATGAGGTAAGTGATCCAGTAAAATCTAATGCAAGGCTGCGGCAGAGACCAACGCTGATTGATTCGTTTGGAAGCGTTGACGGACAGACGGTCACTGTGCAGTGCAGCTGTGGTTCAGATCTTTGCTGAGCTGCGGTGTAACCAAAGTTCCTGGCTGGGGAGGCACAGACACAGCACAGGGACTTGCTTGGAGTCGAGGCGAGGCGAGTCGGGTTCTTCCTCTTATTCTTATTCTGCTGCTGGGGATTTTGATTTCGGATTCCGCAGGCGAGGACAGCAGGTGCCACAGATATACAGACAGAGAGTATCTTCTGATGGCACAGCGAGATGAGTTATATTAGATTGGCCAAAAAACAAAGGAATCAAATCCAGATCAACTGAATTTCTGAGTTCCCTGATATACTTGCTGCTGCTGCTGCTGCTGCTGCTGCTACTGTATGTATGCGTAAGTATTGCAGTTAGGCTGTCTCAATATAACTCCCAGCCGGATTATGTATTAGTATGGCACGTCGACAGGCAAAAAAGAACAAAAAAGGATATTAAAGCAACGCCGTCGATACAGGAAAACACGAAGGAAGAAAGAGTAGGAAAAAAAGGGAAGAAAAGAGAAGACTTTTGGTAGTGAAGCTGCACGGGGTGGTTGATATATACTAACCGGGTCGCAATCTCTCTTGCGAGCCGGAGAGCCTGTAAATTGACAATCAACTCTCGACACTGCGCCCATAATTCAAACTAGCCGAACTGATGGTTGAGATTTTTATTTCCAGCCCGTCCAATCGCGGCCCAGATTTGGCGCTTTGAATAGAGATCAGGTATTATGCCTTGCCCGGGTTTGGATGGTGGGCATCGTGGAGGGGTGTGCCCGGTGGGCGGCTGCCACACAGCTGCACAGAATATTAGAATAGAGTGAGTGTATGCATGTACGCATGCATGCAATTAACTCAATATCCTTTTCTGCTGCTGCCTCTTCTCGTAGTGTACTGCGAGATCATATGATTCTGACTAGTTAGTTAGCTAGCCATTCTATTTCCAATAGAGGGACAATGGCAAGCTAAAAATGTTGAGCTCTTGACTCTGAGCGAGAGAGAGTGCGCGAGTGTGGATGAGAGATATCAATGCAACCTTCGCGTCGCCTACAAATGGCCGTTTTGGGGATCGAAAAGCTCTATTTCTGGTCGTTTGTTCTTCGTCACGAGCATTCCTTTTGTTCGCTTCCGCGATCCAATATCGTTCCACGGCGTGGGAGATACACATACATCTCGCATGAACCATCTGCAATCTACAGGTAAGCGTGTCTTCGAAACCAAAGTAGCGTCTTTTTCATTCTCTTAGCTTTTCGTACCATCTAAATGATGCATCCGGGCGATTCAAAGACATTCCCAGGTAAGTCTCCCTAGATGGTATGGTCTGATACATCGAAGATGCTGCGAAAACCCATCAGCTGGTCTGGTACCGTCCCACCTATCTGCGCCGGAGAGATACACTTACCTGTCAATCCCCCATAACTAGCTTCGAATTCTGCCGTCCCTCGCATCAAGCACGAAGAAGAAACCTGCATCTGCATCGGGTCTTCGTCAAACCTTGCAGGATGATTGGTTCCGAACCAGGAACATGTGGAGAGCACACTAGCCGGGATGCAGGCGCTTACAACTGACGTCCAACTGGCCAGTCCCATTGGACCCTGCAACCACCAACCACAACGCAAGAATTACGCCCTTCACCGTTTTCAGTTACTAAATTTACGACCGTCTGAGCGTCAGCTACGTTGTGGATTTCCTTTTTCCTCGCAGTTTTCCGATCGAATGTTTCGAGATCGTCTTATGAGAGGTCGACGATGCAGGGAGTAAAAGGCTTAGCGGTTGATACCTTATATCTATCCGACTTGATTCCCTTTTCCCATTCACTCCGAGCTCCCAGTAGGGATTCCCTCGAGTTCTGTTACACGATAATCGCTATCTATCAAAAGATCATGATGCAGGAGCTTAACTCGGTACTAGGATCCCTAACCCACAGGTAAGCTGTTCCCAGTAACCTTTGCTGCAACCATTGTCACACAAGAATCACCCAAACTTCACTGCATGATACGAGTACTCTCGTGACATCGAAAGAGAAAAAAAGTCTTTAACGGGTAAGAAAATCGACAATTGCCACACCTTCTCTACGCAAGTGGGGTCTTTTTCTCCCAAAGGCACCTATCATTTTATGAGATCGTCAAGAAAAGACATTCTTGCGTCTTTCCCGTGTCCTTCTTTGCATCCCTCTCGCCTAAAATATTCATTCTCTCCGAAACTCCACACCACCTTTATAAATTTTCTTCCCAAGTTTTAGCCTTTAAATGCCAATTTTTTCTCTCTCCTTGCCTTTGGTAGACATCCAGACCGCGATCCACATTTTCTTGGTCCGAGTCCTGCAAGGAATCAAGATAGGATGGCATCCGCCCGCACAGCCGAAACGGAATATGCTTAGTATCACAAATTTATCCCACCCTTGATGTTTTTTTCCCCCATTCCCACCCAAATACCATCTCTGACGGATAGAGAGGAGACAAATTCCCCCGGTTCAACCCTATTTTGGTAACCTAGGCGCCTAATTACTCAACCGAATTGGTTCATATCTTCATCGTCTATCATACATACATGAAGTACTGCACCCCACGTCTGCAGAAGCCCAAAAAGCTTGCTTCACCCTCGATCATCAATTAGCGTGTACATATGTAACGTGGCATGCACGTGAAGTGCATTTTGTAACATCCTATGTAGACGTTTCATCTTTTTCGTGACACGAATACCACCCCATGCGAGAAGAAGTACCATCCCGATTCATCTAATTAATTTCCTGGTTTTGAATACCTATTACAAACGGCAAGAAGCCGCTACCCTATCGGCAAGGTATTCGGCGGCCGGGTCTGCTACCAACCGAGAAACAAGGCGTGGGTGAAATACATCTTTCTTCTTTTTTTTTTTTTAATTGTCTGTGCCGGTGTTTCTGTATATGATCAGGCGCATTACGTCTGCAAAATGTTTCTGAGCCGTCTCATCTGCGGTATCAATTTGTGGCACATTTTAGGGTTCAAATTATATGATTGGCGATTATAATATTAGTATACTATGTTCAATAGCTTAACGTCTTAACGTTCAACTGACGTCAACTCCTGCGGCGTGATTGAATCCTATATGAAATAATCCTAGACGAAGCGCAATGTACGTCTGACTGCAGGTCAAGGTCGTTCATAAATTCAAGTTTTTAATGTATACGACTAGACCCATCTTGTATGATTGAACCCCTCAGGATCAATTTAATTATTGGAATCCTTGATCATGAAGATGTTCTATGAATTCTATTTTGTTTTTATATAAAATGTAACATTCCTCAGCGGACAGCCTATAGACTTCGTAGGCTATGCCGATGTATACGTCTATGTACCCAGGACTGGTCTCATGCTCAGCCCAGTCGTTATCGATAAAAACGAATTATAGTCCATGCTCAAGCCCTATCGGTTTTAAGGTGATACTTTAATTTACCACTGTTGACTGATTACCCAAACGATTCCTAGTCTGAAACTCTACAGGCCGTAGAATAGGAAATTACCAACCGTCGGCGCTGCAGCCTGAAAACGATAGATTTCCGACGCATGGCCCGGGCCCCAGCTGATCCTTTAGGACCATAACCTGAACACTTTGCTAGAATATTACCGGATACTTCTGTTTTATCTGAAAAGATGGAGATATCTATGCCTCCGATTTCGGTCCTTGATCGATCATTGATTCATCGCAATGCAATGTTGCAACCATGACTACAGCATCCCGCCCCAACCCCACCTTAACTCGTCGCATCGCATAAAATATTGCATTATCGTTATCCTTATCATACATATCAGATGCATAAGACATCGCCCCTCCACCAAATCCCCACCACTCATCGAAACCATGAATTTTACCTCCTCGGCACGGAATCACGGAGAGGCAAGGATGAGCCTTTGCCCCCCAGACCAAGACAAGCGGCACAGCACTAGTATACTGCGTACTCAAACGTAATTCTCGCCTTCACAGCTGATCCTTAGATTCAAGAATCGATCAAAAAAGATGCGGTACGACTGGGGATCCCACAATGGGAGTAGTCCGGAGGCAAAGTATTGTTTTTTTCATTGTTTTTGAACTTGAGGTCTGGATCGATGTCCCAAACCCGTTAATGCATAAACGAAAAAACGACAAAGACAAGGCAGCAAGCCTTTGTTATATTCATGAATCGAGGCATTGTTTAGGCCCATCACGCTAAATCCGTATTATGTAGATAAATTCTCCGGCTGGATGAGGTTCTAAGTCGTCTAGACCCTATTCAGCCTAAGAGAGCATGACTTCCCGCCAGTACATTGCATTGCATATGTTACGGCTGATCTTCGAATTCCAGAGTTGCTAGGTATATGCAATCAATAATTTTTCAAAGACCGGAGCCGAAATTCAACCTGCATCCGATCCTATCACGGATTGGGGAAAGTCCCTCCAATTCCAGATCGTCGATAGACTGTAATCCCCAAAGGGTTCGCATGAATTATGAAAAACGCCATTATCTTGGATCACTGATCACAAGATCCTCATGAATTCTGAGACATTCGAGTAGGCCTGAAGTCATATTAGCGCTACCCTTTGAATTTATTGAATCCTAGGTTAGGCTGATTTCACTTGACTATTCGAGTAATCATATTGACCTTCATGGTCACCCGTTTTTTTTTTTGGGGACCTACTTTCCTTTGAGTTGTGAGGCGTTGTAAAATTGACGCCATGGATGCAAGGACCATGCGGGCGCCTTCTTGGTGACGGCACGCGCACATGCACGTGTGCGGCATAGAAAATCGCATTCAAAGATTCAGGCTCAATCTAAAGAGGATGATATCACTGGCCCGTGTTTTTCCGTAGATGAACGGAAATTAATGTATTCTTCATTGCGGGGGGTTAAAGTTCCATTGATCGATTATGGGCAAAGCTCGCGAGTCGCGACTTTTCAGTGTCGCAGGTTTCATGGAGAAGGATTAGAAAGTATAGTTCAGAGCAACCATGCAATAGTTACAATTAGAATTAATTCGTAGTTTAGAATCAGGATTAGATTGGTGGCGAACCCCTCAATTGGATGTTATACATCCCCCCTCATTATCACTTCAAAGATTCAAAGACCATCAGGAAAGCGTTCGAACGTTCGAGCTTTGCATTGCGTCATTACATGCGATATCGCACCCCAGAAACCCGGAATTCAAATCAAACAACACAAAGGCACTCCCGCAAACCAATTGCATGCATGTTCCAAAAATCATATCCCGGTACCTTCGACGCACCTTCGCCACCAACAGGCGCCGGGTTTTGCACCGGTTAGTTATCTATTGTTTCCTATAAGCGATACGGGAAGAATTGTGCCTTTCTCCTGTGCCAGTTCCAAACATGTATTCAGACAATGTAATATTAATGCAAAATGATGTCCCGATTGCGCTGCAACAACGGCAATTGCAAACTGCAACTTCCCAACTTATAACATTTGGCTCGTCAGCTTTGCCGCACACCGACATATGACCCTGCTCCCGGCCACCGGCCCGCTGCGTGTTCAGGGATGTTGGGACATGAAATTTCACTGGATTTGCATGCCTCAGGTCAAATATATACCCCGCTTGGTGGCTGATACCCCTCCAAGCCTGGCCGATACTATTATAGCATAAAATTATATAACTGATATACATAGTTATGAAATAGCTCATATTTTGCAGTATCTTTGAGATGATGTTACTTCTTATCTTAATATAATAGATAATAATACTTTGGGTTAGTAGAATGTCGAGACTTTGGTGAGTGGTTTTCAGGACTGATCAAGTAGAGATGTTGAGCGGATTTATATTTAGTAAAACCACAGGAATACCGTCTTCACCTCAAGTGCCGGTGCATGTTTTGCTGAATTAAGATACCAATTGGCTAAACCAGCCGTCTATATACATATATACATATATACATATATACATACGTCCGCATCTGCGGGTGGTAAGAAAAGGAAACACGGCTTATGAGTTCATGAAGCCTGTTTATCTTTAGAAAACTCTTTATAGTACACTATCGGATCAGGTAGCTTATCGGCATCCTCTCTCACCAATAGTCCCATATCATACATCAAACCGAGGCTCAACCACAAAGGCGAAGTAGTTATTCTATCTCCTCTCGTGGGATGATCCTCGACAATTTCGGCTTGATCTAACACATCCCTCATGTATGCTGACCGATAGTATAAAGCCTCCCATATGAAATAAAATTTAAACTTCCTATAACGACAAGAAATATGGTTCATCCTTCCTTTGTCTGGTCGTGACCACTTGGTAAGCTGCATAAGGTCCGGAACTATTGGTGGTTCATCTAGTAAGTCGTTTGGTCCGTTAAAAATCTCATCGAATAGGCAGCTATTGAAATCGTGTTGCCCGAAGTAGTCGTACAAGTCGATTGACTGAAATTTATTACAGGTATCTTGAAGGATTTTAGTGCCGTATTCCGTCATACGAATGTTAGCCTTCTCAAACTCTTGTATTAAGAGTGAGGAGAAGACTATTGACCGATAATCTGTTTCGTGTCCTCCGACTATATAAGGTTCTACGTCGATTGGATGTGCGTATTTTGTAATAGCTCCCGGCTTTATGTCATCATACTCGACGAATAATCCTTTGTGTCTTTCATACCCCCGAATGGGTTCAGTACACGTATCGATAGGAGGAGGTGTAAGTAACGTGTTGTGTCTTTTGGATATAAAAAAGGGCAGCCTATGGCGCTGGCTGCACACTGGCCATGGAGGGTAAATTATATGTTTGGGGAGAGCTAGTGAGGTTGAAAGCGCCCTGCGATACATAGTAGTGGTTTAGATTGGCCAATTGGTGTAGTTAAGATAGACGTTTGTGTCCGAATGACGATGAATGACTATAAACATATGTGTAGATCGTGTCGAAAATCAATGAGACCTCGAGAAACCTTAATCAAATAGAGTTATATAATTATACACAGTCCATGTAAAAGAAAAAAATCATGAACCATGATATTAGAATACAAAGGGTTTTTGCATGAAGAATCATCAGATTGCAAAGTTTATATCTTAAGGTAATAGGTACATGTACCTTGAAAATTTGGGCCAGTCATAAGTTAAATCACTGTAGAATCTTTTGGTTCTTACTAGTTTAACTACCAGCTCGCGTACTTGTCCGCCCGCCACTGGTCTCCTGGCCTGTACTTGTGGAGCCTACACCTACACGTAATTTTATAAGGAAGGCCTCCTTTACTCGCTAGCCTAGAAACTCGGAATAATCATACTCTATCCATGTAGCATCTAGCTATATATACCGGGGAATCCCACTTAGCAATATAGCATATTGGGTAAATCCGTCCAATACTTAAGTTAGAATCTAGGAACTACAGCTGACTGAGAAAGATTCTGAGAATGCTGACCTTCAAATATATCGGACAAACTGATTGACAAGGGGTTATAGGTGCCTAGTGCGCCTGGTATTGAAAGTCATGTACTCACTTTCCCTTTAAATTGAAGAAATTGAATCGCACAACGGATTCGGGACTTGAATTATGGCTAGTTTGATCTTAGAGTGAAGTATGATCTCGGAAGTTTCGACAGGAATGTAGAACAAGTACGCTAACTCATATTACACCAATATTAATTTTACTAAATGAAATGAGTGGAATGCTAAATACCTAGTTTAGGTTGAAGGGTTCAAAGGCGAAAAAGAAATAAAAATAACACAACTAGTAGAAATTTGGTAGGTTCAAGAATAGATATTTAGATTTATAAAAGGGCCCAGATCCCGCCAACAGCTTTAAAGAAATGATTAGTATCAGGATATTCTATCTTTTCATTTATGCTGAGTAAATTAATATAGTATATCATGAGCTTGTGGAAGGAGACTCTCTTTTCTTTCTGGCTTGCTATATGCCAATTTTTGGGGTTGAATACGTATACGTATACATCGGAAATATTCAGAATAGACGAGATAAAAGACCATTTAATTCCATCCATCTTGCATTCTCCAAGCCTATACAAGAATCCCTCGAGTCTTGCCCTTGAAGATAGGAGTACCTATACATGCGAGGGAGATGCCGATTTCAAATCCAAAATAAACGCCTTGCGGCCTCCAGAGAATGGTATTACTTGCAATACACCTGGCACGAGGCAAACGTGGTGCAACATCACCAGCGACAACGTCCAAGATGGAAATCCAAAGATCAACAATATTTGCTTCGACTATGAAACACCGGTATACACAGGCGAACAAATTGGGCTCCCAAACGGCGTCGATAGGATTAAAAAAGTAAGTATCAACCAGCTTCTGATATTAGAAGTACGTACATACAGGCTTACAAAAAGTGCGGCTTCACAGATTACAGTGGAAATTACCTATGGTGACATCTGGCCAGATGGGTATCGCAAGGAAAATGCAATGCTTGTCAATGGGAAATATCCCGGAGAGCTAATCGAGGCTTACTGGGGCCAGAACATAGAGTTCACAGTGATCAATAAATTAGGCGTCAACCCTGGAGAAATTAGGAATGGCACTGCGATTCATCCTCATGGATTAAAGCTATGGGGCAATCCTCAAAACGATGGCGTACCTGGCATTACGCAATGTAAGTAATTTTCTCTACCCTCGTAACTGATTTGGTCGGGAAAATCCTATTGGATTTGTACCTAGGTATATATACAATTATGACTACTAACTATTGTTCTCTGGTAATTTAGGCCCTATACCTGTAAGTTTGCTTGTCAACCAATGGTTTGCGGTTGGGACAGCTATAGTGCTGACTGACATCCGTTTACAAAGCCAGGTTCGAGCTATACGTATACCTGGGATATACATCAATACGGGACGACTTGGTATCATAGGTGAGAAAACCTTTGTGGTATATTCAAGAAGAGGTCACGGGCCTATTTTAGAGAAGTTTAATAGTAACGTTAACATATAATTCAATTTCACATAATCTAGTCATTTATCATTACAGTATCCTAATGGAATTGTTGGTATGCCGACAAATTTTCAAGATCTGTATCGTGTATATAGAGTTAGTCCTGCCTACTAACGGAAATCGATCTTCTAGGACCAATGATACTCCATGGTCCCAAAAGCGGAAATTACGACATTGACATAGGGGCAATCCTTTTAACGGATTGGTATCACGAGAACCCCTTTTCTCTTTACAGCGAAGCCCTCAAACGGGCACAAGTCGCAGATAGCACCCTGATTAACGGCAAAGGGAAGTTTGATTGTTCATCCGTAACTGAAAAAGGAAGATGTCGGGAAGGCTCTTACTGGGAAACTGCCTTCGAGAGCGGGAAATGGCATCTCCTACGATTTGTTAATACAGCGACGTCGGAGACATTCAGGGTTTCGATTGATAACCACAATATGACAATAATAACTGCCGATTTTACGTCGGTACGGCCCTCGAAACCCGTCAAGTTTATTGATATTGCAATTGGTAAGTTTTATACAAATGATATGATGTTTGGGCCTTTTCACTCGCTCATTTTTCTGTAGGGCAGAGGTATGAAATCTTGGTGTACGGTACCTATTCAGCAGGGGATTTTTGGTTACGTTCCGAACCTTTAAATTGTAGTAAAGGAGGGAAGCAAATCAAGAAAGAGAACGTCGCGAGAGGGATTATTCGTTACAATCGAAGCTCCGGAGAGGATCCAACCTCAAAAACGCATCTCCGCAGTGCAGACTTACCGAAAAACTGTCAAGATGTGGAGATGGAGAACATAGTTCCAGTTCTCTCTCGAGATAACCACTACGTTGAGTTCGAGGAGGTTTATAATGCTTCGAGAAAACTGCAAGTATCTTTGGTCATACCGAAGAATGAAGCACGTGCTGCTCGGTTAGAGCTTGGAAAGCAGATGCCCCTCAGAAATAATACGAGCTCAGAACCTCTCCTGGACTCGGGAGAAAGGCTTTGGCAAATTTATGGCATACCTATGAGATTGGACTGGTCGAACCCTGCCTTAGATATGCTTAATGAAGATTCAAAGCCAACAGACTTTCCAGAATCATACACGGTCATAGAAGCGAGACCAGACGGTGGCGATAGCATGAATAACGTATGTCGAATCCTTTATTCTTTTGGGTATACGTACTGCGGTATCAATATTCCGTAATACATTGAAGTTTCATTAATTCCTATTCCCGTTTAGGTGGTATTCCATATAAGTGGAAACGCGGCTCCAGGTACACCAGGGGGTACCATGCACCCGATACATGTATGGTGCTAAAAATCCAAATGCAGAAGCTATCGATATTTGATTAAGCACGCTGATGTTCATGCATTTCTAGATACACGGGCATGATTTCATTATACTAGCTCAAGGGTCCGGTAAGTTTGACGAGGAAAATACCTCAAGAACGCTGTTTAATCCGGTGAGAAGAGATGTTGCGACGATGCCACCGGATGGGTATCTTATTATATCATTTCCTGTTGATAACAACGGGATGTGGCTCCTTCACTGTCATTTAGGTACCTATCACCCTGAACAATGTATCATGCATGTAACTTTTACCGGCGGCTAACATGTAATGTACTTTACTAGCGTGGCATGCAAGTCAAGGGCTTGCCCTTATGATTCTTGAGAGGACTGAGGATTTTCAGGGGCTGACTTCGACCCAAACACAAAAGCTACGAGGAGAGAATTGTCAGAGATGGAAGGTATACGTTTCTACTTCGCCAACCCCAAACCCAATGGATGACTCCGGAATTTGAATTCCACTTATGTTTGGAAACCCTATTGGCTTCAGTATCCCTGGTACTATAACTACTATTCGGCTTAGTATTATGGATTTACGAAATACGATTTTGCCTTCCGAAGAACTTATTATAATATGGCTTTTTTTGGCGCATAATATAATATGCACAATTGCACAATTCAATAGTATTAATATATAATAATATTTGAGCCGTTATTACTTGTTAGCCTCGAATCTTATTACTTGTAGACATAAAGACTTCTATATTTGCATGGCTAGACAGAGGGCTTTGAACACCAGGTGTAATGAGATCAATGTGGTCTCGTTCCTGGGTGCAAAGCTATATCTAGGGAGTTCGGGAAGCTGGCTGCGCAGCACGCCCTAGCATATAGTGCCAAGACTGAGTAAGTGGCACCAGCGCATGACCAACTGGGTCCCAACACAAAAACACCTCAAAATGCAACAACAGCCATCATCACGTGGCAACGCCCTTGGTGGGGCATCCAGATGTCCGGCCCGGCACGCCTCCAAATTCCGTCATGACCACCCCGAATGATCTTGATCCTTTCTCACTAGCACCACAGCAGTAGCTTACTAAGATGCGAAGCTTCTTCAACGGACCAGCCGGATGAAGGCGACGAACTTTTGATCTTTCAAATTCATCCCCACTGCCGTTTACGACTTACGATTTTACCAGTTTAAAACGTATTTCTTGTGGTCGACGCTCCTCGGTTGTCGTACACCCTAATTTTGCCCCTCCGATTCTAACGATTTTAACGATAACGATTTCGACCTACTACTCCTCCTCGCGACACCAGTCGCAAACATGCCCTTTTATCCGAATGCCCACTCGCGGTGGGTACCGTATACCACCGATGCAATCGCCGAAGTCTCCTATGATCCTTTATCCGACACTCACATTCCCTTCCGAGCATCCTTAAACCACTTCCACCAGAACTGGGCGCATATTCATTCCTCAAGGCCACAGCTCTTCCTGAGGCCCCAGTCGATTGAAGAACTACGCCTTATCGTTATACTAGCCGGACGATGCCAGAAGCGTATTACGGTAATCGGCTCAGGACATACACCGAATGCCCTGACGTGTACACCTGGTTGGATGATATCATTGGATGACTTTCAAGAGGTTCTGAAGGTTAATGAGGATACGCGAGAGATTACTGTGCAGTCTGGAATACGGCTTTATCAGCTACATAGGGTCCTTGATGGTCTTGGACTAGCCATGCCAAATCTGGGTACAATCTCTGAACAGAGTATATCCGGCGCAATTAGTACAGCTACTCATGGAAGCTCTCTTCACCATGGATTAATCTCCGACGATATAACGAGCCTTACGATACTTCTCTCGAACGGAGATCTCATAAGTTGTTTCCGTGATGGAACAACAGACCCTAAACTCTTCGATGAAAATGACGGCCTGTCCCTCTTCCGTGCTGCGTTGGTATCGCTTGGAGCCTTGGGAATTATAACATCCATAACCTTTCAAGCTCGCAAGGCGTTCAATCTGGCTTGGACCCAAACTCTCCACCCACATATCGACGTAATAACCCACTGGAACTCTCAGATATTCGGTGCGGCAGAATATGAGCGTGTTTGGTGGTATCCCTACACTGGGAAAGCTCTGCATTGGAGCGCCTCTCCTACAACCCTATCTCCGACCCCTCCACCGCCATCGTGGTTTGGTACCACAATAGGATATCATATAAATCAAATAATGCTGTTAACAACAGTATATTTCCCTTCACTTACACCACTTGCTGAAAAAGCCATGTTCTACATGCAATATGGTTATCACATTCACTCTTCGGCGAAAGGGACTGTTACTGGTGTTTCAACATCCGTGGATGCCATGTCTATGAACTGTCTTTATCGCCAATATGTAAACGAATGGAGCATTCCACTATCATCAGGTCCTGAGTTCCTCCACCGTTTACAGTCTTGGCTATTGGGGAAACGTTATGATGTTCACAAAATTCCATTCGATAACACCGTTTCTTCGACACGTGTGTATGCTCACTCACCGATCGAAGTGCGACCCTCATATCCTGCTCCGGACCATCGAGACGAAGACTTTAGACCATACCTGGATACCCACCAAAAGGGAGAACCGAGCTTATATATTAATGCTACGTTGTTTAAACCTTATGGAAGGGATATCCCCGGTCGAGAAAAGTTTTATGAGGTGTTCGAATGGTTGATGAAAGAGTATGGTGGGAAACCACATTGGGCGAAGAATTGGAGTACACTAGGAAAACGCGAGTTCAGGAGTATGTATGGAGAGAATCTCGAGAAGTGGGTGGATATTAGGAAACGAGTTGATGGAAACGGGGTGTTCTTGAATGATTTTGTCAAGTTGTATCTAGAGGATGAGAATGGAAATGGGGAGCTTGAGGAAGTAGAGGGAATGTTTGGGGAGAAAGATGAAGAGAAGGTGATCGAGAAGGAAGCGAAGTGGAAAGGTAAACAAGCGGTTAGACGGTTGAGCGATGAGAGTGATGTGACTATGACAGCGAGCAGTGGGAGTTTGAGGAATAGCCTTTTGGCGGGGAGTTATGATCATTTGAGGGCCAGTGAGACGGAAATGTCGTTCATGGAAGTTGAGGGGCCGCCACCTTTTGCGGACTTGTAAGATATATCATAAATCTAGCTTGCGCCTAATAATATAATGGTATCTCAGGAAGATGGTTGATTTGCAAAGAAAACCCAGTTCAGGACCTAGCTGGATCATAGTATATCGATCGAAACTACGTGGTACTAATCATGCAGTTGACGATGGTATACTTCGCGCTCGGGCGTAAAAATAGTCTCTAGACCTCATTCTCGCACCTGAGTTATCTCATAAACAAGAATTAATTGCGACTGCGCAGCAGCACCCGAGTAAAAAAAAAATAGAATTTGAGAAATATAATTAGACCCAAGCCGCGGCAGCTCTAGCCGAGTCCTAAGGATCAACTTATACCTGCAAACAATAATTTAATTACACGAGGCTGGTGATTTTCGTCGGAAGCTGAGTGCGAGTTTGACCATTATCAGTGCATGAAACCAGGTACCTTAGCCTGCTGCATCCTGCGGCTGCGTAGCGGCTGCTAGCTGCTGTGTCCCGATGGAACTCGAATTTAAACCCATGCTGCGCCGTCGACCTCAGCTCACCTACGGCCTACCAAGAATCCAAAGAAGTTTTTATACTCTGTATCACGACAACTAGCAGCGCTACTATCTAATCTATTTTACCAACCTTTTACTATCTAGTACCTAAGATCAATAGGATACGCTACTGGTACCCGGCCTGTCAACTGCGGGGCTGATTGTTTACATCCAAGTTGGGGTAGCATGCGGAGTGACACACCCACAACACAGAAAGTGGCAGCAGGGAGCATTCGTGCGCCAGGACCCAGTCCTTGGATGGACGTAGGGGAGTCTACCACCCGAGCGCAGGACTATAACCCCTCGCATACTCCTCCTCCTAATATTCAATCTATACCTACATCACCAACTTTATCTTTACCCAAGAAGGTTAATACGACACTCATAAATAATGAATACAAAACTACAATACAAAACGAAGAGCGGTTAGAACGACGAATGACTGATTTATCACTAACAAGAGACACGAAATCGCCGATGTATCAAGAACATGTCTGTGCTGAAGATTTCTATAAACAACCACGCAGTGTTTATGAGAATGCTGTGATTGTGGTTAAAAGTATCGTTGAAACTCAGGCTTTGGAGAATAGAGAGATACAACAGGGAAGGAATGAAAATGGGGAGAGAAGGGCGAGTAGTAGTTGGAGGTTTGAAAGTGAGGTTGTATGGAACGAGGGGGGGAGAAGTGGATATTATGAGAATACTGGAGGCGAGAAGAAGATAGAAAACGAGGCAGTACAGAGTTCTATGCCGAAGATGGAGACACAAAGTGCAGAACAGACAAAGTTGATTGAGGGGAATGCGCAGCAGGAGAGAAGATCTGACACCGAGGTACTGGTTAGAAAGAGTACAGAAAATAGCAATCGGTCGGTGCGAGAACAGGAAGAGGGTCCCAAGGGTGGAAGAGGCCGGGAAACGACTATACCGGCTACCACGCCGGATCAATGCAATATCCCACCGGAGAGCAGCCCAAAGACGACGGCCAGCCAACCACCATTGGAAAGAGTAGACCACATTTTGCAGGCCAGAGGAAGCCGTCCGCAAAATTTTGTCGGGAAATCCATTGGTCTCGACGGAAATGAAATCCTCGACGGAACCAAAATTAGCCACGGAGCTGAAATCAGCCTTGACAGAAAAGAAATCCGTCTCGACACAGATGAAGTCCGTATAGAAGGAAGGGGAATCCGCAAAGCGCTCGAATCCAATAGCAATGGCTGGAAGCATGCATTCGAGCTATTCGAACTGGGAAAAGTCCCAGATAGCCGAGCCTTTCTGGTTGATGTCCTGGGAAAGTTCATAAGCCGTCGTTCTCGCTACTGGGATGGTATCAAAAAACAAGGCTTCAACGTAGATGAGTATCGAAAGTCCGACGATGACGATTTATTCCTTCAAATTTCCTATACCGACGCAGCGCTCGAATCACTACGAAAAGGAGACACCATACGTGCAATGGAGTTGGTCCTAAAGGTTATGCCAGTCCTGGGCCGCCGCATTGCAAAGAAAAGGACCTGGATACTGAATATTGAAGTGGTTGAAGTGCTCATTCTTCTTTTCTATATTCCTCTAAAACATTCCAAGCAGCCACTTCTGAAATCTATGGAAGACGACAACAATGTTTTCCATAGAATGGGTTTAACTCAATTTATGGATGTCGATTACTTTCTTATTTTAGCTAATGAGAGAACTGCCGTTGGTCTTAAGTGGTGTTTTCAGTTACATTTTTTGTTTGCGATGCTGTTAGATGTCGACAAGAGGTATTCATATTCCTCTAACAAACAGATGCTATGGCTGGATGCACTTATAGATAGTCCACATTTGCGGGAGCCCGTGAGGAGAATTGTGGTCAAGATGTTCGGGCTTGAGGCCTTGAGATATGAGACGGAGGCGGCGGTAACGGGAGCGAGGAGCAACTGGAGTAGTAGGCAAGGAGTAAAATGGCTACAAAATATACCCGCGGCTCATTTGTACTTGTTCGCTTCGTGGGGACATCAGGAAATGATATTGGAGAGTCTAGAGACGCTTTACAACCTTGAAACGGTCGTGGGTTGGGATGGGACAACCTTACCACGACCGTCATCGAGACTGCCTAAGTTACCCGAGATTCAGAATGTACTACAAGTAATGCCGCAATCTCGGAATCAGTTATCCTTGGGAAAATACTCTGAGGCACAGGCCCCAGATTCGGCAGGGAAGTTGGGGGAAAAGGGAGAATATCCGCCAGCACCTCGGCGCCAGGGATCAATACGCCACCCTTCCCCTTGGGAATCAGGGCTATCATCATCATCTTCGAGCCAAGTACAACCTCGCAAGGTTTCTAATCGATCAATACCGGATATAGAGTCGAGTGCACCTTTAACACCAAGAAGCCAATTATCCTCGGCTCGTTCTCAAAGCATGTCTTACAGTAGCACGGGAGACTGGGTCATGGGCCAATCTGTACCGAATATTTCAACTTCAACTGCACCGCCACTACCCCTTCCATACCCACGCACAGTACCCTCCGCTGAGGATAAGAAACTGAAATCACAACGTCTCGCTAATCTCCGCGACCAACCGGTCCGGTATGTAGATGATTGTGAAGACGAAGAACTAAACGTAGTCACCGACTACAAACAAGCCGTTCGAAATTCTCAAAACCTTGATGTCTATATTGGCACTCTTGCCTCCCTCCACCTCATAAATTTTATCAGTGGTGACCCGGATTACAGACCCTGGACACCCCTTATAGAGGCGATTTGTAACCAACGCTGGGAGGCTGCTAAAACCCTTATTCGCCTGGGTGCGTCCTTCGATCTCGGATCTCCGTTTCACACAACATTAAGCCGACACTTCATGTCGGGCTCTCGTTCCCGTTGTGAAAAGCTGGCTGAAATGAAGTTGGTAAACACTGGCGGATTATCAGTTGATCAATATTTTTTCAAGGAATCCATGAAACTTATCGATTATATGATCGCAGCTGGCGCCGATATCAATGCCGTTGGAACTGCAAATACTGATCAAGTATCACAGATCAAAACATATCCTCTTCATTTAGCAGCGTTGGATGCAGTGCCTAACAGTTCTTTGGTTCTGAAGCTATTAGAGATGGGGGCTGTTGTGTGGGCTGCTGATGCGAACGGGGAGTTTGCAGTCGAGTATGCAAGACGAGCGGGAAATGAGAACACGATCAAGTTGTTAGAGGAGGCTATGAAGCAGAAATAAATACATATAGCAATTATTTTGTATAATAGGTATTTAGTGTCTATGTTGATAGATAGGTACCTAAGTAGGTAATTGGTTGTCTCGTCGCCAGACTCCTCAACTGTGGGTAATTGGTACCTTATGTAACTAAATTTAAGAGGGTTCTTGATGACGAGACTGGTTCTCAGGCAATCCGACACTCTATTTCCACCATTCGACCACGATCTGCGTTGTCGCCGTAAAATACCACGCACGGAGGTAACCGGCCCTAAGTAGCCAGGCAAAGCTTAAGCGGTCCCATTCTTAGCAGCATTGTAGTCATCGCCTTATTCCGCCCTTCGTTTTCCTTCAGAAGGTTGTAGTCACCGTTCTCGGTTGACGAGAACCCTCAGTTTCGATCTCAATCTGCTCCTCTAAACTGCGATATTTTCATTTCTTTTGTCTTCTCTCTTATTTTTAGTCTGATTCACAGTGTCTCCTAATCAATAAGTTCGGATTGGCTTGTTTTCTGCTACCACCAGGCGATGCCCTTCGTGGAACGAGAGCAGAGCATCTGATATCATCGCCACCTCGAAGCACCTGGGCCTCAAAACCATGAACTCCTCCATCGGCAATATATCACTAGCCTCAAAGGCCCAGCAAATATCTTTAGCATCCCAGAACATCCAATCATCAATTTCAATCGACCAACAAGCTTCTCAACAACGGAATTCATCCGGTGGGAGTCAGAACAACAATAATAGTAGTGGCGGGGCTGTAGGAGGCGTTCGTAGCCAAGCGAGTCCCCGCAATATCCAGGCGAGCAAGGCGAAACATAAGAACCATCGGAAGCCGAGTATGCAAAGGGACGACGTTATTGCTGAAACTGTATGTGCTCTTTCCTCCTTTCGGTTCTTTCATGGGTACTTGATCAAAGAGCTAATTTTTGGCAACATCTAACTTCAGATCGCAATGACTTCGAACTCTGCTAGCCGGAAAGGCCGGACTTCTATCACGCATTTGATGGATTGGAGCCTGCCGCATCCTCGTCCTCAGCATGGCCACCACCCCCACTCCCGAGGATTCCATGGAAACAGACGAACTCCTTCGTGGGGCCAGGGCAGTGGTTATCATGCCATTGATAAGGCGAGGTACATCTTCCAATGACCCTTATCCTACTTTCTTACACCTAAAATACTAAATTCTTCCCCGTACTAGATACGTAAATGCCAATTATCGCTTTATTGTCGACCCAACCGGCGATTACCGCCCCCAATCACTCGATCCGGACTCTACCCTCCCCTGGACGTCTATTCTTCAAATCCTCGCATCCTCAATTACCCAATCTCCATCTTGTCCGATATGTCTCTGCGACCCAGTGGCCCCGCGTATGGCTCGGTGCGGCCACATCTTTTGTCTTCCATGTTTAATTCGCTACATGGCCTCCGAGGACGCCGAAGCCCAAAAACAGGGACAACACTTCAACAACAACCAAAATAAACCGAAGTGGAAGAAGTGTCCGATATGCTATGACAGTATTTATATGAATGAAGTCAGACCTGTTAAGTTTTATACGGGCCAAGAGGTTCCGGCGCCGAGGGAAGGGGAAGATGTAACGTTGAGACTTATGATGAGGCAACCGGGATCCACGTTAGCGCTACCGAAGGATGTAGCGAGTAGTATGCCGGTCCTCAAGAGGAAGGGCAGCATTGGAGATAAAAAGGAAGAGGCTGATTTTATTCCATGGTATTACGCAGCGGAAGCTACGGATTACGCTAGAATTATGAAGGGGACAAGAGAATACCTAAAAGAAGAATACGAACGAGAAATTACAGAGCTAGAAGAACAAGAGAGAGTTGATGAGTTAATGTTCGGCGACGAAACAGATTGGGTCCAGAAGGCGATCGGGAAGGTTAAATCCGCGATTGAGAAAACCCAGGAACTCCCTGAGAAGGGACAGGAGAAACTTGAGAAGTTTTCGGGTAGGGAGCTCTTGGAGAAACAACTATTGGAGGAATCAGAGGCGCGAGCGGAGTTGAATAAACAAAGAGAGAAGATCATACAACAAACTGAGGTCGATGTTCCAGAGATGTACTTGATGACTTCTTCAAGCGCACAGAACGGTATCGGGCATGAAAGCCATTCACCAGTAGATACAACTACTCCCCAGGTGGAGACGCCGACGAAACCACAGGCTCCTGCCCCGAGATCTCCAACGAGACATCGGGCGCCGAAGCCGATCGATGTTCATGATCCTGCACAACCCTACTTCTTTTACCAGGCGTTACCTCATTCATATTTATCACCACTTGATATCAGGATCCTTAAAGTTGCATTTGGAAGCTTTGCAGCGTTTCCCTCGAATGTGCTCCCTCGAGTCGAGAATTTCAGTATGGGGCATGTGGTTGATGACGAGTTGAGAAAACGAGCGAAGTATCTTAGTCACCTACCTTATGGGTGTGAAGTCGCCTTCTTAGAGTGCGACTGGACAGATATCGTACCAGCAGATATTCTAGAGAAGTTCTCGGCTGATTTGGAGAAGCGAAGGCGGAAGAAGAAAGAGAAGGATAATAGAGAAGAACGGGATCGTGTTCGAGCTGAAAGAGAAGAAGATGAAAAGAGGTGGAGCGGGGCGAGACGGAGTGCGCCCGGGAGAAGCGAGAGTGGTGCAGGAGAGGATGAGTTGGGGTTGGCTATGGAGATTAGTAGAAGGGAGTTTGAGACAGTGGCGGAGGAGGAGGATCAAGATGGAGGAATAGTTCCTGATAGGCCGAAATTCGGGTTTGGAAGTTTGCCGCAAAGTAGTCCGCCTAATAGTCGGACAGTTTGGGGAACTCCGATCGTAAGCGGCGGGGAAGAGACACCGAAGCAGTACAGTGCAATCTTGGAAGAGAAAAAAGATGCTGGGTGGATCGAAGGGTGGGACAAGGGTGTTGATGCAGCAGACCAAGCTGCCATTGCCGCCGCTATGGCTAGTAGCAGTAGTGGAGGAGCGAAGGGAAAGAAGAAGTTTAAGAAAGTGACGCTGATGACGAATACTGGGAAGAGGAGGGCTTAAGTATCCACCCTATTCTCGGACGGTTGAGATAGCCCGTCTGAGTCCTTGCATATCACAGCTCCTTCTTAGTTACTTAAGCATAAATTAACTAACAGCAGTATTTATTATGGACTTGATCGTGCTCTGGAATGTTATAACGGGGCTGGTTGTTTGGGGTGTTTGCGAGTCGGAGTTTTGTGATATACCATACACTGCCGCGTGCTGCACTGATGTCTATACATACCATAGAAGAAAGCTTTACGGAAACTGGGATCTTTCTCTGCTGAAGTCCTCCCCATCTATAGGGTTGGAAACAGTAGTAATACTTGTCTCGTACCCAGACCTGGAAGTAGTAATACCAAGACTATATATATACAGAGCCTATACAGAGGCGGAGATTTAACATTATCAATCAATATACTATGTAGTCTCGTCTCATGATTATACAACCTCATAGTCACATACTTCTTAACCTACTTATTTATAACCTTCCCTATGGTGGGAATTGCAATTACCTAGCCGATCAGCTACCAGACCAGACGAACAGGACGCTCCGAGTGAATGCTTGAAGAGGTGTTGGACGTTGTATTTTGTTCGTCTTTAGTTTTAGTTCTCATTCGGCGGCCGACGCAGGCAAAGATTTAATTTATAATTGATGAATGAGCCATTTTGACCATTCTTTTTCTCTTCTTTGGTTGTTCTGCTATTTATATAATTTCATCGTCTCATTCATACCGCTATACATACTTTAATCACTAATTCGTGCGATCTCACCGTTGCTAGTCCGCTGTCGAGTGCAATTCCAAAGTGTCGCTACCGCTGCTAAACCTTAACCTAACCTCCAACAGCTTATACCGTAGCTCAGAGTCATAGCAACAAAATGTCAGGCACAACTTCCCTCCCCGCCGCTGAAATCGCCAAAACCGCCCGACAGGCGTCGTTTACCATCAAGTCCCTCCCAGGGAGCGACCGAGATCTAGCTCTTGACGCTATCTACGATGCTCTACTAGCATTCAAAGATGACATCCTTGCTGCCAACGCAAAGGATATGGAAGCTGCGGCTGCTCTAGTCGCAGAGGGGAAGTTGTCACAGAGTCTTGTAAAGAGATTGGATTTAAGCCGGTCTGGGAAGTATGAGGATATGCTGCAGGGGATTAAGGATGTTAGAGGGCTTGAGGATCCGGGTAGGTTTTAATACCATACATTCTCTGGTCGTAGTTGGCTTGCTATTGGGTAGCTACGGGAATGGCTAACATTGATTGCAGTCGGCAAAACCACACTCGCCACCAAGCTCGACGATAACCTCACTCTTCACCGGTACACCACCCCGATCGGTACACTTCTTATAATCTTCGAAGCTCGTCCCGAAGTTATCGCAAATATCTCTTCACTCGCCATAAAATCTGGCAACGCTGCAATCCTCAAGGGTGGGAAAGAATCCTCATACTCCTTCGCCGCCATCGCATCTGTCATATCCGAAGCCCTATCATCCACTAGAATCCCACCGGGGGCAATACAACTCGTTCAGTCTCGAGAAGCCGTTAAGGATTTATTAGATCAGGATGTCTATATTGACCTTGTCATCCCTAGAGGAGGGAATGATTTGGTTAGGTATATTAAAGACAATACGAAGATTCCGGTGATGGGACATGCGGATGGACTTTGTTCTACGTATGTACATGAGGATGCGGATGTTAAGGTTGCGGTTGATGTTGTTGTTGATGGGAAGACGGATTATCCGGCGGCATGTAATGCTACCGAGACATTGATCGTGCATAAGGATGTGCTTGGGAGTCATTTACCGTCCATTGCGAAGGCGTTACAGGAGAAAGGGGTTAGCATTCGCTGCGATGAAAGGAGCTTGGAAATCTTGAAAGCAGTGTCAGAAGCCGAGTTCCCTGCTTATGCGAAATCAATGCTTCAACTGGCTACGGAACAAGACTTTAATACCGAGTTTTTGGACCTTACTATCGCCGTCAAGACAGTGGATTCTTTACAGGAGGCAGTAGCGCATATCAACTCTCATTCATCGTCACATACGGATGCGATCGTTACTACTAGCAAAGACTCTGCGGATCTGTTTTGTAGAATGGTGGATAGCGCAGGGGTTTATGTTAATGCTTCCACGAGGTTTGCGGATGGATATAGGTATGGCTTTGGAACGGAGGTGGGGATCAGTACTAATAAGATCCATGCGAGAGGACCTGTTGGATTGGAGGGATTGATGATTTATAAGTATGTGATTAGAGGGGAAGGGCATACGGTTTCCATGTATGGGGAAGGTGGGAAGAAGTATTTACATGAGAAGATTGAGTTTTGAAGAACTAGAAAGGGATTCTAGTACATGGTATTGGTTGTAGATAGTTGGAATGGTTATTGCACATATTCTATATTACGATATGTATCAATATAGTCATCGATATTCAAGGCATTCGATTGATACTTGAGGTTTAAGTGAAGCTATATCGACTGATTATGTAATCCACATATGCCTTGTGTTATTTTGTTTGACAACACGATTTTGACATCGTACGAAGGCTTCATCCTACCATACGGGATTAGGATCGAAGAGACGATACCAGTATTCATATTAAAGAATAATATAAACCTCTCTTCTGGTGACATCCGCAGAGCTGGCTATTGTCTCAATAGCACCGAAATGGACCCCAGGAGCAACAGACCTTCATGATCCCCGTCGAATCCCATAAATGCGTCGCACAAAACCCAGGTTACAAACTCGTATCTACGCGGAACTCGGCAGCTATGTGAACGTTATACATGCATATAACCGTTATCCTTTATGTTTCATATTCGTCACTCCATATCCATTAGAAGCTTCCTATTCTGGGCTGTATGCTAGACATTTGATATTCCGCTATATACATCGGGATAGAATCCCAAAATCGGTTAATCAGGCTGGCCAGCAGGTTGTTAATAACAAAAAAAATGTTCCCGCTAAGATATCCTGGTTTATCTACTTTTCTTATAGCGTAGTTTCAGATTCAGCTTTCTACGTCGCGTCGATATCTCCTTCGAGTTTGCTATAATCTTCTTTCTTTCTTTCTTTCTTTTTTGATCCCGCCAGCAAGATCGATAGCTCATCCCGCTGCTATTGGTTAGATTGTTAAGAATTAAGTCTTGGCATTATCGCAGAAGCTACCAACAAAAGAGTCCTTGCTTCTGATCTGCATACACGGGAAAGCTTGATTGATTATACAATTACTTAGTAATGAGGCTAGTGAAAGAAAAACTATAGTTATAGTGCACACCCATTGAAATGAAAGGATACAAGACCATATTTTCTGAATGGTTGTGTGACCATGGTACAGGCATATATAGCATATGTGTTGGTAAGACAGTACGATATATCGATATAGGGTTACACTGCAACTGATATAATGTTATAATTAAGGGAAAGATAATATAAAAAGCAGATAGACCCCGAGAATAACTCCATAAAATGCTTGCTTGAAGGTTTCGAAATATGTACCTTCCCGGAAACGCCCATGGCTATGTTTAATGCGAATGTAATATCAAAAAATCAAAAAAGAAAAAGCTTCGCTTAATGTTCCTTCAAGCCGAGATTATAGCCAGTTCATTTTCCTTGACGAAACTCTGGGGTACCGATGTTCCGATCCGGCACCACTGCGTAAATCCGTAGCTCTCGTTTGTGTGGTTAAGTTGATATTTGAATTCGCAGCCTCGGTGTGTATACTCCATTCGGCGCTTGCACATTCGTCTGTTGTTGTTGTGGACCCCGCGGGGTTTGATGCTTCTAGACTTTCGAGGTATTTTAAGTCCTGGTCGATTTCGTGGAAGTATTTTTCTTCTATTTAAATTCATGGATCAAAATTAACTAGAGTTCTAAAGAATAAAAGAAACCTATTAATGACGAATGGAACCGAAAAACTTACCCTCATGTGAATAAAGCTGTGCATACTCCCTGCTCTCGACGTCCCTTGTAAACATCGAACTTCCAAAGATCTGCGGGTTCATGGTTCTTCGATTGGATGAGACATGTTGAAGAACATTGTAGATGTCTTCGGCTTGGAATGCTTGTGTGACAGGGTTGTATTCCGTGCCGTAATTGGTTTGGAAGGTGTGCTGCTGTGGCTTGCCCATTGTCGATGATCAAATTATATTATATATTTAAAGCAAAAATGAGGCGGTCCCCAAACTAGGAAACTTGTGGTTGGGAAAAATATATCGTGATAGTATGGCCTGACAGATCTGGGATGGAACTCCACGGTCGGGATTTGATTATTCGATCGGGCGCTAGTTAGTGGAACACGGCCGGGTATCGATATTCGGTATGGATTTTCAAACAATAAATATTTAATTAATCGTTTATGGCTCTGAGTTCGATTAATCAATAGCTATAGCTTTCAAGATAAATGTCTATGCAAGTGTGAGGCAAATGTAGGTTCAATGAGATACGGTGATGAGGATGAAAAAAAACTTCTTGGATTCACAGATGACACAGATGATTTTATAGTCTACTTGTTATCACCCAGAAAGACGCCCTACGATATAAATGGGAACCGATAGTCTTGCTATTTCTAAACTACAAAAAGTTCTTTGCTATGCTAACTTGACAGTTCTGCTATCTACAGTATGAAGGCACGATACTTTTGTTTGCTTGGTAACTCCACTACAAAAAAAGGTGCCTTAAGCATCTGCTAGGCAGAAGATAAAATAGCAACTTTGTTTCTCTGCTAATCTTGGGATTCTGAGAAAACGGAGGAATCTCAAGATCGAGGCGAGCAGAGGTGTTTAATAATATCCGTTGTATATTATTAACTCGCCGAACTCCACAAAACTGTCTCGAAGTTATAATAATAACGGCATATTGTATGCATGCACGGTTCCGGCCGGCAAACGAGGAAAAGGTGCGGCATAATGCTTAGCTTCGTTAGGCGTTCCAAATATAATTCTGGTAGCGAGGGGTACGGTACAGTTTTTGCGATTTTTAGAGCTCCACGTAACTTAACTCGACGGGTGATGGCATATGCTATTCAGGGCCGTCATCTCATCAGAACGAGCTCGAGCATGATCAAGTTTTAGAACCTTGAATAGCGGGGGGACAGAGAAAAAAAAGGCGTCGCAAGACTAGGGAGTTACGAGAACTGGGTTCGGAAGCCGGGAATAAGTAAGAGAGGAACCGCAGTTGGAACTGGATGACTTTGGTTCGCCTTGATCGAATCCATCGGATTCCAGCAGCGACTGCCTGGTTATTAGCAGCTGCGATGCCAAGGTGGGGCCGTTTTATTTCGTTGGTTTAGGCAGGCCCTGTTAAGTTGAAGTTGGAGTCAAACTAACGAGACCAAACATGTCTCCCATGGCCACCAAAGGGGCAGGGCAGGGCTGAAGGGATTTAATCCCGGCTGTACAAATGTCTGCAGGTCCTTTCTAGTTAGCATTTAAAGGCTGGTGACGACGACTTCTGTCCTTTGAATGTCGAGAAACATCGAGCGTGGGCTTGAACGATAAACACTGCCGCGCTATGGTGATTGCGCCAAAACATATGATTTAAAATTAAACATATGCCCGTGTATCGCGAAGCTATGCATATATGAAATTCTGAGTGTCTGGAATCAAATCCTATGAGGTTATATTCTGAACTACCGTTCGTTCTTCGTTTGGATTCTTGGATATTAGTCGCTTGAGGAAACAAAGAATCCAAAGATATCGATCGGTCGATTTGTCGGAAACGTCAAGCCTCGGTGACAGACAGCGCTCTCGATTCTAGGTAGAAGTTCTAGCTCGCTAGTCCCTTTGATTCGATTGGAACCAGTTAGAGTCAGTCGAAAGGCGACACAGCAGGCTGCTCTGCCGCAAGAAAGAACCGGTATAGTAGGAAACATCAAACCCGACGAGGCTTCTAATTTGCAAGGGCTGCAGTCTAGTTGTTAGAGTCAGCTTCCAATTCTTTCCTCTTGAATCTTGACCCGAGACTTCTTCCTCTTTGTAATCTCAACGTGAATACCCTGAACCACCGTTCAACCGACCACGACTTGTTCGAGCCTGTAAGTAAAGGAAAAAAGCGACAAGACTCGGCTCCTCCAAGAAGCACAAGCAAACTGTGCGCTATATCCTGGAATTTGTCTCTTCCGTGGCGTCGCCTTTGCTCCCGTCAGGTCCTGTACTTGCTGGTGGCGGCTACAACGGCAACCCCTCAGCACTCTGGGCCCGCTTTGCCTTTTACCCGATCGAGGTTAGTGGATATCGCACTTGCAACGACAAGACTCGCGACGATTTTCAATTTTATATTCGAGCATGCTAACGTGATTAATACAGAAGACGTATTTCTGAAGGTGACGTTGAGAGCGGGAGCTCATATTCGTCACCCCCTGTCGAAGGAGGCCAAAGATACACAAGGCTTCGATCAGGCATCAAAAGGCACCATAGAGGCGCTGTCTCGTGCAACTTGAGACTGGCCTTGCTCAACTTTCGCAAATCTTAAGTCTTCAATCTCAAACAACAGCCACTTGAACTCGTGGGATCGATTTCAGCGGTTTCTCGATCAACTCTTGCATATATCACATATCTTGCAGGCAAATTTTTAGTCAGGCTGGGATTTTAATAGCCCTGCACACTATCTCCCCTCCACAATACATCAAGCCGCCAATTCAAATTTGAGAGACACGTACCCTAATCTAGAGTCTCCTTTCCGAACCACCACGATAGCTTGCAGCGCCAATCGTCGCAGCTACTACAAACTAATAACGTTGTCATGGCCGACCCGAGTGCCTTTTCGGGCTCATCCGAGTCCCATGGTGCTTCTTCTTCACTTCTCTCTATAATGCCTACTTCACCCCCGCCAGTGCATGGTCCTGAAGCCCAGCATTCCCTTTCACTCTTCCAGAAGGATATCTTCCTCGACTGGCATTCTAAATTTGCTTTCTCGCGACCAATTAGATTAGGCTCCAAGGAAGTCCTTCCAACTATTAAACTCCCCGCGCTAACCGGGAGATCCAAAGATACCCCTACCGCGGCTGTGTCGCAAGAGCGACAAAGCTTGGTAGGTAGTTATAAGGAGCCCGAAGGATCAACTAGCCTGTCGTCACCTTTCCTTCTAGGGGACGACGAACGACTGCAGGCTACAGGCCCCACTATGGAGACTCCTCATCCTGAAATGTATCAGCCGCATGCTGGTCTCATCGACCTGGGAAGGTCGCTATATACCCCAGCTCCAGAGCCTCAGAGATCGGAAAGTATCTTAAACATGCCTAGATTGCCTGAGAGACGGGCTGCCACTATATCTTCCCCTTCTATTACCACCCCTAAGCCCTTGGCTGCACCATCGGCTACTCCTAAGGCAGAATCAGATATTCAACTCCTTGATGCAGATGCTGAAGGGGATAGCTTGGTCATTTATGGTAATTCTAACCTTCAACAAGCAATACTCTCGGGCGAGATGGATGCCCACGCTTTGATTGACCAAGCCCGCCATGAGGAGGAGAACGGCCTTCACATATTGGGCCCGTTGGTTACTAAGGCAGTATTAGAAGGTAGCTATGATGTGGTGGTTCAACTTATTCAAAGGAACATGGACTGTATCGATGTTGCGATGCAGGTAGCGGAAGATAATGGAAAGTTTGCGCTGGTTAAGTATTTGGGTATGTGGAAGGACCATCATCGGAAATATGGAAACCAAGGGCCGGCTGCAAGATATACTCCATCACCTGGTCCTTCAAGCTCAAACACACCTAGGACGCCGAGGTGGCCAAAGAAGATAGACAACGACGACGACGATGATAGTTATCCACAAAAGCCTGGGAAGAGCGGTGGAAGGAAATTAACCCCGTATGATCAAAAGGGGCCAAGAGCTAGAGGACCGAGTCCTGGAAGCCGTAGTAGGACAAGAGATGAGGACCTCGCGGTGAGCGAGGATGACTCTGAGGAGACATGGAAGTTAAGGGCTATATATCTTCTCATGTTGATGATTTTCCTTTCTGAGACAACATCAACAGAAGGAACCGGCTGGGATAGTGTTTCTACTACTTCCAGCTCTCGACAAAGCTCTCATGCGCCGGTCGACGGTGGAGATCATCATACAAATTCCGGTACTGCTAGCCGGCTTACCCTCCCGCCAGGTGGTGGAAGACGTATGGGCTCGGATGGCCATAAGAAGAAGGGTCGAAGAGACGATGATGACTCTGAAGAAAGCGAAGGGAGTCGCCGACCAAACAACAGACCTAGGAGGCCTAGCAACCTAAAATCTCTAGGAAAAAGATATGCTTGTCCTTTTGCTAAGGCGAATCCGGATAACCATGTTACTTGCTGGACTATCAACCGCCAGAACTTGGCCGGAGTGAAGTATGTATTCACTTATACTAGATCTTCGATGGAGGGGCAGTTGGCTAATAATCTCGAACAGGGAACATTTGAAAAGATTTCACTTCGGTGGCACCTTACCGTCGGATATCCGAGCGGCGAGGACTTGGGATGATGTGTTCGATTGTATCGCTCCCGACTGGGGAAACAATCCACGCCCTAGCCCTTGTAAGTTCTTTAGTGATGATTCTGTTTTCTATATTTGGGGTTTACATCTGCTAACTCTGATTAGACGTGGATATGCTGGATATTTTCCAACGTTCTGTCAGACCCAACCCGGTCAACTCTACTGGTTCATCCGCTATGGAAGGAGTCCAACATCAGTACAATCGCCAATCCTTCCCACCACATCTACAGTATCAGCCGCAGTCAATCCTTCCACAAGAGCAGTCGATGAGACAACAACATATGCACCCTTCAATGGGTGTAACAAGTCCTGGTCTTGTCTCAGATCCACTACAGACTGCTGGAGGACTATCTCCAGATGCTATATATCAATCTATATATGGCGGGCCCCTGAGTAACACCAACTTATTCTCCGATCCACTTTTGCAGTCGCAGGCCCAGCTGGTAGCGGGGATAGGAGCAACTTCTCCAGCCCCAACTAGTGTGGGTACATTCGACGGAATCAACGTTGGTTCGGGTCAATACACACAACCTATGGATACTACCAGCTTGAGTGCCTTGGGGATTCCGCCATCAACCCAGGCTCTAAGCTTGAATACGATGCAGGGTATGGGTATTGGAATGCCTGGCCTATTCGGTGCTCTCGGTCCTCCACATTTCCGAGATTTATCTCCACAGGAATTGGCGGAAGGTTTCCGCGATGCTAGTGATTTCTTCACACATGAGTACAACATCGAAACCGGATCTGGACGACCAGCCGGAGACGTTTTCACCGAAATACTGGATGTCATGGAATCTCCAGCTCCTGTGCTGGAGCCTGTTCTCGAGTCTAGTCCTGAACCTCATTCGGCTATGACCACCGATACCATGCACGCATTCTACACCTATCAGCAGCAGCAGCCAACTATCAACCACCCAACTCCGGGATCCTCTATCATATCAAACTCTACGGCTAGTCGTTCTGCTTCGCTGCCCTCCGGCTACCCCTCCACCACTACCAGCATGGCAGTTCACCCACAAGTCCCGCAATCGATCCCAGCATCTGCAGGAACACCGCTGATCTATCATACACCACCTTCCAACCCATCCACCACACCTGTGCACATCTCCCACATCTCCTCCCCACCAAGTACCACCTCGACCAAGGAGAAGAGATATCAACTCCTAATTTCGCGAAAACCCGCTATTCCAGGTTCTACAGAACACCCGGGACGTCGTGTATTCACCTTCGACGGGTTCGAAGAGTTTGCAAGAAATTTCGATGGGTTTATGCGTCAAGAGTTTACGGATCCGGTGTTCAATTGGGAATCGTGGGAGTTGATGAATGGAGTTACGGGAGCGAGGTTGGAGGGAACCAATGCGGTGATCAAAGATTTGGATTTTACGTTTTTGGTGCATATGAATAATCGTGCGGCGTTGTATTTGGTTGCGAAGGAAGGGTTTTGAAGGAATATTGAACGGAGAGCTCGAGTGTTATGAGTCATGATCAACCATATCTTTTTTTCTTTTGACTATTCTTTTGTTTCTATATGCTCAAGATACATGTTGCACGTTCTATATCGATTATCATTTTTCCCTTGTTATTTAATTTCCTGCCTGATATTTATGATCTCTCTTAGACGCATGATTGTTTTTTCTATTGTAATATTTAATATCGTCTATACCTCATACCATTTCATATCTGCTTTCGAATTCCGCGATCTTTTCTTAATATCATATATGCATATTAGGTGGTTTAGGTCTAGTCAAATCTTGTACACTGATGATTAATTTCGCACAGAGAAAAAAACTACAGTAAAATTTATAAAAGATGATTATCCGCAAATACTTATAAATTTACCATTTCTTATGACCTCGGCCTTCGCGTAGCTGGAGGGGGTATATGGAGAGGGCTCGACATTGGAACCCGCCATCATTGGCAGGTTTAACCGATGTTTAACGTTCGACTACTATCGTGACACAAAAATAAGCGAGCCAAAAAGCTTCTTGCCAATCTAAGCCTTATTCGAAGATACAACGGTGATCAACGCAATACTCCGTGCAACATGTTAGCAATGGACGTGATATCAGCTTGGATACTAGGGCCTTGCTGGTCTGGAATACATTTGCCTTTGGATACTTAAGTATGGATTAGTGTTTCGAATGTCTCGCAATAGATCTATAGGGGTACGTATTCAAAATTTTCAAAATTGTTCCATTTATTAGTGAACCCTAAAAAACAAACGTAGCTAGCTATTATCCTATCATCGATTGATTTCGCGAATTCAATTAAGTCGTATCCGAAATCAGATTAGATAGAAGAACCAACTATACACTACATAGACTTAGTAAACAAGAACAAGCCATCCGAAATCAATCAACGTAAAACATTCATCCTTAGACAATCCCAATTACAATACCAAATTTCAAGTTAGACCAAGCAATATCCCTCTCCTTGAGCGCCATGGTAACCTTACGATCCGGCCCACCTTTACCTTCCTTTTCCCATTCGCCAAAGACTTCTCCAGTGTGATGGTAAATAGTAGCTTGATAGCTCTCACGTTTCTTTGGCAACTCAATAGCACCGCCCTCAAGGATTTTGTTGCATTCGCCCTCGAAATAAGGTGAGTCGTTGCTGAAGTCTTTCAACTCCTCCGCTTCCTCGACTTCGTGAACTAGGAGTCGGCCGGGGATGACAATATCGGTATCCAAAGGAAAGACGATGGGTTTACCTTCAAAGATTGTGGTGCGTGTGATGGCCGGAGCTCGGATCTTTGGGAAGTCGGAACCTGAGATTATGATGAATTTCTCTGGATCGTAACCAGCTATGAGAGACGGAGCGAAGACGCGAAAATAAGCAGTGACATTTTGGCGTTTATCATCGTAGAATTCCATGGAAGAGGCCTCTCCTTCCAAAAGCTTGTCAAGAAGTTTTCCATCATAGAGTCCTTCAAGATGTTGGCGGGTCAGCGCCTCGTAGTTGACTTCGGGGAAAGTGGCCGAGGTTTCATCAGAGACAGCTGATCGGGGTGGTCGAGCCGGCTTTCCGACACGACGGAGGTACATGTTGATACGTTCCGCTGACTCAGTTTCGTCATTGATTTTTCTAATGGAAAATTGCCACCAACTGCCAGCGTAGAAAACGGGTTCGGCACAGAGAGGGGAACTGGTGTTCATGGCACCAATTCCGCGATGGAATTGGAATTCAACAGAGAAACGAATTGGTGGAATCGAGGTCAGCTGTGGGAAGTCGACGTCACCAGTAACCGGGATGCCATCTTCACCAATCTTAGGGAATTTGACTGGGTCTTTTTGAAGCTCGACACGGCGAGGACGGTAGATGTAACGGTCAATATTGGGAACTTCGAAATTCTGACCTTCCTCCAATAGCTCAGGGCTGTATGGGAAAGTGAGATTGAGCTTTGAACGATCCAAGTTTGCATCTTGGATACATCGGCGGAGACGAACAGCATTGAAGATTGAAGTAGCGAGAACATCTGGACGGACCAACTCATCAGCTGCAAGAAGTTTCTCCTTTCGAACTTGTTGCCAATTGAATGGACTCATGTTGCAATATTGAATCCTTTGGCCGTTGAGGAGTTCATAGAGAGGGTACTGTTCTTCAATCAGTTCAGCCGTGATGTGTTCAGGGAAGACACGGTTCTGCTCCAATTGATGAAGAACTTCATCATCGAGACCCAAGCGGTCGTAATAGATGTTACGGGCGAAGACCCAACGTTCATACTCATGCCCCATAACAACTTGACAGTATCCAAGTTCCCTTTTAGCGTCGCAGGCTCGGGTGTCAGTGAGGATAAACCCATCGTATGTAAGAATCTGGACGACCCAATCGACTGGAAGAGCACGCCAGACCTTCAATCCGAGGTGAGAACCGTAGCGAGTCATGTAATGTTTGACTATAGGAAGAACATGTGGCTCAACCCATTCTCCATAGAACTCATCCATGGCAAAGTCGACAATCTGAGTGAGATTTTCAGCTGAGAGACGGGACATGAAACGGTCCAAGTAAGCATGAAACCAGTTACCGAGACCCCATTGGATGCAAATACCCATGAGAGGGACCAAGTTTTTGGCTTCGTAGTGCTTGTCTCCCATGTTACCGTACATACGATTGATGATATGCTCAACTGCAGCAATATCCACAATGTCATCGATTGCATCCCAATGGAACGGATCGGCATCTTCACCAAGCTGTTCGAAGGCCTCTCTGAACATTGGAGCTTGGGAAAGCATGAAGCGGTGAAGCTTGAAGGTCTTTACGTCAGTGATGACCAAAGTGACATCAGAGCCGATTCCCATATGGATTCCTTGGTAAAGAAGATAGTCTTTGAGATCCTGCCCATAGGCAGTTTCTGAAACTGTATTTACGATTAGTTTAGAGTATAGTCGATGATAACAAGGCGACCTTGATACACAAGCAAGTAAAGCCACTGATAGTTGAAAAAGAGCTTACGCGAATCTCGCTCTCCGCCGAGCTCGAAGATCTGACGCGGAGTTCTAAACCATGGAGGTATTCTCTCGCGACGAGCTTTATGTTCAGCACTCATGCCGTATGTGGTTGGATTTTCCTGGAAGGGGTTCGGGAAGGATCGGAGTTGATCCATCGTTTTCGGGTCGCGATTCATGATGACCGGGGCTGATTTGGAACCTACACGAAGTTTCTCGTCTATAGTTTCAAAGAGGAAAGAGGTGACTCGGTCTTGATCAATATTACAACTTGTAACATCGTGACTGTGGACACGATGGTGACGAAGGCTGTACATTGTGATGGATATGGATATCGCAGATATGATAGAACCGACGGTAATGATAGTGACGCTGTAGTAAATACTTGATAAAGAGCTACGTGAATGAGTGAAGCGAGATGAAGTTAGATGAGGTGTGATGTAATGTAATGTACTATCGGTATTGGTGAGGGCGTTGAAAGCATTCATGAAACCAGTCTGCACGCCCTGCACCCAACACAGTGAAGTGATTTCTTTTCCCTCGTCGACGTCTATTGTGTTTATTTTAAGGAGGACCTGCTCTCTTCCTTCTTCTTCCCTTCCTTCTTCTCCACCAGGTCCTTACTTATTGTCTCAAGCAAGAACCAACCACCCTCTCGCCGTTGCCATCACCATCACCACCAACCACCATCAGCATCATCATCATCAGTAGGTTATACATGTTCCCCCAACAGGTCCACGAATCAATTGTCCCTTTCTATTCTCTACTTGGATAATCTAGTGACGCGCATTTGGTTGGTTGATATCTCGTGTACAAAAGTTATTGCTACAACTGCATCAAGAAAAGTCGTTGCTGTGATTGAGCCGGTTAGCTACCTACCTGAAAGCCGGCTTTCATTCATGAAACTTCGATCGCTCCGATCCCAAGTCCATCTGAAATACTCCCAATAAACCAACCGTTGTTTCTGACACCAAATGAATCGGGTTCTGGGCCTTTAAGACAAGCGAATGCTAACAATTCTTGATACACTAGCTTTCTGTTCTGTGTCGCCGGTCCCATCAAGATGAGTAAGTTTTAAGTCACCCTAAAGTTTACTTCATGATGGTCAATGAAAGCTGAACTCACACCTAAAATTAATAGTGGACCACAAATCTTCGGCATCCTTTGCCTTCCGTTGCGGAATTTGTCTCCGCAACAACCACACCGATGAGTCCTGCTACTACAAGGACGTCACCGACCCCTCAAAAATCCGGAAGCTGCCGGTATGTCCGGTCTGCAGGAAGGTCGGGCATGTGGCCCGTGACTGCTGGCAGCAGAAGGAGAACTGCTCGCGGCGTCCCGGCGGCTTCGTGCCGCAGCAGCCGCGTAAGTCGGGAGCATTCGTGCTCTCGCAGCGGCCCGGGACGTCACGAGTAGCCGTGGTGACGTCCTTGGTGGTAGAGGAGGAGGAGAAGGGGGAGAGCTTGTTGCTCCTGAACTTGGAGGAGGAGCCGAGGACTCTTTCGTCCTCAATGTCCAAGAGCAGGCCGACTCGTAAGTCTGAATTTTATTGCATACACAATTTGAGCATTATTACTAACCTAATATTGTGGGCAGTGCCGTTGAGTCTGGCCGAGAAAACGCTCTTGGACTTGAGTGACGAGGAGTTCGAGGCCTCCAAATCCAGTTCAGTGGATCGAAAACTGTCCCCCCAAGCAGGGACTAAGCGAGGCGGCGGTGGACCGCCTCACGAACCCGCGACGTTGTTGGTCGACGTCCGCGGCTCGTTCGAGGCTGGACCACAGCCGCCTCGAGCTTCCTCGTCTTCGGGCGAGGAGCTCTTTGGCCTGGTCCTCTCGGGGGGCAGTTCCCCGGACAGGGAGACGCGGAAACGTGTCTCCTTTGCGCCTGTTGTGTCGGGGAAGGAAAACCCCGTTAGCAAACCAGTCTGCTTGGGCGACGGTAAACCCCTTGAGAGGGAGACAACCCTCTATAATAAACCCGTCGCGCCGGATAGTGACGTTAAAGCGCTATCCGGTGGGGAGAAGGAAAACTCCTCAAAACAAAAAACCAACGGAGATGTTGGGGGCCGTGTGGGGGCCGAAGCCCACATTGACTTTACCGACGCCTGGACGGCGTCGATTGACTACCAGCACCACATCTCCTCAGACTGGGTAGACTTTGAGCGGCTCGTAGAGCTGCGACCTCCCGTTTCCGTGCAGATGAGAAACGGGGAAACACTAGTGGCCACCCACGGGGGTGCCTGTTGTGCGAGCTTTCGGGTGGGGATGAACCAACGGGGGTTCATCCTCACCGACGCCTTATACCTCCCGAAGTTCGACGGCAAAGTGATGGCGCTTTGGCGCCTTGCCGCTTCTGGGCACCAGCTGGAAATAACAGAGGATAGTGTTAATATCCTCAAACACGGCGAGCTTGGCGCGCAGGCTTTGAGGATTGGCGATAGGTTCGTTTTTACGTCAGAGGAGGAGATGGAAGAGCAGAGGGAGTGGGAGGAGTTCTTGGGGGAGGAGGGGGTGACAGGGTTCAAGAAGATTGTGAGGAAAACGAAGGAGGAGAGGGAGAGAGGGAGGGAGAAGCGGGAGAGGAGGAGGGAGAAGATGAGGAAGATAAGGGAGCAGCAGGAGGCGGAGGAGGCGGAGGCGGCGGAGGAAGCAAAATTTGAGGAGAAAGGAGTAGCTGAGGAGGAGGGGGTAGTTGAAGACTGGTGGTAGGGGGTGAAGTTGGTGGTGGCCAGGTTTGTTCACAGGCGTGGTCCTGTTGCATATTTTGCGTTGCGGTGATGTTGTCTTTGGCTTTCGTCGTCATACAGAGCTGGTTCCATGCCCATGGCATGGCACCGATGTCGATCCACCCAGGCCTCGGTGGCGGTTAGCATCAGAGCTATTTCGACCGCTCCTCATTTGGCTACGCTGATACTACGCTCTTTTCTGCTCTATGAATATGGCTTGGATCAGGATGGTTAGCCATACGCGCGATATCTTATATATATATTCTAATGAATAGGCGGGAGAACGACTATGCGTGTTTGGTGCTTGCAGCTGCACGTCTGGGGCTCGGCGAACTTAAGCACACGAGCTGGGAAACAGGCCTACTCCCAAACAAGAACCCCTGCCTGCTCTTCATTCAATACCCTCAAGACATCTCGATATCAGTCGTTTCGAATTCACACGACTACTTCTCTCCCAGCGAAGGCACCAGCGTCTTCCAAGACTCGAGAAGTACCAAAGATGTCATCTCCAGAACATTCTTCAAAACGGGTCAAACTCTCATCATCATCTTCCCTTAATCGCGACATTTCTCCACCCCCACTTCGTCGCCAAAAAGGTACTACAACTGGCAATCCTATAGCCGCTGGAAGCTCGAGTAGCCCGAATGCAGCTCCTCTCCACTGCGTTGGCGACCTCGACAGCCCTTCAAAATCAAACAAACCTCAAAAACCGAAAGATGTATCGAGAGACCCAACACTTATAATCTCTTCACCCTTCAAACTTACCCAAATCCGTAACCTTCCTGCCAACAGAAACGTCGACACAATCACCATCTCTGACATTCTCGGCTCACCACTAATCCGGGAAATATGGTCTTTCAACTTCATGCACGATCTCGAGTGGATGGTTTCTCATCTAGACGAAGACGTTGCGAAAGATATAGACATCAAAATCATCCACGGCAATTGGAGGAAAGATGATATGAGCCGAAAGGCATTGGAAAGTGAAAGAGATAAATTAATTGATCTAGCAAGCTCTGATGGAGGGTATAAGATTGAATTAATCACTGCTTATATGCCGGATATGTTTGGGACGCATCATACCAAAATGTTGGTATTATTTTATCATGATGACTCAGCAGAGATAGTGGTACATACAGCGAATATGATACCTTGGGATTGGTCGAATATGACACAGGCGGTTTGGAGATCCCCTAAGCTCCCGTTGCTTGCGGACGACAGTCTTGAACGGAAAGAGGGGGTGGGATATGTATTCAAAGAGGCGTTCACGGCGTATGTTGGGGCTTATGGCTGGAGGACTAAGAGTCTGATGGAACAGATCGTGAAGTATGACTTTAGAGCCGTGAGAGCTGTCTTTGTAGGGCATGTACCCGGAGACCACGCGATCAATGGACCTGAGAATAAACTATTCGGATGGAGCAAGGTCAAGAGGGTGTTGACTCGAATCGGCAGAGGTGGCGGCCATGGGGTGAATAAAGCCGGGAGAGTGGTGTACACTGTCAAGGGTGGTGGAGAAATCGCTATGCAGGTGAGTAGATCTAATCTCATAAGATCTAGACGCAACCGCCAGCACTCCCGTACTAATAAGATAACCGGCAGTGTTCGTCAGTAGCGACACTAGGAGAATCGTATTTTGATAGCGTTCTCTATCCAACATTTTCAACATGTCGACCAGGTGGTGGACAACTAAATGCCTTCGATGTTCTACGAACTCCTAGTTCCTCTGCCTCCTCGTCCCGTCCTTCGAACCGTCCGGAATTGGCTCTTGTTTTCCCTACCGTCGAGAATGTTCGAACATCCGTTCTAGGCTGGGATGGAGGAGGCTCAATCTTCATGAAATCTCAAAAGCCAGTCGATAAAGCTCAACTCAAGTATGTCAAACCAATGCTTAGAGTCTGGGGACAACCGCCAATTGGATTATCAACTGCCATAGCTGTTGAAGCAGAAAGGGGCAAAGCCACACCGCATATCAAAACTTATAACTTTTTCTCGCCTCCAAGAATGGATTCTAAGGACAGCGATACGACTGATGGCGAAGACGAGAGTGGAGCTTTTAATATTGTCTCTATGGATTGGGCGATGATTACATCAGCAAATCTAAGCAAACAAGCCTGGGGAAATCCAACTAAGGGCAGCGGTCCTTCATCGACAAGTAAAATACAATCGTACGAAGCAGGGATATTGATACACCCAGGGCTATGGAAAGACCTGTTGAAAGACGAAGCCGGAGCTGTGACTATGTCTGCTGTCGGAAGCAAAGATTGGCTCGTCGCTGAGGGTCAGAAAATAGAGAACTGTGATGTTCCGGAAGATATGGATGGGAAATGCAATATGGTTAAGGTTGGAGTTCGATTGGCGTATGATTATCCGCTAAAACCTTATGATGAAGATGATGAGCCTTGGTGTAAGGATATGCCATATGAGGGAAGGGATTGGAAAGGGATTACTTGGCCTCCTAGGTGGGAGGATAGATTGAGGGCGGCGATGGGGGTGTTCCCTGGCGATGATGACGACGACGATGAATGATTTAAATACTTATTAGACCGTCATTATTATAACCTGCAAGAACTAAGGATACGGCTGCGCATCTCAAATAAATATCCGAATTGATTCTGTACCTACTCCCATGAAAATAATCAAGATCGATTTTAATTCCTTATATTCATACCTGCAGTGCACTGGTATACCTTATATCTATATCAAGATTTGCTAGTTACCACGTGCCTAACTGTACAGGCTGCAGGCCAGGCCAGGCCAATATGAACTTAGAATCTAGGAAGTTTTAACCGAGAACGTCGAAATATGATTGGTTCCTACCATTATTTTTGGCGGCTGACATTTCCCCCATAATGTCAGGCCTGAAATACAACAGCCTCGAAGCTCGATACAAGATGAGCAGCGGGAACACGGATGATAAATTGGTGGGTTTTCCGCTCCTCTAGCTAGTTGGTCTCGGGCCCAGACGCTTGCACACCGATCAAATCCTCTAAATGCGGAAATTACCCAAATCGCCCACAAACATAGTTAATTTATATTTTCTATATACGAATACGAAATATCAACTTCATGAACGTCGAATTCTAATATGTTAGAGACTCGCGCGATCAGAAACCTTAATTACATTGTTTTTGAAATATTTTGGTGCTAAATCTCGGTTTTTTAAATTAGTCAATCCCGGGTCCCGTTCGTAACCCCAAATTCAACTTCGCCATGTCGCCCTCAGTACTAGACGGCCGAATTGTCAAAACGTCAAAGGGCAAGGTCGGCTCAACAGCACTTATCAGGCGACAGAAGTACAGCTGGCGAGATCTTCTCGCTAATTACACAAAGGAAATAAGATATTTTTACTTTGATTGCGATTACACTCGAGAAGGAGTCCATGAGGATATGGAAAAGTTGTTCAAATTGGAGCAAGGTAAGGACCTCTCGTCCAGCTAACTAGCACCGCACCCCGATTCCGCAAATATTTAAATTGATTCAATTAATATATACCACAAGTTTGACCACTAGATCCGCAAGCTAACAGCTAGCACCGTTGGTGACCTAAAGTCCACAGGAATATGGGTACTTTCTGAACCAACCGGAGTTTAAAAAGAATCTGACAGAAGGAGAATGGAACCACATTGCACCATACTATTTTGCGTCCACGGCCCTGAACTTTAGAGTGGCTATACAAAAGCACAATGGCTATATCGTAGAAGCGGCCGCCGTCGAAAAGGGAGTTGGAAGGTTCCCACGCTCGAACGCGATCACAAAAGGTATGTGTACATTGGCTACCACTTTCTTTTTACTTTAAACTACCGGGAATGAAACGATGTTGATATATTTATATCACTGAAAGATATAGATAATCTACCTGTGAGACCCGGGGAGCCATACACCTTTGGTAATCTAACGGCGTTCAACCCTGAGGAGGTGAATTTATATCAACCCATACCAAAATCAATCCTCCTCAAACTCCCGTACGCGGTCTTGTTTCAATTTCTCGTGCAGACTTGTCTGAATATTTCCAAAGCAAGGGGTTGGAACTTCGGCGATCTACTACGTAGCCGTATGTTTCACCACCTTTCAGAGCTCTTGTATCGACTCCCAAACAATCTGATCAGTAGATCCGAACTCGATCGACTATTAGACGATACCGGCACGAATTTACCTCTAGAAAATCAACCAGGATCGTCACGGGTAGAAGGATATATGGTTCTCACAGAGCCCGACGAAGCCACAACTCCGAAAAAAATAGAAATTCCAAGTTTACGGCAACTGCTCAAAGCTCTTCTTTCGATGAATAAAATATCGATGAAGGCATTTGCTGAAAATTTATTACCAATTCTTATCTTACGCCGAGATGAGGACATGATATCTCATATATTTCAAACCCATGGCGCCGAGTCTATGGAAGTGAAATGGTATATTGGCCTCCTTGAAATAGATCTCAACAAAAGCCTTGGCTATTTTTTCAAGACCGACAAAGACTACCAATATTTCTATAAGAAGTACAAATCGCATGCCATGGGTCCTGGCTACATCAAACGCGTAAGACAGATCCTTATTAAAGGAATCACAACTCATCTGCCTACAGCGCTTACTAGTCAGGAGGCAGTCACACTCGTCGCGTACACTCTCCAAGATGGAGATATTACGTTGGAGCTCATGCAAGTCCTATTCCCACTCACTTGTACCACGTCAAATATTGAAGAGCAGTACGAAATACTGTACGGAGCGTCAGTCTTGGATTCATTAACAAGATTCACTTTGAAGGATCTTGTCAGCTTCGGCTTTCGGAGAAATATTCATATCTTGGCCTTAGAAGCAGTTATTGAAAACAATTTCGAGAAGGCTTCTGTGCTGCTTCCATATACTGAACTAGCCTTGTCATCTACGCAGTTGCAAGATTTGGATCTTGGGGCCTTCTTGCTCGGCTACGGAAACGTTTGGGACATTGTTGGAAAGAGTCAGTTCAGCAAATTACTCCGGAAAGTTGAAGAAGAGGCCCGAGACCCAAATTGCAGACGTAACTTTTTTTGGGTTCAGGATATTATCTCGATATCATTCCGTCTTCGGAATTCTGAGCTCATGGCATTCACGTTTAATCTCGTTAGAGCTCATCCGCAGCTATATGGTCGCGGCCTGGAGTCGTTGATCATGGAATCTGTGCACGCTATGGATTTACCTAAATCCTCTATTCGGATCGAAGGAATATTTGATCAACAGCTTGAAATTGATGGTGAAGAAGCAGAAAGGATTAAACTATTTCACAGTCTACTAACTTCTGGATGTCGAAATGGACAGGGGAGTAGCATTCCCTCCTACGTCTCCCCCGAAAGACTACTCCACTCTGCAATATGGGCGCGCAATCATTCCTTAGTTAGACACCTCATCGCAATTGGCACCAAATTAAATGAGGAGGACAGCCTAGGCGAGTCCCCGATCGTTACTGCAATAATTGAGGAGCGAGATGACGGGGATCATCGAACCGCTGCCGAGCTAAGAAGCGAAATCAGTATATTTATTCAGCTACTGGAGGCAAAAGCAGACATTGATTGCCTAAACGAGTTTCGCATCGAAATGGATGGTTATTTGTATCAAGTCGATCCGACTTTCCTCAAGGCTGCTGGGGGTATCAACAAAACACAAATTGCGAAACTTTGGAGCAGTCGCTTTGAGCGGGTGTACGACTATGATGATGATGAAATAGAAAGCAAGTTGGGTGATAGAGGGACTACGTTCCGGGTACCTTCAATTAATAACAATCCGCCATCGCTACCATTTGACCAAACGACCGACGAGCATGTTTTACCAGAGCTATTATTTAAACTAGATATGCCCACCTATGACAGCGAGGAGGAAGATGACTTTTTACCGCACCGGTATTCGGTTTACGATGACATAAGGGAATCTTTCCTTCGGCATTGGACAGAATATGGGCGACAACACTATACTAAGCAGATTCGGCTTTTTTTACAAGAATCAAAGGATTTGGGAAACGTACATGGAGATCCATTCCTTATAAAAAACAGTGAGAAGGTGGGTCATGTCCGCTTTGGATCCTCGATCACGCTTCTTCAGTATCTCGCAGCCTTCGGCAGCATCCAGCTGTTACAATCTTTCTTCCAGTTGCACCCGCAAGCGGCCACAGCCCAGCTGTCACAATCATACCCACAATTTCCCTCGCCCCTGCAACTAGCTGCTGCCTGTAACTATTTAGATTGTGTCCTATTTCTAATTGACAAGGGGTCTGATCCGCGAGAAACTGTCTGTCTTCCTTTTTGGAAGACCGAATATTCCTTCAAACCAAGCAGAGGGTATATAGGGGGTGGCACTACCCCTCTACACTACGCCGTTCACAACGGGAATTTTGAAATGGCGACGTGCTTTATAGAACATGGAGCAAGCATACACGTCCGAAATTTGTCAGTCTCCGAAGAAAGCCGCGGCATGACGCGAAAGCTTCAGAACGTGGATTGGGAAGGGGATGCAGTATCCGCTCTCGAATTGGCAATCAAACTAGGGCGCAGGGACTTCGTTGCTCTATTCCTTATCTCCGATAAAGAAGCCAGAAGCCAGGCGTTGGAAATGGCACAAAAACATCGTCAAAATCATATAGTATCGCTCATCCTGAGTACCTGGGGCGAAAGTTTATCCCCACCTCAAAAGCCGAGAGCTCAAAAGTGGACCAAGCCGCGTTCTCGAGACATATTTACAAGTAAGTATATGAATATACACTCAACTGCCTCGATACTGGTGGTCAAAGTACTGACTGTCAATAAACTTAAGAAAACAACCAGCAGCGCGCAATTTTACCGAAGGTTTACGATTAGATTTCTATAGGACTTTTTCTTTTTTTCCTTCTTTTCCATCCTTTTTTCTTATCAGGCCACGGTTTCGATTGACATAGCATATGAAGGTGTATAAGGCGTGATAAGAATTTTAGTCGGCAATGATTTGACAAAACGTGTTGTACTTTGTTGGAAAATATTTGGTGGTTCTCAGATACATTGATATCGATAATCTCGCTGGCGAAATGAGTCTGGTTGTGAGGCCGCGGGGCGAACGGTTACATAGTATTAATATTGGGCAGGCTCTGGGACGCAATCTACTTGATTCATACCCGGGACAAGGCTTCGTACTTGCGCGGCCTGCGCTAGGGTATATATTCGAACATGCGAATCTGTTCTAGATGAAGGTCTCATACTAACCGTTCCGGCCAGCCGTTGAGCGAATTCGAATGTTGGTTCAAGCGCAAGTGTGCAACTGATACAATCCATTTACGTTCTGCATTCCTAGGCCTATATGTATATCGAAGTATACCTATAATATAATTATATAATCCGCAGCTACAGTTGTATAACCAGATCGCGATCGGTTTAAATTTCTAGGATCCTAGTCCTCGTTATAATTCATAAATCTGAGTTTTAACCCGCTGACGCACAGGGTAAGATTACAAGACCAAGGCGACGACATCGCAGATTCTGAAAATACGATCCATTCAGGCCTGGGGGAAAAAAAAACCAATAAGAAGTATGCTAAAATCTGAGCCACGAAGAAACGAGAAACAGGAACCTGCCAAGGAATCTTATGCCGATAATTACATGCCAAGTCTAGGCACCCCTGCAGCTTTGAAGTTCGGAACCCTCCCACCGAACTGCACACCAGACGAAAATCGACGATGGGGAAAACTTTTTGAGGCTGTGGATTGACATGTTGTACACAAAGCAAGGGTCTAGGGCGGGGAAGGAGGGAAAAACAAGACCAGCAAGCTGCATATTCCGGTCTATTTTTGAAGACATCGATGAGCCCTGGTGTAGAACTTGGCACCCACGGAAATGAAGGTGCGATTTCATGAACCCAAAAGTGGTCTCGTACTCGTTTGTTCGCCCTCTCTCTCTGCATGGCTCAAGCGGGTGCTAGCCAGGATGTATCACAAGTGGACGAATTTATCCCCCACCCGCACTGCGGTGCAGTGCATGCGCAGTGCAGTGCTGCCAACTTGCTGTGGTCCAACCTCGCCGTACCTTTAAATATCATCAGCCTCCCGCCCCCATTATTTGAAAAGGATGCAGCCGCCATTTCTAGACACTCCCTCCTTCGTCGGTTCTACTGGCGGGGAGTTCGGTTTCATCCTTTTCTCTGCGTGTCTGACGTCGTCATTCCAAATCGATAGGTCATATCTCTGCAGGGTTTGAGCTTGAGAACCAAATTCGAAAAAAACAGTTTACAAGAGGTGGAGAAACTAGGAATTTTCGTATCCAACAATGCACCCGTCGGCGGTTTTAGCATCCCTGCTGTGCCTTGCGACAACACAGTTTGCGGTCCCGGTCGAGGCGATCAAGGCGACGAGTCTGAAACTGCGATCGAATCCGAATGTCGATTTGAAGTTGACTAAGAGGGATTATATTACGACGACGTTTCGGCCGAATGTATGACAATTATACACAATCGATGCCGAGTAATTGTATTTTGGGTTCGGGCATAGAAGCTAATTGGGCTAATTCGGCATAGAACGAGACCGTTTTTGGTTTCTATGTTGACGTGCTTGTCGGTATGGGATATCTACATGGATCGTGCTGTATCACATCGTGGGAAGAGAAGGTTGTTAATTACCTTTATATCGCCGTATAGGAACGCCGCCGCAATTCCTCTCCTTAGCGTTCAGCACTAGTTCGACAACATGGCTTCCGTCGCCCAGGAACTCGAACGCTACAAAATTTTGCGAGGATAACGCCACAGGGAACACATTCTGGTCTTGTTATTATAACAGCTTTTGTGAGTAAATACTAGCTGGGATTGGGTTATGAGGTGAATTCATGAATGGCGCGGCTTATTGGAAGCAACTGCATTGTTTAGACCAACCCAACAGGTCGTCGACGTATAACTCCAAGCGTGGAAGGTTGGATAATAATTATGGTACTGGTTTATTCGTAAGTCACTCCCTTACATAATAGATGTACTCTACATAAGTCGTATCTAGGATCTTACTCATGAAATTTCGCTATTTGTTTGAACTTAGGCTACCGGAACATGGGGCTCCGATGTCTTCAAAATCAACCAGCTCACGATTCCAGATGTCTCCTTCGGTCTCGCTACCAACTTCACAAGTGCTGCTGAACTCGGTCTAGGCGTTGATTTCAGCCGTACTTTTTCTCCTTATCCATCGCTCCCGGAGATTATGGCCACGGAAGGCGCTATAAATCTAATACTTTACAGTATCTATATCAATGACATTCGAAACGACGGAGGGGAAATATTTTTCGGTGCGGTCGATGAAGCTAAATATGAAGGGAATCTCGCGACTTTCGAAAGTAATACTGTCGGAAGAGTTAATATCAAGGGGGTTTATTGGATTGATCCTGATGGGGCGAATTCTACTCTCGCGGATTCTTCGGATATATTTGCTAAGGATGTGGCGGAGATTCAACTTGGAACCCCGTGAGTCTTCTCCATCAACTATTTTGGCGGGTTTACGACGGTTCTTTAAAAATTGGTGCTAACTAGGCGTTTAAAATATAGTTCCTTATGGGTACCTAATAGTGTTTATCGGGGTATCATAAATGCCATTCCGGCGTTGACATATTCGACCGCCTATGAGGCCTATACCGTTGATTGCACTGTAGCAGATTCCGAACTTGGAAGTCTTCAGTTTGATCTTGGCGATACGATTATTTCAGTGTCTGCAAGGCAAATTCTAGTAGAATATCCGACTGGAAGTGGGACTTGCATATTCACACTCTATCAAAGCTCGAAATCAAGAGCAACCAGTCCAGATTTCTTACTCGGAACGCCATTCCTACGGTACGTTGCTCCCAGTGATATCAAAGTGTTACATCTAGCTGAATAGTTATGTCTACTGTAGATCTGCATTCACGGTTTTCGACTATACCAACAATCGAACTTCTGTCGCACAGTCCGTAGCTAACTCGACTTCGTCAACCTTGCGCGAAGTTCCCGAAGGCGGCATTGTAGCCATGGGTCAACGGTCTGGTGACCCATCCTCAGGAACTCCCACAAATACACCAACATCAACGAGTTCAAACGGACCCAATGTATCAGGATCTGATGACCCCTCTGTCTCAGTCATCCCAGCCGGGAACGACGATCCAGGGACTCCGATTGCAGCAATAGTAGGTGGTTCACTGGGTGGCGCCGCAGCTCTCATAATAGCCGGTGTCCTCATTTGGCTGTTCGTCACAAGGAAGAAGAAAACCGTGGAACCCGACATGCCTTTCCCGCCGGCTCAAAATTTCCCACCGGCTCAAAATTTCCCACCGCCGCCACCAGGACCTCACGATGTGGGACCTACGGAACCGAATTTTACGGGATATAAACCTGAAATGACTACTACTGCTACTGCACAGCACACATACGGCGCAGTACCACTTTCACAACCGCCTTCAGCTACAATAACATCGCCACCGACGAGCTTTCATGATAATTGGGGTCGTCCTGGGTTTGGAGCCGCGGGTCAGTCGATGAGTAACCCGAGACCACCGAGCACGGTTAGTGGGAATTCAGTGGAGGGTTATTCGCAGGATCTATCTAGTTATGGAGGAAACCCGGGACAACTTCCTGGCAGCCAAAATCCGAATGGTCTGCCATCACCGCCATTAAATGCTACCGGTGTTTATGGAAGTTATGGATATAGTGGATATAACCAGTATTAGGATGCAACTAGTGTTGGAGCGCCCTAGGAAAAGAAGATGCAGATGGATATACCCCAAAATTAATTTTCACTAGGAATTTATTTCTTACTTACTAGATTTATTAATGTCTACTTTTGAACTTTATATTTTAGCTTAGCATTTTAGATCCGGATCCTTTTCTTTATAGTTTATAATACCATGTAGTTTCTCAAGAATCATTGAAGCTTGCGCGATTCATTCTGATAGCCATGTTTATTTATTCACAATCCATGCAACCTTAACTAGCTATTTTTGAACTTCGACTTCTTTTGCGGTTGAGACATCTTCTGCCGAACTGGTGGCCTTAATCAGGTCTTTAAAATCAATGAGTTTGAACAACCCTTCTTCTCCCTTTTCTTTTATCAAAGAAAGTTTCCCTACCGGTACCACCTCTATATCCACTTTCTCCCACCTACCCTCTGGAACTCCATCACTCTTCCACCTAACTTCCAAAATCCTCTTCCTCATCCCCATCGCCTCGTTCAAAAACCCCATCATCCCGGTTCCACACCACCCCCTCATCTGCGGCCGTACAGCATATCCCTTCAAATTAAACGTCAATTTCTCAACTCTTTTCGATCTTACTGCCACCTCAATAGCCTCCTTAAACCCCACTTCCCCCGCACTCCCCATCTGTAACTCCTCCAATTTCTCACACATCATCAACGCCTTCTTCGCAGCAGGGATATGATTTCCCAGACTCCAAGGTTCCAGTAGATTCAGTTGCTCCACCATTCTATGTTGTTCCTCTTTTCCTGGACCTTCTCCGCTACGGATATGTTGATTCCCCGGGAACATTTTGAGACGTCTTAAAGTGGATGCGTGTTTTGGGATTACATCTTGCCAAAATTCGTTCATGAATCCTAGCATTGCGTTGTGTTCTGCTGTACAGACTTCTTTTGTAGCTGTACGACCACAGCGGTAGGGGATCATATGGATCGATAGGCTGGTTAGAGTATTTGAGTATGATGATAAATAGTTTAGTAAAGTCCTCGAGGCGTTATGTTCGGACACGTGGGTGAGGAATATGCCATGTTCGCGGAGGGAATCCCAGATTGGTCGTTTGACGGTAGATTCTGGTCGAAGTTCGGTGCGTGAAGTCAGGCGTTTTAAGTTTGAAAGGAATTTGGGGATTAGATGCTCTGGGAACGGGTCGTTTATTGTGCCGTATTTAAGGGTTAGTTCTTCGAGGTTGAAGGGGACTTGTTGGACTTCTAGGAAATCGAAGGCAGTGATGTCGAATTCGTAGGATGGTTCGAAGGTTAGGGATTTTAAACGTGGGAGGTAGTTTAGAGTATCCAGGTAACTTTTATCCCATAGTAGAAGAGTTAGGTGGGTGAGGTTTGTGAAGACCTTGAAGGAGGGGTAGGAGTTATATTGTGCGGATGGGGGGTCGTAGGGATCCATATCGATCATTGGGTGTAGTTCTAGATGTGTCACCGAACTAGCTATTGGAGAGAAATCGATTTCTCTGGAGAGATTACAGAATGAGATGTTCCATCTTAAGGTTTTTAGTCTTTTCATACTGCAGATGAAGTTTTGAAGGATTTGGACGCCGAGGGGGCTAAAGTCATCTGTATCCTGCTGAATCGGCTCCTCATAAAGGAATTTAACAGCATCCCGGATCTGATAGGCGCTGATATTTAAATCCTGGACATTAGAAGTCAAGAATTCTAATCCTTCGAGGGACTTGATAGCTTCGATTTTGCGAATCAGTTGGATTTGTTTCTCCGGTGTCACCCTCTCCGTAAGATTTTGGGCGTGTCCTCGGATATGTTTGAGACTTAATGTATACTTCCTAAAGAGGAGAGGCGTCGCGAGGTCGCTAATTATGTGGTTTACAAGACGAAGTTCCTTGAGAGTATACCAATAGCTATGGCCGGTCTGTAATATCCCATCATTGGTTAGTGAGTTTGATGTGTGTTGAAAATGTGGTATTATAACAAGCGGGCCGGTGTGACATGGCTGCGGTGGCATGACATACTGTTTCGATTATCTGCTGGAGAATCTCGACGGGGAGGTTGAGCAGGAAGCTCGGCTCCCTGGTTTCCGAAGTAGAATCCATGGGGGGTAAAGAGATATCAACTTCGAGACTATTCGTAAGCTGAGGCACCCAGGTGTCGACTTTGAAAAGCCGCGAGTATCCTGATCTGGATCTGGATCTGTTAACGGTGTTATTGTTATGTGTTAGACTAAACAGCGACAGCCTCCTAGATCCTAGCTGTTAAGTTAGTTTATTAATCGTCAGAGCCCAAATAGAAATCAATGCGAAGATTAAAGATCGATACAATGCAAAAAAGTTAGGTCGCCTCGCCAGGGATCAGGATGATACATACTTACATTAATATTAAAAAAGAAAGGATACCTGTCGGCTAAATCGCTTTTATACCTCACTATAGTTCTAACCAAAGAACAGGAATACGTAAAGAAAATGGCGAATCGAATGGAATGACCCCAAGTTAAACCTGCCAACCGGCTAGCGTGGTCACTTTCCCTTTCCTTTCGCACCACTCGATGCGACTGGCTCTGCTTCTTCTTAGGCCTCCTTTGGGAGGGGGGACAAAGCAAAATGACACGCAACGCACCCTACTCGATTCTCTCCGAGGCTACTCCTGTGCAAGGATCTCCCCGATCTCAATGCATGCAAAAGTGGGTATTGCGGTGTGGGTAGCGCCAAATGCACAATGCATGTACAGCACAGCATGAAATCACAAGGCGAGCAAGTTCGTCGGTACGTACCGGTCGAATAAGTTCCGTAAGAACGTTCGTCAAGGTATTTAACGAAAGGCTTGATGGGAATGATACGACAGACACCTATCCTGTTTTAGTTAATCAAACGGTTTCCCTTTCCTGTCGCAGGACTAGTTGATCAGGTGTACCGATTTAGCAGATTTGCCTTTTTTTTTTTGCAGGTTGATTTAAGTAATTACTTGAATCGAGCAGAGCTCAAGAGTTTGAAGGGTGGCAATTCCTAAAGATATAGGTTCTTCGCCTCGAATCTAGGCCGCCCCAGCATCGGTGTCGTGCACATGAGACTCAAAAAATCAAATTTGACGGTTAACTAAACCCGAATTTCGAGAATTAGGACTTCTTATAGCTAGCTTTTGAGTAATACTTACTTTATTCGTATACCCTGCGGTACTCGGTTTACTGGGTATATCCCTCGATCGTTTAATTGCAAGGGTATGTATATGTCCCTTACACCCTTCCCACCTGATAATAATATTATGTACATCTCTGACTTTGCAGCTGCAAGCCACCAGTGCGCTAGCTGTCGTTCTGCGCACGCCACGTATTTTGGCAGGGTCCAGCTCGGAGAAAGCCAGACAGCTCGAAGAAAGAAAGAAGACCCTAAGCACGACGGAGCTGTATACCCCGACAAGCATAAATAGAGACCTATTCCCTTCTATTTTAGCTATTCATTCGTCCTGGTGGCTGTAGATCTAGACGGAATCCAATACTCTCCTTCATACAGTGTCAAACGGTTTTACTCCTCCTACTCTACAATAATTCATTATCTTCCTACCCACAAGTCCAAACTTCTTCAAGCTCAAACCTCAAATAAGATTCTTTCAAAATGGTCTTCTTGTACCTCTTCATGATCATCGGCGGAATCATCAAGGGTGTTATATTCCTTGTCCGACCAGACTACAACATCGGAGCTCACAATAATAGAATGTAGAGCTTGTGCTCTCACCCTCTTTACGCAAAGCCGGTCTTTCGTAAATAAAACTTACGAGCTTACGATACATATATCCTATATTACGTTAACAATTCAATAAATTAACGCCCTCCGATATCGCGATACCTTCGATAATATCAGCAAGACATCTTTACTCAAGGCCTCCAGCATCTACTCCTGAGCATCAAAAGATACCACCCTAGGAATGGATTCGATGAAGATCGTTACATGATAGTTATCACACTTGTAGACCTCAAGAGCAACTATAATAAAACTGGAAGCTACACGCATTGCTACGAAGACTAGTCCGTCTGCCGATACCAACGATCATACAAGTCTTATGTTGCTAGTATCCCCGCTGGACACCCTTTTATTCTTTTTCCTTTTTTTCCTTCTTTTTTTTTGGACTAGTATATAGACATTGGAGTACGGAACAAATGTGGGATATATATATAAAGGAACGATTTTTGGTGCGAATAGAATTTGATATGGTTGATGTTTAAGTTAATGCATATCTATCGTGTAATTAAAATACAAGACGTTATCCATCCCACATCAAGCCATCCATTCCATCATAAAAGTAAATCGTAGAAAGCCAGTCCATCTTTAGTGAAGATAGATACAGAATCAGAAAAAAAGGAAAGCCTGAAATACAAAATGTACGAAAAAGCCCTAATATATTCCCAGAAAAGAAGTAAAACGAAAAAACGAGAAAAAGCCGCGTTGAATTCCGAAGGAAGACAAAATGCCCACGGAGCTTAGACCAATTAATCGAAAATAAAACCATAGACATGGCCGAAGTTTCAAATCCAGAGGGGAAAAATCGATCTTAACTTTCTCGAGAGTACGTAGTAACTCCGGTAGGATAGTGGGTATACATCCCCTCGTATCCAAAACCAGGCATCGAAATCGGTTCCAGTTTAAGATGATGACGGATGAAATCCTCCATGGCCTGCTTTTCACCCATGAACGGGATTTGAAGTGTAGAAAACTTCTCACCGTTTTGGAGGATGATGGCGGTAGCAGCGAAATCCGTATCGATCTCGTACCTTTGGATCATCGGCATAGCCAACTCGGGGCCCAAGCGAGTGATGTCGATGATACAGAACAGCATCTCGGGGTGATAAATAGTAGCCAAGCGTTCCAAGGCACCAGCAATGAGACGGTGGTGAGGATGCTTATCACTACTAAAGTAGAGGAATGGGGGGATAGAATTCTCATTGATAGCAAGAATATTATCCAAGTCCTCGATTGAAGTAATGTGATGTGAATCCGTAGTGGGTTGTGAGCGTGGGGAGCGTTGCCAGCAAAGGCGGGCAGGGGCAGCGGAACCGGGTCCAGACATTTTAGAAGGATTGAAGTATTTCAAGACGTAATAAAAAGGGAGAGGACTTGTCAACCACGGAGAGTGCTAGCACATATGGAGGCTGTTAGAAGGTTCTATGCAGAATATAGACAGATATGTAAAGACTAGAGGAGCACAATTACTTACTTGAGAATCTGTGAGAGTGTCCTTGGTATAGATTCTTCAAACTTGAAAGGATTGCAGATGAAAGATGATGATTGGAGATGAAGGTGATGAATTGTAGATGGAGGTCAGGGTGAGGGTGAGGAGGAAGAGAGAGGAAGAAGGACCAGGAAGCCGGACAAAGCTTTTGGCATGCTCAAGGGCCCAGATCGTGTTCCCTTGGAAGCATTCTTAGTCTCTGCGGCATTCGGGCTCAAGTTCTAAGTCCGTAACCGTGTTCAATTGAACGTCTCATATCAGCAGAAGATTCTGTTGTTTACGTGCGTGGGGCATGGGACCTGGAAGATGTATTATAAACACCACGGTTGACGTCTGGAAATATTGTTTTGTATACTATTAGCTATTCTATGGCGCTTTAACGTCAGCATCATGTATGAGGTAACTGCTATCGCTGGATTAAAGATTGGTCGTCTTAGTTGTCTCTCTCTTTATATTCGAGCTCAGGGGCTAACGTAACGTTACCCCTACAATACAAATAGATTTCCATTTATATATATCTATCAGTATATATCATCATCGGGATACTAGGTAATTATTTCAAAGTAGCCCCAGTCCCAATACAGGGCATAGTGCATCCCATGTCCCATCGGACCATACCTCTTTTGTGTTATTTGTTAAACCAAGATTAGCTTCTAAAGGTTAACATTTAGTTCATTGTTACACGAACATCATTAATTATCTACACATGATTGGGTGATTAATGGAAAACCTGGGAGCACTTTTCTAGGGTCCTGGCCAACAGGGCATATGTACCTTGGCACTTCATATCCGAATTATAATTTAGAAGTACAGAAAGAAGTTAGGATATAGTGAAGTAAAAAACGTTTTTGATCTGGCCTTGAGAGACTGGGACAGAGTATGGTCTAAAACCAATTCATCAGGAATTAAAAAAAAAAAACTATTACCAAACAGAAGGAACAAAAGATTAAAAGCTCTTATTGTTACTGATGATATCCTCAAATATTAACTCAAGAAAAGCGATTACATTCAAATTAACAACCCTCTTGCGTGTGTATTCTGGGGTCATATTAATAATACATCATCATACTCGTCAAAAAAAAGTATGGCATCAAATAAAAATTATAAAAGATAATCCAACTAACTCTCCTCCCCAAATGGATCTCCAAATGGATAAGCCGTTCCGCCACAGCCAAAACGCACGAGGTAAGCGCTGGGAACACTCGGTCTAACGTAATAATTGTTCTTCTCGTCGAGGATCTCAAAGTCTAATCTTGAAGCCGCGCCGGTATTTGCCGTAATGACACGGAGTGGTAAGAAAGTTCCTCCAACGAGAGTGAAGGTAGCTTCTCCGTTTACGAAGTCGGGCGAAACCCAATAGGTTATGGCGTTGACATTCGCTCTAGTCCAACCGGACCTTGCTATATCACCTGTCCAGAACGCGCCGAAATTATCACCTCTTGAGACCTTGATGGTGTATTCTCCAGATCTGGGGGCATAGAAAAAACCGCGCCATAGTATGGCATAACGAAGGCTGGTTTGATTGGGCGTCCATCCAAAAGGGCGATGAACTCCACCAACAGTTGTAGCGGCCCAATCGATTCCTATCGATGTGACAATCTTTTCTCTTTCGGTGGGTGTGCGATATTTATAGGTTTCAACGAGAAAATCTCCCCAGGCCGGAGTTCCGTCGCTGACATAGGGGTTGTCGAAGATCGCGGCCTCCATACCAGCATTGTTGCAGCTAGTGTCTGGAGGTCCCATAGGCATTGAATTTTCGGAACCAAAAGCGTTGAATGGCGGGGCTTCCTGGGGTTTATCACAAGCAAATGCGACAAGATAAGGGGATGGAGTGCGATTTTCTACGTATGCTTCGCCTGCCGAATCTTTAATCTCGAAGCTAAAATACCCAGATCTGAGACCGTTGGCGTAGATAATCCTCATGGGAGTATAGCTGCCGGCAGTCAGTGTGATCGTGAAGGTATTTGAGGCGTTAGAAGATCTATAAACAGATAGTGCGTTGGCATTCGCCCGAGTCCAAGCGGTGTATGCGTTCTGACCAACCCAGAGCCAGCCAGCGTCGTCAGCGTTAAAGATTCTGAAGCTGTAGGTTTCGGTTTTGGGCGCGTAGAAATAACCGCGATGATTGATAACGTGTTCGGCGCCTGGTTCGAGGGTGTTATAAGTAGTGACCTTAGCCTTCATACCATACCGATCATAGTTGAGGCCCTCGGGATCTTCCTGACGCCAGATAAATCCAACTGCATTCGTCCGATTCTGATCATAGGGTTGACTGGTTTTGAAGTATTCCGGGACGAAGTTGTTGTAACCGGGTGGGGAGGGCCCTCCCTCAGGGATTCTGTACGGATTATCATATATTGCGACCTCAAGACCTATATTTTCAGGGCAGGCAGTCGGATCTGGAACATTAGGTGGTACGTAAGTATATTCGGAAACTACGTTAGTGGTGGTTGTGGTTCCCGTTCGGGTGATCGTTGTGGTGGTTTCGGTGACTGCTGTGGCAAGTAGAGTATTGGTTACAGATACCGTTGAAACCACCCACGCAGTTGTGGTTACAACCCCCCCTGTTACAGATACAGTCGTTGAACCGGTCACCGTTGCGTAGTTAGTCACTTGAACCGTCGTCGATATGGTAATTGTTGTCGTCGCAGTCGGAAATTCGTAAGCTGCACGGGTTCTAACGGTAGATGTGAATAGAAAGCATGCTGTACATATAACGGGGGGTGTTAGACTGATTATACAATATATTATATTAGGGAATTTTAGATATCCGAAAAAACTTACAGCAATCGCCTGGAACAGTTACGGCCTGGCGTCTACGTAATTTTGCTAACGTCGAGGGAACTGAGCCTGTTGAAGTAGTACTTGGAGGGAATCCCGTAACTGTGGTGGTATACGTTGAGACTGTCACCACCGTCGAATAACTATACGTTAAGGTTATCATGTTAACAAGCTGTTTTGACTACGCATTTCATAATAGAAGATTTTTCGACTTACGAAGTAAACGTAGTCTCAATGGTATTTGTTAATGTTGTCGCCGTCTCATACGCAGTCCCGGTGACGAAAACAGTTGAAGTCGGTTCTACCGTCACAGTCGAGGCTTCAATATTTGACGTGATAGTATCAACCGAGGTTAAAGTGGCATCTATCGTTTCATAAAATGTCCTTGTCTCGGTTCTTGTCAAATTATAGTGGGTTGTAAGCACAGTTGCGGTGTAGCATGTCGAGGTTTTAATCGAATTTTGGGCTAAACATCATTCATCAATTCATTCATTCGTATGTAATTAGCCATATGCTTCTTTTCCACCAAGTATATATGCATAAGAATATATGGTGAATGAATAGAACTTACTAAAATACGAAGAACAGCTTGCCCTCGAAGTAGCATCGTCTCGAATAGTGGGACAGCCCGCTGCTGTAGCCCCACAACTGTTCTGCCCAACAGCAACGTCGGCAAGAGCGGTCAAAAAGGCAAGGGCGGCGACTGAGAATCGCATCTTGAAAATCTTTCTCTCCCAGGCCCCAGGTTCTAAAATTTCCAGATTCGACTATTTCAACTCCGCTGCACTGCACCCAATGCCGCTGTCAATCGATACCCGAGCAAAGAGACAAGTGTGCTAACCCTCACAGGCGGGATACCCATCTTATAAAAGAAAAGTAATAAGGATACACTAGACATGCTTTTGTTTATCTTGTACGCCGACCTACGACGCTCATTACGATATTGGGGGGCAATGCATGAAGCTCAGTATGTGCCTGAAGGGTTGATCTCCGTTGAACTATGGGTGGTTTTAGTACGCCAAGTTCTGATGCGGTTAGGTTCGAAGCCGGACGGTGGAGCTCGAGACCACACGCTCGCGAAATGGCGTCTGTGAGGCGTCACAAAATTGGGATCAAATACCCCAGTCAAAGCGGGTACTATGGAATCTTGCACAAATCCACGCGCATCGGGCTCAGTATAACAGCCCGAATATGAGCAGTGAGAAAGCCCCCGCCACTTAAAATAAACCCATAGTATTTGAAGTTTATGGCGGCTGTTGACCAAGAGGTTGGTCAAAAATTTAAAACTGGTAGTATGGAAAAGGAAGTCAGCGAGTCTAGATCTATGCACATGTCCCCTTTGAATACCTTTGAATACTTACTTGACTATGAATATATTTTATAAATTTATTTGAAGCAATGTCTATAAGTGGCAGAGACCATCATGTCTTAACCCCACAGCGGGTCGGGTGCCTGTAAGACTAGTTGAATAAGGAGAACGAGACAATTTAATCGATAGAAAAACCGATGAATGAAACATTGACTTTGTTAGGAAGGAATCCGAGAAGATTGACGGCTGATATTGAATGTCTCCGCGAGGCCAAGGACATATCAGACAGCGGTGTTCTTTTCTTAGTTCTGGAGACGTTTAAGGCACCAACGAAAAAAGTTGGTGTTCTTAAATGTGTTGAAACAAGACCACCATGTTTTTCGACTCCACAGCTGGAGCTTGGAGTTTGGATAGACTTGAATTCAATTGGATTGGGCTTCGTGGCTGGAAATATAATTCCGGTGCGGCGGTGACCTTGCAAGCTTGCGGGTTTTGTTTGTGGGCGGTAAGTAGCATCGGTATTTAGTACAATATACCGCCGTATGCATATGAATTCGATTACTGATCTGTTGATTTTAAGTTTACCCTGATAATTTAGACGACAGACGAGCCGGGGATTCTTCTGTATATACCCGGAGACAATCATGATCACGATCATAAGTTATAATCCCGATGGATTTGACGCTGCCAAATCGATGAATTAAACTCATTGATCCATTCGTTCGGATCTCTACATACTATCAATCAATCGACATCAATCAATCAATCAATCATGCATGCAACTATCGTTATCCCTGCCGTTTAACCGTGATACTCGCCTGCATTGCTCTCCACAAGAGCTAGTTGGCTTCTCCCAGTCCGGAAGTTATTTCGCGAAGCTCCAGGGTGAAAAGTAGCGAGTGAATCGACATCTCTTCAAGCAGAGCGAAGAAAAAGTAAGCTCGGGCCGTTGGTCAATTCTCCCCAATCAGCCGCACTCGGTCCCTTTTTTCTTCCCTTTTTCTCGCACCGCAAACTCTTTGTCGCTTCGGGTCAGGCCAATTCCCGCATCCGCTCTCCCTTCCCGTCGCGCGACGACGACTGCAACTGTCGTCCGTCAGATCCATCATGGTATGGCCCATAAAGCCAGTCAATGTCATTGTAAGTCGTTCCGTAAGATGCAACATACATAACATAAACCGCATACCTACCCTAAAACTGTCTGACGGTTTCTCGTTCGGGCAGTTGGGTCATGGTCAGGCTGAACTGCACGCGGCCTTAAGCGTGCCCCTTGCTTTTATTGTTTTTCTTGTTTGTCCGCACAAGGCCTTTCACTAGCTTGAAATCCAGCCACATGGGTCGTGCTTGTCATTGGGTCACAGCACCGTTACATCGATATATTGCAAAAAGGTTTTCCTTTTCGTGGTTATTTTACTTATTTTTATTTTTATTTTTCCCCCAAGCGCATTGGTTTCCTAATTGATGTTGTAACTTCCACTTGAGTTTTTGAAACATCTCCTCATTGCATTAACCCGTTCAAGATAGTAGAATGGCTCTTCGTCGCCTTAGCCACCGTCTTCGTCACGTTGAGGATATATATGCGCAACTATCGCAACAAGCATGATTTCTTCCACTTCACAGCAGGCGACTGGATTATAATCCTAACTTTGGTCTGCTTTTTTGCTACGGCCGCATGTGACACGGTAATGGTTACTTCGGGCTTCAGCGATGAAAGACTGTCACTGGACCAAACACTAGAGGATCCATGGAGTGCATACTTGAAATTGGACAAAACCAGGTTGAGACACCTGCTAAAGGTATGTGTGACCAAAACTATCATTTACCACCGGTCCTCGATATTTTATGCCTTAAAAAGTCGCCTGTTTTGGTTTAGAGTATCTCGCTTCAACAGGCGCATTAGCACATTGCATACTGCATAGGTCCTCACACGATACCAGCTAACATCCAATAAAATGAATAGATGCTCTACGCCTCATCAATGCCTTATTACCTTTCCTTGTGGGGCGTAAAATTCTACCTTGTCACACTGTTTTACCAACTAATCCCGCCGGCGACCATGCCGAAGCAAAGGATTGCCTTGCACATCATCACCGTTTTTGTAATATCTTCGTGCTTCGTGTGGCTAGGGCTTAACATCTTTTGGTGTATACCAATAAGCAGTAACTGGGAAGTCGAAGATCCGCAGGATGCATGCGTGGCGTATTTTGCTTATGATCCGTATATTGTTACGGTGTCATTGCATACGGGTACTGAGATTATGAGTATGTACCACCCAACACTGAACTGTACAATATGACATTTTATCGTCCGAAATTACTGATATGATGGATATAGTTTTCTCGCTTCCTTTTTCATTCCTTCACGTCCTCCGACGGAACAACATAAAGCAGTTCTACGCGGCAAGTGCCATCTTTGCCATCGGCTTCGTCGGTGTTATAATAACCCTAGGAAGGGTGGCATATGTGTTCACGGCCGGCTCCGGTCCCATAATAGGTATGCAACAGGCCTGGGCAGCGGTAGAGCAATCAGTCGGTATCATCGTATGTTGCCTCCCCGCTTTTAAATCTCTAGTGCTACGCAAGAAAAGTCTAGGAAGCGGGAGTAGACTCGTTGGATCCGGAAGTCGTAGTGCTCATGATAGTAGAAGGAGGAGTGCACCTGTTGCTATGGAAGAGACGGGGACCAGACCTTTAGAAGGAAGAGGGGGCGTTATCGATCCAGATGCTTCGATTATGAGGGTAGAAACTTTTGAACAGGAAAGTAGAGGGAGGAGGGGGAGTTTGACAAGTATGCTTCTGCCTGGAGGGTTATCGAGGAAGAATAGTTTGAATAAGGTACCGTCTATTGCGACGACGGGCGAGTTGGCACCGGCAGTTGAAAGGCCGAGACCTCAGAGAAAGGTTACAGGGCTGGAGACTATCAATGATGCTTAAATTCCGCTTTTGATGTTTCTTTGGTAGGGACTCTTGGGTGCTTTTTTTTTCTTCTAATTCCAAAATCCGATTGTATTATATGGGATTGGGGTTCTTTGCAGGCGTTTTACATACATAGTTCTTTGATTGGAGCGCTTACTTTGGAGATATCATACGACCGTTACGAATTATCGTTATACAATTTTGTATGAATTTTAATATTGGTGGATGTACTATGCAAATAAGCCCGCTATTAATCTACATATACACAATATGTACTGAGAATTCGAATTTAAGCATTCATACCAACTTCGAATCGTGACTACATGCACAAATAATCGCAGCTATATACGGCAGGCGCGTATATTCTTATGCTATCGATCCCCTTAACGATCATGGCTATAGAATTATCTACGAACTCTATTTCACCAATATCAAGAACACATGTACCAGTGACGAGCGCGAGATCTAGAAATAACCGATGCCACATTAATTTGCCGTTCGTAGCTAATCTCGAAGCTTATGCCTCTATATGCATACCGCACGAATGTTAGAATTTAAGCCGCCGGGACGGGGCTTAAATCTGCCGTCGATAATTTTCTTCTGCTAGCATTAAGCTTAAAACTATAGTACTGGCTTGATTAACATGCCTTCTGCGTGCAATATCCATCGGCTAAGTCATGGAGCTGAGATTGATTGTGAAGTTAACTTGTATGTACACTTTAGTTTTCAACAGATGAAGAGGAGATTTGAGTATCTAAATCAGCATATGTAATATAATACGCGGGTTACAATCTAATGTATGGTAACTAAAGATGTAGAGCGATTTTATTTGGAACTAGATACATCGGTCAACGACAAATATGTCGGATCCAGAGCTCGCACCATGAGTCTAGTTGGCCTCGAAGTCTATTGGGATTTCTTTGTCCCCACTATGGATCTAGCGAATTCGATTAATTTGACTCGAAAGTTTACTAGATAATACTATAATTATCGATAATGGACTGCCTTGCGATGTGCTAGCTAATGCTATATGAACCCAAAAGTGAAGCTTAATATTTCGCATTTTTACGTTAGCCTGCAGTATTTTCTGATAGATAACCTCATGAGCTCAAATCTATTACTTTTAACATTAAACAATTCGTAACAACAACTGTTAGCGGTGTACATCTACATCTACACAGATCTATATTAGAATTCAAATACGTACACTATGCATATGTGTATACAAATACAAGCTAGGTTGCGATGCAATGCAATGCAATGGCCACCCAAAACCTTCCAACATACACAAGACGGACAAATATCCAACCACCTCAGCCTCCCAAATCGCCAAAATATTTTCCACAAATCGTCTCCAAAAACCCCACCTGCACGTCAAAAATCCGGGGAAAGTACCTCGCCCCGGCCTAACTCTGCAGCTCTGGGTCAAACAACGGTACAACGGGTCGGGATGCCGCGCCGATGTCCTGTGCCAAGCCGAATACGAAGCTAACCGATCCAATAAATTCATTAGAACGACTCGCTTGGCGTTCCTTTCCCATCAGGGGTAACCTCCATTTTAAAACAAGGCTCAACGCAAAAACCTCATATGCATGCTTCGATAAATTGGTGATGTTGACATGTTTTGTGGCAGGGGAATACTTAAAACTCCGTGTACCGATGGGATGGAAGATCCATGGTTTAGTGGTCTCGTCTCGAATAAGGGCTTGATTTTCGCCTGGTATTGCTATTTAGTCATGCACACCTCTGCATGCACCTTGCTTTGCATTGTGGTCGGACAATTTTCATCGAAAGCTTTATCCCTGATGAAGCATAGAGTACGCTTAGGTTTTTTATTCCACCGCTTATACCTGCTTGACGTAGAGTATAGGTGCTTCAGCCATGGAATATATTCTAGTTCTTCATTCGTGGGGATCGGAATCGGCATATCGACTGTCACAAGACTAGGGGCACCCGGTTCTTCGAATAGACGAGTTTGGATCCATTAACCTTCCGGCCCCTCCCCTGATATTAATCAAGCATGATCGAAGCTATATCCCATAACGGTGAAATAAAACACCGGGGTTTAAAATTTACCGTGGACCATCATAGCTCAAGACACTTCGGCTCTTGAAGTATAAAGACCAGACGAAGCTCTCTGAAATCACGCAATTAAGGCCTGCATCAATCGATCATAGAGTATATCAAAATATAACTAGTATCCACAAATACCCAGTTAGATAAGCATATATACTTCCACAGTACCCCAATACCCCGAAAAAATGCAAAAACTCCTCCTCCTAGCGGCCTTCGCGCCCGTAATCCTTGGCTGCGCAAATCCAGACTCAAACTCCTGCGCCAGCTTCATCAAATCCCAATCCGCAACTGCATCGGCCTACTGCGCAACCTTTACAAAGACCGTCATAACCGCCACCACAGGTCTCCCATCATGGGCTACAAACTGTGATAACAAACCTAGTCAGATCTCCAAAGAATGTTCATGCTACTATACCGGCGGTAGCTCTAATCCTACGACTACTTTGAAGACTACTACTACTTCCAAGGCTGCCACTACCTCTGCCGGTGGTGGAAGTGCTCCGACTGGGATTACTAAGTCGTTGCCGGCTAGTCAGGGGTCCGTTGCTACCAATGCACCCATCTTGGTGCCGTCGTTCTTCGATGGTGGGATGAAGAAGTATGATCGAAATCGTAAGTTTTATTCTTTATATCGAATAGGTTATTAGTTTTTTGTTTGGTGCTGAATTTTTTGGGGTGTTTATAGCAAAGGTCTGCGCTGAGCAGGACGAGACCGGTGAAAGTGAGGCTATGTTCATTTTGGAGGCCGGTGCCACACTCCAGAATGTTATTATCGGACCAAACCAAGCTGAGGGTGTCCATTGCAGAGGTACTTGGTATGTAGTGATTCCTTGAACCCCTAAAATTTCAAGTTGGAAGATATTAATTGTCGAATATTTAGCACCTTGAATAACGTCTGGTGGGCTGATGTTTGCGAAGACGCTATCACGTAAGTACTTTACTTCCGTCGTCGATTATGGTATGTATAGTGTCTAATACCCAAGTTGTAGATTGAAACAATCCTCCGGAACTTCCTACATCAACGGTGGCGGTGCCTTCCATGCCTCCGACAAAATCGTCCAGGTTCGTCAACTCCCCTAAATCCAAAACCCACCCTAAAACCAACCAGCCAACTAACCTCAACTTCTTAATAGTTCAACGGTCGTGGTACAATTTCCATCAAAAACTTCTACGCAAACGACTACGGAAAAGTCGTCCGATCATGTGGTAACTGCAGTGGTAATGGTGGTCCACGAAATGTCATCATTGACAACGTTGTTGCCGTCTCCGGTGGAGTCCTCTGTGGTATTAATACAAACTACGGAGATACTTGCAAGATCTCGAATTCGTGCCAGAATTCTGGAAAGTATTGTGATAGGTATACAGGTAATTCTAGCGGGAAGGAGCCTACTAAGATTGGAAGTGGGCCAGATGGAACTTATTGTACGACTTCGAATGTTAGCACTAATTGTTAAGAGAGGATTTCAATGGCTCTCTTGGGGAGAGAAGAGAAGGATGAAATACAATCAAAGGAGTGGAGATGTAAATATATATAGTCTAGCAAACGTGGATATTGTATATATCACGGAACATATGGAACAAAATTTCACGCCTACGAGCCTGTTTTGGCAAGGTCCTGCTCTCTAAAACTTGAAAGACTTCTTGTGATCAAAAAATGTGGTGCAGAATTCCTGATTCCCGGTTCGCTGATTGCAGTACTTTTATGGGCTAGTAGACAAAAATTCATGATAATGTATGAGGAAAATTTGGCATGCTGTGGTCAACTAGGCTTTCAACAGAGTGCTGACATACTCCTGCCTGTAAGGGTTCTCGTCAACCTCAGCACTGCGATTGAGGGCGGTCCATTTTGGCTATTCAAGAAATTAGTTAAGAGGTGTTGTTGCGGTGGAATAGCAGTAATTTGTAGTTGACTTACCTCGTCCTTGAACAACCTCATTGCCTTAATATACTATTATTCATCATCAAGAGTTAGCAAAACATGTTTGAGAATGGAGAGGGTAAAGTCGGTAAAAAAACATACATTCTTCTCATCGGTGGTGAAGCGATGATAGATTCCAGCTGGCAAGACGATGAAATCCCCAGCTTCCATAGCCACACGAACCCATCTCTCATCTTCAGCACCAGGCTTCCCGCTCCTGACATCAAAGTAACCGCTTCCATCCAAGATATAACGAATCTCTTCATCTTCGTGGAGATGCTCAGCGAAGAACATCTTGACCTTGGACTCGTAGACTTCACCCATTGCTTCTGGTGAAACGGTGATGATGTCGCGGTTCCTGTAGTTTCGCTCCTTAGCGATGGTATCGACTTGCTCGCCGGATGTATAGAAACCGGCGATGATAGCGAGGTCATCAAGGAGAGATTCGGGAAGAGGGTCCGATGACTCGTGGTGGAGACGTTGGTCGCCGGGGAGGGAGTCGTAGTAGTAGATCTTCATCGTGAAAAACTTTTGGGAGAATCTGATGCTCGAGCTCGAATTTAGATTGGTTTCGCAATTGATGGTTTCGTAGAAGGATTGATATCAATTGATCAATTGATATTGGAACTTAAAGGCCAGACTAGTGAGGTTTAGAGCTACATGGGAGGTGATGAGGATGAGAGATGAGGGAGGGATGAGGGGCGATGGTGGGGCTTTTTATGCGATGCGAGTCAGGTCAGTGTTGTTGCGAAATCACTCGCGCGATTTTAGCTTTGCATGGTCGATTGCAACATTTCGAGAACCACTGTGAGCTTACGTAAGGTAAACCGCCGACTCCTCGTTTGCTCCGACGTCTACCGCCCAATCCTTGTACAACGTGCCAGTTTAATAAATTTACCACATTAGGAGATATGATAACCGGATATGGAAATATAACAAACGATGCACTTATCTTCGTCGAGGCTTCATTGGATCGAACGTTAACACTTACACACGTGCACATGTCTACAATCAGTTCTCTTGCAATCAGATTTCTCATTTTTTCTCTCTTCGAAATTGGAAGAGAAAAGAATGCAATCAAGCTCGTCGGATACGTCGTATATGTCGTATAGAAAGTCATAGATTGTGACAGGATCCAGAAGATTGCCCTTTGGGAAATTTGTGACGTGGTTCTACGTAGCTACAGACCCCGCGCACAGGGACAATTTAGTCCAGCCCAGTTGTTTTCGAACACGAGGCTTGGAGGTTGAAAGTAACACTCAAACTTAAATCCAACCTAAACTATCTTTCTTTCTTTCTAACATACAAACTTGATGAGACGGTGCTTCATTACCTAGGTTCAGGTCCCGCATTTGCGCGAACGTGCCAATCAGCCATCATTTTGCAACAGCATATAAGTGGAACTGGTGCAGATATAGATGCCCTTCTCGCCCGTGACACATACACAAGTTCACAATGAATCATCTCAAAGAGCCTCGTCTCGAGGCTATCAAAGGGCAAGCACAGAGCGGCTTTCTAAGGCTCCCAAATGAAATCTTAGCCCAAATATTCAAAGAGTGCTTGACTCCGCCGCCGATTCTGTTCTGGGACGATCATACCCCTGCTTATGCAACTGGCCGCCACCGCAAGTTTGTCCTCCAAGTGCTACCGATTGTCCTAACTTGCAGACGTTTTCGGGACCATGCCACTGCACTGCTCTACCGATTTTGTTCCCTCCAATATCAGGTACATGAGCATCGTGATATCTACAGGTGGGCTCCATATTGTCCTGGGGTTTCAATTCCTGGAAAGTATGCTCTCTACGAGGCATACGGTACGGTGGTTAAGTAAGTAGGCACTAGAATCTCTAGCATCCCGAGTATCAACTAATCCCAGATTTACTTCTAACCTTTTCACTTTCATGTTTACCAGAAGTTTCTGCTTCAATGGAGACCCATTCGCCGACACTATGACGGCTGGAGATACCTCCCAAGAAATACCCATGACGATACCTCAGTTCCTAAGTCCACTATTTGCTAGCTTCAGCAATCTAAAAGAAGCGAGATTCTACTCAGAAAAATATCTAAAATCTACTACCCAAGTACAAACTTACACTGACGGAATTCACAACCTCCTGACTACATGCCTCTCCCTGAAAAAGCTGTCTGTTTGGTTAGGCGCAGACCCAGTTGTTTGCAGCAATCTGAAGCACACGCGAAGGGAGAAACTTCAAGAAGAGCTTGATGCCTCGTCTTCTCACCCTCCCGCTTCTCCTCACGCTAACCTTACCGAACTACATCTCGGTTGTAATGATGCCTGGGAATCGGAACAGAGCCAAATAGAGGAGAGGGAAGCAGCATTTTCCGTACTTGAGTTATTCTGTGACATCATATGGCCGTCTGCAAGGACTGTTACAACCTTAAAATTTGGATACGCAGCCGTAGCGATGTTTGCGTACTCAAGGGGGATTTTGACAAACGTTGACGCTATGCCTTTGACGGAGTATGACCTGCCAATGCTTGAACATGTGTCGATCCTCACGCTCGATAAAGCAGTTTTGGCGGCTTTTGATGCATTCTTTAATTTTGACGGACCTCAGATTAAGAGCGTGGAAGTCAGAGATATATATATATACGCTACATGGAGTTTTGAGAATAATGAGCAAGTTATATATGATTATGCTTGGGTAAGACTTCATAAGAACTTTTCCCTGATCGAGCTCAGAATCTAATCCGCCTTGCAATTTTTTGCGATCTCTAGGAGGTGGAATTTATTTCTAGATACTCGAATATAGAGCGTATTTCCATTCGAAATGTGGCAGAGGAGTCTGATTCGAGTCAAGTTGAAGGAGACGGAATATGCTCTATTATTCTTTGGCTGTTTCTTCAAAAGCCAATCAGTTTTAAGGGTCTCGCGGAAATCGAATTTTACGTGCCGAAAGATGCGGATGCTTTGATTGGGGTTATCGAGCGTAGGTTCGCAGATCGAAGCTTCAATCTCACTCGATTTCCCGAGGATTCTGATTATAGCGCTCATGTTGTTTTCTTTCTGGATGAATGATACATGATATCAACTTAGTTATAGGTGCTATGTCTTGATTTTCAATGCATCGTTTCTCGCTTGTATGTACTCCGCTATTAATAACTTTCAAAAGTTGATCCTATCTCTTACGCATCCACGGTTCAAACAAAGTTCCCTCAATAAAATAAAAACACTCAATCACAAAATCCAGACTATCAGCCTCCAGCTGATCTTTGTGTAAATGTATGTGGACTCCCGAGCGAAAGTATGTTGTTATTTTTGGGCAATCCATAGTTTGTGTGAGTTCACAACGTGGGCGTGCAACATGGATTTACATCACGTTCTACAAGAATCGAGCAGATTTAGAACAAAACGTTACTAGAGAATAAAGACACATCCCAGACTAAATACGCATGGCTGTTAATCTTTCCTAATAGACCCTAGCGGAAACTACAGGGGGTTTTGAAGGCCAAAACCATCACGTGATGCTGCTAATGTATTCTGATAGTAAAGCTAGACTTTTAGAGCAATATGATGCTGAAATCGCAGCTAGGATCACGATTTTGGATGAGAAAGCTATAATAAATAGTTTTACTTGTGATATATCCGAAACTATTCACAATATTACTATAAACTCAAGATTTTTGACCTTAAATATCCTAACTTCTGAAAGGATGAATAGATTGCCGCCTTAGCTAATCGTGATAAATACATTCTGTCGACATATCATATATATATATATATATACCGATCAAATCAAAATATTAACAAAAATAAATTTTCTTTTCGTTAAAAGTCTAAGACTTTAACCCTCGAATGGGGGTTCATATGGAGCCTCTGCCTGAGGCGTGATTCTAGCCAAATGTCGTCGGTGACCATCAAACCAATCGAGAATGGCGGAGTGGAATGTTACACTATCCAAACCATTAGTATAATTTTCGCAAGAAATATGTTTGTTTCCAGATGTAGCCGCAAAACTTACCGATTGTCCCAAACAACTACAGTACCAGGTGCCCATTTAACTCGAGCCTGGAAATCCTGTCCTAGAGCTGTGTGGTCGTATAGGAATTTCAGGAGGTGGTCGGATTCCTCTTTCTTAAATCCGACGATATAACGTGTGACTATAGCTCACCCGTTAGTTTCTTTCGATCAACCTATGTTACTTTTGACGGTGTCTAGCGGGGATGCATACACTGTGGGTTTACAAACAACGCCTTCTCCTTTGTAACCGGATGCTCCCGAACAATCGGATGCACACTTGTAACCGGCTCCCTCCTCACAATGCCTCCCCGGGTTAAACTCGAAGTAGCCTGTTCGTGTGCCGAGTGAACGGCTGTTAAGCCGTGTAGTCGCTTTCGGAACTCAGGGCTGAGACGTTTATATGCTTCGGCCTGGTTTGCAAATAGTGTGTCACCACCGGTTGGTGGGCCGTCAAGAAGGTAGAGGAAAGTAGTTCCGGGTGGCTGCTTTTCGTATGTGACATCGGAGTGCCATGTGAGGGAGTTAGAGTGCTCTCTGAGGAAATCTTGGGCGGATGTGTCGTCGACGGAGCGGTGGACGAGGTGAACCTCAGGGTCTGGTTTATTCAGTGTTAGATAAACGATTTTTAACGAGATTGATTAGACAGGATAGTCTACTTACGTCCAGCTGGACCACCAGATGTGGGGTGAATGTGGTGACGACCAAAGTAACCACCGAAGTCTAGAGCCTCCTGGATTGGGAGGTCTGCGAAGTCCTGGTTTCGGAAGGCTAAAGGTTCCAATATATTATATTAGGAATCACGAGCCTTACAATATACGTTTCCTGGAAATTATTCTTACCAACAACCTTCTTTTGGGCAACAAAGAGGGCTAGTTCATCCTTTCCGGCATCATTGAGTTGGCTAAGCTGAATCCCTTCAATTTCGGCTCCAATATTGCTAGTAAGATCCGTAACCTTGGCGCCTTTGAGAAGATTTGGGAATGTTGGATCGGCATCCTTTCCATGGTCATAATGCTCAAATGGAGTCAATGGAGCGTATCTGCCATCAAATGGAGCGTCGAGTCAGTAGGCCGTCATACACATACATATGTAAATATGCATAACTAGTCTCGAATTTGAATATAAGAGTCTCATATTGCATGACTTACTTGACATCTGGGTTCCATGTCGGAAGATAATTGGGATATTTTGGTGGAGGAGCGGTATCCTTCTGACTAATCTCTCTCTCGTAGGATCTTGGGCCATTATCATAAGCTTCCTTGTAGACGGTTGGCCCCGTCCCTGGGGGGAGGTTAACAAGAACCTTTTCTTGTTCGTTTTGAATTGGTGCTGCAGGTGCCATTTTGATAATATAAAATCAAATTATTATGGCAAATTCAGTATGACTTTGATGATGAGGATTGGTCAATTGATCAAAGAGGAGTAGATGGTCCAAAGATAAGATTAGATTGCGGAGGGTATTTACGAGAATCCGAGACCCAGAACTTAGGATTATTGGGCATACAAAGTGGATTGTAACGGCGTCATATGCGGGGAATTTATTCTCCCATTGAGAGATGAAAGGGACGATATCGGCCATCTGCTTTCCCTCCGATTAGCAAAGAATTACTACTAGTACAGCATAGATATCGGCGAACAAGTATCTATCATCAGTCAGCAGATGCCGACATATCCGATCAATTGTGCCGCTTTGGCCAATTGTAATGGATCAGTAACATTGAATATGACCTTTTCGCGGGATAGAACCCCATCTGGCATAAGTCGAGGAACAGAAGGTCATGGATTCCAGTAACAGATATAGAGTTATAAGATTGCCGAGACACGCTGCCCCGCAATTGATGTGTATAGCTACTTACCGTGCAGTACATTGCGTGATTCCAAGATATTCTTTGTCTATCGTAAGTCATGCACTTCGAAAACGTGGTTGGGACCGTTGGAAGAGGGACGTTTGATCGTCGAGACGTACGGGGTGGATTGAAGTGACAGCTGACAGCTAGCATCAGAACTTACCTCACATGTACATGTATGTGTGTATGTGCCTACTCCATATCACATCGGGAAATATAGGAGTGGGAATTAATTCCAGTATAGTAAGGGGGGCTTATCGATAACATGGCCACCGCGTACCGAGTAATGTCACAACTGTTTTCATTCTTAGACATAGTGCTCTTAGGGAGGCCGTGTGCTCTTAGGGAGGCCGTGTGGATTAGGGTTGCAATGGAAGATATCAAAACCGGATCCATCCAAAAGTGGATATCGACAGATTGGAGCTGTCGTACTACCAAGACTGTCCAATCAGGGGCTGGCAACCGGGGTTCTTACACCATTTCCAAGTATTATTCCTCATTGTACCACCGTCCAGCCACTTGCAAGTATTAATACGTATTTGCTGCTAGTTAGCATGCTAGACCGGTATGAAACCGGGACTGAGCCGAGACTGTAGTATTGTATGTACTAAGTTAACTTCATGAACCAGGACTAAGCCGTCTTCCAATCGCCGTTCACTTATTCAAATCCGTTCCTTCGCGCGGCTAACGGCCTAAAACGAGACTATCGCGGACAACACAAAAACCCTGTTGGAATTGCCCCACACTCGCATCTGGCGCAAAGTCAAATGCAGATTGCGTGATAACTTTCTTAACATCCACTTTTTGTACTTTTTTTTGAAGCCGCTGGTTTCACATAATTAACAGAACTCGGTGAAAATACCATAGTGGTGTTGTTGTTTCTGATGCCTTGGAAGGCTTATCTAAGGCTTATAATTCTGGGTACGCTCCGAACTCATGCAGATGATTAGATATCTGATCTGGTCGCGGGACTTGCTAACGGTAATTAATTAGGGCTTTTCGACATGCTGCGGGCTTTGCAAGAGTATACTCTAATCCTAGCCTATAGATCTCATTGCATGTTAAAATTCAATCTGCTAGTGCGATATGGTTTGAAACCGGAGAGGCGTCTCTCTGGTCGCCCGAATTTCAATTGATCTCTAGCCCGTCCACCACTTTAAGTTTTTTTTTTTTTGTAAGCCAGACGCCGACGCTTTGGTTATGTATACTATGGAAGAAGTCCATATCATGCAATCAATCATTGAGATCATATCATTTCTTCAGCTTCACATCAAGCAGCTGAATCTTTCCAAAGGCAATTGTCTTCCTCAACCTCGATGTGGCGCCTGCGGAGGCAACTTCGAACACACGTCTGTTAATTCCGTCCTTCTACCTGAATTAAACTTTTTTTAAAAAATGGATACTCACCGTTCTTCGGAGTACGGCAATGGCCACTCATCAACTGATATCCGACAAGGTCTGAAAGATGTCGACATCAGATGGCTGAAAGACGAAAAGTGGGGCCCCCCACGCGTTCTGGAAAAATTAAAACCCTTTTTCACACGAACCACCACGGGAACCCGGTCGTAAAAAAACTGACTCGCCTATTGCATTTCATCCGATTCGCTTCTGAAGGGCAATTATGCGGCCTTGCTCCAGGCCCAGAACCCTGGGAACATCGCCTGCATCGTGGCAAAATCAAGCTTCCGAGACTACTGGAATTTTTTCTTCGCCTGCATGATCAAGAAAGTCTTATCGATATTATTATTCTAGGCGATTATGAAGGGAGAAAAAGAAACCAAAGTGGGAGACTTCGGGGAGGGGGATGGTATATTCCCAACTTCGGGTTTACCGTAGACCCGGGTCATCAACGAGGGCGATCATGATGATATCTATAAATTCGGGTCGCATTCCTCCCAATGATGATCCTCGTCGGTGTCGTGTTACCATCTCAAACCAACTACCCCCCTTTCTCTCCTTCCTCATCCTCTACTCCCTCTATTGACCGTACTTCCATCGGTTCATAATCAGGATGTCGAAGATTACCCCGGTTTCGGAGGACCCTAGTCCCAGTGGCTCGTCGCATAACTCAGCGACTGACTTAAAGAACCCATCTGCAGTAGCTTCCAATGCTCTTACCTCAGATGATAGTTCTTTCTCGGACGAGTCGACGAAGGGCAAAAATGTTACCTTTGTTAGCAAAGGGCTTGCTGATGATCTTTATGTACCTATCGATAAGTATGAGGGAAGGCATAGATACGATCCTGAATTTGAGTGGGATCCGAAAGAGGAGAAGAAGCTGGTCCGAAAGGTAGAGAACACCCCATTAAACTCGGTCTTTCATACGAAATTCTAACACTATATTACTTTTATATAGATTGACTGGAGAATCTGTTCATGGGCATGCCTCATGTTCTTTGCCCTTCAATTGGACAGAGGAAATATCGGACAAGCATTGTCCGATAATATGCTTGGAGATCTTAAGCTGAATACCAATGACTTTGTAAGTGGAATTGAATAGTTTTTCGGGCATCTACCTTCTAGTATATAGGGCTAACAGAGCGTTTAGAACACCGGTCAAACAATCTTCTTGGTTTCCTTCTTATTAGCCGAATTGCCATCCCAGCTTATCTCGAAGAAACTTGGACCTGACAACTGGATCCCGATCCAAATGATATCATGGTCCCTTGTTGCTAGTTTCCAGGCATTCCTCACTGGTAAAGGATCGTTCTATGCATGCCGAGCTCTTATCGGTATGATCGAAGGTGGCTTCATTGCCGACGTCAGTAAGTAGATTTGACTCTACGATATATCAATTCACAATAAGCCTCAAATACTAACAGATGAATAGTTCTTTATCTCTCATATTTCTACACCGGCAAAGAACTCCCCATCCGCCTCGCCTTCTTTTGGGTCTCTTATCAAGCAACTCAAATCGTTGCCGCTTTCCTCGCCTTTGGTATCCTCCGTCTCCGCGGTTTCAACGGCATGGAAGGCTGGCGCTGGCTCTTCGCCCTCGAAGGAACCCTTACAGGCATTATCGGAGTAATCTCCTGGTTCTATCTCCCACCATCACCAACCCAAACCAAGAGCTGGTTCCGCGGTAGAGATGGTTGGTTCAACGAACGCGAAGAAAAAATCATGGTAAACCGTATCCTCCGAGACGACCCCGGAAAGGGCGACATGCACAATCGTCAAGCTCTCAGCCCCAGATTACTCTGGGAGAGTTTCAAGGATTACGATATGTGGCCAATCTACCTTATGGGACTCACCTGGCAGATCCCCATGGCTCCGATGACCAATTATCTTACGCTACAACTGCGAGCCGCTGGATTCGGTACATTCGACACTAACTTGTTGACTATTCCGGCCTATGTTCTTTTTATCATACAACTCTTGTTTTGGACGTGGTTTTCAGAAAAGTTCAATATGCGAATTATCGTCCCGTTGATAGCGCAGATATGGGCTTTACCGGTTGTCATTGCCTTAGCTGTATTACCGGGGACAGCATCAGCCTGGGTGAAATTTGCACTGGCGACATTGCTTGTTGGACACCCCTATCCACACGCCGTGCTAGTCGCGTTGACAAGTCGGAACGCTGGGACTGTGAGAACACGGACGGTGGCTAGTGCGCTTTACAACATGTTTATTCAAGCGGATGGTATCATTGCCAGCAATGTGAGTTTAAACTTCTATTCCCTGTGTTTACTTTTGAACTATACTAACAACAACTCTAGATTTACCGAGACCATGATAAACCCCTATATAGAACGGGTAACAGAGTCCTCATCGCCATCGGTGTATACAACATTTTCATGATAATTGGTGTTCGATACTATTATGTTTGGAGAAATAAGTATGTTTACACTATCCCATATCAATCCCGCCATAGAAGTATAACGGATACTAACACCACTTCACAGACAACGCGATACAATCTGGAACGCAATGACCAAGGACGAAAAAGAAAACTACCTCCGAACAACAACGGATAAGGGTAATAAGCGATTAGATTTTAGGTTCGCATATTAGACGGGTTATATTACTGTAGATATTCTCATGGATTTTTGCAAAACAAACCAGCGCGCATTTCGCTTTGATTAGACTAGATTAGTTAAGATAAGGTTTACGCACGATTTCTATTAAGACAATTAATTAGTTCTTTTGAAGTCCAAAATTCTAAAAAAAAAAAAACAATACCTATGCGTTGCGATGTGTGGTATATTGGATTACTTGGCATTCGATCCGAGATATCCATCGGAGATATTTCCGAGCCCGCGACCAGACTTTAGTCCAAACGTCATGCATGTCGACCGTGAAAATGCAAGGGAGAGCTTCAAGATATAAGACAAAGCCGAGCGACGCCAATATCTCGTAAGAAGAGTCATGTAACTTCGTATTACCTATCAATTGCTCCCCTACAAAATATAAACCCGACAAAGGAAATCGCCGCGCGCGCCGGGTACGTAGCAAGCGTCTAAGCTAAATCCGACCAACGTGCCATGTCCTCACCACTCATCAGAATCGTCAACTCGACCTTCCAAAGAACCAAAACCGGACCGACATTTTTCCCCAATCTAAATTTCACACTTGAATCCATCGCCTCGCGGACACCCCTGAAAAAACCTCAAAGATGGTCCATCATCGGTCCTTCGAATTCCGGAAAATCCACTTTTTTGCAAGTGTTACAGGGGTCACATATCTGCACACCCATTGTGGGTAGGACCTATCCCGCACTTACAGACAAAAAGAAATATGCGGGGTCTTCTATCGCTCTGGTGGATTTCTCAGCTCAGGGTGCATTCGGAGAGAGTGTGAAGGGGGAGTATATGTCTAGTCGGTATCTATTTTTCCCCCTCTTATTATATATGTTCTAGATACCAAGGCGAGTACTAACTTAACCTTGATATTTAGATATGAATCACGCCGTGGAGCTACAGATTTGACGTTACGTCAATGGTTAGAAAGAACAGCTTTACATCTTCCGCTATATACAGATAACTTTGATTTCGAATCCCATGTAGCGACAAAAGCCGCGGATATACCATTGGAGACTGTAACCACTGGTTTACGACTTACGGGGCTTCTAGACCAGCCCGTGAGTACTCTAAGTAACGGACAAGGACGAAGAGCTAGGATTGCACAAGCACTTCTTAGAGGTGTGGATTTGTTGTTATTGGATGAGCCTTTTAGTAAGATTCCCTTTGGAATATTTATGGATGAAGAGTTACCAACTAACTTTGGGAAAAGTGGGCTTGGATCCGTGGTCTATCGAACGGTTATCAGGGCTTCTTAAAACAATATCCTCATCTGAAGCTGCGAATGATACGTCACAGATTGCATCTCAAGTTGTAGTCACACAACGACCTCAGGATCATCTTCCGGACTGGGTGACACATATCGCTTATTTGCAGGATAGCAAGGTACTCACTATGGGTGAAAGGGACGAGGTCATAGCGAAAACATCCGAAAGGGGGATCCGGATAGGAGATGGAGATAAGCAGAATGATGGAATCCTTCATAAAGTTTATGGTACTGGAGTAAGCATCCCATCCGAGGATGCCAAAACGGAACCTGTAAAAGCCTCAGAAGAAGGGAAGAAAGAACCAGTCGTTGAAATGAGCGGCATCCAAATATCATATAGGGATCGAGAGATATTGAAGGATTTCTCGTGGACTATTAAACGTGGCGATCGCTGGGGACTATTCGGTCCAAATGGTAGGTTCAACCCCAGGTCGTGATACATTAGTATAGATATCTAGCTGACCCGATTGAACTCATAGGCTCCGGTAAAACTACACTATTAGCAATAATAACATCCGACCACCCCCTCTCATACTCCCAACCAGTCAAACTCTTCGGCCGTTCCCGACTCCCCGAAAAGGGCGTCCCGGGCATCTCAGTCTTTGAATTGCAATCCCTAATCGGCCACTCATCTCCCGAAATCCACCAATTCTTCCCTCGCAGGCGATCTCTTCGCAAATGCGTAGAGTCGGCTTGGGCGGATACGTTTATTACAAGACCCCATTTCCCGCCTAACGGGGAACAAATGGTTGACGATATTTTTAAGTTCTTTGATATATCACCCGAAGAACAGAACAGGGAGTTTGGAGAGTGTGGGGTTTCTACGCAGAGGTTGGCATTGTTTATGCGGGCGGTTATTAAGAAGCCTGATATTGTGATTTTGGATGAGGCTTTTAGTGGGATGGATGAGGATTTAAGGGATAGGTGCATGAAGTGGTTAGAAGAGGGATTAGAAGAAAGACAAGCGTTAATTGTGGTTAGTCATCTAGACGGTGAAGTACCGAGAGTGGTGGATAAATGGGTGAGGTTGAGGGAGGCGGGAGAAGGAGAGAGTGCAGTATTTGGTAAAAGAGCCTAACTAGGTACTATCAAAGGGGCTTTAATTTAAATTCAGCATTAGCATACAAACAATCTTAAGCCCAAAGATTGCATATGACCAGCTCCTACTAGAGACTGGTGAAGTTGTTGGATAGGACGGCGTTAGTGCCGAGACCGGCAGCTGTTCTTCTGGTATATTGAACCTATCATTTAACATTTCTCCAACATATAAGTATCTTCACCGAACCCCGTCATGACCATCGGCCAGGAAACAAATTTATAAACGGCACATCCCTTGAGTTTTCGGCTCCCCTATAGATTCGTCCAAATCTTCCACCTCCCCTTCTTTTCTTTCTCTAGTCCTCTTTTTCCTCCGGCTGGCCTCCAAGGCCAAGTCAGGAAACAAAACTTATCACTCCAAAGGTACGATTGGAAACAGCGTCACAGAATCAAATTCCTGCTTCCATAAATAGAGGTATGCGGGGAAGGTATTCATATACAGGGGACAATTCATCCCCCCCGGCCTCCAGAATTTAGGTTATACTCCTGCAGATGCGACGAGCATTACGGCTAGCAGACGAGCTAGACCGTCCCGGAATTCTTCCTTTCCTTTTGAAAACGAGGCTAGTGCATGGCGGTAAATGTCTCCTCTAGATCAATCCGAAATATATCTTTGGGAGTCTGCTCTAACTCTTCTCTTTCATCCCGAGCGAGATTTCCCAGGGAGATTTCATTGCCCAAGCAGCGTCAATAATCGACTATAGCATAAAACAGACTTCAGTTTCAATAAACGGTGACGCAGGTTTCGATAAGCTCTCCGCCGGAGCTTCGGGAACACAGCGAAGTTGGCCTCACAATCACCAGGATGCTGTTTGCAACTTAGAAGCCGTACGAGATCACCAAGTCCATGCAGCTCCGCCACTTACCGAATTCAAATTTGTATTGGTAGAGTACGCCAAGTTAACTTTAAAAGGGGATATGACAACTATGGGAGCTCAAGACTAGCCCAATACGGAGTTCACGAGGAGATAGGATCTATATATCTACTTTAGCCCCACGGCTCCAACCTCTGGCGTGTATGATGGGCTTTCATTAAGACTATAAATATTGGCCTCGAGACTACCCTAAATACCCGCAGCATCATACTAGTGCATGAGAGTCATAAATTTACTTTTTTTTTATATATTTAGTTTACACGGTTGATAACTTTTCAGACCCAGATCCAGACCCAGATCCAAATCTAGAGCCCTGCCCAACATCTCCAGCTTCACCTTGAGCAGTACTACCACCCGCACTCTCGCCTTCCCCGTCAATATCAACATCAGCACTAGCAGCATCACCAACCTGCCCCTCCTGCCACCTCATAACATCCCCAAACGCCTCCTTAAAAGCCGCCAGGTTCCCTTTGCCCCTATCCTCCCCATAAATCGCAAAAACCACTTCACGAACTCCACTCCAAACCTCCCTCTCCTCTCTTCCCCACCCCTCACTCCCAAACCTCCTACCACAAATAACCCTCTTAAAACACTCCGCCACAAGCGCATTAGGATTCCCATAAGCCCCACACCCAAAAGCTCCAGCCACAAAATGCGTAACCCCCTTCTCCTGCGCAACCCTCATCATCCCCTTCACCCCAAAAATCAACTCCTCATAAGAAGCCTGATCAGCATACCTCTTCTTATCACCCGTCAACTCGGGACGTTTAGGTGCAGCCATAGATATAACATCCACATAAAACCTATCCTCCACCTTCAACATCTCATACCCTTGTGTCATAAACACCAAAACATCCGACGTGAATACCGCAGCTCCGGCGGGTAATGGATGAAAATGTCGTTTTAGCAAAGAAGGATACAACGTACTCCTCCTACACAACGTCTCCTCCTGCGCCTGAGAACCGTTGAGTACCCCTCCACCGGGGTTAGTATTAGACGCCATATTCAATACTCCAACTCTAACCCTCCCGGCCTCGTAATCCCTCGGAAACTGCGATTTTAAACGACCCACAAGATCCCTAGCCGCATCGAAGGTATCGTTGTATACCACCGAGATCTTGGGGATATATGGATTACCGCCCGTCTTTGTCACAGTGGGGATTTCGGAATAGCTGTATTTTTGGGCACTTTCGACACCGGCTTTTGCACGGGGTGTGTGCTGGAGAATATGTGGGATTGTGGTGTTTATGGTTTCGCGGGCGAGACGGGCTCGTTCGGCTTTGGCGGGGGACATGAAGCGGTTACGGCCTCGGCCACGACTTCGTCCGTTACCATCATTACTACTACCACGATTACCGCTATGATCGTCTCCGTGGGATGATGATGTGTTGGGAGCGTTGGATTGTGAAGATGTGTTGGAGGAGCTGTGGTAACCTCTGTTGCTGCCTCGATTGTTATAGTTAGAGTTGCTGCCGCCGCCGCCTCGACCTCCACGATAGGAAGGTCGGTGGTCGGTGGACTCTTCGGGGTTCATGGTTATAAATCTGATTTGTGATGGTTTAAGAATAGAGAATACTGAAACAGTGGATTGTGGAGGTGGAGGAGGAAATATAGATCGATATCTGGGGTTTAGCTTTAGTATCTGTCTGGGTTTGGAGTACTTATACATCCTTGAATTAAGTGTGCGGATGGAGTTTGTGTAGAGATGTATGGCCTCTTTTCAGCCCCAGATTTGATTTAAACTAGCCCTGGAAAATATGAGTAACTTTCTTGGACTTGCTGAGGGAGTCATAATCTACAAGATAAACATGGGAAGTGAGACGCTATAAATGCAAAGTTGCAAAAAAGAATTGAAAAAAAAAAAGAATCATTTTGTTATCAATAACGTTAGTTCTTCCGTGGGATTATGTCTCTTGGATCGAGGATCAGTTTTATTACACATCGTTCCGGGCCCAATCATGATCCGATATTGTTTTTCTCCTTCCATGTTATTTGATGTACCGTTTGTGCGGCCATAATGCCATGCTTGCTAATGCCCATACTAATCTGAACCACCTTTCAATTATCCCATCTCAAGCCTGGGCCGCAGAAGAGAAAAATAGGTATTTTAGTCAGTCTCAGCCTTTCAGGCCCAATTTAATCTAGGTCCCAGTTCCAGATTTCAAAACCGCAAGATGGGCGAGAGAAGAGAGTGAGTATCCAAGGCCAGTAATTAGAAGAACGGTTTATAATCCCTTCTTCCCAGCCTTCCTCTTGTCTGCCTCAACATTCTTGAACGGGAATCCACTAGTTCTCTTATCCTACAAACCCATCATCTATCAGCATCTTTCCACTATAGAAAAAAAAAAAACCTATGGAAAAAGAGAGAAAAACTCACCGCCCCAGTCTTCCTACTAATCCTCCCATCACTCGTCGCAAAAAGCACACACCAAACCCCAGAAGCAGCCAAAATAGTCCCCATAATAGTAGCAATCCCAAACCCAAAATTTCCCGTCTCATTCCACATCGTATAACAATAAAAGCTCACGGTAGCATGATACGTCGCCGTAATAATAAGCGCCGGAAGAGCATACGGAGCAGTGGGGTCTTCAAGACTTGATGATGGATCGGCGAATGAGGTTTTGAGAGGAATCGACCCCGTTAGGAGGACGGTTAGGAGTCCTATTGTGATTACGGCGAAGCCGAGGGAGCGGGAGAAATAGACTTCTAGTGCTGTATTTTTTTTAAAGAAAAAAATCAATTTAGTGTTAGTTTTCACTCTGATCGTTACTATCTCGTGGAAAGATATTGTTTGAGCGGGGGGTTTCCATACGTGTTGATTCGCGGACTTCGGGAGAAAGCATGGTGACCATCATCGTGGGAGACGATAATAGAGGAATAGATTGGAGAATCATCCAGCCGGCAGCGGCTAATCCCATGGTTCCTTCGTGTCAGTATGTTATCTTCGAATCGTCATGGGGGAAAAAACGCGTAGTTTGAAGTACCGTAATTATATGCTATCATACACGTTAGCAGTGACATCATCGTAAATACACTAAAAATTATCGACATACCGTAATAAACATCCATGATTTCTAATCCTTATCTTCCTCCGAAAGTAGTGGTGTTGGGTATTAATATCGTAGATAGTAGATAGAGAAAAAAGGCTTCAAAGGTCCGAGGAGGAGGGAGAGAAATGAAAGTGAAGAGAGAAAAAAGAGGTACGTATCGTACCAAGAGAAGCGTGGTTTAAATAAGTCTGCAAAGAAGATCAAAAGATGGCTTTTTTGTATGCATGTGCGATACGTTTCCAAGATGACGGAGTTGTACCGCCAGGAATCCTCTGGGAACAGGGTAGTCGACGTCATCGCTCGGTTCACTTCCGGCTGACAACACCAATGGCCCCTGTTGCCGTTTTAGGTCGCTTACCTAGTTGGGCCCGCCGCAGAAATCCGCCAACCGAGTTGCCCAGGCCACCGCCTCTCGTGTCTGTAGATTTAATTCATTCTATTCGATGGAGAGTGAGTGATATTGACTGTTATATTGTCCATTCTATCTATTCGACCTCTGAATGCTCCTAATCCACACTTCTCACCCCACGACCCCGTCCTTCTGTCTAATATAAATAGAACCGCCATGAAAAAAAACATCATCCACCAGCGGATGTCATCTCAAAAGCGAAGCGAATGATAACGAAAATAATCAAATGAAATGGAGCAAAGTCGATGTGAAAAAAGGAAATTGAACATAAGGAAATAGAGAATTTTATAAACAAGACACCTTGAAAATGCATATGCTAAACACCAGAGAGAGATAGAGTAGGGAAAGTATGAACAAAGGGAAAAAAAGGAAATGGAAAAGGAAATAAAGTTGGGTATGGAAAATGTACAAGGAAAATACGGTGTTTACTGGAGAAACGTCTTTTTGATTTCGTATTCTCTAGAATGATTGGTAAGAAACGATATTAATCGTTTTTCACATATATGAAAAAGGAAAGTTCTAAATGTTGATTTCCTTCCTTCTTCTCAAAATCTTTTCCTGTTATCGCCAGGCCGGGGTTATAGGCCTTTGACATGGCCACCGTCGCCTGGGATTCGAAAAATCTACTTTTTCTCTTCCAGCAAAACTACAAAAAAAAAAAATCCTCAACTAAAATCTCGAAGCACCCCAGGTCTCGCTACCTCTTCTGCTGTCCCTATCACCAAGTTGAACATATGGATCGTTTCTCCCTTCGACCCCACTAGTATCGCTTCTGGAAGTGTTAAATCCAAAGCTGCTAGTTGGGCGATGTCTAGCTCTTCTTTCCATCATCTGAAAGTCACGATCATATTTCGACGGTTGAGGGGGTGGGGTATTGCCACGGAGTTTGGTACGGCTTTGTTGCTTGCTACGACGGAAGAGGAAAACGCCAACGATGGCGAGGATCAAGAAAGCGATGATACCACCGGTAATACCGGCGATTACACCAGTGGGAAGACCACCTGGTTGCGAGGATTCGGATGGGGCTGCGGATGTGGTTTCTGATGGAGAGGATGTATTTGTTGCGTCTGGAGATTCGGTGGGGGATTCGGATTCTTCGCTGGTAGGTTCTGGAGATGATGGAGATGTCCTAACGGCGGTAGAAAGGGTGGTGGGAACTTCGGAAGTTGTCGATAGTTCTTCAGATGTAGATGTAGTAGCGGCTTCGGAAACAGAAGTCGAAGTGATAACTTCTGAACTGGTCTCTACTACACTAGTGCTGCTAACGACCTCAGATGTCGTCTCTGTCGACGTAGGAACCTCAGTGCTAGTACTCGTAGGCTCAACCGACGAAGCCGAAGTTTCACTCGTAGTTTCGGCAGGGGCGGCCGAACTAGTAGTTTCTTCAGCAGGGTTGGCAGGAGCACCAGTAGGTGCGAAAGTCGATGCCGGAGAGTCAATCTTGAAACTGGGAGAGAATCCAAAGTTTCCGCTTTCGTCGTTTACGATTTTGAATTGGTAGACTTGGTCGGCTGCCATGGTCTGCATGCCTTCGAGGGTGAGAGGAGGAGTCCATTCGAATTTCCCGTTGTTGGCGACATTTGCTATCATTATCCATTAGCATCCATCATTCCAAAAAGTAGTGATTATGTTATTTTGGATGTATAGAGAATATTGGGGAAAACATACGAGCGATGGTATCAAGGACTTGCAAATTCCCAGGAACACCTTTAACAAGAACAATGCTAACAGTCCCAGGATTTGCAGAAGCAGTCCATTCAATCGGGAACGGTGTTCCTGCGACCCAAACCTCCCCAGCGGCGGGTTTTGTAATTGCATTCTCGTTGTTTTCGGCTCCCTGGGCGCTAACGAAGGGAGCAGCAATCGCAGCTAACGAAAGCAACGAAGATAAAAAAGAGAAACGCATTGTGAGTTTCTAGAAAAATCAAATCCTAGAGACTCAAGTAGGGAGCGAAAAGTCGATGTCTGAGAGAACGATATCGATGCCGACGACGTTGAGATGGAAGAACCTTCCAGCCGTGGTACCTGCGAAGGTTGATGGTTGGTTGGTTGGTTGGTTTGGTTGAGATGAAGCCAATGCGACAGGCGCTGACGGAAGTGTGTTGCTCTCAAAGCACACAGCGTTGTAGCCCAACACAAAAGGTTCCCCGCAAGGTGTTCCAAAATTAGATGGGCTTAATTTTCTTTTCTAGAATCTCAATCTTCCCTGTCCAGGCCAATATTAATTTTGCCAATTGCAATTTCTGCCCTTTTTCTCTAAAATTCGAAATATCAGTTCTCCTCGCTTGTCGAATTGAAGCTTTGTAAGTGCCTTTCTACCAGTCCGTCGGGTGGTATAGTATGGTCGATTAAGTGAGGGTCGTTTGTAGTGGGTCGATGCAAGGAGCGGCTGCAGGTACCCAAGATTCAATACCACCGAATATCTATATCCTTCCTTCTTTCCCTTCCTTATTATATTAGAATCCAAGGGACGGAGAGATCGATCGATATCAAATATACTGATTTGAAAGGTCGGTAGAGCAAATAATATAAATAAAAAAAAGGAAGTCCGTCTACCAAGTTTTTCCCAGAAAAATATGGCAGGACACGAGAGAAAGAAGGACACACGACAGCACTCAAAGCATACGCAACAAAGAAAGAAAGACGCGGGAATAATCGAATAGGAGAAAGAGAGTGAACAAAGAAGAGTAAGAAGAAAAAGAAGAAAGAGTAGGAAAGGAAGAAAAGGAAGAAAGGGAATCCTGTCACGAACAGGGAAGGGGCCGGCTTTTTACCAGTATACGGAGTACTACTATCGATTTAGTAGTATACCTGTAACACCACCGAAGAACCACCACCCCGGTCAAATCATATGCGCCTCTCTCTCTGCCTCTTTCTGTTCCTGAGTGGACATGGATATGGATATTCTCACTTGCTTTTCTGTGCGCATAACTTAATCCGGTCAGGGAAGAGGGGGTGGTTACTTTCACAAATTTTAGTTTAACTAACGTTACGGCAAAAATCTCAATTAATGCACATCAGGCACCATCCTACCTTGAACTGCAATCCCAATTCGATTCCAAGGAGCTTCTGCGACGGGGTTAAGATAAACTGGATTACCGATACATACTATGCTGGAATTTCAGGGCGACAATTGACAGCGGGCTTACATTAGCGGGCGCGCGCATTGCATAGTAAGTTTCTCTATTCTAGGTAAGGTTTCGCACGTAGCCGTCTATTAACACGGGGGGGAAGTCTGTATTTAGATCTGGGACATGACATGTCAATACTTTAGGACTTCGTTTCTTTCTTTACATAGTAATTAATTAACTAGTCTGGTATGAGAATTTTCCACCAGACGGATGCATGGGCAGTGCAGCTTAAACTTCCCCCTTCCGAAGCACCCCCTTTTGAAGGGTTTCCAAAGGGAACGTTCGTTTCAGAATGATTCGCTAACCTGTCGCAGATGTTCCCTTTTGGGTGTGACCTCAGGGACAGCCGAACGTGAAAATTAACCCCACCGATCCCTTGGATATTTTTCTTAGTAATAACTTTCCCCCAAAAAATTCCTTTGCTTTTTGAGAATTTGGTTAATTATCCTTCTCAGTTGATTGTATTGATTGATTGTATTATTTTATTAATTACCTTTGTGGTTTTAATTTTGTTAACATGTTCAGGGGCATGGTATGAAGATGCCATGAGGACATCTAGACATCTGTACAATTCGGCCCTGCGATCCCATATGATCGATCGTGAATTCTTATGCCATGCCACCCACCATGCATCCATGCCTAATGTTAGCTTCGGTACTAGTTAATGTATATGTAAGTATACCCCAATGTTTCTGAAGAAGGATGTTTCGGGCGGACTTCAGCCAAGGCGGCTATGGCAGGCAGGAGGTAACGAACCAATCATGCGAGAAAGATTGGACGTTTGAAATCGAAAGCGTTAGACGTCGGTCGATCGACGGGCTGGGAATTTTCAGCCTGAAGTTTATCGACCAATTAGAGAGTATATTATCTTACGTCGGCCTCAAAGGCTTTAAAAATTTAATCCGACCGATGGTTCTTGTCGAATTGGGCAATTTCAAGAGCATCGAAAATTCGCAAATACGGTTCAATGGCCTAGAAAGGGCTTTTCCCAGAATGGCAGTTTCTCTTGTCCAACTCCAACATCTGTGGATCATGCTCAATCATCTCCTCGGTATTCCCAGATCACAGAGCGATTGCTTCCAGAAATATAATGCTCTGAGCTCCTCCTAGATAAGTAACTTAAATTTTGCCATTCTATCCAAACCCCTCTTTGAAGAAATTAATTGCAGGACCAAATTATCATTCAAGCGCTGCAGATCTGTCGCTACAGTCAACGTTAAGCGGCCCGTGGCTCCACTCGAGGAATGCTACTCGGCCCCAACATCCACATCTTGAGCACTTACATCCATAGTCTAGACACCTCAACTAGATATACTTGATAACATAGATAGTGTAAAATTTAGTATTTACGGGTACTATCGCAATTCTTTCGTTATAATTGAAAATAATTCGACTTTTTTTGTTTGTTTCAACTTGTTCATCGACCAAACTAGGCTTCCCATGATCAGATCCCTGCAATTGAAACATTACGAACCATATTCTCCTGCCCGGTTTAACGTCACACGGGGACTGGGAATTGCAACGCGAATCCTTGTCGTATACCAGATAAAAGAAAAGAATACGATGACCGTTTTTACAGGGTTCGTGAGTTATTCGGGACGGTAATTATAATTATATCGAGCACTTGTCTAAGTAGGTATATACTTAAGTAGATATATATATTTCGATTGATTCAGATCGATCTAGTTCTACTATTTCAATATTTATTTAGCTCCATCTTGCAGAGTCCTTCTCTGCGACCAAGCCTCAAACTCCTCCACAAACTCCTCGTAAGTGCGTTCACGGTATTCGTCCTCGCCTCTCAGAAGGTCATAATCACGATCATGAAAAATCTTCAACCAGACCTCATTCGGCCGGCCGTCAACGTACAAATTATCCATCCTCAACTTCGGGTTGTTTTCAAAGAAAACATAAATCGCATCCGCCATATCGTAATATGATTCCAACTCAGTGAAAGTGTCATTGTAACTGATATGAAGTTTCTCAAGGCAGCAAGTATAATCCGCTATAAGTTCGTAATCCTTCTCGTACATCCTTGCATCTCTGATCACCAGTTTTCTAACAGTTGAAGGAGGCACGCCCTTGAATTGTTCCTCATACCATCCCATAATTGTTTTTAAGGTGTACCCATCAACTTCCTCGTCAGTAGCGCAGCCTCCGATTGTGATTTCTTCGATTCCGGGGATAAAGAGTATGGGGAGGAAGTAGTCTGCCCTCCAGCCCCATTTATACTCTGCGACCAATGCGTCCCCGTTCAACTGGTGATTGAACTTTTTGAGCCTTGATAGTCCAGGGAGGTAGTTGCCGGGATAGCCGGTGTTCAGATGAAACCAAGTTCTGAATTGCTCACTGGGAATGTGAGGTAGTATGATCGTGGGGACACCACCTCCCTGTCCAAATTCGTCACCATCTTCTTCTTCATTGTCTCCATCTTGTTCCTTCTCTTCCTTCCCCTCTTCCTTCCCCTCCTCCTCCTCCTCTTCCCCTTTCTTTTTTCCCCCCTCATCGCTACCACCACCGCCGGACCTTGATTTAAAAATTTTCCTCAAGCAATCTTCCGGATAACCCTCACAATTAAACAACTCCGTCACAACATCCCCCAAATCCAGACTCCCCAAATTCTCCGTAAAACAAAGTATCAAAGGCAACAAAGCCTCAGAATTAACCCCTCCCTTAATAGCCACATACGTCTCCGGCGTAAGATACTTATCAATAACGGTTTCTTCCAACCCCTTCATAATCCCAAGATCCTTCTCCGTCCACTCCCACTTATCGGTCCAAGTATCAGGATCATCCGGTTCCCGACGACACCATTCCACAGTTAGGTCTGTAATCTGACTACCGGCTTTCGGATCCGATAGTAAGAATCTTGTGAACTTCCACATTGAGTGTTTCGGTTCGTCGATACGGAGGGTATATGACCTAAGAGGGATCATACGTATAACTGCCCGGAATTGCTTGCAGACCGTTTTAGCGTTTGTGAGAGATTCTATATCGAGGAGTTCGAAGACCTCGAGGAGGACTTCGGTTGGTAAGGCGGTTATGGTGGCCATGTTTCTCTGGGCGATAAGGAGACGGTATCAAAATGAACTTGATTGATAAGTCTCTATTTTAGAGTTCTGGTTTATAAGAATGGGATTCATGAAGGAGATGGTCGGGATACATACCGATACACCTAGCTATACCATTGACGGGGATATATATATATATACCTACTATACCTTATACTACACCAAACCCCACGTAACAAAAAAGCGTGAACGTTACGCGCATGTCAAACATGTAGCCAGATTTTCGTTGTCAAGTCTCCTCGAGCGCGTCAGATATGTTACAATCTATGCATGCCGGCCGGGGTATAATAGACTTATCATACAGAAACATAAATAATACCCGTGGATCCGGATCCCCGGACCAATACATAGGGGGCAATCGATCCACTCAAGTGATAGGGACTGACAATTCACAGATACCCTTGAATTGTGAATACCCATACATCTGGCATGCTTCGCGAATGGTGACAACCCGATGTCTTACAAGGTTAAACCTAGAACCGGAAAGAATAGGCTAACCATGCACCTTGAAAGATTGTAATCATATAATTCTTCTTTATCGACCTGGTAGTATAGTAATATTCTCCAAAGAAAGTCTTTCGCCCAACCAAACAGGAAAAAAAAAAGTACCAAAGTACCTAATCATCTATGTACAATGAAAGAAATATTTTTATCCGCGCACAATCTACAGCGCATTCCACAAAAAAAACAAGACAGAGAAGAAAAAAAAGAAGTTGTCGATGGTATCAAAGCCGAAAAGGGAGGTAAAAAAACATCTTCGAGGAACCCCTTCGAAGGCCCAAAAAACAAAAAAAGGAATGTGAAAAATAAAAATGCTTTTTTCTTGTAAACAGTATCGTTGGAGTATCCCCACGTGATTCTGACCTGCGTGTTTCCTACTTTGGTAGGAAGCAGTGTAATAAATTGTAGCCGAAGCCAGGCCTTCTAGTTCCAGGGCCTTCCTAATTCTGAACCATGGTTCAAGAATTTTATATCAAATCTAAACCCTGTCTGCAAAGTCTATACAAAGACAACCGGTGTATGTTTTTGTGTATGTATCTGTATCGTCATAACGAGAGTTCCCAAAGAAAAAAAATCCCAAAGCTCTTTTACTCCGCCTTAACCTCTCTCTTTTCCCCACCATTGACAGCAGGCTTGACAGTCTTGCCGCCTTTTCTTGGTCCCAAATAGCTCTTAATAAAGAACATCACGAACAAATAAGTCAATGGGGTCAGGTAAACCACGTTCGTAACAACAGCCCAGACCTCAGCACCGCCGCTAAGACAGCTGACAAACTCTTTGTTCAATTCTCCGATGTGCATATCGATACCGGCATTCTCCTTGATGGTGTCAGAGATGTCGGTTAGGACTGTGGGTGGGATGTAGGAGATGAAGATTTGAATAGCGGCACCAGAACCACCAACGAGGAATTGGGTGATTTGCATGGTGGTGAGGAGACGTTTGATTGGTGTTGGGACACGGATTTTGAAGGCAGAGAGGGTATAGTAGGTATACTATATCACGGGATATTAGTTTCTGTGGTGTCTCATGATCAATTGACTGAATTGGAGAGAGCTTACCATAAGAGTATGGATGGCGGAGTTGAAGAGAACAAAGATGAAGATTGGAGGAGACATGAATCGAATACCAGCCCACATGCACATCATAGCACCGGCATGATGATCTATATTTTCTCGTTAGTCAATCTATCCTCTACCCTGATAATTCAAATGAGGGGTTAAAAAACAGGAGCTTACAAGTCTGTAGGGTGCTGCTCTTCCTTCCCTTAGCCAAAATGATAGCGGTATCGATAACCTCATAAAACTTGCTGAGATAGAACAACCATCCATAAAACGCCAACCCTTCTTCCCACAATCCACTCCCCGAAGCAATTCTAGGGCTTAATCCACTAACATCGTTGATTCCAACTGCCACACTTTCATCGTGGATCTTGCAGAGTCCGTGAACGAACCCACCGAATCCATTGTCCCAACTGATAGTCCTCTGAAGCGTCGATGTGATGCCTACAAAGGTCCAGCCGGAGTAGACAGCCAAAAAGGCATTGTGGAGAATAACAAACCACTTGAAAGCAGCGGTTTTGGCGAAGGAGTAGGGGGTTGGAGGGGTAGTTTTGGAGGCTACAGAGTTGAGATAGTGAACGGTGATGGCGTAGACGGTGGCAATGGTAATTGGCACCCTGACGTCGAGAAGCTGGGTGTAGATATCACCGGGGATAGCATGAGGAATTGAAGGTGGGATTGGCTGAGAGGCGTTCTGGAAGTTGAAGAACGAAGAAGGAGGGACGACAAGGCGGACAGTCGACATTGTGAGTATGATATGCTCTATCTAGAGCTTAGGACCAGTCCTGGAAGATATTGATATTGAATCTGTGCGGGATAGAAGCTATGATGATAGCTGGTCAGTTCCGTGGACCCTGTCTCGAGTGTACTTTTTCAACAGCCAACAGAATTGGGTGTTTGCAAGACAGACGTTGAAATAGAAAAGAAGGTTTCACGGAGGAAAGGCTGAAGGGACGAAGAGAGAGAAAAAATCTTAAAAATAAAAAGATTTTAAATTATAGTGCCCGAGCGGAACATACCTTTCTTTCTTGCTTTCTTGCTTTCTTTCCTTTTTCCTTTTTCCAGTTTTTTTGGCCTGTTTTCTACAACCGGAATAAAAAAGCCAACCCGATTGATTGATTGATCGATTGACTGATCGATTGACTGACAGATCTTTAATCTTTACAGCAGGCAGGAATGAAGAGATCAATAGCGTATATAAAAAGGCTCAACAGGACGACAGACGGGAAAGGCTTCAACCCCACGAGATACAAACTGTCACAAGACACCCAATCTTTGGGCTACCGAGGTCATAAACAGCGAATCGCAAGCTAGATCTCCAGAAATCGGAGCTTCACATGTGCCAATCAAAGCTGAGTACCACTCTTCAAGGCTACCCAAAACTGCACATTTCTCCGTTCAACTGCCAGCGATATCTAAAAGTGTTGAGAAAACCAGCAGGCAAAAGGAGCGTGAATGTCGTTGGTTTCGCTAAGTTTAGCTATTGAGTTTGCGCATAATGGCCGCCCTCCTGTGCAAAGGCCAATTAATGGCGGGGGTGGTGGCAGCATAGTGTCGGCTCTTTCTTTTTTTTTTTTTTCTGTTCTGAGGTTTTTGAGTTTTTTTTGTAATTCAATGGTATTTTTGTTGGGAAAATCAGAAACCGCTGGAACAGGGCCTTTGGGGGTTCATGCAGGTCGGCCATGCCTGCATCTCAACTGGAGAAACCATGTCAAATTGACGCTGGTTCATCGAATGAGCGGACGAGCTCGTCGGGAGCTGCCATGCACCTAACCGGACTCTGCTTAGTCCCACGCCGCCTTCCCTTGGTACGTACATATCGCCGGTATCTTTCTCAACCCCCTCCCCCCTTGTTGGTAAACCCCCCCTGTTGGTTGCCTCCTTTGCGGGGCAAGATGGGCAGACAAAAACCTACTTGATCTTCGGTTGATTCGTTCGGCCAAATGGGAGTAGCATCGAAGTAACTCTGATAACAGTAGTACTGGTACTAGTACTGGCACAATGATGCAACTGGAAGGCGGTTGGGTAAAGGTTAATATCTTCGATTCACATTCCGTAAGATCATGCAGATGGTTAGTTAAAACTTACTTAAGCATTACTATCGAGCTCAAGCTTGGTACGGAGTACATGTACACGTCCTATATACCTAGCATCTTCAAGGAGTTTTGTCTTTCGGTCGGGGCTTGATGTCACAGCTGCAGAGGTTACCGATGCTTCGAAGGACCATCCCGGTCTTTCGGCTGATTCGGGTTCTCTGCCGTGGTTCATTCCTCCGTTGTGTCACGCAGAATACCACATAACAACGCATTTATTTTATGACAACAACACAGGCTACTTTTACGACTACATTCACGTTAACTTCACGTTTCGATCTTTTAATTGTAGAGCGAACACAACGTGTGATTTGATGTTTTAAGATGGGAACTAAACTAGCTACTAGTATTTATATTTATGTGCGTATGCGTATATATTAATAAGATACTCTATTTACATATTCTGAAACACTCTCTGATGCTTATTATATACAGGAGAAAAGGGATATTATATTCATGAAATCAATGAACTTCATGAACAAATAGGTAAAAGGCAAGAGCATCAAATGATATTCATTTGTTTCACCTATTATCGCCACCAAATATATGCAACATCTAGCAGTGCTACATGCCTATGGTGGCCGGCGATACCTCTATTGTTGCCATCTTGGCCTCTAGTAGAAACCCCCCACCCCACATGATTGTCGAGGGTGACTGTACCCTTGACGTTGGGCCCAAATGTGATGAACATGCCACCGAGACTGTCAGACAGTCCCGGGCCATACGGTGTTCTTTGATGGGAGATGTTGATGGAATATAAGTGGGGCGGGAGGTTTTGGCAGAACTGGGCCGGAGCCCTATGTTTTGCGGGCTCAGCGAGCAGATAATCTAGAGCCCCTTTGTACTCTTCCATGCATATGCCCGGCGACACCGCCGTTATCTTCCAAAGGTGGCGCCGAATGCATGTGCCCGGCTACACCGCCGGCGCCACCGGTACTTCCATGGGGGCGACGGAAGTTGTTCCCTCGACCCCCCTCCAATACTTGGGGGAGGGAAAATTCCCTACCCCCGAGACTAGTACGAATAGCCGGAACCAAGCCCTTTATGAATGTTCAAGAGGCCGGAGCCTCTCGAACATTCATCCATCAAGGGCAGTGAGGGGCCGGAGCCCTTATTTCCACCCAGCATCTAGGACGATGAGGGCCGGAGCCCTTCTATTCTTGCGAACCATGCATCTGGGGGTAGGAGGGCCGGAGCCCTTATGAACATAGGAGGGGCCGGAGCCCCCCTATGAACATAATCGCCACCGGAACTCCCCTTGAATGCCCCCCGGCACCAGATGCAGCCAGGGCCGGAGCCCTCTATCAATAAATATCTCTTCTCATTGACCATTCTGAGCTGGTCAAGGTTCTTAGCATCTGAGAGCGTCTCGCATTGGAAGTAAGCTTGCTCCCAGTTTCCTAGGGAGGTTGACCCATCCCCGGGGGGCATTTCTAAGCCCATGGATCCCTGAGGACCCAGGGCATCTTTGTAGGCCGCCTCAAGGAGTCCAGGGAACTTTAACGGAGATAGTTCCCAAATAAATAGATATGTACATTGGGGACCCAACATCAACTCTGGTTCGTGAGCTGTGGGTCCCCAATATAACATATTTATTATATTATGGGGTGTATGGGTGATGGGGGCCCCGGGGGGGATGGCCTTATTTGCCAAATGCTGCTCGTGGTCATATCCGAGGGGCTATGTGGAAACTATACGTTAGTAGGCTCATATATGAGTATAACGAGAAACTTATATCAGAATCTGACTTACTATTGCTAGGACCCCTCTGTGTTAAAGCCCGGAGGCTTGTAAGGCTTATTAGGCCCGGAGGCCAAGGCAAAAGCCCGGAGGCTTGATACCCATTATGATATAAATGTTATCCATAGCCTAGTGGAGAAGGCTTTCCCAGCCAGCTATGGAAATGTGTGGTTATAGGGATAAATAGTAGTAAAATACATAACTGACTTTTTGTGAGCCTTAAAGACTCTGCTGTCTTCAATATATTACTCCGAGATACCCAGGCCACAGCATTGATTCAATACGGGCCTGAGGTATCTCGGAGTAATATACTTAAAGACGCTGTGTATGAGCCACGGAGGCTATCTTCTTGAGGTTACTACCGGAAGTATGGAGAGAGATGAAAAGAAGGAAGGGAGAGCTTTCGACGAGAAGAGGAGTTCTTTAAATGCTCGAGACTAGGGAAAAATTTCCATTAATTCATGCTGCTTTCCTAAATAAGACTCGTTAACGGTGGCTAAGCGTGTGATTGAAGTCCGAGATATTATCATGGGAATGCGGGAGTACTGTGGGTGCGGGGTATGATGGAATACTTCGTGCAAGCTTTTTTGAGATCACGGTCCGCCTCAAGACATATCGACAGATTGGGTGGTGGAGCGGGCTGCTTGGGTTTGCACGACTTCATTGTTATAGATTTTTACACCACCCTGGCCATAGGACATATTTAATTAGACAGCGTCGATTGATGAAGCGAACCTATAGCTTCAAAACCATATCTTAGAACCGTTATAGGTGCGTCATTTTCCACGACCTTGATTTTTGGAATTTCCACAATAGATTTCCGGACTGGGATACCCAATGTAATTGTCAAGAATGAATTAGGCTATACAAGTACTGCATAGCTATAAGTTGCGGGATCTAGCGAGGATATATTAATATTCACAGTTAAATCCACACAACCTAAAAATATCGTCATGGTTTTGATATTAATATATTACTTCAAAAAGCCTAGGACTTCTAAGAAAATACCCGTTATAAAAGTAAAATCATAATTTCCGATCCTGCGTTGTAGACTGTTGTATTTTCTTTTCTAGGTAAACGGAGAGACCTCCAAAGTTTAGCTTTGTATAGACGCTGCGCTAAGGTACATAGGGGTTTAGTTTAGCTCTGTCCTATGTGGTAAAACCGTCCTCGGTAACTCAGAAAACACTTCTATCTAACTATCTATCTATCGACTAGCTAGAACTAGATATATTATGGTATTTATACACAAGGAAATATGAATTTGCCTACTAGTACTCTGAAGCATGTATATTCTGCTGGAGGTCTGGGCAGAATTCCAGTCATGATAACACTAACTATATCTGCACGCAACTGGTATAACATAAACTCAAAGTGGTTAGGCGGGTCAATCTTTACGCTTTATGCGTGGGCACTTTCGGCACAGATTACCATGGAACCAAATCATTCCGCTACGGTACCATACCAGGTAGCCTAGGTTCCAAAGCGAAGTACACAGCCTCCATGGGTATTTCGTATCAAATTACACTAGTAACGAACGGCCTCATGAGTATTAGTTCCCTATATATAGGCCTAGGATAAAAAATTCAAAACAATTACGACGGCAAGGAAGAAGGAGGTGGAAAAAGAACAAAAAGTGGTAAATATCTAGCGGAATGGACTAATATAATTTTTGTTGGGGATCTAGAAAGTTTCTCGCGATTGTCTAGCAGAATACCGGTCCCATCCCCAGTGTATATATTTCAAGAGCTTTTAAATCTATAATTAAAACGAGATGCTTATATAATTATGATCATCCGTGGTTTAGCTTTGCTAGCATGGAGAACCCCCAATCACTAAATCAGTATGATTATCTAGTTTTGGCTTTCCCGATGTCAAGGGCGCTATATTGATCATCTATTATTAGTTCTTGTTCCAATTCAGAGTTCGTAAATCTTATTCCTTTCGACCTTAAAAGAAGCCGATGATTGCTATTCTGATATTAGTTTTAGGATAGCGGTAAATGTAGTGCCTAGGAGTAATAGTATGGTCGTGAGAGTTACTCTGTCATTGGTTGAACCATCTAGTTACCCCATTCTAACATTATTTCCAGACTCTATTAGTTTAAGGCCATCGCTGACCTACAGCTTTTGTCTGGCTTCAAGACTAAGCATGGATAAACTCACTTATGGAAGTTTAGTTTTCAACGCAAAATTGTTAACTTTAACTAGGGCGCATTCAGGCCGACCTCGAATTCGGGCCTTTAGGACAAGATTTGTCATTGATTCTTCTCGTATCTAGAAGAAGCCTTTCCTCTAACTTAAAGTATAGCGCCAGAGAAAATATCTATATACCCGCTGAACAAAAAAGGATGAGGGTTTTTATCCTGTTCGTTGACCTTAAGCGCCTCATGCCGACAAAAAAAGAAAAGAAAAACACATTTGAAACAGTCCACCACAACGAGACCAGTCCACCATCAGTTTTCTATCCACCTTCATTTCCCTTCATATGGCAAAGCAATTGTGCAGCGTCAAACCCACTCAATGTATGACCATGCCCTTCTGGATGCAAGTTAAGTTTGCAACCTATATCCACCATTCCAGTCGCATATTCTGCCTTCTCCCAGAGATTGGCGCCCGCAATATCTCGCTTTTTGCATTTGCAACGACTGCTGGCTGTTGCATATTTAGATTCCGCGTTTTTCATACGACTCCACTGAGCTTTCAAAAGCTGCTGCGCTGGTTTTTCCTTCTTCAAATTTATCACTCGCGTGTGAGTTGAATTTTGAAGGGCCTCGATTACGGTGTCGAGATAATGAACATAATCATAAAATGTGGCGTTGTCCCAACGAAGTCCATCTAGCTCTGGATAGTTTATGGTGAAATCGACTGTCTTGAAATGTCGAAACTTCGCCTCAACATCGAACTTCGTTTTGTCCACGAGATAAGTTAATTGCTTGGTACGTCTCTGTATGTCTTCCGCGGAGGGAGCATTGATGCCTGATCTGGGGTCCTCATTGATACTCCTGACTATTTCTTCGAGGATAAAATAGAATTTTCGACATAACGATGTCGTTGTCCTTCTTTCGTAGAGGTTTAATGTATGATTTTTGAGGTATCCACAGATGAAGTTCATCCGGGCTACCCATTCTGAGCCTTGGCAAATATCAGGATTAAAGGGCCGTTCGCATAGATAACGAAGAGCGTGGTCTATGGAGCGTTCGAGTCTTAGGAGTATCTGACGAGTGTTTTTCAGCCACTCCTCTGCCTCGACTTGTAGCATATTCATGGCTATTTAGGCCTAAGTCGATGGATTTTCCGGTAGTAATGGGGATTCTTAACAAAGCTTGAGAAGAGTGGCTGTCAAGAAGATCGTAGTGTGCCTAAGAAGCGCTCTGGAAGGATAAGGCATCCTTTCTATCATTATATGCGCGGAGATTTCGAGGGATTTGCTGATGAGCAAGATCGTCCTATGGTGACAGCGGGTAGAAACTTCCAGGCCATCGAAGATTGAAGCTCGTTGCGTATACCATACCCATGCTAAAGGGTGTACAGAGTGCGCTTCTGTTGACCTTATAACTATTGAGAATCTGTAGCAAGTCGGAATAATATTTGAGAGAACATCCTGGGTCAATGGGAGAAGGTTCTTTCTTCGCGCCAGGCTTGGCTAAACCGAGGGAAAGGAACATAAGAACGACCACGTGGCTGCCCCCATGGTATGAAGTGGATATGCGGGTTTGAGAGTTTGTTTGTGGTTGCCATGTTCTTGGTCCATGTGTTTGGATACCGAGCAATCGTGAACGAGAACATAGCATGGCAGGGATTTTCGTCTTGTTTTCGAAGCCCTTTGGCTGAAAAGGGTGAACAGTGGTTGACCCAGCTGTGTAGTAATGGCGTTCAAATTCCGGAGTTAACCTCAACTAGCTTCAAAGGTTAGTAAAGAGTAAATCGATAATTTGAGGGCCGAAGTTATACCTGGTTGCACATCCCTTTCAGGAGTCAGCTCCATGCTTGAAAATATGTGGATGGGCCCCGAAAGCCAGATATTCCACATATTGGTCTAGCAAAGAGTAACTACACTTTGCATGCCCAGCGCAAGAGCGGGAAAAGGTAGCCAGATGATCCAGCCGTGAAAAAAATATAAAAGCAAAACGAGTAAACGATAAGTAGCAATATAAATGGCAATGGTAAATAAAGAAATGGCAAGCAAAAACAAAAAGCAAAAACAAAAAGCAGAACAAAAAGCAGAACATAAAGCAAAATATAAAGCAAAACATAAAGCAAAAACATAAAGCAAAAACAGAAAGCAAAGACATGAAGCAAAACATGAAGCAAAAACAGATACAGGAAGCAGAAACATGAAAACAAAAAAAGGAAAACGGACTATTTACAGGAGATGGGTGGTGGGATAGCACAATGACCCCAGCACACCCTGCCACAGCTCGGGATAGCACAATGACCCCGGCTGGGCTACATGATGGAGCTGGTGGTGGGACAGCACAATGGCCCCAGCACACCATGGCTCAGGATAGCACAATGACCCTGGCCAGAAACTGTTTCTACATACATGCGGGGTGGAGCGTAAGCATACCTCAACTTGAGGGCGGTCTGGGTCCCGCACGCCTCAAGATCAGTAGCCACGTCCAAGAAACTTACCCTTCGACAGGACCTTGGAGAACGCCCTAATGGCGTTTTTCTTGTCTGCCGTTCGCTCACCAAAACGTCGTACCGAGGCGCATGGGAGCCCCCAGTATCGGCGACGTATGGGAGTATCGCGCCGCGGAGCGGAGCGGCCACGAGAACGCTTCCTACGAAGAGGAGGCGCATCGGGCATCTCCACATCCGGGTCGATATCCGGCATCTGAATGTCTCCATCCTGGTCGAACTCCCCGGATTGGTCCCACATGTCGATGTCCATATCATCGCTTGTCAAAGGCAGTGGGTTGGGAGGGGTTGTCGTGGGTGCCTAGTTGCTTCCAAGGTTACCCAATGACTCCTGAGCCGTATAGCCAAATGACACGGTCACAGGGTGACTTGGCGACAGGTTGTTCTCTGCTGCAGGAGTGGGAACAACCATGGTTTTCCCCTCAGAACTACCTGTCACCTGGGGAACAGCAGAAGCCGTATCCCCCTGAGCGCCACCCGCAAAACTAAGAGAGGTGACAGACGAACCGAAGTCCGAAACTGTCTTCCCAGAGCCGCTCGCCATTGATGGAGAGGACGAATCACTCTCCTCGGTGCTCATTACCTGCGTACTAGGCGAGCCAGAGACTCCCGTTCCAGGGGCAAGAGGAGCGGTAACCGGAGCCACCGTTTGGCTGTTGCCGGTGCTCGCTGCCTGTGTACTAGGCGAGCCAGAGGCTCCCGTTCCAGGGACAGTCGGAGCAACCGGCGCCGGGGTGTCGACTGCCGCGAACTTTGCGGCGCTATCACACAAAAAAGTTGTTAGCGAGCTGCTAGTTTGGCCCTCTAAGGAATACGATACACTCAAGGGAAGAAGCTTAATTGAAAACTGAACAGGCAGTAAACTTTGCAGCAATGTAATATATTGGAGGGACGAGAAGTGGAGGAATCTTAGGAATCGTCAAGCCGCTTGGCTGGGATGACAGAGATTTGGAGGGGAAATCAAGGATGAAGGAGGCAGGAAAGGAAAAAGATCAAGCAGTGGTTTTAAAGATGCAACGAGGATTGAAACAACAGTGCTGAAGCCACCAAGCTAGAAAGAAATGAAGAAGACAAAGACTTCAATAGCAATGGATGATAGAACCACCAAGCTATTGAGCTATCGATGCATCAACTGGGAGGGGGGTGGTACTTACATCTTCGACAGAAACATTTCAGCTGCAGAGACCACTGGTCCCTGTTCTTCTTCCTCCCCTTGTTCTTCCTCCTCCGAATCGACGTAGTCTTCAAGGTCGTCGGACTCCTCGTGAGTCCCTGACGGACCTTGGGCAAGCAGGTTTGACATTATGTCAGCGATATTGAATGATAATAGTAGAGTTATTAAGGGGTTGGGAGCTTGATGAAGATGAAGGGATGAGAGTGGTGATGGTGATGATGATGAAGATGGTGATGGGAGGTGATGGTGTGGGTTGGAGGGAAAAGGAATGGGAGGGGGTTGTGTAGGAAATATTTTGTAAGAGCAGCTGTCTATGGGGGTGCAGACCAACACCAAAGTTTTCCAGCAACGAAGGGGACCCCACAGGCAATGGCAGTTGACGTTACGAGCTCCATTGACATCATGACTCTCAGCCAACATTATAGCTTTCTAGCTCAGACGAATAACATTGCCCGTGATACCGCGAAAGCGAGTAGTTTTCGATTAAGATCAGTGATTGTGTCTTCTATATCCATAGGGTAGCTTCATGATCGAAATGCTTGGGCCTCAATAAGTCTTTGACAGAAATTCTATAATATGAGAGACAACTAGCGTAATATCTTCACTCACTCCAGTATACAGATGAAGATTACAATTTCTGATTTTTATTACTATACTACATAGATATACTACGTTATCCATTATAGATTCTTGAGAGGCACATAGTCAGAGTTAATACGAGTGTCCTCGAGTGGCTGATACGTAGGATACGGCCAACTGATATAGCATTACAACTTTCTATATTTAATATTTCTGCAATCATACTATTCACAGAGCTATGGGGCTGGAATATAGCTAGTCTAGGAATTGCCTTAAGAACTAGATCAGAAATATTTATATAGCTTTAAGTTAACTCTAAGGCTATCGATTATAAATTGAAAAGGCACAAGGTAACGGAATCGTTAATATTCAGAGCTAATTCTAACTATATCAAAAGACTACCTAATGAAGACCACATAAACTCCCATTCTACCAAGAAACATTAGACAATAGTCTTGAATCTAATAGTAAAAAGGAGGTATGAGTCTCTAGACAAGAGTGGAAAACTATTTATCTCGATGTGCTCGACACGAAAACATTAGACTAGTGTCTTGAGATCATGTAATTACGAGCACACAACTTCTGGGTAACCGGCTAGGCCAATTTGTAACCCCAAAAGGTACTCAACTTTATAGAAACATTAGACAATTGTCTTGAGACTATGTATGGAAGAGTATACCTACCCCATCGACACGAAAACATTAGACTATTGTCTTGAGATCATGCACTTCGGAGCAGAAGAGCTTGCTATTACACGAATGACCTAGTTGATGAAGTGGTCACCCGAATGTTTACCCAGCATAAAAACATTAGACAATCGTCTTGAAACCATTTATCGCAGGGTAGAATTGCCCGACATGAAAACATTAGACTATTGTCTTGAAATCATGTAGTTCGGAGCAGATAGCAAGTTTACTACTAAACGGATGATTTGACTACCTAGGTAGCCAACCGAGAATATACTCGACACAGAAACGTTAGACAATTGTCTTGAGACTGTGTAAAAAGAGTATATCTGCTCCACACAAAAACATTAGACTATTTTCTTGAGATTATGTATTAAGGAGCTAAAGTAGAATTATATGGGATATTTGAGCAGATCCCAGTCCAACTTGTTCTCGTAGCCTCAACCAAATATTTTCCGTATCAGTATGACGATACCAGATAATTTCCGGGTCATTAAATACTCAGGAGTAATCAATGCAGCTTTGAGAATAGCTAGAAACTTTGCAGATAACGCTGAATATGTTTCTTTTTCGAGTGTTGAATCGATCAAAAAGTACCAGGTTACAGTATCCCGATGGATTTGTAGGATACAACCGGGGGGTTCTGCAGACCCCCAGTTTTAGGGAACAGGAAACCGGAAGGGGGTTCATAGGAAATCTGAGCACTTGTTGGAGGTTACAGATAACGCGTATGAGTTTATCACCGAGGGATTACCTTCCCTTCGTCCCTTTCGTGTCCTGAGAGATCCCTTGGTTTGCTGTAAGCAATTGTCGGAGAAGTTATTGCACGATTTCAGTAAATGGTCTGTGGTTGATTGCATTTCAGCTTAGGTGTATGCAGGGCTTGTAATAAGTAGCCGCGAGCCAACCCATTTGGTCAGAAGGTTATTCAATATCATCAAAGATTCCCAGATAATAACCTCTTTCCATATGCCTGTAACTTCTCTGTGGATGTAAAGTGGTACCGCTGAGTGTTTCTTGTAAGCCATATGCGCCGTGTGATAGCCATACAGAAACATCCGCAGAAGTACGCCGGGACTAGTAATGAAGGTAGCCGTTGAACTTATGGCGTCCTTTTAGTCCTCGAAAGATAGTGACAACTCTCCCGTTCGTAATTCCGACTTTTAACTTGTTCGTAGAATTTTGATAATAATATCGACCGGTGTAGTGAGAGTCTGGTTGTATTATGTTACCGTCTCGAGGACGATCATGGTGTGTTAATGCATTCTGCTTTGAGAGTGTGAAAAAGCTTTTCCCAAGGCTTTGTCGTTGCAATTGTTTGTATTCTCGCAAATATTGATCATATTGACCGGCAGTGCAGCACAGGAGTACTGATATAATCCGGATAGCAGAAGCAGAAATAACCTTCTAAGCTGTATGCTTGTAGAGATAGTCGAAGGTAGGCAACTTCCGAGTACATAGATTGAAAGCTGTAGTTTCTTTCTTGTTTGTATTTTTTGACTGGAAGAAGTCCGGGTGTCGCGGCGCAAAGCGCCAAAAGAACTCGTGGAGTAAATATCGTGTATAGTATGTAAAGGCGAGCAAACCATCCGAGTCAACAAACTGTTGGCCTCGAATCCAGGCTCTCTTGGGGCATAGATAAACTGTAGCCTCGAATCCACAAAAACGTCGTGAGACTGAAATGTACTGATAGTAGAGTACGATCGGGAGATTTGAAAAGTCGGTGATAATAAAATCCAAGTCGAAAGACTCGAAAATTTTGATCCTTGCCCCGCCCAGCGGGGTCTATAGATAAATCCTCTGCTCTTGAGCCGACACCAGGCTCTCGTAGCATAAAATCCTCCCCAATATAAAATAGAGTTTCGACAACTTGCTGGAAGATATGGCAACAGAACACACTCACACTCGAGAGACCTGACTGAGTAGATATAAGGGCTGGTGGACCGTCATCACAGCGCACTCCAGCCCGAAGAAAGCGAATCACAATAAGAATTCGAGATGTAGTCCCAATGCTTGCCCGATCTGTGCCGAAGCACTCCTGGACGAAGACATTAGATAAAACAATCAGGAATCTTTGTGTCGCAACTTGGACCTTCTGTGTAAACCTCAGCCGAAACTGGTATTCACTGCTCGAGTACTCCAACCCATCTAAACTGTCGACCGTCCCCCATCTGAATGGTCCTCATGTCCCTGTTACACCACTCCCATGCGAAGAAGTCTGTGTCAACACCGAAGGCGCAATGCGGTATTGTTGACGTTGCCAGTTAGCACCCACCTGAACTGGACTTTTTGACAAGCAAAGTGGATTGACCATGAAGGCTTCCCTCCTACCCGACCCACGATCTCAGCAACCAAGCTATCTTATGGTGCGTCCTCAATCGTGCGAAAAAGAGATCCCGGGACGAACCACGGACGGAGAGCTCTTTACCTTCAAGATAGTCTAGGCCACTTGCACACGCTCCTCCCCACCAAATAAATACCCCCTCTATCAATCTTGACCTGGGGGTCCGTGAAGTTCCTGCAAAACTGCGGGAACAGACCCGTACCCCAGAGATTGATCGTCATCCTCCTCTGCCGCTCTGACTTGCTCCTCGCCTGTAAAGTCCGCATCTTTTTCAAGAATTGGACGTGCTTTCGAGAAAGCGGGAGACAACGCCCGCCATATGCACGAAGGACCGGGGCATCAGACATCCTGACATCCTCGTCATGATCACAAGGATCAATCGGAGCGTCGGGAATGTCGATTTCCCGGTCGACTGCGACGTGTATGATGGCACAAGGAGGTGCATCTGGGAGATCACCTTCATCCTTGTCTGTAGGGACCACAGCCGTTGGGAAAACGGGCTGCGCAAGTGTTGGTCCCTGGGGGCTGACATCCTGTAGCGCAATGACAGGAATGTCTGTCTCGGAAGACATTTGAGGAGCCGTTTCACCGACGGCTGGCGCTGGCTTCGCGGGCTGTGCTACCGCTGGTATACCAACTGACCCTCCCACATCTACACCCTCGGAAGGGCGCAGGAAAGGGCTGGGCAGTGGTTCAGCGGCCTCAGCAGCCGTTGTCGCCACGCTACTCGAAGCTGGCGCACCAGGCTCCACCATCGCCTTCAGATTCGCCAGAACCATGGCGAGCGCCAGCTCCTTTTCCGAAAAGGAGGCAGCGATGCCAGAGAGTGGCTCCTCTGCAGACGGGGCTTTACCCGGGTTGCCGGCTGGACCTTCGTGAGGGGTGGCCTTCCCCTCTACAACGGCAGCAGACAGAATGTCCGCAGACTTTTCAACGGCTGCAAAGCCATTGAAAGTCGGGACCGGTTCTGCCATCACCGAGGCAGAGGGTCCGGCGCCCTCAGAAGCTGCTGGTTGAGCAGCAGCTTGCGGAGTCGCGACTGGTTGAACAGCCGCTGAACTCGAACCAGCCTTAGCGACCCTCGATAAACGAGGTACTCGCTTCGGCCGGTTCAAGATGACCTGGTCTTTTGGCGGTTCCACATCCGCCGCTCCAAACTCCTCGTGGAACGCCCCCTCTAAGTCGAACTCGGGCTCGGACTTGGGCTCGGGCTGGCTGCTAGAAGCAGGGCCCGAGGTTGTCGGTGGGGTCTTAGCCCTCTTTGGCGATGGGGGAGGCGTTGTAGGGGCCCTCCCCTTCCCCTTTCGATCTTGTTGGCTCGGAAAGTTGTTCATGGTGCTGCAACGGATTTTAGGTTAGCAATCTGAACACACGATATGCATAAGCGCGTTATTTAGAAAAGGTTGTTTTCCAGTCGTGTCGTCAGAAGGCGAATTGAAGACTCTCAATATATGAACCGACTTCAAAAGACTTCATAGAATTTACGGAAAGGAGTTGGGCCATAAATCATTGATAGAGGGTCTATGTACATACCTGGATTGTCGTTGTTGGTGAAGAAGAGAGGAAAGAAAAGAAGAAGAGAGGAAAAGAAGAGAGAAAGGAAAAGAGAAAGAAAAAGCCGAGGGAGAGAACGCGGAGATGCGAGGTACCGCTCAACACTACAGGACTGCAAATCTCTGTTTTTCTGCTGCAGCTCTCTAACGCTTGGCTTTTCAGCTAATCAGAAAGTTCTAGAACACAAGAGTCTGAATACAAAAACAATATGATCACTGTGCACAACTCATATTGGTTCACACACGCATATTCGTAGCCTTGTAACGGGGTCTAGGCTCCCTGCCCTTATCTGCGCCTGGCTTCGAGGCTATTCTAAGCGTGTCTCCCCTCCATAAACATCACCGTATCAGATATATGAGACAGAACACTGCTGCGCAGCATTTGTGTGTCCTCGTAAATTTATACATCATAGCTTTTATTCAATCGATTTCATAGCTTAAAATTACATGGTATGCCGACGTCTAGCCTTATCTTGTAAAGCAGAATTAATTGCTGCTGTCCCGGGACGTCCGGGCTAGCTCAAAATGAGACTATATTCAACTCCAATAAATCTTTATGGATTCATTTGGTTTACGAGATAATCTGGGCCCGAGACTTAGTCTCAAGACCAGAGCTGACTCTAATCTACAATAGTCCCGTAACCAAGCTATGAATCTACAATAGACTTTAGTGTCAATTGATCGAAGTAAAAGGCATTTCTATTCCTTAGGGCCTGGATTCGGGGCTATAAAAGAAAGAACTATTATAATGTTTCCTAGTAATACAATTCTAGTCTGGTATTGCGGACACGGTCCATACTTTGATACATTTCTAGACAGTCCTGCGCTTATGCCTTCTATTTTCACCTGCTACCGTAACTTAACTTCTGACCTAGAGTACTATGTAGATCAGTATTGGTCTAGTTAAGTTCCCATTAGTACTATCTATGGTGGGAACTCTAAGAGGCAAACAGGCTCTACAAATTGCTTTCCAATCTGTTTACCCAAATTGTCAGCTCTCTTAGCTTGATTGCACCGTAGCCTCGGCCCCGAGACTGCGAATTCGTTCCAATTGTTGCAGACCGCAAAACCCAACATGGAAAAAGAGTGTTGAGGGGATGTTGGATGTGGATCCTCGTGTCCAGCCTCAGACTAGCCAATCACCGCTCGCAAAAATCCCAAAATGGTTTGGCGTTCTCCCAAAGTAGTAACATCATCAGAATCCAACACGCAACACGAATATGCGGGTATCGGTCTGCATTGAAAAGAGTCCCTGACTCGGCTCAACTGGAGCCTTAAAATCCGCACTCGGATTGGATAGCAACAACCATGACGAACTGAATTGGTAGAACGTAGAATCGTGAAAGTATCGAGGGGCGAGGATCTTTAGAGAGGGACTCTGTAAGGATAGGGTTGATTGTTGAGTTGCTCAGGTATCGTCGTCAGGATAGCTATATAGCTAGATGTTCGGGTGTTTAACGTTTGGTTCCTAGTCGTAATATGTAATGGCACTATTAGCACTCGTTCCACTATGGATCAATTGCAAGCAATCGGAGGTTACTGCGAAGGAGCTTCAAGGCTGTTTTTAGAGATATCATCTTGTCGTGAGATGTTATTTCGATAGTAATCGCGGAATGCGGGAGCGTAACATGTAGTATATGACGAAGTAGCCTTGAGACCAGGCGCATTGAAGGCCAAGGGGCGGGGAAGCATTGCATGCGTGACGGGGGTTAGAAAAGTAGAGCACCTCGAAATTAGAGGAGTAGGGCAACGCGTTAGCCCTGACCCTAGGCCATGTCTAGAAGATTCTAACTTGCTGAAAAGCAGAGCGTTAAGATAAATAGCAACAAGTCCTAGCACGAAAGTGTTGGGAGGCGCCGTGGAGAGTAAACATCAAAACAATTGCACGATAAGGTCTTGCGCACGTGATTTTCACTTTTTCATCTATGAAGACGTTCCTGATCTGTGGTTGACAATATCCCACTATAAATCCAACCCCACCCTGAACTATTCCTCCCTCCCCTCTTCTATTCACTCAACCCGCTCACACATCACGATCTCATCATCACCACCAACCACTTCAACAAATTTTACCACAAAGCTACCAGGTAAGTCAATGAGATCAATCCAGTTCTTATCCTTTGATTCTTCTTCTTCTTCTTCTTCCTCTTCTTGAATCTTCATCCTCACCTTCCTCTTCCATCTTGTCTTCCCAGCTCCTGTTTCCAGATCTACACATCAAGTTCCTCCTGTTGTTTACTACCATATTCTTGTTATCCACTCCTAAAGGTACAGTATACATCTCCACGTAGTATTAGCTTCCCACTATGTAAATCCCTTCTACGTAGCTTCTCCCTTCTGGTTCCTCGATCTTTCTTCTGGCATCCCGCTGGTTGCTAAGCTCTTGAGCCTCAGCCTATCATAAAACGCTGCTCGAAAGTTTCCTGACGCGATTTTGATGGAAAACTATTCGTTGCAAACAGTTGCTATCTCTACTCAAGGGAGAACGCTGCTCGTTGCCAGTAATTGCTACTGCTACTCAAGGGAGAACGCTGATTATTTCGGGGGTTTGAAGCTCTTTATTCATTTACTGTTTTCGACACTGCCCTGTACTATCTTTTTTATCTTGCTGCGAAATTCTCGTTGCAAAAATCTCATTGCTGAATTTCTATCACAAAATCTCGTTGAAACATAGCACTACTCAAGCTACCACCAACCATCTTCTTGATATCATCTCCTGTACAATCCATCCCCCTTTCCGTTTCTTTCATCATCTCCACAACCCCAACCTACTCCATCATCTCCACAACTGCGACTTACTCCGTTATTACCATATCACTCACCGGCTTCATACTAACGATCGCTTGCTTGCGATAGAACCATAACCACAATCACAATGGCCAGACGCCCAAGAAACCAAGCCTGCCCAAGTGATTCTGCCAGCGGCCCCGCTCCACCAGCGGCGGCGTCTAGCGGCAAAACCGACGACGGCAAAAGCCCTAGGTAAGCATGATCTTCATATCAAACTTTTCATTACTCGGTTATCAAGACAATTTTAACACAAAACTTTGATATCTAGCCGACCGGTCGCCGACGGGCAGGTGTCACCTGAGGTCGAAGCCCAATTCAAGGGCTACCTTCAGGCGGCACTGAAAGCCGAGGAGGAAGCTAGGGCTAACAAGCCCAAGTATACTGGATGGGACTCGCCACCATCCTCTCCGAAGACGAAGGCGAGCTCTGTTGCTACCACCGCCGGCAACAAGGGAAAGGGTAAGCAGGCTGCCAAAAAGCCTGAGGCGGATCAGAAGTACGGCGCCGAAAAATGGTTGGCTTTGCCCGCCGGTGTTCGGCTTGCCGATGCCTTTGAACCGCCAAAGGCTCTTACGGCGCCCGCAACCCCAAAGGTTGAACAGCAGAAGGGTAAGCCGATTGCTTCCGGGTCGAAGATGAACCCGGGAACTTCGCAGTCTGCTGGTGACCTGAAGGGACCCACAGTTCCCTTGAGCGGTCCTAAAACCCCCCAGGTCCCGGTCACTGTTACTGCTGTTCCCGCAGCTCCGGTCGCAAAGAAACCAGTACCTCCCCAGTTGCGACTTAAGTGCCAGCCTTCTAGCAAGCTTAAGAAGGAGCCGAGAGTGGTAGACTCCGTCGTCCATCTCCCTATCGAGATGGAGGACGTGGTCAACCATCTCCCCGTTGAGGTGGAAGGCGTTGCCGACCACCTTCCGGCGGAGATGGAAGACGTGGTCTACCACAAAAACCCAAAAATAGAATACCGCGAGTTCGACGGAGACGTCGTCATGCAGGATCTATTCGAGGCTCCATTAGAGGTGCCTAAGAAGCTGGACCAAGTGCTGGGGCAGCGAAAGTTCAAGCGGCCGTCGTCGAAACAGAAGAGTAAGATATCGGCCAGGGTCATTAGGATGGCGGAGGAAGAAATCAAGAGAATGCGTAAGTCTTTGTAGAGGGGATGTGGTTTGAGTCCCACTGGTATGTTGGGTCTTGTTATGCCTCGTCGTGGTCCCGGGACGACCGAAAACTCGCCCACTTGGCACAGGTGTGTAGTTCACATCTAGAAACAAAAAAACTCCTCCTTCCGGGATGAGGTTAAACTCCACGCAGAGGTGCTGGCCACATCTATAAACAAATGGCCTCTCTTTCCGGGATGAGATTAAACTCCACGCAGAGGGGAGACAACCTCTATAAACAAATCGGTCCCCTAGAAACCATATTCCTGACGGAGGGAAGCATGCGAAACACTTCCAAATCTGTGGCACAGGTGAGAACAACATCTAGAAACAAATCCTTCGGTACGGGCCGTCGTATGCAAAGATGAAGGAAAACATCTAGAAGCAAACCACTGCAAGGGGGAAGGACCACCCCTAGAAACAAAACCAGGGCAAAGGTGAAGGAACACATCTAGAAACAAAACCACGGCAAAGGTGAAGGACAACATCTAGAAACGAACCCTTGCAGGGAGGAAGGAAAACCTCCATAAACAAACCATTACAGAGGTGAAGGACAACATCTATAATCAAAACCATGGCACAGTACAGGTGAAGGAACACACCCAGAAACAAAACCACGGCACAGGTGAAGGCAAACATCTAGAAACAAAACCATTGCAGAGGTGAAGGAAACACATCTAGAAAAAAATCCCTTGCAGGGGGGAAGGATCACCTCCATAAAAAAACCACTGCAGAGGTGAGGGAAAACATCTAGAAACAAACCCATCTACCATTACGGAGGTCGGATCTGTGTTCAAGGTGGTGGCCTGGACCAGAGCAAACTGTGTTGCCGCGGATTGATTGTGGTAAGTTCGAAATAGGAAACATCCGAATGCGGCGTTGGTATCCCTGCTAACCGAGGTGACGTCGGTAGATGATCTCGCAGCCGAGAGCCCCTTGCCTTGGGCTTCTCTTGATTCAAGTGTCGCGCTTATACAACGTTCAGAACAAATCGTACGGTGGATGCATCCAACCATGTTTCCTGATTCCCATTGTACAAGTGATGAACTCCCCGCACTCCCATTATTCAGCGCCGCAGACAAGCATGCTACCCAATTCCCGGGAAAAGCTGCACTTATCGATACGAAAGCAAGGAGGGCTTTCACGTACAGAGAGCTACTGGCCGGTACAGCCAAGATCAAGAACCTTATTTTACGGACACTCGAGGTGCATGGCACCGACATTCAAGAACAACGGATAGCGTATTTAGTTCCTTCCGGTATTGATCACGTTCAGATTCAGTGGGGTATCTGGGCCGCCGGAGGAGTCGCTGTTCCCCTGTGCACGACGCACCCGTTTCACGAATTGGAGTATACAGTCACGAACTCCAGACCGACTTTGATATTTATACATCACGATTTCTCACAACATAAGTCGTCATTTCTCTCGATTTTTCCTTCGATCCGGGTATTGGACGTTCCCCTTTCTCATTACGATACGGGATGTCCTGGTTTCTCAATACCTTCTACACTATTTTATCCAGCATTTTCGCTTTCTCGAAGGGCTCTCATTATTTATACATCTGGCACGACCTCGCGACCTAAAGGTTGCGTCACGACACATGCAAACATTCATTTCCAAGCAAATTCTCTCATCAAGGCATGGAAGTATGCATCCTCCGATCATTTAATTCACGTTCTACCGCTGCACCATGTTCATGGCATAATTAATGGACTTACTGCAACACTTCTCGCCGGTGGCACGGTTGAACTACATCCGAAATTCGATCCAGTTGTGGTCTGGAGACGATGGATGAATGGCGATTCCACAATATTTATGGCTGTTCCGACAGTTTACTCGCGATTAAACAATTATTTCCTCGAACATATATCTGGAACAGATGACGAACAACGAGCGAAGGATGGCACTCGAAAGCTTCGTCTTACTGTCAGTGGAAGCGCAGCATTACCAACAAGCATTAAGCAACGGTTTGAAGAAATTACAGGCCAAGTTTTGCTTGAAAGATATGGGATGACAGAGATTGGTATGGGTCTCAGTTGTCGCTATGATAATTCCGATGGACTTGGACGACCTGACGGAAGCGTCGGTTGGCCTCTTGACGGAGTTGAAGTCAGACTTATGCACGATAGTGGCCAAATAATACCTCTTGGATCACAAAGCACAGTCACGACAGGAGTAAATGGTGGTTATGATAACACTACTCTGGAGTCACAAACCCAAAGAAGAACAAGATCGAACGATGATGGAACAACCTTTATTGAACTACAAGGTATTGAGCATCCTGCACAAGCGGAAAGCACACGAGCGGGTTCACAAGCAGAAAGCACACGACCGGACTCCCAATCACAAAGCATCGAAAGGCATATGAGATCGCAAAGTATCGAAGGACAAACAAAATCGCAAGACATTGAAAAAAACACAGAGCTATACAGCCACGAGACGCATCCAGAACTTGGAAGCCCAACAGTATTACCAGGAGCAGTTAATACCGATGTCTTAGTCCTTAAGTCTGGAGCCCATATAGGAAAGTTAAATCCTCAATCTTCGGAAAACCCGTCTGAATCCAAAGTATCAGTTGGAATCCCAAATTCTGAACTGCAAACAGGAGCTTTTGTACCTAATTTGACCGACGGAGCAACGAATTCCGGAAAGCCTACAACTCATTCCATTATCGAAAGAGATACTGAAGAAGTAGCCGCCGAGTTGCCGACCTTAGCACAAAGTCCGTATAAAGATCAAATCAAGCCATCTAACGAATTACAAGATAACAACAAATCTATCACGGGAGTATTTATCAGTGGCGAGATTCAAATTAGAGGCCCAAACGTCTTTAAAGAGTAAATATACATCATATACCCCTAAATTTAGCTACTATATTAACGCCCTTCGTACAGGTATTGGGAAAACCCCGAAGCAACAGCCAAAGAGTTCACGGAAGATGGTTACTTCAAAACAGGTGATATCGCCTATCGTGACCAACACGGTGCTTACTACATCCAAGGCCGAAGTTCCGTCGATATCATCAAATCCGGTGGTTACAAGGTCTCAGCACTAGAAGTTGAACGTGAAATCTTATCGAAAATCTCCGAGGTCAGAGAAGTTGCCGTGGTCGGCCTACCTAGTGAAGAATGGGGAGAAAGAGTCGCTGCCGTCGTTGTGGTTGAACATGGGGCTAAAGGAATGGAGTTAAAACAGTTCCGGAATATCTTGCGCAGCACATTAGCTCCATACAAGATACCCACACTCTTAACAGTGGTTCACGAGATTGAAAGGAATGCAATGGGAAAAGTCAACAAGAAACAACTGATCAAGTCCCTCTGGCCATCATGAAACCAGTCATGACGCCAACAAGAGATCTCGATCCCCCCAACGAACCGCGACCAACCACAAGACAGAGATAAATTTGAAAATAAATAAAAGAATGAAAACCAAGATAAATATTAAAGAAGGAGGAGAAGGAGGAGGAGAGATAATTGAAAAGGCAAAACGGGCTAAAGCGTATGGAATTGCAAAGGGAAAGGGAAAAAGAGAAAGGGAAAAAGGGAAAGGGAAAAAGGGAAAGGACGAAGGGAAAAGAAACAAGGGAAAGCAAGGTCAAAGAAAGACAAAAGCGCGGAACAAAGCATGATTCGGGTTCAGTTAGATTAATGCTTAACTTAGAGTTATCACGAAGATCTTGGTATTTTACAAAAATCCAAATTTGGTTCTTGTCAACTATTATTGTGGGAAGACGGTATTATCAATATGCTCACATAGCCCGAGGCGGAATGATTTCTAACAAAGACATCAATCAATCAATCAATCAATCAATCAATCAATCAATCAATCAATCAATCAATCAATCAATCAATCAATCAATCAATCAATCAATCAATCAATCCTCAAGTATCTTGATAGACTTCGGGGAAGCCTCTAAAACAAAGGATGTATCGAGTGACATCATATCCCTAATACTAGACGGGAAACCTCTCAGCTGATCGCTGGTAAATGTTTTGGATCGATCGTCCCTACCACAGGCGAGAATAATATGACTCAGGGGTGATACTAGTCCTGTATTAAAACGCTTCAGCACGTGGTACTACTGGTTACCGATCGAACAAAAGTATATTTTCTCATTTGTACCTATTTGACTATAAAGTTCATGTTAATATTAATATTAATTAACTCTCTCACAACAAACATTAAAACCCTCCTAAAAACACATAGAAAACCAACCAACCAACCAAAATCACCGTCACTGTAACCAAAACATCCCGACTAGCCACAAGGACCCATTCAATCATCTACAGTTGAAAAGATCCTACAACCAACCAACAACGACGTAGTTGTCTCAAATAGCTATACTCATGCGTATATTCAGGTCGGCAATCGGGGCACCGCTCACATGCCTTACCTTTCGGGGCCCGAACATCCTAATATTCCGCGTCAACCGGGCGAGACGGTTCGAATTCTGTCATACGAACAGCAAAATCTGGCACCTCGACCTCAAAACCCCCGACGACCCAAACTATAAAAGGTTCAACGACCTAACAATGAAGAATCTGCTTCGGATACCTAGAATAACCGGATTATACAATCCCAGAACGAAAGTTTACGTTGAATTTATGGGCGAGAATGGCAATGAAACTGACGTCAGTCACTTTAAGGATTATACCGAAGAAGACGTCATTTGGGAGGTAGTATACGCTGACGATGACGGGTATTTAATATCCTTCCCTTTGAGGTTGATGCTGGAATCCGGTGAACACCCCACTATTCCTTCATTGGTTCACGATGATATTAAAAATGGATATTATCTGCCGACCTGGAGTGAATATTATCAGCATAGGTGGAACTGTTTTTGGGGAATAACTACCATGGTGCCCAAAGAGGACGTGTGTCGTCGAGAGAAAACCGAATAGCTGGTTCCTCTTGTAATCTAGGTGCAGTTTCCAACGGGTTTCCTTCAATTGGCACCAAAGTCAGGTTTACTCGGGAGATTTTTTGCTTGATACGAGTTGTAAACAAATATCATGATCACTTTTACAACTGGGGCCTGTATATCGAAGCTCGCTTCTTTTCTCTCTAAACACTTACTAGAGACTCTACGTGGAAAGTTACAGAACTTCGCGCGAGCCATATTCGTACGTACCCGCTGTTACAACCCCCCCTTGTTTACGGCCTAATAGCTAATTTGGGCCGGAAGACATATCACTCGAAATTTTACCTTTATTTCAAGGGTAGAAAAATGCTCACTAAGCTCCGCAACTGACTGAGAGTGAGCAGTGGGCGGTACTATATCGTCTGTATAAGTGTTATCTGACGGTTTTTAGTAAAATGTTGCATACTCGGGTAATAAGGACAAAATTATGAGGCTCTGAGGAAAAAGTAAACAAGTTTATGGGTCGTGCAGGGAGATTCCAACCGAAGGGTTCCAGTAATGAGGAGGAATGGTAGCAGTAGCAGTAGAAGTAGTGGTAATATATATATAGTAGTGGTAATAGTGCTAGTTAGTAGTCGTAGTGGTAATAGTACTAGTACTAGTAGTATTAATGGTAGTAGTATTAATGGTAGTAGTATTAATGGCAATAGTACTAGTAGTATTAGTGATAGAAGGAAATACCCCGCCATCGCCCTCTTTTGTCTTTGCCCCTCTTTCCGGTTCATCTTTTTACTTTTTTCTCTCACCCCCTTCCTCCCCTCCCCTCGTTTTCCAGCAGTATCTGGATTTCACGAACTACTCCCAGCATTTGCTCCTGTTCCTTCTTCATTTCTTTCATAGCTTCTTCGAGGGCCTGAATCATTGTTGCGAACATTTCGTCTTCTTTTTGCTGCTTTTCCTCGCGACTTCTTTGAGATTTTTGAGTATCGTAAACCTCTCTTTTTCTCCGTCCTTCGTCTGCTTTATAGCATTGGTTATGCTATCATTTATTCGTTTTGGATTTTCGTATAAATTGTGCTGTTATCATGACCATCAGTAAATTTTCGATTGCTTTCATGTTCAAGAGAATTTCTGCCGGATCTTTTTATGGAACTATACCCATTACTGTTCAAACTTTGACTCCATAGCTTTGGTTTTAGACTGACTGGCCCAATTCCAAATAGCCACCGCACTCGCGATAGCGCTCGTAATGATTGAAACAACCATAAACACAGCTAGTACTGATCTTCGTTCTAGTATCGGTTATAATCTGTATCCTAGCGTGGGAGAGACTAATTAGCCTGCGATTATATGAAGCTCTGGGAAGAAAGAAATACAAACATAGAAATCTAGATTGCGTATAGCATCTTCAGCTAGTGTAGCTGGTTTGTGAAGGGTGGCGTCTTCTGGCGGCTGCTAAGACATCACTGACTGGAAGCTCTGTAATGATTCCATGTTGTTTTCTAGTTCAGAAAGATCGGAAGGCCCTTTAGGAGCATGGGTGTGGTGGCTCTTCTGCAGACGGGGTATATAAAAGAATAAACAAGGAGAGCATGCTCTCCTAAAAGGAACCGCCCTGTTAGCATCTAGGATGCTAAATCAAAGATAAGATAGGATGATGACGATGATGACGATGAGATGGAGAAGGAAGAAAGTTTTCCTTTCCTGCTCTAATATATATATACCTACTATTATATATAGTATATATATATATGTTGACTGAATAATACAGGCATTGTCATGTGATCTACTTCCATCTCATGACCAACATATCCACACATCATGTCGCATCACCATCGTTCACATGGCCTTCCACCGGCCACCTAAGACGCTGCAATGCGTTAACGTCGAAACCGCCTCCACACAAACTTTCAATAGAAGACCGAAGAAAGGGTTCAACGAACAAAAAAAGGAACGAACGAACGAAAACAATAAAAGAGAAAAATAACAGAAAGAGCCGGGAAGGCCCATGTGAGAAATATTTAGGCTGTGGCTGGTCCGAAAGAGATCTGTCCCAACTTGGGAACGGCCAGGTCAGGACCATATAAGAAAGAAAAGATGGGAATTACCCATATGGGCCGATATATCAAAAACTAAGGCCGCAGCTGGCCCCAAAGAGCCCCCAGGAAGAGGTGGGAAAGACCTAGTCTTGTATGGAAAGACCTAGTCTTGTAATATATGGAAAGACCCACGTGGCCACAGCGGGGGCTTAAAAGCCTATGGCCGCAGTTGATCTTATCAATAAACCTGAGATCTATAAGGCCAACTGCGGCCCATAGGCATTTTATTCCTACAAGGTTTCCATTTACCTGTCCTGTCTCTTAACGAGACAAAATGCTCATACATACATGTATATAGACAATAGCCCAGACGTGCGGTGCCAGCCTCTACGAGGCTCATGGCCCAGAGCCAGAGAATGGTGAAATGAAATGAAATTACTGGCTCCGGTCAACCCTCCTTGGAGAATGGCTGACACTGCGGCTCCGGGAATGATTCCATATGAATCAAACAAAACAAATTCCAATAGATAAATAACTATCTCCTCAAGAATCACATCGTAAATCTTTACGCTGAGGCTACTGTTTTGTTTCAGACTCTACAATAATAAGTTATCAATATTAATACATCATGTACGCGTAGACATTAAAATTACCAGTAGGGTGATTACCGAACTCGAACTATTCATCGACCCTTCGTTCCTCATGACATCCTAAAGTAAATATGTACACACAAAACAAAAGACTCCAGGAGAGGCTGGTCTCGTTCCCAGGGAGAGGCTAAGCTACGCCGCAGCTAGTATATCATCGTAATAAACTTCCCGGACCGTCCAAGGCCTCCCATTCATCGCATAGTTCCAAGAAAACTCCGGGAAGAGCATCCATATCGTGAAAAGAGCAGTCACAATGCTCAAGGCATCAATAACTCGTCCTTCGAAACCGGGGCATACGAAATAACTCGCGAGTTTCCGGTAGACAATTAACATGGCTGGAATGAAAACGACCGGGTCGTAGCAAAAGGCCAACGGAGACGTATACGGTTCTAAACAGTAGGCTAATGGGTGTCTGTAGGGTGTCGAACCGTCCATGACCGTCTGCCTGGCATCCGTCTCGCGACGCTGATAGAAATCTCCTAACAGGACTTGAAAAGTAACCGGGTCGGACTTTATATAAGCTGCTATAACCACGAAGATGCTTAATATCGAATCGGCGGCCCTTTGACACGACTCGTTGCCTCTAAGCCAGAGCTGCGCAAAACATAACCCGAAAACTCCGCTAATAGCTCCAGAAATCCGGGAAGGGTTCGTTAACGCGATGAACGCTATTCGGGTAAGAATTATTCGGCGAATCCACTTGCTGTATACCTTCGAGATGGCGCGTAATGATTGAAGGGTTTGAGGAGGTATACAAGAAATAATATCCGAAAGAATAGGTCCCGGGTTATCTTGTTGGTTCGTTCTAGTCGATTTCTTAGAGTTCAGTCCGAGACCGACTTCAACATCTTCGAAAGAGCTTAAATCAGCTGCAGCATTGAGGTCTCTATTTTCGACGGGCGCACCCCGCACCACCGACCTTCCCTTACTAGCTGAATCATATTCGGTCGGCGACCAGCTTTTTTCCGACATCTGCTCTGAAACTCTTTTTAAGACTCGTTCAGATTATTTGAAATAAACGTTATGACGCACATGCGTGCGCATTAATTAAACAACGGGGAGTGGGTGAAGATTTAACAGGACGCTCTCGAAGAACCATCTTCAAAACTTCATAACCCGAGATTTGGCGCAGACTTCCCCGTATTAATAAGAAAGACAGAGGACCCAACCCCTCTCTCCAATCTCAATATGATTTTGTTTTATCTGGTGTGTGATTTTCTGCTATACACCATTATATTACAGAATATATGCCAATAATTCTATCGTTACAATGCAGCAAATATCCAACAATTTCATCCAATCCAAGGCCTCGATAATACCAAGCCAGCTGCACTACAGCAGCCAATGACACAGGTGGCGCCATTCCAGCAGCAAGGCTGGTATATTCCGTACAGCTTTCATCGTTTGACTTTTGTCGCCAGATCATCATGATATATATCAGGACGGGCTGTAAATACGAGAACAATACAATCAGTTACAAAAATCCCAAGGCTTTGAAACTATTGTAGTTCAGATCCCGGCCGTACTGCCAAAGCACTCCAAGAAAAGCTTGCAGGATGTGCAAGGAAAGCTTGAAATTTTCACTCACGAGCTAGTTCTAATCTTGCTTAGGGCAATAACTCGGTATATTATCCGGGCCGGTACCCTTGAAGTAATTTGTCACTTTATAGACGGCCCTTGCGCAGCAGATATCATTCTTGTGCACAGTGATACGGAATTGCCAAAATACACCAATATATATCGCGCAGAGGCGACGGGCGCTGTGCTGTGCCACTTAAGCGCATTAAACGCCGCACCGGGTAATAAGCCTTATAAAATGGGGATATGGCTATATTTCCACTTAGGCTGCCTATTTTCGCAAGGGATACTACGGAACAACGGTAGCTGGCGCGATGTGCGCATGATGGCGGCCATGAGGCCATTTAGTCGGTCCGCAGCACGGAACCTAAGGTTAGACTTTCGCCGACATGCGACGGCTTACATAATATCAAAACTGTTGTACGATAAGGTATTAGCTCCAAATACCCTTATGTGGGCTTAGGACAATATTACGTATCAATATATATCCAGTATATAAATATATACTTATATTCGAGGTGGGGCCGGCAACTTCTGCATCTCAGAACCTGCAGTGTTGGATCTCACAAAACCACAGCTGCACAGTTCTTCCTAGATATTCTACTACAACCTTGAACAGCGCATACGGGTATGATAATAGCGTAATCGATCAGCTAAGACTGCATACATACAAGCCTGAATATTATCAAGCTATATGAAATTCATGTAGGCTGGCATGTAATTTCAAGACAGCGGTGATAAAGATTCTTTGTTGCAACGTGGGGCCGGTCGGCTCGTGTATAACAATGATCTAACATGCACGCTGCTCGACTCCCTCGCTGAGTCAGCATTAGGACCGCAAGGCCATAGACCTTCATATATACATATATAAGCCGGTCAGTCTTTAGTTACGGGGGGTCTGGGATAATTATTAGCATTAAATCCGGTGCATGAAGTGCCTAGGCTCATGGCCCCGCTGTGGGACTAGCTGACTATATTATAATTTACCGCGATAATCTAGATATTCTAGAAGCTCTCTTCTTTACAGCAACGAAAACTATTTCTCACCTTAGACAATCAATGGTTTTGCACTGAACTGCAATTTAGATCAATGGATCGGTGCTAAGCTGCTTTTCCGATATTTTGGCACACAAACCAATCGAAATTATCAAGGATTCCAAAAAGACTTTATAGTTTTTATGTATGGGGCAGGCGTCAGACTTTAAGATTGAGGCTAGCCAAAGACTTAGGACATGGTTCCAGAAACCTGCAGGAGATTATATAAATACCTGCCAGTCGTCAACCGTGCATGTGGAACATACTGGGAACGAGACTGTAGAATATATTAATAAAAGCTGTTTAGCTCGAGCTTGAATCTTAAAAATGGCGTTTTTAGTTTGATCAATTAATTGACCATCTTATATCTCGAGCCTAGTCAGCTACACAATGGACGTGGCATACACAATATACACATGACTATATATTACTCAGAACGTTAACGAGTACTAGTATTGGTAAATTTCTTAAATATTGCCCCCAATGCCGGTCTAGATTGTCCGTACGCGTTATATTCCACATGCCTAATAGTCTAGAATCAGGATTTCCCCCACCCTGAACGGCAAAGACGAGATTCTCCAACAGAAGGTACCATGGGTGCTATGTTTGTATGACTATGGTTACGCAAGCCCGAGATTTATTTATGAATAGATCGGCGAATAGTTTATAACGCAACTAAATCTGCAAACTAGGGGGGCGGTTTAATTCAAGAAACAGTTTTTAATTTGTTCCACGCCAGAAAGAAATTTATCGAGTTCTGTGGAATCAATCGATTGGTGATCTGTGCACCTAAATTCTCCCCCGCACGAACCTTGCTGCATGTGGTGTACGTAGGGACCCACGGAGATGCGGGATTCGATCCATGGTTCAAAACTTCGCCTAAAATAGTTCGTTAAACCCAAACACAAAACTCGCCTTCAAGAACCGTTAAAAGCTGCAAGAAGATCATATAAGTGTTTACTTGCGTCGAGGATTCACCCGGCCTCGGTTTAAATTTTCCATGTCATGAATTTTACGCAGAGCTAGGCTTCGGTGTATACCAGAACTTAGGTATACAGAGAAAGGATAGATTCCCAATGAGGCCAAAAGTTGGGGTTCGAGTTAAACGGCGGCATCGGTGCCATGGACCCCATCTTAGCCTACTCCACAAGATCTTGGCCTGTGCGCCTGAATGGTGGAATTTCTACCCCTTATACTTCCTGCCAAGATCTAAATACCCATGTGTTTTTTTCCAACGGTATGCATGATTTCCGCGATGCGTTTCAGATTAGGCTGATACATCTTCTATGGAACTTTCCGCCGCACTACATGAGCATATGAGGATCAGACGAAACATCGCTCATGAATAGAGTTCGTTTTCCGCCGTGGCCTTTTTAGACCCTAGAATAATCTCGCGTTGTTCGTGCCGAAATCCCTAGACATGATGACCCCATGCTGTTTTGAAAGTTTGGTACCGGTGTATCGTTCAGTTTTTTTCTTCGCGAATTCGCGTCGAGGGGGCCATGTAGGTTCTTTGGATCCATTGTGTGAATGCTGCTGCCGGACACATGTGATGAATCCAAACTATGGAGGTTATAGACTTATAAATAGGCCCGCCATGAACTGATTCTAGTGGAACTTTCGTTCCTAGATCGTCCAGTAGTCTCTATCCACTGTTTAGCAGACATCGATATCATTAGGCCCTCAAAGGTTTTCTCTGGATATTTATAAACTTACTATATAGACGCAATGGGTTACTCGAAAAAGTTCGTTGCCGCATTGTTGCTGGCACCGGCAGCTCTTGCCCAAGCACCACTCTATGGACAGTGCGGAGGGTATGCATCCAATTAGACTACCCACTAAATAGTTTGATCGATTGGGGACTAATAAGCGATATATATAGTCAAGGATGGACTGGACCGACAACTTGCGTATCTGGGTCTACTTGCGTCTACTCGTAAGCTCTATATTTCTTCTCCCTTTAGAACAATCTCAGGGTTATAGCCCGTGGGTTCGCAGGAATTAACATTGATACAGAAACGACTGGTACTCTCAATGTCTCCCTGGAGCAGCTGTCACCACCACGGCAGCTACTAGGACCACTACGGCCAGCAGTGCTGCAACTACGACTGGCAGCTCATCTAATAGCAATTGCCAAGCCGCTGCCCATGGGTTTGCTTCCCTGAATGGTGGAACGACCGGAGGAAACGGCGGTACCGTCGTCGTTGTAAATAACTGGGCCGATCTTAAGAAGTATGCTACTTCTTCCGGAAAGTATGTTATCAAGGTCTCCGGCAAGATCGTCGCTAGCCCAACTGGCGAGGAAATCAAGGTTGCGAATGATAAGACTATTGTTGGTATTGGATCGACTGGTGAGATTTATGGAGGTGGATTTGGGTTGATGAATGTGAAGAATATTATTATTCGAAACTTGAAAATCGGTAAGCTATTGACACCCAGACTTTGGTTCGCCCTCAGTAGCTAACTATTTTTTAGGAAATACTTATGACGGTGATTGGGAGGGTAAAACCCACGATTGGGATGGTATTCAATCCGATACATCCAGCAATATCTGGGTCGACCACTGCATCTTCGAACGTGGTGCCGACGGTCTCATCGATCTCCGTCTAGACTCTAACTACATCACCATCTCACACGTTACATTCCGAAACCATAACAAAGTCCTCGGTATTGGTAAGTTCCCCATACAAACCCAGACCTCAAAACTAGATTCTCTAGACTAACACCAAACAGGCTGGACCGACAATGTCATAACCCAAGCTACAATCCACCACTGCTACTTCCAAAACGTCGGCCAACGAAATCCCTCTGCCGACAACCTTAAGTACGCTCATATGTACAATAACTACCTTAACAATGCTACCTCGTACGGCCACTACTCTCGCGGAAAGACGAATATGCGCGTTGAGAACTGCTACTTTGAGAAAGTACGCAACCCACTTCAGCGTGACGACACCGCTGTTCTTGTTGCTAGCGGGAATACTTATGTTAGCTGCACCGGATCGACTGCTGCGAACAGTGGAACTGCGTTTAATCCTAGTTCGTTTTACTCTTATACTTTGGACAGTACTGCTAATGTCCCAAATATTGTTAAGAGCGAGGCGCAACCTAAGGCTAGCATCTGTCCAAGTTAGAGAGTCGTATGCTCTAGTGGTTGTAGCGGCTAGCTAGTCATTTGCAATGTAAATAGTTGAATTATGGTTCTAGAAACACCTGTAGATTTATAAATAGTCTAAAATATATCAACTGCGAAGAATTCCTGACCATTATGTGTGTATATGTTTATACTGATGAGGAAGCCCATGAAGCTTTCTATCTTCTTTACTGTGCGTACGTGTACCGTGAACTTTGTATGGTATTCCATTGATGCCCGAAGAGTAGGAAAGAGCCTACTAGCTCGGAGAACCTGGATAATATAATTTAGGCCAACTATGGTTGTTACATAGTGTGCGAGGAGGAAATAGCTCGTCTGCGTTGCCTTGTGGTATTTCACCTGCAGCAGATCCTCCACCAAAGTCAATTGGCGGCTAGGCCGACATCCATGCATGCATCTCCCCAAGCTCAATTCAATATATTGACAATAGCTAGACCTTTCCAACTAAATTACTTTTCCTCATCTAGATCTATCAATTAAAAAAAACTCTTCTAAAGAAATAAAGAGAAATATCATATTTCGGATTCCTTTCGCTTCGATTCACGAATTCAAAAGCATACGCTGCCACACGATCTTGCGTCACAGCTTCTAACCGAGAAACAAGCAAGCAAGCGCAATTCACGAAAGCGAAATGGTTCAACCCGAGAAACCAGAAACTGCAGTGCCGTTAACTCCTGCAGCTGCACTTCGCTTCACCATCTCACCAGCAACTCGAAGCGACCTTCCCGACGTCATAAACCTCTTTACTCTCTACGCTGAATCATTACACATAGACCTTTCATTCCAATCATTCACAGAGGAGCTCGCCGGATTACCTGGAAAATACGCCCAACCGACAGGAGAAATCCTCGTGGCAAGACGAGCTCCCAAGTCTACGGAGTTGAATAGAGATAGAGAAGAAACACATTCGTCTTCTCAGAGTGGAGATGCAATAAAGGATATCCCTGCTGAAGCACTCGGCTGCGTCGCTGTCAGACATATCAATATTGTCCCGCCTTTCGATGCCGGTTTCGATGCAAACACTAAAAAATGTGAGATGAAGAGGCTTTACACTTTACCTTCTACGCGAGGTCGGGGCGTGGGGAAGGAGCTTATCAATGAAGTTTTAAGGGTGGCGGTGGAGCTCGGGTACGATGAAATGTATCTGGATACGCTGGCGAGTATGGGGGCTGCTTTGGCGGCGTATGAAAAAGTCGGGTTTATCAGAACGAAGGCGTATTATCATAATCCGAATGAGGATGTGGTGTTTTTGGTGAAGAAGTTGAGGGTCGAAGAGTAGTTAGTGCTATGCATCTTTTCTGGGTAGCGAGATGAAAGGAGGATTGGATTGGGAGTTTGCCTCCCGTCGGGTAATAGGAGATAAAAAAGCGATATAATCTGGAAACTATAGAAGCGACGGAGTTCTTTTTGTAGTTAGTGATATCATGAGGGTTTGAGGTTCTGACATCGTCATATAGATCTAGACCAAAGGAATTGAGTGCATATAATGACGGAATTAAGCTTGCAAGCCTTCGCAAAATGTATCCTCATTCTGCAACTGTGACATCTGTGCATTTCCAGCGAAAGAATGAATGGTTTTAAGCGAGCCGCATGTAGCAAGATGGACAAAACGGTGGAGATACGACCAAGGCAAAGTCATCAAGTATTTAACTAGTTAACTTGGCCGCGGTCATACATAAGTGTATCCCTACAAATAGGAATAGTCCGGATAAGAAGTTTCTTATCTTTTGCCCCCAATAGTACAAAGAGAACGAACGATTGGCATTCAAGAAAACTTCTATCAAGAGCTTCTAGACATTCGAGAAAAGGCGGCACACTGCAGTGCTTCATACTGCCCCGGTGCTACTTCGCTTAGCTGAATAGATGACCTATTTCGGTCACTTGCATCGCCATCTTGGTGCAGGATTGGTTGGAACCCACACCTCGCTTAAGGCAGATTTCCGGTTTGGTTGTCTATAGGTTCTATAGCTGCGGCTCCCTTTGGGAACTAGACTTGGGCATTTGCTAGATCAGGGGCAAAGTCAGTAGTGCTAGCTGGTTAAAGAATGCGATAAAGGTTCAAAGAATACAAGGAGTCTTGTGTGGAGTTACCTGTTCTCTGGATGTCGTCGTTAAGTCGTATTTGAAGTCTCGTGTATTATATCCATTGAGCAATGCCTTGGGAAGGAATTCCAAATACAAATTTAGTAACAAAATGAATATTCAACCAAAACTTCGACGGATCTTGCAGGTCAAGGAACAAAAGAAGCCGGCTCGTGGCTTGGGCCATGGCTTCAGCACACTAAGCCAAATAAGTGGCAGAGCCTTCCAGTTTCAGACCCTGGTTTCCCATATTCGGCTTAGTCTGTAAGCAAAATACTTTCGATGGCGATTATTGGAAATCATGTTAACTTTTCCGCAAGCCACCTGCAGGCAATTGCATTCGACCCTTCAATACCACCAATGCATCGTCCTGTCAAAAAAAACAAAATAAAAAATGTAGAACATCTGTCGCATCTGCTTGGTAAAGGTCTTGAGCATTTTATAAGCCACTTTACACCCATCTTATTCCTTTCCTGGCGGTAATCGAGATGGTATTTTGCCTCCTGTGTCCGCTAGGCTACGCATCCTGCCTTGCCGACCCGCTTAACTTTGAGTCTTTATGGAAGGCCGCCCAACTTCTCTTAATAGGCCGTTTCAACAAAGCCACGATAAGACGTATGGGAGGTGCGAAGCGGGTACGTTATCGGTTTAGCAGTCTATTCTATGCAGTAACCAAATCCCGCGAAAAAAAAATAATAATAATCCTTTCACAATTTTTAACCGTGTTAAGGTAGCTAGTGGAACTTGTTTGCCTAACTGTAACCTAGCCATGATTTGTATTCTCCTCTATAGAACGGGGCTAGTTATACCATGGTTAGGTATCGTTTCCCAGATTCTTCACCGCCGAAATAGTGCATACTCTAGGAAAAAGACGCCTGAGCTGTATGCGAGTGCGCTGGCGCCATGGCTAGTGTGTCAGAGCTTCTGTATGCAGATGCAAACTTGTTCGGTGCCCTGCTCATGTACTCTGTATTATGCCATTTTTTGACAAAAACATACATCCAGGCCCATAGACTGGGATTTGCCTTGAAGTTCATATATTAAAAAGTAGATATATAAAGTTGGCCCTCGCTTGCAACTTGGCCAGCGGCGAATCAATTTTTGGTGTTGAATGTGACCTTGTAATATCGTTTTGCAAGCGAAATCGATCGAATCTGCCCCCTTCATATGACGACGACGACTTAAACGACTTTTCCTTTAGACCTCCACGATATTTTAACGGCGGCAATTCTTTTGTCTCTCTTTGAAATAGCATTTAAATATACTCCGATATATCCGACGATACAACGTATCATTTCAAGACCCTCTCCACCTTTTTTTATTTTTTAGAATTCCTCCGGCTCATCCTACCGACCCATTTCGCTTAGAGTTTAAGGCTTGTATTTGCTGAAAGAAGCAATATACATTTTTTGAGTCGGCTTCGGCTGGTTAGGTTAGGAGAGTTCAGATCGATCACCGATCGCGATTGGTCTGTTTATATAGCCTAGCTGAGAAGAAAGATACATTCTGCATATCAGCTTTGGTTCTTTCTTTTCCTTTCTCTATTTTTTTTTTGTCAGAATATGGATAAAAGATCCCTCGAACCTATTTTTCAGCTGGAAGAGTTCTCGGGTTTACATCCACAAGCTATGGAGAACATTCTGGGTTCCTTGAGGTACCTGCTTTCGCTGAACGTAAGTATCCCATAATATCAATTGTCAGCATGTTTAAACATTTCAAGACATCAGAGCTGATGTATGGGTATATATAGACTCCATCGATAACATTAATCGTCACAACATTTATTCGTGCGCAGTATACATCCCAGAATCACACACCAGCGATCCGACAATGGATCGCAACTCAAGCGATCCCGACACCCTTGGCACTTCTAGAAAAAATGTTAAAATACTGCATCTCTGAGGCATGGAGGAATACAGACGACGCACCATATACTTCGCTTGCTTTACGAAAGGATATTCCTCTAAATTTGAATCAACAGAGTGTGCACCGGGCGCTAGATATGGCTAGACGGTGTGACACTGACTATTCAGCACTACAAAGCGCTTTTGGAAAAGTTAGGACGACAATGGGAAACGGTGGATGGAATAGATGGGTGGATGGCGCTAGAAGCGTTGGGTCCATCAGGGAGAGCGATCTTGAGGTTATGAATGATTTGGCGGGGAGGATATTTGCTGAAAACGATCCAGTGGAGATTCCGGTTCTTTATATAAGACTCGCGTATCTTTTGGCCTCAAATGGAGGTGCTGCTTCCTATGCAGGGTTAAAATATACGGGTTCTCCGTATGCAATTTTGGCAGAATACTTCGACAGTGTGATTTCGAGGAAGCTCGAGGTATTTTATGGGACAACAACGCAATCGAGGGCTACTCCGGGGCCTTGGATGGAACAGCATGAGAAAGATAAAAGGATGATTTCGATATTAGCAAACCGGCAGACGGATTGGGATGCCATTTACCGGACATTACAGACATCGACAGTAAGGGGGATGGCAAGCGGAATATGATTTATGCTGCGCATTGCTTGGAATGTCGAGTTTTCTGCTAGGGTTGAGTTCAGTATTTCCGTTTTTCTTTACTCTTTTCTTTATACCCGGTTGAAGTTATATATACCTATAGATGTTATGGAGTGTATGTATGGTGTCTTGTGTGTTCCTGATCATGATCGGATGTCCTCGTATCGGTTGTTACTTGGCGTTGTTTGTTGCATTTTTTGGTACAGAATATGAGCGGACGTGCCGATTTCTTCCAATTATTGTTAGTAAAATCATTGTAATCTCCAGTAAGGTGATATATCACGTTACAAAGTCGCTTTAATGAGGCACGGCCAAATCTCCTTACTACGTAACGTTATGCACGGTCAGTCCGGTCCTGCCTTAGTAACAGTCCATCAGTAGCAAAGCGTTTGACCCGTAATCAGATTTGTCATCTGTGTCCATACCAAAGACGGCAGTGCCGGCATTATCCGGGTGGGTTTCGACAGGGGGGCCCAAAAAGCTTGGTATGCACTGTAACTCATTGGTTCCGTCATAGGCTCTTTGAAGCCCTTGGATCTGTGAACGAAAAATTGAAAGAATCCTCTGAAACTGCTTTGTCTACGTATTGCAATGCAGGCGTTTCGACCGGGATCGGGCGATAGTTGATTAGAAGCCCTGATTTTTAACCTTAAACTGGGCCTAAAAGGCTTTATTTGGCTAGGGTGGGATTAGTAAACAGTTAAACGGCGGCGAGTATCATCTCGAAGCATATAAACTTCAACACAAGATCCCCACTTGGCTCTGTGGTTCCAGGAACATATAAACCTCGAGGTTCTCCCGCTTTCTTACCTTCAAATATCAATCCTCATTCTCCTACTTTAAGTACCTAATACCAGAGATTCTTTAATCGTCTTCGAAGCCTCAATATCACACAATGGTTCAAATTGGTTGGATCGGTCTCGGGAACATGGGGGCTGCTATGGCCCCAAACCTGGCCAAAAAGTATCCCCACGACAAACCCCTTCTCCTCTTCAACCGCAACAATGCAAAAGCCGACGAACTCGCTGCTTCCCTTGGAAAGGAGGGGATTACAGTAACGGTCGCTCCTTCTATTGCAGATCTAGTCCAGAAATCGGACATTATCTTCACATGTTTGGCCAATGATGCAGCTATCACACAAACAATCGATGCCGCTGTGCAAAGTGGAGATATTTCTGGAAAGCTATTCGTTGAAAGCTCTACTGTTGCACCAAAGTGCACAGATGCTCTGTCCGATCTTATCGTGGGGAAAGGGGCAAAGTTTGTGGCTGCACCGGTGTTCGGTGTCCCCGCTGTTGCTGCTGCTGGACAGTTGACATATGTTCTTGCATCGACTAACGAAAATTGGATCGATGAAGTTATTCCATTTACTAAGGGAGTTATGGGTAAAGCCTATATCGATTTGAGAGGAAAGAACCCGGGTACTGCTTCGTTGATGAAGCTTTCTGGAAATCACTTTGTGCTATCCATGGTGGTCACATTGAGTGAGAGTATGGTTCTGGCAAGCCAGAGCGGTCTGGGAGAAGATGCTATCGTGCAATTCGTAGAAGCTGTCTTCGGTGGACCATATGTGAGTATTTCCTTCGCCCGAGATAATAGATTTTATAACGCGAGACTAACATTATGGAACAGCCACAATATGCTAAGAGAATGTTGACTGGAGATTATGCCACCGACCAACCAAAGTTTTCGGTTGACAATGCATTGAAGGATGCTAAACATATCAAAGATGTTGGAGCAGATAATGGAGTTAAGCTTGGAGTGGTCGAAGAAGCCATCAGGCTGCTCACAATTGTGAAGGAACAAGTTGGAGCATCTGGAGACATGCCAGGAATGTATGGTGCTAAAAGGACAGAAATTGGACTACCATATAAAAAATAGGAATTAGCTCTCAATGCTGAAATTGGTTTGGTGGGAGGAAGAAGAAGAGGAAGATTCCTATCGAAGCTCTAATATAGAGCAGCTATCATGTATGTACTTAGCATATACCTAGGTACCAGGTAGTTATTGAGGTCTGAGCTGGCTCTATATTGAATATAAACTAGTGTTTCTACCTATGTTCGGTCGATGTTTGTATAGAATAAGTTCCAAGTGGTTGTAAAATGGCTGCAAAGTGGTTAGCAGCAGGGTTGTAGACCCCGTAGCTGAGCCAGCCACCTGAAGCGGTTCTCAGAATAGCCCACCAAAAAGCTCAGCAGTTCTCATCACAGCAACATCACCACTTTACCCTCCACAACATCCCCCTCTGTTCCGTTCGTCTATTACAGCTCGCCTGTACACTTCTACACGCAATGGCTCCATCCGATAGTCTGATGTATACCCTTCGGGGTAAGAGTGCTTCCTATTACCCATCGACCATCATAAAAGTCATCATCCTGCTTCGCCTTCAGAAAGTCATCGCTAATCTTTCCAGAACTCGTCCCACTCTCTCGTGGATTCTGTACATCTTTTCCATCCTATTCAATCTCGCTCAACTTACCGGGTCCTTGAGGGGTTTAAACGTGCTGAAAACGAGGCCGAAGCCTCAAGTAGACGGTGGCAGCAAAAACAAAGACAATTCGACCGCCCTGCCACCGTCGAGCGATCTGTCCCTCATCAATCGTGTTATATGGAGCATAATTTGGCCTACCATGGCTGCAAACCCACGCCCTCCGACGGACGTTGAACGCCGTATTCACAAGATCAAGCGTGATATCAACTCTTCAGCTATTGGACATCTTGATCGTGCCTTTGACAGAATGGCAGTCGCCTTTACACCAAATATTAGGTTTGCTGACCTTGATTTCAATGGTCCTCCCGCTACTGCCACGAATTCGCGTCCTAGTGGCCAAATTATGCAGTACCATGCCAATTCAAATATTCAGACCTTACCATGTTCTACCCCGGTTCCAGCTCTTCATATGCATCCAGAGAATCGACATATGTTTCGTTACTTTGTCGGCATTCCAGGATCCAGGAAAGATGAGGGCTATTTGAATTCTATCTATAATATCAGAACTGAGTTTACCCAATACCCCCCTTCTACCGGGCGAAACCTTCAACCGACTTCTGCAAGTAATCTCCGTGTTGGTCAACGTCTTTTTGGACACTGTCTAGTCGTCAAAGCGATTCTTCCACCAAAGCATCTGGATGCTACACATGTTCTTATCGAAGACGATTCTGGGAAGTGGGAATTGTTACATATCTTCAACTTCCCGTACAGCAACCACCCAGAGGATCGAATTGGGCAAGGTCAACTGATGATCCTTAGGGAGCCAATGTATTACATTGGGTATGGTGGATTTCCGGCTATACGGGTTGATCACCCTTCCGATATCGTGTACATCATGTACGACGACCCACTTGTGCCACCCAAGTGGCAGAGAAAGGATGCTCATGGCCTAGATGCTGAGCCCAGGGTTCTCAGGATGGATGGAGAAGTCCGTATGAGGTGGAGAAAGTATAATCAAGCAGCTGATTGGTAAGTGGCCTTGTTCCTCCTTCCTTTCATATTTTAGTAGAGCTAAGGGAGGTGTAGCTTGACTTTAGCGTACAATATCGCCGATCGAGCTCAGCAAGAAATGCTGTTGAACTTCTCCCGCCCATCATCTTCGGTTGTCCATACTAGCTCTAAACTCGAGGCCATTAAGCTTCGTGTCGGCTGTTACTATAACCTTCGCCAGTGGGAAAAATGCCATAGTGACGCCAACACTCTCCTATACATATCTTTCAATGAGAGGGACGCTTTGTATAAAGCCAACGCTCTTTTTCATCTCAAATCGCTCGATGAAGCCAAACAAGCCATCTTCAGAATCATTGGTGGATCTCGGTACAAATTTGAGGAATGTTCAAAGTTGCTCTTCCAAATTCGAACCCACCAGAGTAACTCTGTGGGTCTCTATAACATGACACACATACTTGAACGTGGAAAGGAAGGGCAGCGCGAAGTTTGTGCTGGCGATTTTACCCTTGGAGTTAGAGTGAAAAAGACCCCAGGTATTGGTGGACATGGGCTGTTTGCTCAGAAAGATTTCAAGCTGGGTGAACTTGTAATGGCTGTTAAGGCAGCAGCGACGGTTCATGGAGAGAACAACGTTGCCTTAGAGATTAGAGACCAACGTGGAGAGTACGTTGGGACCAAATACGGGCAAGGAATGGTACCCCAAATTATTGCAAGAATGATCGCAGAACCGAAGAATATTGGGCATTTGATTCAGAAGCTGAATCGAGACAAGTTTGATGGAACCTTTTTCAAGCACAACGGAGAATGTATTGTCAACGGGTATGTTTTCGTCCTTTGCTGTCGAAGGAGCTAGTGAGCTGATTTTAAGTAGGTTTTGGATCGATGATACGATTGAACAGTGCGCTATGCAGCATGGCATCTATAACAAGCGTATTCCTGATTTTGGCGGTATCTTGGATCCCGACGTCTTCCCAAGTCTGACTCCGAGTATGCGATCATCTACACCAGCCAGCAATATTAGCCTTGGCCCTCGGAATAAATCAATCCTCTCAATGAACCGTTCCACCCAGGGTCAAGATATTCTTATCGATTCGAGTTTTGCAGATCAAATGAGCTTTTTCCCCCAAGCATCATTCATCAACCACAGCTGCGTCCCGAATACTCGAATTTCAATATTTTCAGACGTCTTATTTGTTTATGCGGCTTCTTCAATCAGCAAAGACGAGGAAATCTTTATCAACTACATGGACGATGATTACTCGCCACTCGCTCAGCGCCGCGAGTTTTTAAGAGAAACCTTTGGATTTACGTGTAGATGTGCACGCTGCGTATTTGAGTCTGACAATTTTAAATATTGGAGCGTACGCAAAAAGGCACACGAGGCGATCAGCGAGTTGATCAATGGGGACTATACACACAGCCCTTCTATTATCTTGGATGGCATCTCACATTGCATCAAGACCTTGAAATACGAGTTCAAAGACCATCCTAGCGATATTCCCCAGTTTGACATGGCATGGGCATTGATGGCGGAAGAACATGTTCGACTCGCAGTGGACCGCGACCTGAGACGCACCGGTAGAACCGCAGAGCTGAGGAATATGAAGTTAGCGCTCCAGATTTTACAAGCGCTTGGAGCCGAATACGAATTTGTCGAAGGGGATGTCAACATTTTCAGATACGGCTATGTTTGCAAGTGGCTCGTTGAGGCGTGGATCTTGGCGGCGATTAGCAGTGCTAGATTCTATGGGGGTGTCTTTTGGACACTTAAGGTCGCCGCTAGGGAGGTCTATAAAATTCTATGCGGAGAAGAGATTACGTTTGAAAAGTTGTTTTGGGGAAGGTTAGAAGAGGCTGGAGTTTCAGAGCTGACTGAGGAAGATATGTTGAGCATGGCAGACCTGGTAGATTGGACGGAGCGGGAGAATTTGAGCAAGACAGAGTTGGCAGGATGAGCAAGTGGGTTACGAGGCATGCTGAAATGAGCGATCAAGCGGTATTGACATGATAGATGGCTCAACATCTAATCTTGACCCTACATAGCGATGAATGGGTGTTTGACTTTTCAAAGTGGGGATAAAATGGCGGAATCAAAAACAATATCTGTGGAATACATATCGGTTGATAAACGAGATTATATGTATTCTCATAAGATTCTAGCATAAGAAGAGAAGGAATCACAGACTTGTACACTATAGGTAACGATTTGTTTGTATGGCGGATATAGTGTACTTGCGAAGCAATGAAGTGATATTCATAATCCCAACACTCATACGATTCGAAATTCATGATCATGCTATTCACTCAGCATACCCTTGAATTTTCGGTAAAGAAAGAGAGAAAGGAGATTTTGCAGGCTAGACTCTATTGAGGCCCAGACACATATCTTGCTGCTGTTTTAAGTATCCGGCCTCGTACACTTGGATGTGTAAGAATTCGAGGCTACGCATACTGGGAAGTGTTGAGTAGTTAATAATTGTGCCTCCTTGTGGTAAATCAAGCGTATACATGTATGCACTAGTTGTAATATTGCCTGTTGTGTATTAGCTAGCCTCAAATCGAAGCGCTCTTGAGGTTATGGATAACTATAGTCGTCACAGCTGGAGGCATGATTGGAAGATTATATTAGACTTAGATCGACTGGTGTGATTTATGTCGCACTTGTTGCGGGTGACTGACCGCCACTAGCTACCACCACAGACTCTTTTTTATATATACAAGCCAAAAACATCTTTCGGATCCACCATCAAGGTTCACCATGCATAGCTCTCTTTCTCTATAATTACCTCTTTACACCGTCTTAACGTTATAACGCTAATGCTTCCAAAGTCACAAGTATAAATATCTGGAAAGCTCCATATCCCACTCTCTTCAGAACCTACCACTCGAGCTCCTTTTATTCATATTTAGTCTATTCGTCACACCTTGTGTGACATTTTTCTAAGCTCGTGTACGCAGAGCCTTCACTATTCTTCCAGAATATTCGCCATGGTATCTGAGGCAGATGGTTCCACGGGTCTCCGTATGAAAGCCCATTTCTCCGACTTTGAATGGGATCAACTTCAAATGCAAGGTCTCATCCAACAACGTGCCAAAAGCCTCGCCGGTCAAAAACTTGAAATGCCGTCCGAAATGACCAAAGAAAACCTCATCTTCCTTCTCAAGGACCGTAAACCGGTCGACGAAGGATCATCGTTCTCTAATTCAAAATACAATTTAACGGAGTATCATATAGATCCGTATCCGCCTTCGAGCAAGCCGGTTAAGGAATTGGAGAAGATTACTTTCAGAGATCTCAGGATCGAAACTCGTCATCTTGGGAACAAGATTTTTGTCAAAACGGTTTCTCCTGCTAGAAGAATTGCGAGTGTTTCGGTCGTTGTTGAGGATGAGAACGGTGTTCCTGGACAATTGCAGATATTTAATCTGGGCAGGAAAATTGACTTACAAGAGTTCTTGCCGGTTGGGCAGATACTATGTGTTAAGGAGCCGTTGTTTAAGATTTCCACGACGGCTATACAGAGTTTGAGGGTTGATCATGCGGGGGACTTGATACTGGTGGATGATGACGATGATGAAACTCCTGAGGCTTGGAGGGTAGAAGATATTGAAATTGGTGCAGCGAATTGTAAAGAGATTGGGAATCAGGCTGTTAGGGATGGGAAGTTAGTGGAAGGTATTAGATGGTATGTCAATTTTTCTTCCCCTTACTAGTCTAAATATAAATTTAATATACTGATAAGATTCTTTTATGTTATAGGTACACAAAAGGTCTGGGTATCCTCGCATCTAACCCAGAGAACCTCGATGAATCTCTTAAGCTGGCTCTCCTGCTAAACAGAGCCCTCTCCCACCTCCAACGCGGGGAGTACGAACACTCACTTCGAGATTCAGAATCTGCCCTCCTCATTGATCACATCAATGAAAAGGCTTTGTACCGCAAAGCAAAATCTCTGTACCAGCTTCGCCGTTATGGTAAATGCGGGAACACGTTGACCAAGCTTATAGTCCATCATCCGAACAACCGAGAGGCAAAAAACGAGCTTGCGATAGTTCGCCAACGTTTGCTTGAGGAGACAAGAGGAGCATATGACTTCGCTAAGATGGTGGAGATGGCGAAAAGTGATTTTGTCGGACAAGAATATGACTTTGCGGACTATTCTATTCCCGTGTACCCTAAAACGTCTCAAATCAGTGGGAATGGGTTGTTCACTAGGAGAGATGTCAAAATGGGGGATTTACTCTATGTTGGAAAGGCATTCATGAATTGCAGGGGTAGTGATAACGGTGTTTCAGTGATGATTCGTCCGGTGGATTTGCATGTCGACCAAGGGGTCGGAGCCTTTTTGACGAGTGCGGTCCTAGAGAAGTTGAACAGGGTTCCTGGAGCGTACAAGGAAATTTTGAAACTACATAATGCCTTTGGTGAGGAGTGGACAGATGGCCGAGATGGCGACGGACCGATTGACTCGTGAGTATTTCTCTTTTAGAATTCCGTATTTATGATCACAGCTCACGTCGTTCAAAGGTTCCTGGTCAAAAATATCTGCAACAGCAATGCCTTTAGCTCATGTTCATACTACGACCAATTTCCAGAAATGCACCCAGAAGACGACGGCACGCCATCAAGAAGGAATCCGAAGAAAACTCAAGATGAGCCATGGGATCCCAACTCTGGCCTTTGGATTCTCCCTGCATACACCAACCACTCTTGCATTTCCAATGCTCATCGAACTTTCCTCGGAGACATGATGATTTTCCGCGCCGTTGTGGATATGCCAAAGGACACCGAAGTTCTGATCAGCTACACCGACCATAATCTCCCTTACGAAGAGCGACAGGGAATCTTACAAACGAGTTGGAAATTTACTTGTCAATGTAAACTCTGCGTTTACCAGTCCGCACCCGGTGTCAGCGAAGCACTCGAAAGCGTCATGATAAAAATGCACGAACTTATCACCCGCGTCGGCGATACAACCCCAAAATTCGAAGATGCAGAAAAATTGAAACTTTTTATCATACAACTCGAGAAATTATACATTTACGACGCACACGTTGTACCCCGTCCATACCTAGGAGAACACATCCTACGGCTCTATGGATTCCTCAACGAAATGGGACTAGCACAGGCAGCATATAATGCACTACACGCTGGACCACCAGCTTGGGGTGCTATTTACCACGCGATTTCGGAGAAAGGGGTCGAGTTTCAACATAAAGGATGGGCTGATGGGGATTTGGTGAGGGCTTATGTTAGACTTGCTACTGTTACGGGGCCTTTGGGAGGGAAGATATTTGAGGATTGGAAGGAAGCGGCGAGGGATTGTTATAGGGTTATTGTTGGGGAGGATGTAACTTTTGAAGAAACTTTTGGGGAGGCTATGATGAGGTATACGAAGGACGGTGGGGGGTATCGAGACCTGGCGGCTCTGAATTAGGATTCTGGATTGTGGGGAAGACGCTGGTTCGGAGGGTATTTCCGTGCCAGGGTTTTTGATGCTGATACATGCACGTATTTACCTGAACTTCGACTTCGTGCATGTTCAGATAATACAAGAGAGTCGTGAAAGGCTAGAGAAGATATTCAGGGACAGTAACATACCTGTTAGATAGTCTTAGCATCACAAACGAAAAATTCAGAATCTATGTGATTGTAAAGGTGTCTGTACGTGGTATCTCCGCCCCTTGAAAGTTTCACGAATTCTTCAAAATAGCTTATCACAAGATAAGATCATAAGCTCGTAAATTTATAAATCGTGAACGCTCACTATCATTAACGCTGCCGTTGGAGCACACGCACTAGTACTTGTTGTAAGTGTGAAGGGAAGATAGATCCCCAGAACATATATAGCAAGCTCCCGTTTCCACATACTAACGATCGATGATTATAATCTTTGTATAATATATATCCTAGCCTCTAGGCCTATCCGCGTATCATAGAGTAACAAAGTCCTGTCATGTAGTTTGTTTCGTGGTAATGAAGCACCTAGTAAGGATATATTATTTTTTTTGAGGAAAAGAAGTCTATAGGCTAAAGTACTACATTAAATATGGGCTAACACGCTCGAGCGCTCAGAGTACCACCAACCTTCTACCGCATGCTATTTTAATCAAATATCCACCACAGGCTGCTAGAAATCTACATTTCCACCTCTTTTAACTTAACTTTGTTTCCTTTGAGATTAGTTCCACCATCATCAGTTCATTACAAAATCTCCCCCCTGTTTTGAACTCCATATAAGCAATTTCGTGCGGGAGAACATATATTCAATTATAAGTTTTCTGTAGAGTCTTTAACCTCATACAGTCTCGCATATTCTCCAATCTTATCTGCCGCTTGCTTCCTACCTCCGGAAGCTTGGGTGATTGTTGCATATTTTGCACACTTCTCCTTGATACTAGTCGCCCGTGGACTATCCTCAAGAACGGTTAATATTCCTGCGGCTAGTTCTTCTGCATTCTCATCTGGCGCTGTCTTTCTTGAGGCCCAAACACCTACACCAAGCCATTCGGCACGAGCGGCCATATCGTAGTTGTCAAACCATTTGGGTAAGATGACATGGGGTACTCCCGCCCTGCAAATACTGTTAGCTCATCATCTTAAACATTCTAGGGTGGTTGGGTCCATTTATAACTTACCATAGAGCCTCATAGAACGAATTTGCACCTCCATGATGTACATTGCAGACAATGTCACCTGTGTTCAACAAGTCCATCGGCGAGTTCTCGAGCCACCTAACGATCTTGACTCTACTCTCTTCTTTTCCGAAGAACTTCTCTACCAACTCTGCATGGCTTTCAACTTCCTTCCACTTCCATAAAATCTGAACGTTCGGCAACTTGTCGATAACTGTGCGTATACCCTGTAATACCTCTGTTGCATGCTTTTCATAGAAATTACAATGTGTGCCAAGGTTGATTAAAACTGTAGGCGCCCGTTTGATCCAGACTAGAAGCGGATCGTCGGGTTTGATGCTCGACGGGAAGATAATAGGACCGCAGTTGGTTATTATTTCGTCGTTGAATTTGAAGGGATAATCGATTTCTGGAAGACAAGGTGTGATTTGGGGAGCTCCTTCTAGGTCGAGGATTGGATGGGGTCCTTTAAGGCCCATTGCCTTTCGTCGCTTATCAATAGCTTTTCGTTTCGACGAGTTTTTGATGGCGGCGAAGAAGGTGAAGAAGATATATATATTCGCCGGCTTGAGGTGTAGAGGAACTGGGTATGAATATCCTGTGCCGGAACTGATAGCAATGTTAGCCGTAAGTCCTCTCAAGCTTCATCTCATACCAAAACGTTGACTTACACTGGAACCTTCCACATAGTCTTAACCTTTGGCATCATTCCACCGACGCATTCCTTCAAGAAATTGGGCCACAGGACAACATAAGGTTGTTTTGTCAACCTTACTGCATCAAACCCTTGCCAAAATAGACTATCAACAACTGCAACAGCAGGTCGGACGTCCTTAATGATTTCGACCACACTCTGTACGCTGTCTGCATAGCCATCTGCTTCCTGGTGGTTCAAAAGCTCGTCGAACGTCGGTTTGAAGTGCTTTCGGAATGTCTTGAACCGTGGAGAGTGGGCTTGAGTTCGAGGGTCCGGATGGATGACTTGCATCGATACTCCCACGACAGTGTGGCGTTTAACGGTTTCCTTTGAGTTAGCGGATCCATTGGCAACTACTGAAGAGGTGGTATTCTCATGTGCGAAGTCGACGATGAAGTTCAATGACTTGTCGAGGTTTTTATCTTGGAAACTCGCGACATGAAGGTCGTACTTTCTTGTAAGAAGAAGTTCGTAAAGTGTCGCGAGGTGGACATTCGCCTGACCAAGCTCCGGATGGGTTAGGAACAATATCGATGGGCGATGGTTCGGCATGTTGGCGATGTTGGAAGAGATAATCAAATGCAATGTTGGCGTTCCTCGAATCCGAAGGTATAGCTACTACCGAGATACCGAGAGAAAGAGCTATCTAGGCATCTGCAACTTCAGCTGTCGGTCATAAAACAAATAAAAAGGCCAATTCAACAGCCAATGCGGAGGAAAACGACCTCCTTTTGAACCCGGGACGCCACCACAATGTATTCTGCACACGCAAGCTCCTTTCCCTTGCGAACTGCGATACGATCCCGGACCGGTGAGGAGAACGAGTCCATTTCGAGACCCGGCCATGTATCCTGTCGGTTCGCCCCCCCTTAAAGTCTTAACTAGGTTTTAGCTCTGGATCCAACCCCAGCTCATCGCGGTGAGAGGTTCGAGCTACGCATCGCCAGCTGCAGGTCAGGGTTGCTTGCCTTGGGCGTCCCGCAACACCCAAGCCCTGCCAAGGACTGGGGTCCTCGAGCAAGGGTCTGCGAGTCAAGCTGTCAATGCAATTTTACTAATTTTGGATATCCATTGACAGGAGATATCAATTCAATTTTGAATAGGGTTTATAGGTTCTTGGGGTTCTCCTGGGCAGAATCTGCAGACGGGAGCTGGAGGTTCGGTACGTACCGTTTTCGTATCCACTAATTTTTCTCACCCAGAGTCGAGTCTCAGTCCAAAACTGTTGAAGCTTATGCTTAGGGTTCGAGTCTTCAAAAACGAGAGAACTGTGGATCCAAGGAAGCAGCTCGTCCCGAGTACCGAGTTATTCAGGCGCTATGCCCAAAACCGTAACCCTCGATGCTCATCTGTTCTAGCTCGAGCTTGTTAGCTTCCAAGACCCATCGAAGAAGGGGGGCGGATGGCACGGCTCTCCGGAGCTATGACTTTTATGCAATCAAATGCACGTTCCGCGATGGCCGCATTTAATTCATCTGAGAAGTTTTTTCTTCGGATAAGGGAGATATGGAGGAAGAAGTCCCGGATGTGCTATCCAGATCGAAAAAAGATCGCGATATCACAATGTGACGTCCCATCAAAATGTCGCAGGTAAGGCGTTCTGAGGCTTGCAGGCCCTTTGAGAGGTATATAATCTAACCGCCAGGGCACGGCATGCAGGTCATCCAACATATCGGAACGGCTGTTGAAAGTGAAAGGTTTCTGCTTGATAAGCAGTGTGTATGGAATCCCATGCACTGCACTGGTATCGTGGGACCCAGGATCGCGATACCAACTTCAGCCAGGCGGTGGCCCTAGCTTAGCTTGAAAGGAACCCACCAACACGGTGCCATGGGTGTGTGTGTGCAAGAGTACCTGGTATCATGGACATGTGATACCAATGTTTGCTCTTTGGTGGATATTAAATCGTGCATACGAGATACCTCGCAGCCGGCATCTAGGAGCATTCATCAATGCCAATGTCGTGCCAATGCGCATATGCCTGGCCAACATATGTTGGAATTTGGAAGTTGAAGTCATACGGGCGAGTATACGTTACACAGACAAAGCACTTACCCAATTGCCAATTGTTACGCAGAGGAAGATCATGGCCCCTGTAGGCATGGTTCCGAGTTTCACAAACAATGTGCGTACGCAAGAATTACCACATATCATGATCACTCCATCGATCGATATTCCTTTATGCTCTACTATACACGTTACTATATACATTGGAAACCCTTCAGGGATCTTGGATCTTCATTGCCGAAAGATGTTTTAAATCTTCTTCGCTTTGCCAAAAGCACAAATAATCGCCATATAACTCCGACCATATAATATATACACGCAGGATTCGCAAACGTCATACATCTATATCAATACCTTTATTCTACTGGCCGTTTATTCTAATTCGGCAGAACTTCCAATACCGTACCCGCAGCGTTCAGGCTCGAGGTTTTGAGATCTTCACTGCTATCGCTCAAGGTCGTTGTGATAGCAACAGTCTCGTTCTCTTGCTGTCTCTTCTCTAACAACAGAGCACCAAGTGGACCGGCAGCCTCGTCAAACCCGACATCCTTGGAGTAGATCTGTTTGCCACGGAGCCAAGTCTCGCAGACAATTCCATCGAGAACCTTGTCTTCGTATGGTGTGATTTTATTCTTGAAGTGCATTTCGGAAGTTGTGACCTACGATATACCTATTAGCTGACAAAACTCTAGAATTTAATACCTGAATGTTCCGCGGGGAGAGCATACCTTAAAGCTGGTCTCTGGGTCGAAGATGCAGATGTCTGCGTCATAACCGACCGCGATCTTTCCTTTCCTACCCAGCAACCCAACCTGTCTCGCTGTCTCTTCTGATGTCCATTTGCTGATTTGAACCAAATCAACGCCTCGCTTCTTACCCTCGGTCCATAGGACGCTCAATCCCAGGCCAACAGTGCTAATACCGCCCCAGGCCTGGAAGAAATCACCTCCGCCAACAAGCTTTAGGTTTGGCGTGCACGGCGAGTGGTCACTAACCACGGTCGTGATCAAACCATCCTTAAGAGCATCCCATAGACCGTCTGAATTCGCCTTCTCTCGGATCGGAGGGCAGCACTTATGTCTCGTGTCACCGTCTTTGATATCTTCGGCTGCTAATGCGAGATAGTGGAAGCATGTTTCTGCAGTGATCTTAACACCCTTTTCCTGCGCTTCTTTGAGCATTGGCAAACACTGAACGGCGGAAAGATGGACAATGTGGAGAGGGAGGTTTGGAGCAACTGGTGCTGAGTTGACGATCTCTGCGAGAGCATAGGTTTCGAATGCGGGAGGGCGGGACGCTAGGAAAGTGGAGTAGGACTCTAATGGGCCAGCTGGTGCTAGTGGAGCATCACCGTGGAGAACTGCATCACCGACTGACAACTACATCATTGTTAGGGAATCGCCGTATTGAAGTTAATGGAAAGGTCGCACAATTGACTTACAGAAATTGGAGGCAGCTTTTCAGCATGGAACATGAGAAGAGTATCCTCATCTTTCAATGCTGTCATTGCCTTTGCGATATCCTCTGTCGATACTGCTGGGAATTCCTCCACTCCGGAGTCGATCAAAAAGCACTTGAATCCTCTAACACCCTCTCTTACTAGATCTTTAAGATCTCCATCGTTCCCCGGAATCACACCGCCATAGAATCCAACGTCAACCCAACATTGGCCCCTTGCCGCATTCACCTTCAAATTGAGGTTCTCGACAGTCGTTGTTGGTGGGATAGCATTGAGAGGCATATCTACCACTGTCGTCACACCACCAAACGCCGCAGCTCTAGTACCCGTTTCGAATCCCTCCCATTCCGTTCTCCAGCCGGGTTCATTGAGGTGGACGTGAGCATCCACCAAACCAGGCATCAGAACCTTTGGCGAATAATCCTTACATACTGTTCCCGCTGGGAATGAATTCTCTGGTAGCAGTTCGGTGTATACATTTATGATTTTACCGGTTGAAGGAGATATAATGATTGTAGCGGGTGTGAGTTTGCCATTGACAATAGCATTCGAGGATGCGAGCACTGTTGTCTGCGAAGACTCCATCTTGGCCGGGGAATGAGAGTTAGAAGAGCGCCAGATATGTGTTGTCGACGTTATGCTTGCGTTGTGTAACCCAGCAGCTCGATCTGGAAAGATTCGAGGCAGATTCGATCCGATCGATTGCCTTGCTTCGTCGTCAAGCTTTGCGTATAAATGGAAATTGTTATAGGTAAAAAGAAAGAAAGAAAATTATCGTGGGCTGATATACGCTGACAGATTATCGATTTATGAAGAAAAGAGCGGGAAAGAAATTATTCTCGTGAGGGCCTTTTTAACCTTCAGTCACTCAGTTAGACCGGCGGGGTCTTGAACTTTTTTTCCCCCTCCTGCTCTATTTAACTCTTTGAGCTCTTCGCGCGCTCTCTCGCTGATTCTCGGATGTATCCCACGTTTTTGGTTCGGAAGGTTTCAGAGATAAGACCACACCGTCTTATGCACGCTAGACGAGAGCGCCCCCCCAAAATGTGGTCGACGATGGTGGCTTGTTGGGGGCAAAGTCGGCCCTTTAGATAAGAATTGGGTATTGTACTCCCTGAACTAGGTTCCTTTGTGTGCTGTTGTCCAATCGACTGATCTTTGATCCTTGAATATAGGAAACCTGAAGAAGGCCTAGAGAATGTCTATCAAATCTTGGGTTCTTTGGGACGAAGCTGTGTTGGAATCCGAAGGATATCTGTCAAAGCTAGACTTTTCATCAAAAGAATTGCTAACAGGTATTATCGAAAATGCGGGGAAGGATATGCAATCCACGGCGATTGTATTTTTAAAAAGAAAATTGGGCCTTTTCTGGGGAAAACTTGGAAAGGGTGCTTTTGTGGGGTGCATGAAGGTTTTATACATGAGTTCTCGTTATCAGTTTCATTCCAATATGGTGGTGACAGCAACCTTCTGCGGCGTGGGATGGCTAATGCCGTTGATAGGTCATTGATGGATGATAAGCTTAAGAAACTTAATACTCGACGCAAAAGACGGAGCTATCTAGCTAATTGGAATGCTATTCAGTTACCTAAGTTGGTATGCTTGCGGTCTCGTCCCCACGTCTCGGTTTTTCTTGGGAATTGACACCCGTAAGATATGGTCGAGTCAGCTAGCTGGTGGCCTTAGAGCCCCCCTTGCCGTCAAAAACTTACGATGGCACTTGCCTGAATTCTACATTCTGAGTTCTTAAAAAGATAATCACAGTCGGTTGGAACCTTTCTGTCCCGAAAAGAACAGATGTGGTTTCATGCTTACTCGATCAATAATACTATAGTTGATAGTCTTTTTCTCTTATCTTTCGTTATGCAGGGTTATCGAACTGACCGAAAACGTTGGAAGTTTTAATCCTTGTCCGCCTGTTGAGCTTCAAGCTCACAGGCTACTGCAGAATTTCGAACCGAATGCGATACCCTCGATTTAGACTAAACATAGAAACGAACTTGATAGTGGATCTAAAAGGTATGTGATTGTCACCACTTCTTTGGATTTGCACCTCTTCTCTTGGGTCTTTTTTTGTCCGGTTTGCGGCGAAGACCGACATATCGGTTTCTCCTGAAATGGGTTTCTGTTACTCGATCGAAACTACCACAGTGCCTGGATGTGTTGGCTAACAAGGTCAACGTGGAAACCGGCCTGACCATGTTAGTTTTTTTTTTTTTTCTCACTCGTCTAGAATATTCGTACCTGGGATTGTAAAATATTCTAGCTTGAATTGGTAGGATATCCAGGTTCCAGGGTGTTACGTTAAGGAGAGAAAGCCTTTTTCCTCTTTTTTTTGGCGCCGTTGGAGTTTACGTTTTTAGAAGCTAAGACGGCTAGAGATGGTATTACTCGATTATTACTCGATTGTAATCCATTTTCAGGTATCGTAAGAATTTTCTCTCTCTCTTCGATCGAATTCGTTAGCTTGGTGAAGAAACTTTTAGGCAGGGAAGATTTAAGTTTTTTTTAATCCTTTTGACTTGAGCATTATTCGATAGAAATTGGTTTCGAACTATTATACCTAAAAGGTTAAGCATGCTTCGATATTGATAACTTTCCTTTAGAATAATCGGAGCTAGTGTCCATAGGCTCCCTTGATCAATGATGATCTCCTCTATCATGATATCAAGTTTTCTTAGATAATAGCAAATGGAACACTATTGACTATTCTAGAAAATAAAGCTTGTGTCATTAACGTAAGTACTTAGTATCAATATTCACTATGCAAACGACCGCTCAGTCGAGCCAAGAGCTGCCGGTACATGCATCGACCTACATACATGCATATGCATGTACATACAAAACTTACGTATTGAAAATTCCCATCTGCCAGCATATGGATTTTAGTATCTTGTGATTCGATCCTGCTGGTGCTCCTCCAACTAGAGAAATAATATCCGCGGAGATGCTATGACCCTTGATGTAAGACCTTACAGGGTCTTTAGGTGTTAAGCTTTCGAGACCCTGTGCTAGTGAATTAGTGTTTCGACGCACATCTAGGCTTGTGAAAGAATATTAATTCGGACGCCGTGGTTGAATGGTATATATAGTAGAAAATGTAATATACGCCAATGATGACCTTTACATAATTTGCTGGGATATGTAATAATGGTAAAAACCGCACATTAGTAGGTATTTAGATGGTATTTCAACTAGATAATCTTGGATACATAATCATCTATGAGAGGTATCTTGGTATTTTCGAGTATAATAACTAAATCATGGATCCGGGGCGGACCAAAACCTTCCCGGTCCTCCTCCAAAAGAACATGCGCCTGATACGATCGTCCGATGACGCTGCCATACCAATGACTGAACTGCGATCGTAGAACTCCATGAACGACTTCAAAACGTGACGCGGTATCTTGAAACCTCGAGCAAGCTCAAACGCCTACAAGCCCATTAGAGCCCCGACCAGATCGAGGGGATTCGCTTTCGCAATCCTCGAATCCTCGATTACGAACTCCTTCGGAAACCACTCTTCCAACTTCTCGTCCTTCCACCCTTTAACAGCCTCCTCATCCTTCGCCGCTCTAATCCTTGCTTCGTTATTCCTTACATTTCCATTAACCTCTTCTCCTAACACCATCCTAGCCAATGCCGTCGCAGAACCCCAGCAATTAACCATCCCTTCACCACTAAACCCCACAGCGCACCATTCACCCGTCTCCACGCCCTTTTCGGTCTTTCCTTTCTTCGGTTGGTTCCTAGTCGATACCTTCGTTGGAACTCTTCCGACCCATGGTAGTCCGTCCGCACTCATTCCAAGAATGCCAGTCCACATGTTTTTAACCTTGACGCCGTTCCAAGATCTAGTTCCATTACTGTCTTCGCCTGATCCGAAGACGTAAGGTAGCAGGCCTGATAGATGTGCTGCGGCGAGGTAGTTTAACTTTGTGTCGTCTGCAAGACCGCAGACGTCCAGACCCATGTTTTCAGTACTGGCCCAGGCGCCGCCGAACATCATTTCTCCGGCGATTTGGGTTGCAGTGCCATCTGGGTGGGTTGTGGAAGTGCTTGCGCGCTGTTGGATTATGTCAGAACTAGTTTTGATGGCTTTTTTGATGCATACATGTATGATGGAGGTTATACAAACCTGAGTAAGGTAATCGAATCCCTTTTGGTGAATGAATGACCAAGAGTATTGCTCTCCCATGCCCGGTAAGCCCTCTGGCGCCTCTTGCGCCGACATTTGACCTTGGAAAGCGAATACTTTACCGCTTAGACCTGGTAGGAGATGAGATGCCCAGCCGTTTGTAGTGTGGATTACAGTTTTGGATGTTATTTTGCCACGTGGAGTTGAAATGGTGTATGTTGATGTAGAAGAGTCGAATGAAATATCTTCTACTGGCGTATAAGATTCAATCTTGAGGTTTGGATGAGACGATACCAGACGAGCGAGTACGGAGGTACAAAATCGATATGGCCAAAGAGCACCAGCAGGACCATAGATTGCACCTGTAGCGGTGGGTATATTAAGTTTCTTCCTCGTAGTTTCTTGATCCCAAAAGCCCCATTCTCTGCCCATCTCCGGATTCTCCCTCTTCCACTCCTGGAATTTCGAAACACCTTCGTTCATTACTTCATGATCGAAGAATACATCTGTACCCATGACCTCCCTCACCTCGCTTTCTCTCAAACAGTCTTCACCTTCTTCCTTAGCAACGGCTTTAAGTTCTTCTAGATGTCGTAATCGGAAACGTAGAATCCGTGCGGCAGTTTCGTTGCCATAAATACTTTTTAACCGTGGATATTCTTCGTACGGACCTTCCTTTATGTGTCCTCCATTTCTACCCGTGGCGCCTGTACACGGACCCCGGGCTTCGAGGAGGACGACATTAAGGTCTGGGTTTAGACGATACAATTCTCGAAGGAAGCCCGTGGAAGTTATGCCTGAGCCTATGACTATTATATCTGCCGATTCTGAGAGTTTTTGAGACTGGATATTGGAGAGAAGAGGAGATTCTGGGAGGAGCCAGAAGGATTTTGTGGGATTTGGGAGGGGTAGACCGGGGGACTTGTGAAGACGGGTTACGGCGTTGTCGAGAACTGCTTTGTGAGGGGGATGTTAGTTCTTTTTGACCATCATTCGAGCACTTTAAAAAACAAATGCGACCATTGTGATTATATTGAACCATGGATCGATCGCTCACGGCGAATTCCAGGGATTCTTCTTTCTTTCTCTTTGTGAATATCGCATATGCATGTTGCAGGGATGGTTAAAGGGAACACATATCTGTTCTAACAGTACACTTATTGCGATGCGTAAGCGTCGAAGCTTGGATAACAGGATACCCATCCTTGTGCGCTGTACTTAATTACGCAATTCGATAACTTTTGGACCTGATACTCTGCAGCTAGCTCTGGAGTAAACCGCTAGAGATTACAGATCAATTATATGATCTATTCAAATTCGATTCGATTCGTAGTATAGTGTCGCGTTTGGTTCCGAATGCAATAGAAAGGGTGTGGGAACACAACAGTACTGGTATTTTGTTTTTCTCTTTCGATTAATTCTTGGGCGCAAGTTTAAAGGATAATAAGCTTTGGCTCGGAACTAAATCTAATTCGATTCGATTCGACTGGGAAGAATCTGGATCTGTCACCGACGGTCGAGTATTTCTTAAGCTTGTCCGTATAAGCCCATAAAACTGGATATGATGATCATAGGATCACGGCGGTTCGTAGCGGGGTTTTGAATGCAATACGGAAGTCCATGGGTTTCTGTTGCGCCCAATTGGCTACGACTCGACTCCATTTGGCTTAAGGCCCAGCTCTGGAATGTTAACTTTAGGAGCTCCCAGGGTTTTAACTAGCTGGTATGTATGTTGACCCTTTTCTCGTCAGTTTGGGTTTAGTTCTGGGGAACATGACATTCCTGAGCCTGATAAGCCGGATAGTTTTTTTCGTCGTTCGATACATACATTGCATTGATTTCGTCTCGAGCTTGATCTCTCCGCGCGGGGGCAAATGCGAGGCGGCGACAAACCGAACAAACCGAACGGAACCCTGTGATTTCGTATCGCGTGTCAATTGGCAATTCGATATTCAATTCAACCTTCAATTCACATAGATCTTACCACGTTTCCAAAGCTCGAATGAAGGGCCAAAATATATTTTATCTATTTTTTAAATAGTATACAAAGTAAAATAATACACGAATACAAGAAAGACGCTAAAAAAATAAAGAAAAGAAAGAAAGAAAAAATCATTTCCCGTTTCCCAATCCCAGGTTTCGTATGTATACAAAGAAAGAAAGACAATGCGGCCGGCCAATTGATGCCGGTAGTTATCTTAGGTTATGATAAGGATAGCTCCACCCTCCATTGTCCAAATCCGAAATAATAATTTTTATTTCAGTTACTAAGAAACAACTAATTTCGAGACGATTTAGTCGTTATAGTTGCTGATAAGTGATCCATCTTTATTTGTCGGTTGGCGACCAAGTAAAGCATCGAGCTCTTCATCTTGAGAAATGCTGTTAGGATCCAAATACGGCTTCTCCGCAGTTGCGGCAACACGAACACCGTGTCGACGGTGAGGTGCGAATCCATAAGAGGGTGTATGGTTCTAAAGGATGATTTTGTCAGTGTCAGTTAATTATCAATTTAACCTCTCAAGGTCTTAGATAAGATATCATTTGAAGTCAGCGGTACTTACGGTAACTCGGTTATCCCAAAGAGCCACGCTACCTTTCTCCCACGTAAACCTCGCCTGAATCTCGGGACTCGAGGTAATCAATTCCGTCAAATATCTGTAGATATACTCATACTCGAGCTTTGGGACGCCAACGAATCCCTTGACGAAACCTGGGTTGAAAAAGACACCTTTCCATCCGGTTACCGGATTGGTTCGGACGAGAGGATGTTCGGTAACAACTGGCTCACGACGAACGGGACGACCATCGTTACGAGAACCTTGGGCTTGTTCTTCAGCTGAGTGGAGGGCGGTTAGGCCTTCGAGATACTTTTGCATAGATGGGGAAAGGAGGTCGTAGAGAGCATAGTTGGATGACCAGACGGTGTCGCCACCGCCACCGCGAGGGGGGCCGGCAAGAACGGCGAGAGATGTGTAAGATGGTGGTTGGATCTCATATGTCACATCCGAATGCCACAGGTAGGAACTAATGGATTATATTAGCCGATACTCCGGATTTTGAGGATTTTAACCTTTGAAGTAACCTTCAATAAGGTCAGGGGGGAATTAACATACGAAGTAAACAGAGCTGTTTGGTTCTTGCTGTTCTTAGTGGTATGGATGACATGTACTTCCTCGAGTCCGTTCTTAGGCAACATGGTGGTGGCATGCTTGTGGAGTTTTCCCCAGTATCTCCCAAGTGCCAATTGGGTTTCGATATCGAAACCCTCCTGGTCTCGGAAGAATACGACACCTCTGTACGCTAACAACCTAGCAAGATCATTCTTCTGGTCATCTGTAAGGTCCTTCAATTGAACGCCATGGATCTCAGTTCCGATCTTTTGGGTGTAGTCAAAGACATCCGTTGCACCTTCGAGCAGACGGCTGTATGTAGGATCCCCGAGGAGTCCCTTATCTTCGTAAGGGATTCCAGGTTGAATTGGGTCCCATTTGATGTCTGGGAAGGCTGGGGTGAATTGGTCCCATTCGTAAGGCTCATCTGGAGCAGCGTTCAAATAGTTTGTGATTCCAGGAACGAAAGTCTTTTTGGCTTTCTCTTCGATACTGGCGTTCTTCAATTTCTCCGTGACTGAAGGAACAGTGGCAGCGACAGCTGTTTCCTCTGATTTGAAGGCGGATGGAGCCATTGTGATAATATATATATCTAATTCGATGCCTTTACAATTGACTTAAGTAGACTTACGATATAATAAATAATATATCAAGACGAACAAGAGAGAAAAAAGGAGACTAATTGTATGTACTATTTGAAAAATCTGGGGAAGCACTGGCCTAAGGAGCAGGAAAAGAATGAGATTCAAGTAAAAGGGAAAGGAAAGAAGTGTGAACAGCTGGCGGGGCAGTCACATCGGTATATATCCTATTCTCAGACCCGCTTCGATACCTTCCGACCTCGCAGCGCTCCGTCCTCTGCTTCTCTTTTGCAACAGTCACCGTCGTATTACGTGCGACAGGAATTCCTGGGGTTAGCTTAGCATCGATATCCTTGCCGCTATCGAGCTTATGCTTGAGCTTATCCGGAGAGTTCCCCATAATCTGCCCTGCAGCCGGCCAGCCAATTGCGAACGTTAATGTCAAGGTAATTTAAGTTAAGTTGAGACAATGTAAGTTAATTCATTGACGTAATCAACTTGATTCCCCTTTTAGCCAAGTCAGACTTGTGCCAGCCGATTCTCGTCTAACGATAACTGAACGGTTACTGATCTGATAAGTATTTGATAATATCGACAAATCCTACTTAATCGATATAAAAAAATTTTCATCCCATTGAGAAAAAAAAAAGTCGAAGAAAAAAGTAATAAAAAGAATGAAAATTCCCTCGTTTCTCGGAATGGAATTACGATCGTGGTATGATGCGAGAGACATGGTTGGTAGATATAGTTTGGTTGTGATGTTGGTGGACACTAGCATACTCGCACGTTAGCATCCTGCGATATGGCGTGCGATCTCGCAATGGGCCTTGTCCGTTGATTGTCGTCAATTGCCCGGCTTAACCGGTTGGCAATGGCCCTTTTGATTTCTAAGGAGGTGGAGAAGAGGTTGCCCATGGGCCTTATGGTGACATTCTCTACGCGATGTTGTGCGAGAGATTGTATATCAATCGAATATGTCAGGATCCATGAGAATTCGAATTAATTTTCATGTGCATTGCATTATATTGCATTATCAGTGCAGTGCAAGTGCAAGTGCAGCGGTGTGTCCTGCAGCCGTGAATGGTCGTTTAGCAAGGGATATTAGGTAAGAACCTTGGCCTGGTACTTACTTTTCGGAACGGCCACTGATAGGCTATTCTATAGTTCGTGTTCTGGTATAGGTTAACGTTCGTTAGCGTTAGCTTCCGGCCGGGTTAAATGCAAATGTGTATTAATATAATACCGGTACAAGCGATGCCATTATAAACATTCAAAATGGCGCCGTTTCCTCTCTTTTCGATTTGCGACTTATCCAACGGTCCGACTTGAGTCCGATGCCCATCTCTCATCATTGGAGACAGGAGATATCGATGGTTATTCTAGATTGTCCATGTCCATGTCCGTGTTCATGTGGCCTAGTTTTTGGCCATGTGTTGTTGTGTGTTGTCATGTGTTGCCATGTGTTGCATCAACCTCGAACATCTCACCCTTGTCACTGTTTGACAGCGAATCCCCAATACGGAAATAATATGTGACAAACAATCATGAATCCCAACACATTGCGTTGTGTGGGTATCTGCGCCAACACAAGAAGGAGACTAGTATCTGCGCTGGTTATAAGTGCAATACCGTACAGCGCAGTTGCAGGCACCATTACTAAGTACCTAGGTACATTATACTATCGATATCCCAACAGCTTCAAACCAATACCCAGCCGATATGGCCTCATACACTCCATTCTGTACGATATGCGGAGGCAAAATCACCCGAGAAGCGTCCGATGACACCAATGTTACACAAAAATGGCTATCAGATATCAGTTTAAGTAAGTATGCATACGAACGGTATGGTCTATGCTGATACAGCAGCTGGTCCAAATCGACCCTCCTTCGAACACTATGATCAAGACTTTCAATATTTGAAAATATTGTTTAAAAATTCTCGCCTGATCTATTTGAGTCTATGACTAAGTTGTAATATTAGTATACATAAACCCTGACCACGAAATGGTGCAGCCGAATCAATTTCGACTCCTTTTGGGAGATCACGCTCGTATCCCAGAGAACGAAGGAGAATTCCCTGAACTCCTTGATGAATCGACCGGGACTTATAGGGGATTGATGTCTGCCCTTTTCAATTATCAAGCATCTCATGCGGACTCCTACTGCTACCCCGTCCATAGAGCTTGTTTGGGCATTTTTGGAGAAGTCATCCACAGCTGCGGGATTGATGCGTATCCAGGAGACTTAATTGGGTATCTATTTATGCTATTCAGCGAGCTTCCATTTGACTGGTATCAAGTCTACTGGCCGAGCGAATACGGCGGTATCTCGGAATATCAGAAGTCGGTAAGACGGGCTAAATGTCAGATCCTGCCGCGACTTCAATTTGTCGAAACCTCTCCCCTGGATTTGGAGGGTATGCGCAAACGAGTGGATGAGGAGCGTGAAAATCTGAAGAAAAATGGTACAGAAGGCATTGAAAACATCCCTAGTACGATGCCAGACTTTATTCCTCTGCCGGCCGAAGTGGTTCAACAGATTTTGGGCTTTCTGGAGTGGTCTGATATACGGAACCTACAAAGGATATCCTCCAAGCGAACCATCGATTTCCCAGATATGTTCTGGCGAGAATTGTGCGAGTTCCAAGATGAATTCGGCTTCTTGGGCTATCGGCAAGACGATAAATCAGTAACTTCCTGGTACGAGCAATGCGTCCTCGCTGACCGTCTTATTAAACGCGATCTACCCGAGATTAAAAACCGCATGCGTATTTGGCGCCTTTGCATCGATATCTTTAGCATCTGTACACATTGCGCTCTCGAAGAAGCGGTTGGAATCGAAAGGGCGCCCAATTTCTTCGAATCCCTCCAACCCGCGGATCCAAGGACCTTGTTACACGTACAAGCGGCAGAGAGACGACAATTGTTAACTCCAACACTCTTTGATGGAATGTGCACTAGGTTCTCGGGTAGTATAGATAACATAGTAGCGACCGGGATGTATGTTTCGTTCAAAGGCACAGGTGGCCTACGATTCGTGAGCGGATTCGAGTTCATACCTTCCGAGAAAGCGGTTGGGCTTTTGAGTAAATTTGATAATCCCTTCGTTTCTTTCAAGTCGAGAACACCCAACGAGTTCTTGATAATGCATGTTGCTGCGAATAGGTATGGGATAGTTGATATATCGGTTGTTAGTTCACGCTCGCCTATCCCTGAGCCGAAATGGCTTTGTGGTTGCAATTTAACGGACTGTGCGATTACTCGGTGGACTATTCGATTTGGAGGGCCCACGACGATTTTTTCGAAGGTCATTGTGGACCTAAATGTTCGTATACCCCAATAACACCAGGACCTATTTCCCACAAAAATGATTTTTCGAATAGCTAATAAAATATATTTTGAATCCCGGCAGGTATTAACCATGACAAATCTACAAATACTTCGACCAAGTTTCATGTCGTCCACAACCATGACACCAGAGGAGACTTTCATCCAAGCAAACCTCTGGAAACCAAACATTCCCGTCTTGAACGCCGATTCTTCTCTAAACCACCAGTTATTCTACTGCACCGAGCAGAAAGTGACAGGTATGGAAGCTCTTCGTGATGATGATCTTTATGGGCAGTCGAAGTTTCATCCATTGGAATGTATCCATAGCAATGAAACGATGACAAGGTTATCGTTTTGGAGCGCGGGACTTTATAGTGATATAAACGCCATAGAAGTCTACACGAAAGAGCGAGGATCTACCCCCTATGTAGTTGGAAAACCTGTGGGTGCGGCTACGGATATATTCATAGATGGTGAAGGAGGGGAGTATATTTCGGGGGTGAAGATTACCGTGAACGAATGCAACGGACTTATTGATTCACTCTCGGTAAGTTGAAATTATATTACACCAGACAAATCCTTACTAGCTTTTACTAAAGCCAGCGATAGATCGTCACATCATACAACCGTAAATTCGAAATATCATTCGTTTTAATACAACCAGGATTCACAAAGAAAGTAATGACTGGTTTGACCGACTTATGTCCCAACAATACCGACAAAGTGACTGGTTTCTACTGTCGATTCTCTCAGGTATATATACACATCCCTTCACAAACTACCCGTTCCACTATTGAATCTAAGAATCGGGGCCACAAAAATAGCGCCAGGTCAACACGGCGCTACTAGATATCGGAGTAATTACCATGAAGCACGATAACCCCAAAAGAGCATCTCACCAACCACCAGACATCGATTCAGAACCAGTGAACTCACAATTAATCCGTCCCTTTGACCGAACACTTCATGCACCCATACGCCGACAAGCAGCGAATGGCAACAGTCGGCGGTTCTTCTCAAAGACATCCTTGAAAGGATGTAGTAAGATAACTGCATATTTTCAAACAGACCCGCCATTCAGACTTTCCGGCATTTGTATATTTTATACTGATGCTGAGTACCCTGTCCTTCCGACTATTTTGGGACAAATTGGGTATGCGACTACGACGGAGACTCTGATTTTCGATACTAGTGGAGGAGAAGTCATTACCGAGGTTAATGTCTTTTATAAGCCGTTATATGGCGATGAGGCTTTTGTAGTCGTTGGGTTGGGGGTAGAAACAAGTAAGACACTTGATTCTAATCATGATCGGAGAAAGGAATTGGGAGATTGTAAGGAGGAAGGAATACATGAGGTCGAGGAGTTAAAGATAGGAAAGTCGGTAAGTTTTGATCCAGTCCACCCTTTCCGTTTATGGCGTGCTATAGATGCTTACGTTAATTGTTTAGGATTCTGTGCAATGGGAGTATAATGAAACTAGCGACTATATAAGCCTAGCTACATAGCGTGTAGGATGTTTGAATGTGTCTTTGATATATAATATAGATAGATACCTTGTACACTTAGATATCTCCGCTTTCCGAATCCTTCCTCAATCATTAAAATCAACGACCTCCTTTGCCCAAGATCCACCCAATATTTGATAACGATGAACAAACTTATTCCCCTTCTCCGAAATGAAAAGATGCTGATCTTGATGTTCAGTCAAAGCTCCTACACCCGCAATATTCCCCTTCTCCACTTCTTCGTCCGTAGTCTGCTCATAAGGACCATACCAATACCCATCCCTTCCTTCCTTCTTCATCTGATAAACCTTATTATCCTGCTTATAAAATACCGCCAACTTCGGTGCAGTATACAAATCATTCGCTATAGGTGTAAACGCCACAGAGCTGGGAGGATCCGTAATAGGAACCTTCTGATGTAAAAACCCCGTACCCCAAAAACCATCATCATAGCGAAGTTCGACGAGGTAACCTTCTGAGTTTTGGTAGAAGCCTCGAATTGATAGTTCGTTGGACGGGGACATCCATTTTGACATGTTGACAAATTTGACGTCGGCGGTTAGGGGACCGAAGTCGGTCCATTTGAAGGAGTGGGTTGGTTCCCATTTTTCGTGGCCGCAGGAGTTCCATTTGTATTCTCGGAGGATGTTGGAGCTGTCGCGGTAGTATAAACTATCGTATATATATAAAACGAGGGTATTTGTTAATAACCATTTTTCTCAGAATTGGGTAGTTTGATCTTAAGATCTTGAAGATTATTAGATATCGATACTCACGCCATCTCATTAGCGGCCCTATGCTGGTTCAATGGCACAACGCTTATAGGCCGACTAGTTTTCAACCTCAATTTATCCAAAGGCCCCGGTTTTGGTTTATCCCCATAGTTCCCATGAATTCCAATTTCACGGATTCGACCCTCGTTATCGACGAAGAATAGATGGGTTTCTTCCTGTCCAACCATTGTTGCGGCTAGACCTGCGGTTGGTAGGCCGGCAATTCCGGCGGGGACAACTTCTTTAAACGTCCATTTTTTCCCGCTGCGGTCCCAGTAACCCTCTACTATTGAGGAATCGTTCTTTTGAGCGTAGAGTCTCTGGTGTTTTTTTGCGGGCGGGTTATTATGACCGATAGATATATGGGGTGGGTAAATAAAGTATGTTAGTATGATGGGACTTACGACGTATACTCCCCAGTATCTTATTACGGGAGCGTATAATCCTCTCCATGTTTCCTCAAAGTCGTCTTTTTCATCAAGAGCGATATAATATTAGTTGAAGTTCTAGTAGTTTAAAGAGTATGATTTTGTAAAAAGAAAACCTGAGAGTACTCGAGTTAGAACATACCACTCATGGTTGATAGATTAGGTAGGCTACAATGTATTCAATGGGGTGAGTATAATTGACTGACTTATCTACTGTATGCAGCAGAGTAATTAAGTAGATACACCATAGATGAGACGGGGAATTCATCCCCCTTATATATCTCGAGCCTCGATCGACTCGCCCACTCAATAGCGATAGTTCGTTAATTGATTATTTGCCAACATCACCGATTATTATAATTTCCATTCCAAATTTAGGAAGTCTATCCTGATCCCCCTGGTAGTATATCTGGATACAATGCAATGCAATGCATATATACTATCCAAGTAAATAGTATTTATGAAGCCCCTCATTTATGCCTGGCCTCGAATCTATGCAAGGATCTTAACTGCCAGATACCAGAGTTCCTCTCTGTACGAAAAGTCACATTTAGCACAAACCTCACCTGATACTAAAGATCTGATTATTAGAAATTGAAGGGTTTTCCCCATGTCGACTTTCGAGGCAGCGTTTAATATGTTAATTACCCCCTGTAAATGTTCTGGAGGACATAATGACCTCTGCATGCAGGGATTTCCGTTCCGTTACGGAACTTGGGGGGGGGGTTCCTGAGATAATGACTTCAAGTACAAGATATATAATAGTTATTTAGTATTGATCATCTGACCTAAAGCAAGTTAAGAATGAGTTAACTTGGTGAGATCATGATTATATGCATATATATGAGGTAGTACATGAGCTCAGGCACATGTGCATACGCAGTCCCGAAACTGGAACAGCCCTAAAATCGCAACACAGAAAATGCAACAATCACGTTCGCCCGTTTGCCCACCGCATATTTCCCTCTTTCGTCAACCTCACCCAGAAACTACACACAACACAAATCCCGCCTGAAAAAAACCTCTCCTAAACAATATCCCCGTAGCTCTCCCCACAAGCTTAGCCCATTCCCATCTTTAAAAACCCCTCAACATGCTGCCCGAAAAACGGGTAGCACGCCTTGTTCAACAAGCTGACACATCATTAACCACCGACCCCCTTCGATCTCGAAATCTCCTAACCGATGCTTTAGCCATCTCACCATACGATCCTGACCTCTGGCAGCAAAGAGCTATCGCTCATGTCAAGCTAGGATATCCAGATCTAGCTATCGGTGATGCATATCGAGCTTTATTGTTAGTACAAGAGCTATTGGAAGCACATGAGGAGTCTGAGTTTGGATTTATTGGGTTAGTGGCTTGGAGGGGTAGGAGGGCACAGCCGAAGGATACATTTGCAACAGGCGATGCAGATGAAGTATCAAATGAAGTTGAGGAGACAGAGGGGGACTATGAGTCCATACCGGAGATAACGGAGGTTGAGGATAAAGATCTTAAGCAAACGGATGTTTTTGCGAGAAGGTTGATATGTTCTTCGTTATTGGAGATTGGGTGTTTGTTGGATGCATGGGAGCAAGCAGATACTTCTTTGAAGGTCTACCCTGAAGATGAGGAATTACGGAAAATATATCAAGAGTCAGATGAGAAAGTTAAGCAGGGACGAGAGAAAGGGGTATCTGACTTTCAACTACGTGAAGGAGAAGTTGCAAGGGTTATATATCCATGGAATACATTTGAACCAGACAGGACATCGGACGAAACGGTGGGACATCTCAATACATTCGTCACCAAAGCCTCATCAGGAAACTTCGAGGTTAAAGTAACAGAACTGCCAATGTTAGTACCAGATGCCAAAGAGGAGGGTAAAGTCATTACAAAGACATCGCGACAATTAGGTGTCTATGCCACAAAGGACCTACCGAAGGATACACAAGTTTTCAGCGAGCGAAGTATATTAACAGTCAACAACCGTCTTTTCGACCCTCTTTGCGATTGTTGCAATGGACCCCTCGATCCATTAAATACCTTCTCTTGCGACAACTGCGACGATGTAATGTTCTGTTCAACAACCTGCAAAGACGAAGCGACGGAGAAATACCACCCGTCATTATGTGGGATCGATATCGACTTTTTGTTTAAATCGGCGCATACAAGACACTCGGTCGCTAACGATGCCTCTGCAACTGCTTCTTCGAGTACCCCTACAAAGGCTCTTTATAGTCTTCTATTACTCCGTACGCTGGCGATGGCATTAACCCAAGATGTTAATCCACTTGAAATATTACCAGTGAAATACCTATACGGATCTTCACCTCCCCCACCGCCACCTCAGAAACCACCAACACTTCCATTCACATTTCCTGATAACATTCTTTCGGTTTTTCATATCTTAACCCGTCTCGAAGTCGACCCATTCAAAGTCTCGCTTCACACGTTCGATATATGGCATACCCTCACCATACATTCCAAAATCCTGGGGACAGCATCAGCAAGACATAACCCAACAAGTGGACAGCCGGAGGTAGCGGCGTTACATCTTTGTTATAGTCTTGTAAATCATGATTGTGAGCCTTGTTTGATGTGGGAATGTCAGAGTGAGATGAAGTTTAGGACTTTGAGGGAGGTGAAGGAGGGGGAGGAGGTTAGGGATTGTTATACGGATCCGAGGATTGAGAGTTGGAAGAAGAGGAGGGAGTGGTTGATGGGTAGTTTGGGGGGTGGGTGTAGATGTGGGAGGTGTGTTAGGGAGAGTGAGGCGGATCCGTGATATATACTTCTTAAGTATAGGTACGGTACATACCTAGGTACTTAATCTAGCATGTACTAACACAACCTTCTACCCAAGACACACATATATCTTAAAATATATACATCGAATGGTTAGAAATTCTTTGGTACAGAATACCTGTGTAGAGTTTATTTTACATAAAGCGATTGTGTAAATACATTTCATAAGTACCTAGGTGCTGTTCGAATCTAGATCTATCGTAATTCAAGCATCGACCTAGTCCAAAATTTTAAGATTCTAAGGAGCGTCCTTACCAATAATTCTAGCTGCCAACACGAATAATGCAACAATGTAGTCTACTAGCAATACAAAACATAGATAGGACCCAATTAAAGGCAAGTGTACTATAAACCTCCATTAGAAACAGTAAACCCAGTAGAGTTCCAAATGTCGGTATACTCACTCCTCCATCTACGAAAATCTCGGCCCCGGTCGTATAACTAGCCGCATCGCTGGCAAGGTATAGAAAAGCTCCTTTCATCTCACTTACCGTTCCCTCTCGTCTACACCACCCGTTAGCATATCCCCTTCCGAATACCTATATTCATATAATACTCCAAAGATGATGGTTTACATACCCCATAGGCGTCATCTGACTCCAGCACCTCCTAATACCCCCCGGTGTCGGATCCAAAAGCTCTGTACCAACATACCCAGGACAAACCAAATTCACCCGAGCAAACTTCACAAACTCCACAGCTAGTCCTTTCACGAACTGCGTCACCGCAGCTTTAGTAACACAATACGGAGTCGTAGCCTGTGGGAATAACTGGTGTACACTAGCGATACTAGATGTTACGATAAAGGATCCGGAATGGAAGTTTTTGAGTTTGGAGCCGTAGATGTCTGTTCCTGTTTCCTTCTGGCGTTGGAAGTGTTTGCCTGCGGCTTTGGCGGCATAGTAGGTGCTCATTAAGTTTGTGTTCACGATTTCTTGGAAATTGGATGTGGAGCTGTTGATTAGACGGCCGTGACCCCAGTAGAGAGCGGCGTTTGCGACGAAGATGTCGAGACGGCCGTTGAGGTCTTGGACTACTTGGTCTATGGTTTTGATTGTGGCTTCTTCGTCCGTGATATTGACTTTGTAGGCCTTGCCTTTTTTTATTTTTAATTATAATATTAGTTACAAACTTAATGATATTAATGGAATCGATGCTGGAAAGGAGAAAGGGGTCAGAGGGTCATACAAGTGATCCCGTAGGTCTTTGATATTTTCTTCGCCTTTTCGATGGCCTCGGGGTTTGAATTGTACCATAAAGCGACGTTGGCACCGGCTTCCGCGAAGGCTTCGACGACGCCGAAGCCAATGCCTGTGGATATATCAATACATATATATATTTATATTAGTATCTCGTATGAATTCAATACTCTTACTTGATATATAACCAACATTGCAACTGTCAACTATATAATCAGAATCAAAGAGTGTTTGATGTCTACAATATATTAATTTAATTACAAAACAAATTAACAATGGTATATAGTAGAAAATACGACTTACCGGCCCCTGCACCCGTAACAATGGCAGTGCGGCCCTTGAGAGAGAGTAGAGATGTTACTTGAGTCTCGGACGGCGGTTGGGTGTTTTTCTCGAAGGTGGCGTCGATTTTTACGCCGTAGTGCAATTCAACTTCGGGTTCGGTGTGCGTCATTTTGGATACGAGATATTTATATATTTATATATTTATATATTTATATACTATTATCTTCTATATGGCTTGTATGAAGGTGACTAGAGGTATATTAGACGTAAATTTGTATTATACTTTATGTATGTTGGCTATTAAGTGGTGAAAGTGGTGATATGTATATGTAGTAAGTTATCGACTTTTAAACACTCAGATCGAACTCAGAGTCCAAACAGAGGGTTTATATAGTCACGATGATACTAATAAGTCAGGGTGTTACTTATTAAACTAGATCGAGAGTATACTACGTATCGAGATATCTCAATCGATATCGTCATGAGTTCAATATTATTCGCGTTAGAAAGATCTGAATCCTATACCAGACGCAACTCGGCTGGTTAGCCGTTAACCTTGATGCTAGGTATGATAACATGCGACGTCATGGAATATAGCTGAATTCTCGCTACTAGCTGGGGATTTTGTTAGTTATGTCATCGTATAGGAAAGTTCTTATGGTTTATAGGATATTGATGGATGTATGCATGTAAAATTCTTTTCACTTGGTTGGTAGTTGGTAGTTGGATATATATACTTATATGAGATCACATCGATTGTAATATGCTCAGCGTATGTAAATATACCTACTTAACTACCAGTCGGTGTAAAATACCGCGAGGCAGAGTTACTATTTTATATCTACCAAGCAAAAGGTCTTTCGATTATTAAATTATAGTAGGTGGAGTATACTCGTATACCCGAGTATAGTACTTATTAACTTATGGGGCAGCATGGTCTGTGCATGGTCTGTGCATTATCCGAAGCTGATTCGCTCGCAGGCCGGGGAACATGGAGACCGACCCACAGCTCAGCTACCTCCAGCCTATCAACCAGCTCGAGCTGTCACTTTGACACAACTTATCACCACCGCCAACCACCAACCACCACCATCTCATCTTCACTCAATCAATCACACTCATCACTCATCACCCATCACGCTTCTCCTTTTCCCCTTGTCTCCTTTTTATGTACCCACCCTTGACATCAATCGACCCCCCAGATCAAGTTAGTTAGCTTTGCCGACCGTTTCTTGAAAAAAAACTGAAACCTGTCATTTAAAAAGAAAGTCACCCGACCGTGTCGCGAATATTAAAACATGTCAGATCCCATGGATACCGATCAACCTCCGCTACCGATTCCAATCGAACAATCTCTCGAAGGCGTTTTATTTCCTGTATGTCATTTCATCTAGTTTCATTCTTACGGCCATTGTCATCATTATCATCATCATTATCATCATTATCATTATCATTATCATCATCACCGTCACCTTGATGTCACCCCGGATTACTGCCTAAAATACTAAAACTTCACTTCAAACCATTTCGCTAACCAAAACCTCCCGTTTCACCTTTTGTCTCTCCCTTCAAAAAAAAATTTAGACATCAACATCAACTCCCCCTCCAAATAATAATCCACGTCAGATCTCGCGATTATCACATCCACCACCACCGATAGATAGTCCCGTCCTATCAGCTGCCCACACTCCTTCCAAACCGGCTTCTCCTTTACCGAATATCTCAATGAATAATATAAAAGAAGATACACCGACGATGACGGCGACGACGGCAGGAACAACAACATCGAGTGGCTTGTTAAGTGCCAATGGGAGGATGGGAAATGTGGGAGTTATTACGGGAGAGGGGAAGGGAGCTGGAGCTCCGGTTAGACAGTATTTGAATGAGTTTGTGACGCCGTATTTACTAGAAGGGATGAAGATTATTGCGAGGGATCAGTATGTCTTAACCTATTTCCCCTGATACATTGCTTCTTCTCTCTCTTTTCTTTCTTTCTAGAATGAATGGGGGATCTGTGGGAACTAATGATCGGCGACACAGACCGGCAAATCCATTGGAAGCACTGGGAAAATATCTTCTCCAACAATCGCAACTCCATGAAACGACATCGTATAGTGGAGGACAACAGCAACAGCAACAAGAAGGAGGGACACCGAGAGCTGAGGTGAAGATGGAGGAGGCAGCTTAGAAAGCGAAGGCTCCTGTCGTTATACCGAACGCTCTCGACGTTATATCGATTACGGATACTCCAATGTTGGAGAACACCGATACTGCTGCGGCTGATGTTACTGTTTTCGATGCTCCTCCTCCTCCTCCTCCTCCTCCTCCTCCTCCTCCTCCCGTGGTCACTGCTACTACCGGTAATATTACGAAAACGAAAAGAGTCTCGAGGGGGAAAAGAAAGAGGTAGAAGGACGTTGTGGAGGAGGCCGTGTACGATACAAGCTTTTGACCAAGTACACCATACCAAGTTGGTACCTGACCTACGTACCTAGGTATATACTTACTCCACAAAGTACTTACCTAGGCATTTAAGGAAGGATTAACTGACAGGTTAACTAAGTACTTAGCTAGACAGAGTTTTTGAACTCTCTTTCCTTTCTTTTCTTTTCTTTCCCTCTTTTTTTTTTGGTTTGTTTGTTTGGTTTAGCGGGCGGCTGTCTTTTTTCCCTCGCGTCGGCTACTACGGCGACTCGGACTTATTAATATTTTAATCGGATAATAAAAATTAAAAATTAAAAAAAATAAATTAAAAAAGAGAACACTTCTCGGGCCGAGTGGATATTAATATTAAAAGGCAGATGCAAGATTAGATATCAGACGGGGTGTATGCAGGATGGTATCGTGATATCTCATCTATCCCGAGCCCGTTGGTATAACTGTAATATTAATATTATCATCATCATCATCATAATCGTCCCAACATTTTGAGATTAGATTTTTTAAGGCGAACTTCCTCGGGCCTTGCTTAAAGTGAATGGGATGGCAGAAAACCAAATCGGCTGTTGGCCGGCATGTTCCATTCCACGACCGACCGCAGTTAAGTTAGTGCACCTGGCTTGGATGGTCGCGCTGACATGTGAATCGCACTAGTTGCTCTGGTCGAAGAACCCACGGCAAACAGCTGCTCAGAAGTCGAAGGAACTGCCATGTGAAAACCTGCCAGTTAAAGCGAGAGACCTGGTCCAGTTTAAATCGGCAAGCCGGCGATTGGCTGGTTCAAACAAGACTCCATCATCACGCGACGAAATAGTCCAAAACTAGCACCGACTTGCTTCTTTTATTTCTGGCTTCATCTGCTTCTGCTCCTGCTCCTGCTCCTGCTTCTGCTGTTTCTCTTTCACAAGCTAAAACCGGCGATAGTCGAGACAAGACAAGATACCTGCCTATTGTGAGTGACATCTTCCCCAGAGCATTTTTATATGTAAAGTGGTCGCCATCCCCGCAAAAAGGTTAACTCGCATTCTTCTTTTATTCTCTTTTACTTTCTTCCTCTTCCTCATCATCACCATCTTCTTCTTCTTTCCTTCTCTTCACCTCACCTCACTTCATCATCATCATCATCAAACTCTAATACTCATCATTGCTTACTTCTAGAATCACATAGACCCGACTTCATCATCATTATACTCTCTATTTCTCTCTGTAGCATATTCTCTCTTCTTCTTCTTCGTTTCTCTAATTAATCACACTTCACAATGTCCGGTCCACGAGTATTAGTCGTCGGAGGTGGCTGTAAGTTCTTCCTTCCCTCGAATTCTTTCACCTCGGTAGAGCTCTGCTCTTCTTGTCCTTCTTCTTCTTTTTTAGCCAGGAAAACGCTGACTTTGCCGTTTCTCATAAAGTGTCCGGTCTCAGCGCCGCTCACACCGTCTACCTCGCCGGTGGAAACGTTACCGTCCTCGATAAGCAAGGTATTTACAATGTCCCTTCCTCCTATTCTCCCCCTGCTCCTTTTTTTTTTGGTATTCTATTTCATCCTGTTCCATTCTATGATATAATATGATATGATATGCACGTCGGATGTCATGGAAATCTCGGAGTCGGCGGGTGGGTGAGATCCTGGACCTGATCTGGTCCTTGCAAAAAATCCGGGGTTGGTCCAGTTTCTTTGGTGGGCTGATTGGGCTGGTTGGCTGCGGAGGCAAAAATGAGCCGAGGTTATGCTATCCACCACCACCACAACTTTGCTAGGTTGCTTCATACCACACTACCAGAGCTCTGGGTACCGGTACCTTGCACTAGTCATTTCTAGCCGATCTATTCATGACAGCCGCGGGTAGATTCGTTCATCCGTTCATTCATCCATCCATTCATACATACACATTCGTAGCAATGGCCGAGATGGAGCTAGCTTGGTATCTTTGGAGAGGAATGCTAATCAATTGCTGCAGGCTTCTTCGGCGGTAACTCCACAAAGGCCACTTCCGGTATCAATGGCGCCCTCACAAACTCCCAGATCGATTTGGGCATCCAGGACTCCGTCAAGCAGTTCTACGATGATACCATGAAATCTGCCCGTGACAAGGCCCGTCCAGATCTCATCAAGGTCCTTACCCACAAGTCCGCCTCTGCCATCGAATGGCTCCAGGAGGTCTTCAAGCTCGATCTTACTCTCGTCTCCCGTCTTGGTGGTCACTCCCAGCCACGTACCCACCGTGGTCACGATGCCAAGTTCCCCGGTATGGCTATCACCTATGCTCTCATGCAGCGCCTTGAGACCCTCTCCGAGGAGGAACCAGGCCGTGTCACCATCCTCAAGAAGGCCAAGGTCACCAAGTTGAACAAGACCGGTAACAAGATCACTGGTCTTGACTATGAAATTGATGGCAAGAACTCTACCCTTGACGGTATCGTCGTCCTCGCCACCGGTGGTTACGCCGCCGATTTCTTCAGCGAAGACTCCCTCCTCAAGCAGTTCAAGCCAGAGGTTCTCAAGCTCTCCTCCACAAACGGCACCCACGCCACTGGTGACGGTCTCAAGATGGTTCGTGCCATTGGCGGAAACGCCATTGACATGGAGAAGGTCCAGGTCCACCCTACCGGTCTCGTCGACCCTAAGGACCCCCAGAACAAGTGGAAGTTCTTGGCTGCTGAGGCTCTCCGTGGTGAAGGTGGTATCCTCCTCAACGCTGAAGGAAACCGTTTCTGCGACGAGCTCGGTCACCGAGACTACGTCTCCGGCGAGATGTTCAAGAACAAGTTCCCCATCCGCTTGGTCCTCAACTCCAAGGCCTCCAAGGTCCTTGACTTCCACACTCGTCACTACTCCGGCCGTGGCCTCATGAAGAAGATGACCGGTGCCGAACTCGCCAAGGAGATCGGCTGCGGAGAAGGTCACCTCCAAAAGACCTTCCAAGACTACACCGCCATCGCTGACGGCAAGAAGAAGGACCCATGGGGCAAGCGTTTCTTCCACAACACCCCCTTCGACATCAATGACGAATACTTCTACGTCGCCCTCATGGAGCCAGTCGTCCACTTCACCATGGGTGGTATTGAAATCAACGACCAAGCTCAGGTCCTCAACGGTGAAGGAAAGCCCTTCGAAGGTCTCTTCGCCTGCGGTGAAGTCGCTGGTGGTGTTCACGGTGCCAACCGTCTCGGTGGTTCCAGTTTGTTGGGATGCGTCGTCTACGGTCGTGTCGCCGGTGACTCTGCCACCAAGCACCTCCTACAAAACGTCCTCAGTGGCGCAGGATCCAGCTCCGCTGCCCAGAGATTGGGCCAGATCTCTCTACACTTGGATCCTAGCAATCCCGGCCGTTTGGTCGTCGACTGGAATGCCAACGGTAGCGCCCCAGCTCAGGTAGCCCAGACTACCCAAACTACTACATCAGAGTCAGTATCCGAAGCCACCACTGCCACTTCCTCTTCTGCTGCCCCCGCATCGAAGCCTGACCCGAAGAAATTCTCGATCCCAGATAAAGAATTTACAATGGAAGAGGTAGCGAAGCATAATAAGAAGGACGATGTTTGGGTGGTTGTTAAGGGAGTCGTTATGGACCTCACAGGGTTTTTGGAAGATCACCCCGGTGGTGCCAACGCCATCCTTAACTTCTGCGGAAGAGACGCTACCGAGGAGTTTGAGATGTTGCACGATGATGAAGTTATCCCGAAGTATGCTCCTTCGACTGTGATCGGACGAGTTAAGGGGCAAGAGGTTACACTTGAATTTTAAAGTTTTAAAAAAGGAATGAATTTAGAAGAGGTGCAGCTGTTTTTTCTGCTTTCCATTCTTTTTATTTTTTGTTAACGGTGGGAGTTTTCTGATATGACCTTTTCTGATTCGCCTTTTTGGCCTTTTCACTTTTTTTTCAACGTGTGCCCCTTTTGCCTCTGCTTTTGCTTCTGGTTATATAAGTATATATTATTTTGTTTTTTACTTTTTTTTTATTCCCTTTTGAATAGGCGAGCAAAATGTATTATATTTATTTATTATATTAAAGATGAATACAGTGGGTTCGAAGCCTGGATATATTACTATGCATGCAATTACTACCCCCCTATTCTCGTATATGAGAGTTTAAGTTGTCAGTAAAAAAATTGAAGCCGGTTGTTCTTTGGATTATTTTGCGGACGAACGAAGACATATACGATTCTCAGCAATTCCTCTTATAGGTATATATTTTAGAATCTGATCTAACTTACATTAAGTATCTCTGCTACAAGGGATTCAAAAGGCCATTGCTAGAGTATTGTAGGGCAAAGCTACAAGTCAAATCCCCCGAACTAACTGAGTTCAAGTTATGACACCAATCGATATCTGTAAATATCTTCATATCTGCGCTATTTACTAAGCCGCATACCTCCTACTAAACCATGCCTATCACCAACCACTGAACTAGGCTTATTATTGCCCACTGAATTAAACTCCTTATAATATGCCAAACTAGAATGGCTACTTCCCGCCTGATAAATCCCATCACCACCAACACTTGTTTACTTTTAGCTAGACTAGTTGATGATTCATAGTAATCGATATTATATTCATCTAGATCTGTTATGTTACGCCCGCACATCTAAATATTTCCTACATGTTTATAATCTATAGTCAAAAGGTTTTTGGGAGAACTCATAATCTCGAGCTCCGACAATACACTGTAAATAGCCTGATCATGGTCTCGTTCCCAGACGTCACAAAGAGCAGCCCTGATCATAATATATACTAGAAGGAAATTCAAAATACCACCTGGCCTAAAACTCCGGAAATTATTTTGTCTGATAGTAGTCTCCAACATAAAAATATCACCCCAATAGAGGTAGCAGAACATAGTTTTCATAATCCTCCTCCTCCGCTATATCTGATCACCAAATTTCTGATTGCTATTGCATATTCCCTTGTTGTCCTGTATTTAACTACTGGCTTACGCTACCTTGATTAATCCCACATATAATATCCAGCTGTCATCCCACATGCGGTTGTTCCTCTACTCTTGCTTGCGCACCCCTCACTATTTTTATCCAATTATACCATAACCAAGGCGTATATCTTTTGATTATTACCCCTCCTAGCTTATACTCCACTTATAAACATCAGAAAAATATGTTAATTTATACCTTTAACTCCCTCCATCAACCCATCATCAATTCTTTAAAGTCTTCAAAATTTTCAACTTCTCTTGATCTTGTTGAGGTTTTATGAAATAATGCATACTGAACTGATGTTGTGGATAGATTTTCGCTTCTGGATACATTCTTTTGGCATAAAAGTACAGCTCTCTTTTGAAAACTTCAACAACTTCTAAAATTATTCCATCAGTCCAATAATGGCGAAATTCATCCATTGATAACATAATTCCAGACTATAGGAGTTATAGCACTGATACCGATACTTTCAGTGAGGTGTTTAAATTTCAGGTTTTTTAATTTTTTTTTTTTTTTTTTTTTTTTTGGTAGGGGGATAGGTATGAGTTAACTGTAGAATCGTTATAGTTCCCTCTCTGCAGAATCTCTAGTTTTCTATTGGCACCAGGCGCACACTCCTCTACTTCTAGCTCTAAGCAAACGCTGTCACACCGATCGTCTATAGCCAGAGGGCTACAATATCAATTCTGTTGCAATCAGTAATCCCGTGAAATACAGCATAAGCCTGGCCTACAAGCGGCCAATCTTATGCATACAACGCACTATAGTACGCCTGCACACAGAGGCATCCATTTCGAAGGCTATAGCCTCGTGGGATAGTATTCTAGCGTTCCAGGGCGTGGTGAGGTTGTAGCTATCTTTTTTTAATGCGCTTGGGGGCGGTGGTGGATGGGAGGTGAAATACATTGTTTGCTTTATTTTGTCACCTGGTACCTGCTGGTGCTTGGTTACAAAAAAATAGGTATGTGAAATATGCCTAAACACTGCGTATCTTTCAGAATACTAATACGCAAAAACATTGCTTACAGTCGACGTCATGGTTATCAATTTTCGAATCAATACCCCAAAACTTCGGTCCAATAAGTTTGGAGATAGCCCCGGAGAGCGGCATTAGGAATTATTCAATCGAATTCGGAGACACAACTAGAAGGATGTCTACGGACCCTCTTACGATGATGCAAAGCCAGGTGGCTCACATACTCTCTGAAAACCTTGAGTTGCGGTCGAGGGTGTCTGCGCTTGAAGTCACGGTTGGATCTCTACTGAAGGGCGAATTTAACGGCAAAGAGCAGGAATGTGGTGAAGGGATGAAACCGTCCCCCGAGGACATGGCTGTGACTAGCTTAACGGTGCCTCTATCCCCCAAGACAAGGATGATATTTGAAATGGAGGATGAAAGAGAGCAACAAGAGACAGCCTTGCAACAAATCGAGGAAGGCTATGCGGAAACAAGACAATGGTAAATGGATCCTGGAATTACCTCGAATAGTGCTAAGTTTTTTTTTTTTGGGTAGCCCTGCAGCTGCCTGCTCCAAGGAAATCAACGAGAAATGCTTCCGCAAGAATCACTTCAATTGGTGTACCATGCATGAAAGGATGACTGATGACGATGGAACCTGCCCGGAAAATTCAAAGGGAGACGAAATACAGGATTTGGTGGCGTGTAGAGAAGTTCGTTGTGGTGGGTGTAATTGCTCCTTTGTTAAAATGTAGAGCTATTTCTTATATATAAGCTTATGGCTAACACAGTCCCGACAAGTAGATATGACGGAGGAAGAAGCATATTGGGCAGAGGTAGGAGAGAATGCGATAAAAGGGGGTGCGGGATTTCGGGAACCCGGAGAGCCTCACATTCATTGATGACACTGGATTTCAAGAATGCCTACTGAGTATTGCGGTACAGCTGCACCTATATAGCGGACATCTTGTTTTATTAAAGTTATTAGGAGCCTATATAATTTGAAATCCTACCGGTCAATTTATTTCCATAAACCAGTTTGGGTTATATATGATTGAGCGCAAACGCTCCCAAACATCGGAAAAGCAGTAGTTCCTACGAGATGGGTTGGAATCTGGTTGGTGCGTGGTTCTGAGACACAGTGGGGTGCCCGGCGACGACACTGCAGGGTAAACTATTTGTCGGTGTCTATGGCTTATATGTCTCCGTTGTAAGTTGTGGAAGCCTTTAGCATTGAGCACCTGCATTTAGGGATATTATATGACATAGATTATCAACTTATGAAGATCCTAGTGCCCATACAGGACTGGCATCAGTTGTAATCATTAATCGATATACATGCATGGTGAACGTAGAATTATAGATCTCTGAGATAGCATGGAAGCGAAAGAGGGATATATATAAATCAAGAGTATATTGAGAAGTATAGGCGAAAGACTCGAGTACTCGAACTTTTCACTGCATGGTAGCGGGGCTTCTTTCCTTAATAAAACACATTGTGCACCATTACGGCATGACATTTAAACTTCGCCTGCGACTCAAACCTCTTCCTAGAGCATGCAGGATGAGGGCAATCGATCCTCGCCGAGACATCAAGCTTTTTTAGGTGTTGCGTGAGGACATGACGGCGTAAGGAATCAGAGCGCGACCATCCTCTAAAACGTGCTCTTTCTGCTAATTTAGTGTCCCCTAGGCAAAATAAGCATTGGAATGAGGGACAAATAGTTGGGACTTGCAGTTCCAACTTTGCTTGACAATGCTCATTGTCCGCCATCTCGAATCTGGGTTCTGATAAGTTCCTGAATTTAACCGTCCTTGTGGTCTGTGGCTCTACGAAGTTAAGAATTCCTTCCGAGATTGACAGAGGTTGATAAGCTTTTCGAGGATGCTTATACGTATTTCCGGAGTAGCTCTGGGTTGATCCGACCATTTAGCACTACGGTTGACCGAACCTATATTCCCAAATCGCATGACGGCGATGTCGGACCGCTCTTGGAAGGCCATTTTGACGGCCGAGCTTCAGGGTTAGGATCCTAAACCGGGCTAAGATGTGGATAACGTAGCTGGTTGGCTATTTCGATTTCGTTCATGTTATCAAAAAAGTCTTTCCGCTTCATATCCAAGGCGTCTCTTTGGCAAGCCATTTTCTCGGCTCTGATATCGCTTTGGAGGTCCTGGTTGGATCTGCGTCTTTGGCAGATCCCAGGCTCTTATGGTCGCGGATTAGACAACTCCGTGGCTCGGCAGCGTCTGTCTGAAGATTCTCAAGTACTTCACTTTGCCGGATAGCCTTTTCCTTTTCGTCCGGAGTTAAAGATTTAGCAGCCTGAGGATGACGACGTAAACCCATCTTCCCGATGGCTTCCAGTAGGTCCTTGCGTGAAGGGGTACCGAGAAAGGCAGATTGGATATCGACATTGACTCGCCTAGATTTATACCATCGGCCAAATGTGGAGCCGCCAGTGTGTCCCAAAGCTTGAATTCGCTGGGAGAGGGTTGCAACGGCTGGGGCGAGGGTAGTTAGATCACAAGCGTTTCATTTGTAGTGAAAAGGGAGCTTACAATAGATAGCATTTGCTGCAGTGCGGCATAGATTATAGGGCTTGAGAGGCTCTTTATATCCAGCATTTTTACTAAAATTATTCATCAATGCTTATAGAATTCCATATAAGAGGGCTTCAGTTTCTGAGATTTTAGAGTCTGTTGGTTTTGCTTAATATAAAACTAATATTTCAAGGATATCTTTTTTCCATTGAATTTGGAGATATTCTAGATACAACGGAACATGCGATTTAAATAAATCGACAGGTTGCTTACTATTTTGTGACTTAAAAACACTGTCAACGAAGGCAAAAGTGAGAAATAATATAATTAAATCGAATGCAAGACAGTCATTATGCTTGTGAAGCATAAATATAACCCTATAAATTGTCAGCCCTTTCTATTTTATTTTGCTCTCAGTATTAGCTGTGTTACAATAGCTGGGCGGGAACTACGAGATCGCAATCCACTAACGTATAACTATGTGTACGGGTAGAGAATAGAACGAAGAAGGTTTATAGCTAGAGAATCTATTGATTTATAACTATGTGAGTTGACAGCTGAAGAATAGAATACATGTCAGCGGATCTACTCGTTTTTATATAGTAAGGAATGTAATGATCGATCTGTGATTGACACCACCATTTGATCACGAACTCCTGTCACTGCGATGCGTTGTTTTTGTCGGACTTCCCTGGTCACCAATCCCTTTAAGCACTCCCGAACTATGACTGCTAACAAGCTGCCATTTAACAACTTGGTTTTATAATATATTCTTTCAATGTATATGGGATGTAGATATTTCTATTGAACCTTTTTAATAAAATTTCTGGTATTTTTGGTATGGTAGCTCACTGTCTAGCTTTATGTCTAGCAAAAATTGATAGAACGGAAGATGAGTGGGGAAGGAAGAGGCCGGAGGAATGTTGTAATATATAGATAGAGATCAATAGGAGATCTCTAACAAAAATTGCTAATTTTTCGCCAGTATTATAGGGCTTTGCTTTGGGGGCTTTCTGGGATTGTCTTGTTGAACGCTTTACTGGAATAATAGAAAACTATGTTTATATGGGTAAGGCAACGCGACGAAATCGTTTGACTGTTGTAATCAGCAAGACTGCCAATGTGGATGTGATTTATAGTAGATTTATCTTTCGAAAACGAGTGGGAAACAAAATATTTATAGATGATTCTTTTTCCTAGATGTTATGGTAAATCCTTTGTAGCTAGCTGTTGTAGAGCAGAGAAGCAATTTAAAAAATGGTTCCATGATAGCGCTTATAGTTTGGTTTGGTCACGCTAACTGGTACTTCGAGTTGCTGTGGAGCTGTTACTCTAATAGTTGGATGTGCGGCCAAAACTGACATCAGATGCTTGCCTTTTCTAACTCACTTTCATAGGCTCATGAAATAACTTAGGTATATATGTGTGCGTGTGCGTGAGGCTACGATACAAATGAATATCTCGTATATGTATGAATTGCCAAATGATCCCACTGCAGGCCCGGCAGGCTCGTAGCAGGCTTTGTCCTGCGTGCACTCACTATCATATTACTAGAGGTCCTAGATATTGATATGAATGTGTAGGAATGTGGAGAGGTGAAATAGCTAGTCCAGGCTCTGGCGTTCAGTATGTAATAAGTCTTTGAGGTGCGAATGTTGGTTTATATTATATCGTAGGTAAAATGAGTACCTACTATTAACTTTGGATGTATCCAAAGCAAAAATACAGGAAAAGGCCAAGTGATTTGGGAAAGCCTACTATGGACGATCTGTGGCATAAATGGTGGTGATATATAAAAACTTGAAAGTTAATCTATGGATATCAGTGGTAGGTAATGTAAAATTGCTCTGAAAGATAGGGGTATATAAAAAAAAGGAACAAGGTAGCTATAGCGGCATTGACATCTCGAGCTTTACTCTTGTATCATAAGCTGGAATCAAGATTTCCACCGAGAGAGAAAAGACATCGGAAAAGTGCATCAAACTCAACAATTAATTAAGTACCCAGACCGGTCGATCGACCTGATGACGCGAAGCGCAGAATACGATAGAATCAGACTAGCAGGGATGGAAACCAGAGCGTGGATATATGCAACCATAGCTCTTAATTAAGCTTCCCTTGTCAAATAGACAATTTCATGGAGAATCTTCCCCAACTGTCTTTTCATCTTCGCCACTTCGTTGAATATCCGCGTTTGCTAGAGTAAGGCTCTTTTGAGAATTCGAAACCCAAATCCAACATCCGGAGATAGTAACGATAGTAAATGTAAAGAAAAATATTAAGAAGATTTGCAGGCCTTGTTTAGATATTGCAAGGCTTTGGCTACCGTCCTCGGAGACATCGAAAGAGATGATATTCCAACCAAAAACGCTCTATGAGTTATCAGTCATATTATATTAGTCTGTGGATAGAAGTGGATACCAGGGACACGTGGTGTGAAACATACCGAGACAAAGGACCCAGGAAGAAAAATCATGGTGAGAATTGCAATTATTTTCATAGATTGTCCGTCCTTTTGGGTGTTGATTGCAATTTGGGACATGAGTTTGGCTTCTTTACGGTTTTCTGAGGTAAGTTTTTCCGTCTCTTCCAAGATTTTGCTCATTTCTACCGTCGCGGCTTTGATAGCCTCGGTGTTTCGGTGTGACATTGCTTCCGATAACTATGCAAATATACTTAAATTTTAGAAATATCTGATATACAAATACGAAAGGGGGGAGGAGGAGAAGAACTCACCCATTTGGAACAAGTTTTGATTTTAGTCGCCTCTTGCCAAAATAGCATCTGCAGTGCTTTGACTTCTTGCTGTACCTGGGATATCTGCTGAGTTACTGAGTTTGATCCCTCCATAACCGGATAGTCATCCATTATCTTTTTAAACTCATTGTGCTGATATTCCAGTTTTTCGAATATTGAGACTGCTTCTGCAAGTTCGGTTTCTATTTGAGCTATAGAACGCTGGGTGACGTGGATTTTGAAATTGAGATCATTGTACATGGCCTTGTCGCCATCGTGCTGGATGAACCCCTGGGTTTTCTCATCCTATATTGAGTTTATTGAGTCAGTAAAAGATCGGCTTCTACATTTCGAGATTAGATATATGTGTAGTGCATATAGTGCAGAATAATGAATGTTAACGTTGGTTGGACATGCAATTAACATTGTAACGGGCGGGAAATCGATTTATCCAACTTACCAACCAGGTCGTATTGTTATAAACTGTTTGATAAGTACTCTTCTTGAAAGTGTCGATCCATGCCTTTAGGATTATAATGACGATAAAAAATGGATTCTTTCTGGATTTTGAGGGGGGTAAACTATACTCGGATAAATCCGAAATTTCACTCTCATCGCCATCTTCATCTGCCCCCTCCAATTGCTTTTTGTAAATCTCTTCCATCATTTGGTTTTCATATGTCTTCTTTTCCCCCAACCCTCCTTCTTCAGTCTCTGCTTCATCCAGTTTCCCATCACTAATATCTTCTTCTAAAATTATCCTGACGGGTGACTTCATGGGTATCTCGATGGGTATCTTTCTAGACCTTTGCATTTGCATATCATTGTAGGTTCGAAACGTATTCCTGAGCGACTGAATCATTTTGCCGATACCTATGCGCATTTTTATAAACACCGTTGTTTTCCGTGTCCTATTATCGTAATGCAGATAAAATGCAAGACCATATATATCCGCCAGAGTAGTTCTTTCTCCGTCAGTTCCAAATAACTCCAAGGACGATCTGTGATCAATCTGTGAGAATCTCCCTAGTTGTACCTCTTCCCCCCATCTGGGTGAAACTGTTTCTCTCAAGGGTAAGGTGAAGTGTAATCCTTGTTCGAAAGATAGCTGTTAGCAATGTATTCCTATTACTTCTTTAATTTCTTCCTTTTGGGGCGAGAGGGATTATATGTGCTGTTAAATTACCATAAATCGTATCATTCTGTTCCCAAGGTTTGTTTTGCGACAAAACCCGTGAGTTAATCCCAATCCTTTCACGAAATGCGAGAGAGTGGAGAAAATCTGGGCTGAGGTTGTGACCTCCGAAGATATATCTCAATCCCTTTTCTGAAAATGAACGAATGTCTCGTGATATGCTGTACTCAAGAAATTGTATTAGGGCTTTGAAGGGGGGGTCTTAATAACCTCGAATTATATTGTTTATAGATAAAGACTTACTAAAATCTGTAGGCCTCGGAATTATCCTCGTGCTAATATATATCGATTAATAGAAATATCAATTAATCACTGGTTAGCTCTAGTTCCGATCCGTGGTGGAAACTTGCGGATGTGTGTGAATACATATCATACATTTGTGATTTTTTCGAGATCTCTGTCGTTCATATCTACGATGGTTCCTAGCTCTTTCTTTGATGATAAATTATCGATGGCGGATAAGTAATCATATTCTACGTCAGGTTTAAAATTTTATAAGTTATTTTATCTATAAAAAAAACATGACGAAGAAAATCGAGATAATCGAATACGCACCTTGTCCCTCACGATCGAATCCAAGAAGAAAACTATAGTCCCTAGAGTCTTCGGGTAGTCCAAGGATAGCAAGTTTTTCTTGTAATCGTTGAGGATCAGTGAATAAGCTTCTAGGGAATTCTGGTATTCTAGTTTCTTTGTCCGAATGCTGTTTTTGACCAGCTCCACCGCTTCCTCCATTGACGACAAGGGGGTCGAGAAATCCAGGGATACTCTATATATTTCCCATAAGAGGAAATAAACACCAGGTTTCAGTAAGAATTCAAAGGGTTACCCTCTTTTTTTTTTTTTTTTTTTTTTTTTTTTTTCGTTCTACTTAAAGAGCCTGTGGGACGGTATATATATATATACCTTTGGTGTAGGAGGATTTGGGGATTCGCTAAAATTATATTTTCTTGCAATTCTACGGTCAATCGGATTGGTATTCATCGGGGTATAATACTGGAACTATAATGAATTCCCTTGAAATATGTTAAAGATCAGTTGATACATATAATTAGGAACGGACAGTTAATTAATTGATCAGATTCTCTACCTGATGGTTAGGAAGCGAGCAGGCCCCGCCTGTATTTCCTTCTCGAGGACGCTTTGGAGAAGATGATCGAGACCCCCCTGCTGTACATGATGTGGCTTGTGATTTGTTTTCCATGATGAAGGAAAGGAAAAAAGGAGTTATGGTATTATAGTATGAAAGTAAAATTCTAGTTTTGGCTTATCTCCGAGTTTAAGGTAATTGTACATGAAGCTGAATTCGAAGTGCGGTGACAAGGTCCGATTTATAAAGTATGGCAATAAACACTGCAACTAGCTGAGTTAAACCGAACACCCAGGTACTTAAGTACTAAAGTATTGAACTCACATCCCGAAGGTTCATAATGATGGCTAGATACAAATTTGCAAGGCTGATATTGAGTAATGGAATCTAAAAATCCAACTTCGAGGATCCATCTCGCTAGCCAGTCGCCGTCGGATCCTGCATACTGCGGGCTAATACACCCCCATGTTCCTGGTACATATATGCATATCAAACGCTGCATGAAGATATCAGTACTTAGGCCTATTGACCTTGAAGCTGGGCTACTCTAAATTGCATAAACCACTTAAATAACTGTATCGTTAAATTTTAAAATTCGCATCGTCCTTCGGGCCGGATTGTAAGCATTATAATGTAAGTTTCCAATAGCTACGTGAAAAATATATCCGGCCATAGACCTGGTAGCATCAATTGATGTATTCGACTTACGAGGGAGATATGTGCCAAATAGAATCCTCGCAGGGAAAGCGAAGGGCTATGCTGACAGACTTGCAAGCAGCCTCGCCCGCTCAGGGTAAATAAAAGCTGGAGGGCTTTGTCAAGGTAGAGGTGAGCGTCCCGCAGACTAGGGCTTTGTGATCCAGACCTATAACGACGCGAATTTATGCAAGATTAGTCCCTTTGTCATACGAGATAGCCATGGTATTTGGAATTAGCTAGAAGTTTACGGGGAAGACGGCTTTGCAACTGTAAAACTGATCGTAGATTCCTCATATGAGCTCATACGTGCCATGAATCTATCTGATATCTGCTACTCAATTATGCATGAGAACATCCCGGAAATTTCGACGAAACCCTTAGCATTTTAATGCACTATGCCGTATGAGTATCTACAAATCTAGCCGTGGATCGGAGGATGTTAGCCGGTTGTTAGAAAATACGTAGTATACATACGTAAGTATGTACTTATTGAAGTTCGAAATGTGCACCACACGGCCACGAGATGTGTTAGCGGTGGTGGTTAGCCAAAGCTGCGCCACCAAACGTCCAACGCCCGCCAAGCTAAATCGAACGTCGCCTTTATCAACAACCACCACAGCCCGCACAATAACTACTTCGTTACCACCCCCCTCGAGCTCTCCGATAACACCGCCACCATGAATGCCGAAGAGCGAGACCTCCAGCTATATCCTATCGTCCCGGAGAACCTAATAGCAAACTCCAAGGTATGTCGCATATCTATCTCCCTGCCAAGCTTCGGTCATACTAAACCTTCCTCGTAGACAATCTCCGACCTTCAATCCCTATCGTCCTCCCTTCTCGGAATCGCTGCGGGTATCTTAGGCCTAGAATCCTACACCGGCTTTCTTTTCTATCTTCTCGGTACACTGTTTGTCAGCACGTTAATAGTTACCTTCGTCATGGGTGGAAAGCCAGAAGTTTACAGTCGCGGTGGATGGAAAGACGTCATCGCGGCTGATGTCACGGGTGGAGTCATGGGCTTTGTATTAACGTGGACGTTGTTCTTTGGCCTGGTGAGGGTGTAGAATCCTTCAATGTACCGCATTTTGTGGGAATCGTCCCGTTTTGGCGATATCGAACTTTGACATAAGGCGTTTTAAGGCGCTTTCCTTTTTGTCGATTGGTTCTTATACGGATACTGGATGACTGGCTCATGCTACCTCTTCTTGCGAGCTTGATCCTATATGCCTATAACCTCCGAATTTCTAGGCAATGCAGTGGCTATTTTGGGTGGTTGAAGGCGATTATTGTATAATACGGGAGCTCGTCGCGCTATACACACGCGTATTCACAACTTCGCCGCGATCGAAGAGCTCGAATAAACCCTTCAAAGAACAACCGTCTGTCATGGACATATCTAGATTTCCCCACAAACTTTTACTAATATAATACATAATAAGTCTACATCTCATCATCATATCATACACCATTTCTATCAGCCTATGCCACGGTAATGAACGCCCTCTTCTTCCCGGTTTGCTCTTTCAGTCCTTTCTCGTACTCTTCGACATCCAAATACCCGCTTTGGGCTTTGCTTCCGGCTTTCTCCTTGATATACCTAACACCAGCTAGATTGAACCCCATTTCATCCTTCTGTCTTCTCAGCCCTTCTTTCAATGCATTTCTTATCCCTTCTAGTAGCGTTCTTGTTTTCTTACTTGCAACTACACTCTCATGGTGGGTTTTCAGTAAGAAAAACAATATCCTACATGTCAACGGCATGTTCCACTCCTTCTTCGCCCAGATTTCTAGAATCCTGAAGAAGTCTATGACTTTATCGAATGGAAGAACCAACAGCGCGTCTTGTAGATGGCTTGCTTTGACTTTAGTGACCGTGTCAAGGACATATTGCTCAGCCGAGATATCGTTAAATGCTCGGAAGATGATGTTTCTTTCCGGTTTTGGTAATTTGACGTTGGGATTGGCTGCTACGTCTGTTTCGTAGGCGCCCAACAAATCTAGGTCGGCGATTGCTAGATCCAATGCCTCGATTATCCGTTCACCATCCATGAGGGTTTCCATCGTCTGTTTCCCTGCCCGGGAGGATTCTTGTTCTTCGCCGTTGTCGTTTAGGCTGGTTTCTTGGAGTGATTGTGTAAGATTTGATTCGTAGAGTTCCTCAAGTTCTTTTTCTCGCTCTTCTTCCAAGAATATCTATTATCGTATCAATTAGCACTTTCCAGCTATAAGGGTATGGGACTGAGCTGATGGATTGCTTACCTGATCGTCTGTCTCCTCCCAAATCCTAATACTCCTATCATGACCTGCACTGACCACGATCTGCTCTCCTCTCCCTTTGCTAACTGCCAAAGCCCAAACTTCCCCGAAATGACCCTCCATCTTCATGATGTTCTCGAACTTATCTCCATCCCAGTACTTCAACATCCTATCCTTACTTGCCGAAAAGAAATTGTGACCATTCTTCTCAAACCCGACGGCCATTACGCTGTCCGTATGGGCAAAGAAAGATTTATGACAATCACCAAAGTCTAGACCCCATAATCTTACATTCTTATCCGCGGATGAAGTTGCAACGAGTTTAGAGTCTGAAGAGATATCCATCGACAGTACAGGGAGTTTATGGCCGTAGAGATTGTGTAGGAGTTTCAAGCTATCTGTGAAGAAGACTTTGACGGTGTTATCCAGAAGTGAAACGGCGAGGAGTTGGCCGTTTGGTGTGAATTTTAAGGATAAGATGTCATCGTTCAGCTTTAGAGTTCTGTTGTGGACAAGGCGTAGTTTTGGAGTTTTGCGATTGGTACCCAGGACTTCCTCTTGGACTATCTCGAATTTCCAGAATTTGGCGGATTTATCTGCGCTACCTGTTACCACGCTACGGCCGTCGGGGTGGACGTGTAGAGACCATATTTCCTTTTCATGGGCTTGAACGGTTTCGATGACCGTTGCTGAGGCGAGGTCAAAGAGTTCCAAGTCGCCGGATTTGTTACCTACGACCACTATTTTGTCACCTGGGAGGAAGGCGCAACAAAGGGCGTAACCACACTCGAACGTTCTCACACAGCTTCCAGTGCGGACGTTCCAGATCTTTAAGGAACCATTGGAGGCGGATGCGAGGAGTGAGTCGTCGGAACTTAACGACAAGGCGCGAACGTCGGTACGGTGACCAGGAAGTTCGATAGAGTAGAGCTTTGTGTACTCGGATATCGAGGCATCTTTGTCCTTTGACTTTTCTTTCGTGGATGGGATGTCGTAGAGTTCGAGGAGGTTGTTTGTGGTTGAGACCATCAATTGGAGGGATTTCGATTTACCACTACCGCTAGCCCAATGGACTGAGCGAGCTTTTCCTGGGGTTCGGACGAGGGTGTGCTGGACAAATACGTCTGCTACATCGAGTTTGATATCTTTGTCGTCTTCCATTTCCACGTCCTCAGCAGCCTCATCTTTGCCTTTAACCCTCTTTCTCTTCTTTTTTCTACTAATGACTTTCTGGATTTCCTTCTCGTTTCGGACCTTGAAGATTTCGACGGATTTGTCGGAGCCATGCGCAGCAAAGAAGCGGCCGTTCGGATGCCAGGCGATAGAGTACGGTCTTTCCCTGTTGTTCCTGTGTACTACCCCCTGCTCTGCAATTCTTGTTACATCATCGCCTGCTCCAGCAGTCGCAATAATGCGTCTTTCGATTGTCCAGACTTTCATCTCAGCGTCATTACCAGCCGTTATAGCACCCTCCTCGTCAGCCGTAACACCCAGCGCCCAGCATTCTCCAGTATGTGCGACATGAGTTTCCACACAATGCTGACTCGATAGATCCCACAACTTTATCAGTGTATCCTTCGATGTTGTCAACAAGTATCCATTATCGATCGTAGCTTGCGGTACCACATCGTCCGGGAAGTCTTCGGCTTTGAAGTGTAGGAATTCTAGGCCGGTGATTTGATCCTTATGGCCCTTGAGTTTGAACAATCCGACTTCGGCGATTAAATCCCAGATTATGATGTCCGTGTCTCTAGAGCCACTAGCCAGACGGGTTCCTGAGGCGTCGAAACTTAATGTTGTGATCGCAGATTTATGGCCATTGAAGGTTACTATTATCGTAGCAGTTTTGGAGTCCCAGAGGCGTATTGTTCCGTCTGCATGACTTTTGTTTAGCATTAGCTGCTGTTTAATAATGTAAACAGTGTGTATCGAATAACTAATCGATAGAAGAGGAAGAAGTTGAATACGCACCCAACAGCGATTACGTCCTCATCTGTCCGACTTTGTTTTAAACAGGTAACTTCGGATTTGCAATTCTTTTCCCGCCATCGTGATAATAATTCGCCTTTCTTGATGTCCCATGTTAAAACTTCTTCATTGGCGGGGACTATCGCTAGACCGGCGCTGGTTCGAGATGTACTGCTTGATGAAGTCGAATCCGGCGTCCAGATGATATTCGAGGTAGCAGAAGTGACTACGCCGAATGATCGCGATTGTGCGAAACGGGCGTAAGATTTGACCATTTTATTCCATCAATCTTCTTTTTTATTCTTATTTCGTATATCGTAGGTATAATATAGAGAGATGCGCTTGAGTAAAAAAAAAAAGTTTCGAGGTTTTCTTTTGGAGTTTAGTTTTGCGACTGAACTAGGATTTTTAGCGATCGGAGATAGTTAAGTCCGATTCTGACTTATGCGTTGTACCTGGCGTAGATATTAGCACTAATATTACGACCGGTGGGGGGACGCTGCTATACAGTAGGTACGTATTACACCAAAGCTCCAGCTACTCCGAGCTATCGTCAGCCAGCCAATCGAGCTTCATCAAACCACCAAACCACTACCAACAAAGTCGGTCGCGATGTTGCTCCTCGAATACCACAATCTTCTAATCCACCAGATCCTCACCGAGAGGTTCAACAGGTACTTTCCATTCTTACTTACCATTCAATTCATTAATTCATGGAATTAGCTAGCTAACTTGTACCTTAAATGGGGTGATCCGAAAAGCCCCACCCCGGCTTCAATCGACCAAGTCATTCCGGACTTTGACGGCGTCATATACCACATTTCTACACCGGATGTGAAGACTAAAATATTGGTTTCTTTATCGATCAAATGTTATAACGACTTGATCCGGTACGGTGCGCAGGAGGTGCTGCAGCGGGAGTATGGCAGTTATATTGTCGAGCCGGAGTCTGGATATGACTTTTCGCTGTTGTTGGATTTGGAGGCCTTACCTGAGGATCAGGGTATATTTCTCTCCTGCAGCAAAGAGTGTCTGAATAGATACTGGGGGAAACACAGGGCTAATAGTTATTGCTCATGGTAGAACAAAAGGACGACCTCATCCGTCGCGTTTCCCTTCTAAAACGCAATGCCATGGCCGCTCCCTTCGAACGCGCTTTCGACACTCATTACACCCTCTCTGCCGAATCCTCAAAGTTTACTTCCGAATCCGCTCCATCCTCGTCTGACACCGAAGTAATGGCAATCCAATATCGTGACGAAGAAGCAATCTACATCAAACCCTCGCACGACCGAGTAACCGTCATCTTCTCCACCGTCTTCCGTGAAGAAACAGACCGTGTCTTTGGAAAAGTGTTTTTGCAAGAATTCGTGGATGCCAGACGTCGAGCTATTCAGAATGCTCCGCAGGTGTTGTACAGAACCGATCCGCCGTTGGAGATTAGAGGGTTGAAAGGAGTGGTTGATACTGGTGCCGGGGATGTGGGATATGTTACCTTTGTGCTGTTTCCCAGACATTTGAAACCTGATAGGAGGGATGAGGTTATCAGTCATATTCAGACCTTTAGGGATTATTTCCATTATCATATTAAAGCTGCTAAGGTGAGATTCTATCTATTTTCCATCTTTTATATTTATAATCATCAGCTAACATTCAGTTATTTAGGCCTATATGCACTCGAGAATGAGGAAGAGAGTTAGTGATTTCCAGAAATACCTGAACAGAGCTAAGCCGGAGAACGCGGATAGGGAGAGGAAGACGGCCAGCGGTCGGTCGTTTAGGGCGCAGAACTAGACGATCGATAGTCCCCTTTTCTTGTAAATTCTACTCTTGTAGACACTACTACCCTACTATTTTCAACCTCTTTTTTTCTCTCAAATGATGATTTGGCATAGCGAGATAAATTTACGAATGGATTTATCATCCAATTACCCTTGGTACGTCTGGTGAAAAATGTTTATTAGGTCTTTATATATAGAGGGGATAGGTGAATATGAGATATGGTTCTAAGAACATGAATAGCGAACGACTGCCGTTCCTACAGCTCTTCAGAACTCATATATACAACGAAGTGAATTATCTAAACAGGACACAGAATTCAAAAAGAAGTCAAGGCTCCCAGGAATCGCACTTAACAAATTCAAGAGCGACTATTCCTGGTACAGCCTGACAAAACAGAAAGTAGGTAACAAAGGCAAAAGTAAGAACAGAAGCAAAACCGCATTTAAAAGAGGGGAAACAAAAGAACAAAAACATGATCAAAGGCAGTTAACTAATTAACGTAGTCTATCGATATAAAATATCCGAATTTGCTGGACTCCATTCCATTTAATTCCCGAACAAGGCTCATACCACAGTTCATACTCGCAAGCTATGCTTTCGCTATACATGTACCATCTTCGCTCCAAAACTAAAGCAATTAGTTAAAATCAGAAAGAAAAAACGGGAATGACAAAGATGGGGTTAAATCAATTTGAAAAAGAAGGGGGTCGCAATGTGAGGAGAGGGGTGATCCAGTCAATGGACCACTATAATCTAGAAAATCGCAAACGCGGGTGTTGTCGGCGTGGAGTATAGACGCGGGCTGGTCTATACCCTTACACCAAGGGTATCATCGGACTAATCGTCGTACAAAACGAATTCGAAAGATCGGAGGTATCTATTCAATTTAATTATTAGTACTTATTTCTCCTATTGGGATATCAATAGAAAATACCTCTCAAGATGTATCGGCAACCTAAATCCATCGATCATACTCGCTTTCTTCAGTGCCTCGACCGCGGTTCTAAAGTACGGTTGCGCCTCAGAACTGACGGTTACGTTTCCCAGGCTCATATTCGCTTCTGCTTGCTATATACCCCCAATAATTCACCAAATATTAGCTTGCCGTACATATGTTTTTCAATTCCATGGCAGAACAGAGAACGTACGAAAACATAAACATCCCCTAATACTCCCCCACGGCCATCCTCCATTGCTTCCACTGCTCGTCCTAGAAATTCTACGGCGGGAAATAAACAGGTACGAGCATCTACGTACACGCCTTCCTGGCGTTTTCGGTCTTGTTCGACTGTATCGCGGTCTTCGTCGGCTGAAGTCCAGTCAGTATTGGTAAAGGGGAAGGAACCCCCCGAGGAAGAGGAATTGGATCCATCCTCGGAGATTTTGCTTAGGTATTCCTGGGACCGCAGGAGCCAGAGTCGTCCAAGGAGCGTTAGGGAGGGCTGGTGGGTTGGGTTTGCTGTTTTTAGGAGATTTTTGTTAGCGTTAATAAAAGCTGAGAGCTACTATAAAAAACCAGCGTCAAATAAAATTGAATATAATGCAAAAAGTGCAGATGGGTAGCTTTTTCGAAGGATACAATTGCGGTTCTCCTTGCTCATATCATGTTAGATGAACAGCGAAGGAAAGAACCTATAAAATTGCAATTATGATGAGTCTCAATTCACATCAAATTCTGCCTTCTGCATCGCACAAGGTATATGGAAACTGCATAGCCGCTTTACCCCGTTATATTATCGCATTGAATCGAATCTTCAGTGACATCGCCGGGTGGCGGATACGAAAATTCAAATGCATTAACTAGCTGCAACTGCAACCTCCCCTATGCCCCTGCATTGATATCCCAGTCTTTTGTACTACGCGCTCTGCCCGATGTTGTAAAATCCAACATTATAATGCGTTGAGGCGCTCTCCTCAGGCCGCAGATTAATTTGTCAAAAGGACAAACAACCTTCGTCATAAAAAATCGGCCAGGCCGGACAGGTTAGTCTCTGAACGCAACCATGACAGGGGCTCATTTTTTTGACAGTCGGTACCACGGTAGATTAAACCTCCCGACCGAGAAACCAAAATGACGAAGTTGAATCACGGGACAAACGGCGCACTGTTTTTTTTAGTCTGTGCGCTTCCAGGCCTTCCCCGAAGCTTCCAAATATAAAGCCTTCCCGGCACATATCGGCGCGACTCGACAGGGATTGGGAAAATGACACACACTCAACACCACTAACAAAAAAAGCCAATATGCATATGCAACGATGAAAGCATGCATGGTAAAAGAACGAAGACGGGAGAAAGGAATAAATAGTATTAATAACAAGAAAAGTAAAAAAAGGAATTTAAGACTCACATTCGATAACCCCACCGAGCCCTCTTTCGACCCATCCTGCCAGTCGTCTTTCCCCACCAGAGTCTGCATCCCAATATGCTACTTCGAGTATTTCTTCGCAAAATCGCACTCTCTCGCCGATGACCACGTAATCCCTATCATCCCCATTATTAAATAAATAACGTACCTCATCCCTCCGCAGAATTTGGTAAATCTGCGGGAGTACAGAACGGTAAGCTGCCATAGATGGAGACTGGGATAGTAAATGTCTTAGGGCGTATATATCCTCGTGGCAGAGGGAGAGCCTGAACAGCGCTGTTGGAGAAAACATTGCGGGTAGTTGAATTAGTGGAGACGGTGTCTCAGGAGAATCTGGGACTTGAGGAAGAATGATTATAATTGGAGACCGGGGACGGTCTTCTAGAGTCCGCGGGGTGGGAGAGGTGTTAGCCGCGTGTTCGACAGGTGTGGTTGGGTAGTCCACAGGAAAAGGTGCTATATCGTCGCCTATTAATGTTTCTAGGTCTGACTGAGATATGTGTGTAGTCGGAAAGTCGGTGGATGGTTCCTCTCCGTTTTCGTGGGAGGATCCTACTTCTGAAGATATAGGGACAACGGACTGAGTTCTACGAAGGATAGAGCAACAGAAGATGGACTTTATTGCTGAAGATATACCGCCTTCTGGCGAGGGCATTTATCTCCTCTCCGGTTTCAATTGCTGGAAATTTATACTCTCTTTAGAGATAGTATCCAGCTCTTTATTCGGCAGAAATGAATCTTCGGGAAGAACTCAAAATGCGCCGAGCGAAACCGAGATATTTGGAATGCTGAAGCCAAGGAAACAAGAACTCCGTAGATGAATCTTTGATAGTAGTATCTTGATGAGTATTCAAATTAGCCGATCCCACGGTGAGACCCGACGACGGGTACTTTAATGTCTTACACTGTCGGAATGTATGTAGAAAATGAGATGAAGTGCCTTTGATCCGACGATCAAGTTTGAGAATTTTGGTATAGGCGAACTGTCGTGCTAGACTAAAGAAATGAGGAACTATTCGGATCGTCCCGTAAGACTATCGGTTGTCCCGTGTTCAAAAGTCCTTCTCGGCCGTGAAATTATAAATCTGCTCAGGATTGGGCATAGATTGGTGGCCAAGTTTTGCTAGACGGAAATCTAGACTTTTAATTGAAAGAAAGTTTCTCCACTGTACAGCTCTTGAAGCTGAAACGAATGGAGATATCGTATGATATATCTATAAAAGATAAATAAAATAAGGAATAAGATCTACACTAGTAGGATTTTGCATAGAAGGTTACTAACCGATTATCGTATAGTCTTGTCCTGATGAAACGGTTTTAGAAGGCAAAAAGAGTGTGAAGTTTATATAAGTTTTCTGGAAGTTTTGAAGAACGATATCAAAAAAATCACGGGGTTTCTGTTGGTTCCGAATTCGAGGGCGTGCTGCTGTAGTAGCTTGCGCGCTTAATCCTATCGGAGACCCTCCCGGGTTAGTTTCGCAAACAAGATTCCCAGATTGTCGGGTGCACGGTCTATGAAACCCCCCCCGCCAGAGCTTGCACAACCTACTTATCGGTTAAAGGGATTTTGTTTTCGTAATCTCACTATGTAGTCCATACAAAAGCTTTGTCAGATCACTTTTTGCCCCCCAACATCATGCAAGAGCTAGGGAGGGTCAACCCCAGTGATGGGTCCGACAGGTATGTAGGGTATGTATGCATCTAGCAAATGGTAGGACTGAGACAACCGCTTCCTGTTGAAGAAGTATGTCCGTATGGTTGGGAAATGTTTGTTGAAGGTACCCACCTAAGACGTACGTCGAAATGGGCCTGGTCTCGCTGGTGAAATTGCGGGAGAGCGGGACGCCGTAGTGGGTGGGGTCTTATCGACTTTAGGGTTGCAGGTTTCCCGAGCACCTGGGTTAGCCTTGACGAATGTTTCTTGAAGTTTCTTTTGGTAGTGTGAAAGTGGTTGGTGATGATGTAGCCTAGCGAGGTGCGGTTGAGGGTGGATTATATGGTCTGATCGAGGCTTGCACTGTGAGGGAGGGTATAAGACTAATGTAATGACTAGGAGTACCAGCCCAATAGAATAACTGTCTTTTCGAGAAAATTAAAACCTACCCCGACGAAAATTTCTAGCGAAGCGGTAAGGATCCCAAGATCTAAGTTTCGAAAGACTGGGGACGAATCAGGCCGGACAGATGGCTCACTTCAAAGAGAACCTTCAGCTAGACTAGTATTTTCCATGCGTTCGTGATTACGAACGGTATCACCCGATTTCGACTCAGAGTACTCCTATACTCCGTCAATGAGTCCTAGCCAATAAAACATTAGAAACGGCTATGAATAGTATAGCATAACTGAACTTATAGATATGTCCAATCGACTATATGTCACAAGTATCCCCAGGTCACGAGGGTTCAAACTCCGAAATAGCAAAACCATTGTGAATACAATGAGGCCTGCGCCGCCTGGAAAGCACCTTGGACAATTAATGACTGTATTTGGTTTAGTGAAACCGTGTGATATGATCCATCCTTCTCCTTCGAGGACTACTGCCGGCCTTCCATGATCGTGCTATCCATGCGCCTGCATGTTACCTGTTTTGTAAACTTGGAAATAGGTAAATATCCTCGAAGAGCTCGGTGAGTGGTTCGTCTGTTGTAGTTTGCATATGCAGGTCTCAGTAGCATGGACCGGGAGATGGGAAGAAGGGGGGGGGTCTAAATGGCTTGTAATGAGGCTATCGCGCTTCGTGCATAGTATATATGTACTGATGTACTTTCAAGTCATGTTGACAAGAGCAAATACAGGTACATGCAACGGGTATATAGACGACTATTAGTCTTGAAACCCCACTCCACTAGCCTGAAATCTTCCCGTGACAGGAGGATCCATAAAGGCGAGCTAGCAAAAATAGTGTCCTAGGATCCTAGTTTCGGTCTTCAAGAATCCAAATTTGGTGGAAACTAAAAAAGGCCTAGGTGTATTTCCAACGGGATCTTTTCTTGTAACTTGCTGACTTTGGACCGGCTCTTTGTGTCATTTGAGTGTCCCCTAATAGAATTATTCCTTCTGCTGCCCGCTTTCTCAAATTGGGGTACATAGCTCCCCTAGCCAATAAGAAAGTGAAGCTAGGATACCCACAGGGAAAGACAGTTATAGCAATAAGAGCCTCGAAAGGAGGCTAAAAAGCTGAACACAGAGACACACACTAAGCCCACCCGTCTTCGGCCGGCACAAAGCGAGAGACGAGTCCAGTGTGGGAACTACAAGGGGGTCTGATATTTGGAAACGTTTGGTAGTACTAACTTAGTTTAGTCTGAGGGGTGGCGAAATGAACTGAAGGAATGTAATATCCAAACTCCAACGATGGATCTATAGGCTCAGGATGTGCATATGCATCAGGGGGGTGTAGGGCACACGGGGTAGCAGAGTGGAACAAGAAGAAAATATATTGATGGGTGTGGAGAGGCTGAAACCAATAGAACCCGTTGGCTGCGCCTGAGGAGTAATGGGCTGCAGAATGCATTGCATGAGGGAAACTTTTATTGCCGGGCTGCTCGATGAGCGATATATGGTCACTTACTGACTAGTGTGGGGGATCTATGGAAACTAAATTTCCCGAAGAAACTTGATTCGAAACTGTGGAACGATTCAGTGGGGTGTCCTCGACGGTTGAACGGATCAACGTCTGATGGTGATATCAACGAACGTTTGCTTTGATCGATGTTGCATACGCACTACCCAGGAGCCTGGCTTGTGGAAATGTTCAAAACATAGATTATTGGGTTTTGCAGGGTCGACAACTGTACAACCTAATCAAACTCGTCTCAGGCTGCCTAATTACCATTATAATATACTACTCCAGTTTTCGACGTCCTTCGGGCCCTTGGAGATATCATCATCCTGATATTACTTCTGACGTCGCCGTTGAGGTGTCCAGCAATTGCAAAGTTACTCGATTATCAAGGCGACGTATACGCCCTACGTTGTTTCTGGGGCCCCGAATTCGAAGCCAAGGCATCATATGTTTCACTCCAGTGACTGACATGATAAGATAGTACCCGCCGGACGACATAAATACCCCATCTAGAACACTAACTGGGGCTACCCGGTCGGAGATACCGATGAGCCTGAGGGTATAAGTGGTCAGGCTTCCTTAGAAGCCGTTGGAAGTGGATTATTAAAAATTCAGGTGACGGATATAGCGTGATTACAAATTGGGGAGGGGGGGAGAATGGATATAAACAAGCTTGTATATAGAACATATACCTCCGCAAGCTAGCTTGGGCCTTAAATTGCCAGTGGCGGTGGGCTTACAGCTTGGAGGCAAAAGAAATCAACCTAGGTCGTCATCAGGATGGTCTGCAGCATAATAACCAGGTGGTAAGCACCGGGAATAGTGGGACTTAAGAAAGTGGGTTGCGTGTTGGAATTTGGTAGGCCGACTGCATACAACTAGCTCAGAATTAGCTTAACAGTTTCACTTTCGTAGTGTCTCGGCGCAGTTAAAAGTCCCGAAACCGTGACCTGCAAATTATAAAACCACTCTGCTCATAAGGCGAACTGGAGATACTTCTTCCTCCCCTTCTCCCCGTCTACCTAAAATACAATCGTCGTTATTCTCTCGTTTCTAGTCTGACTCTTCATGGTTTAACGGGGTACGAAAGGCATGTGTTCTTGGGAGGTAAAGATGGCTATGCAATCCACCCCATGCGTATTCGTCTGCAGCCTGCAAGGTCAGGACATGTAATGTGCATATCTGCAAAATAGCAATGCGATGCAGCGACGCAGGAGGAGGGAGACATCACCAGGTGACCGGTAGCGACCAGGCCGACGTTTTCGAGCTAGCTTGTTCTGCTCATTCCACGGGCGAACAACCAGAGGAGAGGCAAGGGTCAGCTTACATACGCCCCACGCTGGGAACCCCAAATCTAACCATTGATGGCGGACAATCTGCAGCTTGACAAACTCTTGAAACGATTTTCCTTGGATGTTTACTAACAAAATTGTGGCATTGTGCCGCTCTCATATTACAGTAGGATCGCGGATTTGTCACTTCAGTAGTCGCAGAACAGAACCAATCTAAAGAAACATTCTAAAATGGCAAAAACTGTCGTAAGCACTTTAGATTAAGCTTTGAAGAATGAGATGTACCTCATTCGCATCTACCGAAAGGTTAGTCTAGATCCTTTCTACTGCTTACTTAGACCGACAATGACTGAATGTCGATAGCCACCTTTAGGGTCCAAGAATAGGTACCTAGATTCAACGCCACGCCTTGGTATCTCCGTTTAAGCGGAGCGCTGGTATAAGAGGAGAGTCGCTTTACGCAATCGATATCGCTCTTGCCGACGATGTTTCTAAAAAGTTCTGGGGTCCATGAACTTCGTTTTGCGATACCGAGACTGCCGAATGTCGAATCTCGTGACTTTTGCAGCGGACTGGTACGGATCAAGAAAGGAGCAAATGCAAGCCGATGTCCGATGTTCCGTTCGCCGGCTGCCATTCAGTCTTGGCGATAATACCTAGGATAACTTACCGTCGCAAAGACGTCACCAATGTTTTAGTTGTTACGCCCAAAAATGATATTTCTAGAATCCGCGAAATTCCTATAACAAATAGAACAAATAAAGTTAATGTTGACAACAGGCACCGATTAATGCACTAGCTATCGATCGGGCGAAATTTCTTTTGCCACATGAGACTCTTTGGCGTTCGAACGTTCCATGGAGGCTTCGATGCAGGGCTGGGCTACAATTGCCCAACCCTGGGTTCGGTTGGTAGCACAATGCATGCCGGTCGGCAGGACCTCCCCTCTTGTCCCCAAGGCCGATGCGATGAGCTAGGGCTGCGCCAGGCGGATCTTCGCCTGTGGAGAGCTGTACCATCCGACTATACATGGAAGCCTTCGGGCCCAGCTGCAATATGATGCATTCAAATCAATGCTATATGCCTGAACAAAAAAGATATTGTCTGGCTGTCGGAGGGCGCCTCGGTTAGCTTGGGCTCTGGGTGCAGGTTCCAAAGACGTCACATTGTGAGGGCACAAGTAAGTATATTGGATTCCTGGTTACTATCGTGAGAGCGTCAGCGTTATGCTTGAGAGTGTTCGGAATATTCGAAACAACGACGGTGAGAACGGCTGAAGAAGGAGTCCGCCCCGACGGAGAGTTCGTTGGGCCGTATACGTAAGGCTCGGTTGCAGCGGGCAACGGCGAGTGTGTTGCGACGACGTCGACCGCTGGTCCTGGATACCAGACTGGAGATGCAGCCTATGACACAGTTTCCAAGGTGCCGAGGCTTACTGACGACTCCTTTTCTACTAAGCATTTTTCGACTTCACTTTCCCCGACTTCACATTCGTCTTGATTAAATTTAAATACGTTCTATGTCTCATGCTGATGGCGCAAAGCCTCACCGCCTTGGAGCCTCACCACACCAAGGCCACGATTTCTACGGCTGATGACATGACAATCGTCGACAGCCAATCGCATATCATTCTAACTGCCGGGGTGAAGTTCAAAAGCGAGAGCACGGACTGGAACGTTAACTCTGGCATGTGTGACCGCAACATTTTGCAACATGCAACATTAATACATTGTCACATATCTTTTGTTCTAGAAGGTCGCAACGGCATATGGCCTGAACATACCCAGCTATCCACATATAGCAGGTCGGCAGCCCATGTGAAACCCGTCTACAGACGCAGAAAGTATCTTTATCCGTCGATGAAGAGTCGTCGATAGACGGTTTTTTTTTGTTGAGCTGCAGAATTACATTAAAGGCTTGAAGGCGCTCCTGCAGTCGGCCTCGGTTAGGTCCACAGTTGAACGCTTTTAGGCAGCTTGAGCTTGTGGTTTGGCGAGGGCTGAAACATTCGACCAATCTGCCTATTGGGCTGCATGAAAGATGAGATGCCCCATATTCTCAGTCTGATTTCTATTCTCATTCTCACATGGCCCTTCTACACAGACGTCCTCACCGATCGACTAATCCAAGGCTCTTTAGGGGATTACCTAGGGAAATCATACTATTTCTCGTGAATGTTGAAGAGGATCACTGCACCGCCGGATTTAATTAATTTAATTCGGGGACAACCATGTGGACTCGTATACGAGAGTTCTATTAATGCCCCTCGTGATATAGTATAAAGTAAATACTATACATATATAATTTTAGACGGTCAAGTCACAGTTCACGACACCACTAACCGAGTTTGAACAACCGCCATATATCGAAAACATCGACTCCGCTATATATATCTCGGTCATGCTACTAAAAGCTACAGCGTCATGTGGAACGAGATTTTAGGGGTACGTAATCATTTATCGGAGATTGAGTTTGCCGGTGGAACGTTCAACCTATGATTGAATGATTGAACAGTGTCTGCATAATCACACTGATTGCAATTGTAACAGTATCAACGATCGATCAGATTGAATATCACATAATATAATCCTGAAAAGTTCACACTCGTTTCAAATTTGCAAAGGTCGTGTATGATTACAGCATTGGGGGAAACAGTATTAATTACCATTGCAGAATGGTACTTGCAATATCTATGCATCTTGAAACCTGGTCATGTTCCGTTCCAATTGCATATAAAACGAAGATACCGGTCTCCATATATAATCTAAGCTGTCCATGTACCTCTAGCTAGATCTATGTGCTTTCAGTGTATGTGCGTCGATGCATCAAAATTTTAGATGAAATAACATATTATGATATAAACGCTAGAATCCGGGGAACCGACAGGACACGGGGAAATTTTACTCGAAAAATCAGTCACGACCGATGTGTATACCCTCGAAAAAGAAACGTGTGACTCGGCTCAAGAAGCCGATTCTGACGAATTCGAATTCAATTCTCTCAGTGTTTACTGTGGGGTTTCGACGATATGCATCTATCGTAATATTATATTAGGGAACTCGATTGAATGCATGAAATAGGTATTAGATACTAAGGAATAAAGTTATAATGGACCGCCAGGTAATGGACGTTGAGGAGCTACTAAAATATCGAGGAAGTGGAGACCTGCGAGTGGATACGGAAGACATATTGCTACCACTGTGGAGCTAAGCTATGGTATAGCTATAATCATTACCACCACCACGCTCTACCGGTATACCGTCTATAGATGTGCTACGCATACAGTACTAGCTCGCTGGCACAATATTAGGAAAGTTCGAAGAATTATCGGGCCCTTGTCAAGGAAGTTTCAATTGCAATTGCCTGTCCTTGTACCTGTCAATTAGTTAATTAATGTCATGTTAGAGAGGGTGAGAGGTCTTATTTCGGCTCCGGATGAAAGCCCCATCATGGGCCCATGTGAATCCGGCCGGCAAAACGGACCTGAACTTCACCATCAACAATGCAACCAACCAACATCCTTTAAACCAACCATCAACCATCAACCTCGTCTCGACCTTCACAGCCTCCATTCCGACACACGTCTTCCAATTAGGAAACAGAAGACCTTCCTTCTTTCGATAGTTAGTTACAGCTTCACTTTTTAGACAGTCAACTGACCGACTCTGGGTACCTACTTACTTGCTTGCTTGCTTTCTTACTGACTGACTGCACGGAGTAGCATCGACAACCTCAATTGGGGCTGCATAACTCATCTCCATTAGCTTCCCATTCATCTCATTTCATCCTGCATCGGTCTAGCCTAGCCGTGTCCACATTCCTGAACTGTCAAGTGCCTCCTTTGGCGAGACTTGACCTAACCTTCCGTTACAGCAGCGCTAATTGCAAAGCAAGTAAGAACGAGAACAGCCAGAAAACCCCTGCAAGCGGTGGGGGAACCCAAGCAATCGGTTCAGGGACACAGTTGAACCAAGCAGGAACAAACGGGACTTTTAACACCCGCCACTTGCGCTGCCCTGCAACCCTTTTCTGTCCTCGTACATGTACTGTACCTGTCCCCCTTTCGACCCTTTCGCTCGCGACTTTCCCAGTGACAGTCGCTTTAATCGTTGGGACGAAAAACAAAAAGACTTCAATTCCTGAAGTAGGAACACCCTGAATCTCTTCTCCGAATTCCATCGTTTATATTCGGACTGGATTCACCAGGGTCTTCCAATTGGGACTATTTCGGCTTCTTCAAACTGCAGAATTGGGTCATGCGATCGTCATTAGCGGCTGCTGTCCCCTGCGCCCTGCTCTTCTAGCAAGCATCAAGAAACCGTCTACAACGAGCAAACACTTGAACTGTGCATTGCATTCCCCACAAAACCAAAGCCTCATGACCTAACGACAACAGTATTTTTCACCTTCCGATACTTGTCTACTTACTATCCTTCCATTCCATTCTTTTTCATACTCTTCGCTTCCATTGTACAACCTTTTATCCCGCATCCGAGACGATTTACGATAGTTTTCTTTCAACTAGCAGCACCAGCGACTACAACAGTAACAGCTCTCATAATTTGTCCTTTTCGAAACAGTATCTATAACATACAAATAAACCTCTCGAGCTTCAAGATACCTTCTCAGTCCACGCACGTTCCAGCATTCAAATCGCAGCTTAATTTACGGCCGACCGGGAATCCCGAAACCAACGACAAACGACAACGCGCAGCCACCGATCATCCATCGCAAAATCGAGAAGAGGCTAGGACAAGGATTCTATTTCGTGCGAGCCACGAATAATCCTCTGTAGAACATGGAAGCACTCGTGTTCCGTGATACGCCATTGGCACAGTATCTTGAAGGTAGCTTCCCCAACAATTTCCCTAGATTTTTGCGAAAGTGTGGTGGTTGACAAACACATTTGGGGTAATGTAGGTGAAGGAGAACCTGGGGATTGGAGCATCGATCCATCAGACAACAATGACGCCAGCAGTAGTAGGAACTCGCCCAATTTACAACCATTAAACTTCGCTCCATCATCTCTTCTCGTTCCGAAAACTAGAAAGAAGGCTCTCCGTCCACTACAGATTCAGAATCCAGGATGGTATCAAAACGCAAACTTGAAGCAGGTCATGTCGGGAGGCCTCAAATCTCGGCTAGCCGCCGGGGAAAACCTCCAATTCGTTGAGCGTTTTCGTTACATTCTCGTTGCCTCCCAGCTCCTAAATGAACAAGCATCAGTCGCAAATTACGATGGCCGAGATATTTCTTCCCTTCCGACGCCATCAACCGCCGTTCCGCCTGCCGACAATAATCCATTCACCGTAATTACTTGGTTTGGTTCGCCGGGGCCCCGGTTTTACGCCTATACTGCCGCTAGCATCATCATTCTCTCCATCTTGATATCATACCTGTCTCGTGGCGGATCCGAACGGAAGCTGGCCTTTGGGAAATCAAGGGCAGCGATTTCCTTGATGCTCTCTATGGTTTTAGCGCTATTGGTGTTTGCTCATCTTCGAAGGAAGAAACTCCGCCACTTGCGTACAGATGCCATTTCCGCCGCCGAGCAATTTGTTGAAAATTGCCAGATGTTCGATGTCGTTGTCGGAAACGCGATAACATTGATTCAGGAAATTGAGCTGGTATCTCGAGGTTACAGGCTCTCTCAGCCATTGCCGCCAATTACACGGCTAGAAAGAGCAGATAACTCTCGGAAATGCGCACGCTTGCGCCGGACTATTGCGGAGAGCTTCAAACTTACCATCTCTCCGACTTGCCGGGCTATCGAAGCCATATCTGCCTTCCCCAAAGTCTCAGACTTAGAGAAATTTTATGATGTCTATGACATTCACATCAACGACTTGCATGATGCTAGTTTTGGTATCGACGAGTCCGAGTTCGAGGATATGGAGAGCTTGAAATCGCTGAAGGCGCTGTTCCAGAGGCTTTACACTATCCGCAAGATATTCGTATGTCATTTACTTGCTTTGGAGGCTAACGGTGGACATAGAGATCACACACAGTGGCACGCTGTGGGAACTCAATTGTACACCATTAGCCGTCTCATGGGAGATTTAGCGCAGGAGGCTCGCAGCATCTTAACCGAAGAAACCGATTTTAAAATACCATCTACACCTATCGTTGGAACGACACCTGCCCATGCTACGGGTAGCGGCATTTCAGCGGTTAATAGAGAGCGGTTGAGGCAGCAACTAAGAAAATTCAATGGGTTGTCGACAACAGTGAGAGGCTTGCAGGCAAAGATGCATTTGTTGAGGGAGGGGACGGACAAGGCATTGCAGAGCACATCGCAGGAGCCACTAGCCGAAGGTTTCGGACCCGAACTATTGAGTCAATATGATGAGATCGGTGTTGATTTGAGAGGGCTGCTTGCGGAGTGGGAAAGCGGACGAGCCAGTCTGGCGAACGCATTGGATAAGTTGAAGGATAATGGATGTGGTGGTATCAGTCCTGCGAGCAGCAGGCCCGTTAGCATGATTTTCTCGCAGCCGATGGCGAGCCCTGGAATGAGCCAGGCCGGAACGCTGGTTGGTGCAAGCCCAAGAACCAGTGGAAGCTGGGACGATGCGGAGAGGGATGCAATTCTCAGAAAGAGGATATCTGTCGGCTCCGATTTTCTGAGAGCTTCGATCGCCGCGGGCGCAAGCGATGAGGAAGAGATCTTTGAAGGAATGTCGGACCCGACAAAAGGTCGTGAAAGAAGTAAGCTGACGAGAGAAGAGAGGATTGCGAAGATGAAGGAAGATAGACAAAAAGCTATGGAAGCGAGGAGACAAACCGAGGCGAATATCAGTTTGGTGAGGGAATTGAGAGATGTTCTGGAGAGTCGAGTAGGGGCACTGCCGTCAGCGAAGCGGAGAAGCTTACCAGCTGCAAGAAGCAGGTTAAGTTTGGAGTTGATAAAAGTCGCAGAAGCGAATAGGAGTGCGAATGGACAGGATGGGAGGCTGAGCGCCCCGATTACACCTGCAACAATTGCTCCTGTGGCTGTTGCGTTCCCCCCTGCACCAGCATTCGAAGATGAAAGGACGATAATCTCACCAGTACAGGAAGTCGAGTAGCACCGCCACTCAACTCCTAAAACCACCGACAGCGACGACATTAATGACGATACGAATATTTACCAAAAACAGCAAAATATAAATAAACTCAAAAAAAAAACAATCGATAATGATACCCGTTTTTTTGCTTTTATCGTTTTTCGCCTTTCCTTTGTCTAACACTGCAAATAAAAAAACAGCTTTCAAATTTCAATACCCTCCCGGCGGCCAACGAACCAAAAAGCTTTGCTTCCACCAACAAAACTAGAATCTCCAGTCCCTAGGGCAGAGAGACTGTACAATACCTTGCTTAACACCGTTAACCTGTACAACAAACTATCGACAGATAACTATCAACAGGTAGCTATCGACGGAGGATGGAAGCGCTGCAAGAAGCATCTTCTAGTACTTTTACTTTTTTTTCCTTTCTATTTTCTTAATCTATAATGGGCTTCGGAAGGGGGGGTATTCTTTACTGGAGGACTTTAACTTTAACTTTAACTTAACTTTCTGTGTATTACTATTTTTTCAAAAATCCTTTCTATCCTTTTTTCTTGCTATTTGAACTTTGGAAGCAGGATCGAGCAACTGTGGGATCGAAGCAAGTTGTTTTTTTTTGTTTGGGGCTTTATTTCCTTTTATGATGGTGACGGTCTTGTTAATAAATAATCACGAAGAGTATCATATACATTATCATGACGTTAGAAACTTCATTTCGATTACATTTCATACTAGTACATACACCTCCGAAGAAGAAGAGGGTCTATTCAGGTTATATAAAAGGCCTCGAAAGGGGTCTTTGTAGAAGTAGGGTATATTGAAAGAAACACTGCAAGCAATTCCAACTAAGCTATAGAGATAGATAAATACCAGGCGCGGATGATTTATAAGACGTAATATCCCCCCCTCGCAAGGAAGTTCTTAAATCGACGAGGGGGATATATCGTATCTCGAACGGTAGGTTGCACAATTGTGCATTCTTAAGAAGCCAGGGTCCTGCGGAATACTTTTATACCCTCTTTCAGCCGGTCGAGCAGCCATGCTGTAGCGAAGCAAATGAATGTCCCAGTACATTGGATTGTCACTAATATGACACCTGCTCCCCAAATCACTTCCTCGACGATGATAATTACGATATCGTATATACCTGTTGGGCCTAAGTCATTCAACAAAAAAAAAGAGAGGAAAAAAAGAATAATATCGTTAGTTATTTTATCTACACAAAACCTTTCGGAACCCAACAGATACAATATGAAAAATACAAAAGAAATAACTAAGCACAATATCATCAACAGAAGACTCACCTCCAAATTTTTCAGGATGCCATAGATACCATCTATACATATATTCTATTTCCGTCGGTGTTTCTATGGGACTGGATGGTATACTAGGTGATATATTCCCCACAGCTAACTCGATATGAATAATCTCAAATAGTCCCTTGTTGAATGTATAAAACTCTGTTAATACTTTTGTTAAAGCGTTTATTACATCGGCACCTGTAATCGCATTACCACCGGATGAATCTGTGATTTTGTACCAATATTTGAATTCGATTGTATTCCCGAATTTATGAAAATCATCGGGTCTGGAAAATCTTCGTAGCCATGCTACCCATTCTGAACAACCCCAGCCGGAGAAGTGGAGGTATGTATTTATTGTCTTAGGAGGCAGGGGTTGTATTATTAAAACGTCTGATGCGAGGTATTTTGTAGATTGAAGGTTTGTTTTTTGGGGAGTAAATCTCAGTGCTTTTCTTAATTTTTGAAAGGTAAGTTTTGAGGGTTTAATTATTTTTTGGGAGTTTTTTATTTTTTTGAGTTCTTTGAGTCCTAGTGAATTTCCATGATAGTATTTTATTTGTTCGATTTCTGAGAGTTCGTATTTTAGAGATTGGAGGAATGGGATGTTTAGGTCGCCTTCTGATCTTGGTGCTGCTGTTGCTGCTCCTCTTGGTACTGCTTCTCTTGCTGCTGCTGCCCCCCCCGTGGGATTGGTCGGGGAGGCTTTTCGATTACGAAAAGCTAGAGCGCTGAGGGTTGGTGAGGAATCTATTGTTCCCGCCCATATTGAAGATGTGGAACGAAGGATGTTGGCAGTTTTACAACGTGCTGGGGTGTCTAGTTCGGGTGATGTTAAGATGAAAAAGAGGATTTGTTCGAGGAGTTCGGGGATGTTGAGGACTTGAGTTATAGCTGAGGATGGTGATATGATGGCTTGTGGTGTTGTTTTTGTTGGAGATTTTGGAAGGAGTTTGATCATTTTGGATTGCATTTGATTTGATCGTAGTTTTGGGACGATGGAAGTTAAAGAGGCCAACTACATGATATATTTATCTTCGATAAAGAGATTGAAAAGAGAGAAAGAAGAGAAGAGAGAGAGGAAGGAAAAGAAGGAAATTGCGAGTTTGGCAGTTTCGCGCGCCTAGACTTGAGGCTTTGAGGTTCGAATTTGCACAAAGGGTTGGTTCCGGTTGGAGATCGGGAAGGCTGACTAAGGGGCTGAACCGCTGTTTGCCCTTGCAACCAGACCAAATTTATGTACATACAACTTAACATACGCATGGTTTCGAGGCTCGAAATGTTTTAAACGATGCCTGGTAAGGGTAGTTCCGGCTTGCAAGGCAGGGTAGGAATTGACTAAATTAGTTAATTAAGCTACCATGTAACGCTACCTACCTGCGGAGTTTGCTTTGTGTAACTATGTAGGTACTTATGACCTTACGTGTATACATATGCACTTAGACACGGCCCAGGCCAGAACAGGTTATTATATTGATATGATACGACATATAAGGCATTCTTGAGCTCCAGATGATGTCACTTTCTACCGTTGGTTTGTCTATATGTGTACATGTATTCTCTCTTTTGTAGTTGATAAAAAACAATCAACTGAGACAAATACTTTACCGCAATTTTTTACAAGCTGCGTGCCGTAGTATCTAGGTACTTATATAGTACCTGGATCGAGGGTACGACTTTTATAGAAGATATTGCGGTTTGGGTAATACGTTAATACGCCTCTCTCTTTCTTAACTCTCTCTTCCGGAGACCCTCGGTATATTCAATATTAATATAATATATATATCGGGGAAAAGGAACATCATGAAGAAGCGGGTTCCAAAGAGCTGGTATTTTGAACTGGCGAAGATTGTACATCAAATATTTAAACCTTTTAGAAAGCTAACTGTCAATATCTATTCGTCAGGGGAGTCACCATGACATACATATCCAATCGAGACGAGTATAAACTCCTTTAATATTAATATTTCAACCAGAACTCCTCCGTTGAGACGAGATATCAGCCCTCGAAAAGACTCCACTTATCCTCTTTAAAATCCCCAACCCAATCGATCCCGCCCCCCCTTCCTCCGACTTTACAACCACACTAGCTGACTTTCTCACAGTCGGGGTCTTCTCATACCAAGCCGTTTTCCAAATCCGTCTCGTATAAACAGTACTAAGATACTGCTTACCATTCGACGGTATAGAATTCCCCACCGAAAAATCAATAGCAATATTTCTGAACTCCCCGCCGAACGAGAAGAATTTACCAATAACCAATATCAAACTACTTATCAAATCCTCCGCTCTCACACCACCACCACCACCACCACCACCGCTGTTGCCGTCGTTTTCGTGTTGACGGTTTAATACCGTATGATGATAAGAGTATTCACCACCCGAGGCGACTCTACTATAATCTATCGATCTAACAAAGCCTCCGTAGTCCTTTAACCAAGAACTATCCGCCACACCCGAGAATCTGATATATACCGCTTGAACAGCAGGTTGAGAAATAAATATATTAGGAAAAGCAAACCCCCCAGACGGAGGAGTAATTTTATCCCTAAACTCCAAAAAGTTTGCAGATGTATCAACCCCGTCATAATTCCTAATCTGCTTCACCTTCCCTATTTTGATACAAAGCGAAGCGATAAACGGTTCGCAGAGATTAAAACTTTCGGTCGTGATCGATTGTGAATATGTTGACGGGTATCGATATACTATCCTTCCCAATGATGGGGAGTAGTCGATCACCAGACTCCAGGTTTTGCAGACTTTTCGGAGTTGGTTTAGACGTTTCCAGCCGGCGGCCCAGAAGGGGTTATTGGAAAGGGGACGGCTTCCGCTGAGTGTGTGCAGGTCGTGGAGGAGGATTTCTTCGAGGAGTTCGGGGAGGTTTATGACTTGGTAGGCTGCTGTGGATGTTGGTGGGGTTGGGGTATCTTGGCTGGATTGGATGGATTTGTTATCGTCTTCTTCCGGGGTGGGAGTGTCCTTGATATTCATTTTTGAGTCTGATTTATATATATAGCTTGTGATAAGGGCTGTTGGGGTGTAATTGAGTGAATAGATATGTGTCGGGGGAGACGACCATCCGGCGGTAGGATCTAGAACAGTTGGACCGTGGTACGTCGAGAGGTTATAATTTAATATAATAGTATGTATTGACAATGTTTTCAAATTCCGAGTAATTGAACAAGTACTTAATTTAGAGCGGGTTCTAAAAGATGTGTACAGATGCATACGACATCTAAGCTAAGGTGGAGTTTAATTTAACGTTAACTGTTACTCGATCCAGGTACGTACGCAAAAGGATGTCGTACTCGTGTTGCATTTTGGTTGCGATTTTGGCCAGCCTTGCCAGTTGGCCTTGCCGGCCGGACATTGCATTGTTCGTCTTGTACTGTGTGTAGTCGACGACGGATGCTTGGTGTACTATTGCTTTTACATGTATACAGTCTATTTTATTTTATTTATTTATGTTAGCAGCGAAAATATTATTATATACTAAAAGTATGAACTTCGAACTCTCACTTGAAATAATTCGTATATACGCTCTGAAGAATTAGTGCCGGTCTGACCCGCTATGGAATAATAGAATTGGATTGGGTTCAGTACAGTTCCGCAATAGTTATCTCATATTAGTCTGGATGCATATGATTTGATATCTTGACAATTGAATATGCACTAATGCAAAGATTGTATAATAACCCTTTTAAACCACCTGGGTAAATTGGTAATTATCAGAAAGAACTTCTATGTTATCTATATAGAAGCTAGCTCGAGTGTCGAAATCAAATTAAAAGAAGCACGCTGACCGATATATACCCCCAATACTCCACAAAACCATAATCATAAATATAATATAATCCAAAGCTTTAAACACTACTCCTTTATCCGGAATCATTCCCTCGTATTCCCTCCTGTCCGATGGGCCGGTTTTCAGTTCCTTAACCTATCTCTAACCCATCGATAGCACCGTTTGGGAAAACGAAAGGGAGCCATAACAATATACCAATATTCCACAGCATATACAGAGAGTATATAGACTATTTCACCCATGATATTGGTAAGCCTCCTTATAATCTCTTTTATAGCACTTTTGGTAGGCGAAATTTTTTGGTTTATCGCACGGTACCAAGGTTGATCCTCAACTATAACAGACAGCAAGTCAAACGTTAATATCTTCCTATTTCTTCCATTAATTGTAAAAACCATTGGTTGGCCAAAATATATTGTGTTCGAGGAAGGGAGTAAGGGATAACTGAGGGAGGGGGTGAGGAGAACAATACGGGAAATATATCCTAACTTTTCCAAGGCTTCGACTCCCAAAGCGTCCTAATCTGCCACCCAGGAATCGACTGCGGCCGTTCCTTCAACAATACCGGATTCCCAATCCAAACTTCAATCTTTTGAATCGAAAAACTAGCATCCTTCCCTTCCCCTTTCCCAGAAAGCTCATAAAACGAACCAACCGCCTTCCCAACCGCATCTACCAAATCAGTCCCCCTGACCCCTTCTTCACTCTCAACATGATAATCATATTCAAAGTTAGTAAAAAGGTTGAAAACATAATCCGTCGGTTTTGCAAATTTCCTAAGAGCTTCTAACCAATCAAAATCCGCCGATCCGCTGAATCTTAGGTAGATGGATTCTACGGTGGGTCCTGTGACGAAGATGTTCGAGGCTAGACATCGGGGGACTTTTCTTTTCATTCGAAAACCTTTGATTATGGGACTGTGGGTCATGGTGATAGAATGTAAAACCTTTTGGAATTCGGATTGGCCGATGGGTTTGGAATGGGAATATGCGATTTCTGTTACGGCTGCTAGTTCGTATTCTAGAGCTGTGCAGTATGGTCTACAGAATATGGCTAGACTGAATCTGGGTGGTGGCGATGGTGTTGTTAGTGTTGTCTTTTGTGAAGGTGATGCTGATGTTGATGATGAAGATGTGTTGAGGGGGTCGCGAAAGGCGAAACAGCGAAGAGTCGGATTATGGTCGATAGTTGATTGCCAGACTTTGGCGACGCGACGGAGTTGGTTTACTCGTCGGCAACGGTCATCGTAGACGTAGTGTAAATGTAGAGACCAGATTACTATAGATTCGAGGATTTCGGGGATTTGAAGGGCGTTTTGGGAGGCTTTTGGGGTATCGACATCTGCTGGTTTTGTGGTCGCTGACCGCATTTTTTATTTTTAATAATTTTGACCCTTACAAATTGATCTGAATAGTGTTTATTCAATCTAAAGAGATGGGGAATATATATATATATATAATCGCGAATAGTGTAAAATGAGAATCCTACTTTTAGGATCGATCTTAAGCAGCTTTGGGGGGTTTTTAATTAATTTCGCGGCGAATTGGTTACGTGCACATGTGAGGCCAGTCTCGTAACACAGTTTAGTTACGAGATTGACGTGAGGCTGAACGAATTAATTGTTCATGTTCCGAATGCACTTCTGTCAACCGACCAATACCCGTCGGGCCTGTCCTGTCTTCATGTAAGGTACCTACATTAGGTACTTTTTGTCTTGGTGTTTGCCCTAGAAAGCAGGAGCGATAGCTATAAATCTCTTAGCTTGGATGCATGCTGGCATCCTATCATACAAGTATATTGACTACCCTATGAAAATAATCTAAAAAGACATATACAATTGCAATTTGAGCCCATGAAAAACGTTAAAACTTCTAGAAGGATCCGAAACGCCCTTAAACTCCATCCGGTGCAGTGTGGTGATATATATAAGTATATATATATCGATAGTTAGTCAAAACCTATCTCTTGATCTTTGGCTCCAGCCATCTCAAGAACCTCACACTCTGCAAATCCACCCCTCTCCAGAATATATCCGCCCAACAAACCGTCGTCGGAAATGTGATAAATATAAACCCTCCCACTACAACCGCCGCATAAAGTTCATTATGCCCTGAAACCATATCCCATACTTTCTTTTGCACATTATAACGCCACAACCCAACCAACTTCAACCCATTCACTACCACCCAATATCCTATGCTATGTTGTGTCTGAGCGTGCATGATATATATCGCAAACGAGATTTTTCCAAAATATTGAGAGATTTTGTTGCACAGTACCACCTTTTGTACGCGGGGTAGGTAAAGTAATGCCCAGACTAGTAACATGGAACCGATGGTTTGCCAGAACTCATGGGTTGAATCGGCTCGTTTGCCACCGGCTCGTGGGTATTTGGCCGGTGTTAGAGGGACGAGGAATTGGAACCCCGTTGTATATTCCGAACTTGGTAGTTTACGTGGATAGCTGAGGAAGAAGAGACCGGTGATAGCCATAATTGTGTGAAAAGTAGTTTTGAATATTGAGGTTCTGGATTGTCTTTCCTGGGGCTTGTTGGTGGGTATGTCGCTGTTTAGTTCTGCGAGGAAGTATCCGAAGACGAAGAGTGCTAGGCCCCAGCCTCCGTAGTAGAGAAGGACGATGGTGGCTAGTGGGATGATGATGTAGACTCGTAGCCATCGTTTTAAAGTGCAGGTTCCTGCGACGAAGATGAAAAGCTGGATCGAACTCCTGAATTCGATGGGGATGGTCCATAAGTGTCCCTAGATAAGTAGGTTCCATTTTTGTCAGCTTCAGTACTAACTGTGATAACTTAAAGGCCCGGGGCATATAATTATGTCACTTACATCTGTAGAGTATTTCCTATCGCGGATATTAAACAGAGTAAGGTCGAATGCGAATATGTAAAAGTCCTTGGCAGCATACATCAACTGTTGGAAGATATTGTCCTTCGTCGGCGGTCGTCGCTCCAAAGGTCCAGCAATCCACTTCGGTTTCGGCCCAGAAGGAATCGCCTCCATCATCCCCGCAGATATCATAACCGCACAAAGCACAAATCCAGCGGCACAAGGAATGTATAGTCGTAAATACCGCTTCCAAACCGACGAGGAGAGGTTATTCATAAGTCCATGTCCATCGATAGTACCCGTTGCCCTCGTGATCTTAACAGCTTTAACCGTCAATACGAAACCAGATATTATAAAAAATACCTTCACCATAGGTGGACCATGGTGTATAAGTTTCAAGAAGGGTAACTGAGCCCAGTTAACGTGATTGATACCATCATATGGGTGTTCCAGTTGGTTGAAGTATTCGTAGAAATAGTGATGGACGACAACACAGGCACAGGCGAGACCTCGTAGGCCGTCTAGCCATGCTGTCGGAGCGAGTTTTTCACTGCCACCACTACGGCTTCCGGTGGTAGTTGTGAAATAGGAAGATATAAAACTGGGGAGGAGGAAAAGAGTGAGCTTTGCGATGAAATGTCTCAGACGGGGGAGAATGCCGAATTTTCGTTTTGTTGAGGATGTTGAGCTGGTGAGGTAGTCGAAAAAGCCGGGCGAATCTTCGCTGAAGTCTTTGTTCGCTCATTACATGTCAGCATTGTCACAACAATTTATATTTATATTTTTTAATATTTTTTAAGCAAATTTAATAGGGGAAATCGAAATCTTCTATGATCGATATCAGGAGTCGACTTTTGTGAATGAAAGGATTGAGGATTGAGAGGGTAAATTTGAAGATGCATGTTGAGTGTAACATAGAACGACTAACTATCATCGGATAAGTTTGGAATGAAGCAAGATTGATGATACGAACCTTTGTCATTGAGTAAATTCTCCTCAGATAGGCTTCGCTCTCCACTTTCAACATCCGAAATCGATATCTTTGGTTCCTCAGACTCCGAAGCCAGAAAGCTTGTCATCTTTAGTCCCGCGAAAGAACGGTCGAGTCGTTGCTAGTGTGTATGTTGAAACTACTTGGTACGTAGTATACTACTTAAGTCGTGCGCGTGTGAGGAAGCATCTATAAAGTTTAAAAAAGCTGATGAATGAAATGAATTGAATGAAATGAACAGAAAACTTCAAAACTAGGAGAATCTAGGAAAAAGAAGAAAATATATGACAAGAAAGCAAATGCCGGGGAAGATTAATATGACAAAGAAATAAACAATGAGAACAATACAATCCCTGTCTTTGTGGAGACCTCCTCCTCGTCTTCGAATCGTCCTTCTTGTCCTCCCCTTCAGTTCAGCTTGAGATTTCAGGGGCAATGGAATCCAACTTGAACTCTAAACCACAGGCTTACATCTCGCCAAGACCATATATGCCTTACTTCCAATCCGGGTTCTATATGTTGTATATTATGCATGTAAACTGCTACTTATATCCGGTGGTTCAAATGGTCTTCAGGCGTTTAGTTAAGCAGCTCATGGAATTCCGGACCAAGATTGTAACTACTTCAGTAACGCCTCGAACACAGCCCCCAGATCATTCCTAACATGGGTAGCGTTATTGACTATTCTGGGACCCATGTGGGTTCATCAGACATTGGATAGGCTTCTCACTAGTCGATCCTTACTAGTGCTGTTATCTGACACTAACAATTGCCAATGCTAACTAGCGAGGATGCCAGGGACCGCATTTGTAGTTCATTCCCGTTGAAGTCTTCCAGGTCTGTGTACTGTATGAGACAAGATAATACTGAATAACAGCCGAGGTTGGAAACAATCCTATGTCAGACTCCTGTTGATCATGATATTATATTATAGTATATCCGCTAACCGAAAGGCATCGACTAGTACTACGAAGAAAGGGATAAAAAAGGGGGGGGCAGAAACATCTAAATCTTCACTTTGAAAATAGCATAAACTCCGAGATGCTTGATACCGAAAACACACGGTCGGCATAAATTTCTTCAATCAAGCTTTTCCATAAACCCAGCGCCTAGATACAAGACCAATACTAAATCAGACTAATTGTGAAGCTAACTTGAAACCGTCTAATTAGAATCCATCCGAATCCGAAGAAGTTGTGTTGTATTTGTTGTGTGTTCTCTTTCTCTTCTTCTTCTTCTTCTTCTTCCTCTTCCTTTTTTATCTTTATCTTCTCCGCATTTCGCTTAACAAGATGCCAAGAAAAAAAACGTGTCGTGACCCGCAGGTCACAGTCCCGTGCGGCCGACCACTATGGCAGCTGGTGTCGCATGTTCAGTTACTTAGTTTAGCTTCATTGCATTGGTATCATAGTTGTAACGTTAATCACACTAAACTGCTTTTAACTTGCAAAAACTCTACATAATAATCCCCAAACTACACGATATCGCCTTGCCATGTTATACGCATGATTGGACCAACTTGTCTGCACTTTTGTCCAAGCCAGATATCGATATCAGATTAAGATCGATATCCAGATCCAGCCAGACGCCACATCTGGCCGGGGAGATGATTCGATCGATCTCGATATTTCGAGAAAATGTAACATAACGTGCATATGCGAACATTTCCCCGCATATCTGATCAACCCCAGCTCAGCTCAGCCTCTTAATTATAATCTTGCCCCCCGCACATCATATATTCTCCGAAACACTATATGGTGAGGGAAATATTTCCTAATAAAGAACAACAAAGGTTTTGTAAAGACAAATGGAACGGTGGCGTCATTATACGATGAAGTTCAACCATGGTTACGTTTTTAACGTTCACCACGTTTTTTTTTCTATCTCCCCTTATCGACTTCACGGCTCCGCAGCTTTGGATTTTTGTATATATATAGGCATCTATATAGAATCTTTTTGCTTATTTATATTTGATTATGCGTATTACTTTAAATGACCGGTTAGAATTGAATCGATATCGATTCTTCTCATACACGTGTGTGCATGTGAAACCCTGAATTTTTCCTTTCCCCGCGATAATTTATACAATGCTTGATCGAATAGGTGTATAAAAAATCGAATCAATTCGAAGACCATATCTATCATTATATGAATACCGTTCCTTTATCTGCGGGTATAAGGGGTAACGTTGGCAAACCGGCTTCGAATTTCCGTGCGGCTGAGATTCGTCTAATATATTGCATGACGGACAAATGTAACCCTACCACTCCCAGATATATAAAATGGGTTTCCCATACAATTTCAATGCCACATGGCAGGTTAAAAAAAAAAAAAAAAAAGATAGTAGACAAATTATATCTGATCTAGCTACCATCCTATTACTCCCCGTGTAGTCTGAATGGCGCCATGTAAAGCGATAAACGGGCTAGCAGCCACAAGAAGAGCAAGGCTAGACGTCGGGATTCCGTTGGTAACTACAGTAATTGGGGATGTATAATAATTAGCTCTTTTTTTATTTTATTTATTTATTTATTTTTTTTGACTAAATTAGATTCAGGCGGAAGCATTTTTGAGATGGTCTTACTTTTGCGTGACTGCCAAAGATCGAATAGTCGATCAAAATTTGGGAGGAAATCGTTTTGTTTTATATAAAGAGGAGGTTTCGATGCCTCGTACTCAATGGCGACACCAATGATAGTAAATACTCTTTGAAACGAGTAGAATTTTCTGATCAGGTCGATAAATGAGTTGATTACTTGATGGCTTCGGACTCCGCTGTCTGTTGAAATACGGTGGTAGTATTTGAAGCTGGAACCAGTACCACTGATTGCTTGATTTGAGATCCAGAGATCATCAGGTCGGATAATGGGTTCCATATTCAATACAAATTCTCGAGACCCAAATCCCTGGAAACATAGATAGACGACTCGAAGAGCCGGTTTCGTCAGGTGAATGTTCGATATTGATGAACTTCTACCCGTTGATTCCGCAAAGGCTTCAAACTCCTCTTTACCTAGTATCCCTGCATCGTCTATTCGAATCGCTCGTATATCTCTCGCTGCCGAACGTAGTTCCTCTAGATATTTCCAACAAAGGGCTAGACTCCCCCGTTTATCACGAGTTTGGTATGAGATATTTAGAAGTAGTTCGGAAGAGTCGATTAGAGACTTCCAGGTTCTGGAAATTACTCGAAGTTCTTTGATTTTGGGTGTTCCTAGGTTGTCGTCTTTGTATGCGAGATATAGAATTCTTTTTAGGAGGTCTTGGTTTCTTAGGACTTCGTCGGAGGCTGGGTATAGCCTTTCGAGCGGATCTCGACATCCTGTATGATAACACATTGTGCAGGTGGAGTACACTGAATACCACCACTATACGAATTCGGCGTAGCTAGGCCTATAGGGCTAGAGGATTTAGTGAGAGTGCAGTCTGTGATGCAGATTAATATTTCTTTCTAAGAATCAATATCAATATGGACCTGATGGCAATTTGAGGTCACTCCTCCTGCCAAGTGTTGGAAGTTGCTATTTTGGAGTCTATCATATATGCATATTACGCTTTGGTCAACCTCGAAGGCTCAGACAGCTCACATCTACACAGTTGGACCAAACCCGTATCATCTAAAGGTTATTATATTATTTAAGTATTCCGAATACATCTCAAGAAAATGAAAAGAAGAACAAAAACAGGCTTAAAATATCTTAATACTATCCACAACGCCACGTATCTGACCAACTCCTTCTATTACTACCATGACAGGAATAAGTATAATAAGAAAAGCAGTAGGAATATTCCCATCCGTTCGCGCTGAGAGATCATCGTTTTGCCAATGTCAGAAACTTTGCGGATAGCTAAAGACGGAGCAGTGTTCTTAAACTCACGTTTAAACCAATGGCGATCCCATAGTGCCCTCTCCTTCTCAAAATTCGTGGGTCCGTCCAAACTGGGTAAAACCCCCAGTTTTCTGGTCTGAAGGCTGATACTCGTAACAAAGAATTCCTCTTGGAACGAATAAAAGGCATTGATCGTTGCCATGATGGCTTGGAATACTTCATTACATCTCACGCCGTGGATATTATCGAGTTGACGGTAGTAACCGTAATAATGGTGACCGTCTATTTTGATTATGTCGCCAGGCCTTGATTGTACGAAATCAGCGGCTTTGTTTTGCCATCGCGTGGATCCATATCCGTAGAACACCAAATGGACCGACGAACTCGCCCGTTGAGTAACCTGCAAGTCTGCCGAAAGCGATACCTTACTCCCAGCAACCTTCTGAAACTGTTTAAATTCTCCAACTGACCCAGAGTTATGACCCCGAGTACTTTCAATCTCTATCGTTCGAATCCCTTCCAACATATGTCTCTCCAAAAACTTGAGATACCCTTCACAAAGATCCGGAACTTCACCTTCAGTGAACAGTCGAGGATTACGAAAGGCAATCGTACTCAATCTAGGTGAGGTATCGATAAACAACCGCCATGTTTTGGATACCCGCCGAAATTTATTGATATCCTTTGTCGTTACGAATTGAAGTACCTTTTCGAAAAGTTCGGGAAGACTTAAGACTTTGGAGGTGGCACTACTATCGCTAGTGTCGTCATACCCATGCCGTGTTCTTAACGGCCACCCTGCCAGGGACGACAACATCGGTCATACCTTAGCTAATTAGCTTAGCTCTGGCCAGGCCGGGGTAGTGTTAGGCTGGTAATGTTTCTTTCTTAACGTAGTTGGATAGGCCGGCTGAACAGAGGACAGATTCGTGAATGATTGACCTTGTTGGTTGGTATCCTAGGATTCTATAATGCAGTATGTAGGTATTGTGAACTTTTGGGGGAATCATACAATCGAATCGATTTGCAATTCGGTGACGTCCCATCCCACAGCCATCCGAATTTCGAAAGGGACCAGGCCCCGTGCTTCTCGCGCATGCGTAGCCATGGCGTGGTTCAGATTGCATCCCCTCAATCTTCCCTTGTTTGGTTAGTTAAGCGAGTCCTCCCCCGCTTGGCGGTCCTGTTCTCTCGCTACCTGCCCTGCCAGTATCATGATAGCAGATACGATCCTTAAATGCAATGTTGTCGATGCGTTAGTAAGTGGCATATGGGGGGGGGTTTCGTTATTTTAGTAGTATCTGGGTCCCGGTCAGGATGCTTTCGGATGAACGGTCGACGGATCGGCTCTGTCCTACCAAAAGGAGGGGATCGGGTGCTTGAACATCGCGATACTCTAGCCGAACGAAACTAGGATGCGAACAAACATCCGAAGGCGAGGAAAGCCAGGAGCTCTGGTAGGCACCAAGAAGGAATTTAAAAAAGATCATTAGCAATGTATACATACTTATGTAACTAGAAACAAGAAAAGAAAGGAAAAAGAAGAGGGGGAAAAACAATAAATTGGAGGAATATTGGTCTCGTTCCCAAGGAATATCGTTTAAAAATTATTTTAAGCTGACCTGCAGCTGGTTGGTTAACTTTCTGAAGTATGTAGGCGCTTCAATATATATCGCATATGCATATGCACCATATGCGCATGCGTCCTCGAGGCTCCTGACATGACAAGACTTGTCAAAGTCACAAATAGATCTTAGCATTAATATAGTGGAGAGTGAGTTATATAGCTTGTGGCGATATAGATTTAGAACATTTTGCGATCTAAGGTTATTTTTGGGGGACCCGAGAGCCGGAGGCCGCAACCTTTTTTTTGTTTTTTTTTCTACTTATAGCTTAATTATAAAATAGCCCGGTATTTTAATATTCGGAGTAAGGCTTTTTAAGTAAATATGCGTACCATAACTAGGTTTCATTAAGTCAGATCTAGATCTCGAAGATATATAGACAGAGCAGATTGATGACGAGCGCAAGCTGCTTGATTTGATTATAAGTTTAAGGCGCCCTAGTTTGAACTCGCGAAACATCAATAATGGTAAGCCACAATCAATATCACGACGTATAGTTATTGATGCCATTGCACTGTCTCTTCCATGTTGGATGAAACAAATTAATCACCTGAACAGGAAAACTTCGGGACAAAAAAAGAAAAAAAGAAAGTCGACCCGCGATATAGCTATTAGGGGGAGTATCCAGATGGAAGACCACTGGCCACCATGGCACCAGAGATGTTCTCATAATCCGACAACGCATCTGCAGTGTATTGCTTAGTTCGACTTTTTTGGACTTCGCAACGATGGACTATGTAAGCTATGTATATTGTGTTTAGGACAGGAAAATAAGCAACGTCGGATTCTTTGTTATAAGAAATTCAATCGCAGATTTGGCCAAGGCAGAGGTGAGCATCCTCCAGACTACAGATTTGGTACCGAATGACATTGTAGTCTGGGGTTAGCTTCCATTTGGGAGGTATGATGTATAGTGCAGCGGTGGCACACGGGGAACGGGTATCCTGTTCACCATGCTAAACGTGCTACCTGGCCAAATGCTTAGCTTAGGACGCCAAAAATTACTAAACCGATTCGTTTATAGACATAGGTATACAGAGCATGCATGATACGTTATCAAAAAACTCTAAATTCCGAACTAAACACAAAAACGTGAGGTAAAGCCGTCAAAAACAAACGGTATTTTTGAATGGCATCTCGGAAAGTTAGGTCGGCAGAGCAAGTTGAAGAGTAAGGCAGATAACCTTGATTGTAATGTTGAATTATGTCGTCCGTGGTTTTTCTTTCCTTCTTTTTCGGAGAAAAAAAAAGAAAGAAACCAAGAAGAAAAAAAGGGTTACTTCGAACGTTCGCAGTCGTCGCGACGAATAGCATGATCTGTCAAATTTAAAATGTGTGCTCCGTTTCGGTAGGCTTGCGAGCCCCGCGCGACCCACTTTATCATGTTTATGAGATTTATATCCATGTATAGATTTCAAGGCTTTTTTTTTCCGTTTTTGAAGAAGGAATATCGTCATGTATTCGCGAAGTAATTCCGAACCCCGTTTGATAAGCCATGTATTATTATTGACACCTAGTATGGCATACTGTAGACGATCTACAGATGTAAGTAAGAAGTTATGATGGGATCGTTTGCTTGGAAAGCCTCGAAAATGCAGGGCGTAACATTTTCATGGGTCTCACGTTCCCTAGCTAATTGGGTACTAGTCCGAATCAACGAGGTAGTCTGGTTTGGGGATCATTTAACCTTAATTAATGGATAGTCTGGGGAGGCGCTCACCTCTGCCTTGGTGGCTCCAGACTAATCAATGGCTAACAGTGGCTTGTTAGCGAATGTGCAGAGTCTTTCATTCGGTTGCCGGAATATACGAGGACGCAGGGCTGATCAAAAGGAAATTTAGTGTATCAAATTTGATTGCGGATATGTATGCCGGTGTATCGATAGAGGAAAGTTTAAGATAAAATCCTAATTGAGTGAAACAAAATGCACGTTCGGATATTCTCAATTCCTCGAGGGTAAATCTTTCCGAAATCGTTGATCGTGATGTATATGTGTATACTGGATCAATAACCTGTCATGATTTCTGTAGCCACACTGGTGTACCCGGATATTCATGCCGGAGCTGGATTAGGGAAGGGTATGTCATGTCGCCTGTATCATAGCCCGTTATGCAATTATACGTATATAAAGGGAAGACAAATTCACTCTTCAGCCGCTATTCAAGCATCTGATCATCAGAGCGGCACCGCAAAAAAGCCTTCTTGGATACCCACAGCCTCTACGGCACTAGTCTCTCCTTAAAGTCTTCAACGCTTTAGTTGGGCATCACCTTCATTTTACTCTTGGGCTTCCCCACATACATTCTTTTTTTATACCCCTTTTCAAGGATGCATTTCCCAATCTCCGCTGCCACTGCGGCAGCCATTTTCACCATTTTGATCGACCAGGCAGCTGCTCACTGCAGATTCGTTCATACCACTGGTGATAAGGGTGGTGATGGTCGTGGTTTACTCTCCACCTGGACTCATCACGGTAACAATGATGTCTGGGGTCAAAAGGAAGCAACCATCTTCAGCGACCCTCCAGTTCCTAACCCAGCCTTCACCCGTCTTTGGTTGAATGAAGGCTGTGGTGTAACCCTACAGACTGTTGATTTATGGTGGGTGATGTTCGGCGGCAGGGGAACAGAAGATTGGTGGAAATACCAACAGATTCTCACCTGGCAGCCTAAGATCACAAAGGAAGCTTGGGTTCAAACCTGGTGGGAAACCAAGAAGCAAGCCGATGCAGGTACAATGGCCGTTGTTAGCGGCGGTGGCGACGGTTGGCTTCACATGGCCGTCCTTCAGATCAACGAAGACGGCGCTGGGCCATTCCGATGCAGAGTCGACCCCAACGGCGACGGTAAATACCCATGGGGTTGGGAACCAAATGACAGGTATATGAACATGCCAGAACCCAACGACGGCGGAGCGGCCAAATCTTTCTGGCCACATGGTAAGCATAAGGCCCATCTTTTGAAATGGAAGGTCCCCAGAGGCATGTATTGCGCCGGAAAGTCTGGTCAATACTCGAATGTTTGCATCATGAGATGCGAGAATTATGCTACGTGAGTCCAAACCCTGTTTTCATAGTTTTTCGCGCAGCGTTGTAAAATCTAACCGAGCTCTTATAGAAACGGTCCATTCGGTGGATGTATTCCATTCCGTGTGGTCGACCTTCCTCCAGAAAACAAACCAGCACCAGAAGCAGAGAAGCCAATCGAGAAGCCAGTCGAGAAGCCAGAGGTCGTTGATTACGGTTACCATCCCCAGCCTGCTAAGGCGAACGATGGTGGATACTACAAGCGTAGCATCGAAGTCGTCGACCCCAACAAGATTAAGGTCCGTCGCGACGACGAGGGTATTTTGCCACACGTTGTGGTTGAGAGGCGCAGTGCCGAGGCATTCACGGAAAGCCAAATCAAGGAGCAGAAGAGAAGTGAAGAGAGAGCTATGCGCGACTTTGCTAAGGTCAAGCGTAGTGTTGAAAACGCCGTCAGAAGGGCCAGACGCTCGCCAGTTGTCGAGCCTCCTCATGTCATGAACCAGGACAACTAAATGTAAATCTAAATGTCATAAACTCTACGAAGGTTATGATTATATCCACTAGTTAGACTATTCGAGCGAATGGATCGCTATACAGACTACGAGAATAGGTGCGGGGTTCCGAAATATAACTTGATACCATATGTAACAATATGCCTTTTTGTCTTTATCATCCGTAAAATTTCCGTTTATGGGAACCCTTCGCTTTGCATTTCCCCGTATTAAGATCAATCTGGTTCTAGATCTTTCATCTTCCAACCCAAGTCTATTCTAAGAAAGTGAGAGAAAATCTGGGAACAAGACTATAGACTATAGGGAAATCATAGTCTCGTAACGGGAAATCACGCGCATATCGATTCTCCTAATACAACACAATAAAATGTGTTAAAATTGTTGCAAAGTTTTGTGCTAATGATCGGCCGGCTGGTCCCAAAGAGAACAGAATTGGCGACCGTCGAAAACAGATTCTATTATATGGTCCCTGAGGCCAGATATTATATTAAGTGCGCTGGCGAAAAATTAAACTTCGCTAGCCTTCTTCACTGCAACTAATTCTGCTATGAAATTCCTGATAACCTAGCGAGACATGTTATTAATCTAAGTCAAGACAATTAGGAGCCGCTGACATGATGCTGTAATATAAAAATTTATATATTCATTATTCAAGAATCAAAATCTTGGATATAGACAGGTATCAGAAGCGGGCAATACTGATATTGTAAACCGGGTTCAAGTCCCCTAGTCCCTGCAGTAGGTTCTAATATAGGCTAGTGCATTAAACAATATGTTATTAACTGGGAACTTTTTAATTAAGTATACAAAAACCAAACGTTTGCGTATGGGTGATATAATTTTGGTCAATAGAAAAATTCCAAAAGTATAGGATGTAAAGTTCTACCGGCCATATTAAACCCGCCAGCGATCATTAAATATCCAACAACTGATTTTGCACACGGGTTCTCGCAAAGTTCAAAGGGAGCCCCGGGTCGTGTGTGCATTTGAAAGGCGTCCTCATATTATCTTTCATTCTTCTATCGTCTCTTCCCGCTCCAAATTATAAATATCCAATGAAGATTTCCCACCAAGGAAGGTAAACGCGATTGTACCGACAGTCACACTAACGGCAGCTTTGAGATAAAGTTAGCTCAATACATAACCGCTATCAAACAATTGCAATGAGGTTTAAATCAACTTACCTAGGACCATATTCATACGATAATACCCAATACTTTCTGTCAGAGTACCCGACAAAAGTGGGCCTACGACCAGACCCGTTGCAAAACTCAGACCGGAAAGCGAGTAAGTACGTGAATACCCTCCATTCGGCCCGAAAATACCAGGTTGCTTGGCTTCAAGAGCATCCACCACAGCTATATTCGTAAACTCTTAGCTCAATTCAATTCCCACTACCGCGGGTAAATCCCAAAATTTACTTACCAGTAAGCTCCATAGTCCCAACACTACTTAACAAATTCGTTATAAACCCTATGGTGATGACCGTCGCAATATAAGTCGCCTTCGCAGATTGCTCGTCTTTAGCCCACGGAAACTGTTGTTGATCTGCTGCTCCAAGTAGCCATAATAACGGAGCCAATGACAGATACCCGATTGTAGCGGGGGCTTTTGTTCCAACTTTGTCTCGAAACCAACCACAAAGAGGACCAGCTATTATTGTCGGCCCTTCTAGTCCGACAAATAGTAGACCTGTGGGTAAACTCCCCCAGCCGAAGGAGAATTTAACGTGTGTGGGGATAGTGGTGCTGAAGCTGGCGAGCATGGTGGAGTAGGTGATTGAACATAGCAAGGCGGTTAGGACTCTTCTTTGGCTGAATATGATCTTGTAGAAGGAAAGTGTAGAGATTTTCGACGATTGTGCTGGAGGTTCGTTATTCTTCACGGAATCGTATGATTGTGTCGAGGCGCCAGGGATTAAAGCGGAATTCTCGTTCGTTTCTTCTGGTGCTGGTTCCTGAGGACTGCTCGGGTTTGTCTTAACCTTCCGCTGTTCTATCATCAACAATCTCATCACGATATCGACGACGAGAAGTAACAGCGCGCTACCCCACGTGATCCAATAGCCGGTTAACTCGAGCAGAAGACCGGCGACAGCTGGCCCTGAAAGCGCACCAAGGCTAACAAAACCTTGAATCAACCCGGCAGCCTTCCCCATGTTACTTCCATGGATTGAATCTCGAAGTGTAGCAAATCCAACAATCCATGCTGCTGTTCCACCAACTCCTTGGATAATTCTACCAAGGAAAACGCCCCATACTTCCCACGCGTTAATGCATATTAGCCATGACTTTATCATATATCAAAGGGAACGGGTAACAGGTGACTACATACACTTTGTAGACAGAGCCAAAGTTAAGGTTCCTACGAACGCAACTGCTAAAGCTATTATTAGAGGAGTTTGTCGAGAACTAGCTCGATCCGCTAGCTCCCCGATGAGCATGCTAGAAACCATAGCTATAGCTCCGTAGATAGTTAAGAGCTGGTAGGTGACGCGCTGGATGTCTCCGGGGGGGACATGATTACGGTCCTGGAGGATTTCTGGGAGAATAGGAACGATGAATCCATAAAGAAAGGTTTCTAGAAAGACGGTCGTGAGTCAATAAAACTTTTTGAAAATACTTCTAGAATTGTCCCTTGCTTAAGCAGAAAAACGTGGATACTTACCTGTGAACAGAGCGATAGCGATACAACTGATAATGAACGGAGTTGAAGACCGCCACTTATAACCAATCGGTTTTCTATCACTACTTCTGAACAACATTGCGACCGGTGATTTTTTGAGGTATGGAAAAAATATCAGAATAAGATTCCTGTTGTTGCTGGCCGAAGTATGGATAATATATGAATCACCAAAACAATAGCGGAAACTAGCAGCCTAGGGATCAGCAGGGTTCACAAGCTAGTGTGCCGCAATGCAGGGGTGTACTTAATCGGGGACTAATACGCAATTACCAGCCCGTACATTGTCGTCAAAATACAAGATCTAGACGAATCGCCCATTCCTGGGTTCATGAACTAGTACGGATTCAAACAGTGCAGCGGTGTAAGCGGGTACATTTGATGAAAATCACTTTCCCAACACATATGCATGCATACCTGCTTCTCTGGAGTAGTGTTTTCGGTAGCCTCGAGACCAGGCGCAGTGTTTTCGGATACCATTCCAAAGTGTGTCATTCTACTAAGGGGTAATCCGAATTATGGTTAAAAATTGCAATTGCTAATGCCGCTTAAATCAAAGATAGGATGCTTTCGAGGGATTTGTGTTAGGACTGCGGAAACAACGATCCCTTACGTTCCCGGCACGCGGGGCTTCGGTATTGATATGCATTGTGGGACAGGTGTGAAAGTGACCTGTAGCCCATGCACGAGCCTACGTTGCACACTTCCACGTCAGAATTGCCTAATCTGCATATAAACGAGCATGGAAACCTTCAATAGTGTTACTTCACTAGGACTCCTTACTGAATTACAATACGCCTAAGTGAAGTCAATATATTGTAGATATGCACGTGATTATATGCACTATTATTTACGGAGAACATCCCGTTGCACATTATTTAAAATCCATCTGAGGGGAGACTAGAAAAGCGAGGTGAATATTTACATGTAGTAAAAATATAGAATTATAGTTCAGCCCCGAGGGGAATAACAGGGTATAGTATTATATGTTATTAATCATCATCTTCATCTTCTTCCTCATCCCCACTATCAACCTCCTCCCCTAGGACGATTCCACTCTTTTCAAACTCATCATCCGCCGTGTCAATATTGATTCTTGTCTGTTCATGTGGCCTAAGCCACCTCGGGTCCGTCCAAGGATAATAAACAGCATGTATATTGAACAACCTCCCCCACTCACAATTCTGATTTCTTCGGACGCGGAACCCACTAGCCCACGAAAACTTCTTCCACTTAGTTGCTTCCCTATCCACCCATTTTCCATCTGTTATTGAATGCCAGAAGTCTATTGTTGTATTATGAATTTCGAGTTCCTTCCAGAGAGACTTTTGGAGGCTGTAGGCGACTGCTCCGCGGTAGACTACTCTATCCTGGTTAAGTTCGACTAGTGCCAACGTTTCTGGATTCATCCAGTTTCCTGAAAAAGTGATGTTGGGGAGCTCGTAAGCGACGATGGAGTCGTGGAGTCCCGAGAGAGCTAAATCTAGGCTTTGTAGTCGTGTGGCTCGTTTCTTTTGCAAATACTTCAATAACTTGAAAAAATAACTGGGCCGATTCGTTTCCGTTACGCATCCCTCAATCTTGAGCTCCTCGATGACATCCGTATTTCTCAACATAGTCTTCATATCCTTGAGTGTCAAGCAAACGTGCACCAATTCCAAGGTTTTTAACTTCGGTAAGTCGAAATTTTTGGGTAAAAACCGCCCTTCTGCGTCCGGTTTGGGTCGAGTAGGGGTTTGACTTCTGAACCCAGCTACAGCTAATTCTTCAAGATTGGAGCCGATAACGTTCACCCAACTCCAAAATGCGAATGTAACATCCGGACGTTCGTTTTGCACTGATGTTGAGACCTCTAATGATCTTAGATTCTTGAAAGTGTTTTCGTAAGATATGAGCTGGGATTCTCGAAGGTTGAAGGTGGACATTGCTAGTCCGCACCGGGGGGATTTAATAACTTCTATCGAATGCCGTTTTGCAGCGATAATGGCGTCCATAACTGGCTTCCAATGATCAATAACATTCGATGAACGAAATGTGATATCAAATTCAACGGTTTCGAGATAATCCATCTTTTTAAAAATCCCGGTAAGCAAAGGTTTGACCTTCGGATCTTTAACCTCATTGTATGATTCAACTTGGCGGATGGTCATATGTCTGAGATACTGTTTCAATTCGTCACAAGCACCCTTGAGAAGATTGAAGAGATTTTGGAGCTGAGCGGCTCGAAGGGTTAGACGCAGTTCACCGAAGGCTTGAGACCAGTAGAGATGCTTGAAACGTGCATCATGAGATTTGGAAAGTAGCCGGACTTTATTAATTTCTTGCAGAGTTAGGGTGGATAGTATCATGTCCACTAGTTCCTGGGGTAGGGAGGCTAGGGATGACATCGTGGATGTTGAATGTGCAAGTAAGTAGTTCTGGAAGGTCTTAAGGACGATTTAGGATGGTGGGTTGATATTGTTGTATTTTGGGAGGCTTCTTCCGGGCACAATTTGGAGAGGAAGCCAGAAGTACTCCAATGCGTTGATACAATTTGCGAAAATAAAAGTAAAAAAAGTCACCAAGGAAGCTAAGCTATTAAATCTTGGTTTTCAAAGGCCTGGGAATATCCCTCCAGGCCAGACAAGTTCGCGTCTGTCCTTTATGTAATGGAGACTTCCAAGCGGGCCCAGCAAAAAGCCTGGTGCCCCTGAACGTTGAATCAGCGCGACACCCTAATTTGCGGCACAGTTTTTAAGTTCATGACTCAACAACGTGTAAAACGCCTCTGAGCGAGGTCGAATATGCATATATGACGACAGGAAGTCAGATGAGCACGCGCTCGATGACTCTGAAGCTGGGATATTAAATTACTTACACGTTATAAAGTAACAAATCTTCGTATCATGATCGTGATATCGTTAGGTGGCCACTGTCCCCGAGTCTTATTGTGTACTGCATGTTTGCAACGTGCAATTCTGGGATATCACCTCGCTAACGTTATACTTTGTAGCCGGGGCTCCACTTACTTCATCGCAGCAAGTGAATCAATGCAATGGCAGTTACATAATATTGAATCTGATCACATTCCATTTATATTATCTTCACTTTAAAAGTACAGTAACATCGAAAGCATTATACATCAGATGGGCCAGAGAGAGATATAGAGAGGGAGACAAGAGGATTAATTTAGAAGAGCAGAGTGTATCCCACCAGCACTGTCACAGTGAAAATATAAGTAAAGGAAGAAAAGGAAAAAGTGTACCTCCATGTTGCCAATCGGATTTTTCAACAGTTTTTCTAAAAAGCGAACCCCCCGGGTAAAAAACAAAATATAATCCAGTAATAAAAAGAGACCCAAACATCTAATAAGGCGATCCGTTGAGAAGAGTTAAAAAAGAAGGAAATGATCATGTGATATACCGAAAGAAGAAAGGAGTTCTGTAGCCAGTTTATACAAAACCGTGTGCAAATATGCATGTCTTTTGGTATGTTGAATAGAAGGATCAGTTCCATTCTATACAAGTATTTAGACGGGAATTGCTGATTTATTTCTTCTCGGCTTCCTCCTTTTTTCCTTCTTCGGTACCTTCATGCCTTTCCGTAGCATCCGCTAGATCTTCGTTGGACTTAGCAGCTTCGGCAGCTTCAGCTCCGCTTCCCTCCTCCTTAGCTTTCTGCTCAGGCTTCTCATCGATATCCTGATCAAGTCTTTTGCTAACTCTTCCACCACCGCTCTCCTCGCTCTGGGTATTCTCTTCCTCGATCAACTCCTGTTGTTCCTTCAGCACCTCCAATCTCTGCTTGTTGGTTGCGGCACCTTCTCCACTCATCAAATCCAATTCAACTTCGTGGTAAAGTTCCTCAGGAATACCGCTTAGAACAGCAGTAAGTGCGTCATAATGGCTTTCAATCTCATCGCCTTTACCCTCGGCGTAGACATAGGCGTTTGAAAGGACCAAAAGAGCTGATGGAATACCGTGCTTCAGCCTCAAGTCCAACCAGGTCTGCAAATCCTCTCTTAACCTCGAGGGGCTAACACCGTGTGTTCTCATACCACGGCTCGCGCAGGCTGTTTGTAACTCTGGAACGCTGAGGCTGTTCACACCTTCGACAAAGATGGCTCTATCGTCGCGTTTAATCTGTCTCATACGATGACGAATTGTGTAACGAAGCATCATGTCGGTTCCGAAGGCGTTGAGGTTCATATACCTACACATCGCCACTAGCTGCGGACGGCTCAAGTTGTCAAGAGTTAAATCGTCCTTGAAGGTCTTGCAGACGTTGATAACGTCTTGATGGGTTGGTTTCTCGCCGCTGCTCTTCAACTTTCTAAAGAATTCGGTGAATTCTTCGGTTCCCCTTGTGGCTAGAGAGAGAGGGAGACCGGATTCCTGTAGAGTTGTACGAAGGAAATCGGAAACATCTTTACGTGTTGCCCGGAGGATTTTGTTCTTTCTTTCCTTATCCTTTTCGCCTTCATAGGTCGAAGGAAGCATATTCGGGAAGAGTTTGATCGCAACGGGGAGGAGAAGTTCGGCGAAAGGAACAATGACGAAGACCGAGAAGGGAACCAATCGGGCGATATCTTGAACCGTTCGTTGCAACTGTCGGTGCTCTCGTCTTGAAAGTTCGTACCCTGCAGCCATTTTCACGACTAGCTTTGTAGAAATTTTGATTTCAGTACCCAATAGCTTTGTTCCATCCCAATAGTGATTCGCCTCCTTCTTCACCTTCTGCCACAACGTGAGTTTTTCGCCCTCTTTTTTCTTTTCCTTTTCAGCATCCTTCTTCTCATCTTTCGCAGATATACCTTCAGTCTTCGATTCAACGGTTACCGGGACTTGCGAGTTCCCATTAGGCGATACTACGTCAGATTCCTTAGCTAGAGACTTGGTCGATTGTGAAGCGGATGCCTGGGAAGTCTTTGCAGGTGCCTTATCGCGAGGAAGTGGCTTCTGGGCTTGTTTGGCATTAAAACCGGGAGGTGGGCCGGAGGGGATAGAGCCATGAGGTGATGTCTCAGTGGAAAGGAGACGATTATGTGGGACCGAGATTGCGATCGCTCGGAGGTAATGTGGGTTCCGTTGGATTGTTCGACGGAGTAAATGTGCTATTTCAAGATAAAAATTTAGTATCAATTATTCTAATATCGCAATTGAATAGCGGGAGATATAGGATATTAACGTTTTCAGCTTACCATTGGTCGTAAGGAGAGACCTCTGGGTGAGAACCAGTCTCGCGGAGAGATGGGACGACATGGCTAATTCGATTTTTTTGTTTTAAAAAAAATCCGACGACTGTTTCGATACCCTACTACTAAAGCCCAAGAATCGGATGAGCGAAACCGGGAAAGTGTCGGTACGTCGGCGGAGGTCGGCAGAGATGGTGATGGGTTGGATCTGGGTCTGATGGGAAAGGGAGTGACGCAAATTTGGTATTTCGCTAGCGCAGGGAAGCTGTTGAGCTGTTCAGCTTGGAAAGTTTTCCGGACAAACGCCGATGATTAATCGAGATGCAGAAAATGCAATAACGAGATGTTTCGACAGAAATACTAAAGTTGAAGTCTGGTGATGATAGATATCAAGAGGGAGTGTTTTGAAGTCTTGGGCGAAAGGGTGAAATTGGAAAAAGGGAGAGATGGAAGTGAGAAGGATGTCGGAGAGAGGTTAGAGAGGAATTACTTAATCCGATCGGATATAAAATCTTATATCCGACTTTAAATTAGGAATAAGAAATATTTGGCTGTACGTTCTTGGAACCTTTCGAAACCGCTTTCTCAATCAAAATTTTTTAAATTTCAATTTCAAGGTTTAATTTTGGATTCTTCTGAATTCAATCGACAGGAGGGATTCCAGACCGGCGAAAAGCATACCATTTATGATACTACCTGGATCCGTCTACAACGTTAACATGCACCCGTTTCTGGTCATAGTAACTTCTTAGTAAGGAACTATCTGCTGGCAAGAACGCTACCTAGAATTCGAATACATATACTTTTTACTTTGCTTACCCACAGATCTTAGTACTAGCCTTGTCTGCCAACGTGTCGGAAGTCTGCGGGATTCGATATTTTCGTTCGCCACCGATGGCAGTACATATGCCAAAGATCTGTTGGGCGTGAAAATGCAGAGTAGATGGTGCATGTAAGTTCTATCATATCGAGACTAGCGTGACCATGTCCCAACATCTGCGGCTACCATTGGAGACAAAATAACCTCCAATTCGTACAAGTTACAGATATTATCTTTCTAGTGTGCTGTCCGTATCTGATTCACCGACGGTGCTATACTAGTCCTTAACTTCAAGCAGCAATGCAATTCTGGTCCATGCAAAATTTAAAAGCGGGGTATACAGATCTCACTACCAGAATCAAGTATGAAAAGTATTTTGATATCAAAATCCCATTGATCGATGTGAACGGTAATACATGTCTGTCTGTCTGTCTGTCTGTCTGTCTATCTGCATGCAGAAGTAACGTATAACGTGCAGAATTGGTATGCGCTGGAAGGCAGCATGCACCGCTGACGACACCCGGTTTCTTCTCTGAACAATCTCATTGGCCCTCTTTGAATTTGTTCTTTCAACGTTCTAGAAGGGCTTGTTTATCGATAAGATATACTGTATCTCCCGACGAACCTAAACTCCCAGTAGTTTATGGTTTTTGAATGGTGGTTTTTGAAGTCAGTCGGACTCGAATGGGACCCTTGACTTCCGATGGCCCCGTCGAACCAATAACTTCCCCTTTTTGAAGTATCTGCAATACTCCCGCGTCTCTAAGTCGGTAGACTATTTCCCTTGTAGGATCCATATAGTCTCTCCAAGTCCCGCTGTCGATTTTCCCGTCTTTCTCTAGTGTCCTTGGGACCTCAGACGGACAGAGAGTACTTTCGGGGTTCTTGTCATATCTCGTCCGGACCAGCTCTATGAGTCTCTCTTCCAATAACTCCGTAGCCATGCTCACAAAAACTTCAAATCCAGCCTAGCCAATGTAAACTCCGATAAAAGTGAACTTCCTCAAGTCGTAATCTTCCAGAATGAATTACGAATAATAGCCGGTTCAACCCGGCCAATAAGAGATCGATTGTGCCTGCATCGCAGCCAGGATCGGAGGGGTTTAATGTTCATGTTCACACGCTAAAAACCCCATCAAACAGTCTCTCGTGATGCCGAATCTCTTCCCTTTAGCCCTTCCCCCACCCTTCTTCCCCGTAATTCATTCTCAACCCTCAAAAAAAAAGTCATGGCGAAGAGACATAAAATCCGACGGCGATAGCCTTAAAACCCTTTCTTATGCAGATTATCCCGGGCCTTTTTTTTAAAATTTAATCTAATTTTTCAGCTATTAGTTTGTCTTTAAGCTTTAAGCTCATCCCTCGCTTCGCCGACTTCGCCAAGCCACCCGCCAAATCCAACATATTTAACTCCACCTCGAAGTCAAAAACTCAATCCGCGCGGGGCTCTATAACTTCAAAATGAGGCCTCTCTCCCGTGCCGCCCGAATCATTATGGTCGGTGCCCCCGGCGCTGGCAAAGGCACTCAAGCAGCTCGTCTCCTCAAGGCCTTCCCAAGCCTCAAGGCCCTCTCCAGTGGCGACCTTCTCCGCGACAATGTCGCCCGAAGCACCGAGATCGGTATGCCCCGCCGCCTCTCTCCACCAGTTTAATATTACGAAAACTAACGCCGAGTATCAAAAGGTCAACGAGCAGCAACATACATGTCCTCCGGCTCTTTAGTCCCAGACACCCTCATGTCTCGACTAATCCTTGCTTCCTTGCCACCCGCCGAACAATCTTACATTCTAGATGGATTCCCACGAACCCGTCCTCAAGCCGAGTCGTTAACGGAAGCCGGAGTCGATGTAAACTTTGTTGTCAACCTCGATGTTCCGCATTCTGTTATCTTGGATAGGATAGCCAATAGATGGGTTCATCCCGGTAGCGGACGGGTTTATAATTTGACTTATTCGCCACCGAAGGTAGAGGGAATTGATGATATTACTGGCGAGAAGTTGGTGAGGAGGGTTGATGATGATCCAGTTGGTTTCCTCAATCCTATTTTAGTATTTTAGTCATACATACTAATTACACATCTACTCGCTTTAGGATACGTTCAAGGTACGACTAGAAAAGTATGAAGAGAAAACGGGACCATTGCTGGACCTGTACAAAGAAAAGGGCGTAGTATGGACTGTTAGTGGGAAGACCAGTGATGAAATTACACCGAAGCTGTTAGAGGAAGTTGCTAGACGGTTTGGATAAATACACTTGGTCGGACTATACAGTAGATGGAGTTTTGATGGAAGGGGGTTCCAACATTGTATATATATATACTAGGTACATTATCACTATAGCTTTGGTTGATCTCTTGACATACATACGAGCGTTTTAATGCATTACTAAGCAAATATGATCAGGACCGGTGTACCCGATCCATTTCGAAAATCAGATACTTAGCCCCCAGGAGGCGGGGTGGATAAGATGAATACTATATTTACTTGCACCGCTCGATTCATAGCGTATGTATATATATATGCTACCGACTTGGTAAGTGGATTAGTTTGTAGGATTCCCTTACTTGTTTCGTTTATAAATAGATCGTTTGTAATATAATAGTTACTAGTCAAAGCGTCGCGTGTGACAGTTGGGAAAAGCTGGCTTCAATAGGATGATATGAAGCAAAGTTCTGAATTGTCTCAAAGATTTAAAAACGAAGGAGAGAATATCAAAGTTAATAGGGAGCAAAACTTAACTAACCGCCAATATAAGTAGTGGAATATGTACATGTACAATACTATAATAAGATGAAGTAAGATACGACGGGAGACCCTATGGCGCTGAAGCGTACCCAAGCGCAAACCCAAACCAAAAACACCAAGCGCCCTAGTCACACCCCTTAAAGATTATATACAGCAATCCTCACATATCATAGCACTGCTCTGTATCCTCAACTGGTACCGCCAAATCATCTCGAGTTGGTAAAAATCAATCCCTCCAGGTACTCTTGAAATGATGAGCCATAAACGCCGTCTCATCCTCCCCGGCATTACTATGCCCAACACCCGGACTCCACCTATTCACTGGCAAGAACAGCACATCACCAAACACCTTCCCTTCCTTAATACCTGAAAACTCTTCAAGTTTTACCTTCCTTCCCATAATATCATTTACATATTCCAAAATCGTCTGTGTGTATCGAAATGGTCCCGTCGTATCAAGAATCTGCTTATCCTTGTATTTAAGCGCGCTAATAGATTTTGTATCTGTCTTTTCGATGTCGGATCTGACGGCTTCTTGGATAGAAGTAATCATTCTCCGTAGTATTTCGTGACCAGGTTTTGCGTAGATTGTCCATTGGAGAAATTGGATTCGCTGGGAGAAACCGGCTTCTGAGAGCCATTCATCTGGGTATTGCGATTTATCCAGAATATCCAATTCCATCCCGACAACGATATTGACATCAGGCTTCTTCACGTCTGGCAAATTTCCTATTGCTTGACAGACCCAATTTTCAATAGGACGTTTGCATTCGGTATCGATATCGGAATACAATCCTCCAGATTTATATGCGATTAAGTAGCGTAATAAATCTGCCGCCAAAATTCTTTGTGGGAAGTTTTTGTATAAGTGGACGATATAAGGATCCGTAGAATTGAAGTTTTGGATAACGTATTGTAAAGCGGTTTTGTCGGTTAATAGTTCGTATTCATGGTCTGGATTCAAGGCATGCCATGTTTGTCGACGTTCGAAGGTTTCTGCGTCGGGTAACATAATGGTTTTCCAGGTCTGCCAGATCTTTTTTGGAAATTGGGTTTTAGATAGTTCTTTAGCGAGAGAAAGTAATTGTCGTCGGGATTTTTTGGTCGCCGGAGAAATTATAGATGGTGTGAAATCCGGATCAAGAGGTGCCTGAGGAAGATGACGGGTATGCGAAGTTGATACTCCAGATGGAAGGAATGAACGGCTATGAATAGTTCGGAGCAGCGGGAGATGCCAGATAAAAACGAAAAAGAGAACAACGTTGAGGAAACCGATTATTGCATGACGGCGGGGAATACGGATGCATGAGAGCCAGCCAGTTGAGGGAGCAGATGGTGTAGGAGATTTTTGGGTTGCATCTTTGTCCGTGACATAGGGACTTCGATAAATGGGATTGCTATAAATCCCACGAAAGATGTCGCGACGAAGGTCAGCCATTCTGGATTGAAGTTAGAATGGAGACTTCTAAGGTCTATAGTAGCTCTAGAATTTTTTTGATATAGCAGCGACTGCCACCACCAAAATAAGCTGCCTAGCTTTGTGTGTATAGTAGAAAATAAATATGAAAAGTACCCTGCGACGAGGGCGCGAGGTTAACTTAGAGGGATCTCGAAGTTTGATAAAGTATGGAACTAGTGGCACTGCTATGATAAAGTGTACAACTATATACCAAGCAAATACTACGTCTTAGGCGACCTTGGTTTTAGTCTAAAGTCGCATTGACATTTTCGATTCAATTTATTCTTTTTTTCATGTGCAAAAGAGTTAGACCTTCAAGATTCGGGCTGAACTATCTTCTCGAAGGCCGGAAAGGTCCTCGGAACGAAGTAATCGATCATCCGCCGAACCGTTTCAGAATAGATGCATGAAATAAACAATATACCTTTCTCAAGTTCTAGATATGGCTCACGGGACACTTTTGAGCTTTCAGGATTGAATAATTCTGGTATGCACCCAATCTGTCCACCTAAAATGACTCGACCATAGTCGGCAAGTTGAATATATGCTAGGTAGATGTGGAGTCTTTTCTTTTCTTCCAACGGCCCGGACTCCAGTGGAGGGTCAAACTAAATCGAATTCCCCCCCAAAATTGAATTCTTAAATCAAATTACAGAATAGCGATTTCACAATCTTGATCTATCCTAAAGAACACTGTCCTTCTCGGCGTCCATCTTTGGAAAACTAACCAGATGTGCACATAGGCGCCAAACCCCAGCTACTGGTGCACCACACGTACCACGGTGGAAAATGTGTTACTTCACACCATTCTGCAACAAGACCACAGAACGGGAAGTTCCTACGCCCACAAAGCTTGTTTATCCGACACTAATGCTGTAGTATTTCGCCGAGATTTGCCAGTGCACCCACCTATACTTCGCTTTGGATATAAAGGACCGGGTTATACTGACAAAGCCGCGTAACACTTCCTGTGCCAAGCGTTAGAATGGCAACGGGATTTTGTAAAGAGTGGATACACTTGGTATTGCGAATGTACGGGATGAGAGTATGAAGGGCGTGATGCCGAGGGAGGTCCATCTTTTCTTGTTCCTGGATTGACAAGATGCTAGATGACTAAACCGTGGGTCTCAATAGGGACAGATTTTTATATCGGATGGTGGTCCACTGGTCGGCTAAAAAATTCGGAGCGATACCTAATACAACAAATTTGAACTAAACTTTTGAGATCCCCATTTTGGGGGAAACTAATGTGGTAAATGCATAGGCATTAGCTTATACTTTAATTATTTTCTGATAACTGTATCGGATTGCTAATTAAAATTAGCTAATAGCAGCTTGGAAGTTTACAGTTTAAAGTCAAGCTCAGTAGGTCGAGGCGCTGGCTGGAGGACTTCGAGGTTTCGCAGCCAACACAAAATTGTCCTGCCACAAGTGCCGAAATATCACAAACCGAGATATCGATATATATATATCTCCTCGTAAGTTCTTGACGTCCCGTCTGGCCGTCGACTCGAAGTTCCAGTGAATACGACAATTCCGCCTTGGCAAGATGCTGCAAAAGAAACAGTTCTCCTTTCTAGAATAATGCCTCTTCAAATCGAATCTACTCAATATTCGGACGAAGATAGCGATACTCTAACTACCACACCCCAATCGATCCAACACTTTTTTTGTGTCAAGAACGGTCACACATGGCGCCATAACAACCCAGGCCTTGACCCCAGTCCTGGCCTGTCCATCATCTGATGTCGTACAAGGCCCCTTGTTCAGAGAAATCCCCGAACAACTACACCAACATTTTCTTCGAACGTTTTCCAGGTTTTGCAAACATCCTTACTTTCTACCTTACTTGGTGGCTTATCAGTGCCTGGTAGCTGGTAGAAGCACAGAGCTCTCGGGCAGGATTAGGCTATATATATAGTCCGTACAGGAAGTTTGGAGAAATTCATGGGTATCAATCGACGAATGTATATTGGCACCATCTATAGGCTACTGTTGGATGCAGTCAAATATTAACTTATATGTTAATGAGTATATGTATAAACATGCACTTCTAAACGAGGTACATTATTTGGAGTATCAAGGGGGTTTTTAGAGGCCTTTCGGTCAAGTTGATACTGTTATTCGATCGATTTTTGCTTCCTCTTTTGGGATTGCAAGGTTAATAGTATACACACCAAGCAGCCGTTGAAGACACAGACAAATCGATTATGTGAAGTATTTACCCCATTTCTGGTAAAATAACTCTTCTCAATTAGGCCATGACGAGATAAGTTGAGGGAGCCATTCTATATTTCGGGATATAGAATCTCTTAAGAGTATGGTTATTATAAGTGGGCATTGGAGGCAAATCACTATAACTATGAAGTACCTAGGAAGGAGTCAGCCCATCGGCAATTGGCAAATTAATAAAAGTATTATTGGTCTGAGTATTTTACGCTCTATTGACTCGTGGCATGACTACGCACGGCAAGGATCTGAGGAGGTCAATGCGATACATTCTAGGGAAGAAAGAGGCTGATACGAAAACATTTACAGAAGAATCTCTCTCGGCCGTATAGATCTTTATGTGCATCAATATACATCTCGGTTGGAAATTTTCCACTTTTTGGGCCGGGGTGGTGTCTCCTCAATTATGCATATGACATGGCTATAGTCAGTGTATAGGGATAGCGCCATTACAGGACATATTTCCCCCCCACCAAATACCCAAGCACCTGGGAACCGAACATGATCAAGTAAGAATATGAGTGCGCCTTTGCTGTATGTTTTGGCAGTCTAGTTGTCTCTACTCAGCGTTTCAGAGTTGCATGCGAGAGGGGTCCTGGTAAAATCAAGCGAATTCATAGCAGTCACGATATATAGGGAGGTTGCTACGATTTTGTAAGGCAGTGACCTCTAGACAGAGAACTCTCCTCTTAAATGGTTCAAAAACTTGGCTTGTGGCTGCCACCCGTTGTTCATGACCAGGGGCGACCATTGGATAGAAAAAGATCAGATGAGAGCCGCCACCCAACACAACTTTTGCGATATGCAACATTGCAATAGATGCAGCATAAGACTGCAAGGAATCAAATCAAGGATGGCTCCTAGGTCTTTAGGTGGCCTGTGCCATGCATGAAAGGGCAAACAAACTGGGGTAATTGAGGGTATAGACTCAGTCAAGGCATATTTCAACTTCAAAGATAGCAACAAAATTTAAAAATATTTAAACGGGCTTTCGTGTTCGATTAGCCTGAGTTATAAGGAGCTTCGGACATGGTTATTGGATCACCCTGATATCGATGTATTCAGTTGCAAAGGGAAAGTGATTTACGGGGTATTAGTTTTCTGCTCCACGTTTGAACAAGGTATATGAACGTAAATAGAACATGGACTATTAGACACTACTTGCATGCCCACCTATCCAAAAAGTGCGGTAAACGAGAGCAAATCCAAGAACCAGAAGTATCTCATAATGTTTGTAAGGGTCGGCAGGTGGCCTTTCACAATATCTCCATCATCATTTACACGGTTTAAGATATTAAAATATTGGCTAAATCGTGGTAGTTGTAAATTGGGTTTGGGTGGCACCATGAAATTTGTATCCTGATTTACTTTGTAGTCGCTGTAGAAACAGCACGAGTCATGGAGGAAAAAATCTGCGAACGAGACCAAGTTATCCTAACTTCGTTATTCCGAAGCAGAGGTTTCAGCGTGCATTTATTGAGCCCATCGGCATTTACCGCACACTTGTGGGAAAATCGTGGCAACATGGTGGTCGAACTCTCAAAAAAAGCCAGGGATGAACGCCACTCAACGTTGGTATTCTTTTAGGCCAGGGGTAACACGTCAAAGCATGATAATTAAAACTTTATAGGTGGACACATAGAATGGAATGTTGGTGGTTTCTCGTTTCTAGAAGTAGAATCGGTATGAAGGTGACAGGAGAAATCGTTTTTGGAGGGTGCGGAGTCTCGGTACGTTCTGGTAGAAATCAGTAGCTGTTGGTATCAATTGATATCTAATCCATTGGACAGAGGTACTGCCATGCTGTGGTTTCGAGGCTGTGCTATTTTAAATTAGCACATCAATATTGGTCAAAACTACCCCAAGTTGGAATCTTTAAACCCGATAGAGTCGATACGTACTGAATTATAATGTATATCCTTCTGTTGAACTCGGCTTCATTAACACGGGTTATATTTTAGAACTCACGGACGCCTTAAAAGACTTCTAAACTTGGAAGACTTAGTACTATAGTCCTGTTGACAATAATCATATTAATGATGTGAGACAATGGACCCTGAAGTTGGGCGCCGTTAAGTCGTTCCTTAAATTTCGACCACTTGGATTAGATTCTGGACCCTGAGGTATGTGAGTAAGTGAGGTCTATGGTATACCCCTCGCAATCGTCGCGACTGAGGTATGCAATGTTCACCGTCCTCAACCTACTCAATTGCAACAGAGGGACAAATTCCTTAGCTCAAAAACAAATTATGTTTTATCTCGATATTGCTGAATCTAGGGCCCTAGGGCCTCATCAGTATTTTTTTAATACTTCTAAGAAGTTAGGGAGCTATATAACAGTGTAGATAGGGAGATGGCCCCGCCAACCGAGTTCTTGCATCATCAAGCACACCTTTGCAAACCAATCATTTATATTTTCCAATATTATTATCTTTTGTCTCATCCGAGTTGACCTACTGGATAACTGCGAAAATGAAGTTCCTCATCGCATGCATTACCGCTCTTTCTGCCGGGGCTTATGCTTTACCCTATGCCGCTCCTGTAGATGAGGTGCCGGTGGCCAAACCTGCGGCTTATAAAGTTTGCGATGGCGTTGGGATTCGTGGTACCTTCCCGGCTTGCTGTACGGCCGTGCACCTTGGTTTAATCTCTCTCAACTGCACACCGCGTAAGCCACACTTTGATATATACTACAAGCTAAGCTACATTGACTAACCAAATTGCTATAGTGTCGAAAAACCCAGCTAGCAAAGAGGAATTCAAAGATCACTGCGCGAAGACAGTACCCCAGTGTTGCTGGTTGGATCCCGTAAGTGGAGATGAAAATTTGAATATAATTTCAAGCTATTTCAACAAATAATTCTAACCTGCGATATTTTTTATAGAAACGTGGCACTATCAATTCAGTCTGCCAAAATCCTAGCGGGTTTTAAAGTTTATGACTGAATAAAAACGCTGTCCGCCTTAGAGTATGTTTACATAGAATCTTTCAAGAGTTCAAAAATAAGTCTGGTACATTACATCAATGAGCGCTCGCTGGTTTGACTGCTAAGCGGCATCGTTATTTCTCTGCTTTCCTTCGTGTATCTATATATTTGTCGCTAGACTAGTCAGCGGCGTCTGTTTTAATATAATATTAATCAACCTTCTAAACACTGACTTTGTCTAAGTGTGGATTCAGTTTTACCACTCGAAAGAATATGAGGTTAACATTTTACAAACTAGTAGTAACACACGGTGCACACACACAGAAACAAAACAAACCTAACTCTCCTAAACTGATTAATCAACTTTTTGAAAACCAAGTCATTTCAATCGGTTTATTTCTTGCTCGCTTTAACTGGTTGTTGAATAAGAACTCATTACCAAAATTTCGGCTTAAGTGCCTTGTGCTTGTGCTACTTCTTGGGTATATAGTTGAACCGCAGATACGGGTTTGCATGTTTTCTTGATATTAAAATTTGTTAATTCGAACCAATGCTTAATGGCAGGGGTGTCTCCCACGCATGGCTTTCAGCCGCCGAACAGGTGGGTCTATTGACAAGGGTTCGTTTTGGGGTACAGCTAATACTTCCACCTGATATACTTCTCGCTTTGATTTTTCCGGAGTTCTTTTTGTTATCCCGGACACTTTAGAACCCAACTGTCATCGCCAACTCTAAATTTTTTTATTGCGGACGCGTACCACCCTGGTGGAGCCCGTTAGGAATATTTGGTCGGCTCGGCGAGTCAGAGACCGAGAGTGGGGCTTGGACTAGAGCTGCAGAGCTAACATATTGGGCGAAAGGGAATCTCTCTCGTGTTCCACAGGTGATTATGTTAGCGCTGAGTCCCGCAGTTCTTTTCAAGAAGCCAAGAGACCAGGTGCAATGCAATGTCGGACAGGGTTTCTGGACATAAATCCGCTCTATGAACAAGAATGTGACGGAATATTCCGTCAGGTTATCCAAGGCACGGCATCGAAGAATGGTGTCTGGGGTGTTATGTGTGTCGACATATCTTGGTTCTTGGTATAATGCTTGATACTGCTTTCGAAAGCTTCTAGGGCAAGCATTTCTTTTCTCATGACCAACGCCACGATTTACGACTCGCGCACCATAGTACCTACCTTGTATACCCTTAAGGTGTAGTCACCATGCAATATTAAGTGCGCCGGTAATATTTATTTTCAGGTCTGTGAAGGTTTAAACAAAATCACTAGTGCTCTAGTTCAACTTCCTAAATTTTGTGGCTGGGATACTTCCAGAGTAGACATCAGGTTTAGGGTGGAATATACGTATCAACCTTCGATCCGGCACTAGTACGTGGAATTGGCTTCCTAATTACTTAGGTATACTTGGCCCACAAAATTTGTACGAAATCAGTATTTAGAGCCTTTCTAGTTCCTTTGAAACATCAGATGATCAGGGCTATGAACAATCGAGTCGTTTCTATGATCCCCGAGCTAGTCGTTTAAATATAGTTAAACTGAGACCAAACCTTTTTGATGATACCGGCATGGCGAACTAGTGACTAGGAGTCGACCCACTTGAACTCCTTGCATTATCTGCCACAAAGTGGAAATATACGCCATGATGTTATAAGCCTAGATATGCCGGCCGTTGATGAAAATACCATGTACAAATGCATGAACTTCCGTCCCGTGTTTTCACATCAGGCGTCCGGTCAAACCTATCTGTATTCTATGTATCATCGAACCGACGATAAAGTTCACGAGACGGAATTTATCCATACCTAAACTTAACATTCCAAAAGGAAATGACGCATGAATATTCCTTACGAAAAAGAAACTGACCACAAGGCATGTATAGTCTCATAAGATCAACCGTCGGCACCGACGGCAACTTCTATATCTCGAGCGGTGTCTATAGCTTAGGACGTCGTACTATAGGGCTGGAATACTTTATGCATCTTATCATTGTCTCGTTGCATGTACTTGGCGTCACCCGAGTTAACTACTTCCCTACTACCCCCTCTAGGGATGCTCTCGAGGCTCTATTTTCCAGATATCTTTTTCCGTCAATTGATCAACCGATCAATGAGTGGTGTCAAAAATCCTGGCTTACTAGCAGAGGGGACTCTTTTTCAGCTGAAACCTCAAGGCGGCTCTTTCAACTCCACATCCTAAACATGACGTAGGATAATGGGCTCTGTGTGCTTCCGCGTGCAACGAGACTTTCTTGGTCGATACTGTGCCCTTGGTGTCAAATGTACTTTCCAAAACTACCAAGTTAGGAGACTCCGGAAGATCTTTATCGAAACGATTTACAGTCAACCTTTTCTTCTTCTTTCGTTATATTCGGTTGATACGAGCTTTAATTTTATTAAACATCAAAAACATTTAGAACATGAGGCTAGGAAACTATAGCCACTTCTTGGCCATCATCATCTTCAAAAACGTCAATTTCCCCTTCGGCAATAAAGTCTTCGTCGCCAGTTTCAGCCTCATCAATAGTGAACTGAGCCTTATTTCCTTCTTTCCAACTCTCAGATGGAAGACTTTCTCCCAAGACTGCCCCTTTATTATACTCTCTCGTTTTCAGGATTCTTTTCTCATAGAAGATCTCTCGCACCCGGTAGGCAAACACGAAGTCGCTAGAGGAGCCAAAACTTTGATTATTGTATCCACCCGTCGAATAACCGACCTCCCCTCCCACTTCAATCGGGATACTGGCCGTTGTGGCATCAACGCCGAGAATAATATCGGCACCAATATCTTTAGAGTCAACATTCGTTGCGCTTCCGCCTCTAGCGATTTTAACGCCCGTAACCATATAGAAGTTGCTTCCTTTCCGAATACTATCAGATGAGGCCAAAGAGGTACTCGCTTTAACGTACTCCGGCGTCGGTTCGATAGAATACGTATCCATTTTAGGGATAGTATAGACGCTACCCTTGGAACGACCCCAAATTGTGTGCGCGCCTGCTGCAACAGGAAGCTGGGCGATTTTGGCCCAATAACCAATCTTGGATTGAGAATTGCGCCCAAGGTCCATAGTCCATGATTCTTTATAGGTATGATTGATATCTATATTTCCAGGAATTGGCAAAGGGGTCCCGATGACTGAGCCGGGGTCTCTCGGATCTAACCAAACGTGACCGAGACAAATGTTGGTGTCTGGCGCATAGTCGTCATTTGGAGGTCGTAAGTAAGTCTTTTTTGGCATTTTAGAACAATATGATAGAGAGACAGGATCAGTGATTTAGACAGCACTCATATTTGAGCTGCCATGTAAGCTGTAAATATAAAGCCCTTTCTTTATATATGTGGGGTCCGGTGTAGCCTTGTGTTGGCTTAAGAGTGCTATAACTTGATCCGAACTTCTACAGCCTTGTGCCATATATACGACAAATCGCCAAAAAACGATTGGATGCGTTTCAATTATGTGGCTGTGTCGATGCAGTTTGGTCGTGTTTCTTGAGGCAGTGCCATTGTATGCCAGCGCCGAATGAAACCTTAAACTTAATTAACTGCACTCGAAGTTTGGATGGTCCTGAACAGCTAATATCATATATCAGTGCATATCTTACTAGCTAGATCTAGATACTTTGTAACCATCGGTTGATCTCCATAGCGTGACCTGGGTATTTTCTCTTGTTATCGAAAAGCCCCCATGGATAAACCATCCTGCAGTCCGGTTTGTTGTCTCTGTTGACAATCGTGGACATAACTTGGAAAATCTTTCTAACACCACGATGGGACCACAGAATAGCTCTATCAGCCGCTTCTAGATTCGAATCCCCTTTCACTTTCCCTTGTTGTACCGAGAATTCTAGAATAAGGGCCGCAATACCGGCGGCTACAGGTGTTGCAAAAGAAGTCCCTGAAACGTATCGAGTGGGATTTCCATCGTTGAGATCCGATGGCCATGCTGCTTCAATCCCTTCTCCTAATGTCATAAAGTTATCATCGCCATCCGAAGCAATTGGCGAGGCATTTGATCTGACAGACTGTCCGCTAGCGGACCGAATGCTAATGACTTGACCACACATCCTTGCCGGGAATGATACTCTCAGTTCAGGAACGAGAGAAGCGGAATTAGACGCTGCGGCGAAGATTATTTTGTTCCTAATATGGGCGTTTAAAATGGCCCGGCGGATGCCATTGTCTTCACTTTCGAAACCAAGCGATAGCACAACAATGTCGACATCCCACCCGCCGGAGGATGTAGCGTACTCAATGGCCTATACTAAATTTTAGTTTTGAATAAAATATTGATAGTCGTTCAAACGAGAATAAGTTTTTGCAATACCTGTGCAACTATTCCCGGGGTCTTATCGTCAAATTCAGCAGCATCGGACACTTTTCCCACATATAAATCTACTTTTGCAACTCTTAACAAAATCTCGGAAACCGCAGTGCCATGTCCAACACGATCGCTTATACTGTATGGAGATTGGGTCCAGTCTTGGAATTTCGTAATCTTGGATCCATTTTCCCCCATAGCCTTTGTGATCATAGGGTGTGCAATATCGATTCCCGTGTCTAGAACAGCTACTTTAACTAGTCTGTCAGCTTGTCGCCTTCTGACGCTTAATATCGGATCAACAACTAGATCGTTCAGTTTTTGAAACCATAATTTAGCCGACTCAGCCCTGTAAAGAATTAGCTATGTTTAATTTTGAGAGACTCGGTTGAATTATTATAAGCTTACGTTGCTGGGGCCTCAATACTTTCCTGTGAATCGAACAAGCTTCCAATATTCTTTTTGGAGGCTTCCCCGAAAGACACTGTGGTTGTTAGTTTGGAAATAAACCAGTCTCAATTAGGGGTATGGTACAAGTAACTGACCCTTCTTTTTCCCCTGGTTAGTTTTGGAACCTTGGGACCTACGGGGGATCATAGACGGGCGGCTCGAGAGTGTTTTGGATCTCGAATCTGTAAGTGATTGCTTCTATCAGTCTCGGCGCTATCTATATAACGACACGGCGTTGTTCTGCTAGCTAGTATACCTTGACAGCTGTTCGCTGAAGATAACCCAAAGGATGTCCCCCTGTCAACTCTTCCTCGAACTACCGGATTTATCAAACCATGACCAATGTTTGAAAAGGAACTGGCCTGGTGTTGGTTCGGTATTTGGGTATCACCGTCGTCGACTATGTCTAATAGCTTCTCTTGGCTGTTAGGGAATTGCTCATTGTTAGAGGGTCGTGCTCGCTTTGGCAGCGGCTTCTTGAAAGCTGGAAGGTCCAGTAAGAGTTTTAGAACAATTTCAGTTCTGATTATTCTTCTACACGTATCTGCGGGCCTTTCAGTACTTCTAATTGCTTCGGAGCGATACTCATATCGGAAAAGGTTGCCGAAGCGGAGACAATTTCCGATGGCATCGAGGTAATTCGATTTGGTCGGATCATCATATTCCCGATGCATTTTCAGGGATTCTTTGATAGTTTCCAACCCGAAGTTATTCTTTGCGCTGAAGTGCTCGTCATTATCGAATATCGGACCGTATTCGATTTCCATCAATAGTCTCGCGATTTCCGTGTATCTTCTAGGGGTATCATAGTTGTTTGGAATAAATGACTGCGAGGTTGAGGGAGCTTGGCCTAGTAGACATGAAATATAGGGTGATTCACGGTTGCAACCCTTTTGAGAATCTGATGAGCTAAAGAACGTGACATGGTTACCATTCCAAGAGTCCATAGCTGATGCCTTTTCGGAGTCGCAAGACATCAAAAGGAAGAGGGCTAACTTCGCCGCGAGCTCTCTTCGTTCTGTATGCTTGAACAAGCAAGACCCTTTTAATTTTGACGACGGAAGGTTAAAGAACCCATCAACCATAATCATTTCTTTGAGGTTCCTGATCGGGTAAATATTGGGATTCATAGTCGGTAGGTCAGAAAGCTCAGGACTTTCAATAAATGCCGCCAGTGCCTTGTCAAAAAGAAGTAAAAGGCCTTCTTCGCGCTGTAAAGCAGATTTCACAACTTCACATAGCCTCTGAGCTTCGGTGTTTTTTGCTTGAGACTCTCTATGAAAAATTACAAAATTCATCAGCATCTAACCTAGATAAACCTTGGAGGTGCTGCCTGCCATCGTTAATTTTGCGGACTCAAAGAAGGTTTACGTACTGATCAAATCTACATTTGATATTATGCCACTGCGAAAGCTCCGGACAATACACAAATCCATCCAGGCTCCACTTAACTAAATGCAGTGAATCTGAGGGAAATAAATCCGTCTCTTTGATGCTAGGAAGTTGTATCATAATTTTATGCCCAAGAACTGGCGGGCACTTCTCAAGTTCAGTGGCAACGGTCCCAAGAACTCGGGTAACCAGAGCCCGGTACTCGCAATCAAAATATCGAATGAACTTGTCGATTAGATCGTGGTAATTTGTCATAGGCCCGGTACCTTGCTTGACCGGAAACTTTATCCTGGGTATGGTATCATCAAGAAGCTGTCTGTTACTCAAAATTTTAATTACATTTTGAGCAGCTACACGGGCCTTATTTCCTGTCTCCAACTCAGATATAACAAAAACTGAGCGTGGCATCCCGGTTGTCAATTCAAGAGCTCCCTCTGTCTGGCGCATTATCGTAATAATGTCTTCTAGTTGTGAGTATCCCCCCAGATGGATGCATATGTTTCCGCACCCCAGGCCCAAGCAGTAACTATCAGTACCTGCCGTGAATTTATTGTTCACAATGTTTTCTAGAAGCTGAAAGAGCTCTTCAAATAAGTGTACCCCCTCAGGGGGGATTGATTGGGTATTGGAATCAGAGGAGTGATAGGAATGGTCCATTGAAATGAGTTTCATAAAGTCAGCCTCGAAAAAATGACGGAAGTTGTCGAGCTGATGAGCCCCCAGTCTTTCTCTAAGGGACCCATGACGAAAATTTTGATAGGTGACTTTTTGTGGGATACGGAACCGTAGCCGATGCTCATGGAATTCTTTGAGTAAGCTCGTGAGATAGTAACTTGTAACGCCAAGCCTCATTTTACCAAGGCATCATAGACCTGATAGTCTCGGAGTTGTTATTAGAGTATGAAAAGAGTGAGCAGCTAATTTCAAAATGAAATAGAAACCAAAATTCTGTCAAATGCATTTCTAATACTAACCCCGCACCTGTTGTTTGTTGACTTGATTTACCCACATTTGATTTCGTGCACGTCACGTCCGTGCCTTAGGTATACATATATATGTGAGGTTTGCTTCCTGCATAGGCCCATGAAAATGCTTTTTTACACTTATCAACTTAGTTTCCGACATTCGTATCTCTATAGATTTATGACATAAATCGCGCAAATTCCCGAATAAAATGTTTTAAAGCAGACATGTCTCGTTAGCTCGTCGTCGTCCTTAAAATATATAAAAATTGAACCTGTTTAAGCGGGCGACTTGATGAGGCAGAAATTGCGGCCTTGATCAGGTCTCCATCAAGTTCGTAGGGTCGAAATCATCATCCCCGCCATCAGTAGGTATATATACCTCGGAAATTGTGGATTATAGAGTTATTACAGCCACTGACACGCATGTGGTAGACTAGTAGAGACTTTAGATTTATGAAAATCGATATTTGCATATAGCTGGCAATTACGCAAGTTGGCGCTTTGAAACTCCTGCTTCTATTGCTTTATCGTCAACCTGCGCCCATAGGTAGCCGCTGCCGCCACTAGCTAGCAACTACACAGAACTTCTATCTCACTTTCCAGGTCTGGGTACGAGACAAATCTCACTATAGTTCTATTCAATACAATGGCGAATATGATTGCCGGGCCTAGTGATGATTTTGAGCCCAGCGGCGACCCAGAGGAGCCTATCTTTATATTGGCCTGGGACTGTGACGACCTTCTTCAACAATGCTTGCGCGAAGCAGCAGAAAGCAGCTACATTGAAATAGAGACAATAGAAGATTATGAGCGACGATTTACAGCATGGCAGGAGTATCTTGGGGTGTTTGCGGAGAATAGAGTCAGCTTAGACCGCCGACTGTATAAACAGCCTGAGATTCAGGATGTTGTTATTCGCCTACTACTTATCTTAAAGCGAAATCTCGATCAGCGTAAGTACGAATCCGATTCTAGTTTGAATTTTACACCTCCTCTATGATCAATGCGGAAAAGTAGTGGCGCCGAAAAGCCTAATATAACGTGCGCGCAGTAACCGAGGTGCACGATGTTGCATCAGGGAATCAGGAGTCGAAAGTTCAACATTCACCTGTTCGAGACCCAGAAAACCCTTCCAATTTAATTGACGTGGATCTCAGCGTCGATGAGATTTCATCAGTCATAACCTATTCTTGTGAAGCTATTGATGAGGCTCTGGTGGAGCTCAGTCAGGTAGCAGTCGCTATCCGCCAATCGTCAAAAAATAGCGAAACAGCTCGAGCTCGAAAATATGCATCGGAAAATCTAGATTTGACTTCATTAGAAATGATCAGTGTCCTAGCACTAGAAAAGCTTTACCCTAGCGCCCCAGAGAGCCTAATCTTTCAAATAGCACAGAGCATGATAGACCGTTACGCTCGGTTGAAACTGAGAGCTTTTCGGCACGAACAACTGAAAGTAGATATCAGATCACGGCCTCAAATTCCCAAATCGTTGTCGCCAACAGTTCGGGAGCAGAGTCAAGAAGAATTTGTCACCATCGATAATACGAAGCCCGAGACTTTATTACCTCCGCAGAATCTTCCTACCCAAAACCAGAATATCTTGCCACCAAAGCATACAAAAAACCCGCAACTGGCTCCGACAATAACATCTGCGAACTGGACACAGTTCCAGGGAAATCTAGACGTTCTCCGTGGCCCAAGGTCACGATCTGGGACAACAGTTGTATTAGCCCAAAAGAACGAGCCACCAATACCACGATTTAAGAGTAATCAGGATAGGAGATGCCAATGGTGCTTTACTAAAATTGGCGACGACTATATCAAAGAGGGCCGCTGGACTATCTCCGGAAGGTATGGCTATTTCTAGTCGTAAGAGTATATTGATCTAACTAACGTTCACTCTCACGAAACTTACTGATAGGGAGCATTACTGTAAGGATCTAGAGCCGTTCTTCTGCCTTTCTGAGGAATGTGCAGGCGCGGTTCCAACATTTTCATCAATAAAAAAATGGAAAAAACATATGATTAGACACCACCCAAGCTGGCCACAGCATATCCACTGGCAACCACTCTGGAAATGCGATTTGCAAAGCTCAAATTTATTACCTGAGGGCTATCAATTGTGTCATGCTGATACTCATCTCTCTGATATCTTATTCTCAGCTCCAAACAAATTCTCTGCCCATTTCAAAACTGTTCATCGGAAGTTCTGTCTTGACGAAAACTATGCTCCCAAAGAAGGGAATAGTATCGAGGAAGGAGACAGTCTCGAGGTCAGCCGTCATGCCGCCCACAATAAGGTCCTTTTTTCAGAAGATACTATTTCTTCGATAGCAAAGGGCTCTATTGTTGAGGACTTCCCTGAGGCGAATATTTGTCCACTCTGCCGTATGAAAACTAAGGGAATGGAGAACCAGGAATATTCGTCTAGTGGGCTCTCTCCCCGAGTCTCAACCGAAATGGCAAATCATATTGCAGAGCATCTACAGAATATCATGATATTATCACTGCGGTTACTAGATAGCCAGGATACAGAATCTTGCGACTTTATGCCTCATGGAAGCATGACACTGACCGAAAGCTGCCATAGATCCCTGTCCGACTTCCATGAAGAAGGCTCAGATTCAAGTGAGCACCCGTCATCTAGATTTAGCCTCACGACTGAAAACAATCGAGAAACAGCCGAGCCTATCTTTCAAGAGCCCCCCGAATCGGTCTCACAAGATTGGTCTATGGTCACGAATGATTTATGGAGCAATTACCCTGGTCTCGATAATAATCCCGAAAATGATTTGATTCTGAGAAACATACAGTTAGGACAGAAAAAACAGCGTCTAAAAAAATCCGGAGAACTAACTGTCTATGACTACACTATCGGATGGATTGGTGAGTGGTTTGGGGGCGCAAGTCTTGTATTTGATGAATGTCATCAGGACCCACGAGGTTTACGCTTCGATTATAGCCATCGCTATAACTGTAAATTCGGCCGCATTGGAAAGCACAATGTTGTCATTGCATGTATTATGGCTGTTCTCTGGGACCCATTTGCCATATATGGGATACGAGACCTTATAGAACAGTCACAAAGTATTTTCCCAGCAATGAGATTCTGGTTTATTTTTGGTGGAATCCAGATCAGCCTCCCGATGCGAAATATTCGCTTCGGGGATATTATCGTCGGACAATTAGAAAAAACTTCCCTATCAGGGGCCCCGGCACCTCGTCGTTTCAAACGGAATATTATTGATTTTACTACCGCAGCCGCGATCGCAAACTATCCTACACTCACAATTGAAAGTATTGGTGTTAGAGGTTCACCAAACACACTACCGCCAATTGCTCGAGAAGGGATCTTAAAAACTCAAAAATTGCCACCAGCAGTTTTAGGAAGTGAGGTACTGGTGAATATGAAGGATTTCCAAGAGAAGGCGGCATTTCTCGCAGATGAATTGAAAGGCCCGACGTCGACACGCACACGCGGACACGTATCTTTGGAAAAGTTCTCCCCAGATATTAATTCAGGGTTCGATACCATCCCCAAAAATTATGGTAAATACTTCAACGATTCTGGCTTCAACGCTGCCACTTTCTTTATTGCAAGTCTAGTCCTCGGCTACTAATCGTTGACTCCTATTTTCGCACATCTCTAGAATTAGATATCGAGCCTCCTAACCGTAGCTATTTTTATGCACATTATGGATGGATAGGATATAAATACGAGGGTAAAGCCTCCGAGACTCAGCACAGTGGTTCAGAAAATGACAGGATTATTTTCACTGGATTCCAGTCAGTTAATCTAGACAGCCAATCCCCCTGTTTATATATTGGCGGATACACCGGACCTCGAGGACCGGAGCCAACTTGGCTGACAGGCGACCATGATTGGATTGCAATTATATCTTTTACAACCGCCGCATACGGCAAAGCACTTCTCAATAACATCCAACCTGCGGATAAAAGTGAATATAGACAAAGAGCCCGCAAGTATGTCGAGACTATAACAGATAGACTCAAGATATATCTACCTGACTTTGGAAACACCCTCAATTATGGCGTCAACGAAGCCGCCATCGAACAAATAATCCCTCCAAAAGTACAAGCGGCCTGTCTTGGATGGGTATATCATCTAGGAAACACTATGGACAAAATTGAAGATGGGGACTGGGTGCATAAGTTCCTCGAGGAGAACTTCTTGGTTTGGATAGGATGTGTAATCCTATTATGTGGCGCCGGCTCAAGTCTAGATATGGTAGTGTCTTTGAAGTCAATGCTTACAGTAAGTACAGATGCTGTTGAGCTTTTTTAGTTTCCAAAAATCTTGTTTACAAAGTTTCTAATACGTCCGGTCAATATAGAGAGACAAGGGTCAAAAAACATCAAAGATTTTGTCGCAGGCTGCAATGCTCCTCCGTCATTATGGGAAGAGAGGTCCATTGCAACTGTATCGATTTAATCGTAATATATGTTTCAAAGAGAGCTCAGCCAACAAAGAAGTCTTTTGCATGGCAGATGACAAGCCGTTTCCAAATTCGCCTCCAGTTTATTGGTTGCCAAGATGGGCAGTTGCGAAAGTACTTCAATATCTTTCACCGACTGAAATTATAACCGCTATTCAGAATATAAAGCCTTTTCGGACCGGTTTAGCTTTCTGGAATTCAGGAGAGATCAAATTCGATGGAGAGCAGCTTTCTTATTTGTATTCTTGGAACAACTACGCATTGTCAATCGCTGAATCCGAATCTAGCACTTTCCAAACTCCGGATGTGAGAGATCAAATCATTAAAGCCTTTGACAAACAGCTGGAGTCATTGTTGAACACAACGAGGTTTCCCTTACCCTTGACCAACTTCAACATCTGTTGGATTGAATTTCAATACGTATATCCGGGCAATAGAAATCATGAACTGGAATGGGAGGACCTTGCAGCTAAGCTTACTTCTATTCCCAAAATAATGAGGACTATTGAACAGTTTTGTGCTGAAATAGCGATTACCAGTTCGGAACCCTTTATCAAGTGTGACTTCGGAATTAAACTAAATGATGAAGTCTTTACTGCATGTCGTCTACTCCGCGAGGTTATTTCTTCTGCGGAGGAGCCAAGAAAACCCAAAAATAGAGATGAAGAGCCGGTCTACGACATACACAGAGCAGTCCATTGGATTACAGAATTTGGTACAAGAGGAATTAAATCCCTTAAGGCTATAATGGGATCTGATACAGGAGTGATTGCAAAGTATTTGGCCATTGCGAGTCATTGTGGACCAGATTTCTTGCCTAAAGTTTACAGTCGTCTCGTAGTACCAAGACGTATAAAGGCCACTACTTTTGCAACTCTGGTATTTACGTTATCAAGTGGGTTTGGGAAAGCACTAAAATTCCTCCACGACGACTTGGAAATAATAGAAACGTTAGAAAGCACTTCAGACGAAAAACTGAGACGGTGGGAGAAGTTCTGGGACGATTTTCTTGATTTTATTTTGCCGCCACAGGTATAACAAAGATAAAACATACTCAACGTTCTAGAACTTCAAACGAGGACTAATTTGTTTTAATAGAGGGTCTCAGAGGTTAAAACCGTCGACGATTTCAAAAAAGAGATCAATACATTTGTAGAATATTCCAGGCTGGGAAGGTTTTTCCCACCGAAAAGCACATTTATCAAGAATGTCGTCGACAAAGCGGTGAGCTTAGGCCAAGACCCTTCGAACTCACTCGACACCAAGGACTTAGCGAGGATAGCGTTGTACCAGCCAGTCATATGTTATGGTGAGAAAACTCAATAAGTTGATGCTCAAATGATTAACATTAACAAAAACGTATGTGTATAGACGATAGCGGATCAATGAGACAGGGCACCCGTCGGGACGACTTGAAAGATCTCGTAAAAACAATCGCTAGTGTCACTAGTAGAACAGCTCCTGATGGTGAAGGCGTCGAAATTAGGTTTATTAACCATCCTACCGCTCCCCACTATAGCAAGCCAAGCTTGGACGCAATAGACTCGATAATGGCAGAAGCGACGTGGGACGGCTGGACACCTATAGGAACTAACCTTAAAGAAAAAATACTCGAGCCACTTATCTACTCGAAACTTAGATTAAACAGTAACGTCCTCACTCGACCGGTTCTTATATGTATAATTACAGACGGATGCCCAGAAGGAGGACCAATGTCAAAAGAGACACGCGATACCTTAAGGGATAATATTGTCGAGTGTGGTAGAGTGCTTGCACAGCATGGTTATCATGTAGATGGTAAGCCACAACTATAACCCCATAGGCTACAAGACCTTCCAAAGCGTTTTCTCTTTCTTCTACCTTTTAAAAATTCAAACTACTGTCAATATTCTCTAACTCCCAGAAAAGCCGTCAAGTTTTACATAGCTCAGATTGGGGAGGATGAAGAGGCTACGGCGTGGTTAGACGAATTGAGAGATGCAGGGCTCGATCACGTTCTCTATTGTGCCACCGGTATGATTTATCCCGCAGTTTGCTTTCAAATATTTATGCAAGATAGACTATTTAGTAGCAGAAGAACTCTGACGAGACATCATATAGAACGATTAGATGACAAGTGTCGAGAATTACGGGTGAATCCCCGAAAATTAGAGCAATGGGTGAGTATTAGTCCTCTTGAATCGGTGTCTTGGACTACCGTATACTATCGACATCAATCTTACGACACGTTACGGCCGATAGCTAACTTAATAATTCATCCATAAAGATCTTAAAGGAATTAATGTCATCAATATTAGATGTCGATGAAAACTGAGAGGTGATAGTAATCTGACTATTGCTCGTTCAAAAAAGGCCCCAACATTTTAGGAATAAAGTGCTAGATTTGTTCCGATTCTCTTTTCAAAGAACTGCTTTTTTATTCATTGCTATGCATGTGCTAGAGTATTAACTCTAACCAATGTTCCAAACTGCTTGTTCTAGATCGACTTTTAATTTTATGTAATTTTACATATCTTCCAAGCATTTTTGCCAAACTTGCTACCCGTTTGACAGGCTTCTCCACTGGTTAGTCCTCAATGATGAATTACTAAACATATTAAGGCTATGATATACCCCCTTCAGGTCTAGGTATGGGACAACTTGCCCCTTTCAGCTCATATACTTGCCCCTTGACATGTTGCTATTCGAGTTTCGTGCGACGTCTTAGAAAAATATTTCAAATCAGATACCTTGTATACCTCCTATTATATTACTACAGCCAAGTAATACAAAGTATCAATATAACTCTTTTCGCATTGAATTCATAATCCCTACGAGGCATTAATATCCTAAATATTTACTGTTTGTAAAGATTAAATATCGGGCTAATCTTCTTAGCATTGATACACAATAAGCTCTAACGTTATATCAATTACAAGGCTACCTGTCTATCATACATAGACAACTCTCGTTAAAAAACCAATAGCGGTAAAAATTTGGCCCGTATTGGGAAGAAAACCTTCACTTCTCCATTCCTCTTATCTTTCCACGTATTTCCATAAATAATAGCCACTCCGAGTATTGTAGACTTATCCTTCAAAACAAAGAAGAGGAAAATATCGTTGGTTGGTTCGAGACTAACATCGTTGGCGAAATGGGGTTTTCCGGCCGAACCTCTCATCTGCAGTCAGGTTAAACGGTGTATTGACCTTTCGTAGCATCAAAAGCACTCCAAAGCAAAACCCCGTCGAAAGAAGAAAGAGAATATCGAATACAGCTTTGACCGTTCTCTCATCCATAGGATCCATCGCTAGTATAATTACCAGAATGTTTCGTATCGGAGGGGAAAAAACCAAACAAGAAACTTTGGGCGAGAAAACGGGGTGATGTAACAAGTTGAAGTTATGGAGTCAAAATGAAACCCGTTGAAGAATTATAACATTATAATAGCTGAGTATGCTACCAGTGACCCCATAACCCCCCATCCCGGGGGCCTGGGTAACATAAAAACACAATTGCGCACAAGAAATAACCCTCAAACAACACAGATGAAGGTACAAAAGACACGGCCCTTCATTTCATATTTTCCTCCTTCTTTCACTCTAGAGTTAATAAGGTACATGACGGGCTCCAGGCTTTTCCCATAGCTTAGCTCATGGCAGTTCGAATTAGGCTCCTGTCGCGTGTTTGATCTTGCCGCCTGTCCTCCAGAGGTTCCTGCTACCCATTTTTTGGTTTATCTTTGTCATTTGACTTAAAGCACTTTGTACTAGTATACTTAGCCTCAGACAAATTGTTTTTTTTCGTTTTCTGTTTCCCTTGACAGTTTAGGCAATGCTCCTATGCGTCGAATGAACTAATCAATAGAATAGAAAAGGGAAAAGGGAAAAGGGAAAAGGGAAGAGGGAAGAGGGAGGGGGAAGAGGGAGGGGGGAGAGGGGGAAGAATAGAACACCGTGAACGTATAGAAGGTTAAACCTAGGATGCCCTTCGTGATTTCAGTTAGAAGTCTCATCTGATGGTTGGTAAAACAAAAGCACAAGGACACCCCGTCAACCCCGCCCAACATGCAGCTACCTGGTAGCTAGGGTAGTATAACTTTTTTAGACCTCCTACAGCTCTCTAAAGGAATGCACGTTTCGTGTGATGAATTAATGGATAGAGCAGTAAGAAAGCACGTAAAGACGTGTAAACGATTCGATTCCTAAAATGAAACAATTAACAATATAATTGGCAATCGCCGGTACAAGCACAACAGGACTTAGAAAGCAACTACTGAAATAAACTAAACGTTAAATCAAAAGGCGAAATGACGATATGACCAGTATTGTTGCTCAGGCCTGTGCATATGCTAGCCTAGGGACCATGAGAAGTGAAGCGATAGAACATATCTATGGGTACTCATATGTATTAGCGATGGTCTTGAAGGTTATCTGGCTTCCGAGATAAATGCAGGGAATTTTTGGTACGAAAAAGCAGCTCGAAACTTTTGGAGCGTATATATTACGACAATTATTGCTAAACTCGATAGTGATTTAACTAGTATTAGAAACGTTGGAAGGCATTGATGGTTCTTAGAACAGTCAGAAGGATATTAGAGCCTCCGACACTGGTAGTAATTCAATACTGTTCCAGATTCCAGCCATGAAGTTTGATTTGATACCAATCAAAGATTGGCACAGCCCTATGAGAAAGGTATAAAGGAACAGCTAAACTACCACATCGGGGTACTCCATTCTTTCAATTTAATCACTTTTGGCCAAATAAAACCTGAACTGGGGAAAAATATTCCAGGACTAGACACCACATATATAACAAACACAGAAGGAATTCTTACGGGATATGAAAATTCTGAAGCTGCAGCAGCACAAACCCTTCAATGAGCCGCTCAACTTCTGCAATCAGAGGTGCATAGTATCCCCAATGGCTAAGTGCCACATTATCGGTACCTCTCGTACCCAACAGAGTACGAGTGTATACCATCCCTTGAGGGTGCGCTGATAGGTATGGTGGAGAGATGGACAACATCTCTTCTGGCAGGAAAGAGACTTCTTCTAAAGATAAAGATAATGTCTCGAGATCTGTTTGCAATAGAGAAAAGTCTTGAGGTATTGAACCCTCACAATCGGCCGATACCTGATCCTCGGTTGGTTCGTAGGTAATATGATGAGTCATTGGAGTAGTTTCGAAACACCACATATTCGAGAATACTGAGAATGGAGATAATACGTATATACTCTGTATGTGAATATATAGAGCTTCAATGAATATAATCAGAATTTTTGGTGGGCTGCTTTTGATACTGAAAGCATGCGATTGGTTCGTGTATGAGAAAGAGGAAAAGAAGTCCGGGGACAAGAAGGTATCCAGAAGCCCTTTATATATTAATATATTTCAACCAATTGCATGGTGGTCACATAGTTGTTGATGTATTCACTAAATCCTTGAAAAGGATTTTCTTTAAAAAAAACATATATATGAACAAGTCAACTCTATAGGACCCCCTCTGCCTTGGGAAATCATATCATAGGTTTACACACGGCGGGATAGTGCACGAAGGATCGTTGAAAACTTTAAAAATCTGTGCTGCCTTGCGAAATAGTATTAATATTAGGCAGCGCTCAAATTCGACGAAATACTATGCATTTACCAATTATTAACCTAATCCTACTACATGTGCAGGAGTATTAGGGCCCTTTTAGGCCTCCTTTAGGATGCTCGGCTAGCGCTATAGCCTGGCTTCACAACGGCTGCATATGTTACATGCGTATACAGAATATAAATTAGGCATGCAAATTTTAACAACTATGGCTAGAAAGAAGATTTTGTTAAGCTCCTTAATACAAAATACCTTAAATTCTTAGGTTTGATGATTGATCCTCCATTTCGAATTCGTAAAATCAAATGTATATCGTACCACATGCATATGAACTTCGATCATGTTGACAACACACCGACCTAAAAAATACAACAGCTTTCTGTATGCTGTCAGGTACAGCAATGCGATGTTAGGGAACGTGTTAACGGACGGTGGCCAAAAGGTCGTATTCGCCTGATATCTATACTAGTTTCGGTATATCTAGTGGTGTTTAAATATGCGAAGAAAGCCGAAATTGAACTAGATCAATAGTAGTTACATACACCGCTTTCTCAAATGTACGAAGTTCTGCTTTAAAGCTCCTAGCTAGTTAAGCTTCTAAGGGCTATAGGCTAATTACAGCATCGACTGCAAAATAAATTACATTTTTAGAACAAATACCTAAAAGTAAATTACTTACGTTGTGGCAACCAGGGCGAGAGACCCACTTATCCAACCTGCCTCGGATCCTGCGGAAACGGCGCAGGCCAACTAACCCCCCTACTATACGTATACCTCTCCTGCAACCTCTTCAAAGTCCCCTTCCCCAAAGGTCCTCTATAGTACGCCTTCAAAAATATATAACTACTCTGCATAGCTTGATAATAAGTATAAACAGTCTCCATCTCCTCTAACAAAATCTCCAAAATCCTTCTCAACACTGTATAAGGTAAATCCGTAATTCCAATCCTCGGTGGCAGGGGTAACGGACGAATGATATAATCTTTACCATTCAAACCCCTAACTATGGAAAGGTATGTATTTGAGAGGGTGGAAGAAAGTGGATAGATTCTTTCCCTTTCTATGGGGATTTTGGAAGGGTGGTTTGAAGGGGGTGATGGGAGGATTAGACATTCGGTTGCGAGGAAGAGGCGGTAGTATTTTTGGCGTAGGGTGGATTTTGTTAGTGAGATTTTCTCGCGGAGGAGGTCGAAGACTTCTATTAGCGTGAATTTTACGGTTGAAGTGCCGCAGAGTTTACAGCCTGGGAGCCTTTTCTTGGGCGGTGTAGACGAGGATGTTGATGATTCGGCACGATCTTGGGTATCCGGAATATCATCCCTAGTACTGATCCCATTATTATCCTGAGATTGACCGTTACAGTCGCAGTAGTCCGGAAAGTCTAGTGCCCAGAGACTTTTACTCGCTGTTCCCAAGGGTTTATAACAATGTAAACAAATACTTTCGTAGGAAACCCTTTCGTAGGAAGGTTGTAACCACCCTTTTACTACTTTTATCTTTTTCCCTGCTTCTTCATCTCCATTTTCAGCGTCAACCACTACTTTCCTCTCAATCTCATCTAAATACCCATATCTCTGTACCCCAGCCAGCTTCAAATCCGATGAAATATCATCCCCTCGTCTCGTTTTTATAACTCGCGCCGGCAACTCATATTCCGGTTTATACCCCGTCAGCCACGATGGCGACGAAAAGCATAAATGATACTGTTTCTTATTCAACGACGCAAAAGTATCTTGGTTCTCATATTCTGCCAAAAACCTCTCTGAGCCCGTAGAAATCCTTTGAGAAGTCGAAGAAGATAAAGACGACGAAGCTGACGATGTTAAACTGGTCAGAAGTGGTGGTTTTTGAGTTAACGTCGTATCCCGCGGACATCGGTGATGAGCACACCATATTGTACTATACTGCCAATTCTTTCTCGAATCTTGGTTTGTTTGTGATTGTTGTTGCTTTGAGTATTTAAACCCGGCGAGGTGGATGGGGTATAATGATGGTGGGTAAAATATCCCTGTCGCACTATCTAATAAAAGTGCTGTAGAGCAGGTGGGAGGACATAGTATATGACTACAATAAGGACATTTATGTGGGTTTGAAGGTGCATAGTGTGACACCGGAGTAAATATACGACGATGAATACGAGTTATACATCGTGCACGGGAGATGTCTTCAGGACACTTGGACGGTGGGATTGGGGGGCATAGGTGGCGGAGACCTTTTGTGGAAAGAGAGAGGGAGACTCGGTCTCGGAAGGTAAGGTATTGAAAGATTAAAGAGAGGATGTCAAGAGATAATGTAAAGAATGGAGGTGATTGAGTGGGAATTGGGGTGTGTGATTCTATTGATGCTATGCGCGCGAGAGAGGCGATTGTGGGGCTAGGATTGTCTTTGGGACGGTCGCGAGAGAGCTGGAGTTTTTGGAGGGCTTTGGATAGCATTTTAAAACCTGGAGACCTCGTTTCTTTCGTAATTTGTGTAAATTGGAACGCGGATAAGAAACTAGATGGTACCTGGTGGGGGGTTTGAGGTTTATATCACGATGCCGACGGGTGCAGAGGGTTTCGATTCCATTCGGGTGGTCTTAGTTTCGATATAAGATCCCGATCCACAACGGGATCTTTCTGCATTTTCTATTGGCTGGATATGCGAGGAGCTAGGATATATCCCATAGTATCGAGCCTTATTCTCAACCTTGCCTATGCCTCATATCAACAATGTGCTAATTTAACTTATCTGGAGATGCTGTTCATTGGAGGTGAAGATGCAGTCGTTCTAGATTACATGTAAAAGATATATATACCGCCCCATATGCAATTTTATACACTTTCAAATTTGCAAAGTAAATAGTTACCCGGAAGAATTTCATAAAATCATGATTATGCCGAAAAGAGATCCAGTTTATTTGTCGCCTTTATCGCTCTTCCTCCTTTTTACAACCTTAGCCACCGTTGTCACCGTCGCCGCTGACGGGGCTTTTCTCTTTCTCCCCCTGGTTTCTACCTTTAGCTTAACAGCGGCACTACTGCTGCTGACACCTCTCTTCCCTTTAACCTTCTCGCCTGTGCTCTCCTTCCCCTTGTCCGCAATTGCAGTACTTGGAGTAAACGGTCCTTCCTTCCCTCCAAATCTCGCTTTATACTGTCCAGGACTTTCATATTTCCCCTTCAACCCCCATATGCCCAGCTTCTTAGCTCTAGCTTCCTCTTCAGCGGCTCTATATTTCTCTTCCATCCCCTGACTTTTCCCAAATTCTATACCATAGGTACCTTCGTAGACCTGCGCCATGCCTGTTTTAAGCATTAATAACCCAACATCATGTTTAAAGCCGAGTAACCCCAGAATTCCCTTCCGTTTCATAGAAACAGAGCATACGACACGCTCGTACTGGTCGCGACGGAGGAGATGGGCACGGACGTTATGGGAGGTGAGAAGGTTTGAGAGGTAGCTTAGGGATTCGGAGGAGTGTGGTTGTGAGGGTTTACCGAAGTGAGCACCTTCGGGGGCGTCGACACCGGCTATTCGAATGTGAATCTAATATAAAGATTAGTATTAAAGATATATTTTTTTTGATAGAATACAAGGGAGGATAGTGTACCGTTTGTCCCTTCAGCATCTTCCTTCCCTCGGGTATCTGCCGTAACCAACCCCAACCGGTCCATCGTCCACCAGGTGTATGAAACAAACGAAAGTTATCTGCATCACCCACACTGACAACCTTCCCATACAACCCTTTACGTCGGAAAAACTGTGGAGGTAGTGAATTCGAATCGGGATATCGCTTAAAGAAGTTTCGATAGAGATACACTAATGTCAAAGTCGCTGTCGCAGCGGTAATGGACGGAAGTAGAATATCAATCGCAGAAGGTGGTAAAGAGGTAACATCCGATATCCGGGCTTTTAGAGAATTATAGGAGCGAATGAGAGGGTGTTCGGGCGGTGGAGGTGGTGGTGAGATCCATGATGGCATTGCGGTGGGAGGTTTCGGAGTACGCTTTAGTTAGCCGGGAAATATCGTAAGGATCGAACTCGGTATTATGGTAGATGATGATGACAATAGATGAATTGATTTTAGAAATGTGGATGAAGGCATTTCCTCTTATGTCTTATGGGAACCTCAGGCCGGATTTCGCGTGAGATGGGGGCTTCGTCCGGGGTGAACAGCTGGCAGCTAGTAGCACCGCGTGACGAACTAACGTGGCTGGGAGTTAAGAGGCAATCAGTGCCTGCCTATGCGGTGGAACTGAAAGAATAGGTTAGCCAGCTCAAATTAATGAGTAGCTTGTGATGATTGTTTGAATGTATTTGTCGATGTGCCTCGAGGATGAGGCTCACTCGAGATTAAGTCGTGTGTGCTGGATGGCTGCCGCATGTTTGGGGGGAAAGTGTGGTTGTGGTATCATGAAGCCGATGGCGCTAGTCTACTTTTGGCAATTCTAGCTCAACACCAAGCTACTTAGATGCAGATGTTAGATGCAGCGTATAAATACCAGTGATATTACCTTGACGAATTGAAAATACCTATCATCAAACTACTCCTAAGTCATAGGGTAATTATTTTACGGTCTTCTTCCTCTATCTTAATTAAAATGTTAATCTATAACTACGATATCTAGCCTACAGCCAGCTATCGCGCAGTATAATTCATAATACCGAGAGTACGCAAACGCTTATGAACATTAGTTATATACAAGATACTACGGACATAATAAGATAATGATCAATGCAAATCAGACACCCACTTCTTCAAAATATCCTTACTCTTACTCGCCCTCCTCCTCATCGACTCGACTGTTGTCTCTGACGGTCTTCTCGTATTCCGACTACTACTGCTCTCAGCAGCCCCCTCAGCCTCCTCTTGCCCTTTCTCTTCAGCACTAGATTTCCCCTTCGATTTGCCTCCCTTTCTCTCCTTTAGCCCATTAACCTTCCCCACTCTATCCCTCTCTCCTTCCTCTCTTCCAATAACTTCCCCAAAATCTCTCCATCCGTTTCGTGCCCAGCTCCACGTCCAAGTAGTAACACCAGTTTGATCGTCCAGCATCCATGCTATATCGTTTTCTTTCCCCATATCCACTCCAAAGCTATCACCTGTTTTTAATTTTGAATCCGTTCCTAAGGTTTCTAGGAGTGTCAATTCTGATTTCTTTCTTAACTCTCTCAACAGCGGGATCATGGTTCCTAAATATGGTACCGATAACCTATCCACTTTGATCATAACCCTTTTGATTTTACTACCACTTTTTAAAAGTCTCCATATCACGCCTTTCAGGCATAATACCACAAACTTCATCCTCTCTTGATTAGGATGTCCCAATACCAATTCCATATCTTTAATCATATTAAAATCTTCCTCGTTAAGAACACTACTAAAAGTAGCTAGTCCTCGGTCTCGAACCCTGAATCTTGTGTTCGAGTATACTACTTCCCTCATTATTTTGCTGACTTTGGGAGAGATGAGGAAAAGAGAGTAGTGGTCGAAACAAGGCGAATGGTGTTTTAGGGCAATATCGAGTGGACCATGGCTGTACCGTCTTTGCAGGGAAAAATAGTTGTGAGGTCCTGAGAGAAGTACTTCCTTTTGTAAATGGCAGTATAATATGATCTCCCGTAGGATGTCGTATGGAAGTGAAGATAGTCCGGATTGCGGCTGAACGGCCGGGGTGTCTGGTGGAGGATTTGATATCACCCTTATCAATTGGCCAATTAGCAACTATCCAAATCTATGTCTCTGTAAAAAAGGATGAACATACTCAATTTGTTCCCCCTTCGGATTATGCAAGTCCGCGAACGAGGAAGCCACCTCAACCCTAACATTCCCCGCCTCATCCCCCCAAGCCTTCAACAACTTCTCGTGAAACTTCTCAACCCCCTTCCGCTCCACCTTCACAATCTCCTCAACTCCAATATCTCCAACAGGGAAATCCTTCCCATGAGTCCACTCAGATTTATATTCCAACTCCCTAACCGCCACCATATCCGCACCAATATCCGTCCCCAATCTCTCAAACTCCCGTTTTAGATTATATTGCCAAGTATTAGACGATAACTTCGAATACACCCCAACTTGTAAATACTTAATCCTGGCTCTATTAACCTCTCCGATAGATAACAAGAAAGCACGGGTAAAATTAACCCGAAGTTTCAAAATAAACTTATTGGAGGAATATAACACCTCCAACGCTGCATTACTAATCTTTTTATCCGCGAGGAAGAGGCCGGATGAGGCCCCGATATAGTGGTTCACCAGTCTATTCGTGAAGTTTGCGTATGAAGATGTAGTAGTCGAGATATCTTGTTTTTGAAAGTCGGAGATAATGATCGGAGTAGAAGATGTTAACAAGTATGAAAAGATTTGAAAAAGAAGTTCGTTGGGGAGACGAGAAAGACCTGTCGGAGGAATTGGAGATGATGAAGGCGGGGTGGTGAGGGGTGGTCGGCAGTGGGTGAAACAGTGGTGGGAAAGGTTGCGGTGGACTTTGTATTGGATGTACTGCGCATCCGGCGATGTTTGAGAAGCCTTCATTGTGAATTCTCAAGATTATATTACCGATATATATATCGATATACCAGATGAAGATATTGTATTCGAAGTCAAGTCGAAGGCTGAACAGGAACTTTATATAACCCAACAAGGCCGTCAAGCAATCGAATTGATATTAATATGCATCACTTGCAATGCAATGCCGCGGATCCATGGAACTAGTCCGCCCACCTGTCAGCCCGTTAACACGCCGTATGTATGTCAGAGAAAGAACAAGTAAAAACGTTCCAAACCCGCCAAAAAGGACAGGGACCGTGTGTCTGTATTCCAAGCTGGCAAGTACACTAATTGTACCTTAGATCCACTCGAAGCGATATGATACGGTACCTACGTTGTCCCGTACCTGCGGTATCCGTATCTTTCTTGGTTTCAAACCCGAACAATACAGTAGTTCCACGCGAGGAGCTGAGCTGCACAACCATAAGCTTTAAAGCTACGTAAGCACAATCCCGCCAATCGATTAGCTGGTTGGAACGTTAATTCAACCGATCATTTTCCCAATTGCAATTGCCAAAATCGACATTATCCCGGCTATACCCATATCCATTATCGAAATCGAACCCCATGATACCAATTAATCCCGGTTCAATCTAACCTAGCTCTAGTCTCTGGTAAGTTAGCAATGGCAACACAAGTACAAGGGGGAAAAAAGGAATAAAAGCCACGATGTCCCGAAAAAATCTTGACATCAAAAGAACCCCGGACGCCACCACGTCCAATTTACCCAAAAAGAAGCCTCCCCTTTTTGAGAGGCAATTGATGCAAAAAAATGATGATTGAGATTTGCTCCCATACGGATTTGAACCGTAGACCTCGACATTACTAGTGTCGCGCTCTACCAACTGAGCTATAGGAGCTTCTTGAAGTTTTCATTTGACTTTGGAGATTTTCAAGGTGTCGTGTTCGTTTGACAGGACCCTGGCCGATGTAACCTGGGCCCTGTGTTGTCAGTATATATAGTATACGTAGAGTAGGACCCTGTGCTATTCGAGGCCACTTCGCCTGGGGATTGGTCAATTGGGGTATGATGAGGCCAAGAAGGCTGGTGGATGATGGTAAAAGATGATTGATTCGCGAAGTCGTTTCAATCAGTTGAAGTTTTCATTAGCCGTATTAGCATCTGAAGCAAGTACCTATCCTTATCGATATGGCAAGGTACAGCCTTTGAAGCCCCCCTGGATCCAGATGAAGTCAACCTAGAATTCCCCAGTATAACAATTATAATTCAAGCCCATTAAAATCATCATCTACATTGTTCTTAAGGAAATGATAAACTGCCTGTAGGCTGTATACAGAGAGCGAAAGGGGCGCGTGGTAAGAGGTAAATAAGTAAGTTAAGGCAGTAAATAATATCCATCCCATCCAAATGCACCAGAATGTAGCACTAATACACAGGTTCCAATATATCTCAATTCCAAATAGATTCAATCATAGCAGGCAGGCCAAGTCTGAACAATAAGTAAGTACAGTACATACACATGTAACGTCGCATTGTACAAAAAGCCAATGGTCTCCAAGGAATCCGTCTATTTTATCTTGTTGATTCGGTGGGTGTTTCGGTCGATTTGTTGGTGGACGGACTCGCTCTGTAATTATAGTTAATATTAGCATCTTGAAGATAAAGTGAAAATTCCGAATGAATAAGTGTAACTAACCTTCGAGTTCAAACGATCGATAGTCTTGTTTTGGTCCTGGACAACCTGGTTCTGTGTCTTCGCCAAAAGATTGAGTCTACCAATGGCACCTCCGAGTTGATGCAAGTTATCATCAATCTCCTCTTCCATAGCATCATCCTCAGCATCAGCTTCAAACTGAAATTTTGCCTTGTCAGCCAAGCTCATCTTCTGCCTTGGCGCCATAGCCGGAGCCCCCATTGGCCTTAATCCACTCTTAACCTGCTGTTGACCCTGCATTCCGGCAGCCTGGACTCTCTCTCTTTCCTCACGAGCAACTCTATGGCGTTCCATAATCTTCTCCTCTTCTTTATCCGCCTTTGCCTGTCGTCCGAAGGGACTACCAGCCACAGGAACGAACATACTCCTATTTAACCTCTTCAAATGCGCAGCTTGATCTTCAGCTCTATGACCGTGATTCTTGGCCATATCCAAATTCAATTCGGTCTGGTGAAGCTTCTCGCCCTGTTCACCGAGTTTGACAAGAGTATCACGACCGACTTCCTCGGCTCTGGCAGCAGCACGGAGGGCATTACGAGTCGAAGCGACGGATTCTTGCTTAGTGAAGCGGATTTGAGATTTTAAGGCATCTGCATCTTCTTCTTCTTCCTCTTCGGCGGTCATTTGCCTGCCTTGTCCGGTGCTGTATGGATCTTTGGAATCATATCCACTTTCGGCAGAGTATCCACTAGAACCGTATCCATAAGACCCTTTACCGGAGTAAGCGTTGTCATCTTGACCACCAGGAGTCGAGTTGTTGCCTCCGTATGGGTTAGAACCACCGCTTGGTTTGGCCTTATTGTTGCTGCCATACATAGAAGCACCGTAGGAGTCGCCGGAGGATTCTTTAGCACCTCCGTATGGATTATTACCATAAGTAGAGGATTCCTTGGCACCACCGTAGAGGTTTGCGGATTTATTATCGTAGGAGGCAGATGGAGCGTTGCTGCTGCCAGAATCGTAGGCTGGTGGAGGGGCCGCGTATGGGTTTGAAGAGGCGGTGTCGGGGGTAGCGACCTTTTCTTTCTTGGAGAACCAGCCCATGATTGATTAATCTATCTGGTAAAAGATTGGAAAGGGTTTTTTAAGGGGTGTTTATGGAGGTTTGTGATGAAGCGGTTGAAGGTTGATGGAGCGAGGATGGTGACAGTTTGATGTGAAGACGGCGGGTGCTCAGGGAGCTTTATGTGTTGTTGACCCTGAAACGGTATACGCCTAGTAACCAGGAGCTACCCCAGTCCAGCTTAAATGTCAGCCCAAAGTTCAGCCGTAAATTGTATTTCTGCCCTGCAATGCATCAAACCCGATGAGCAAAATATATTTCCAAAAGCCCTCACCTCCAAATTCAAAAGACTTTAAATCTACAAAAACTATACGGTAAAATCCCCTTTAACCAATCGATAGAGATTATAAGGATAAGCTTACGATTATCTTTTGTTTAAAAAAAAGAGGGGGGAAAATAAATATATAGCTTGGCCGAAGCTAAACGCTCTGTTTTGAAGCTTGCAGGGGGTAGAATAATACTCCCAGCTCCAAGAATGGAAACACTACTCGCGCCACTTTTGCACTGATATGGTACTTACCATGCGAGCCGCACGACCCCGATCGAGTCGGCTTGCCGGATCTATTCACCCTACTCTTATGCAATCGTTATGTCCGGACTAATATTGAATATTATAAATTATAAAACCTCCCGCCCTTTGCAGGCAAATTCCGAACTTACTCGTCGGGAGATCCACGGAAACCCGGGGGAAGAGGGAATAGATCGACTTCACCGCCACGTTTGAAGGCGAAAAATGGGTTTGATTGGTTGGAGGTGCGTTTGGGTAGGCATCGGAGACCCTTTGTGCTTGGAAGAGCATAAGATCTGGATTTAGCTTTATGATCTAGCGTGTCTTCCTTTACAACGAAATTTACAAGAATATAAACAGATACTTATATTGATCGAACGGCGTGAGGCCTTATAAACCGATCGGTTAGAATGCAGTGGCAACAGTCAAAACCCTTATTCAAATACGTCTACCATTCTCAATATTTCACTTGTGCGACAAATTTACCATCATGTTTGAAGAGACTTAGTCACATTCGCTATGGATGTCACAGACGCTCGTTGACATAGTATCCAACGTAGAAGAATACCCCAGGAGACTGTAACAGACAATATATACTATTTACATTTATATACACCCTGCAAGAATATGTATTATGGCTTCGTAATTTTACATCATGTCAAATTATAAATAAAAAAACGAAGATAATCCTTTTTTTTTCTTTTTTTGGTTGTGTCAGAGGCAATCCAGAGGTGGAACTCACATTCAAAAACCTAAGATCACAGTCCCTTCTAAGTCACTCGAAACCTATAATCCCTCACTCGCAATATATGTCCACCCTCACAGCCAGCAGCATTAGTTCTGGTTTACGAGATAATGTCCACCCAGTTGCCCCGCTGCCGTTTAGCTAGGCCAATAATGCTATCCTGAACTCCCATTTTTCTCCAATGTCCGTGACTTCAACCAGTTCTTCTCATATCAATTTTAATATCAAGACACCCCTTGCTTTTTCAGGATCCTACATGAGTTTGTCGTCTAGCTAGGCGGCCCCATGGCCAGAAAACTTGATTCGCATGCTTGAGATCGAGACACTACACTGAGGTTGCAATAGGATGCAATATATGGGCATATATAATCGGCTCGATTTCACTGATTCTCTTGAATACAACATGCATGTCTCAATATTTCGTGGTCCTAAGACTCTCTTCCTTCACACGATTTTAGAACCGTTCTTCCGTCCAGTATTCTGAAGCAGCGGACGTCTAAATCGGAGATTTCTGGCAGCCTCGCTCCTCAACTGTGTTTTGCCGAGGGCATATGTGTATAGTCAAAATCTAGCGGCTGACTCATCAATATTATAGTTACTCTACAATGATACTACCAACGAGACCACTCTACAGTAATTTGGTCGATTTTTACACCTTCGGAGTGCTTCAGGGTGCAAGTTGGATAAGTATTGTTAGACGACTGCAGCGTAGCCTTTTTACTTTGACTTTTGACCGAAAGTACGTAAAAAAGACTCTTCAATTTTGTGATTAAGACATTAAATCTTATAATTCCAGATAAAATAGTAATGTTTAAGTCGAGTACAGCGACTGTAGAGCTACAACGATGTAAAAACACCTCGACACAGACGAATTCAGCTTCAACGCATTTTCGGTGTACATACATATACTTGTTGCATTTTCTACTAGTGGCGCATATCAAGTGGCGAACATGAGCGTGTGGCGCAGCACCCGACGACATAATATCCACAATCCAACAAAGTGAACACATCTCAGTTCCCAAAATCCACATCTGCGTCTAAAATGCCTCCAATAACAATAGCAGAACTCCTCACCGACCTCTCTACCCTCAAGGCTAGCGTAAGTCTCCGTGCTCTTTTCGTTTTTGAATATACATTTCTAATCGAAGACCCATATATATAGGAACCGGCGGACGCTCTATCGCTGGTCACGATCGATCCGTCTCTTCTCCCGGCATCTCTTAAGCCAGCTGAGGGTGATGATCAAAATGATACGTTAGCTGCCGCAAGGGAGTTGATAGATTTACATGTTGAAATATCGCAGCGGAAGGGGTTGGAGGAACTTGCTGGGGGGCGAGGTCAGGTGGAGGAGATTGTGAGGAAGGTGCAGGAGAAAGTCTAGATTTTGGGATTGATTCGATAAGTTGCTGTAATGATAACTGTGGGAGAGTTCTATAAGGTTTTGGTACTAGTTTACAGTATCAGATATTTGGGAGACGAATATTATAATTCGGATAAAACGGGAATATTAGAGAACACTTGTGGTCAGCCGGCGTCTGGGAAGGAGACTAGTGAAAGAGCTGTTCAAAGGACCCAATTACTGCTAAGCTCAGCTCGATTTGGTACCATGTTGACTATCGATATATCGTGTTTCTGATTTATTAAAGGCCATTTGATTAGTAGTTGTACGTATATTAATAAGTTTCAGACTAGGTCGAACCACCGAGACTAGGTCGAACCATCCAAAAAGAGGGCTCGAGTTTCAACAATGGATCCTGTTAGATCTAGCAACAAGCTAGCCCCGGTTTTCAGAAATTAGAGCTTCAGAGCCCTGTAGTGGACAAGAATGGCTTTAACTTCTTGGAAAATATGGCTTTTGAAAATAGATCGATTGCTTCACTTTCATGACGGCGCGATCAACCTGCACTATAGGAAGGTTTGCATCCAGAGTCAATCGCTCTGTACTATGACCTTGTATGACAACTTGCCGAGGAATTTATCAGCCGGAGGGTGTACATGTAAGACCGCACTCCCTCGGCTTTCCCAAGCCCGTCTGAGAAAACCAGCCTAATTAATCGACTTTTGCTCCTCTGTAAAGCTCATCACAGAAGAATACACTACTACGTCACTTATCGATATCTATATCATCTAGTCTCTGTTCCCCTCCCCGTCCGCCCCTCTTTTTTATGTCTCTACGCAGTTGGAACTTCGTGGTTCCCATTGCGAAATTGCCCCCTTACAATTAGTTTGGACATTCTTATGAGCTAGTACTAGTACTATCAATTATTTATATGGTTCGACTAGGCTCAATCACAGAGTGCCGCAAAAAAAAAATCAACAATGACATATATTACTTCTACTAGTGCGCATTAGTGTGTCGTCTGAATTATATCAATTGTTGGCCAATCGACTTGCGTAATTTCATGAGCTCGAGCTGATTCTGAGCTTGGGGACCAGTGCTTGCAGCCTGCAGCTATGTCGTGTCGGATGTGTGTCTTCGATAAAGGAAATATAAACAGACAAATCGAGAAGGTCCTTCTTATGATTGATTTAGTAACAGTTTATCACTTAATTCGCACGGTCGAGTAGTTTTTGCAATTTCCAATAAGGTGCTGAATCTTGTCTCATGAGTCAGGACGAGACCAGCTCACCTCGCAGAAAAAAAGCGCATGATGCATATATATAACGTATATAACGCCACAGATATAACTTAGGTATGTATCCTCGTCAGGACATATCGAGAGGCGCCAGGCAACACATAATTCAATGGTATCCCAGATTGAACGAACAGAAATGCAACGTTAAAAATCGTAAATTTAAAAGGCCTATCGGTATACGACATTGCGAAAACAAATAGGTGCAGGCGATGAGCTGTACATACGTGTAGTCTGCACGCCACGCTAACGTCTGGCCCCGAGACTGCTGGCGTCCTCAATTCAGGTGTAGGAGCTGATCTGAAAACAAGAAATGCATGTTTATACTGTGGGTTCCAAGACGGCTATTCATACCTCGTGGCCAGGAGTGTGCACGTGCTATAAGCAAACTATAAAATATAAATACAAGAGTTATACGGACCAACTAACTTGGGATTTCGGCTTAGCTGTAAGATTTCCGGAACGAAAGATTCGCCTTCATACGGTTTTTGGGGCAACTATTATATAATACTTCTCGAACGCGTATAAAACGCCTTACATCTTATAATTTAAACCTCCCATAAATCTCCAATATCCTTTGCGCGTACGGTATGGAATTCAATCTGTCTTCTTGGGGTTTTGTCGATTAGTTAATTATACTTACTACATATATTAGCAATTGGCTACTTGAACATTAATATCGTATTGCGCCCAATCCTCGCCTCTCATAACGACCCTTCCAACCTTAATTCTTCTGGTATCCGAAACTCCGCCTCTTATCTCCATCTATATGTTTATTAAATATATATTGGTTTAATAAAGTTATTTATTTATTTTTTTCAATATGATCTTATTATTTTTAATGCCTCATCATTAAGAATATTATCTAATAGTGTTGCTAATATATCTCTAATTAGATAATCGTCGAGTCCACCGATGATCCCAGCGACAGAAGAAATTTTAGGAAACGACAATGCGGCGCAGGATCTGTATGGAACTGGTGTCCGTGTGGGGCTTTATCTTCAATCTTCTGGTTTAGCTCTTTACAACTACAGTTCTGATAAACACAGCCGCCAAGGCTTAAAGATAGCATCAGGAAGTATCTGTATAGCTATCTTGTCGCCTTGGTTTGTTTTCGCTGCTCAGCAGGCCTTTAGCCCTTGTGAGGCTTTTATTGTTCTATTGATGCTATCGTCGCTGTTCCCACCTGGATCCACATTGCGCAATATTGACGATGCCGTTGGACAACAGATTCTTGGTTTGGTAGCAATATTATTGTCGACTTTGGGAATCTCTCTTGCCTTTATCTGGACGTTTGGCAAACTGGTGGTCACGCTTCCAGAGCTCGGGACAAAAAATGTGGTATTTTTTTGTACAAGAGTAAGCCTCAAAGGATGGTTCCGGTGGCTCGCCCTCACTTATTTTAGTATCGATGCGATTACCACCTTATTCTTCTCCTTCAAACTCGTCAAGTTAATCAAGCTTTCTTGGACTTTTCGAAGCCATGGAGATCTCAAGCTCCATACGGAGAAATGGTTTCCGAAATTAGAGGGGTTGGATCGGGCTATACAATGGGCTGTGCGGGTGTGGGTAATAACGATGATTGAACTTACTATTCGATGGAATCATCTTGAGCCAGCATCTGATTTCCGAGCTCCAGGGCAGCTAATCCCCCTCATTTCCGGAATCTTTATCTTCATCGACAGCCTTCTTGCGGCCGATTTTAAATCTATGGCTCGTAGCACGGTTAAAGCGCTTACACCCGTCTTGGAATATTTAAAGGGTATTCAGTTTCCGAAGATCCCTCGAAAAAAACTATATTTTCCCAGCCGTGGTCGTCCCAAAGAGCAGCAGGGCCTAGACAATACCCCTGTCATTGCCTGAACAATAATGTCATGATTTTAATAGATTATGCACTTAGTTAGCTTAGATATGCAATCCCTGCAAAACCTCCCGTGGCTGGTATTATAGCGCAGGTCTTAAGCTTAAGAATTCCTGTATTTCATAGCGATAAGTCTCCCAAACATGCAGTATATCGTGTAAGAGCTAAATGGCTTGTAGCCACCAAACTACTGTATCAATATTCCAACCGCAGCATGTATTAATTTGTTCAACCACGGGCACAATATTAAACATTACACGAACATCGTCAAGAAGGAAATCTAGTGGCCCGCACCACCAACTCTACGCAAATTTAAATTCGCGTCGGTGAGCTATTTTATCTTCGGAATTGATCGCGACATTTTACGAATTTGAGTTAAGCTGGGCTCTTTTTCGGTATCGTCAATACACCCACTTGTCGAAATTTAAAACTCATCACCGGTTCGCGGTTTCTCTCTACCTCCATCTCAATATCGAGGTCGTTGATATATCGATATGATTTCTCCTCACTCATAGTTGAACGAGTTTCTCTGGTATTTTCATACCCGCTACAAAAATTTACCTGAATGTAATTGCTCTAACATACCCTTCTTCTCTTCTTAGCATTAGTTAGCCTAATATATATAATCTTACAGAACAAAATTTCCACAAATATAATATAGCAATTCCCACAACTACATAGTCAACTTTAATCAGACAAACTGTCTTCCGTACCCCCTTCCCAAGTATCTGTATCCGAAAACTCCATCCAATAGTCCACTTTCCCTTCGACAGGCTGCGAGTTGGCGGCCCTTTTGACTGCCGATTCCCAATTCCTTTGAATGGAAGAAAATGTCATCATTTCTGCGGTTTCTAGTGGCCCCGATATCCTTGCCCAATATTCATTATTATGGGCGTGTAATGATTTGGCAAGTTCATATGGAGTTCGGCCTTTATTGTCAAGCTTTCCAGGGCTCTTGCCCCCGTCCCTTTCTATTATTTCCGACAGAATTCCGAAGCTTTGTTCTGATGGATCCACAGTAACAGCCACATGTAGTGCCGTACGCATTTCATTATCCACCACACTAGTATTCGCTCCCAGGTCTAGCAAGAGTTTTACAACGGATTCGCTGCTATGCTCGATAGCGTAGTGAAGTAAGGTTTTCCCGGTCAAGTTTCCTGCTTTATCGAAATCTACTTGGAGATCGACCCCTACTGCATTCGCTGTCGCAAGGAAAATATGCTCAGGTTTATCCTTCTGGTCTTGAGGAGCAGGCCCAGAGATACTAGAGTTGGTTTGAAGATCATTGCGAGTAGCACAAGCCATTGCAGATAAACCTTGGATTCTATCTCCTTGGTAGAGCTGACTGGCCTCGATCCACGGGTCCGCACCATGGCTGGTAAGGAGGCCCATAGCTTCATAGTGCTGGAGACGGACGGCCAGTCCTAGTGGATTCAGATAAAAGGGTGTCGGTCCGAAAGCTAAAGCCTGGATGAAATCGCGGATACTATTTTCTAGCTGCGGGATTTCTTCTACTTTGCCACTAACGGAACCTTGAAATTGTCGTTTTAGGAGGGCTTGAGCGCATATATACAGATCCCGGCGCATATGTGATGGACTATAGCAGAAGAAGTCGTCGACTTCTAGATGAGGTATCGTGTGCCTTAAAATCACCCCACAAATCCTTGGCTTGCATGATAGGATCACCGCAAGTGTGAGAAGTTGCGCCTGGGTGGTATCCTTTATAGCCAGCGATCCAATCCGATAATCCAAAATATTAGTATCCCTGTCTCTTAATGCGAGATCTAAAATACCGATTGTGTGCCTATCACTTTTGTTTAGCTCAGCTCCCAAGGTAAAGTAGCAGCGCAACGATACCTCAATCTCCATCCCATAATAACTTTGTATCCAGGCGGAATAAAGAACCAATAGTCTGCCAATATTGAGCGTGATCAAGGCGTCGTCTTTCGACTGGTTGCTGAGGTCAGTCCCCGCGGCATTCCAGAAATCCCGGGCGACCCTGGGTAACAACCTTTTTAGAGAAGATACTCGATCCATATTGTGAAGAAGGATTCTCTCATGATACACCTGATCGGGGTGGGATTCCTTGCCGTGTCGTGGATATCGTTCCCGTGATTTTAAATTCGGTCCAAGCGTTTCCCGCTCACTTCCAGATTGGGATGCCAAAATTCCCGTAACGAGAGCGAATATGGCCCATAGAATTTCGTGGGCTTCATCGATAGATACAACATCACGTAGGGGGATACTATCAAGGTACCGCTCTATCCTTAGCTTTCGTATATTGTCGAACCATGTTTCACTTCCATCGCCACATGCACAACTAGTATCGTGCAATACAGTAGTGAACTGATATCTAGCGCCCTTCTCCCGGAAATACCTCGCTGAATCGTATCCACCCCTGCGCATAGCAGCTAACCACGGATGGTCGAGACCTTTGGTCGCCAGATACTGGATCGAGTTGTGCTTCCTAAGGTATTGGAATGCTTCGTGTCTACCTCCATCATATGCCTTTGCCCAAACCTCATTCAGAATCTCTCGGCACACATCGCCCCCAAGATCCTTTCTAAGGTGGCACAAAATGAGATCAAGATCTGATTCAAGAAAGGGATCAAGTCGGCTCGGTTCATTAGCGACCAGATCAGGCGGAAGGATAGTCTGGATCATGCCTTTATATAGGCTTCGATCAAATGATTGTATCCGCAGAATTCGGGATATATTATATCTTAGGTGCTCTTGGCACGATAGCAAAATAGCCCATCGTAAGAGATTATTTTTTTGGAATGTACCCTGACCGCCGGCATAGCCGCAGCTGTATATCTGGCCCCAAACAAAATCAGGGATAGCTTTTTTAGTGAGCCGCCACTCTCCTATTAGGTCCCGCAGAGTGTCGATAGCCTTTTTTGGGGTTAATTCTCCGCTTTGGAAGACATCTGTAATCGATTTAGCTATGTTTCTATCGGTATCGATATCTATTTCCTTCCGATCTCGAGAGATTCGCGCAGGGGTATTCATTTCTCGGTCTAAAGCCTCCCTCAAATATTTTTCCAAGAGCGGAGTGTCCAGATATCGAAAGAATAGACCTGTCCCTATAGCGTACCGTCTCTCAACTAGCGTAGTTAAGAGTGAGCCTCCATCCACTATCCTGCCCCGGCAATTAGACCCACATATTACACCCACGATCACGGCTATTGAGTGCTCGCCCAAAAAAAACAGGCTTTGATCGTAAATACTAGAGTAAATACTATTAATATTGGATTTTCCGGTGTCGCATATTTCCGCAATCATTGTGTCAATTTTTCGTGGTGTTCCAAGGTCGTATTTGCAAAAAATATCTATATCAGGGCCATCTTTGATTTTTCGAGACTCTAAATTGTGATCCATGCAATGACGGGCAGCGTATGAAGATAGAGCACCTCCCTTATACTCCTGGTAGCCCGGAATCAGTAAATAGGTTATACAAGCACAGGCCATAATTTCATGGGAATCCACAAGGGTGATCTTTAGCTTTGAGTATGCTTTTTCTGAAGCTCCGAGCCCAAGAAGAAAATCTCTTGCTGTTTCGTGTATCAAATGGACCATGCCGTTGGCGATATAGATAAATATTCCGCAGAGACTTCTGACAACAAATTCGATCTGTGATCCCGGCTCCAAAAACATGTCCAGGTCCGTCACGGTTTCTGCACCATCAATGCGGAGGAGAATGTTAAGTTCCCTCAGACTTAAGGGGCGATATGCCGCCAAAATTATGCACAGCACCTTCTTCGTATCTCCAATATCCGGGCTCCGGGATAGAGAATATTCATAAAGCTGTTTTAGATCTTTAGGCATCTCATCCAGTTCTCGAAGTATTGACTTCCACGCCATCGAAGTATTCCCGGACCCATGTAGCACTTTGAAAACCAATGACACCCAAAGAAAGGTCTCTCCAGATCTTGCTTTCAGCTTTTCCGCAAGAAGCCTACAACTCTGTATCGGCAAACCAAATTCTTCCAAAAGGTTTTGTACTTCCCTATCAATCATAATAGAGATATCCGAAGTAAGTGAAATAAGCCCATTCTCCCCCTTGATCCTCAGGACAGACGGGGACCGGTTTGTTCTTTGGATATTGATACTCGGGCGACTATTGACCAGAAACTTAACACCCTCTGTCGCAGTGAGCCGCCCCAAGTGCTGTATTATTAGATCCTGTGTGTCGGACTCACCCTCATCGAGGGCATCTATAATGCAAAAGACCCGGTCGTAGAGAGTTTTCGCATCCAATAACACAAGGAGAAATAGTTTCCAAAGCGCATTAACTTCAGCGAACAGGGGATCCCCTTTGGCGCGATACTCCGGAAAGATCGTTCTGGAAAGCTTGTTCTCTCTGAAAATGAGCTGATAGAGAAGAGAGCAAATTGCATGACGCCATTCCGTTTGATTCATATTACCGGCCTTGAAGAAGAAGTAAAATGCCCTACTTCCATCTTCAGGTTTATCCAAACTTTTTACTGCTTCCTTTGCGGTTACTGTTTTGCCGCATCCAGGGTTCGCCGTTACCCAGAGAACCATGTGTTCGTCCAGATCCCTCCAAGCTCGGTATTCCTGATTGTTGAAAAGCCATTCCCCAGTACCATCAAGTCTCGTGGGAATTTACTCGAGATACTCGCTATACGCGTAAGTATGCCTATAGATATTCCTAAGAAGAGCTATTATAATTGTGAATAAAACATTTATTAAACAGTATAGAGATTCAAGAGCTTACCCCCCACCTCCTGTCGATCAGGGTTATATACAGAAGTTTCGGTCTCCGAATCTAGTATCAAAATTCCAAATATGTTAGTTTCATTACTGTGTTACAAAGGTGGGAATAGGGATTAGATATTGCATGGGAACTCAATTGAAGGAGCTCTCTTTAGCGACACAACTGCGGCCGTGTCATGGTTTTAAAAGTTTTGAGAACCCGAGACTTAATATATTTGAAAAACTATGGAGAATAATGCAGACGCTAGCGAGCTTCAATCAATTACCTTCTTGTGGCTCCGGTTCTACCCCTTCCACAGCTTTCGATACACAAAACTTCATGCTTCTGTTCGTATCCGGTCGGCTCAAGTGGCTTTTAGTGACCGCGGATATCTCATCAAGCTTTTTATATTCCTCAATCCCAATTCTTGCTATCCCCGGAACATTGAAACGATAGAATAACCCGGCGTCGATTAGATCCAGATGTTCTTCTTTAAATTCCCTGTCTTCCTTATCCGTGGCGAGAACGATATCGACTATCCCGGCAAGCAGACTCTTCAGGCCTCCAGTCATAGAAGAATCCGGCTTATCTCCTGTTCCAATGCTAATCAACAGGGATTCTTTATCGCCCCATAAGTCAATCGCTTCCTGATAAACGCGCGATACCGGATTGTTGTACGCAAAGGCTCCGTCGACGAATGTTTGTCGGACACCCTGAGAAGTTCTTTCGAATCGATCGAAAAAGGTTGTGGCAGCAGATGTAGCCCGACAGGCTTCCCAAATCTTGATGTCTGCCGAGTAGTGGTCGGATTGTTTTTCGTTATCATAACTGCGAAGGAAAACAGGCATCTTGTCCTCTCCTTTGATAGCGCACACAAACCTAGCTTGCCCACAAAATACCGGAAGTTAGTTATCTTCCAAACAAAGTGATGCCCTTTGTGACGTCTGGGAACGAGACCAGTTATCTCGCAAACCAGGGTTAAAAGTAAGTGCTCCTGCAAATCAAACGAAAGTTTCTCCTGCAGATTGCCGCACCAAGCATCATAAAGGACAGGTTCTTACACTTTGTATCCGTCGTCATATTGATCCCATAGAAGCGTCTCCTCAAGAGCTTCAGTACCCTCCTCCTCCTCTTCCTCCTCAGCAGCGCCATACCGCCGAGAAAGTCTCTTCTTAATAATTTCTTTGATCCCAGCCTCAAGAATTTCAGCATCGAAGCGGCCGTTCGCCTTTAGGAAGTCCACGACCCTCAGCAGGTTGAATTTACGATGTTTAGGTTGAAAGATCTTCTTCGAAAGCTCAACCCAATCGGCGATGCATTCATCAATGCTCATACGCAGGCGGCCTAACATTATTGCTATTAACCTATAAATTTAAACCCCAGCGCCTCAGCGCTCTCTTTAATGTCAGCTGTGTAATGCACGTAAGCCATCGGGAGAAATTGGGTTTGGAATTCGAAGGGGGAAAGACCCTCCAGTGCTCGTTCCCCCGATCAAGTCAAAGAGTTGCCAGGGCTCCAGTTGATCATCTTTTGGCCTAGAGCGGTTGAGGCGTTTCATGAAGTCGCTCAATACTATCAGGCTAGATAGACCCCTGATTCCACCGCCATCTACACATAATTATAAGGGGAATTAGTATCGAGTTGAGCTCTTTGATCAACCACCTCCCGACTGCTATAAAGTTTCCCTACCGAGAGAAAGCAAATGAAGCCTACGATTGACAGCTGCCATCTTCTTAATGTAATATGTCTTTGCCAAACAGAGTGCTAGTTTTCGTGGGTCGCGTTGACTTTACAGGTGATAGTAGCTTTACTTTGAACGTTCGAACCCATAGTATAGTAATAAGAGGCAGCCCAGGTGAGGTAATTTTCTTCCCAAATATCGAAGCCTCTCAGCCGTGGACCTGGACATCTGTGAACGGACAATGCATTACCCAACCAATGAGCTTACAGTTTACTCCTTAAAACAAAACTGATACCTTATCTGCGCTTATGTAACAAAATATATCACTTGACTTTCATTAGGCTTGGAGATGAGCCTTACCTTAATTCTATAAAAATAACTGCGGCCTATATAATAGAGACATGTACGTATTTATAATTTTAAAGTATGGCCAAATAGATCGAAAAGATCTTTAAAGAGGCCAGCCTTTGCGTTGGTAATGTTGCAATTAGACCCAGTCTTCAGCCAGGATTAATATTGCACGGTACATGTACAACCTCGGAATCAAATGTACCTACTGGCCATTAGGCTGGTCATTTTGCATTTGCATATCCGAAAACGTATTGGAGAATCAATCTACCGAAAACACCCATTCCGGACTCGGCTTCAACCCGGAAACCGAGTGCGATCACGTGAGGAATGTATGGTGGCAGATATTTCTTGGCGTGGATTGGTTTGAACCGGAAGGCCCAGCTAACCCAAGAGAATTTGACCAGCGTCTTGCATTGCATAACAGAACTGCAGCTGCGCCAGCCGTTTTATATGTTATGGTGGACTGATATCCTTCGATAGTTCTAACTCTTTAACTATAACACCTGCCAATTATCACCGGCCGTCAATAAACTGTTTTAAATGTGATATCACAAAAAAGACAAGGGACCGAAGGTATCTTTAACGGGCACGGGCAGCTAAGAAATCGGGAGAAAACATTAACTTTGACAGGGCCCCACTATGACCTGCATACTAACCCTTCTTTAAATCCGGTGGAGCCTCAACAGCCTACTTTTCCATTCCGCCATTCCTCCCCACTTCTAAAAGTACATAACTACTCCTTCACCGCACTGCGATCACCGGTATCCATCTCTCTCGCCCTACCATACATGCCAGGTGACTCTAAATATCCTGCATCCCAATAAAGTCGTCATCAAAATGACCGACAGCGGTCAATCGAACCCTGTCTTCACGCCAAGCCCCAATGGGCCGCCAACTCGGGTTCTCAGTATCGCGAGTCATGTAAGACTTAGTCCCGAAGCCTCCCGAGGCATCAACGAGTGACAAAAACTAACAATAAGCTGTCGCTGTGATAGGTTGTATCCGGGTATGTCGGAAATACGGTTGCGACGTTTGTAATGCAGCTGCTGGGCCTTGAAGTGTGTTCGCTGAACACGGTTCAATTCTCGAATCATACGGGGTATGGGAAGTGGACCGGGACAAAGATCCCGTCGGCTGAGATTGATGCATTGTATGAAGGGTTGAAACATAATGAGCTGGCGGATTTTGATATGTTAGCGACCGGGTACGTGCCAGGTGCCGAAGGAGTGGAGGCTGTGGGGAGGATTGCAAAGGACTTGAAGGAGACTGGTGGCGGAGAGAATGGGATAAAGTTCTTTTGGGGTATGTTATGGCCTTCTCTAGGTCACTGAGATATTGTCGGATTGATTTGAAGCTTAGATTGCTAATATGACACCGTATCATTTGTAGTACTCGATCCTGTCATGGGAGACTCTGGCAAGCTCTATGTCAGCGAAACTGTGATACCTATCTATAAAGGACTTCTTCCACTAGCAGATTTGATTACACCGAATCAATACGAAGTACAGTATGTCTAACTTCACTTATAGTTGATATTTTTTTCTGTTTCAAGGCTAACGATTAACTCAGATGGCTCACAGGGATCAAGCTAACATCACCCGTCGATGTCTCAAACGCCCTAACCATCTTCCACGCCGAGTTCAAGACTCCCCATATCATCATATCATCTGTTCAATCTCTCGTAAACAAAAACGAGTACGTCTGCTTCGGTTCCTCGATGACAGCAACCGGAAAGCCTCGAGCATTCAGTATCTCAGTTCCAATGCTGCAAGGTCCGTTCGTTGGTACCGGTGACATGTTTGCCTCACTATTGGTATCACGGTTCCGCCATGCTGCCGCAGATGCCGGATTACTAGAGACACCCAGCTGGATGAGTTCGGATAATGTCACTGCCACAGAACTACCTTTGGCAAGAGCAGCCGAGATGGTACTAGCGAGTATGGACAAGGTCTTAAAAAAGACAGGCATAGAAAGAGATAGGAAAGTTAAGTCTCTAGACGAAGATGATCATGGTAATGATGCTCAATTGAAACGAGCTCGATACATGAGAGCAGCAGAACTTCGACTTGTTTCATGTATCGATGAGATCAGAAGTCCAGTGGTAAAGTATAGAGCAAAAGAGTTCAAAGACGGTGTACTCCAAGCTTAAAGAGTACACCACCTGATAGAAGAAAAACTAGCGTTAAAGCGATATCGAAGTTGATTCATAGAATGGATAGACCGGAGTATTTTGAGAGGCGTGGGTGGTGCATGTCATGTCAGAACTTAGCCTGTTACAATACCATTTTGCATTATAGTGCTCGTTATACTAAACCATATCAAACCCCCGAACTTCCAAGACATCATAAGATCCAGACAAGATATATAAACCTCCGATAGACCATTGAAGCCATTCTATAGATGCGAGAGACCAACGTCGTCGACAACACATGCGTAGGTTCCAACATTGTTGGATTCGAGAGCTCCCTCGAAACGCGTCTGTCCACCAATCGCGAAGCTTCAAATTTCTCCAGCTCCCAAGCTCAAGCTTCGCGTGTCCACTCACAACCAGCCAACATAGACGCTTCAGATACTTCAATTCTTCTCCTTCTTCTAGCACCACCAATTCCTTTCTTTCTCCTTCTTCTCCTTCGAAACGTCCAATTGCCATGTCCTCCGAAGCTACTCCAGCATCCGCTACCACTAATACCACCGACTCCACAACCATCCGTCCCTCCACACCTCCCGAAAAGCGTGTAATCCACTCTCAAAACCCCACATCCCCACCACCAGAAACTTCAGCTGCTAAGAAAGTCAAAATGTCGGATGAAACTACTCCTTCTATCTCTGCTGCTACGGAGGCACCAGCTGTTGTACCAGTATCTGCTGGTCCAGCTTTACATATCAAGAAGCTGAACGATAAGGCACGAGCCCCCACGCGAGGATCGGCTTTCGCTGCTGGATACGATCTCTATGCTTCTGAAGATACAGTTGTGCCCAAGGGTGGGAAGGTTTTGGTCGAGACTGGGTTGAGCATGGCTGTGCCAGAGGGAACTTGTATGTTTCCATTCTGCCACAATTGTGACTAGATTAAGCCACTTTAAAGGGATTGCGAATAGCTGATTGGGTGGTATAGACGGCAGAATTGCTCCAAGAAGTGGACTTGCTTCTAAGAATTTCATTGATACAGGAGCTGGTGTTATCGATGCTGATGTAAGCCTCCCCCATTTAGTTTTACATCATGGCTACAACTTATCTAACAATTGACGATATAGTACCGAGGACCGGTCAAGATTCTACTTTTCAACCACTCAGATGTTGATTTCGAGATTAAGGAAGGTGATCGAGTAGCTCAATTGATTCTTGAGAGGGTATGTATAGTTATCTACCTCCAGATATCCCTACGTTTTGAAGAATAAAGTTAGCTAATGATTCGGTGGCATTATGTAGATTTACACTCCTGAAGTCGTCGTTGTTGAGAACCTTGAGGAATCTGTTCGTGGTGCTGGAGGATTTGGTAGCTCTGGACGTTAAATGATCTCGGTATTTAAGCTTGCATATTAAGGAATGATATGTGGGAGACAACATCTACACCTTTTTAGATAATATCTTTTAGATAGATATGGAGTTCTATAGAATTGGATATCGTCAATACAGCTCAGTGTTACTTCTAGTATCTGTTTTAATATTTTGTGATATTCATTCAAGTTTCTTCATCTAGGTACATTAGTAGACAACTATCCAGGTACGGTGCGAGCTACAGTTGTTATCGTTTTCATACAAAACTATGCGAGAGTACTAGGTGCATAAAGCTAACAGCCTTCTTCAGTATGCATGGCATAACTATTGCTATTGCTAGATCAATATATTGAACGCTCTCCACGTATCAATGTTTTAGATCTGGCATTTTGTTCCATGGGTCCACGTTACACAATCCTATAGAGAGCTCACTCCAAGCCCCCCGTTGGGATATATCCAACTTATGAATATTTCTCTTTAATAGGAAACATTTTCAAATCCGACAAAAAAAAAGTGAAAAAAGTACAAAAAGAGAAGACTGAGTGATGGCTCGAAACGTCGCACTGAATAAGCCTGATTATGAAGGGGTATACAGTTTTAGTTCGAATAGTTGGTGGTTGAAACCAGCTAGACCATCTCTCGGCGATTGACATTTAGCAATCTAGCTATATATAAACCCCTGTATTACAAAATTGCTGTAGTACTCTGGTGGGAATAGAGCTACGCGGATGTGAGTGTACTACATACTATCCTGATACTCGAGAACTACCCTGATTTGACTTGCCACCCCGTCAGCTTCAGCAACGATGTAAAACCAATAACCACTTGTTTTCTGCCACCTTACACTTCTGGGATCATTGACAATGAAACATCATCATAAATTAAAGGCATGATATGCTTAATGTTTCTCTACAGCTGAACTACTCGATTGATCCCCATATTGAAATGATTCACTATGATACCTCTACAAAAGTCAATACGGATATACTGCCCGAGCCACCCGTGCGTCTACACGCCGAACATCTTATAGATCTACGCTCCTAGGATCCTTATAAGACCTTCCCCTGTCTCAGCTGATCGTATCGACTTCGATACATACGTTCAATTCAGCACGTGCACATATGCACATATATATCATGTTCTGCAAGTAATCCCCATGCTGACTGAAGATCATTGATATTCATTAATATTATTAATTCTGCCTAGATGTATGTATACGCAGGCTTTTGAGGGCCCTTGAGACCTAAGTCTGGGTGTATATATCAGTAAACCGTGTGTTTAATTAAGCTTAATAGCCTAGCACTTAACTTCTAACACGCGAGTGGAGTATAGTTGAATGAAACGGTAATTAAGTAGATCTAGACCTTCATAATATAATATCACCTATATCTATCAACCGAGACTCTATAACTTTATAATTATAGTCTGTTATAGTTGATACGTAAAAAGAAATGCAACAGCAGAACCAAAATAGCCGCCATCTCGTCTCCCTTTCAAAATCAACTCCACAATTTAAAATACAATAAAGCTTAGTATCCCCTATCAGGTTGAGCTAAAAAAACCTAATTCATTGTAAACCTCTATAAAATCCACCAATTATTGCATAAGTTATACATTATCCTAACCTATAGTCTAAGACATTAATCTATTCTAAACAAGACAACCAAAAACCACACCGTGCATAATTTCCCCACCGGATATTTCCGACAGCCTAACTAGCCCACACACGAAAGCAGGGAAACTAGATGCCGCACACATGCCGCACGGGTATATTTAGCCTAAGCTTTCAACATCTGTCAAATAAACTGCATGTCTGAATATTACATATGTACATAATGATTCGTTATCTGTAACTCGCTCTTCTTTTTTTTCGATTCATCTAATTAAGCGAGTCGCGGGTTCCGAATTGTCAAATAGAGGGTTTTCGAGCAGGGGAATCTAAAAGAGCGGAAACAAAGCAGGCATCTACGCCTCCCCCTTCTTTATTTAATTTATGATTTAATGTTATTTTGACGTCGCACATGGTCCATGGTACGGCTGTTGAGATTAGCCAAAGGGCTTTTTTGCCGTTCGAGCTTTCATGTCGACGATGTGTAAGTCGTATGAAGTCTGACCAACTATTTCATAATATTCGCTGTTTAAATCGTCCCGGTGCAATCGACTCTAGATTGAACTAAGGTACTTACGGAGGCCCATTCTAATCAACCAGCTAAACGCCCTGTTCCGTATAATCTATTCGATCAATCCTTTCGCTAAACCCCCCTTCCCTCTCGTCTAACAAAACCTCGGCATCGACGTCACAAATGTTACAGATGTCACTGTAGCACGGAAACATCTTTTAGCTTCCCTTTGAACAACAAAAACATCCCGTGGTATGTACCACCGCAGCGGATGCCGGTAGATTCTCAAGATAGAAAATAAGAAAACAAAAAGACGGAAAAACAGCCCTTGGTTCTTTTTTTTCTTTTTTTCTTTTTTCTATTTTTTATCCGCCTACCGAACGGAGGAGGTCAGTAAGCAACCCATGCATGCCGCCTTTAACACGTTTCAGAATGTCGAGTGAGGAATGTAGTATGAATCGTTTAATCGTAGATACTAACTCACATAACGCGTAACAAACTTTTTTTTTTTTTACTTTTGAGCCCGTTTATGAGGTGCCTGGGACAACATTCTTCGGCATCGTAAGGTCAGGGGTCCAGGGGTTAGAAATCACAAAAGAATACTACGTGCATACATAGTCTAGTTGTGCATACATACATATGTACACCATATACTCGGAGCTTTGGGGGCCGCCGGTTGACTATAACAGGAAGGAAAATCGGTTCCAGGTTGACGGGTGACGGGAATATGGAAGACTTACAATGGTTATACCCTAGATTAAGTAATGTTATTGATCTGGCCATACAGAGTAATTGCGAAGCTTTTCCCTTATCGCTAACCGACAAGGATGGTGGTGGAGATAAACAGACGTAAAACAATCGAATATGACTCGCAGATTCTCTCTTTGCAGCGAGTTTTTGAGTTTTATATATTGTACGTCACTAGTCTTTGGACTATACCGTCGCACCTTAATTTTGAAACCCACTAGAGGGAAAATATTGAATGCCCGTGTATATACAATATGCAAAAAAGTATAGAAAATATAAACATCCCGGCATCGCAAGCACAGGGTTTGGGGGGAGAAAAAAAAAACTAGACTTCCCGACATTTGTTAGATTCCCAAGTTGTAACTCTGACACCGATACCCCCGGGAAGCTCGACCGGCGTCCCTTACCCCAAGGTACCCAGCACCTAAAGGAGCTAGAGCATATAAATGACGCCATAAGTATCTTAAGGAATTCCGGACCGCCAAAGTTAGAAATCAGATCGTGAGATCGGAGATCCAAGCACAAAGGCACTTGACCATTTCGTTCCTGACCGAATTCGCGCGAACTGCACCATCGCCATCACAGATTTCGATCACAAACCGTTTTTAGGAAGGGGGCCCAGACTACGCCAAAAACCGAGAAAATGGAGCCTCCAGGAGGACTAAAATACCCGCCTCGAAGCTAAACAGCTACGCATGCTTAAGCCAAAAGTGGGAAGGGATATTTTACCTCCGAATTACCCACTGCATCGCTCGATCGACTGCATCGGAACGATGCGAACCAAAGGGCTCTCGTACATATGTAAGGCGTGCATTAGGGAGGGGAAGGGAAACAAAAAAAAGAAGAAAGAGAGATTTCAAATTCCTGAAGGTTAGAAAAAATAAATATAAAATACACATATATAAAAAAAAATCGCGCGGTTTCGGCAAAGCATGGAAGTGCCAACAGATATGAGGCGTATGACGGCCTGTTAGGCCAAAAAAAAGGTCTGACATTCTTGAAATCAAATCGCTATATACTTTTTTGCGTAAATGTATCAAGCTGTAGAGATAAATAAAGCAGGTTGATATCATCGGAGCAGTAGGTAGCGGAACAAAGGATATGTATGTACCTGTAGGCAATATATCCGATATACTCGTCTAAATTCTAGAGAAAGTCAAACCAACCGAATAATCCTGGCCTCCTTTTTTGGTTTTGCCATTCCGCAAGAAAAAAGTACTCCGGGTTTTCAGGGTCCAATCTTGCGTCCCGTTACTTGTCTTTTCGATCCTTTCATAATAAAAAAGAGGTCAGGCAAGGGAGAGAGAACATCATTTTCAGCCTTCTTACCCGCATCTCAGAAGCGAGTAAACCTGTCATCGAGTTTTACAGACAAACCAAAAGAAGGCTATCGCCAACCTTATCAGACTTTTCTATTACAATCTTGCATTTTTTCCCTTTACGAAATGGTTCTGAAATCCGAATTTCACAAAAAACGAAAAGGAAAAAATGCCAGCAAATGCCCACCCTTAGTGCGGCCAGTTTCTTTTTTTTCCTTGGAAAAGCAAGGTAATGCAAGGTGCGAGGGCAAAAAAAAGAGAGGAGTGGGGACACACCACCACTCCGCTCCACAAGTCTAACCCCCTGTCCATCGACCGCATAAACGATCCAAACCAATAGAAACGCTCTAAATCTCGGTGGAGAAAAGAACTTCATACCCTTGCTTTATCCTTCATGCGCAATGATGTCACATATACTGCCGACCAAGAGTCTTGGCTTCATACTCCCTCATCCAATCCACATATTACCTTTTCCCAAACATAATGGCCAGAAATTTCAAGATTTCAAAAAAAAAAGAGAAGAAGAATACGGATGTAACATGGCCTTGAGGAGATGGGGTATTTGAAATACAGAGTAGACAATAGTGGGAAACAACGGAGATGTCCTATATGGCCCATGCACTAGCATGTATACCCCCATATTGATGTCAGTTTAAAGTTTTCTCTTTGATCGTCGAGATTTATGATCACCTATAGGCCTAAAATCTCAACCCCAGATTTCGATTGACAAAAAAAGGTCCCAAAACTTTAGGTTGGTCGTTATCATGATATCGCGGGGTAAAAAAGATAAAAAAGGGCGAAATGGCGCCGGGGCGTTTCGAGCCAAACTGTCAGATTTGCCAGGTCAGTTTCTTGAAGGGACTAGTTGATAGAGAATAAGGAAAACCCATAAGGCCCACTTACCACGCCCGAGCTTACTGCCGTTCCCATCGCATCGATGCCTTCCTTTACACATTTTTTTTTCAACCGAAAAAAATAAAATAAAATTGCAAAAACCTGCTTCAACAACTTTCACGATGCAGAAGAAACCCGAAGACCTCCCAAAATCTTGATTTCAACGTCGGTTTGCCTTCGGCCGACGATTGGGAAAGCCCTGACTTTTTCTCCTTCTTCCTAAACTCCTGACGTAGAAATATCAATAAATACAGAAACTATTGTACAATCGTCAAAGGAAAAATAAAATATAAAGATTTGGCATAAAAATAGAGAACAATCGGTGTCCCTCCCCCAAAAAGCGCAATCTTGCCGAAATATAATTCAATCTTACAGCACATACTCACATATATACATGACTAAATGATATCTAGGCAAAAAAAAAAAAAAAAAAGGAATATTCTAAGCCTCCTCGTCTGTCTATTGAATGAACACACCCTAACGTAAGGGTCCTATTCGCAGAAGCCAGACGACTACATCGTCATGAAACATCCAGCTCACCAACATCCCCACTAAAAAATAAAATAAAATAAAATACATGTAATATTGAAATTTATATCACCCCCATAAATCACATACGCCCCAACCTTCCAGAGGCGAATCTGCACAATGACGATCTAGCGCTCCCGCTAACCTCTTTTTCCTTGCGTATAAGCCTGAGATTACACCGTAATCCTCCATAAGAAAAAAAAAGGCCCCCAATGCATCGACCGAATCAAATTGGTTCGATCGAAACATGTAACAGAAACGTATACGTATCTCGTTTGCCCACTAGCAAAAGGCGGATACCACAGCCTCCTCACCCGAGACATCACCGTCGCATTTGCCCTATATAAGCCTAACAAGTCACCTCGAAAGGTATTTCACCAAATGCCTGTATTAGGCAACTGATCATTATTCTTCATACACACGGACCCCCATATCCTATATTTTCTTCTTCGAGTATCTTCTAAGATTCCAAAGCGGCTAACCTTCGCGGTCCACGCATGCACAGGCTTCCCCGCCGTAAATCACTTACAAGGAAAGCACCCCTTCAGTAAAGAATCCACAAACCGAAAACCTGTAACGAAACTGACAGGTTAAAGCCTGAAATAACTATCTTACCTAATCCGCATTGAAATGATCGATCGATCCAGCAATATTACCAAAGCGTAGGTACCGTGATAGTTAGACCCATTCTGATAAACTCGCATGACCGATGATGCCCTCCATTGTCATCGTATACCATCAGATTTCCTATCTATCTATCTTTATATCTCCCACTATACTATAACTTCCCGCCTTGACTAGAGAATAATAAACAATAAATAATAAAAAAAGGTGCATCAACTGCCTAACGGGGAAATTATCTTAGTTCGTATATACTAACCACCTAATATAATATACTTGAACACATATGCGATATTTAATATAGAAGGACTAAAGTATAGATATCAACGCGGTGTGATGTCGTGTGCATATATACATTATCCGTCGTAATCGGAATATCAAACCGACGCAAACAAGGTGTGGCTTTTTTTTTTTTTTTTGGGTTCCCCCCCAATTAATTGCGAGCGTAAATACAAATTCCACAAAAAAAGGAAAGCACCGAAGAAAAGTTGCAGCATGCACAGTAATCTCGAATTTAAGTCTCTGCGGTAAAATCAACACCCGACGCACTATCGTCCAGCTTGTAATCTACCAAGTAACTACCAGAATTTCACAATATTCTCCGAGTTCAGATTTTTGGGATATCGAGCAAATTTAAGTGATTAAGCATAATCTTCGTGTACTTTTATTTTTATTTGTTTCCCTGAGATCCTATTTTCCAATACCATAACAATTTTTCTTTTGTAGCAGATAGACAGCGCCAGCGTTGGACGGGATGAATTCTATAGAATATGCGTTTTTTGTTCGTCCCAAATCCGACTTCTCTAGAGCCAAGTGAATAATTTTTTGGCCCGGAAGAGTTGCTTGATGCTATGCTGGGCCTCCAGTATCAGAAGGCGTGTTTTAGTAACAGGAATAATAAACAGCTAAACGCCTAAGACTCCCTTAGAACAAATTCAAGAGTTAAAAAAGCCAGCATAACCCCCCCAGAAACCAGCCCCAGTTAAAAACAAAGCAAAAGGAGCACGAAGTTAAACAGTAGTTTTACAAAAAGAAAGAAAGAAAGAAAAACAATAATCAAGGTAAACAGTACCGCGAGATAAGCAGAAGGAAAACTCCCCTCGAGAATAAACAGTCTTTGAAGGAAAAAGCCAATATACAAGAAAAAAAAGGAGTTAAAAGTAGTATCAGAGCGATTGGATCCTGCCGAAAAACGGAGTGGGTATCAATCGATAGTCGAAGGGGACGTTGGGAGGTGGAGTTGGAGATGTGGGAAGTCGAATGAAGAGTGCGTGAGAGATCGGCCCCTGACTTGGAAAAGAATAAGAATAAAAAAAAAGAGGTTCGCAAACAATAAGAGGCGGGAGCGACTGGAATGAGAAAATGAGAAAAATATATGCAACAACCGTCTAAGTGATTTTTGTATCCCGTAAGAAAAGGAAAATAGAAGAGAAAGGAAATAGGTAGCGATCGTGAATTTGGAGTCGTTAAAAGTCTGAGGATGGTTCATAGTGTTGCAAACCAGGTCAGATCCCTTTCCAGAAGAGGCAGCTTTTTGAGTTGGGGAAAAAAGATAGAAGATCGGAGGGAATCTGTACGACACAATAAAAGCATCACAAGCCATTCAAACGCTGCCGGCATTGCTAATGGTCTCAGTATCAGAGCTGTTAGGCTTGTGAACTTTTCTGTGTCGACGAAGGTTTGAAACGACCGAGAACTGTCGTCCGCAGCCTTCAACTTCGCAGGCAAATGCTGTTTTCAGAATCAAGGTTAGTTAGCCAGCACAACACAAAAATATCATACCAACAAGAGCAACGGTTTCAGAACTTACGTTTTTCTCCGGTGTGACTATACATATGAGTCTGGAGCGAAGATGGACGAGTAAATCTCTTGTCACAAATCTTGCATTTGTGCTTCTTAGTAGTGTTGGATTGAACTCGGCTGTTAAACTGTCCCATCATGGCGGCTTGGCCGCTTTGGTGACCATAAAGGTGGTGGTGACCTCCAAGAAGATGCCCAGGACGAGGCAGAGTAGGCAGACTATGACGTCCATCATACATTTCAGATATAGCTGTAATGTCTGTCCCAGCGGAGTCCATAGATCCAGAGTAGTAGGGATAAGAACTAGCAGAGGAAATCGAAGAGCTTGTCGACTGAGGATAGTAGCTGTTTGTGGATGCTGCTGAGCTGGAAGTCCGATGGCCACCAACGTGTGGAAGATTGAATCGAGTAGCTCCTTGGCCCAATGCAAGCATTCCTCGAGAAGCATCGAGAGTATCAGCGGTGTGGTATGAGCCCGCTGTGACTCCTGGTCTAGTATAATCTACCAAAGACGATTGTCTTTGCCGGAGAGGTTCCAAAGGTGAGTCCATGATTCCAGCAGAAGACAAAAGTGAAGGATGAGACAATCTTCGGTCTTCGTTGAGGGAGGGTGGGAGGCTATACAAGTTATTCTTGACAGTTTGGTCATAGGAACCGTATCCATTCATGGCATAATTTGATGTAGCCCTGGCGGTTGGAGCAGCAGTGGATGCCTGTTCGGCATAGGTTGTAGGGAAACCAGCAGTAGCAGGCATGAAATCTGTTTGATAGATGTTCTGTGAGGGAAGTGATCTTGTAGTTGGCAAATTCAGCGAAAGCTGATCGAAGGATGAAGACACACTATTCTGTCGGAGTGGTTGCTTAAGCCCTCCCAGATCGCCCTGAGCGGCGGCCATAGATGCCGCATTGTTCATTCCAGCATATGCAGCGGGATTAGGATTAGCCCCTCCCTTCCACGGGTCTGAGAACTGAACCGTATTGAAGTTGGTATTATCTGTCGGAGCAGGAGTAGCAGTGCCATATGGGAAAGGCTGCTGCTGCTGGACATGGCCGTTCTGGCGTATCGAATCCATGTTGAGATATAGATATTTATTTGATAAAGATTTTATCTTATCTAATGTGATACGAAGAGGATGCTAAAGGACGTTCGATCAATGATGATCGAGTAAGAGAAGAGGAAGAAGTTATGATAGCCAGTTCGATAGTCACGAGATTATCGTGATGTCGGAGCGAGAATGATAAACGTTCGACTAGTCAAGGGATCTTAATGTCGATGTCGATGTCGATGTCGATGAGAGGAAGAGTTGGATAAAACAAGACAGCTCGTAGTTTGGTGGTTGGCGGTAAGTAATAATGATGATAATAAGAATAATAATTTTAATTGGATATGGACACTTTAAGTCGTCGTTGCCATGTAACCGGAGGTATAGTTGTAGCTGCGGTTGCGGTTGTGGTTGTGGTTGTGGTTGCGTTGCGTGTATATGAAGTAGAATCTGCCCTGCGTCCCCATAGTAATGTTAGCCAACGTCCTTGAACATTTGGTCCGCCGTATAACAACGGCTGTATATGATAGATAGTAGATAATAATATGCAAGGGACGGCCACTCCTATTACTACCACCAACGCATTGACGCCAGTTTCGTACTGAGTAGAAGGACAAAAATCCAACAATTGAATTCGAAGAATTCGCATCTTGGGAGAACATCAACAGTGATTGATAGACAAGTAAGGTAGAATTAAGCTACCGTTGATCTGTCTGTGTATTAGGTGTGTGCGTGTGTATGTACCATATAAAAAAGGCCACAAGCTTTGACAAGCACAGCCAACTAGACGCTCAACTGTCGTTCTGAAGAATATGAATCGATGGACATAAACAAAAAAATAAAAATAAAATACGAGAAAAGGAAGACTTGCAAAGAAACGATGATGGGCGGGTAGATCAATTTAATACCTTGTAGGAGAATATGTATGCTTTCAGCAAGGTAGCACACGGTTTAAATCCAAAAGGTAAAGTATATGGTAATGTTTGTATGCAAGAGGAAGTGGAGCGAGCGGGAATCGAAAGAAAAAATCGGCCGGCTTTTAATTCGATAACCCTCTCCTTTTGAAGATGCTAACATTCTCCCAATTTCTCCTTTATTGATAGATGAAGAAAACATCTATGATGGAGTTATGTCTTTGCCAGATCCCGCAAACATGCAAATACCGAATGTAGAAGGGGAGGAAAAGAAAAGAAAAAAGAAATGAGAACACAGTAAAATAGAATAGATAAAAAAAAGGAAAAAGAACCAGGGAAACAGAAACAAGCTTGCCAAAGCTACTCGTATGGGGAAGAGTGGTTCGGATGGCCCGTCTTAGATTCTTTCCTCGAGGCTTTTTCTCTAAAAGCTGCAATAGATCGACATGGCATCCGAGTTATGGATGCCAGACCGCGATGGAGGATGGGAATGCCTTCCTTTTTTCCCTGCCCGCCTTGACAGGGAAGCACAAAACGAATGGCAATGCAGCTGACAACCTCTCGATATGCTCGATGACGACAGTCAAGAAGTTAATTCCAAGGTGGCAGTGAACTTCAGGGTCTTTCTTGGATTGGGCCCGTCGATCGGAGCCATGATGTTCCTTGAGAAACCAGCCTAGGTCGTTTCGAATTCACCCAGGTTTATATTCTGGCCCAAGTGCCCATTATATCACATCACCCAATACCGGGAAAAAAAATAAAAATAAAAAAACCAAAAGATGTAAAACTTGGGGAAAAAGACGGCTGCCGCAGAACATGTCCGGTAAAAGATTTTCTGGGGCCTTGAAAATAGAACGACTATAATAGCAAGGCGTGCAAAGCAGGCATAAAATGGTGGTAGTAGTGATTGGTAGAGGTGTGTGTTGTGCGTTGAATAGCGATCTTTGCCATAGACAGCAGAAGCATCCTTACCTTCGACTAAACAAAACGTGCCAGCGGGTTGATCGATGAGGCAACTGGTGCAAGCTACGGCGTCAATCTTCCGCGAAACTGGGAAGACTCGAGCGATTGTCCGTATTAAAACTTGTTTCGACACTATATTGGGTTTCGCGCGGAGAGAAAACTGAGTAAAAAAGACGGATATCTCAAATGTTAGACCTTTTGGCTTTTTGTGTGTTTGTCGTGGCTTTTCGGCTTTGGATGTGTATGTAGTATGTAAAATGCAAAACGAGCATGCAGGAAAGAGTGTGAAGTTCGAGGGCAGGAGAGGTCGTTTATACATGAAAGCAGATGCAATGTGACCATTAACCTAGTTAACCTCTATGTATGGCACAGTGCTCGAATAACTGGCTGTCTTGCCGGTGTGAAGGCACACTCCCGTGCAGCTTACTTGCTAACAAGTAGTAACTCCAAAGCAGGTTTTTCCCAAAAAAATTACCTTTTGCTTTTTGGGGCAATTAGATATTGTGGGCAAAAAAGTAAGTAGTTCAAGGGAGTCTGCAATATGGGAAAAGAAAAAAAAGAAAACCAGTATTACTAGGGACAAGAAGAAAAAGAAATAAGAAGACTCGGAAAAAGAAAATGGTGGTTAAAATAAAAAGGTATGAAAGAAGCAATGAGGAAATCAAGAAGGGGCGAAATGGGATCGAGGATGTCGACAGCAAGTGCAGTGGAATTGAACCGCGCAGAGTTGGAGGTCTTGCTGCTCGGGTCCTAGGCTGCAAAGATACCTCCCGATCTTGAAGACACCAGGCCTAGAGCCCAATCAAACCCCGATTAGACCAATCTTGAAGGAAGAGAGTAAGTCAGGGCAGGCCGGGAGGGGAGCCCGCTGGATCACTAGACCTCCTCGGCATAGTTGCTCTCTTGAGCCCACTTCGAAATGGGCCTTCTCCCCAACCATGCAAGCGCAGAAGGACCCTTATTCGTTTTTCTTTCCGTTCTGCCACTTGTATCAAAGAAAGCCGCGCTGATGATGCAGAATTGCAGGAAGCGAAATTTTGGGGGGTGGTTGGCTTTGAGACGGCCCAAGGCCTATGACGCTGGTGGTCGAGATTCCATGGGGTAAGAACAAACGCCAGACGAAAAAGTAATTATAGCCCGGCATCCACACTCATACCCTTGTCCCCGACATACACACCACCACACCACACCACACCACACCACACCACACCACACCACGTCCTTGCTTGCTTGCTTGCTGGCTTGATTTCAATGTGTGGGAGGAAACAGTCAAGGTGCAAGTGCAGGGTCAAGGCAGCTCTTTGGTTGAAGCGTGAAGATGGACCTTCCGAACAAGCTGACCTCCAATGGCAACTGTCTAAAGGCATTATCATCTTCATCATCATTGAAATGATGCTAGCGAGAGTGAGCCGAATCAAGATGTCTGACAACCAGCCGAAACAGTCCCTTGTATCTGGAATGCTTGAAAAAGGCGATAAAGGAGAATCTATGATGCAACTCCGGGTTCATCTGTATGACCTTGCACCGACAACTTTGCTGGCCGCCGGCATCCAAGCTTCCACTCATAGTTGGCCTATTGAAAGCTTTATTTCCTTTGCAATACTTCTTGCCGCATATATCAAAAGTAGGAAAGCTTGGACGGTAACAGCCTGGGTGAAAAATATCTAGCCCCACATTGAAACGAGTGCAATGTCTTCATCTTTCTGAAGTTTCTTTCCTCGAAATTAACGGAAACCATTTTGCATGGAACGTACCTTTAAGTAAAAAGGTATCTATAGCCGGACCAATTTCGATGAAAGCGGATGCTTTAAAGTCCTAATAATTGTAATCAGACCCACGCCAAAGTTAGAATGTTATCAAACGGTTTATTGAAGATCTTCAGCAGTCAAATCTCGCACATCAGGCCGCTTCATCCCATGACTAGGCCATAGAACGTGTAGAAAAGCCATTAGGCTTCCTCATTAAACTTTCCTGAAGGTAGAAAGCTGAGGTCGAGATAGAGTGCGATAAGACATTATCGCTTGCAGCAGAGGAACCGAAAGCTTACTTACTTTGCAAACGAACACGCTAATCGTGAAAGATTGACGCTGAAATAAATCGGAATATTCGGCGATAGACAACTTTGCACCCTAAAGGGCTGTATATGCTGAGTTGCAAGGTATATACTTGGGTGATTCTCCTCTAGCTCTGCGGATCAATGATCTTAGCCTAGTGGCCGGGTACTGATTCTATAGATCTATCCGAGCGAATTTTCACCTCAAGAGCTCGAGAATAAACTAGATAGTTGAAGTTCTGTGATATAAATAGGTAGATTGTGTGATGGGAGCAGGATGGTCGGAGCAGAGAAGGGGAGGAACAGCTGTCTATCCCAGCTACTTTTTATACTCATCCGTCTATTACTCTCCCCGATCAATTACCTGCTCAGCCCTACGCCCTACGCCCTACGCCTTATGATCCCAATATAGTAAGATATAGCTGGAGATCCATATTTTTTGAGTGCGATAATTTTGTAGACTCAGAGATATTCTCGTGTAGATGAGGCCGATTCAAAAGATCCTCCAGATATAGAAAGATACTCGTTTCATTGCATGGCTGCCAGTTGCTGTCAACGTTGGTTGTGCGCTGCGTGGTTGAGAGGTAACGCCGCTACGTGCCAACCTCGGGAGATCGCTGCCCAAATGCGGCCTCCCCGGACCACAGAAACGCCACCCCGGTAACCAACACAAACAACACCGGAATCGATGGGCCCGGAGCCGCCCTCGAGAATCCGAACCTTTCGGCCTCTCCACAATTGAACAAGATAACATGTACTTAAATTCGAAAAATATGCTGAGAAATGCCGCCAAGTGCCTAAGTGGAAGCTTATGGAACAGCCATCCGTTTCCCCAGAGCACTAAAAAAAAAAAGTCTAATATTATAGATAGTGGAGAATCAATTAATATTAATTAGTCTAGTCGCAAATTATAGAAAAATTGTGTCGAAGGGAATGAACTGGGGCGACATATGATACGAATGTGTAGAGACAATGGTATAATTACGCTATGTATCGTATCCGTTAGGCCTTCTACACACAGAGTGATATCTACTTAATATATTCATGCATGTAGTGACGTTGAGGCTTTTTCTACGCTAGCAAGACGTTGTTATCTAGGCTTCTTCCGGCGCCGAGGCGGTCTCTGGTCTAAGCTTATAACGTCTGGTGATAACCTCATTTGCATGTCATCCGCTGTACTAACGATTGTTTTTCTAATTTTATTCCGACCGTGTACGGATTTTGTCTACAGACCAAAGAATTGTTATTTTTTATTTGTCTATTTGTTTGACGGCTGGCGCCATGGCCCAGGGCTGATTCGGGGTCCCTGAAGATCATATCAGGGTGCCATTGGCATTGATAGTCGATGGCCGTACTCGCGGTAACGTAAGTTAATCTTTTTTGCTATCGAATGTTATCAGGATCATCCTAAATATAAAATTAGGTTAGGATACCATGATATGTATGAAGCACCGGAATGCCATGATGATGAATCTCGATTTTACGAAAATTGCACATCGATGAATGGGATATGCATATGCATATGTGGAAAGAGATGGTAGATTTTAACATTCCGCCGCTAGCCAGCTAGGCCTAGGCTTTTGCAAATTTGCTTGACGTTGCAATACGACGCAACGTATGCACTGCCATCGCAAGGACATTGTAATAGGCTCATACCTTGACCGTGCCGTTGTAAAAGGCTTATAGCATTCCTGATTCCATAGAGGAAGATTCCTGGCCTACGCGCGCAATTGCCGGTTTTTGTGCGGCCAGCCCTTGTTTGTTAGTATACTAGTAACGTAGCGCTATGACGCTACTCTGACAGAGGCGAAGAATTCTCCCACCTCCTGATGAGGGAAGCTAGTCGGGAAGCAACTGCAAAAGCTATATCATATGTCTTCAAGTTTCTGTTGCTAACAACAATCTATAACACCGGAAAATCCTGAATGTGTCGGCCATGATGCCAATATGATGCTGTTAACGTACATCTTGTGACACTGCCGGATCGAACTAACAGATCCAACCCACACTATTCCAGGTGGAAACCCAGACGAGATCTAAAAGGTATCTTTACGGAATACTATCACCAAAAAGTCTCTCTAACTCCGCTGCATGAAATCCTGTTTTTCTCATACAGGCTCCGAACAAAAATCCCTCCACGTCCAAAAAGAGTCGGTGCACCCCAATGCAGTTTAGCCCTTCTTCCCAATCCCGGTTGACCGAACGCCACCACTGCTGAATCTTGACTAGTCATTGTCCGAATCCAGTGCGTTCGCCAAGGGAAAACTGGAGGGTTGTGAGCAAGAACACTCGAAATCTGGTGGCTTGCCGCTAGCAGGGGTTACAAGCGATAGTTCGGGTAATGATCTACAGCTACGATACAGACCCTGGACCTTTATACCCCTACAGATATTACAGGACAGCGAGGTCTTGGCGGTTCTTTTTTGCAGCAGAACAAGGCGAGGAAGACTTAATATCATAGGAGTATTAATGTGCCTTCGTTAATTCTGCGAGATGCCGTGGTTCGAAGATGAGTTTTTCTGCTGCTGCGCTGTAACATGGTTTAGAAATTTCGATAGACATAAACGGAAATGTCATACGCTCTAACGTATAACCATTGGACGAATGATATTGTATGATGTTGTTCCGAAGATTAATTTGGCGATAACACCGTATCACTGAAGGCAAACAGGAATGTAGCTGAGTGAGGAGGCTCAGTCTTCAGGCAGCAGGATCACTAACTATCACCGTGATCAGTAGCGCCCGAACCCGTTTGCTTGTCTTAATCTTTGATGCACATTGCATACATATGTCAAGAAGTCAGCGGGAAACGATTCCAGCGCTTCGACATTTTCATATCAAACATTTGGCTGGCAAGTGCTTGGCAAGAGGAAAAGTCCGCAGCGTTAGATAATGTATCATGCAGGTCATTATAAGCTTAAGGGCCTGGAACCAGACGAAATAGCCATGTCGGCCCCATATTGTGACTTCACGTCTATGTTTCTGTTGAGGACTGTAGCTAGTTGCATTTTAAGCTTCGGATCTTGGGCTACTGCAAGCCTCAAAACGCCTCGCAGGAAATAGATCCCGAGGTCCTAGCTATTTTGAACCCCCCTCGGCTCAAAGTACACAGCCCTTGGAGGCATGGTTAGCTTGCGTAAGGGTTAAACTCATGATGAAAATCCGAAAGACCTGCTACATACAACAAAGGGTCTTTAGAGTTTTTCGGAGCTAAGGCACGGCCGGGTGGGGGCTGCGAAAAATGATTCGGCGACGGAGCTGGAAACGACGCAAGGGCACGGGCTGTTTTGGCGCAAGTCAGATGGCTCGTCGACGCTTTTCGGGGCCAAGCTAGCCTAGCTGAGCCTAAGAGATTGAAACATTTTAGTTTTGTACAGTACATTTGTTTGGATGCTAGTCCGACATCCGGTCTGGGCTTTCAAATTGTGGAGAAATTTGAAGCAAGGGCTTTATCCTCGATAAAAGCTGCATCGTCAAGCACAGTCAAGTTATAATATTTGCAATATCCATAGTTGCGTCTTCAGCGCCTTGCGAGATTCTTCAATTAAAGTCTGCAAGATGGGTGGCACGGCATATCAGGCCCACCATGGCTCATTGCATCCAAATTCCGTGCATGTCCCGAGCTTTTCGGAGAGCCCAACCCTAACCCGGCGAACGACACCGCCCGCCCCCGGAGAAGAAGCCCTTCGTGATGTTTCTTTCTCGCACACACCTAGCTTCCTTCGCTAAGCTGCAAGATCCATAAACCTTCATTTCAAGAGCGGATGGGGCTTGCTTTAGGCTAACGATTAACGAGACGCCAGCTTTCTTGTCCCTTCTTCAAACAGGTTGAGCTTATGCGACAGCCTAATAAACATGACGTATCAAACCCATAAAACGTCCTCCCGAACACGCTCGCTACGCTACTGCCTTGCGGGTGATTGACAATAAACCAATTTTCCGAGCGAATGGTAAATTCGAGTCTTTCAATCTCACGTGCCTTAGGCCTTCTTTGCTCGTGAAATAGCAAAGTACTTAAAAGTGAGTACTTAATACATATAAAGTTGGCGTACTATAGCTTACTTTAGCTATTATTATCCACTAGATATTGCAATCAAATCAAATCAAACACCACAAAGCCCAAAAAGTCGAGGTTTTGAAAGAGGCAAGGAGGCAATACGGCTGTTTCAGCGCGAAAGTGAGAAGAATGCGCACTGCTGCCTGGCCGCCGTGGTCGAAATATTTAAATTAATTGCATCAGATTCTACTCTGTAGAAATATACATAGTATCTGTTTTTCTCCCCGATACCCGTCATTACAGATTGAACTATTTTCCTATTCGTTCAACAGGGCTTGTGATGTCTCTCAATGGGAAGGGGCGGATTCGTCGCGTTTCAGGTTTTCTTGTTGATTGGCAATCTTTCGCATCTCGGAAGCCCACAAGCCTTCCGCACCCTCGTCTTGCCGTCCATCGCGATTCATGGTTATCCATGGCTCCATTTCCCGGAGTTTCCCTCCGGTCCATAAAATTTAGTGCTGTGGATTGAGAGCCACCACGCTAGGGATCAAGTGATTTACTAGTCCTTGGAGTGGAGTTCTGTGCGGCACTCGAGTCTCGGCACCCTTCATGCATCTG